ACCACCCAGTCTCAACCAACTACATCACCGGGCAACACGCCGACTCCAACGAGCCAAACCACCCAGTCTCAACCAACTACATCACCGGGCAACACCCCGACTCCAACGCCAACTCCAACGCAAACTTACTGACCCCGTGACACACCGACCCCAAAGTCAACTACTTCACAGGGCGGGGGCTGGTGAGCTCGCTCGAACATGGCTGTGCCCCTCCACGACCATTGTCCATCGAGCGAGTGAGGCGTACATCAGTATCCGCTGCGGAACGCACGACTTGCCGAGTAGGACCGTACTTCTTAATTGAGTTGATTGGATAGACGCTCGTCGTCAAAAAGCTGAAATTACGGAGACCTTCATTTCCTTCATGTGACTGCCACTCCTTCACTTGCTGTATTGGTATTACAGGATCTCGTTTTCGTTGTATATAGCAGCCTGTATACACTTACTTGGCTCTATCGGGTTCTCTCGTATCTATATTCTTCCAGCGACCGTCCGTACTCCCGCTGTGAGTACAGCCGTCGGCCACGACTACGGCTCAATCAGTCTCGCTCGACTGCGCGGATCGAAGTTGCAAGGCAGTCTGAACACTCTCCGTCCTTTTTGGATCTTTTACAGGTCGCATTGCATTCTGCTACGAGATATCACAATCACCCACACGTGTAGTGCAATTGGCCAATCAAATACTCGCGGTAACCACCCACACGCTAAACCAAATCTGTCTCATGCATGCAAACTACTTGAGTAAGGCATGTAGCTTCCATCGGCGGGGTGTTTAAAGGTGTAGAAGACAGACCTGCTTCTGCTCGCCCCTCGTCGCCATCGTCTGGCAGAACAAGGTCGGTTCGCCATGGACGACCGCAAAATCTCTCCAGCCTTGCGCACGAAAGGCCCTTTGCAGACATCGAAGGCCAAGCTTCAGCAGACGACTCACTCACAATCCACGACTCTTATGACCTTCGAGGAGAAGCGTGGAGCAGGCAAGAAGAATCCGTCCACGCCACAGCAGTTCGACGGTTCAAAAATCGAATCGCCTCTATTGAACCCTAGCCTTCTGGAAAGAAAGTCGAAGAAGAACTGATTTTCACACAAATGCATACAGGTGCTATCTTTACATCCGCCTGCGCCGGCCATGCCATGATACCGTAATCTCATTCACCATGTTCCTGCCGGAAATGCAAGTGCAAACGCAACGCCATTACCACAAAAGGAGAACATCGCTCTGTCTCGACTTGCGCAATCAAGCAAGATTATCACTCCTGTCAACCCACACATCTTCCAGTTCCTGTGCAGAACAGTTAGCAATCATCCTCGACTGGCCATCAGGCTTGGGGTTGTAACTCACCGAAAACGTCTGGAAGTGGATACTGCGATGCACATCATCGTAGAACCTCTTCGGCACACCAACACCCACATACACTCTACCCTTCTCGCGATCACCGAAACCAGATCCAAGGAAACTCCAATTCCAGCGCTCATCTTCGGGAACCAGGAAGAAGCCGCGGATCTTGTCGGACAGCAGAAGCTGGCACTTCTCGCCGAAATGGTGCGACGGGGAGAAGCCGGCGGGCTGGTCGGAAGTGAGATCTTTGTTCTCGGCGCCCCATTGGTAGCCAGATGGGGTGAGGGACCAGGCGGAAAGGGAGACGGAGCCAGGGGTGAAGTTGACAGTCATGGTGACGGTCTTGCGGTCCCAGCTGTTGTGCGCGGCCATGAGTTTGGCGTGTTGCGTCACGTCTTGTGCCGTCATGTAGCTTGATTCGTTACCGGCGCTGGTGTGGATGATACCCAGCGGCTCGAGGGAGCCGAGCATTTCGTGCTCGGGCAGATTCCTAGGCAGCTGAATGTCTCGCGTGCTGCCCACTTGCGGCACCATCACGATGCACTTGATCTCCTTGACTTGCTTGTTGTCGCGTGGACTCGAGCCGTACAGATAGCCAGCGACTTGCACGCGCAAATCAGAAATCGTGATGAAGCGCTTGAGGATGTTCTTGGGCATGACGTAGGTGAAGTGATCTTCATCGTCACGAATGTCTTCGGACGAGATGTAGATGTTGTTCGCCCTGGTCCGAAGATTGCCCGTCGCGATTGCGCGCGTGCGCCACTCGGTCTTTGATGCGAAGCTCTGCTGTTCGTACGCAGACGTCGTGGTAACAATCATGTCCTCACCGTGGATGTTCTGCGTCTTGGTCGTCACGGCCGTGAGTTGTGCTTGCTCTTGTTGCTGCTTTTCGATCTCTGCGGCTTGCTGGCGTTGCATGGAAGGCGCTGAGATCTCCATACCAAGGATAATGTCTCGAATTTCAGTGTTAGTGAGCGACGAAGTGTTGACGCTGTTCTTCTTGCCATAATCGTTTAGAATGAGATCGCGCAATTGCACTTCCACCTTCACCCAGTCTTCGTCGGACAACGTTGGCCAGATATGATGCTCCTGCGTGATAACCGTCTTGTCGGGGCGCAGCACTAGCTTCGTCTTGTCTTGATTCACGTGCAAAGCGCGGAGAATCAAGATGAGACGAGAGAAGGCCGTGTAAGACGAGATGCTCTTCAGCCACTCGTCGTACAGATTGAACAGCACCATCTGAGGCTCAGTCGCGCGCAGGATCATGTCTCCCAGCTTCTCAACCTTCATGGCCGCTTGGAATGGGAGTTGCAATTCCGAGGCCCGAATGCTGATGTTGGGAAAGTCGAGCAAGTGGACTTCGAGAGGATCCAGCAAGCCTTTTCTGGTGACAATGAGCTGCTTGGGCTGCTCTTCAACAGGGAGAGACCGGATGAGAGCTGCGACTTCTTCGGCAGTCTTCCATTTCGCCAATTGGCCGAGTCGCTTTTGTCCTGCCCACACGCTGGTGTGGATGATCTTCAAGAAAAGCTGGCCAGTCCTGGGGTTGAAGATGAAGATGGCGCCGTTGATGGGCTTGGTGGTCAGATTGCCCTCGAACGTCTTGTGGATCGTGACACGGTACACGTTGGTGTCGTCGATGAAGAGCTGGATCTGGTTGCTAAAGAGTTCCGAGTAGTTTTGCGAGTTGAGGAACTCCTGGTTGCTCTCATTTGCGTACAATTGGAGACCCTTGCGGATACGCTCGCGAAGGACATAAAGAGCGGGATTGGCCTTCATGATCTTGGCCATGGCTTCCTGTACGAGCTGCTTGAGACCTGGGAAGTACTGACCATAAGCCGAGTACAAGTTGTAGGCAAGATCGATGCCAATCATCAAGCCGGTGGCGGACGGGTAGATGGACATCGAATCGGTCGTGTAGTCGAGGTACTTGGCGCGCACGTATCGCTCAATGTCGTGGGAATCGTAATCACCGTAGCGCAGCTGTACATCGATCCAGAACTTGTTGGTAGACGTGGCACCCATGTTGTCTTTGGTATCGTAGAGGAGGCTCGGATTGCTCACATTCCATTTGTGGGTCGCGAAAAGCAGGATGTCGGCGCAGCTAGAATTCATCTTGTAGCTCTTACGAGGATGGATCGTCTCCTTTTGGACCGTCTCGATCCCAAGAGCCTCCAGCTGCTGATCGAACACCTGACACAGATCCATGACAACGCTCTCGTGGATCTTCTGCCAAAGATGGGCTCGGAAGATCTGGATTAGAGAGATCTTCAATGTCGGGATTTTGCCGTGGAGGAAGATTCCCGTGAGATCGAGCTGAACCTGGAAACCAACATATACGTTGGCTCGGTTGATCGTGGGGCCTATCTCAGGAGTTAGTACGCGCGTGAGGCAGAGACAAATGTTGCGCAGGGACTGTGAGACGTGACTTACTCCACCAGAGAGTGAACCGACGGTTCGGAATCTGATTCAAACCGCTCCGTTGCGCGTTTGTGAGCTTCTTGAACTTCATGCTCTCCTCAAAGCCGCTCTGCAATGAATGGTCAGCATGGGGACGTCAATGGGACAGTAAGCGTGAAACTAACAGCCTTCTCCCAGAAGAGTCCTTCCCACCCTGAGAAAGCCGTGGCCTTGAATAAGGTGTGTTCCAAGATCGTCTCGACACCCCCAAGGGCTTGGATGACATCTGTGCGGTAGGAATTGAGATTCCACAGCTTTCCATCGTGTCGCTGGCTCGTCCACCTACACGCAATCAGTTAGTGTACGCTTCAATCAAATAGAGGCGATAGTCTTACCAGAAAGGGTTGCTCTTCATATGCTGGTAAATCTTGAACTCGGTCCGCGCGCGGAAACCCTTGTCGAAGCTAAGCGTGCTGCGGTCCTTCTGGAACAGAGTGTTGATTCTCGGCAATCCGCGGTCCCAGCTGTCTTCCAGATCCTCCAGAGTGAGTCTTCGATTCTGTTGATTGGCTTCCAGGCGCTTTTGCGAATACTCCGTCCACACTCGCTGCGAGTCAATGAACTCTGCTTCCCACGGGATGATGTAGCGGAAGATGTTGGGGATGAGCGTCTCTTCGTCGTGGCTCATGCCCGCGCGGTAGTGCGTGACACCGGTGTCAGTCTGCTTGCTCCAACGCTTGTCACTTGTCGGGATGAGGATGTGGCTGCCAGAGATCATGCCCAAGCCACCCAATTCTTTGGGAGTGTAGAACACGGCGGGTGGGAAACGAGAGGGCATCTTGGAGTTGAGGCCGATCTTGACGCGCGTCTGAATCTTGGTCTCGCATTTCACGATAGTGTCCAGGAGGTTGACGGTGCTAACGGCAGCCTCGCGGTAGTAGGTGAACAGGGCGATGAGCGTGGTATTCCACTTGTTGGCGATCTTTGTGAAGGTGGTGCTGCCACTGCTCATGAGAATCTGTCGGATGCGATTGTTGAACTTCTGGACATCCTCTTCGGTGACCTGCAAGAAGGCGTGCGCGGTGCGCTCCTTTGTGGCGCTGTCCACGAGTGCCCAGACGGAATCCTTGACGGGGAACTCGTCGTTCAAGTTCCGGCTCTTCGGCAGGATCCTCACCTCGAACCCGTTCATGCTGTAGAGGAGGTTGGGATTGTCGCGCGAGTACACGCTGGCAAACGTGTCGTCCCACTCGATCGTGGTCAGCGATCTGGGCAGTCGGTTCTTCATATCCCAAAACACTGCTCTGCCCAAGTTCACATCGTGCCTCATCAACCGCATGCGAGAGTCTCGCGGCCAGCACTTCTTGTTCTTGTAACCAATGACATTCTCAAAGTTGGGATCCGGCTGCTCGGTCAAGAAGCGTTGGATGAGATCTCGGCTCTCCTCGCTGGTGAAGCGGAGGAAAATCCAGATCTTGTCAATGTAGCGCGTATACAGGCGGATGGGGTGCTTGGTCTCTGTCGCACGATCGCGGAACTGCAAAAAGTCGTTGGGTGCGTTAGGCGGACCAGCCATCTCGGAGGCTCGTTGCAGGCCGAGGACAAGCAGATCAATAATGAGGCCATAGTACTGGAATACAAAGCCCGAGAACTGAAGGCCGCGGATCATGCCGTATGCATTGGTGTGGTTCATGTCCTTGTAGTTGAGTTGGACGTTGTTCTTGCTGGAGATGTAGTCCGCGAGGTTGTGGTCCATGATCAATCGCAGCAAGCGGTTGAGCAGCGTGATGTCGATCTTCTCGTACACCTTGTCCAGCCTCGTTTCCATCATGACGTTGCACTCGCCTTCGTCAATGCTCCACACGTTGGACAGGTTGTTGATGCCTTGAGCCCATTTGTAGGTGAGAAGTGGCGGCACTTCAGAGTCTGACGGCTTGATCCAGCCGGGGAACAACCGCCGCTGATCAGCCTGGTACCACAGGTACTGATCAAGATAGGCGTCGGTGATCTTCTCGATAGGCTCGATATCGTAGACGGGGTTGATGGAGTTATAGTTGTCGTTCATGTCGATGCCGACTTCTTTGAAGGCGCGTTGCGTGAGCAAGAACCGCTTGATTCTCGCCAAGGTGGTGCCTGGAGAATCGTAGGCCTGTTCGATGAGCGCAAGCTCCTCGCGCTGGCTTTGATTGAGGCGACCCTTGACCGAGTATGCTTCTCGAAGTCTTTCAAGCGCAAGAATCAAGATCTTGGTATCGTGCTTGTAGCTCACGCTGGGGAACGGAATCGGTTGGAATTTCCTGCTCTCCAGCCAGTGCACAGCAGTGGTGAAAATGGCCACACCCTCTTCCGTGCTCACATACGGCCCATCCTTGAGGTAGTTGTGCTGTCTTTCCTGCTCCGCCTTCAACCAAAGACGCGTCAAGCGACCAAGATTCTTCTTCGCAACAGTCTTGTCGACGGTGGCTCCTCTGCGTATACGCTCACGGTTGTAGTGCGCCACGCTGACCCACCAGTCGGCCTTGCTCTTGACGTAGCGCAGAATGATGTCTTCGATGGGCTTGGGGAGGCCAGGAACCTTCCAGGGGATGTTGGATTTCCAGCATCGCCACGCCTCACTCAGATGCTGCAGGACAGTGTTGACCTTGCTCTGCTTGATGCCCTCTGGCATCATGTCCATCAGATCAGCCATGACGGAAGCCCGGAGTTCAAGATCAAAATGACTCTCGACCCGCTGCTTCGTCACCGTCTTCGCGACACCTTTGCTGTGACGGCCCTCGAACTGGCGGGAGAGTAAATTTCCGAGCCAGCGTTCGAGTAGAGGGATGATGCCGCGAAGGAAGAAGAGCCAGACTCTCCAAGCAGGAGCCCAGAAGCCACATCCGGGGCCCTTGCCAACAGGCCCCGAGTTGAAGCGGTAGTAGATGAGATGCTTCAAATCCTTGCAAGTTCGGATTTGATGCATAAGCTTGTACTTGTACCGGTACATGCCCGTCAGTTGACCAACATGATTGAAAGCATACAAGATGCCGTCCGCAAGTTGGAAAGCATCAATGTTGCCCAGACGATACTGCACTTGAGCGTCAACGATCAACTTGGTCAGGCGAAGAATCTCGCGCATGAGATGGAAAGCGTTGCCGAATCTGCTCTTCTTCCGCTCCTTGGTGGTCAGAGTCTTGATGGGCTTGAGATTGAAGTTGTAGTCCAGATGGAGGTAGGTCAAGTTCTTGCGGTGGATGAGCAGGTTCAGCATGTTGAAGCCCTGTCTGCAGACTTGCAGACCAGCCTCAACCCAATCGATTGTCGTCTGTTGGAAGAACTTCGTGCTCTTCAGACTTCGGCAAAGATTCTGCTTGTTCTGGGCCTTGTCCGGTCGCTTGTGTAGCTCGTTGAGCACATAGCTCTTGAGAAGCTTTTGGTAAGACACTCTCACTTTCACGGGCTGTCCTGCTGGCACATGCTCGAGGTACCATTGCTTCACCAAAGGTACGTCTTGCGCTCGCACCATCTTGCCCGATCGACGGTCGAATGGGAAAGGCGCCCACCACAAAGCAATAGCGGCCGCGGTGTCATCATTGTACAGCTCCTCATCTGCGAGGAACGGCTCAACCTCATCCGGTAGCTTGAAGCCATCACCACTGGTCAAGAAGGGCTCAAACTCATCCGGAAGCTCAAAGTCATCGTCGTCCTTGGTCGTCTCTTCATTTTGACCGCGACCAAAGATCTGGTCTTCATGACTGATTGTGAGGTTCTTCGGCGCGACCGAGCGAGAAGAAATCGGGTTGATGACGGGGTCGAAGTAGAACGCCGGCAATGACGGGTCCTCAGTCTTGACGTAGACGGTTTGCGGGTAGCTGTAAACACCCAGTTTCACACTTCTCGGTAGGCTGTTGTAAAGGTATGGGAAGGCGACGCGGTACTCGGTTCGGATTGGCGCACGGAAGATGATACGGTCGATAGCGTTGAATTCACCAAAGTCCTCGTCATTCGGATCAATGTCCTTGTATAGCGGCTCGAATCGAGGACCGCCGGGGATAGCGACGTTCAATGCTTTTGCAGTGGCGAATCCAGGCAGATCAAAGAGGTGGAAGTAGTTCTTGTCCGCGATGTCTGAGAGCAGGGGATTGCTAAGTCGGTGCAGCGTTGCCATCTGCGGTAGAGAAAGGTTCCATTTCTTGTAGCTTGGGCCGTTCACATGGTCTGTGTCGGATAGTGGTCGATGATCGTATAGCCATTCATAGACTGCAGCATCCTCTTCTTCGTCCAGTTCCATCTGAATCGGCTCGAGCGGCTCGACATCTTCAATGTTCTCCGACCATGACAGAGGCGGCTCCTCGTCGTCAAAGGGCGGGAAGCGCATGCGTTTGAAGTGCCTTCTGTCGCTCTTCTCCCGCCTCATGACGACCCACATTGTTGCCCACTGTGCATGAAAGACTGGCTCGATGACTCGCGGAATCTCGTTGACGAGCGTCAAACACCCGTTCACGTGGTAAAGGACCTTGACCTCTCTTGCTGACTCCCACGGCATCGGCATGTTCTCCAGAAGCTTCAACACCGCGTGCGGCATGAACTTGAGCGCCCCAAGATAGCTTCGCTTGTCGCTGCTAAACTTCTTTTGCGACACGTCTCCGATGTCCTTGACAATCTTTCGCAGATGCTCTGGCGGCATGTCTGCTTTCTGGGTCTCGACGAAGCCTCCACGACGCTTCTCGGCGAAGCGATGCCGTTGACTTCGAAGCCATTTCTGTTTCTTCTCTTGCAATTTGGCAGCGGCTGGATCGGTCTTCGGCGCGTAACCCGGAGGTGGAGGAGGTGGGACTGAAGACCCCAGACCTGGCAGCGCGCCGGGTGGCGGAGGAGGCTGCCAACCTGGCGGTGGAGGTGGCGGTATCGATGCCATCCTGATGTCCTCAGTTGAGTGATGCCAGAACTCACGCGAGGATCAGTCGGTTATGAGGCCTATTGCATCGGCGTAGACTGTCGCGTAGCACTAAGAGGAACACGCAGAAGCGAGGGATGAAGTTTTGAGATGCGCCGTGACCTGCGCAGTGCGTGCAAACAACAGCGTGACGTTGGCGACAGCGTGCCCGCGAAAAAGTCGATGGAGGTGCACGGACCATCGATATCTTCATGACTCGCGTAAAGTTCGGAGGTGCCAAGGAATTTCGCACCGAAGCCAAAATTGTGTGTTCTCGCAAAGAACCTTCACATCTGACAACCATCAACTCCGGCACATCGCATCACACCGCAGCAATGGCCTCCAACAGACTCGTATACGTACGTTTCCGACTCTTCATGGCTATGAAGCCGAGTATTGTAGGAGAAACAGCGGATACTAATTGATGTGTGCAGCGGAGACGGCAATCTTACAACACTCGCTCCAACAAGGTCCGCATCGTCAAGACTCCCGGCGGTGAGCTCAGATACCTGCACATCAAGAAGAAGGGCACTGCGCCGAAATGCGGTGATTGCGGTACCAAACTCCCGGGTGTAAGTCTTTGCAAGCCTTGCCTCTGGGAACACCAGTGGTGGATGCAAGTCAGACGATGTGATGCTAACACCGTACCATCAGGTCCCGGCCCTTCGACCCCGCGAATATGCCTCCATTTCACGACCGAAGAAGACCGTTCAGCGGGCGTATGGTGGAAGCCGTTGCGCCAACTGCGTGAAGGATCGGGTGGTTCGCGCGTTCTTGATTGAGGAGCAAAAGATTGTCAAGAAGGTCATGAAGGAGGCGGAGAAGAAGAAGCGGTAAAGAGTGGGCGAGATGAGCATTTTGAAAAGCAATGGGTGAGGAGCGAGGTTGATATCAGACCTGCTGCCAGTGAAGCTCATCTCGAGTACGCTTGGCAGGCTGCTAGAGTAGCACCGCCGCAACCATGAAACACCATTACCATCTCTTCTGCTGCACGAACTCCCAGACAAGAGCAACCTGCAGCTGACAAGCCTCAAAGCTTTCGACGCTGTCACCCAAGCGCCAGTTCGCGACGGAGAATGACGATTCTTACTGCCCAACAGTAGACCCCTAGTCCTCTGTCTATGTGCGTACGACACTCATCACGGCGTCGTCGATGGCTCAGCAATGGGTCAGACCTGCCCCATGCGCATGAGTTAGGTGTGTGCATTCTATCGCTAGGCCTACGCGCTTGCCATGTACGGCTTCAGTGACCAATAAGGCATCATTAGATGAAGCGAGTTTTGTTGACCGACTAAAGTTCGTAGCATTCATCAGGGTCTTCTGAGAGACGTGGCAGCCAGGACTAGATACGTTGATCAAGACTGGACGGACAGAGTAGAGTGAACTGCTGGGAAAATCATCGCACGTGCCAGGGAGGCAAAACGAGCGTTTCAGACTGCACAGGCGGAATTACAGGCGTAAGCACAATGCAACCTTACAATCCCTGCTTCACACATCTGACTTCGCATCATGACACGACAACTCACCTTGTGCATGAAGATTGGTCGCGGAAACCCGTATTGTTCGGAGGGTAAACCACCAGGACAACGAACAAGCCTTGCCCAAACGTTGGCTTGACTACAAAGTGGCTGAAAGCGTGCCCTCCGATTCGCCGACGCGTCCACCACCGTTGACGCCAAACCCATCAGGGGATTTCCGGGGTGGGAAAGATCAAAATAGAACCCCTGGGGCTGTCTGATGCTGCGGAAAGGTTGAGCATTTGCGGACATTTGCTTGCCTGCCTCCCTCCTCCTCTCTTCCCAGAATCCCTCGAGCATGACACTGCCCTAACCTCGCCGAATCTTCAACATTGTCACCTCGCCCGCCCGACAATGTTGCTCCTCACCACCCTCCTCCTCTCCCTCGTCTCCCTCATCGCCGCCCAGTCGAGCAACTCGTCCGTCTTCGTGTACAATGGCGGCGATGACACCTCCTTCACCTTTGCTCTGCAAGCCGTCAAAAGCACGGGGGACCTCTACTTCCACATGTCCGGCCCCAGTGGCAACTCCTGGCTTGCGGTCGGCCTGGGCTACAAAATGGAGGGCGCCCTGATGCTCATCACCTACGCCAACTCAAACAATGACGGAGTCACAATCAGTCCTCGCTACGCGACGGGGGAGACAGAGCCGGTGTACCAATCAAATGTCACAGTGGATGCCATGTCCACGGACCCAGTCTCCGGATATCTGACTGCGAATGGTGTCTGCAGGGGCTGCGTAACGTGGTTGAACGGAGGAGGCATCGACTTGACCAGTGCTGCCCAGCCCTTCATCTTCGCCATCGGACCTCCTTTCCCTCCTCTCCAATCCGACTCAGGCTCCGCGGGCCTGACTGAGCATGCATTTGTGGGTCATTTCACAATGGACATGCCAGCTGCCACCGTGCAGTCCAATGGAAATGTGCCTCAGGGTCCTTTCACCAGCAGCCAAAGTGCGAGCACCGCAACAAACACGGAGACGACGTACAACCCTGCACCCCATATTCACGGCCTAGTCATGGGCTTTGTCTTCATCATCATCCTTCCCCTTGGCTCTCTAATTCTCCGAGTCTGGAATTCCGTACGGTACCATATCGTCGCTCAATGCATCGGTCTCGTGCTCTTCCTCATGGCCGTTGCTGGCGGCTGTGTGGCCTCGACTATGTACAACAGAAGCAAGAACTTCAACTCCGCCCACCAGATTATCGGCCTCCTAGTGATGGTCGCCTTCCTCACCCAGCTGGTGCTTGGAGTCATGCACCATCGCATCTACAAGAGGGAGCAGCGCAAGACCATGCGCGGATGGATCCATCTCTACCTTGGACCAACGATCATCCTCATCGGTCTCGTCAACGGCATCCTTGGTTTCAACCTCGCAGGTACGTTCTCTCCTCTTCAATCATGCAATCTTTCACTCTCTAACACCAAATCTTTCAGGCGAAACATTCGTCGCAATCCCTTACTGCATCCTCATCGTTATCGTCGGCGTCATCTACAGCTGCATCCGCTTCTTCAGCTGGCGCCGTAAGAGGCGGGCCGCCAAAGACCCCGGAGCGACGATGGGCCAAAGCATGCCCTACGGCAACGTACGGCCTCCAGCTTACAGAGAGGATAGCTATCGCTCTGCAGGCGAGCCCTTCTCCTCGCAAGACGTGCCGCTTGCGCCGTACGCAAGCACTCACAGCGTGGCGCAGGTGGGTATGCCTGCTCACGAGCCGCGCTCGATGTTCTGAGGGCGAGATGATGGAAGGAAATCGTACGCATCGCAATCGAGGTTGAAAGTGGCGTTTCAGCGGATGGATGGGCAGGCGTCAAAGGGATGAATGGTTGTATTGGGCCGGGCGCTATCGTCAGGAGCGCACAAAACTACATAGCATCGAATAAATGTGTGTACATGACCACCAACACCATGCTGAAGAAGACTCATCACGTCGTCCCATATCCAGCTCCACCAACACTCGGTATCTGCACCTCTCTAGCCCCCTCCGCCTCCTCCTCCAACATCTCCCTCTCAATCGTATAGCTCTTGCGCCACACGTACAACACCAGCGCAGTCCCCAGCACAAACACCACGCCCGTCAACAACACATTCACCGGCACAGGATCATTGCGAAAGACGCGATGCGTCAGCGCGTCCAGCCCCGCCTGGCTGAAATTGAAAAGCCCCGCCAAACACGTCAGCAGCCCGTAGACCTTGCCGAACGTCACGAAGCCAAACACTTTGGCCGAGTAGTCCGAGACGGCGGTGTAGTAGAGCGGGCGGTAGAGCACGAACAGCACGATGTTGGCGTACGCGGCCCACGTTTGCGGGATGCAGCCTAGGATGCCGATGAGGGTGGCGATGGCCACCATGATGGCGAGGGCGAAGGGCGTGTTGGTGTGGTCGAGCAGCAGGCCTATGAAGGGGATGGCGACGATGCCTCCGAGGGGGAGGGCGATGTCGAAGAAGTGGTTGATTGCGGTTGCTTTGGTGGGGGAGTGCAGGAGTTGGGCGTATTGGTTCCAGACTGTGGCGACGAAGTAGTTGATGCGCGTCATTTGGACGACGGCGAAGAGGGTGATGAGCACGAACCACCAGGACATGATTTGTTGCGAGGCGGATCTGCCGTGTAAGACGCCCCAGACTCCGGAACGTTTGGCTTGTTGTTCTTCTTTTGCGGTTTGCTCGTCGTCGGCATTCGATCCTAGAAGAGCGGTGATTTCGGAGACGACAGATTCGCGGTGCTCGCGCCGAGCGTTTTGGACATCTGCTCGGTATTCATCGTCTGCAATTTCGTCGTCGGAGTCGTGGGCATCGTTTGAGGGGTCCTGAGCTTGTTTCACAAGTTCGCTGACGGTTTTGTAGGAGTTGTGGGGCATGATGAAGATCTGCGAGAGTAGGATAAAGGCGGGGATGACGAGGTAGATGAGGAAGAATTTGCGGATAGTAAGTGTGCCACCACTACCTTGGTAGAGCAGGCGATAAGCGAGGAAGATGGCACTGCTGGTGTCGAAAGCGCCGGTAAGGAGGGCGAGGATGAGGCCGGAGTGTGTGGGGAAAGCGTTGCTCAATTGGAAGGAGGAGATGAAGACAAATGGACCTCCGAGAGCGATGAAGAGGTATCCGGGTATGTATGCGTCGAAGGGCAGGTCGGGAGCAAAAGCCATGGACAAAGCCCCGAGGGTGAGGAAGAAGACGCCAATAAGACTTGCTGTTCGAGGACCGAAGCGATCAAGGATGGTGCCAATGGGAAGAGCGGCAACGTTGGTACTGACGGCAGCAATGGTGAACATGAGATTGAGGCGCAGCTCTTGTTCGTAACACACCGGTACGTCGTCCTCCAGTTCCTGCTTTGAACATCGCTCCCGATACACGCCTTGTGAAATGAGGGTGGGCTTCAGAGCGGCAAAGCCAAAGACGATGCCAGCGGCAGTCAAACAAGAAATGACGGCGATGCCAACTTGCGCGATCCTCCGGCTCCTGGACACCTCGAATGCTCCGATGGGTTCCTGTTTGGCCGCCGGCGGAATCCATTGGCCTACCGGATTGACGGACAGCTTGCGGCCATCTGAGTCGTCGGCTGATGCAGTCTCCTCCAGCTGTCGCCGTCGAAGACTTTGCAGGGACGAGCGGCGCTCGTACATTGCCATGCTGGATAAGAATTGAGAAGATGTTTGAGTTATCTATGCATGATGTTGAGGTATGAAGATGTATTGCTCAGCGATAAGAACGCACGTGAAGTACGAGCTAGCACCCTTGTATTCGGACGCTGGGATATATTCAATACCACACCCCGTGCCATGATCTACGCGGTGAGGTGGCCGAGTGGTTATGGCGCTAGTTTCAGGCAATGAAAATGCTGCGCTGAACTGGATTTCTCTTCCAATTCGTCAAGAATTACTAGTGGGGAAACCTTCGTGGGTTCGAGTCCCACCGTAAGTCCTGCCCATCAATTGTTAATCAATATGAGCAATCGACTGACTGTCAACCCAGCTCATCAACATCAATGGATACCTCTTTTTTGTCTGACCTTTCCCGGGCTTAAAGGGCGATGCTTTTTTCCCTTGTTCAAGAGTACACTACGGAAGAGCGGGGATATTGAAGGTGGCATCAGCGCCAAACGAAAAGCACCCGCAGCCAATGAACTCCAGCCGCGCTTCTGCGATCCCGCAACTCGAAACAACCTCACTTCATCTCAAACCTCCCCCGTTTGTCCTCCTTCCCATCCACCTTACGCGCCGGCAGAGTGGTTGGCTGAACGAGTCGCAGCACGCGCGACATCTACCTCTTCGCCATAGAAGATCTGGTTTCTTCCAGGCGATGCGTTTTCGTTTGCCTCTTCTACCGCGACTCCAGACGTGTGGAACAGCATGCGCGAATTCGAGAGGAAGCAAACACGTCCGATCGCGAAAACAGATCATCTGCGAAAAGCACTTGGTTCGCTCAACGAGTAATCCGTTTTGTCCGCGATGTGTTTCGTCACGAACGGCCGTCCACGCTTGACCTTAGCAGCCCAGCTATGCCGTTGGCGCGCGACAACGCCGGCAAGATGTCACACGTGAGTTGCAATCTCTATTCCATACATAGCCGTGTTCATCCGTTTGCATTCGCATGCCGTCGGCCCGCAGACCTGCATCATTTCTTGGCCCGAGATTCCATTCACAGAAGTTCACCTCCAACTTCACTCCAGCCATGCTGCATTCTGTTTGAGCGGAACGCTATTGTCGCCGTCTTATTGTCTTTTCGCGCCGGTCGCTCTATTACCCTTTTCTCTTTTACACCCTTCTGCACCACACCACTTCCAAATTCACGCATTCCAGAAATCGGCAGGCCGACACGACATCCTCAACTCACGACATCCGGCGGCTCGTTTGACCCATCTTTTCGCTGAAGCTGGTCTTCAACGTCTCACGACTACCTCATTCATCACCGCAATGACTCTCTTGAAGACACTCGCCCCCTGGGCGCTTCTCGCCACCTTGCCCTCTCTATCCTGGGCACACACATGGTCGGAAGAGCTCCAAGTCATCGGCCCCAACGGCTCATACATTGGCGACCGTGGCTTCTGCCGCGGCTACATCGCCCGCACCGATCCTACGTTCGACGGAGATGCCAACATTCTCTGGCTGCTGCCCGCACTGGATGCACGCATGCCCGATGATACGGTCCGACTACGCATCAACTCATCCGACTACCTATGCCATCCCAGCCAACGCACAAGCAACTACACCAACCCACAATACCCCAAGCTCAAGGTGTCGCCTGGTGGATATGTCGCGATGAAATATCTGGAAAACGGACATGTGACGCTGCCGTGGAACCAGCCGGGCAAGCCGTTGCAGGGAGGCACCGCCTTCGTCTACGGAACCACACAGCCTTCGACAACCGAGAAGATCGCAAATGTCTTGCAGTGGAACGCCAACGGTACTGGTGGAGATGGTCGCGGTTGGCTCATGACGGCACAGACATTCGATGACGGGCGATGTCATCAGATCAACGATTGCGTCAACTCCGCCATTCGTCAAGTTCTCTACCCCAACAGAATCCCCAACCAGCCTACCGCGCCGCCGCAAAACCAGTGGTGTGAGACGGATTTGAAGATCCCTGATCACCAGCCCTACGGCGACCTGACCCTCTACTGGATATGGCAGTGGCCAACTGCACCAGACGTGGCATGCACCTACCCTACCGGCAAAGACGAGTACTACACATCCTGCATCGACGTCGAGATTGTCGACGGTGGCAGGGGAGACATCAACATCATCACCGAAATCGCAACCAACACCCTCCTCCAAGAAGACTTTCAAACAAGAGCAGTGGCGACATACAAGCGACGGACAGCGCTCACCGCTTTTCCTTCCTACATTCTCGATAATTGGAGCGGAATCATCGGCAGTACTGCCCCAGTCAACAATCTCTTCACCAGTTCGTGCGTGGCTGTCTTGAGCGAAATCGCGGCGGATGCAGGTCAACTACCTCCAAGCTGTCCTGTTGGGCTGTACGCTACTGGGGACCTCTTCACCTCAGTTTCTTCGTCCGTCATGCAAGGGCCTAGAACACAAATCGCCCTCATCACCGCCGCTGCCTCTACGGGCGGCTTCGTACAAGAGATCTTGAACCCGGCTGCCACTACTCAAGGTGGATTTGGTGGCGGTTTTGCAGTGCGGACTGGGAGTTCATCGTCGCCGGTCGGCAGTGCGACTCCCTCCCCTACGGCCAGCAGTGCACCGGCATCTGGAGGCGTGGCTACGGCCATCTCAACTGTCTTCGAAACCACGACAATGACCACCATCGTCACTGTCGCGCCTGATTTCAGCACCGCCTCTAATGCTCCCGAGAATGTTGTTGTGGGAGCTAACGGTATTGCGAGTGAGCATTTGGCTCGACATCGGCGGCACGCGAGAGGCTTTCGATGAGCTGAGTGCATCTGGTCGATAGGATTTCGAAGATGAGGGGTTGCTTTTATAGCGAGCGGGTTAAGACGTTAGCGAAGGTAGCACATTCCCTGTATCTTGTTCACATTCAATTGCGCGAATTAGTATGACTTGTCACAGTACATGGAAGGCTCTAGAACCTGAGGCAGAAACGCGGCAGCCAGCGACTGCTGACTAAGATTTGCAACCGCTGATCTCTTAACTTTTCCTCGAAGCTTCCACCTCTTCACTTTCACATCACACACTTCTCACGAAGCGACATCACCACCACCGCCACCATGGCTAACTACCTCGCCTCCATCTTCGGCACCGAGCAAGACAAAGTCAACTGCTCCTTCTACTACAAAATCGGCGCCTGCCGCCACGGCGACCGCTGCTCGCGCAAACACGTCAAACCCTCCTACTCCCAGACCATCCTCATGCCCAACCTCTACCAGAACCCAGCGTACGACAACAAATCGCGCCTCACGCCGCCGCAGCTGCAGAACCACTTCGACGCCTTCTACGAAGACCTGTGGTGCGAGATGTGCAAGTACGGCGAGCTGGAGGAGGTGGTGGTGTGCGACAACAACAACGACCACCTGATCGGGAACGTGTACGCGCGGTTCAAGTACGAAGATTCGGCGCAGGCGGCGTGCGATGCGCTCAACAGTCGGTGGTACGCGGCGCGCCCGATCTACGCCGAGCTCAGCCCTGTGACGGATTTCCGCGAGGCGTGTTGCAGATTGAACAGCGGGGAGGGGTGTCAGAGGGGCGGGTTCTGCAATTTCATTCATCGCAAGGAGCCGAGTCCTGAGCTGGATCGGGAGCTGGAGCTGAGTACCAAGAAGTGGCTGCGCGAAAGGGGCAAGGATGCGAGGAGTAGGAGTCCGAGCAAGAGCCCCGAACCGCTGCGGCCGAGGTACTGAGCGCGAACAAGGAGAGATGATGACATGATGAACACACTCACTGGTGGAGATCCGTGCTACGGATTCGGGCCCAATCGGACCTACTTCTGCTGGTTGGTGAAGGGAAGGGCCATCAGTACCTATCCACCCGATGCAGTCCGTCAAAGATACAGGAACACTGCATTGACCAAGCTGTGCACCGATTTACAGCAACGTCGACCCTGACACGGCTCAACCAGATCTGCAATGGAAGTATCAGGACCGAGCACGACTGCGTTGCTGCGCAGACAGCACGACTAGCCTCCCGATCGAACGGAAGTAGGACAGTGTGGATAGCAAGCGTGACAATTGAATGCACCCCAATCATATGTCCCTTTTCGTCTAATTCATGGTCTCATAGTACGATGCTCGAACGCTCCACAGCGAGACAATATCGTCTGCTCTTCATCCCCCCAGCCCATCTCCTCTTTCCTCCTCTTCATGCTACCGCACCGCCCTCCTACTATCACTGCTCCCATCACTCCCACCATGTACCCTCAACACCCCACTATCCACAGCCCAAATCACAACCCCGACCCCCGTCCCAACAATAAGCGTAAACGCCAGCCAAAACGCACAACACATCCACGTATGCCGGGATTGTTTTCGCTCTTGTCGTGCGAGCCAGGAATCGCTAGAAAGCCTCAGATCAGCGTCCGTTGACAAATGGCTTGGATTGTGTGTATGCACGTGCGTACTAGGATAGACTCACCTGTGTTTTAAGTCTGGCTGCGCATTCATTTCTTCGTCTTGGTGCACGGCGAGCGAGAAGCGCTTCCAGAAGGCTGGGTCGCGGACGACGGCCATTGTGATTGTGTTCGTTCAGAGGAGGATAGACTGTGGGTTTCGGTGTGGTCGAAAAGATGGAGGATGATTGAAGCTCGCCGAGTGTTCGAAAGGAGCAAAGTCGATTGAGCGTGAGATGCGGTCAATAGACCGATGGTGGCGGGCGGGAGTGACGTTGGTGTGGAATGGAGGCTTGCAATCAGGAACTTCCGACGTCCACTCGCTCGGTATTTGGAAGATTGAGAAGTGTGGCTAGAATCTGCGGGACCGAATGACTGGGATGCACATTCTCGTCAATAACAAGCAGAGTTGGAGAAAGGAGTGGGAGACAAGAGACCTCTTGTTCGACGGAGGAAGCAGAGAAGTGCAAACAAAAGACGAAGCTCTGCCTGCCCCTGCGTATGCTGCGCACGCGAGTTAATGACGGTGCAGGTGCCCACTGTTACCCGTTTGGATGAACTGGGGACTGATTGGCAAGGCTTTGATTTGGCGGCAAATTTGAGTTTGATAGACGCGAGGCTTGTGCGCGGCTGCGCTCCGATAGGCAGGCGGGCGAAATGCGTCAAATGTACGGGCATGCTTAACGTCTCTAGCGCGGTAACTTCGCGGCCCTTCGTTCGAGTAAATGGATGTGCTTATAGAATTGTCGTTATCAATCACGCTTCTCCCCCACTTTACCCACCTTCCTCAGCCCAAAAGCGCCAATGAAGCAAGCCGCAAGCATCCATGCGAATAACGTCCAGAACGTCGCTCGGTACCCCGCCAGTAACGTTTCGTCGGACGGCTTGATGTCGTGGTCCGATCCCCGCGTTACTGCAACAGAGACCACCTGCGTGATGCACAGTCCAACCGAGGTACCGAGCTGAGACAGGGCGTTGAAGACTGCGCCGGCTAAAGCCTGAGTTCTCGCCGGGAAGACATCGGAGATGATGAGGATGCCGACGGTGAAGATGACATCTGCGGCAATTGGGCCGAGGAGCTGGTGTGTGGTTAGTAGTGGGGATGTATGTGTTAAAAGGGGTGAAGACGGACCTGCGCAAAGAATGCATCGTACCAGTAGGGCCAAGCGGGATTGATGATGGCCATCAAGAGTGGGGAGATGGCACACAGCGCGCAGCTGGTGAATACGGCGTACACCACCGGCATTTTATTGACGAAGACGCCGGTGGACAAGTTGGTGACGATGCCGAGCACGACGTTGGGGAGGATCCGGATCGACGCTTGCAGTGCGGAGAGGTTTTGGACTTCTTGGAAGCTGATGTGAATGTGAGTAGTTGCAAACTGTAGTTGATGGACTCGGGGAGACGTACAATAGACTGGCGAATAGTTCGCCGGCGTCGGCGACAGCATTGGATAGCAGAACGACTATACAGATACAGGTGAATGTCAGGCTTTTCCACAGCGAGTTGGGTATCAGCGCTGGCTTCCCGAGTCTTTCTTGTCGTTTCATCCAATAAACGAAGGCGGGCATGAGTGCGATGCTCAGCGTAAGCACGATAACGTTTGAGGCCTTCTTAATGTTGTCGGTGCTGGCTGAAAGCGTTCTGTTGTTTGTTAGCACGATGAAGGCTCTGCGAAGCGCCTACAAATACTTACGCAAGGACGTAGGAAAGAAGTGCGATGGATGCACTGGCAATGGTAGCTCCAACCCAGTCCACTTCACGGGCGAGTCGCTTCCACAACGACAATTCCGGTCGATTACTTGCATCTTCTGTCGGCAGAGCCCAAATACCCACGGCGAACAAGAGGAACGTCACCGCTCCGCCAACATAAAAACCTACTCGCCATCCAGGGCCAGTGACGAAGACTCCGCCGAGAACCACTCCGAAAGAGTATCCTAGTGGCATCGCAAGACCCAACGTGGCAAAGGCGACATTTCGCCGCTTCCCGCTCTCAATGGATCCAGATATTATAGAGAGTGCAGACGGCAGAGCAAGCGCAGCGGCAATGCCTTGCATGGCGCGGAACATGATCAGCTGGAGACCAGTCCGCGCAAACCCGGCAATCAAGATGAAGGAAGCGATGAAGAAGCAGCCAACCAGATTTACCACTCGCGTTCCGAGGATGTCTGCCACGGCTCCGGCAGGCAAGAGACACGAGGCGGTCGTCAGGGCGTAGGCGGACATGGGCCAGAGCATAAGGCTGCGCTGCAAGTCGAGAGAGGCTGAGATGGCGGGCAGCGCGACAACGATCAAGCCTCCACTGAAGCTGGTGACGAAGTTAATTCCTGCTAGTTGTATTATGACCAGCGTCGATCGGCCTTTGGGCAGGAGTTGAGAGGTTGGCGCATCGCTGTGAAGCATGAGTGATGGGCCTGCCTGGCCAGATGTAGCTGCCACGGAGGTTTGGAGAAGACTCGCGGGGGACGTGGAGGTCCGGCTTGGATCCATCGTCCCTGGGGAAGACGTCCAGCTCCACGTCCGATACTGTCTGCGTCTGCGAAGTCATATTGTTATGTTGACTTCACAATGTAGGACATGTCGCAGCGAGGGTACACCGGCAGAGGTCGGAGTCATCAAGGGCACTGCATCTTGGCAAACTTCCCCAGATTCTCAGCCTTCCGCGCTCGACGCTCATCAAACATCGAATTGCAATCATGTGATTTGAATACTCGTTTACGAGACTATGATTGATCATCTTCCTTCTGCCGTTCAATGACTTCACCCTTGAAATTTTTCCATGGCTCGCTTCTTCTTGCCCGGAGCTTCTGTAATCCACGGACTTGTATAACAATTCTCCCAGAAATACGTAATGATCCTGTTTGGTGCCAGGCACAATTGAGCATTCGCGTATACTTGCATTGGGCGAGACGATGACATCGAATTCAATGCTTCGAAGCGCGGACGTTTAGCCTGCTGCAACGCAGGAACGACCCCGCGAGCTAACATGAGCGATCAGCCAGCACTAGTGCTAATGCCGTGTTGCACCCCTGTCCACTGCCTCCGACGAAAGTGCACGCGCTTTGCGGCTCGAATCGGATTCGGCCAAGAGGTGAGGTAGCGCGTTGCTAGTCGCAGCAATATGAAGCTGTCGGTCTGTAACGTCATTCGGCAGCGCACCACGCCATCCGTCGGTTACTAGTGGGTGCCTTGCAGCCTGACTGCCGGGAACCCGGGTTTCCAAGATTGCCACGTCGAAGGTGATCAATCGGACCAACAGAAGAAGCTAGGCACTGCAAGATTGTTCCTCAAGGAAGCCAGATTAAGCCCAGGTTGATTGTGAAATAAGTCGCTCATGGTTCCAGCGGTCATGGATGTATCGTCGGAGCTCCATCACTGCACCTCGATGCTCGTCCGGATAAATCGAAGAAGGGTGGTTTCGTAGAATAGGTTGCGGGTTTGCCTCGCTCAGCCGACATGCGACGTCGATCTCGGTGCTCCCACCCGGTAAAGAGTCCGTTGACTAGCGGGATGTGGGCGTCTTCATGGTTCGGGAGATGGCAGGCGTATGGCTGGCGAGGCTGATGGCGAGCTCGTGGGCGAGCTGTCGCTTTCGGCAGCCTCGATCTCGGCCCTCTGCTCGGCGAGATCTGCGCGGTATTCGTTGAAGACGGTGATGAAATGAAGAGCGGCATTCGAGGTGCCTAGGATGCTGCAAAGATAGTCGTTTGCTTCAGCATCGGGCAGTGAATTTGCTTGCGCAATGACAGCCTTGTATTGGAGATTATCGAGTGGCAAATCGCATGCACGCAGGGCGTGTTGCAGCGACCACAGACGGTAGGACATTTTGTTGTCTCGTTTCCACGAAAGTGTGTTCTGAAAGGGGATGATGGAGAGAAAGCAAAGCGATGCCTGACTTACCGTGTCAATCAATTAATATACCTTACGCGATTCTGCAAATGGCGCTCGCAAATTTTTTGCAAAGTCCCGAAGGGTCATGAGATCAAGTCACGCTCACACGAAAGTCCGTCGGCGCACTCCGCCACACCGCGTTTCCCGTGCATCGCGTTCCGTGCGTGGCAACCGGCGCGTTCATCACGTGCACTTTTCAACCAGTAAGTTTTGCAAGAGGGTGTGGAGGAGCAATCATTCCCCGGACACGCCCAGCGAGCGCGCCTTCCGCTCGTCGACGGCCTAGCAGATCTCATGAACGTTGAATGCGTAATATACTGAACCCAGAACCAAGTCCGGGGCTCGTAGAGGCTTGTTGCAAAGGAGATGGTAGATACGATCCGCAGTTCAAGACTCGCGTACGACTTTTCTATTTATTGGACATCCTTTGCCTTTTATATGCGCTTTCAAGCCGCTCCACCATTTTGTCGTCCACCCGCAATTCGGACATTTGAAGAGCTTCACTTCCCCAATGCTGTGCATATTCGCCAAGTGAACCTTCAAATTACCTGGGGAAGTGGCGATGTAATCGCACTCTCCACAAGGGTATCGGCCCTTGTGCTTATACTGTTTATGCGCAAGCAAACGTTTCTGGCTCTTGCCCCACCACTCGCACATCGGGCACGAGTACATCGGCGGTTGCCCCGGGTGCATTTCGTCTATGTGCGCTTGGAGTTCGGACCGTCGCAGTGCGCGATGACCGCAGTGCGGGCAGAAATGTGAAGTTGAGCTTCCGCTGTCGTGCAGAGCAAAGGTGTTGCGGAGGGCACAGGAGGTCAGAACATTCGCGAGGCCATTGCGAAGCTTGGCTTGAACAGGAAGCTCTTTGCGGCGCGCTTCTATCGAGAAGTCCAATTTGAGGCAGTTGATAGACTGGCAAATAAACAGAAACTGCTCGTGGTGTGTGCGGAGGTCCAGCTGTGATAGTGCGGAGTTGCCGCTGTCGACATCTATCGCCCTCGGACTTGGTGGCTTGATCGGATCTGCACCACCTTCAAGCACGGTCCGCAAACCGTCGACGCTGTAATGGCCCCATTTCACTCCAGCTCCCGAGCCGTCCTCGAACATTCCAGAGGGGGTGACGGCCTCCGACAAGGCAATGCTCAAGTCGAAACACAGCCACGGCCAATCAACACGCAGACTGGCCCAGGTATCGTTTTCCGTGGTGGTGCCGTCGTGGCCGTTTGCAACGAGTCGCACATTCAGCATACGCTCCTCTGCGGCGCCTTTTGCATTCGCTGTATCCAACAGGCTCCGAATCTTGGCATCGGCTGGTGCAGTGCCGCTGAACACACCGTTCCTGCTCGACTGGTTTTCATGGTAGTATGACGCCCAGTCAGTGCCGCTGCTGTCATCCAGGACCCAATCGCCTTCCGCATCTCGATTGAGCTCACCTGGGAGATCATAGTCGTGGAATGAGTTCCAGTACGCTTTCATGAGCTCTCGGCAGCGCTCCACTCGGGCGTGGGTAGAGTCGATGTGTCGGATTGATGGACTGCTCCGCACGATCGCAATCGCAAGGTCCCACGACACTTCCACATCTTCTGTCTCGCCGTCATCGAACGACCCAGCGGATGGATGCCAACCCAACAGGCGGGCCCTGGTGGCGTTGTCGACGCTCCTCCCGGGACCTTCGAGGATCTTCCAGGTCTCATCATCTTGCCGTTCGAACATGAAGTATGTCTCTTGCAAGAGAGCTTGCAAGAGCGCGGTCAGATTCTCTTCGTCGTCGATGTATTCGTCGTCGTCGTCGACCTCGAACATGATTGCTGTAACGAGCACATCCAGGGGCAGGGCGCCATACTTGACCAGCGCATCGCACAGATGCAGACGGTAGTCGGGACACTCGATGCGAGTTTTTGTGGAGATTGCGTACTGGAGTACCGATGTCGCCCGGTGGATACCATTCGACTTTGTGAGTTGTTCGGACTTGTCATCGCCGGGCTTCGACTCATTGCCCGACTTGCCGCCCTTGCCTTTGCCATTTCGGCGGCGCTTTCCACCGGACTTATCATCTCCTCGGCCCTTGCCATTTCCTCGCGACGGCCCACCATTACTTCCACCATTCTGGCCGACACCGGGCATCGGCTTCGACATGAACAATTGAAAGAGCTTGCTCAAGAAATCGAATCTGAGCTGGCGCCCAAATGCCAGAGTCTGCGCCACGCCATTATGCACCTCCGGCGCCCTGTCGTTGAGCACCGCGATGCAATTGCTCGCCGTGATGGGACCGCAGTCCGAGCCATTGCGCTGAATTGTCGAGGTGCCGCGCACAACGCTCCAGCTGGTCTGCCTCCAGGTCAAGTCTGACCGACGGTTGACCAGCGCGGCGAACCACGGCATGACCAGTGTGACATGCTTTGCCACATTCTTGCCGCCCAGCGAGTCGTACAGGATGATCTTTCCCTGTCGAGTGACCAAGTCCGGCTCCAGCTTGATGGTGACCCAATGCCCGCCGGTATTGTACGCAAAGACCATGAATTTGGCGTCCGCCGGCATGTCGTCGGCGGGAAAGTCGTAGGCGAGATCTCCAATCATCAGCTGCTGATTGTTCGCTTCCAGTCCGTTAATGGCGCCTTTGATCCGCTGAACTTGAGTCTTGGGATCGAAATCTGCTGACAGCCAAGTGTACAGTGCCACTGGATCGGCAACGTACGCACTACCCGGTGTGCCTTGCGGCGGTGCGTCCAGCATGATCATGTTGGTGAGGACGTTCTCGCTGTACCACGCCTCCATCGACTCATCCTCGCTATCGAGGCGAGGTTCGATGCTCAGCCACTCGCGCAGACTCAGCCCGTGATGACCCTCAATCCCGAGCGTCAGTGCAAGAGGATCTGAAAGATTGGCGTCGTGGATGACAGCGTCAGACTCGAGATCTTTGACCACGAAGTGGTCGATCAACTCGAGGAGTGCAGGCGCGAAGCGATCACCGGTGGGCACGCGATTTTCGATGCGGACTCGCCTCGTGGCCAACTCCATCTTGCTGAACATCGCCTCTTGCAGTCTCTTGGCGTGAAGGGCCTTGTCGGGCGTGGGGATGTACGACTGACTGGCTGGATCCCACTCCAACAAATCATCCTTGCCCGGGGCAGATCTGTCGCCCTTGCCTTTACCAGGTGGAGGTAGGCCACCGAGCGATGCCTTTTCGTCCGCGTTGCCCGGCGGAACGAAGAGCCCAGTTCCAGGATCCTCGTCGTCGTCCACTGGACGTTCCCAGCCATCATCGCCCGACGGTACACCTTCGCCGGCGTGACCTGTGGGGGTCCCGCTCTGCTCGAGGCCTGTGCATACCTTCTTGCCATCGGCCGACGAGTCCGCGGCTGTGTCTGACGGACGTTTCCTCGACTCTTCTTGGAGCACCCGCGGGACGTCGCTGGCTTGCGACCACGGAGTCGCGAGCCCGGCCAGACGAGCGTTCATCATAGCCTCAACTCGGCCCTGTCTGGCCTTTTGGGCGGGATCGTTCATCCGCGCCTGTCGAGCGGCCATGTTGCGGCCTCGCTCGTCGGCGGTCATCGACGGTCGATCCATCTGGGAGGGAGAGAAGTGGTGGAACTCTCTAAAGAGAGCCACAATACCAACGAGTGGTATGTAAAGAGGGAGAGCAGTGGTGGAACCGTCGGAAGACAGCCACAGAGTAAACGATAGCAACACCGAGTGAACGGGTACTACCGAGTGAGAGAAGCTGACGCTACGAAACGCAGGGTGGGCAACTCTGCGGAGGGAAGAGAGAGGGAGTGGGGTGAAGAGATGTCGTTAGACTTAGGTTGGGTGGGTCTCACCCGAGTCTAGCAGCAGGGGGAAGGCACGACCACGCTCTGCACCTCACGTCCTCCTCCTCTCCGTCTAATTTTCCCCCTGTCTGACTGCTCTCCCGTATAATTCATTGCGAGAAGCCGGGAGAGATCTCGTTCGCGCTACAATCTGCCTATCACTCGGTCCCAAAACTTGTCCGTCAGCCTTGCGCTTCGAGGTTTTTCCTTCAGCCTTGCCATTGGCTTCTCGACTTCTCCGCCATCACTATTCATTCGACGAGGATGGAGGAAGCCATTTGCAACGATACGAAGTGATCAACTACCGGCTGTGTGCTTAAACTTGTGGGAGACCTAGTTTCGTAGTCTTTGCAGAGACAGACTCCTACTCAATACACAGAATACATGGCTATATCACACGTCGCGAAAGGACAGATCCTACTTTCTTTGCATTCTTTGTAGATATCGAGAATGCTTGGTATCAATAGAAGATGATATAACTAGCGTCAAAACCCTCTTCAAGTACAGTGACTTCAATTCCGATACAGATAGATAGGATTGTCGTACGTGAGGAGTAGGCGGAGTCAGCTGGTCGATAGATGCATTTGCAGTGCCAAGGCAAGTTAGATGGCAATTTACATCAAAAGGCATGGCTCCAGCGTAGTGCGCGCGCTGGAGAGACGCGTAAATCACAGTAGAAAGCGCCACTGATTGAGTCACTCGTACGCCACCATCCCGAGGCTCGCCTGCATCCTCATAACCCTGCCGGTGAGATATTAATCGAGACGAAGTGTCGTCCTTCTGGTGGGTCGGTCGGAGTTGGAAAGCCGGTGCGGCATTCAAGAGATTTGTATTGTCCCAAATTTGATTCGGCCGGAGGATGCTCCGCTTCCCCCAACGCCGACTTCACTTCCTTTCCGCGATAAACAACCCCGCGAGAAGGTGGGCGGAACTGATGCCAGTGCCCGCATACTTGCGGTGAATGCTGCAGAAATGAGAACAGCCTTCTGGTCGGAAGGTGTTGTGGCGCACGCGGGCTAATTCGGTGGAGCGGTGGTGGTGCAGATGGGTTCTCCTCGATGCGAGAAGAGACTTCCTGAGCCTCATCGACTGACCGTGTGACCGGCAGGTATCTTGTGATGGGTAGAAAGCCTTTGTGGTGGAAGTCGGATGCGGGTCTGCGCACTGCCATTCCGTTGGCTTCCCCGTCGACGGATGGCTTGCTGCCTTGTAAAACAAGCATGCATCCGCTCCCCATCGGTCGACAAACGGCTAAGCAGAGGCGTTCAGGTTAGTTCCATGCAATCTTTGGTTCGTGTACGTCGCCCATCTGGTTCTTCTCATCCCCATTTCTCGACCCCTTAAAATCGTCCATCATCTCCTAGATGCCTTTAACGACATGGGCGGCGATGAGATGTTCCATTCAAATCTCCCATCTCTTCTTGACCAGGTCTATTGGCCAACAACGCTGTCACTGTCACGATCATGTGATTGCTTGGCGTGGTCAAAGCTTCGCGCACAACTCTACCAACTCCTGAGCTTTCTCCTTTCCTCTCTTTCTCTTCACGCAACCCTTCGCCGCCGTTCCCCCCTCCCCCCGCCCCTCCCCCCGCCTGCACTAGAGATGGCCCGTGACGCAATTGAGGGCGAGATGCGCATGGACGACGAGGGTGAGCTCGCTCCTGTTGTGCAAGATGACGAGAAAGTCCTTCGCAGGAAGGATATTCCGGAGAACTGGTTGTTCGAGGAGCCCGGTTACTTTCACAGTGAGATGAAATGGAGTACTTTACTACACGAGCGCTATGACGGCGCCGACGCACCTTCGACCTCTTTCAAGCACCCGTCAAAGAACCACAGGCTCGACACGCGCAACTGGTGCATTGTCCACATCAAGGACTTTGGCGGCGACGGATACACCATCGGCACACTGAAGAAGGAGGAAGGCAAACTTGAGCCCTTTGTCAAAGTCAGCTGGACCGTATGCACGCAGCGACCGGCACTCAAGTTACACATCAACACTACGCGCCACGGTGAGGTGACCTGTACCATCTTTGCCAACAGCATCAGCCGTAAGAAGGAGAACGAGTGCAAGCTGCGGCTTGCTGGCGCCGGTGGCCAGCTCACGCTCCCGGACTACCCTGCACTGAAGGCGGAAGATTACCGCGACCTCGTGGAGATCGACCTCCAGCTTTTCGAGTGGAACGCGAATTTACCTGAAGGCACCGATGGCGCTCGCCCGACGAGACCGATCTTTGAGGGCGTCGACGACGACAGCATCCAGCAATACGTCGACGCCATGGATGGCATTGGCGATGATGCCGATGCGCAGCTTTCCGCCATGGGTCCCGGCGAGTATCTTCTCGGCCTCCTGTATGGTACGAACGACATCTCCATCTATCGCACCTGGCCTCAAGAAGGCTACGAGGTCTTCAAGTCATTCCGCCAATGGATCACCACGTCCTTTGACATGTGCGCACGCAACGGCAACGAATGGTTCTACCACCTCCAGCAGTCGCCCGATGAGCCCTCCATCTACTCCACCGACTGCGCGCTGCGCGAGTTGCAGATGCCTCGCTGGATGGCCAAATCCTTCAAGGCGCCGGTCAATGAGAAAGGTGCGCTCCTCGGTGCGCCGGTCCCGGTGAAGTGCAACCACTTCCCCTTCTCCGAAGGCGACCAGGTCTTCCCGACTGTCGAGGACGCCGCTTTCGAGCTGCGCCTGGCAATTGAGCGCGACCGTGCCTTCCAGTCGCACATTCTTAACTCCAGCTTCCGGCAGCGAAATTTCCAGATTCGCGGCGAATTCCTCGCGCATCCTCGCATCCCCGGTTGTTACGTCGTCGAGCTGCGCACGTCGGACAACAATCTGCTGGCCTCGGACAAGACGCTGCGCCCTCAAATCGACACGCGAATCTCGCTCGAAGCCGCCGAGCCGATAGTCGACGAGTTGGGTGAGATCAGCATGCTTCCCGACCCGATAACACAGACCAAGCGATTTGAAGGTGTCATCTGCGACGATCTTTGGAACAGCGGGGCTGAGGTCGTCTGCGTTGTCACCGGCCCTGTGGTGGATCTCCAGCACACCACCGGGCGTATGCTCAATGCCACGCTGCGTGATGATCCCACTCCAGCAAATCGTCATCTGGCGACCATCGAAGAGATCGCTGCCGGCTTCAAGAGACAGTCCGCTCCTTCTCCTCGCAGCGGTGTCGACATCCCGGCCATCGTCCTTCGCGCCCCGCCAGCTGTCAAAAATACCGGAAGTCTGAAAGACGCCGTCACGCCCGAGCTTGAGGATGTCTATTCCACTGCTATCCACCCATATGGACTCAACGACAAGCAGAAAGACGCCGCCTACTCAGCATGTAGCTCCAAATCCGGCCTCGTCCTGATCCAAGGACCTCCGGGATGTGGCAAGACTCGCTGCGCCATGGCCTGTGCAGAGGGTGAGATTCGCATTGGCGAAGAGCTCAAGAAGATCAACAACAACGATGGATGCAAGCGTCAAGTCGTCGCCTGCGCCCCATCCAATATCGCCACGGACGCCATGTTGGACAAGTTCCTCGCCAGTTACGATCGAAGCCGCCCGCTCGAGATTGTTCGCTACAAGGGCTCATTCCTTCACGAGAAGCGTGCACGAGCCGCGCCGCCGCCGCCCCCTCCCGCCGCTCCTGCACCGAGCAAGCCCGCCGCCGCCGATCCGGAGATGCTCCCGGATGCTGGCGATGAAGACGACGACGATCTCATGGGCCTCGAAGAGCTGAACGAGACCGTCGCAGAGCGGGAGGAGCAAGAGATGCAAGCAGCTCTGTGGGAATTGGCCGAAGAGGTTAGCCCAACGAGGGAAGATGCGCATCAAGAGTACGCCTTTCACACCAAGAGACTGGCCGCAATCAAATCTTGGGCTGCGACGAAGAGTCACTCGCAGAACTATCACGCCAAAGACTATCTTCAGGTTCGAGAGAAGCTCCGCAACGGCGCGCAGCTCGACAAGAAGCGGAAGAGAAGGCTCAAGGAACACCTCGACTACGTGGAATGGCAGCTCTCGGAGTACTACTTGCAGCATGTCGTCGACATTGTCTTCTGCACGAACAGCGCTGCGGCCCACGGCATGCTGCGTCTGCTCTACCGGCCCAAAATGCTCATCTCCGACGAGGCCGCCGTCACCACCCTACCGGATGCTGCCACGCCCATGGGAGCGTTCATGCTCTCACTCCAGCTGATCGTCATGGCCGGAGACATGCAGCAGCAGCAGCCGGTCGTCGCATCCAAGGGCTCGAATGAGTTCTACGCCGTCCTCTCGTCGTCGCTCTTCAGCATGATCTACAATTCGAAGAAGATGGCTAGCTCCGTGATCAGCTTGGAGGTGCAGCATCGCATGCACCCTGACCTCGCCGAGCCAGTGTCGCGGATCTTCTATCGTGGCAGCCTGAAGAACCACCAGTCTGTCATTGATCGCGTCAGTCCGAAGTGGGAGACGCTGTCGACAGTGCTAGCTCCGCTACAGCCGGCATACAACGGCCGTCGACGCCTCTGCATCGACGTTAGCGGCCAAGCAATCGCCTCCGAGGCCTACAACAATACGACCTCGCACTTCAACGCGGCCGAGGCCCAGATCATTGCGGACTTCATCGGCAAGGCTTGTCGTGCGATGCCTCCTATCAATGGCGCGCAGATCGAGCCGTCGGACTTCCTGGTGCTTACTCCGTACACTGGGCAAGCGCAGGTCGTCCGTAACATTCTGGTCAAGCGCGGTATCAGTCGTGCCGGCAACAAGGTCCGTGTCGCCAGCACCCGCGCCATCCAAGGTGAAGAGGCGCGTTTTGTCATCATTAGCTTCACCCGGAACGTCAAGGACAAGCCGTTGCAGCTCGGCCTTGCGTCGGAGGGCCATGGACTCTGTGTGGCCACGTCGCGTCCGCAAGAGTTCTTGATGATGCTCGGCAATTGGCGCGCGTGGGCCCAGGCACATCACGAAGGCGCTGGGGTTTTGACGAACACAGGTGCCAGCACTAGAACACGCCACTTTGGTCAGCTCATTGCCGACTGCCGGGCCAAGAGCGATATCGTCTCGGCCGGTGACTACCTTAAGTTCAGCACCGGGGTGACGATCAAGAAGGCCGAATTCCCGTCTTTGATTACGGATCCGCCTACTGGAATGGACCGGCGCGGCGGAAGAGGAGGATCTCGTGGTGGATTTGCTGGTCGTGACCGCGGTGATGCGATCGATGTCGACTACACGGCTGGCGGAGGTCCTGCGATGAATCGCTACGACATCTACGACCAGCAGCAGCAGCAGCAGCAGCGTGGGACTAATCGCGGCCGCTACCGAGGTGGACGTCCTCGCGGCAATGCTCCTCGTGGTGCTGCTCGTAGTGGATGAAATGCGTTAGATACCTAGATAGCACGCGTACCTTCATTACACACACTACTTCCTCGAGCCTCGGACACTTCTGTAGCTCGAAACCGGCTATCCGGCCAGAACTTATATGTAAGTTTCAAATTTGACATTCTAAATAAGTCCATAATTTAAAGGTTAGAAATTTAGTTAATATAAGAGTATTAGTAAATGGAATGTAGTGATATATTCTTAATAGAGCTATTATTTCTTTCTAAAAAGGTCTATATCTTCTAAAATCTATAAAGCTCTATTTCTAGGTTTATATCTTAGGCTATATATCATTAGAAAATTACGTAGATTTCCTAATAAGATCAGGTAATAGGAAGTCGCGTAGATCATATTCGTTATTAATAGAGATATTAGAGGAGTAGTTACGTAGTAAGAGTTAAGTTCGGTTATAAGTAAGTAGTTAGATTATTACGAGAATAATCGACTTCGTATTTCGTATGCTTTAATATATAGCTATATACCTTAGTATTAAAAAGTAGTATTTACTACATTTAAACCTAGGCGTTAATGTAGTGTGTACTTATCGTAAATCTAGCTAGATTGACGTATATCGACGTGTCGGCTTTTCTATTCGCTGACTAAGCCCTTAAGGTTATACTTACTTACTGCCCTTCACCGTGATCGATTATTCCCTTATCACTCTCCCTCCCGACCAGCAATCTCCCGCGGGCTGGTTTCTGGATGTGTGGATCCACACGCTCCTCGCGCCTGCCTCGCCGAACTCTGACGGAAGGCACGACATGGTGATCCAATGAATGTAAGCACTCGGCGCCGGCTTCACGGGGCCAAGTTTCCGCCGGACGAGGTGAGACCGAAGTCTGACTGTTTCCCGTCCTCAGCTTCTTCGCCGACGTCGGACGCCCACCGCGTGGCTCGGTGATCAGTGTACAGTATAATAAGCTGCCGATCCATCCGGGGCAAGCCGGGTTTATATGAGCAACATAAAGTACGGTGTCAGCTTGTCTGCATCCAATCACGGCCTCGTACGGCGACCCTCGGAGGATGGCCAAATCCGACGCCGACATCACGTAAGGTAATGTACCGTTTGATTGTTGCTTATGCTTGAACAAGGTATTACTATGAGCTCGCCAGCCAGGTGATAAGAGCTGTTGAGGGCGATGAAGCACTCGTTTCTCTAGTTCTTTGCACCCTTTCATCCCCGTTTCTCCAACAAAATGTCGGATGCCACATCGTCTTCCCTCAAAGGCAACGCGGTAGACCTGGAGAAGAATGCCCTGGAGAAAGAAGACCCGGAGGCCGACGCCATTCGCTCGTCGAGTGATGGCAGCGCCTTCTCAGAAGGCAGACACCTCGAAGGTGTTCGCAGTCGCAGTCCTAGCCGTGGTGGCAGTCAACCCCTCTCCCGAAGCCAATCTCGAGGACTAGAGAGAGCCACCACTACTGCATCCAATGCTCTTTCAATCATTCGGTCGCGGGTGCCTCAGAGACCGTTTTCGCATCCACTGGAGCATGAAAAGACCGCTGTTGATGTCATTGTTGACTTCGAAGGGCCGGATGATCCGTATGTTTGCCATCACCCTCCCTTGCTTGACCCGCTGCCTAACGCTTGATGCCTTTTTCTAGCTACCGACCCATCAACTGGCCCTTCAAGAAAAAAGTCATCACGACTGCCCTGTACGGCCTTACGACTTTGAGCGCCACCCTGTCATCCAGCATCTTTTCCGCTTCCACCATCCCAATCGCCAGAGAGTTTAATGTTAGCACGGAAGTTAGCACGCTTGGCACCTCTCTCTTCCTCATTGGGTTCGGAGCAGGCCCTCTGCTCTTCGCTCCGCTATCAGAAGTATATGGTCGCAAACCTGCGGTACTCATCCCGACTTTTGTTGGCGCCATCTTCGCTTTTGGGGTAGGGGCAGGGAAGGACATTCAGACCATCATCATTTGTCGCTTCTTTCAAGGCATGTTCATGAGTGCACCCGTTACAAACACCGGAGGGGTGAGTGAGACAGAGCAAATGCCGTCCTCAGCTGCGCTTGCTGATGCCTACGTCTTCCCCCTCAGGTCTTAGCCGATATCTGGGCTGCTCAACATCGTGCTGCTGCAATTGTCGGATATGCCCTGTGCCTCGTCGGCGGCCCCGTGAGTCTCGTATCTCGTATGTCTACAACCTGCTCGCTGATACTTCGTCTAGACACTCGGTCCAATCATTGGTGGTGCATTCGTCATCACACCTGGTCTTGGCTGGCGCTGGACTCAATATCTGTCGGGAATGTATGCCTTGGCCATCCTGGTGATTGACATTCTCGTTCTCGACGAATCGTATCCCGCCGCACTCCTCGTAACGAAGGCTCGTCGTCTGCGCCACGCAACCGGCAACTGGGCGCTACATGCCAAACACGAGGAATGGGACGTTTCCCTCCGTGAGATGGCGAATAAGTATCTGATTCGACCATTCGCCCTCCTTCGAACACCGATCTGCTTTCTCATCGCACTATACGCTGGCTTCTGCTACGGCATCCTCTACGGCATGCTTGGAGCTTTCCCCTACGTATTCCAGGAACTTCGAGGCTGGAATGAAGTGGTTGGGGCGTTGCCATTCCTCGCTTTGTTGCTGGGGACCGTCATAGGCGGCGCCACGAATCTGATCAATCAACGATTTTACCTCAAGGCGTTGAAGAAAAACAACTATCGCCCGGTTCCGTAAGTCCTTCCAGGCGTCACCTGACGCATTACAGCTCTGCCTCGGCACTACACCATGTCAACGAGATCAACGAATGTAAGCTAATGTTCTGTAGCGAGGCACGCCTGCCGCCGATGTGCATCGGCTCATTCTTCTTCGCTGGCGGTCTTTTCGTCTTCGCTTGGACTGCCAATCCGGAAATTACCTGGGTAGCTCCGTGCGTGGGCGGTGTGATGGCCGGCGTAGGCTTCTTCACAATCTTCCAAGCTGCACTAAACTATCTCTTGGATACGTTTCAGCGGTACGGAGCCTCTGCAAGTGAGTTTGCGCAAATCCATTCACGACGGAACTGCGGCTTGTCATACTGACATTTTGCGTGCAACAGTCGCGGCAAATACGTTCGTGCGAAGTGGTTTTGCCGGCGCTTTCCCGCTGTTCATCACGTATGAACTAAAGGCCATTGGTGTCGGTTGGGGGATTTCGGTGTACGCCATCTTCGCGACGTGTCTCATTCCCATTCCGTTCTGCTTTGTTAAATGGGGGCCAGCGATACGCGCACGCGGAGAGTGGAGTCGAGAGAGTACGTTGTAATGTTTAGACAGCTCTTAGGGGTAATGGAGAAGCAGTATATCACGTGATCTCATTAGGCAATCGCATGCTGGGTGGAGCTCTCCACGTTTCTGTTAGCCAAAACCCAATTAGCCTCAGGCCTCCGACCTCACTTACGAGTCACACCATCTCACCATTCGCCATTTCAGCCTTTGCACTACCTAATCAATTTTATATGCTTGGGCAAATGTCGTGTTGAATTATTTCGTCACTTCTTTGGCACAATCCAGCCGCCCGTCTACTGTCCTCTCCAGCATGCCCTGACATGGGACAGCCCGTAAGAAGAAGCCCGCCATGCCTCACCACAAGATTGCCCGCGAGAGGAAGCTGCCGGTACAGCAGCTGTCCATCCTTGGTACTTTGATCGAACTGTCTGCACTCTCCTAATGCTCCGCCGCTGACTAGAGATCCAAGCAATATGCCGCTTCGCCGAGCCAATTTCCGCAACTTCCATCTTTCCCTACGTGAGTAGACAAGCCACCAAACGCCGGCATACGTTCATAACTTATTTCTCTGTCTAGCTGCCTGAAATGGTCCAAAGCTTCAACGTGCCGGAAAATGAAATCGGCAAATGGGCAGGTCTCTGCAGCGGCGTCTTCAGCGCTTCGCAGGCCGTGTTTGGCGTGCCGTGGGGACGCTTCTCCGATAAACATGGCCGGAAGATTGCCATCTTACTAGGACTCACCACCGCCATGCTCACCACATTACTGTGGGGATTTTCGACCAATCTGGCCATGGCTATCACTGCTCGAGCCATTGCCGGCGCCGGAAACGGGAATGTAGGCATTATCAGAACTACCGTTGCTGAGATGGTGCCCTTCAAGGAACTCCAACCGCGGGCCTTCTCGCTGATGCCGCTTGTGTAAGTGAAGCTCTCGTTGGTTTGGCATCCTGGGCATTCGCTGAACATATGTATTAGGTGGAATCTTGGGTCTGTCATTGGACCATCATTAGGCGGCGTCCTGGCGAACGTCTATAATGTGCGCCCTGGAGAGCATATTGAGAACCCGAATCTGCTGCAGCGATTTCCTTACGCCCTTCCGAACATCGTGGCTGCCGCTTTCTACACCGTTGGCATCACTACAGGCGTCTTATTCTTGAGAGAGACGCTCTCGACACGCCAAGATCAACGGGACTATGGCTTGATTCTGGGCCAGAAGTTGAGCAAAGGTACACGGTCTCTTTTCCGAAGAGCCATGAACCCCTTCCGCAGCAAATCAAAGCTGCCTTCAGAAGACATCCAAGAACGGAGACCGCTGCTGGATCCCGCGCAAGATGACGAAGCACTCATCTTGAAGTCGAAAAAGCCCGCTCTCCCACCACCGTCCTACCGTGAAGTGCTCAACAAGCAGGCCATCCTCAACCTCATCGTTTATACCTTTATTGCTCTACATACCATGGGCTACGATCAGCTATTGCCCGTCTTTATGCATTATCCATCCCATCAGGCTCAGGAACGCACCACCAGTGACGGCAATCCCCTCAAATTCGCCAGCGGGCTCGGCCTCGATCACTTCCGCATCGGCCTGATCAGCACCACTTACGGTATCTGTGGCATGGTCGCTCAATTCTTGTTCTTCCCGCCAGCTGCGCGACGCTTTGGAGTGTTGAACTGTCTCAAGGCGTGTGCGATTGTCTTCCCGATTGCCTACTTCATCACTCCATTCGCAGCTTTACTCCCGACCACGAATACCCAGATTGCAGGCATGTTCGCAATCATGCTGCTGAAGTGCTTTGCATCCATCTTCGCCTTTCCGAGCTCGACGATCTTGTTGACGAACAGCGCGAGTAGCCTGCGAGTTCTGGGTACCCTGAATGGAGTTGCAACATCTGTCAGTGCGATCGGGAGGGCCTGCGGACCTTTGCTCGGCGGCAACGTTTTTTCCGCCGGCGTGAAAATGGGTTATGTTATAGCACCGTGGTGGATGTTTAGCGCGATTGCAGTCGTTGCGGCGATACCCGTCTGGTGGCTTGTCGAAGGCGAGGGCTTCGGGGGAGACGATGATGGCCATGTGAGTGATGAGGAAGAGGAGGAAGAGGAGGCTATCATAGACGCAGCCGGTGTCGAAGGAGCGGCAGAAGCGGCAGGTAAGGCTGGCCCGATCCTCATGCCGACAGAACAGCAAGCGAACGATCCGCGAGCTGCTGGAACACTACCGTCCATCTCGCGCACAACAACCGTGTCTTCCGTGCTGTCGCTCGGCAGTGCGTTATCACCAATGGAGGGCGAGAATGACGACGAAATGCCGGAAGTGGGCTCTACTACACCTACCGGCCCATCGGGGCTGCTGTCTAGTCGGAGAACTCCCATCAAGAGGAAAATGTCTTTCCCCGTTGGCACAGGTCGGGAGGGCATTAGTCGGAGACTCAGCTCGAATCTTGGCCAGAGTCTGGGGAGTGCGGGCAGTTACCACGGGCACTAAGATGTTTGCTTCTCAGGGTGCACGAGGGGCGGGTAGCACAGACTATGTGCGCTGCCGTTTCCGCTGCAGCGAGCCGGGAGGCGATCACCTGCGACTGAAAGCAGATTGTGTCTACAATGAAGGGCGGCATTGAATATCAACGTTCTATATCTACTGAGGACCAAGTACGACCTCTCGCCAGCTCCCTATATTAAGCCCTTCCTCGACCCATTACGCACGCTCACCGACTCCCACTCACGAAGTCGACGCCAATACAGAATGTCGCCACCAACAGCAATTCAAGCGAAAGTGCTCGAAGACCTCGACAAGAGGATGTACTCGGCAGCTGGCAAAGACGACGACGAGGCTGAGAGGATCGCCAAAATCCTCATAGCCAAAGACGACCTGCCTCTGTTTGCCCGCTGTCGCGCCCTGTGCATTCTAGGTGCGTCCGCGTAACGTCGTCCGATGGTGTGAATTCTGGCTGACGTCGTGTTAGGCGTGAGTAAGTCGCCGGGCTACCTTGAGTGGGCGGAAGAGGCTGTTCGAACGGCGAGGAAGGGTACGTCCATGTCTTTAGCTATTGCATACTCTCTTGCATGGCCGATTAGGACTGTGCCTGACCACTCGTCACCGCAGCCATCACAGATCCAGACACAGAGGAGAAAGAGGCACAGCTCATGCTCGCTTCATGCGAAACCATCTTGCACTGGGCATTACAAGACCACTCCAAGGACCTCGAAAGGCAGTGGCGTGCGAAGAAGACCGAAGTATCGGCGGCGGCTAGCTGTTCGGCGACGAAGACTTGTTCGGAAGGGCAGCGTTCCGTGAAGAAGAGACGAATCAAGTCGGGTGCGAGGGATGATGTTCCTGACCTTCTTCCAGCTGCGCCAGTGATGGAAAGAACGGAAGAGGGAACGAAAATTGTTGAGCTCCGTGAAATGCCGTCCGAGGAGGGGAACAAGACCCAAGTGGTGGGTGACAGCAACGCAGAGAGTCCGCCGAGCTATTCGGAGGGCAAAGGCAAGGCAAGGCTGGTGGATGTCGTGCTGTCTCGACTTGACGCGAGCTTTGGAGGGCTGAGTATAGACGGCCAGGCTGCGCGCGAGGACGTACTGACTTTCGTTTTTGAAGAGCAGTGAGGCGGAAAACTTTTATACAGCTGGTTGTTGTAGCCAGCGTCGTAGCCAACAGATCAATTTAAATGAGCAGCGCTAGCCACGAAAATTCTACAAAACAGTTGGCGAGTTCAGATGACCGCGTCTAGTCAGACTTGATATCCATCCCGTCCCCCGTCTTCTGCACAGGCGGCGTGACATCGCCACCCCCACTACCACTCGCACTGCCTTCCGCGGGCACAATGCCCTCCAAAACGTCGTCTTTCCGACCCAGATGTCCGGTGCGCACATGCCCGAGGCCGGGCATACTATGCTTCTCCAAGTCCAAAGCGCGGAGGTGCGCGCTCGGACTGGGCTCCAGGCCGTCCACGTTGTCGTAGAAGCAGTACGCGTCCTCGCCGTGCAGCGCGTCGTCGCCAATCAACAGCAGCTCGTCGGAGTAGCGCAGCGGAATGCGCAGCACGTATTTGATGAAGAGGAGGATGAGCGACGTCCACACGAGGTTCCAGCCGATGATGAACAGCGCGCCGACGATTTGGAGCCAGACTTGTTTGCCGTTGCCCGTGATGGCGCCGCCGTAATTCGCCAGCCCGAAGGCTTCGGAGCCCTCGGGGGTGGCGAAGATGCCGACGAGGAAGCCGCCGAGCGCCCCGGCGACCATGTGCGTGTGCGTGATGCCGAGGGTGTCGTCGACGTGGTGCGTGAAGAGGCGCATTCTCTTGCCGGCGATGTTCATGCTGAGCCAGGGGACGGTGCCGGAGCAGACGCCCATAATGATCGCGCCCCAGCCTGCGATGACACCGGCGGCGGGTGTGATCGCGACGAGGCCGGTGATCATCCCGTTCACGGCCCCGATGAGGGAGGGCTTCTTGTAGAAGATGAGATCCATGCACATCCAGGTTAGGAGGGAGGTGGCGGTGCAGAGGTTGGTGTTGAACACGGCGACGCCGGCGTCGGGGGACGCAGAGTATGGGTCCTGTGAGAAGTTCATGTTAGATGTCGCCGCTTGCTTTTTCCATAAAAATCGAACACTCACACCACCATTGAAACCGTTCCAGCCGATCCAGACGATACCAGCGCCGACCATCATTAACGGGATGTTGCTTGGTTGGAAGTTCTGTCGGTCTTGCTTCAATCGGGGCCCTATCCAATATGCGCCGGTGAAGGCCGCAGTGCCGGAACTCAGGTGAATGACATAACCACCAGAGTAGTCGATGACACCCAGCTTGAACAAGTATCCGCCACCCCACAAACTGTATGCGCCGACGCAGTAGCTGAAGGTGAGCCAGAGCGGGACAAAGACCATCCAGGCGGTGAAGTTCATGCGGCCCAGGTAGCCGCCGGCGATGAGGACGAGGGTGATGGCGGCGAAGACGAACTGGAAGTAAGCCATTGTCGCCTTGGGGAAGTCCTGGGTGGACAGCGGGCCAGGGCTCGCCGTGCTGGGCAGATCGGATTGTCTGATGAGTTCGCCGATGGTCAAGAGTGGACCCGGCTTCCCGGCAAACGGCAGCATGTACTGGCCGAAGCCGACGTTATATGCCCAGATGGACCAGCACAGCAGGACCATGGCGAAGGCGTAGAAGGTCATGAACATGCTGTTGATGACCCATTTCCGCTTGACGAGTCCGGCGTAGAGCACGGTCAGACCCGGGATGGATTGGAGGCCGACGAGCGATGCGGCAGTAAGCTGCCACGCGTTGTCGCCAGTATCCAACCATGGTGGATTCTCCAAGATGGTGGAGTTGTAGTTGGTGCCGAAACTTGTCATGGTGGGCGATCAGGGCGGGTCGCAAAGACCGGCCAGTCGAAATGAAAGAGAGAAGGACACGCGAGAGCGCGGTAGGGAGTGAGAAAGGGAGGAAGCTCCGATCAACACGTTTCTGACAGAGGCGCGCGGTGCGGAGGGTAAGACAAGGGAAGGGTGGCAGCGCGCCGGCCTTCTTACATATAAACCTCGCGCGGAACAACTCAACCCCAGAGATTGTCCACTTGGCGGCGATGAAAGAACATAATTAGTGAGCACCTACATGCGCCCGCTCGTACCTGAGTGCGCAGCCGTATCGCGGGTGGCTTGCCTGGTGTGCTACAGGAAAAGAGCCTCGAGATAGCGGCAACAGCCAATGAAAGGCAGCGAATGGCAGCAGCCAGGCATCGGAAGCGATGAGACGGCCGGGGATAAAGGAGGCGCGCCCGCAAGCGTGGGAGATAGGATTCTGGGGAGAGGTGAGGTTGAACAAATGACCGGCCAGATGCTTATCAGTGCCACGCACGTTGGACCGATGCAGCACCTTCCGGACCGCCAGGCTGCATGGACTCGCGTGGGATTGCTGAGGGCCAACCCGGTTCCACGCGTGCTACCCGCCTTGCGGGATATTTAGGGAAGCTTCCGAGTACAGATGCGCCGGGAATGAAGGCTGAATGGGTGAATGGAGCGTTTGCCGCAACGCGGATGGAACATGTCGTACGCAGACTCGCCCGTGGATCGCAAGAAGCAATGGCCTTGCGCATCCGGAAGGCCGTGTCTTGGACGCTTGTGTGGGACAAGCCGCGAGATCAAGCAATCGCGTCTCCGCTCAACAAGACTTTCTCCACGTTGCGGCCAAGTCTCGCCGAGTTGGCCCTTTCGATCGAATGCGTGTGGATGGCGGGGGAGTCCATCGAGATCGACTTTCGGTTGGGATGTCGGCGGGTACTTATCTAAGCTTTCGCAACGTCGCGCTCTGATTGGCCGCTGGCGCGCTCCAGATAGCCTTGCATCAAGCACGTGCTGTCCATGTGCAGTCTGGCGATGAAATGGCCAAGTTCTGTGGAGAGGATGCAGCGATGATTGTCGAGGCCAATGTACTGCAAGATAAGCAGCAGTGGGTATTTGAGGAGAGTGAGGACCGTACGCCTCACCGCGCCTTATGCTTGGTTGACCAGATCGCTCTTTTGGCAATGCTCGACTCGTCCGGCAGTCGAAGCATTGTCGATGTATGCAACAAGCCCACCTCATCCCTTTTCGAATGCGAGAACATCCATCGAGTTATTAATCCAACGGCAACCGGATTGTAGAAGGAAGGGCAACACATGGGGCCGTTCCACCGAGGCGGGCGTAATGAAGAGCACGGCATGATGGAGTATACGCACAGTCACTCCGTATCGGATGAACTTCATGTCCTCTCACCTCGATTCTCGCGAGGACCTCGTTTCCACCCTCGCTCTCGCTGTGCCTGCATTGCCTGGCACCCTATGTCCTCATCCTCCACTCTAGGCTCTGTACACGACTCAGTGCATCGCGCGCCCCGATCTCGCCATGTCACTAGCATCCCACCCTGCCAAGGCTACTATTGTTATAGCGTCAGCTACGACCCACGTCTACAAGACCAGACCCTGATGTTGGCCGTGGGATCTCAAACTTCCATGCACTTCCAAACAATCGAGCTGCTCGTGGTCCGCATCTTCCCTTTCGCCCCCTTGCTTCTCCCACGGTCGAGGAACTTTCCACGCACGCTTGGTACTGTATGCAAGTCTCGTCATCCAGATACGACCGTGCGAACGTACGTCTACAGTGGTTCAGTCGCTATACAAGATTTAGGGCCGCTCTTGGCCACACCAACGCCACGCCAGTCCGCAGCGTTCCTTCCGCGTGGTCGAACATCGGCACCCCACATTGACTACTTCTCGAGAAAATCCCATTCAGCGGGCAGGGTGAAGCGAAAAGGGCTGGTCTAACAAAGCAGTGCAACTCCAAATCACTGGAAAAACTGCCCTTGGCACGGCTGTAATACCACGCATCTGGACTGGCGTTTGAAAAGCCAGACCAGCTTCGCCCGTCAGCCCACTACTTCCTCAAGTTATATACAACGCGGGCATCTCGGTCAAGCCTGCGACTGATCTTTCTTTCTTTCCTCCTCACCCTGAGCTCTCTTTCCATCATCCGCCGACTTTTTTTCGTCCGCAGCTCAGTTGCCGCTCGCTTCGTTTGCTCATTCACTCGTTTCTCATACTATGCGCGTCGCTTCCTTCACGTGGGCCGCTCTGGCCACCGCCGTCTTTGCAAGCCATGCAAGGGATTGCACGAGGACGGTGCACACTACGACTACAATCACTCGTGTAGGCCCAGTGGCAACCGCGACCAAGACACGGACGGTGAAAGGCGCCACATCTACTTTGGTCATTGCTGCCCCTTCTGGGTAATATTTCATGAACGTTCACTTGCATCGGCTTGATCTGATCCATGGTAGGTTCCAGCCGGTTCAGTCCTCTTTGCCTGGCGCTGTATACCAAGGCAGCGGGGGTAGCGACCCCATTGTAGCGAAGCGCGATACGCTTGAAGCTCGTAACGATGTCGAAGAATCTCTGATGGATGGAATGTGGCGCCGTGCTGAAATAGCCGCGCGAGCCGGCGCCTGCCAAACGACGACTTCAACTATGACCAAATATTTCACCAAAGCCCCATCGTAAGTTTAGTGGCGTCACAACTTTAGAATCATGACTGACTCAGTTTCGTAGCACGAAAACGGTCATTAGCACGAGCACAAGCTACGCTACCACAACTACCGTCTACGCCGCCTGCGCTTCCAACAACCTCGCGGACTACTACACTCCGACTGGCCAGATTTTGAACGGTGGAGGGCCGTTTCAAATCTCGGGGGTCTCGTTCAGTAGACTTGAAGATTCACCTACTGCATACGGCTGTAAGTCTATTTCTCCGCTTCACCCGCAGACTCAGAGTGCCACTGCAAGCAGCGAGATGAAAGTGCAGCTGACCGTGCAACAGGCTGCGTCCAAGCTCTTCTAGCGGACAACAGTGGCGCTGCGTGGGGCTATATCCCACAGAATGGAGGCTGTGTCTCCTTCTCCGTCGATACCTGCTCCGACCCAGGCGCACAATCCACGAACGCGTTCCAGGCGAACACGGCCAGCTCGAGTGTCCATGCAGTAGTCCTTGGGAATCTGCCGCGCGGAGCGTGGGACGTTGTCGGATCGTCACCGCCTCAGGCAGCGTCGTCAGCTGTGCCACCACCGTCTTGAGTTCCCTTGGCGTGTCCATTATGAGGGTGCAATGGGGATCATTTGGCAGTTCTGTGGTTGCGGTGATGCGTAAAATATGACAGCAACACGAATACGGTCGTTACAACATCATGTGTGATTTGTGATGTTCAAAGGGACACCGGGCGGGCATTTGCATTGTCTCGGTAGCCGCGCAGCCTGATGCGGGACTTCCCGAACAGCCTTTCATTGGCGGTTTGCACTCGTTTGTCGTTCAGATATGAAACATCAGACCTGATTTGGAACGCTTGAATGACTTTACTTGTGCTATTTGCGTGACACTATGTCGCACATGTTCCTGCTGGTTGTGGGAGATGTCTAGATTTTGCGTGGATGACACATTTATAAGCCTCAGCGCCCCAGGCATGTCCTCTCACCAACTTCCGCCATTCTCTCACCTTCTGCGAACACTGCCCTCACATTACGTATACACACTCTCATTCGATACTCCAGGTGGCTGAGAGCACAGTAGTACAACTCAATGACCGCTCTCGATAAGCCCGGCGGTGAAGCTTACTCGAGCCCGACTTCAGCAATAGCAAGCTAACCAAGCAACTCAGGAGATGCCGAAAAGCAACCAGGCGAATGTGGCTCGCCTTTGGCAGCCACCTACCTGGCCCTACGGGCGATCTCGGCCTTCACACTCTTCATACTCATCGTAGTACTCGGATACACAGTCCTGACGTACGACAAGGCTGCGACCAGCGCGGCAAATCCGTTGCTCCTAGCAATCGTAATAGTACGTGAAGGCAACTCGGACAATAGAGCTTCAGACTGATGAAAAGGCAAAGGCGATCGCTGCGGCATTCTACACCCTCGCCCTCATCTTGATCGTGTATCGCTCGAGATTCCACCCTCTCCTCTGGCTTGCAATACTGCTCGATCTGGCCTGGTGCGGCGCGTTCTGTTTCCTCGCAGTCGTACTAGCAGAACCATCCGTAGTCACACAATGCACTGCAACCTCGACGCCGCATCCGCTAGCTGCGGCGAGCACCACATCGGGAAGCGTCTTGGCGGGCGACCTGGCTGCGAGACGCCTCATCAAGAGAGACATCAACTCGCCGCTGAGGGAATTTATTTTGCTCGGACATGTGCCCTGCTCGGTGGTTCTGGCTTTCTGGATCCCATGCATGGTCCTGGTCGCTCTCTTCGGCGGCACGGCGATTGTGGCATGGAAGAGGTGGCGATCTGGCGGCAGGACGGTGATGCCCTTGCAAAGCGGCGCGAAGGTTTAATGAGGATTTAGATGAAGCAAATAATGAGGCGCTCGATGATAGAGAGGCCCGCCGGGTGGCCACAAGCTCAGCAGTGCGCGATGGCATGGGAGGAAGACGCGTCGAGGTCGCGAATTCGGCCGGCCGTAAACAGCAGCACGACTCATGTACGATCATCGTCAATGAAACCGTTAGAAGTCACGATCTGCCAAGGGGCAAATGACTGCGGCAGAGTCCCGGCTTGGGTGTCGCCTTTGCTGAATAATAAATATCCCCGAGCCTCTTGGCCCACGCTAACTCCTTTCGCTCCACGCTCTACCACACTGGAACCAAACCTTCTCTTTGGGAAGAGGTCGACGAAGCGAGCCGCACGCCACACGCCTCTCGAGCCAGCTGAGATTCATCTTACTCCCTACATTCGGGCACGCCGGGCGCCAAATATGGCAGGGACGATGCGACTTCATCATCCTTAAGCGAGAAGTCATCTGGATTAGGTTGAGGGACTGGCACCAGAGGAGCACGCCTTGGGCGTTGCCTGAGCCTCATATATCCTGACAATCCTCACGCAAACAGTCGTAAGTCCCTCTCTACTGCCTTTCGTTCTCTGAACGTGTCCCCTCGTTTTCAAAGAAGCATTTCGTCCTTCATATCAGTCATTACAGTCAAGATGAAGGCTTTCGTCTCCACCCTTTTCGTTTCTGCAGTTGCAGCCTCGTTGGTCGAGCTTGACCTCCACGCACGAGGACGACCTCACCGTGGGCACCATGGCTGCTCCCGTGTTCAGCAACAGTGCGCGGGCGCGCAAGCCGAAAGCGCCTACCAATGGTGCCCCCATAACGCTCACACCGTGACCGTGACCCACACCGCTGCCCGAACCACCAGCACCGTCACGTAAGTCCTTTACTACACCTTCCATCGATTGCCATACTAACCATGCGAAAAGTTCAACCAGCACCGCGTCAGCCTCGACCACCACGACCACCACAATCACTGTGTTGCCCACCTGCACCCAGGCTACGCCGGTGACCAAGAAGCGCAATGCGGCGCGAAAGGCCCAACAGCTCGTGAAGAAAGGACAAACCGGCGGCGCCCCCTCGTGTCTTGGGCCGAGCCCGTGGGAGGCGTGCAGCTGCCTGCACCCCACAACTACCACCATTACCGTCACCCCGAGCGTGGCTCTCACCACCACTCTCACAACGATCACATCGACTGCAACGCTCACGTCCACGGAGACCGTTCAAGGCCCGTTTAACATCATGGGCGTTCAAGGCACCAAGACACAAGGCTTCCCCATTGCGTCGTCTGCTCCCGACTTCGCCGTAGGCACAACACCTCAGTCGGGAGGGGGTTTTCCCTTTGTGAGCTACGACTCAACCTCCGCCGACGCGTTCTACCTGACCTCCAACGGCACGCTACTGGACTCGACGTTCACAGACGCCAACGGCAACCCCTACATCGCCTTCCAATACACTGATTTCTCCACTCCCGAAGGTGGCAACGCGCCTGTCACCATTGCTCCCGGGAGCACCGTCTACTCCAGCGGTGGCTACCAGCCCCTCGTGTGCTTCCTCGACCCCAACAACTGCAGGCTGGACTGTCGTGCCAATGGCAACGAGAATAACTTCCAGTGCTACTATAACTACCTCAACGAGTGGTACATTGCGCCGAGTCCAGTTTCCCCCTCGCAGTGCTATGTCTTCTCGGTGAGTGACTACCTCTTCATACCCCCGTCCTTTTCAACGCAAAGTGCCGAACTATTTGAACAAGCCTGTACTAACTCACCCCGCTTAGCCTCAAATCACATATGGGGCGGTCGTGTTGTAGAGCCTTGCCACCATTGATCCCTATCCTGCTGGGAGGAAGTTGGATTACTTTTGCCATTCCCGTCACAACATATCTCGGCTTTACGTTTCGATTCTTGTCTAATCAGGCGGTGGATCAATGTCATCGCTATATATTACTCCGCAAGAGACGCATGCTTCCTGCTCGTCTTGACCACACTTTCAATTCTCTGCTTCGCAACACCTGCAAGCCTGTCTCAAGTTGCGTGAATTTTGATCTATCAAATGCCGAACATGTGGAGCGCGTACCAGTGCAACAGCGGCAATCTTTACCCCCTCGGAGGTTAAAAGCGTGTTTATCATCTTTATGTCGCCGAATTAGTGGTGAGGATGCAGTCATTTCCCCACATCGTCATGTTGGAGCGCATTGGACCCTGCCCAAGCTTCCTCCACATTGCCGGTACGTCACCTCTGTTCTCGTGCAAGGATAGCTTTTTTCTCGAAGGCATATGGACAGTTTGAGCATCTCCCTCCGGAGCAGGAACACAAGCAATACCCTGCGGGCCGCCCGATTGGTTTCACGTCGACGCAAATATGCGGAGTCGGCTACCGGACATGCTTCAGCTCTGGCTGCTACTATTGACTGCTTCGCTGAACGGCAGAACGCATGCGACGAGATTGAATGTGCCGACCACGGCGGCGGGAGCCTCCATAGCTCATCAGCCAAACTACGTCTCCTTCTCCATCGAGCCCGCCTTTTGGGTGGAATTCTGGGGCAACGCCAGCCAGCCCAACACTTTCACCTTTGATGTGCTGCAACTGCTCGTGGATCGAGGCGGCCAGCCGCAGATTCGTCCCGGGGGAGAGACGATGGACAGCATGATTTTCGAGCCTTCGGCGGGCAATGTGCAGCGAGTCACCAGCTCCGATGGAGGCATTTACCGCACTGTCGTCGGGCCGGCGTACTATCAAAGCTGGTCGAATTTCCCCAGCGTCACCAAGTTTACGTCGACGCTCAACTTTCAAAATGACAGTCTTGCAATCGCGCAGGGCCTGGCTGTCGCCTCGGTCAAGTACCAGCCGGAGCGCGTGCATTATTTTGAGCTGGGGAATGAACCGAACAACTACGCCACGGCTGAGTCGAGATGGGACGACTCGACGCAAGAGTATGTAAATCAGTGGCTGAACTGGACGTATGCCATTGATGTTGCGGTGAACAACACGCTTGGAGCGAGCGCGGCGGAGCAACTTGGCATCTCACGCTGGTGGGGTTCGTCTTCCACCACCGACCCGACTGCACTGCAAGTCCGCCCGGCGAACATCATCCCGGACGGTATCGACTCGGACAACCAGGTTGCGCAGTACTCCATCCACTCGTACCAATTCGCGACTTGCAGCCCGGCACAGACGGCGCTGTCTACACTTCCGGACGTACTGAATCACAGTTCTCTCGTCAGCTACGCCAACTCCCAGATCCTACCCTCAGCACAAGCAGCACTCAACAGCGGGAGCCAGTGGATTATTGGCGAGTACAACTCCGTCGCCTGCTCCGGCTCGGTCAACGTCTCCGACCGCTTCGCCCAAGCCTTGTGGACCGCTGATACGCAACTGCTCTACGCATCGATGAACGCCTCGGCCACATATTTGCACCAGGGTGCCACGCTCGTGGATCAGAGCAGTGACCAAGCCAACTCGGCTGGACCAAACGGCACGCCTAGCTTCAGTCTCTACGATATGGTGTATCCCCGAGACAGCTCTGCACGAGGGCCAGCACGCGCCTTACCCGGCTTCCTGGGTGTGCTGTTCGCGACTGAAGTCTTCTCCACTCCGGGCATCCGCGTACGAGCACTTGCGGCACCGACAACGGTTGACGAAGACTACTTTGCAGCCTACTCGATGTATGCGAACAACGAGATTCGGAAAGTGGCGGTCCTCAATATGCAACCATACTACGGAAATGGAAACAACCTCACAGTGTCAGTGCAGCTTCCCAAATCCCCTCGAGGATCGGGAAGTCCGCAGGCATGGTTGAAGCGAATGAGTTCGCCGTCTGTGAGCGAGACGGACAGCTCGCTCACTACGTGGGCCGGACAGTCGTATGAACACGGCAAGCCGGTTGGGAATCTGGACATTGAAGAGGTGGGAAGCGACGGCATCATCACTGTGCGTGGAAGCGAGGCGGTGCTGGTCTTTTACAATCACAGCGATGTATACATGTAGAGCGCAATGCATCCCTCGTTGGCCATGCTTCCCTATCGCAGAGGCAATCTAGACCGTCCGCCTCGGCGAGCCCAAAGCGTCGTCGCGCATTCTCCTTTGGGAAAGTGCAAGCGGGCGCCCCAGACTCGTGCCGGGGTTGGGCAAGTGGCAGGTAGCATTGGGCCCCACGGGGCACGCGCACACGCAACACCAAGGCAGGGTCGGCGACTCGGCTTAAAGAAATCGAGAGCTGCTGGCGGGGTTCCTTTTCTTCTCTCTTGCAATTCTCGTTGGGCACACGCGACAGCCAGCGCGGACGTCACGATGCTCCCTCCTTTTGACTACTTCCAGCATCGCGCGGCTTGGTGAGTTGCTCTTGATCTGCGGCCCCCACTTCGCTCTACGACATGCTGTCTGTTGTACTTCCTCGCGAGACATACTGACATGACACAGCAACTTCAAGCAGAAGGAGCGCGCCGACCGCATCGCGAGCCTGGGCAAGGCATATCACGGCCCCCTCGATGCCGCGCAAAAAGACATCCTGCAAAAGCCGATCGCCGAGCTGGTCCACGATGTGCAGAAGAGCGGCGCCCCCTTGGCCACAGAGGTGCTGCAGGCCTACGGCAAGGCGGCAGTCAAGGCGCACGAGAAGACGAACTGCGTCACCGAGGTGATGATGAATGCTGCCGAGGGCTGGATTGAGCGGGGGGAGATCAATCTGAAGGGACCGTTGGCTGGCATCCCCGTCAGTTTGAAAGACTCGATCCATGTTGGCGGCTTTGATACTAGCGTGGGCTACTCAAGGAATGTGGGACAGCCGGTCGAGGCGGATGGCGGGATTGTGCGTATACTGAAGGATGCGGGCGCGGTGCCGTTTGTCAAGACTGCCCTGCCCATTACGCTGTTGTCGTTCGAGAGCTCGAATGACTTGTGGGGCGTGTGCAAGAACCCGCACAACACTCGCTACTCGCCCGGCGGCAGCACGGGTGGTGAGGGAGCCATTCTGGCGTTTGGAGGCAGCAGGATTGGCATTGGCTCCGACGTTGCTGGTTCCGTTCGTGCGCCTGCCCACTACTCCGGCTGCTACAGCTTGCGATGCAGCACGGGTCGCTGGCCCAAGCTGGGCGTCAACACCTCGATGCCCGGTCAGGAGGGCATTCCCTCTGTCTTCTCCCCCATGGCTCGCACTCTCCTGGATCTGTCCTACTTTACTCGATCATTCATCCAGATGCAGCCGTGGAAGTACGACCAAGCCGTGCACCCCATGCCCTGGCGATCGAACGTGGAAGACGAGTACAAGCACAAAAAGCGTCTCCGCGTGGGCGTTATGCGCACCGACAACGTCGTCGATCCCTCGCCAGCCTGCGCTCGCGCGCTCGACATGGCAGCCAGCGCCATGGTCGCCCAGGGCCATGTCGTCTTCGACATCGACCCCCCGAATCCCTACGAAGCCCTCGTGATCGCCAGCAACCTTCTCAACGCCGACGGCACCAAGACCTTTCGCTCCTACTTCCGCACGGGCGAGAGCGACGACGCCGGCGCCGCGCAGTTCGGGCGGTACATGCGCCTCCCGCGCTTCATCAAATTCTTCTACTGGGCGTGGTACAAGTACGTGGTGCGCGACGACATCTGGGCGGGCTTGTTGGAGCACTGGCATCCCAAGAGCGCCTTCGAGAACTGGCAGTGGGTGTACAAGCGCGAGGCGTTCAAGGCGCGCTTCCACGAGTGGTGGAACTCGTTTGGCGACAAGGGCGACGGCATGGACATCATCCTCACTCCGCCCAACGCCACGCCTGCCGTGCCTCACGGTGGGATGTCGAGTGCTGCTGCCGCGTGCGGGTACACCTTCCTGTTCAACTTGGTGGACTACACGGCCGGCATCCTGCCCGTGACGCACGTCGACCCGAAGAAAGACAAGCTGGATCCGTCCATCAACATCCGCAAGATGAACCATGTGGCTTATGGCGCGTACAAGCACTACGATGCCGAGAAGATGTCCGGGCTGCCGGTTGCGGTGCAGGTGGTGGGCAGGAGGTTGGAGGAGGAGAAGGTGCTGGCTTGCATGGAGGTTTTGGAGAAGGCGTTGCACGAGAAGGGTCAGCAGTACAAGCTGATGCCGCTGCCTAAGCACTAGATCTGTGTTCTATGACATGGTTGGAGCGAGAGGTGTCTGGGTGTCTATAGTTGTGTTTCGTTGCGCGCTGACTTCAAGTCATGCCTACAAAACTGCGCAGTCTCCCTTTGCTCGTGATCTTCCTGCAAAGAAAAATGCGACTATCGGCGTAAACGAAAATCATCCCACCCCCTCGAACTCACATACCGCCCGTCAGCAGCCACATGCATGCCGCCAGACGTTCTGGCCAAGCCACGAAAAGCAGCAGCAGCACACGCGAGATGAACGGAAACGGGGCGGGCGCGAACCCCAGCCAGGGCCGCTGCCCGACCGCCCTCCACCCCCGAGTGGGGTCGCGTGAGGGTTTGCCCTGCAGCAGCTCTAGATCGGCGGAGGGGCAGGCCAGTTCTGCGTTGCAGCGATTGCTTTGCCAAGGGTTCACGGTGGTGGCGCGGGGCAGTGCCGCCCATGATCGACCGCTGGGCATGCGTCGTTTTTGCCAGGGCATTATCATCGGTCTTTTCCTTGGCCCCCTGTTGCTCTTTCCTTTCCTGCATTCCATTGCGTAGGTGATAAGGAAGAAAGGACTGCATGCTCTGCACTTTATGTGTGGCCTCGCTATCTTTCACGCATAATCATCATCAACTCTCATTCTGATTCCCCCTCCACCCCGCCATTGGACCCCTCCCTTCACCCCTACCACCAACCACATCATCCCGCCCACCATGCCCTCCCGCGCCCGCGGCAAGCAAGCAGTCTACAACACGCCCACCATCCGCAACGGCGGCTTCGGCTACCTGCAAGTAGAAGCAATCCACAACCGGCCCATGTCGATCGCGCGCCGCCACCTGGCCGCCAGCGAGCTGCGCATGCGCAGCATCGAGCCCAGCGAGCTCTCCTCCTCCGAATGGGTGCGCTTCCTCGTCATGGAGACGCCCGAGCGCGACAGGTGGATTGCCGAGTTTGAGCGCCGGCGCCGCAACTCCAATTCCTCGTCTTCGTCCGCCGAGGGGGGGTTGAGTAAGGAGGAGGAGGCGCGGTTGGAGGCTGTGGAGGCGGCGAGGGGGACTGCGGCCGAGGCGGCGCCGGTGGCTTTGCCTTCTGTCGCTGCTGCGTCTCCTGCCGGTGCGAGGACTGGTGTTACGCCTTCTGTTAGTGTGTGGGCGAGACGTTTTGATGGGAATGAGAGCGGGCAATACTCTGCTCGGCGTCCGAGACATGCTAGGCGTGCGGTCACCGAGAGCCTTATCGATGCTCCTGCGCCGCCTCCGACTTACGAGACTGCGGTTCGCTCTCGGTCGCCGCCGCCTGCTTACGAGCCTCGCAGCGATGATGAGGGGTCTGTTTCTCCTCGTCATATCCGGTTTGCCGTATGAAGAACGAAGAGGCAACGATTGGGGATGATTGAATTTACGGCCAACTTTTGTTACTGGGTTGAGGTTGGTTTCCTTGATTCTTTACAATGAACGGATGGGATTGGGCTATATCGGGACAGATGGATGGGAAAATGGGCGGCGTATACGGAATTGCTTCATCGGGAACAGTGAAACCTCTACGCCAACGTGGATCACTACGTAGCTGTCTGTGAATTGCAGACTGGAGACAGATATGGCCGGCGTGGTAGACAACAACAAAATTGCAAGTGGCCATGCGCCCTCTACCCTCCTTCACTCGCACCATCATCACACTTCCACCCCTCAGAGCAAGTGCTTCAACGCCGTCTCAGCCTTACGCATGACCGCCTCGGCCCTGTGCACCGTCTTCTCCCCTCCAAACCTCTCCAGCCCTTCATTCTCCTTGGCCTGCTCAATCAGCTTCTCAGCGCTGAGCAACAAACCCCTCCAAGTCAGGATGTCCTCGCTGTCGTCGACAACACTCTCGTCGATCGCCTTGTCCACCTCGGACTGCACGATTTGCAGCCACCGTTCAAGGTCACAAGACCTCAGCACACGCACCGACCACGCCATAGTCTGCGCTCCCCCAGGTTTGCGGAAAACATAGTGCCATCGGCCAGGGTCGAGATACATGGCATCACCCCTTCTCAGGACTTTGAAGGCCCATCCGTCTTTCGGTGTAGGTCGTTTTTGCTGCTTCGTCTTTGCTGATGGCTCGTTGGTCGACCATGCGAGTCCAATTTCCCCCTCTCCGCAGCAGATGTAGGTTCCAAAACCGAACGTGTCGCAATGCGGCCCCGTCATTGCACCCGCTTCGGCAATCATCGCTGTTCCGGCCCAGTGCTGATGTACTCGTTGGAGGGCTATCACTTCGTTGGATGTGAGCATATGATCTGGGCACTTCTCCGCCGTTTTCCCGTGATGAGGACATGCGGTCGTACAGACATCCACCAGCTCGATGGTTTGCAAGTACCGCACGAGCGACCCCAGGAGATCGCAGCTTGGGTGGCGTAGGATTGAAGGAAGCATGCAGATGGAGGCAGGGAGGGTGAGCTCGGGGAAGTTCCAGGGAAATCGAGCGGGCTCTTCTGGCCTTTCGTCGAGGAATCGGGCGCGGATTTCGGGGATGGGCACGTTTCGTTTTGGCATCGTGTCGTCCTCGTCTTTCGCCTCGTGATCGTACATCTCGGACTTCTCGTCGGGATTGGGGAGCCATTCAAAAACTTGCTCGACCGGCCGGACGGCGCCATCTCCCGTATCGATGAAAGGGATGGATTGGCGGGTGAGAAAGATGGGGGCGTCGATGGCGTCGGTGCTGCGGAGAAGGCCCCTTGCTTGCTGCGTGTCGATCACGCGCATCTCCGCTCTGCCCTTATTAGACGCCGCCTTCTGGTTGTCGTCGCGTCGGTTCTGCGCCGACTGCAGACTCTGGAGATATGGCAGCATGGTCTGGAGATGGCCATGCCCGGCAGTCTTCTTGGGCAGTTTGATGCGCTTGGCCTGTCGGATCGTCTCCTCGAGAAACTCATCGTCGTCGCTCGCCTTCCGCTTGCCCAGGGCGCCAGTCTGCGTGCGAGTAGCAAGGAGATCTTCCCGCTGGCCGTCTCCGCGCGATCTTTTCCGTGTTGCCGGTGCTGGAGGAGCCGGGCGATCCACCTTGCCGCCAGTCGTCGCCCAGGAAACACCGTCTTCCTCCGCCTCGTAGCTGACGCCGTTGACTTTCCGGGTTCGGACCGGTCGCTTGGGCTCGTCGGCCACGCCGCCGTTTCTCAGAGGGCCCAGCCCGTCGATATGCAGCTCTTGCAGCATTCGCTGCTTCCTTGTTCCTTGTTTCTGTTGCCGAGATGTGCCATTTCGGCGGGCTCTGGTGCTGGCTGATCTCTTGGGGGCCATTGTTGATCAAGGACTGCTGTGATGAGAGAATGTGCTAGCAGGAGAAAGAGAATTTGACTGAGATGGGGCAGATGGGCGAGAGGATATGAAATGGATTTGAAAGAAAGAAAAGCAAATGAAGATGGCATTGTCCAGGAAATATGAGCGTGGCTTTGGACAATGAAAACGCATTGAAAGACAATAGGCAATGGGGGTGCGAAAACTTCACTTCACTTGAGTGCATCATTCCTGGCGGACTGCGAGCTTTTGCAAGAGAGACAATACGAGTCTCGCGGGTGCTATTGAGACATCAATGCCTCTAAGCACAGTAATGTCTGTGGGAGAGACAAAGAAGGACACGGAGAGGCGTGAGACGTCGTCTCGCGACATCTCCGCTTCAGCCTGCGTACGGGCATGGAGCTGGGACCCCGTGATCCCTCAGACTCATGCTGTTTGATGAGACAGTGTCTGTACTGCCACACGTTTATTGCAGCTGAACTGGTTGGACTGCGATGGGCGTGGGGTGAGGGCGCACTGAAGAGGCTGGCTTCCAACTCGGATGACTAGAAGAAGGCCAAGACATGAGGTGTTTGCCTCGATGAACACACGGAGAATTTCCAACGCGTCGGCGAAAAGATGATCGATAGTGTAGAGGATGGAGAGTGTGAAGAAGAGATGCTCGGCGCGCAGGTCTGGACCACGCGACGCCTTTGTCCGTTAGCGTCCCGCCGTTTGGAAGCTTCGCTCGTGTCCGTCTCGTGACATCCCGCGTGGGCGAAGGCAACGGCGCAAGGCGATTGGTCGAAGGCAATCAGCCACAGCCAGTCGAAGCTGCGGAAGCCTCACCCACCTCAGCAGATGCCAACCACGGCGCGATCGGATTCTGCCTCCCTCTCCTTCCCGTGCGCCTTTGCCTTCTCATGCCCCTTCCTACCCCCCCAAAGCACCTCTGACAGGGCGTGGAGACACTCTCATCCGCCCTCTCGCGTCAGACGAGAGGACCAGGATGAGCAAGCCCGAGATGCGACACGACTCAACTGCTACTATCCGCGCCACGAGGGTGAGTTGCCGCGGGATCTTCTTGGCACTCATCCGCCACGTGCAACATCACTGACCCAGGTGCTACTGGCACAGATATTGAACGACGACAGTGATGACGATGGCTTCCAACTGCCCGTCGCGACCAAGGAGAATGAATGGCTAGGATTCTGCCCTTCCGCCGTGAAGCTGCAGAATGGCGACCGGAGGGTGAGTGCGACTTGACTGGTTCGCAAATCCACGGCGCATTCGATAAAGGACTAATCCAACCCATCTACGCAGGGTTCGCTGAAGAAGAGGACAGACTATGGCGCCGCGTTTGCCGCTTCCGGCGTGACAACGTACTACTGCAGTCAAAAAGGGTGTATGTACATGGGCCATGTCAGCATCGATTTCGTGTGGAAAGCAGTCATGAAGGATGAAAGACTCGGCTTAAAACTGCGATGGGCCTTTCTAGGTATGCCATAGAGGTGAACAGTGGACCACGCCAACTGACCCCTCTCGCACAGCCAAAAGCCATGTCTTCCAAGGCAAAGTCACCGGTCGCCAGTATCAGGTATCCCACCCCCCAAGCCATCCTTCACCTTTCCCACTACTGACGAATCCGCAGTTCCAATGCCCCATCTGCATCTACTCCCAAGGCCACGCCGAAGGCCGAACATGGAAAGGCGTGGAAATCTACATCGACCACGTCTCCTCCCACCGCGGCCGCCAGCTCTCCGAAGAAGGCAAGCCAGAACTCCTCACAAACTACTATGCTCCACCCACTAACAAAGAACTCGCGCACAGTGCTCGGCAAACTCAACATCATCAACGACCGCATCGCCGAGGACAAAGAAGACTTCGACCTCAACTTCTTCCCCACCGCCCTCACGCGCCAAAACACCAGCAACACCACCACCGACCTCAACAGCTCCTCCAGCAGCGTCTCCCTCGCCCGCACCAACACGCGCAACAGCATCGTCGACTCCCTGTGGAACCGGAAATCCAGCAGCGCGAATACCGAGGTCGGCCCGGCGTTGTCGCGCACGGCGACGTGGCGGAGCGATCGCGCGGACTCGGTCGTTAGCGGGGCGCTGATTGAAGAGGGTGAGTTTTCTGGCTTCTCGATTTTCGCGGAGGTGTTTGCTAACATTTGATTAGATGACGATGAGCCGTGGGCAGAGGGGCTGAGCGAGTTCCGGGCGGATAAGGAAGAAGACTACCTCAGTCCGGACTTCTGAATTCAGTCTGCTTTTTTCTTTGAAGCGCAGTCAATACCAGCCTCGCAGATTGAGCTGTTTAACAAAGTTTACCGAATGCTTCAATCTACGACGAATGGAGGCGTTGAGGGTTGTGGGCGGGAGTATGACAGCCGTCTGAACCGGCGGCGAAGATTGTCTATTTCTAGGACAGGATACCCATCACAGTGAACGAATATCACTTGTACACACAAACACTGCCACAGCCAGTCGTTTCTCATCCGCCATCCATCTCATCGTAGCCCCGCCCGACAAAGTAAAGGTACAGGGATATCTCAGTAAGCAGCCTCACTCCCCTCCCCACTCCTCCCAAGCAACAATCCCCTCGCCCTCTCAACAGCCCCGCTATCCCTCACAGCGAAATCATCACTCTGCACCCTTTCATGCCCTCTCAGTCCCAACTGCTGCAGCAAGCCCTCCCCCTCCGCCACAGCCTGCGCCGCCGCCTCCACTCTCAGCCTCGCTTTATCCTCCCTCCATTGCCCCTGCACACAATCACAAAGACATCCCTCCATCAGACACCCGCCATCGCCCTCCGCAAACCACGCACGAAGACAAGCCGCGTGACCACCGTGGTTGCAGCGCAAACACGTCGACATCAACTTCGTAGCAGGCTGTGCTTCCCGCTCTTCAAAGGGACTATCGACGCTCTCGCAGAACGTGCATCTCACCAGCTTCACGCCGCAATTCTCGCACAGCGCCTTCTCCAAACCGGCGAGAACGGGTTTGCGACAAGCGCCGCATCGCGTGCGGACATGGTTGTCTTTCACCGCGTCCTCGTAGACGGAGGGGTACATGGGGTACGCCAGTCTGCGGAGCATGGCAGCTTCGTTCCGCATCTGGCGGCGCACGAGTTGCTCGTGGTAAGTCGCGAGGATGGCTTCGAGTTGCAGCGGTTGCAGCCCGGCGTTCATGAGGGGTTGGAAGTTCTTTTCGAGCAGGGACTCTATTTCCGGCTGCGTGTAGGCTGCGTTGGAGAGGAAGGCGTCGATGTAAACTGATACTGTTGCTGTTGCTTCGCGGTGGGAGAGGGGTTGCGTGCGTGGGAGGTACGGGGTTAGGGCTACGAGGAGGTGGGCGGCGGTTTGGGCGTCGCGGGTGCTGGCGTAGTATGTTGTTAGCTGGCGGAGCATGTCCACGAGGCGGAAGGGCTTGTGCTCTTCGAAGTCGGAGTCGGAGTCTTCTGGAAAGTAGGTTGCGGGTGGTTTCTTATTGTCTGGAGGATCGTCGGGGGCCTTGGAGCTCTTGCTCGTGGCCTCTGCGCCGTTGGTCTTGACGCCGCGATGGGGAGGCTTTGCGATTGTTGCTGCTTGGCTGACATCCTGATCCCGCTCTGTATCGGTAACATACGGATTGGAGCGCCTCTTCTCGGCGATCTCGGCGGCCTCGTCAGCCTCTCCTTCACCAGTAGCACGCGAATACCTCGGACGCGCAGCCAGGCCGTGAATCTGAGCAATGGGCACGGCCGGGCTAACGGCAGGCCTATCATCGAAATCCTTGGCTTGCACAGCATCGATCGCAGGTTCCTGCGCCTTCTTCGTCGGCTTCGTAGGCCGTTGCGCAACCATATCGTGAGGAGCGCTGCCGTAAGAGGAAGGGAAGGATGGGTTCCCGGAATTCACTGACTGCTCGAGAAAGGCGAAACTCTCGTTGCTCCCCTGCCGTACCAGCTTGGGAGAATGGATTTTGACGCCATCGGCATCGACAGGGTCCAAGTTTAGAGGCTCTTTTGGCTGCACGCTCCAGCGCCTGACCATTGCATTCCTGTCCACGACAGGTGCAGTTTGCTGGAGCTGTTGTAAGCCATCGAGGTTGGTGATTGTCAGATGCTCTTTGTCCTGGCCATTCGCCTGAGTGTTGTCGGTGGGTGGATTGACCGTCAAGATGGCGTCGGTGCCCGAGTCGAGCGAGACTTCAGCATTGAGACGAGAGGAAGGGGCATCGAAGTTGACTGGACGGACAACAGGCGTACGCTGGTCAGAAGCGACGTCCGACTGCGCGAGTTGCTGTGTGATGGTAGACACGGGCCTCAGGGAAACCGGCGATGACGCGGGTGACTTCATCACATCTGCGAACAAGCTCCTCGACATCTCGACCAGTGTCAATTTCCTGGTAGAGTTTCCGGCAGCAGGCTTGTTGAGCAATCGCCGCGTATGCTTGAGTTCCGCTCTTTTCTTGAGATGGTTCGCCATCATGCCACTGACGATCCTCCACGTTTGCGCCGTCCGATAGAGCCCGGCAGCGTATGCGCAAGCCGCATTATGCTCCATGTATTTGTCAAACGATCCCAAAAAGTCATCATCATCGCGAAGAGAGCTGAAGTCAAGCTTGTAATTGCTCGCCAAGAAGGGAAAGACGTTTGGATCCGGATGAAGAGGCGCTGGGCCGGACACCGCAATCTGACGGGGTCGAAGAGAATCTCGATCGGCCAATGCATCATCCAAGTCCATCGTTCGAGTGGCCTCTCCCACGGGAGAAACGGCCAGCGATGGTGTACGCGATATGCTGGGGGATCGCAAAGTCTCCGGCCGGCTAGGCGCAGCGTTCAGGAACGAGTGGTCGCGTCCGTCGTCTTCCCAGCTACGGGCGAGCACAGCATCACGCTGGGGGCTGCCGCCACGGCTGCTGTCTTGAGAAGTCAAGGTAGGTTTGCTGCCGCGATGCCGGTGGGGCATGGTGTGGTTGCGTGCTCGTTTCTGCGTAGCGAAGCTGATGTCGCCGAGTGGTGAAAGAGCGAAAGCCTGGAGATTTCGCTTGTCGATAGTTTTGGGTGTGTGCTGGATGTCGGACTGCAAAAAGACGCCCTCGCGGCCGACAGTCCACAGCAGATCTTGCGAATGCCACAGTAGATCCGTCGGTGCCGACATGTACGGATGCAATTCTCGGAATGGTAGTGCTGGGCGGCGGAAGTCCCAGATATGAAGGCTCGACCGATCTTCCTCGTAAGAGGTGACGAGTTGTGTGCACATCCGTGTGCCGGCGCCATCGCCGGTGAACGACGACGACGATTCACAAGACGGCCGCCACCGGGCGTTCGTCACACGATATGGCGTTTTGATTTCCCAGCTTGCCTTTTGCCTCCGATTTGCCGAGAAGTCCCAGACACGCACGGTCTTGTCGGAGCTCGCGCTGACAATGTGTTTCCCGTCAGGGTGCCAATCGATCGCGTTGCATGTCTCGCTGTGCGCCGGAATCTTGACTTTCGCCGTCTTCAAGTTGCGCATATCCCACCGCTGCACCCATCCGCTGTCGGTGCCAAAGGCGAAATCGACTCCTTCTGTCGGAGACCACTTTACATCCCGCACTCCATCGCTCAGACCGGGGTACTTTCGTTTGCTTTGCAGCGTACTAGCCGATCTAACATCGCGCACATCCCATAACCTGACAGTACCATCTTGGCTTCCGGAAAGCAACAGATTGCCGCGATGCGGATTGAATGTCACTTTGTGCACTTGGCGGAAATGTTCATGGAGCTGTGCAGCCTGGAGCCCAGCCCGTCCCAAATCATACAAGATGATCTTTCCGCTCGAGGTCGCGGCAGCAACATAGTCACCGCAGTCGCCCTTCGCCCAGGCCACGTCGGCAATGTCGATGGTGTAAGCATGGCGCGCCTTGCCAGAAGCATGCGTAGGGTTACTCCGAATGACGCTGCGCAGGTTGATCTCCTCCGCACACACACCATTCTCAATCCTGATAGTCTTGAAGATCTCCTTGCCGCCGATGAGAGCATGCGTGCCTTTCTCGTTAATGGCCAGAGTGTTGATCTCCAGACCCGTCTTGTGGCTCGCGGTGGCGTTTTGGGAGGCACCGAGCGAAGCCAGCCGCGATTTGCCTCGATTCAGATACCGTTCTTCCTCCGGACTGCTCTGTGGGCTGGCCGCTCGGGACTGGTACCCGAAGAACCTCGTCGCTGCATCGCGTGCTCTCTGCAGCGGTCGAGTCGTTGGCAATGGTGGCGCGGCCGGGATGATGTCCTTTGTGCCAAATGGGTTGGCGGCGAAGCGCCGGGGAGTGTCACCGCTCATGGCGGCGCTTCGACGCGACCTGATGCAGGTGAAGCTCTAATTCCACTGACGTATGACTGCATACTGTCTCCTCCCCTTTGGCCAACGCAGGACAGGTCATGAGCTCGTCTACGATGCATGTACTTGATATGACATATGCCCTGGGAATAGTCGTGGGATTCAAGACACCGCTTTTGGTAACGCTCTCCCGACCTGGAGAAGAAGGCAACATCCCTTCTTCACGTACTCTTCTGTAGACAGGCGAGCCATAAGGTGGTCGTACTTCTGCCTTTTCTGATACTCGACGTATGCGGGGCTCGTGTACGTCGTATATTCTACCGAAGAATCACCACGACCTAAGGTATCTGTGTGTTCTGCTCGTCCCATCGCGCCGTGCTCTACTCTCGACAATGGTCGCAAGACTACAACCTAGCAAGCGGCCCATCTGGCCTGACCACCCCAATACAAGCCTTTGTGATGTCCTTCACACCGTTGCATCCACACAGCTGCATGCATCGCTTGAATTCCTGGTGGTAAGTTTCCAGCATCAGCTCCACGCCTTTTTGCCCGTCATGCTGCACCCATTGTCAGCTTTGTAAACGATAGACGTTGCCGACGTCGCGCTCATCACTCACCGCAAGACCCCAGAACACCGGTCGGCCCACCCAGCAGTACTCCGCACCCAGAGCCAAGGCTTTGAAGATGTCCGTTCCTGACCGTATTCCCCCATCAACATGGATCCTAATCCTCCCTGCCGCAGCCTGCACACACTCGGGCAAGACATCAATCGTCGCCGGAACCCCATCCAACTGCCTGCCCCCATGATTACTCACAACGATCCCATCGCACCCCATCTCCACCGCCTTCATCGTATCCTCCGCCGTCACAATGCCCTTGATCCAAATCTCCATCTTCGTCACGCTGCGCAGCCACGGGATTTCGCGCGCCCAGTTATGACTGTCGTCGTTGAAGCCCATGAAACTATCGTCGTGCGTCTGCTTGCGGATCCTCTCGCTATCCCAGCCTAAAATCGGGAAGCCCACGCCATCAGGCGTGCGGAAGTCGTTGCGCCACTCGTGGTACCGCACTCCGAGCACAGGCGAGTCGGCGGTAAGGAAAATGGCAGAGCAGCCACGTTTCTCCGCCTCGCGGATGATGCCTAGTTGCAACTCGCGGTTTTTGAGCGTGTACATCTGAATCACGTGGTTGATGGGCCCGACGCCCAAGCCGGCATCTCGGATGTCTTTGATGTGGAAGCTGGCGAAGGAGGAGATGGCTTGCGTGAGGCCTTTCCTTGCGACGGCGCGCGAGGTGGCGAGTTCGCCTTCTGGGTGCGCTAGGGCTTGGATGCCTGCTGGTGCTGTCCCAAGGGGGAAGGCGACTTTACGGCCGAAGCAGGTGGTTGAGGTATCAGCTTGGGAGACGTCCACTGCGGACGGGCGAGAAGTGACGATTAGCGAAATACTGGCATCTTGAGAGTGGAGCCACGCACTCAACACTCGACTGCGAACACGATACTTGTTGTACGCCGTGGAGTTTTCCGATACCGTTATCTGCTCCGTTGAGCCAGAGTTGATGAACTCTGCGCATCTTGTCAGAAACCCTTCAGCAGCCAAGCTACATTGCGAAAGAACGACAGCCTTTCGAACTCTCACCTCGAGCACCATACGGCATCTTCTTGATCGCGCTCTTCTTCAAGTCTTCAATGCACAGTATAATGCTATCCGGATCGCGCACCGGCGCCGGCGCATCTTTGTCAGACGGCATGCTGGGCTTTGCAAGAGATTTAATGGCTTTCCAAATCATAAAGAACTCTTGAGAAATAAGGTGCGGACTCAAGAGTTGATTTCTGAGGAATGCGTAGTTCTAGGCGTCCCATCGCTCGAGACCCATTGATGCAACCCTAGGTTGAGAGCGGAGTCATTGATCGACGTGGGCTGGGCGTCAGCTCGGGGCTGAAGGTGAGAGCTCGGCGTCCTGTCGTCCTTGAGCTCGACGTCAACGTTAAGCTCTCACCGACAATCACAAGAATGTTTGTTTGCGGCCCCCACGACGCTCATTCATGCGTACACGATGTCACAGAATCGGTTCGATGAGATATGTCGAATTTGAGGCACTCAAGGCGCGTCTCGATACGCCCTAATGCTCCGTGATTGCCTGCTTAAGCGCCCATCTCCATGCGCCTGCAGCGCTGTGAAGAGGCGCAGCGTAGGTCATCTATGTATTTCTTTGCCATTTCGCACCCCCTCTCTCCAAGCAGTCGATGTTCTCTTGCTCTCTTCCTCCTCTTCAAGCGGTGACAACCCTCCTTTACATCATGCCGGCGGCACGCGATCAAGATGCAGAATCTGGTGACATTGCCCTACAACGACCTCTGAACGCAATTGAGGCCACGACTCTTGCATCAGAGTCTTCAAATCCCGGCAGTCCAGGGGAGCATGTCATAGACCTGGAGGCAGCAGATGCGATATTCTCAACCACAGACAATACCGGGAATGAAGTCACGGACGCAACTTCAAGACCACGGGCAATCGTCCAAGCCTTGGCCAGGGGCACGTCTTCCATGTTCTACGTAGCCAAAACTCTGATCTGGCGAACGCCAGCAAAATCCGCTTCCGGCACAGAGCTGGAGGGAACAGAGCTGGAGGCAGTTTCGGCATCACCCGTCGCCACTCCGGACCACAGAGCCTTGAGTGGAGGGTCAAATACAACAGCACGCCCCAACACTCCGATAACGCGGGTGCGCCGCGAAAAAAGGGGCAAAGGCTATATTCTGATTTTTGAGCCGACTTTGCCAGCAGAAGCGATTGGGTCTCTTGCTCCGAATGTGATGAATGCTCGATTTGACCGCCCAGAAAAATGCAACGAACAATTCTCGGGCGAGCACGGACAGGCTTTATGGTTGGCTTTCAACTTCAGAGGTGACTACCGAGCCATAATAGTTCCTGTATTCCGGCCTTCCATGCAATGGGGTATCAAGATGGCACGAACGAGGGCATCGCGCCGAAGATTACACGAAAACAGACTATTGACCGACGACGCAAAGAACAGAATGGCAAATGAAAGAAAAGATGGAGCAAAACCAAGCATGAAGGAGGAACCTTCCGACAGCCTATCGAGCTGGCGTGACTTCGTTGACGCCAACCCCGGCGAAAAAGAGGAGAAAATCTGGGAAAGAATCCAGCGGTATTACAACCGGCACCGTCCTTGGTATCATTGCCTCTTGCCTTTCTGGCGGCCCAAAGTAGTAGTGGAGTCAACGGTGCACATTCCTCCAATGAAGGGCTCGACACTCCAAGCTCACGATTCACAGGTCGTTATACAAACTCCGCGAGGAGACGAATTCGGCGTGACACTCGAGCACGCAAATTTCGAAACAGTGCGGAAACAATCAAACGAGCGATGTGTCGAAACACTGCAAGAGCTAGATGGATACGGACTTATTGAAGGTCCTGACGACATTGCCCATCAGGAGAAGGCCTACCGTAACGAGTGCCTGGCTCGAATTGATCGCCACTACCACTTCATTGATTGCTACAAAGACCCCTCGATAGCAGGAATGCCACCCCTGCTTACCAAAGAAGGAGCCCTGGAGCCCTGTATCAAAGATCGACAGTAAGGATCCAGTGTCCTGCGATACAGAAGCGGACGGAGCTGACCAGGCACCAGAACGATCAATGAGCTCGAGTTACCCAGCGAACGCAACGGGGCGCCAGCATTTCCCCGTATGAGCGGGATCTACATCGAATACGATTTCGACATGCAGACGCATGAGTTGGAAAAGTTGGTGGTTGCGTCCTTCGCCATTGTTGTGGTGTTGGTTTGGAAAGGTGCAACGGGAGATTGGAGCACCGCGGTGGCTGTTGGCAGTTTCATTGTCGGTGTTTCAGGCTTGATCATCAAGCGAAGCCAGCGAGGAAGCCCCTTGGGCACCAAGACTATCAAGACTGACTGAACTGTGTTCGAATCCGTGGAAGGTAGGGAGGCTTTGTGGATATTCAGAAGTCATGATCGCCGGCGTTTCGCGAAGCGCTGTCCGATGTGGGTAGCCTGGAGAGCGGCGGTGCCAGCCAGGTTGCGTGACGGTGGTGATGTGTGTGGCAGTGGGGATTGCAAACGACAGGCTGGCCGCCAACAGAGCGAAGAGAAGGGATCGCAACATGGCGTTGGGATAAGCAAATGCTTATCAATGAAGCAAATTGAATGACTTGGGTGAGACGGCAATGTTTAGCGAAAGTAGAGAGCGAGGGGGGAGATGCAATGATCATATCCATTATGGCTTGGACGGCCTTCATGCAGCTCGAAGGGAGGGATGCCAAATCGGGAATATACCAGGTAATTTCCTCCTCCCATTGGAATACGAGCACCAGGTTGCTGCCGACTGGCCCAGCAGTTGTGCAACGACCGAATTCGGAAAGCGAATCTCCTCCTACCGCTGGAACACGAGGACTTTTGTCGGCGATATGCCGAGAGAGACGGAAGGGCCAGCAGTTGTGACCGCTCCATCGCTGATGTTGTAAGGCGTCAAGCAATGTCTGCGGAGTAGTATGCTGACGCGCCGCCCTAATGTCAAAAGGTTCAGTCCGGTTGTGGAAGGAGGCCTGGCTTTAAGAGAGTTTTATGACCGGGAGAGCTCATGTCCGATTGGCAAAGTCTCGGAACCCTTTATTGCGCCTAACTGCACTTCAACTTGCGGCAGGCTGGCCCGGTTTATCGAAGAACGTGGCTGGAAGGGCTGGCGGGTCGAAGACCATACCTCTCACTGACAGCTCGTCCCAAGGAAAAAAAGGCGCCCAGCTGCGGCTTCTGGGCAGCCTCAGAGACCCAGGCGAGTAGGCATCAAGGTGTCGAGGATACTGATGATTGAGGCCATTTGGAATGGGCGGGAGGCAAGGCTGTGACGTTTGCTCGTGAAACTCATGACCGGCGACGTGTCGAAAAGAGGTACATTGGCTCCGTATCACCGTACAAGTACTTTGAAGCTCAAGAATGCGCGGAAAAGATCTCTATGCAATGTTAGCAACCATGAGTAATCCACGTGCATCAGCCTGTGGAGCCCTGCCAATCGCTTGGCTGGTGGAGGTGTTTGTGAGAGTTTCGGAAGAATTGCCGCGAATTACATCACTTCTCACCTCAGACGACATTAAGTACCTTATTATTTGCTTCCACCCTCTCCTCATCACCAACGCCAGATAATCTCCACACACAGAGACTTACATCTCACGCCATCAACATTCTCCAGCCACAATGTCGGGACTGCAGGACACCAAGCCGCACGCCGCCTCCGAGCCGCACGCCGCCTTCGATGGTGGCGATACGGGTACAAGTATGATGTCGACGGCGACATGATTTTAGGAATCGAGGGTCACGATCGGGGAAAGTTCAAGGTAGCACGTACAACAAAAGCATGAGCCGGTGCTTGACCCCATGAGTCTCTACGCGCTTCTGTCGATCCCTCCTGAGCAATCATTCATCACAGATTACTCAGGCGGGTGGCAACGGAAGTCGTGGTGACTCGGTCTTGCTGAGATTATACGGCCTGAACTTGATCTGGACAATACCAGCGATTGAAGAATCATGCTTCTTGAACCCGTCCATTGATGTGTTGGCTTTCTGACTACTTTGTAGATGCTTCTATTCGACAAACGCCCAGCGAGCCCGACATGGAACCCGACCGTGAGAAGTCAAAAGCCACGCCGGACAGCGTGGCCTTTTCAATTCCTCAGTCCAGCGAAAGCTTGGATGAGACGGACATCAGCACTTTCTCCCGCTACCTGAAATCGTTTGAGCGAATGCTGGTGCGGAACAATGTCGAAGCACGGGGAGTACAGCGTGTGCTACCCTCTCAACGGCACAGCACCGAGCGCCTCGGATTCGTCCAGATGTTCATGATGTGGTATACTATCAACTTGACATCGAATATCACCACCCTTGGTATCCTGGGGCCGACAGTCTATGGCCTCCCGTTCCTGGACAGCTGCCTGTGTTCAGTCTGCGGGATGATTGTGGGCTCTCTGGCGCCAGCGTACATCGCAACATTCGGCCCGCGGAGCGGCAATCGGACCATGATCTTTGCGCGCTACACCATGGGATGGTGGCCTTCCAAGATCCTTGTGCTATTGACCCTCGTCATACTGATTGGCTACGCCCTTGTCAACGTGGTGATCGCCGGCCAGATCCTGAACGCCGTCAGCGCAAACTATGGTCTCTCTATCATCGTGGGGATCGTCATCACATCCGTCATCGTCCTGGCGGTGACTGTCTTTGGCTATAGCGTATTCCACTACTACGGAAGATACGCTTGGCTCCCGCAACTCCTCGTCACCATGATTCTAGCGGGCGTTGCCGGCCCAGACTTCAATCTCTACGCCGACCCTTCCCCGACCGACAGCGCTCTTACTCGTATCGGCAACCGGCTCAGCTATTTTGGCGTCAGCCTGGCTACAACAATCACATACAGTGGCGGGGCTGCGGACTACTTCACCTACTACCCCGAAAACTCGTCGCGTATCAAGATCTTCATCGTCACGCTAACCAGTCTCGTCTTGAGCGCCACTCCACTCTTCGTCATCGGATCTGGCTTAGGCTCTGGGGTAGCCTCAAACCAATCATGGGCCGCCGCTTTGAACCGTTCTCAAGGCGCGCTCATAATCGCAGGCCTGCAGCCGCTTGGCGGATTTGGCAAGTTCTGCGGAGTAGTGCTTTCCCTCGGTCTGATTTCCAACACCATCTCCGCAACATACTCAAGCGGCATCGACTTCCAAGCTCTGGGGCCGTACTTTGAGCGGGTACCCCGAGTGATCTGGAACATCTTTGCGGTCATCGTCTACACCGTATGCGCGATTGCAGGCCGTCAGCAACTGGCAAACATCTTTACCAATTTTCTGGCGCTCATGGGTTACTGGGTCAGCATCTGGCTTGCAATTGTGCTTGAAGAACACCTCATTTTCCGCAAATATCGCGGCCTTGGCTGGGACTGGGAATGTTGGAACGATGCGAAGAGGCTGCCTGTGGGCATCGCCGCTCTTGTTGCCTTTCTTGTGGGCTGGGCTGGAGCGGTCCTCTGCATGGATCAGGTGTATTTTGTTGGGCCTATTTCCGCTCTGATTGGCAAGGATGGTGGTGATGTGAGCTTGCTTCCCCCTCTTGTGTGCAGATTCGGTACTGACTATGCGAAGCTGGGAAACTACATCGGGTTTGCCTGGGCGGCTATCGTCTACCCTGGTCTGCGCGTGTTGGAGCTGCGACGGTACGGAAGATGATTAGGACTGGGGTTTGGCTCGTCGATGCAAGCACGCGTTCTCCGAATGAACGTGTATGCTTTTCTGCGTCGTAGAAAACCCGAGGCGATCGGTAGCTTGACGATGGGTGGTGAAAGGGTTCGTGTGAGAGTCGCCAACGCTATTGACAAGCAAACTCGGCGAGCTTGGCAGCATTTACGCGCCGTGCTTCTCCATACAGCATAGAAACATCAAACCCATCTAAGATCGCCAGTGAGGATGTCTTTGAAACAACCTGGTTGTTCATTGGTGGATGTGGATCGGCGTGTTGCAGGGGACGATACTTCGCACTACGCCGTAATTGCTCTAGCGACTCGATCTAAAACCGGCCTGCTCGTGGTTCGCGTCTCAACTTCGCCTCACGAATCAGACATACCTAAAAATGACCATCAGTCGAGACGTACGGTCGCGCTGCGTGAACTCTTGACTCCGCCCAAAAGGCGCTTCTCCTTTGGCGCTGGCCAGCTCATACGCCCCTCCGCGGCGGTGTGTGCTGCGCCCCACCCTCCGCTGTACCACCGAGACACCTCCATGTAACGATGCTCAAAGACGAGAGCATTCAACATATCTCGCCCCGACCAGCGCGTAGAAAAAGGACCAGAAGCTCACCGTGACGCGCTCCTTCCCTTTGTTCAGTGCTGAGACGTGCCTTCCTGTCTTGAAATTAGGTTTGCGTAAACGTATCACACACCCACCGAGCGAAATTGGGCAAGAGCATATAGCTCAAATTCGTCCGCCTCCGATGCCTTCTTTTCCCTCACATCACCACTAACGAGGGCAGTTCATAGCGACAAGCATGGCTGCAGCAGACGGTTTGCTCGGCGGAGACGCCGCCATCACCCAGTTCGTGGCCACGATCCCCTCGCGCTGCTCGTCTTGCAACGGCAGCGTGGCCGTGACCAAAGAGGCCCTTCTTCGCCTCTTCGACAACGGAGCAGACGAGCTCGCCGCCGTCTGCCCGTCCTGCAAGGCGGCGACGTGTCTGGGATGCGGCCAGGCGGTCACAGCAACGAGCGAGAAGCTCGGCAAGAAGGCCAGCAATGGCATCCAGCTCACCTGGCACTGTGAGGCCGCACGCCTGGCGCTCACCTGGGCCTGTCTCACCGGCTACGACGCCCGTCTGGCCGCCACGAGGCAGAGCAACGCGTCTGCGAGCCTTACGCGTACCAACAAGCGAGGGAAGTACCGCGACGACGCGGGTGTGGGCTACAGCCTCGATTCACACTATGACGATTACCCCTCTCTCACGGAAGCGCTGGATGAGTACATTGGGGCCCCAGTGGGTGTCGGGATATCCGGTCCGATGATCTACTCGCCAATTGGCCCAAACGACTCAAACTTCGCACCTTCCTGGTTCTCTCACGCGACCTTTCCGATTCTGGGTCAACCAGCGCCCGTTTCATACCACAAGGCGGCAACTGAGGCGTCCACAGCCAACAAGTCCCACAATCCCACGAACCTCACTTCGACAAGCTCTGCTGGTGCGAGTATTGTCAGGTCGCCTTCCGCACCTCCGAGTATATCGGCCAAAGCGCAGCCGCACGCGTCATCGGCTTCCAAATATCACCCAGGCCTGTCCTGGTTCGTTAACGATCTTCCAGAGCCTTCCCTTTCTGAATCCAAGAAGCCCGCCATGCCAGCGAAAGAGCTGCCGACATCTCACTCGGACGCGCCATCTCCGAAGCCTTCAGGCCCCGATACGCAGGAAAAGCCACAGAAGAAGAAAGGCTTCAAGGCCCCATCGAAATCCCCGGCGTTGTCCGAATTCTCTACCAATCCATATCAATCCCTGGATCCCTTTTACTACACGGACGCGTCAGCGGACTCCCCCGGTCCAGCGCTACCATGGTCGCAGGTGTTCGCCTCAACCAAATTTGACGCCACAACCTCATACAGCGACGGTCCGCATTCTCAGAATGAGATGCAGCAAACTTCTCATACTCAGGAGGAACATTACCCGTCGTTGACTGCGAAGTATCCATACGCACCGCCAAACGTCCACATTCCACTCAAAACAGGAGGCGCGCAGACAGGCGTAAGCCAGCTCAAGAAGCTGGCATTGACCGCGCCATCTCTCGGGTACTCGCCTCTCGACTGCGATGGCATTGAAGGCATTCATTCCAAGGATTACGCGTCGCTTCCCCCCGTCAACACGCCTTTGTTTCCCGCCGGCAAGCCGTCTGTGAACTCCCGCAAGCGACCGTCGCGTCCGCAGACTCCGGAGCGAGTGGACCCAGAAGACGCGCCGACCACAAAAGTGCTTACCGTCCTGATCGCGCTTCTTCCCTCACGCGACGAACAGCCTGTTGCAACCGCCCTGGACCAGGCGCCACCAGGTGCACTCACCACGTTGCTTCGGTGCAGCACCGTCTTTGACAAAGTAGCTGAACTCCTTTACAACGGGTCACTCGAAGATGCCGCAAAGAGGTAAGTCTACGAACCCAGCTATCTGACCCTAGCAGAATACGTAACTGACGTTTGCAACCAGGTCTGACCTCTACCACGCGCTGCTACACTTCGTGCGTTCACTCGCCTACGGTCCCGATCGCATTACCGACATCCTGTACCAAGCCCGTGCTCTCGACAAGCTCGGACACGATCTGTCCAGACTTTCTTTCGACGGTTCCACGCGTCTGCAGTTTGAACCCGACGACTACGGCAAGCCACTCAGCATCTGCATGTCGAGCTTGACAAAGCAGAGTGAGATGCTCAGGAAGACCGCGGCAGCACACCCGAACGAGTTCCTCAACGAAGAGGCGCAAGGCATACTTGCGATTTGTGCAGACATTGAGACTACCGCGGCGATAGTGGCAAACCGCGCCGTTGACCTTGGAGCCCCAGCAAAAGCATCGACTGATACGCAGAACGATCCTTATGCGTGGCAGAAGGACGTTGCCGTGTTGGCGGTTCCCGACGATGACATCCTCGCCCAGCACACCTACGCATCGGATGCGCGCCAAGTCGTACACGCGGCAGTCGGTCGTATGCGTCGCATCATCAACGAGATCACCTGCCTCAAAGCCAACCTCCCGCCCAATATCTTCGTACGCTACGGCGAATCAAGACCTGATGTGCTGAAGGTGGTTATCGTCGGCCCCGAAGGTACCCCGTACAAGAACGGCCTTTTCGAATTCGACGTGCTGTGTCCGGTCGACTATCCAGCAAGCCCGCCCAAGATGCACCTCCGAACGACAGGCGGTGGCAGGGTCGGCTTCAACCCGAACCTCTATCCGACCGGCTACGTGTGTTTGTCTCTGCTAGGGACATGGTCGGGCGAGAAGTGGCAGCCGGGAAAGAGCACGATGATGCAGATCTTTGTCAGCATCCAGGCCATGATCTTCTGTGAGGAGCCGTGGTGCAATGAGCCCGGACGCGAAGGAGATGCAGGATCGTCCCGGAGTCGGAGATACAATCGCAATCTTCATCGCGATGTCATCAGATACGGAATGCTCGAGTGGATCGACGGCAAGACAACGCAGACGAGCCCGCGAGTGAAGTACGCTTTCTCGGAACACGCCTTGTCGGAGATGGATCTGGCCACCAGCACCCCGGACACGCTACGTAGAATGCCTGCCCGGGAGAAGCCGAAGCAAAGCGCCCACGGAGTCGAATTGTTCAAAGAGGTGGTGGCGAAGCATTTTGAGACACACCGCGAGCAGATCATCAGAACGGTCAACGCGTGGGTTGCCGATCATATCCGCCACCAGCAGGCTGCGGAGGAGGATGCAGCGAGGCACTACCCGTTCTCCGATCCCTTTGACTATGACGAGGTTGGATATGCCCAGCTGTCAAAGAAGAAGAAACCGAAGAAGTCAAAGGCAGGTGGGGTGCATATGGCTCAGAGTGGTGCGCCTACGCTTGTGATGACACCGGGCGTCACTCCTGCGACATTGTACGCCAAACACATGTATCCGGAGGGAGAAGCGAAGGCATTCACAACGACAGCACTTACACCTATGGTGACGCCAGCCGTACCCCCTGCGCCGGTGTATGCCAATTACAAATACACAGAGGGAAAAGCAAAGGCATCCACGACGGCAGCACCCACGGTTACAACAAAGGCACCTACGACAGCACCTACGTTTTCTGCTGCAAAAGCACCCGCGAATACCCCAGCGCTGCCGCCGACATTGGCTCCAGCGACTGACCCGTCGACGTCACCGAGGGAGAATACCAAGACAAACGTGGAGATGGTACCAGCCGATGCACCCCTTCGCGAGCACCTGGTGCAAGCCCTGGAAGACTACAATCCCCGAGCTTCGATGCGGCGTCGTGCCCAGCGCGGTGCGATGGAAGCCGAGCCGGCGAGCCCGACGTCCGATCAGCCGGACTTTTACGCTGCATTCTCATGAGTTGGATTTGTAACTACGAACACGGGGACAAAGATGGTTCGACGACGACGATGATGTTTCGGATAGCGTGGGCGCTGGAGAGGAGTCTAGTTGTAGAAAGAAGGAGGAGATGGAGATTGTGCTTGCTTTTTGCTTTACTGGCTGCGTGAGGATTCGATTGGTTGGTGGTTTGGGCTTCTTGTGAAGTCTACCACTTGATCGCCTGGTAGTTGAGATCAGAACTGTACCTACTTCACTACGTTCCACTCTACTCTTTCTTTGAACATTCGTGACCGCCGTATGTTGTAAGGCAATGGACTGCCATCTATCAGTCAGCATGCCTGGGGGCTGCCGTATGATTGACAATATGGGAAAAACGACGGGGTTGTAAGGAACGGACGGTTTTCATTCAAGACAGCTCAAGATATCAATACACATCCACAGAACAAATGTCCATCCCCGCCACCACTCTACTCCACCTCCCACCCACTACCACCACTTGCCTTCACCTCCTCGCCTCCCACACCTCACATTTGTCCACCTGTCTCGCAGCACCCACTTCCACGCCGTGCTCCAAAAGCACACACCACCCCATCCATCTACTGCTTCTTCTTGGCGCCCGCACCACCAGCAGAAAAGCCAATACCAAAGTTGTAGGCCAGGACACCCCCAATGTTCGCCGCCATGAACAGCAGCGCCAAAATAGGCGCCTCAGCAACCACCATCCACCTCTCAGGCGCGTACGCCGCAGCGCCCGTAGCCAAGCTGCCAACACCCAACTTGCCCGCAACGGTATTCGCCGCGTTGGACCTCTTCTGGTACCACACGTACGCCGACACGGCGGCAACAATATCGTTGAAGACGGCGTGCGCAATCAGCGCCTTGACTTTGGGACGCACGGTTCCATCTGCTTCTTTGATGCCTTGCTTGGAGATGAGGACGACGGCTTCGCGCACGCCCGTCACGAGGGCCGGGAGGAGGGTGATGAGGCCTGCGGAGAGCAGGAAGTAGGAGAGGCGCGTCAGGTCGGTGGAGATGGGGAGCTTGCTGGCGAGGTTTTTGGGGAGGCGGGGGGACAGTTCGTGGATGATGTCGAGGGCGAAGCTGAGGGAGAGGAAGGCGATGGGGAAGTGGACGGTTGCTGGGTGCACGGGTTTGCTGTCGAGGGTCAGTGGTTGGTTTTCTTTTTGGGGATGGAGATAGGGGTGGTTTTGTGTAGACGTACACCATTTTGGCGGTTGGAGGACTTGGGTCTTTGCTGGGGATGTTGGGGTGTTGTTCGTCTGCCGATAGATGGTTTGAGGAACGATGAGAGATGTAAGACGGATAATAAGAGAAAGAAGAGAAGTGGGGGAAGAGTCGAGTGCGCCGTGCCCAACCTCCTCCTTGCCCCGAGCTGCGTGTGGCTGAAGGATGGCGCATCAGCCCTATTCGATGCGCTCTCATTGGTGGACGATTCCAGGGGATCCAGGAAGGCTAACGGCAAGCTCTGATTCGTGCTTGAAGCGGCTGCGCTAGCGGACGTCGGCGCTAAGGTGTACATGTAAGGCTTGGCGTCCCCCATACAGATCACGTCTGTGCACGCTGGCTGGAGGGATGGCCAAGCCTTGTCCGGTTCTGCTGCATCATCATCATCTCACGAGGCTTCACTCGACTTCCTCACAGCAAACAGCTAAAATGGGGAACATGCACGTAACTGTCTCTTTCAGACAACGTTATCTATACGTTGAAAAACGCCCGAGCCTGATCCATCAACCGCGCCGGAGCCTGGATGGACATGCTCGAAGCCTTCTCGTCATCCTGCCAGGTATAGTAGACGTCTCCCTCCTTGTACTCCTTCTTCACCACCGGCACCTCGCCTGCATATGTCCTTGCTGCGAATTTCTCCAACTTTGCGAGAATCTCCTCTCCATCCGCCAAGGAGGTGACGTGTGCACAACTCACCTTCACACGCTTGGCGACATGCTGCCATCCATCTTCGTTGCTGCGCTCTTCGGCGTCTTTGGTGGCTCTTGCATTCTCCGATCGTACGAAGACGAGGAGTTTCTGCATGCTGAAGACCTGTGATATTGCTGCGTTAATAAAGGCGATGGATGAAGACCCTTCCCACAGTGACGGCTTACCCATTCAATCAAATTGCCCTCCGCCGGGAAGATGATCGGCATCACCTCCTCCCCCTGATCATAGAAACTGTCCCCGCAGGAAAGATGCATTTCCGCATGATCATACCACGCCAGCTCATCAGGAGTATGGCCGGGCGTATGAATAATCGACAGTTCCATATCGGTCTGATAAGGCTGCGGCTCCCGCTCCTTATGCCAGAGTGGCCACTTTAGCCGCTCAAAAGACTCCGCCCAATAAGATACTTGGTACCATGGGACCGGCCTGCCGATGTACTTGAATTGGCCATGGGTTTCGAGATCGGATTCGATGAAGTCGCGGCCGGCGGAGGAGGCGATGATCTCCGTGGTGCCGCCGGCGAGGAATTGTGAGATCCCTCCGATGTGGTCGTAGTGGCAGTGGGTGCAGATGATGTAGTATTGGAGATTCCCTCCTGGGTTGAGCGGTTGGTCGTTGTTATCGCGGATGGGGTAGTTTTCGATGTATTTGCGGAGATGGATGTAGCGGTCTATAAGAAAGTGTTCAGCATTTGATCACAGTCTGTCTGCTCTCGAGTACTTCGCTCGCCGTGGGACAAAATAGGGACCGAGAAGGATTGTAGATGACAGCCTATAGCCTTCGCGGACGTCCTGTTTCCAAAATGAAGACTCGGAGTAATTGGCACCTACCCTTCTTGTGCTCCTCACTTGGCTCATCGCAGCCAGTATCACTCAAGACAACCACAGGAACCTTGGGGTGGAGCTTGACGTATATCAAAGGATGCTCCCGGAACTCGTCATCCTCGCAAATCACAAAGGTCGTTGCGTTGATCCTCTTGGTCGTAAAGGAAGTAGAAGGCGGCGCCATAGTCGGAAGAGAGAGTCAGCAATATGTGTCACGCCCTCATGATTAGAAAGGAAAGAGATATGTAGAGATGAGGAAGATGGTGTGTGACTCTGCCTGCTGTGAAGTGCAGTGGCATGTCTCAGGTCTAAGCGCACTTGGCGAGAGCGGGGTCTGCAGGCCAGCTTCACGTGGCTGGCCAAGCAGACAGACACAAACATCTCTCTCTTCACCCAACCATCCTTCTCACAAACCATCACAGCAAGCCAATAATCAATTCGCCCCCTCCTTCGTATCATACACAAACCCCACCAACTTCCGATTCATCTTCCGCGGCGGCGGCACAACCACATGCCCGCACCCGCGCTGATCGTGCGCAACCAGACTCTTAGCCAGCTGCCGCATCACCTCCACCATCTCCCGTTGTCCCGACATGACCTCGCGCATTTGACTGTTCTGCGCCTCTAGCTTGATTTCGTGGTCTTTGTTTCGCTCGAGGAGTCGGCGCAATTGCGTGCTGGTCTCTGAGACGGCGGAGTGGACTTTAGTTGCGGAGGTGGTGGTGGTGGTTTGTTGTTTCATGAGGCTTTGGAGCTGCGTGGCGTTTTGCGTGGTCAGGGTGTGGAGTGTGGTGAGATGGTGGGAGAGTTCTGAGTCTTGCTCTTCGCTTCGCTCCGATTGCATTTCGACTAGGTGTCGGACGTCTGATGTGTTGGCCTCCATTGACTGCCTTACGGCTTCGACGTGCTGGAGCAGGGGACTCAAATGAGTCTCGTCTCGCTCCGAATGCATGTTGACGAGACGCTGCACCGCTTCCGTGTTGGCTTCCATCGACTGCGTCGTGGCTTCCGCATGCTCAACCAAAGGCGAAAGGTAGATTTCGTGTCCTCCTCGACCTGCCTCTACTGCCTCTCGTGTGGCATTCTGTGATTCCACCAACCGCTCCAAGTGGCCGTTGTGCTTCTCGCCGTAGTTTTTCAGGACCTCCAAGTGTCGCTCCAATGGTTCAAGATTGAATTCCTGCCGGGGTTCCCTCGCATGTCTGTTGCCTTCTTCGATTGCGTTGTGGACCTGTTCAAGACGTTCGCCGAGAGAGGTGATGACTCGATCTTGCCCAGAACTGTTGCTCTCTCGCTCTGTGCTCGCATTCTGAGCAAATGCTTTGGTATGCTCGCTCTGCTGCTCGATAGCCACGTGGATCTGTTGGAGGGAGTCCAAAAGAGGTGACATGTCCATCTGAGGCGGAGGCTTCTTCACCTCAGATGCATAGCTACCTCCCTCCAAAAGCTCCTTAACCAATGCTGAGTTCTGCTCAACAGCCTCCAGCACGTTCTCCAGCCGCTGCGTCAAAGGCGAGAAATCGACCGGGCGAGCCGCTTCCACCATCTCTCGGGCGCTGTCCTTCCGGTCTCTCGTCGATTCTTCCATCATTGCTTGTATGCGGTCCAGATGCGCGGACAGGCGTTGCATATCCAGCTGGTCGCTGTCGTGTGTTGATACAGTAGCCTCCAGCATTTCGCGAAGTCGCTGCTCGCCTTCGTAATGCTGCTTCGCTAGTGCCTCGACGTTCTGCGAGTTCTTCTCGAGCGTTTGGTTTAGCTGAGCGAAATGCGCGGCCAAAGCGTCCATGTCAAAGGCCAGGGCTGGGCTGATACGGCTCGTCGCCTTGGCGGCCTTTCCATCGGCTGCATTCGTGCCTTCAGCTCCTCTCAACGACTCCCGTCCAACAATCTTAGCAGCCAGCTCTGCCGACTTTTGTGTATTCCTCTCCAGCGCCTCCATCATGCCAGCAATATACTCCTCCAATCTGCCCACTTCACTCCTAACCTCCGCCACCTCCTTCTTCACTTCTCTCTTTACCTCTTTCGACGACACCGGTTCATCCTCGCCACCCTTCGCAAGCACATCTCCCCAATCGTTCTGGAATGGGACCAGCGCTCCTTGCGCCGCGCCTTCCCTCGCAGCATCAGAAAAGGAGATGTACATCCACTTGCTCTTCAGATGCGCAAAAGAGGGATGGTTCCAGATCTTCGCGAGCAGATCCCCTTCCTCGTCTTCTCCACCGAAGCTAAACAGTTGCGGTCCCAGCCGCGACACATCGTTGAAGTGCTCTTGAAGTAGCAGCCACCACTCATTCGCTACAGAGGCAGAGGCGAACGTTAGGAGGTACCGGGATTGCAGATTTTCCTTCTATGGTGTATGGAAGTCAGCCAATTCCCTCGTTCTCCCCACCAGGATGTGCGTAGTAGAGGGTGTGCGTTGGTGACCACACTACCTTTCGCGCATAAGCGTAGAAGAACTTTCTCTCTTCCTCATCCTCTACCACGTCATCACCTCCCGCGCCAACGACATCAGGTAGCGTAAGGGGGCGATGCAGCGTCGTAGGTCGCCGGTGTCGCTCTGACGCCGATTTGGTGGAAGCTGATCGGACGGGATCGGTGCCTGCGACGCCTGCTTGACCATTCATCGCGGTTCCGCCATGGAGATTCCCGGTCGTGCGTCTGCGCTTCGGACTTAACCACGAGAGTTCGCGCCTGAGTGCGGGCATGGCTGTTGAAGGTCGTGACTTGAAGGAAATAGGAAGGGGCGCATTAGACCACGAAGATAATTCGCATTCTCTGCGACATATTTTTGAACCAAAGGAAAATGAAGATGTAAGGAACCACTCAAGAAGAAATAAGATGGACAATATGGAGTGTGTATATACGACGTGAGACTTGACGAAACAACCTGGCCCAGAGCCGTCCAGGGCACGGCGAGGCTGATGCAGCATGACGTGAGGAGGTCCAAGAAGTTGGCCAGGGGAGATCAAGGGACGAGGAGAGCCTGCCAATCAAGTTTCATCAGGTCGGTTCATCGTAGATCAGGCACATTGAGCATAAAATGAGGTATAAAGAGGAAATCGGGTCTGATAGAAAAGATGCGAAGATGATGGCGAGAGAAAGATTGGTGGGATGCGGAAGCGAAGCTCCAGCGTTGAAAGCCCTCCGCAGAGTCATGGCGAGATGACTGTACTGAGGGCTGATGCAGAAACAACATACGTGACTTCAATACATTATCAAGCAGCGAGTCACATACACATTCGCGCAAGTGATCAAGCTCAGATTGTCAGGATTATGGCTCATGTTCTCCAAACCCATGAGTCCATCGATGACACTGCGTGTGTTCAAACATGACTCAGCGGGATCCCGAACTATAAGAAACCCTCGCCCAAACTCCACGCATCAAAGTCGTCCCATCATCGACTTGTAACAAAGTCGTTGAACCGCAATCGCAAGCATGACGAAGATTTTCGTGACCGGCGTGACGGGGTATATCGGCGGCGATGCCATTTACGCAGTTACGCAGGCGCACCCAGAGTACGACATTACGTGCCTCGTGCGAAACAGCGACAAGGGCGCGCAGGTGGTGAAAGACTACCCAAGCTTCAAGCTGGTATATGGCGATTTGGACAGCGCGGACTTGCTCGAGGAGGAGGCGAGAAAGGCGGACATTGTCTTGAGTTTGTATCTCGATAGTATGGAAGGGAGATTGACGACTGACCGTTCCATCAGATCTGGCATACGCAGACCACGCTGGGGCGGCAGAGGCCATTATCCGCGGGCTCGGCACCCACGAACCTGAGCGGCCGGGCTTCCTCATCCACTGCTCCGGTACGGGCGTTTTGCTGATCGACGACATCAAGCGTGATACGTACGGCGAAGAGTCAGACATTGTCTACGATGACCTCGAGGGCGTGTCGAAAGTCACGTCCCTTCCAGACGACGCTCCACATCGACCTGTCGACAAGATCGTGCTCGCTGCAGGGCATACGACGGGTGATGTAGCGAAAACTGCGATTGTATGTCCGCCAACCATTTACGGCGCAGGTCGCGGCCCTGGGAATCAGCGCTCGCATCAAGTGCCCGAGCTAGCACGAAGCACGTTAGAGCAAGGACACGGGATCCAAGTGAACGCCGGCAAGGCTCGATGGAGCACGGTGCATGTGCACGACTTGGCAGACGTCTTCCTGAAGCTGGTGGAGAATGCGGCGGCGGGAGGCTCGCTGGCAGAGTGGCCGGACAAGCCCGCAGTTTGGGGAGCAGAGGGCTACTACTTCACGGAGAATGGAGAGCATGTATGGGGCGAGACGGCGAAGGTGATTGCGAAGGAGGCGAAGAAGCAGGGCTTCATTGACACGGACGAGGTCAAGTCTGTCTCTGCGGAGGAGGCGGGCAAGTTGACGACTTGGGGTCAGGCGCTTTGGGGGGCGAATAGTCGGTCGAGGGCGAAGAGGGCGAGGACAGTGTTGGGTTGGAAGCCAAGCGGGCCTCCCATTGAAGAGGGGATTGGGAGTGCGGTTGAGTATGAGGCAAAGCAGCTGGCCATCAAGCCCGGGCATGCAAAGGTTGCTGCTGGCGATGCTTAAGCCGGTCAAAGGGACGGGAGGCGAAGATTGATATATCAAAAAGTCATGCCAGAATGCTAACAGGCGGAGAATTGACAAATCGTCCCATCAATCAGATTGATGTATGTCTCCCTTGATTGGATAGAAGTGAGGATAAGGAGGTGGTGCATGCACTACTGTACAACAACCTTGACAAGCATCAAGCATCTCGTGTCGGAGTGGATGCATGAAACACGAGGAGGTGTTTCGTGTCGGACCCCTCGGCGCGTCAGTTGAGGCAGCCGCGGGTCGGCCTCAGCCACGCCCGCGTTTCACATGTCCGAAAGGGGTAAGGCGCGGAGCCGAGCAGGGCGAGTCGCGCAACGCTACGGCCGGCGGAAGGAGAAGGCGGCGCTCCGCCACACGCCCCGTCCTGCACCTGTCAAGATCCTGCTGTCACAATGTAAAGCGTACCATTCGCCGATACGAGCGATGTGTGACGGCTTGGAACGCAAAGCCCAAACGACAGCGAGGCGCCTCCTCGGGACTCCACCCAAGACCCGCCAGATCCTTCCCTCCACCGCGTCTGTCCCCCCGACCGTCCCGATACGCGCGCCACCATCGCGGCAAGCTTTCGCGCTGTCTCACTTGGCTGCAACTTTGATGTAACCTCTTTCGCCAACCCCGTATCCTTCTCCTTCTTCTTGCACATTCACTGTCCTTCCCAATGCTGCTGGATTCCGCTCCTCTCAACCCTTCGCCGCCCAGAGCATCGACAGCACCATGTCGTCCCGCAAGGACAGCATGAGACGGCGCAAGTTCTCCTTCGACATCCCCAATTTGGTAGGTCGGCGCGAGATTGCATCTGTGTGACAAACGCGCTCTCTCATACTCACTGATTATTCTCCCACAGAAGATTGGTGCGAGAAGCGAGAGCAAGAGTGTGACAAACACCCCGACCACCGAACAAGACTCCCGTCCCACCACGCCCAAAAGCGTCCGACCTCCGCTCTCCCCTCGAACCGATCACCAACTGCGCCTCGCCTGCGCCTACGTCCTCCAAGACTTCAAGCCCTCCCATCAATTGTACGAGGAACGATACGGAACGACGGAAGATGATCGGCCGCGCTTGAGTTATCCCGTGGTTGATAAAACCGAAAAGCGACAGGATGAGGTGCCTCAAGGACCCTTTCCACAGCGGACAAGTTCGCGAGCCAGACCGCAGAGAAGGCAGGAAGCAGAGCAGACGAGCATGCTCGAACTTCCCCGGATGAAGCCGACCATCAAGAGCCAGGCATTCTTCGAAGGCCTTCACATTGACTCTAAAACCCTCGATGCCCCACCTCCAATGCCAGACAAGGCCAAGATGGATAAGCTGATGGATGAGGAGATCCGCTTCGACCTGTCCAACCTGAACCCCCCAATTGCCAGTCCCGCCTTCTTCGCTGGCGTCGATGTCCAGCGATTGCGAAAAGAGCATTTGGCCATCGGCCAGACTGCGTCCGATGCTTCGAACTCGCAAGTCGGCACCGAGGCCCGCCCAGTCAAACTTCTTATGCGTTCCGCGTCCAATCCAGTGTCTACAAGAGCTGTCTTGGTCGACCATCACCCCAAGAAGTGGCCACGCGCCGAATCTGCCGACACCACAGCCTCCTCGCCACGTACCGATGGCACGGAGAATGCATGGAACCTTTCCACCGCACCAACCTCTGCGGCCGCAACACCTGCGCCAGGCTCGATGCGGCAATCGTCACAGTCCGCGCGACAAGGGTCGGAGAAGTTCCTGACGGCAGATATCGAGTGGATGCGGTCGGAGCTAGAGAGGCACAAGAGAGAACAGGACGAGGCCAAGGCACGGCGAGAGCTGGACAACCAGGTCCTTGCGAGCCTTGGGTTGAACACCGGGCCGGACGCTGCACAGCAGTCTTCCAAAACATCGGCCCAGGCCCCGGTGCGGAAACCCTTGCCGGCCATACAAGCAGACGGCCTCCTCCGAGGGAGAAAAACGAACCAGTCGATCCAAGAGAGACGCAACGTCCCACCCGTTGCACAGCTCAGCGCCACACCAAGCAGAGATGCCTCACGATCGGCGGTCAACCGACAGCACTCCGTGCCCCGGTCGGAGAATGCACAAGAGCTATATATGCGTCAAGCAGAAAGCAGCGAAAGCCAAGCAGCGAGTCGGAGAGGCAGTCAAACATCCGAGCCACGCAAACTGCGGTCTCTTTCTCGCGAGTTCCGAGAGTACTTTGGGGGCTCGTCAGATGCCGCAGTATCCTCTGGCGACGATGTCTCCCGTGCTTCGAGTCGCTCCCGGAGATTGTTCCAGTTGAATCCCCGGCCACGTGACGGCACCAGGGCGCCACTGGCCAGTATCGAGAGCAGCAAGCCGCAAAGCCGCTCGCGATCCATCGAGTCCATTCGTAGCGCTGTATCTGCTGTCGCGCCATCGCTCGACTCGGCTGCAAGCAAGTTGCGAAGCTGGAAATCATCGCGTACCGGAGAGAGTACTACGACCAACGACACTAGCAGATCGGGCTCTTCGCTCTCGAAAAGACACAGTCGGGATTTCAGTCGCGAATTACAGATGTCTCCGGACTCGCACAAGAGAGGCAAATCGTCGGTCAATCTCAATCGCGAGCTCCCGCCGCTGCCATCCATCGATCAGTGGAAGCCGGCGGAGCCCGAAAAGCCCAAGCATATCGTCTCCATGGCCAGCCCAAAGCGCTTCAGTCTGAGACTATCGGGAGGTGCTGCTGCGTCTGCTCCCAACCTTGCGGAGTTCGGCCCCGTTTCGCCTCTTCCAGGTCCGGGTACGTACACCTCCTCCACTTCTCGGATCCAGTCCATCTACAGTCGATACTCCAAAATCTCGGACGGATGGCTCCCGCCGCTTTCTGCTGGTGCCTCGCCAACTGTCCAGTCGCCGCTCCCACAGCTCGGTCAAACTGCGGACCGCTACTCCAGCATCGGTGACTCCGCAAGACCTGAATCTTTCCCCGCCTCTCCAGCATACGCAGTCGTCGATCCACGACAAGCCTCCTTCCCCGCCTCGCCTGCCTATACGACGACAGATGAACAAGCACAACAAGTGTCCTCGTCCATCCCCCCGTCCCCAGCTTACCTAACGGTCGAGTCTCAGCAGCAACGCATCCCAAGCGAGTACATGTTCCGCTCGAATTTCGGTGCCCTGCTACAACCATCGTCTCCACTTTCCGTCCCTGTCGTGCTCGACACCACCCCACCTCAGCGAGCGGTCACCATCAAGCGAAGGACAGAAGACATGTTCCTCCCCGACCTCGACGCCAGGGCGAGGAACGAAAGCAGTATAGTCGGCCCTCCGGCAGCAAGCAAGGAAGAGTCATCGTCCGGAACGCCGGCCAAGACACACATCATCAATCACTCCCGCAGCCTCGGAAAAAAGAAATCCGACAAGGCCGCGCCAGCACCGGGAATCAAGAGGCAAAACACCGCTCCAATCCTGCATTCCGCCGCCGCTGCCTCCTCCTCGCCATCTACACCATCCTCGCACTCCAAATCCGTCAGCGACGGAACCAATTTCTCGCGCGTCAAGCCAACGTCCACAGCCGCTACGCCTGAAAACTACACCCGCCTGTACGACATGGGCTACCGCAATATCGTGCAAATCCAGCCGCAAGATCGTCCTGGAGCAGGTGCCGAGATCGCCCCTGATGCTACTGCTGCTGCCACCGCGGCGGCGAAATCCGCGACGCTGTCCGTCTTGCCGGAACGCAAGGATTCCAAGCGGTGGTGGAAGAGGGGCACTTCGAAGAAGATTGCGAGGAAGGGGAGTGGGGCGCAGGCACCGGCATTGGCGCAGGTGGGCGAATACATGCACGCTGATGAGAGTGCGCCGACTGTTGTGAGGTTTTGATTCTTCTTTTCTTCTTTATCCTTGTTGCTTCGCTTTTGTTGCGACTTGGGCTTCTGTGAGTGTTGGACACGACTTTGTGCCTGCTCTGTTTGTTTTGGCTGGCGGGTTTAGCGAGCGCGGTGTTGGGGCGTTTCGTCTGGGGGTGGGGAAAAGGCATACCATTCTTGCTGATTACAGATAGGGGATTTACTGTAAACTTTGTACATTCCTTGCGGTCTGGAAATCAGCTCTCGCCGTGCCCAACGCAATCCATTTCCTCCTACCTCACTCGCCATCTCCTGTCTTCACATGCACCTGACTTATCCTTGTCAGGACGTATTGACGACGGTCGCGCAATGCACCCCAAACGTCACCTCACCTCAGCAGGCAAGACCGAACGAGTTCGCCGCCGTCGGAAATGCCATCGAACCTTCCAACATGTGAACGCACCTGGAATCAGCGCCCATCTCAACCACGTGGCGTCTCCCTTCCGATTCAACCCGAGTATCACCAGCGCTCAACATCAGATGACATACTAGAAGGACCACGACCCGGGTGCCACGCGTCCTTTTGGGAAGCAAACTTCACGAGCAATCTCGAGTCCTATTGGGAGCACGTTGAGTCGGCTGGCTTTGGATCGCATGATTGCGCGTGAGTTATCGATTCATGCATGCAGATGACGAGTGAGCAAACACGCGAGTGAGTGAGTGAGCACTTGGGTTCTTGCTCGTCTTACTTGGCCTCGAGACTCGTTGGTACAACGCCGGACGGACAGTGAGATTACTTCGATGATATTGGCATCCGACTCACTCCGTTGGCACGAGAGGAGATCACTGAGGTGATCACCCAACCACCACCACCACCAGCAGCACAACCCGTCCCTGCCAGTTGGGAATTCCCACATCACCCCACCATCCACCCACCATGTGCAAAACCTGGGGCATCAAATACTCCTGCTCGCACACCTTCTACTTCCACCTCAGCCGCTGCAGAGGCACCATCTCCAGTCGTCGGTGCGCCCCGTTCACAACCACCAAGAGCAACAGCGACGCTTTCCGCAAACCCGCCTGCTCAGCAACGCCGACTCTCACCATCTACCCCAAATCTCCATGCGGACCGTGTCAACGCGCCGAGTTGGAGGCCGCAAGCGAGGCGAAGGTCGAGGATGCGCGCGCCCGGGCTCAACGAGGGGAGGGCGGGGCTATGGATGAGGTGACTAGGATTCTGGACGAGAGGGAACGCTTGCTGTTCTGTGTGACGCGGCGGTTTCCGGGGTCGCAGTCGTTCAAGGAATTCCGGCGGCCGGAGAACGGGCTGCGAGGCAGGGAGCTGGGGGGTTCGAGGTTGAGGGTTGTGGTTTCGGCTGCGGATGAGGATGAGGATGATGTCTGGTTGGATGGAGAGTCTTACGTCGGGGCTGAGAATGAGAGTCGCGAAACGCAGGCCTGGATTGATGATTGGGCTGGTGGTTGGTCGACGCCGCATGCTGATCCTCTGCCGGGGCTGGCTTCTACGACGGAAAGCGAGGAGGCCGAGGGGGTGAAGGAATGTTGGAACGGTGATTCCGAGCGGAAGGAGGATGCGAAGCCATCGATCATACGCGACAAAGAGTGTAAGGCACTTATCGCCTGGCCTGGAAAACTGCATCACGGATTGACTTCACCCTCGACGACAGCGGTCCAAGAAACGAAAGAGGTGGATATTGATCTGCTCAATAGCTTTCAGTTCGTGCGGCTTGGAGTCATGGTCGGGTCATAGGTGCAGAAGCCTCGCGTGCGTGCTTCGGAACGTCAAGCAGGTGGCTTAAGCACGGTGGTGTGGGAGCTGGTTCACGGCGAGTGGGTGTTTGGCTATTCGGCTTCGTGGATCGAGTTGCCCGTGCATTTTGATTTTTCTTGGGGGTATCACACCTAATCTATCCTCTGTGCCCATCATCATACAGTCATTGCTTCCATCTAATGCATGCCGAGACCTGCAGCGGTCTTGATGCAATATTCCCGCTTGCTCGAATCCCCGCCCTTCTGCTGATAACTTCCTATTCGTAGCCCTCCTCGTCTCTTGAAGATTGAAGCCGGCGGATTCGTGAGAGAATCTCTATCTGGTGAAGAAGTACGGATGCTGCTGCTAGTAGCCTCCGGAGTCTCCACCAGATAGCAGACCATCCTCACCAAACCCCAGCCTGCCTCCACCCTTGTTCATTCCCCCACCACTCCCAGCGAAGGGCGAGCGCTCTTTAACCGCCTTTTCGCGCGCGACTATGTTGAATTTGCTGCTCAAGACCTGGGTTTCGGAGATTGAGCGGGTGAGGGCGGAGAGTAGGGAGGTCAAGTGGACGTCTTCTTTTTCTTTGTCGGCGGCAGTTGCGGGTGAGAGGCCTGCGGCGGAGGGGGCCGATGGGGATGCCAGAAGGGGCAGGCGGGAGAGCATGGCGTTGATGCTTCGGAGGAGGGTGTGGTTTGTCGAGTCTGGTGCGGGCTCTTTGGATGTGGCGTCCGTCAGGTAACTAGACGGCTGGCTGTTTAGGTAGGACCGGATGAGGCTCAGACGCTGGTGCAGCATCTTGATTGCGTTTGATTTCGCGGTCAGGGATGCGATGAGCTCCTCGTCTTCGGGTGACAGGATGCCAGCTGCTACTGCGCCATTTGCCCCGCCATCGGTCTCTTTCGTCTTGCCCTTCCCTTTTGTCTTCTTCTCTTTGCTGCTCGACTCTGCTGCTGACGTCGCCGTGTTTGAATCTCCCCTGGGCACTGCAGACGCAACGCCGGCTCCTGTGGCAACAAAGTCCACCCCAATCATCTCCGCATCGCCAGTCTCCACCTCGAAGCCCAGCTCGCGGAACTTGGTCTCAACATCTCCACCTTCTTGCTCTTTGACGCTCTCGTACAGGGTGATGGGCAGCTTGCCGCCCTGCAGCTGATCGACCTGCTCCGGATGGAAGAGCAGCAGCATCACCGAATCGGTCGACGTGAGCTTCTGCACTTCCTTGATAAAGCGCAGATGGATATCGCTCGGTCCTTGCGTGGGGCCCAGCATGAAGATCCCCACCAGGTCCAGGGCGGGCGCTTTGTGCACATCCTTGTACTGCTCTAGCCGCTCGTCGAACCATTCCCTGTCTAACACCACTCCGCCATCTCCTTCGCCGGTCTTGCACTCGTACGCATGCTCCAGTGTTAGACTGCGACCATGCTGTCGACCGAGGATTGATCCGATGATTGGGCCTAGCTGTTGGCGGGAAATGTGGCGGGTGATGTAGTCGCTGATGGTGAGGAGGACGAGGGGGTGTAGTTGCACGCTCAACGCCGCCTCCGACGGCTTTGTTGTGAGGAGGAGATTGGTTGCGGGGGCTTTGCTGCCCATGTTTGGCGATGCTGTGCGCGATGACAGGGTGGTCGGCGCGGGGATGGACGTGTGATGAAGGTGAAGGGTTCAATACGTTGCTTGACAGGTGCATGGCATGTCGTGCTTGAGCCTCACTTGCACATTCAATGCCAAGAAACGCGGGGCCGTTCCTGCCTGAGGCATCATATCCCCATGAACTTTACAGACTGACCGTGAATGTATACACTCGTTCCAGATATATGTACATTATTGCACGGGCTCAATCGCCCTTGTGACCATCTCCAATCTCTTAACCCGTCCACCTCTCGGAAGGCGGACGATACACCAACCCCAACCCCTCAAACACCCTCTCCTCCGCCTCCTCCATCGTCTTCGCTTTGCCGCTTCCAATGCTCCCCTCGTATCCAGACCATCCTTCCAAATCTACCACTTCCCCATTCACCCGACTTCTGACGCCACTAGAGTCAAACTTCCATCCCTTGACATTCTTCGCATACCGTCGGACGTCTCGTTGGAAAGTCGTTCCTCCGCTCCAGCCCATCACCGCGCAGCCGACTGTCCGCCAGCCGCTCACGATGATGTCCACGCGACGATGGATGTTGGGGTTCTTGGCCTTTGGATCTTTCTCCAGGTCTGCGGTTTTGTTGGGCCAGTAAGGATCTTGCCATACAACGAGCGCTTTGTCGAGGCTGTCGAAGCCATGCCCTCCTCCTGCACCACCTCCACGGTAGGGCAAAGTCTGTTGTCCTCGGCTCGTGGAGTTCAGTGAGAGAAGTAGTGTGTGAGTCACCCAGCCTTCGTCCTCCAAAGACGCCACGATATCGTTGACGATATTCAGAGTCTGCTCCTCATCAGGGTGGGAGACAATAATGTCCACATCTCCCGATGCTTCCTTGCCTCGTCGGTATCCTCCCACAATGAGACTCTGCACGCCCTCATCTCTGACTTTGACTGCATGATTATGCACGATCCGACCAATCTCCTCAACCTCGGGCCGCGGAATAGGATCCAGAAACTCCTCATAGTACTTCACTCCTATTTGTTGCACTCTGCTGAGCGTCGACCATCCAAATTCCACGATGTCGTCCAGTTCAGTCCAGCCGCGCTCGTAGTAGAACTCTCGAGCAGTCGTGGCTCCCACGCCCCAGATGTCGTAAAACAGTCGCAGAACTTTCAGATCCTCATTCGCCTCGATATCCTCGACCGCCTTCAGCTTCCCCGTATTCTTCCACTCCACAAACAAGTTCGCAACCTTGACTTCACACCCAGGGATCCTCAAGATCTCTCGCGGCCCCGCCACACGATACGGGTACGCGGCCAAAGCAGCAATACTAGTGCTGTAGGCGCGCACCCCAATTTCATCGTCGGTCAGCAGTCTCGCGAGTTTGATCTTCTTCAGTAGGTCAATGAAGTCCTCATTCGGACTGTCCCGCGGACTGGAGCGTTGACAGGCATACTTAATGCCTTTCTTCACCCACTCCGGCATTTCGGGCAAGTCGGAAGAGATGCCTTCATTGTCCGAGGTGGTGGTGGTGAGGAGCTGCGGCGCTCGATTGGAGCTGTGGCCCGCTTCCCAGCTTGCGCCGACTGACGATTTGGACATGATGTTAAACTTGCGTTTGCCGAAGCGATCTCTGCGTGCGTGGTCGGTGGGCGGAGCATCTTCCTTTGCGCGCGCGAGGATGGTTTGACTCGGCGAGGTTTGTTGATGCGGTGACGACTGGGTGCTGGGTTGTGGAGGCGTCTGTGGAATGGCTGGCTTCTCGATTGGTCGGCATACATAGGTGATGAACCCGTCAAATGGTAGGACCCTCCCAGCTGCTTTTGACTCATCCCACCATTCAGTTCGCACAACCTTGATAATGCGATCCGCTGCAGTTGCGCCAGGTGACGGTGTTCTCACCGAAGTCGCATGTTGTCTTTGCACCCGCTTAGCAGGCGGCTGATGCCGTTCACCTTCCGATGCCGTACTAGAATCATCGCCATCGGCCGCAATCGTGTTTTCATGCGTCGTCTGTGCCTCCTCGTCTTTCACTCCAGGCCCAGGCGTGACTTCCTCCGTCCACAGTCCTTTGGCTCGCAGATCAAATCGAATCCGTGGTTTCCGCAGCACCTTGGAGAGCACAATCCTCGCTTCACGCAAATCATACGTCAGCGTCGCATTCACAGTGGCCAGCTCTTCTTCCAATCTGTGTAGCTCCTCCGTGTCGAAGTGAGTTGCGGAGACGAAGATGGGTGGCAAACTTCCGAGATCCAATTGTTTGCGAGGCGCGTCTTCCAATTCGACGGTAGATGGCTCCTGGTGTGCCATTTCCAAGATGTCTCAGAGCATTCCAAGCGCTCCAAGGTGAACTGGGTCAAGATTTATCTGGTCGAGTCCAGACCTTGGCCGGAGGACTACGATGGGATGCGCCGTTCATTCTCGTCTGGTCATGCATTGTCGATCGCTAGATCAACACACGGATATCGTTGCGACGGACGTCCAGCAGTAGCTCCAGTGCTCTCACGTGCAATGGCGCGGTGACGGTGGCAACATCTGATGGCGAGTCTCATGATGTCTTGGGGGCCTCAGGCCTCGGCCCAGCGTCCCACCACTTCTTGCACCCTCTCTACCATGCTTGACCGCACTTGAGGTCACAATCGACATCTTCCTTCTGGGCTCAAAGATACATCAGAATATCACGACCGCTTTCAATATCGAATCCGGAATGTCGCGCGAACTAGCTCCTGACTGGATCTTAAAGCAAGCGCTGGACGTGCAGCACTCGGCCAACATGACTTGGCGTGCTCCCAACGGCGCGACAGCCACCAATCCAAATCCCCCAGAGACCCCTGGATTGGAACTGACGGTCATCGGCTGTGGCACCATGGGCATCGCCATTCTTGGTGGGGTCATGGACTCGCTGTCGTCTGCTCATCCGCAAGATCACGTCAGCATTCCCGGAAAGAGCGTCAGCGGCACCAGCACGCCGGCGGAACCTCTACCCGAACGTCTGCCAAACCGCTTCAATGCTTGCGTGAGGCGGCACCAGAGCGCGAAGAGAATTCAAAGCGAACTGAGCAAGTACCCGGCTTTCGACAAGATGACCATCTACGAGAACGACAATTTGACTCCTACGAAAGCCGCCGATGTCATCCTGCTTGCCTGCAAGCCTCAAATGGTTGGCGAAATTCTCGCAGATCCCGAGATGAAAAAGGCGTGCGAGGGCAAGCTGCTCATCAGTATCTGCGCTGGAGTCACTGGAGAGCAAATCTCTGCCATCCTCGGCGAAGACAATTCGTGTCGCGTGATCAGAGTCATGCCGAATACGGCGGCGGCGGTGCGGGAAAGCATGACGGTTATTGCCACTTCCACTCCTCCGCTTCCACCGCTGCTTAGCCACCTCGTCACTTGGATCTTCACGCGCATTGGCCGAGTTGTTTACCTGCCTCCCAGCACCATGGATGCATCTACTGCCCTTTGCGGCTCCGGTCCCGCCTTTGTTGCGCTGTTCTTGGAGTCGTTGGTCGCCGGTGGAGTCGCAATGGGCCTTCCTAGGGAGGAGGCCTACACAATGGCGGCGCAAACCATGCGCGGTACTACCGGTCTGGTGCTGCAGGGAGAGCATCCGGCTATCCTCAAGGACAAAGTCAGCACGCCAGGCGGATGCACTATTGGAGGGCTGTTGGTGCTGGAAGAGGGTAGCTTGAAGGGCACGGTCGCCAGGGCGGTGAGAGAAGCTACGGTGGTTGCCAGTCAATTGGGGCAGGGTAAGATTGGGGTCAATGGCCCCCGTGGGAAATGAGGCTGACGAGGTCTGATGCAATCGAGGCCGACCAATGGATGCCGCGCGCTGTGCAACACATCTAGCAGCGGCGAGATTGGATTGGGAAGGATGGTGGTCAGTTCTGGAAAGCCGGTTTGGTCTGAGAATCACGAGCTTCGTCCACTCCACGGCGCAGTGACGCCCGGGCTCTTATGATGGGTTGAATGCACTCGCAAAGTCCGGAGAGCTGCAGCATCATTGCGGCGGAGGCTAGATTAGACGGTCAGTCATCGTCCACTCTATCAGCGGTGGCATATCATAACGTGAAGCGCCATTATAGCATGTCTGTGAGCAAGTCGATCTACTTATACTCTAAATCCCCTCGCATTGCTGAAGTGATCATGAGTAAAATGTTCCTCCTGGCTGCTGACAGGTAGGTACCTGCATATGAGCCTGATGTCGAGCTTACATTTGCCCCGCATTTCCCCACTCCTGCCTTATCAGCACCTCATCCCATGCATCCACCCTTCATATCTCTAGACGACCGGTTCTCCATCTTCCACATCGTAATTCATCGTGTAGCGCTTGACACAAAATGTCTGACTTTGCAGACGGCATCGCACCGCAGCGATATCAATGCCGGCGCCGACCAGCCTACTGTGGCGGCGATAGGCGACAACCCGCAAGCGTATCATCAACACCAGCTCACCCTCGCGAACACTGGAGTCTTGATGAGGGCCGGTGGAAGACGAGTGGCAACCACTACGAGCCACGCAAATTCCCTGAAACACGGACGGCGCACGACCCAAATTTGTTCATCGAGTTCAAACGGCTTGTAGACCGTGGCTGGGATGCCCTCACTTCCAAAGGTAGCCGAGCGCTCGGCAATACGCACCGTAGATGCGGAGGAATCTCCGAGCAGCGATGGCTGGGCCGGGGCAGTGGTCCCGATTCAATCATACAACCCACAACGCGCGAAGAAGCCGTAGAGGCTACCTCGTTACTTCTCCGACTAGCGGAATCGCGAACACTGGACGTCCCGCCCAGCAAGCTGCAGGCACTCTTCCACGACAGCGAGAGCACACCGAACTCACATTTGGCATCAAACCGCGATGCCATGCTCGCCTTTGGCGGCGCATGTTACTTTCTGCCTGAGATTGGCGACAGGCTGCCTTCATCCGCTGATCTATGCCGACCGAGCAATTCCAACCCGCAATGGCTCACTATCGATTGGTTCAAGAGGAGTCCATACTCTCCTCTGCAAGCCGAATTGGAAGCAGCGCTACCGGGGCTACCTTGGAACCCCAGCTGGCGTGCCGCATTTGAGGATCTGGTCACCGTCTCCATGGGTCGTCCCATGCCCTCCGAGGAGTCTTTGAGCCGCCCATACGGGACGGAACCCGGGAGACTGCAACCCGGCATTGACTGGGTCATCAACCTTCAAGTGCAGGGCATCCTGCCACCCTTGCTGCCATCATTGTATTCGTCCGCCTTGACACGTGCGAGCCGCGACCAGGGCTTTCACAAGATCGTCGACGAAATTTGGAAATCGGATCGAGCCTACCCGGCGTTGATGGCTTGCTGGAGAGAATTCAAGTCAGACTACCGGCCTCTATCGAACTCTGATATTGACATCGCTCCTGCATCTCCAGCAGGCGTTCAAGTCTCGGCTGATAGACTTGCTGAGGAGCGCACTCAGGGACCGCAACCGGGTATTCAGTCGACCGTCAAAGTCGTCAAAACTTCACGAACGGCGGACGGCGAGGTCACTACTACTACAGTGGTGAGGCATTGCTACGAAGACGGGACGGACGAAGAGCTTGAGAGTGTTCATACGTTCAATGAGTCAGATGTGCCGATCGGGAAGTCCTAGCCCAGCCAAAGAGCAAGCCGGTCCGCGATGGCTATGTCAAGAGAGCCAGAGTGCAAAAGGAAAACAATCGAATGGCGGTATCGCTCCATGATTTGAATGTGCGTGTGCTGTCCTCAGAGAAGAGCCTTGTTCGTTCCATTGCAAAGCAGTTGAAGTGTAATCGACATCAGCATGGTTTGTGCAGAGATGCAGTCAGACGTTCTGGTTGTGGAAAGGACCGAACTTGAAACTCAGCGAAATGTGTCGAATTCCGCATTGCAGTGCCGCGTTCTTTGCCCAACTCTGGACAACCTCTACCGAACTGTGATTGGATCGACACATGCAGTACCCTGTGGAAACTTCAATACAGTCTGATTCTTTTCTTGGGGGATCTACGCCTCCGTGGCGTTCGCGATGGGGTGTCGTGGCAATGGCAAACGCGTGTAGCATTCTTCTCCTCTTCCGTGCATTGATGGGAGATCAGGGGATTGTGTGGCGATTGCCACTGGGTGTCAAATGTTCGAGGGGCAACGGCCATCGCCACAAGCGTACGTCTCTCTTCCACGGCGAGACGCGGCTTCAACAGACGGCAAGTGGAGGAGTTCCCTATCATGAGACTGCAGATAGGACTGCAGCGACGTCGGAGGAGTTGGGTTGTACTTCGGGGCAGCTTGCGGTCGCGGATGGTAGTCGCGATAGGTTACCACAATCATCCTTCTTCTGCCATTCCATCGCCACTGATGTGTATGAATCCAGTCGACACTTGATGTACTCGGAATCACGGGTTGAATTGCTCGGGTCAGAGGATGATGCACTGGATTCCCGTCCGAAAGCGGGCGAAATGCGGACGAATTGGCCATTACATGTTCATATCCTCCAAATGAGCAGGACTTCTGCCTTTGATGGATGTTAGGAGCGTGACCAGGCGTTTCGTTAGGTAGTGAAGCCTCGCAGGTGTCGTGAGAGCTTACCAACCCGCAAGGCTTGCGACCATACCTGATTAGGAAATTTGATGCTTCCAAATCCGCGGCCACTACTGAACCCGCTACTCGCTCCCTAGATACCAAAACGGGCCATGTCAGCGTCACGAAGCCACGCTTTGCTTTCGCCAATAGTGAAAGAGCGACATACTGTAGTACGAGATGTTGCACTTGGAGTGACCGATGTGTAAAAGTCTGCGAGGCGATATATTCCTCATGGCTCTGAGAACGCGGGTCGTGAAGAGCCGGCAGACGGATACATTTGCCGGGAATGCGGCGGGAATGCCAAGCACCTATGCTGCGTGCTGCTCCGTCATGCTGTCGCATTGCATCCGCCTATAGTGTAGCCTTACCATTTACAGTAATGTCCTCCGTCCTATTCGACTGCTAGCGTCGACAGCGGCCACCCTGGTGCTGGTCACGCTGCGGTTGTCGAACCCGACCTCACGCCACTGCTGCTTTCGCCATTGAACCGTGCAGTCAGTGGAGGCCTGTAAGAAGTGAATAGAACGAGCGGTGTGCATTAGCACTGAAACTGGGGACTGGGGCCATTAGGGCTCAAGAGTACACGATGGAAGCCACGCCCGCAATCACCGAATCTCGCAGCGCCGAACGCCATCTAGTCGGCCACAAGAGAAATCTGGATCTAGGCTTGCGATTTCTTAAAGGCCTTTTGAGGATTGCTCGCTGTTTCCACACTTCTCCATTGCACGATTCGTCCTGGTATCGCAGGGATGGCATCGAGATTGCGCGACTGATGAGCAGCCTTGTTGGCGTGACTAAGCCACTCGCTGTGACTAGCCTAAAGCAGCAACCAGCTTCTGGCCTTTCTGGGAGCACGACGTACACAATGCGGCACAAGATCTGCCAACATCGTGCTCATTCCCATTGCATTATTAAGCTAACTGAATATCCGGACGAAACTTATTCAGCGACGTGCGAAATCGGACGAGCCCAGATGGAACCGACTAGATCACAGGGAGGCGGAAGCACGTCGATGCTTCAAAAGAGTATTTGCCGGGCCAAGAAAACCGGCATCGAAGCGATTGTCGGGATGACATTGGCACAGTACCGCAAACAATGTCACAGGGAGAAGCCTCTTCTTCAAAGAAGAGAAAGGACGACGACGACACTGCATTTTCGTTCATCACTATATTCGACCAAGACGCCATCAAAGAGTAAGTAATCATGCCCTTCATAGGCTGCAGCTCGGTCCCGAGTCCTCGGTTCTCTGATCACATCGACTAATCACGTCGTTCTCGCAGCCCGAAGCGGCAGCAACAAGCTCGAACCCAAGCTATCAAGCATTCCTTGCAGCGCAAGCGTCGGCAATTGCAGTTGACCAACCAGAACTTCATCAACCAGACCCCAACCACTGGGAGAAGAGGAAGAGGCAGAGGCAAGGAGCGTGACACCGGTCGGGTCATTACAACATCCGCATCCTCATCGCCAGCTAGGTCGCTCTCTTCTGCGAGATCACTATCATCAGCGCAGTCCTCCTCCTCTGCCTCCGGGCCAACACAGGTCGATCCATTCGAATCGATCGCCGTCAGCGCCATTCGTTTGACGACATTGCTGCAATTCGACCAGGCTCAGTGGACGAGCGACAACCCACTCGAAGCCACCGCCCTGCCGGAAATTCTGGAGCTTCGTCGTGCCTACGATGCCGGACTGGACGATCCAGGCTTGGCTTCTGCTATCGCTATGGCATTGGTGTTTGCGGAGAACAGTGGACAGATGAATCGCGATTTCTCCACGCACAGACTAGCCGCCATACAACACATCAACGAAAAGCTATCGAATCCTGATGCAGCGGCATCGGCGGCTACCATTGGTGCAGTGCTCCTTTTGGTGGGCGTGGAGGTATGATATCCTGGGCGGCCGTGGATTGATGTGTTCTGGCTGACATGTTTCTGCGTCGACAGACACGACTGGGTGAACAAGAGACCACACAAATGCACTTGAATGGCGCACGGCAGTTGATGGGATTGTGCAATGATCGTCGCGTTTCGTTGGGTCCGTCTATCAAGAGAGCGGCCTTCTGGTAAGTCTCTAGGATCTTTTGCTGGGGTCCCAACTAACTGAACGGTGTAGGCAAGACTTATTCAGTGCGATGATCGCCGACACCTTTCGCGTGTTCAGCCATGTCACATTCCCAGAACTGCACTGGCAGCGTGACCTCACACAGCCCTCCCTATACACCATTCCAAGCGGCTTCGCCAGTCGGGGCGATGTTCTGGGCCCTCAGTTCATCGGCATTATTGGGGACATCTGCGCGTTACAGCAACAGGTTGGAGGGGAACAAGAGAGCAGCCTGGACACATCACAACTTGAGCGATTAGACAGCCAGCAGGCATGGATCGAGTCGCGACTGGAACAGATGCGCCATCAACGCGAGAACCCCCTGCTCCGCTGCTGCGTTCTCGCCGCCTTGCTGTGCGCGTACGGCCTCTTCACCGATATTTGGGGCGGCGACATTCTCGCGTCGCGCTTATCGGCACGCTTGTTAGACGAAATCCACGCAATGGACACTTGGTCTGGCTGGCAAGACCATGCGGACCTCCTCCTCTGGCTGCTGAATATCGGCACAACGTCTACCTTCGATGATACCGTGCGGCGCGCGTACGAGAAGCTGTGCAACGAGAGGCATCGCGCGCTCCTTCGACCGATCTCGAGGTCTTGGGACGAACTGGACACGCAGCTTAGGAAGTTCATCTGGTCCGACGAGGTCCATGTCGCTAGTGTCGGAGGTTTTTGGTCGTAGTGGATACCTGGTATGATAGAGATAGAGTAGCACGCGACATCTCGCAATCTTCGGCTCCATTTGTCATGCCTCAGGTGGTGCCACCGCCATGCCCGCCGTGCCGCTTCGGCACGACGTTGCCGACTGTACACGTTCATAACAAGATTTCCGGCGCCGGAACAGCGGCTCGGAAGAGATATCCCAGCTACAAGACGCCAAATAAGAACGTCCGAAGGATTCGCGACATGTGCAGTGCCCGACTTCCCTAAATCCATCAACCTGCCCTGCATATGTATGTGAGCACGCCTCGCCCCACTTTTTCCCCCCACTTCTTGCCCAAATAGGAAGTAGGCGGCTTCCTATAAGGCTTCCTGATGGAAGATCTGCTCACGTCACGGCGCTTCGCGGTCCCCTTCCCCAATTTGAATCCACACCCTGCGAAGTCTCGTGTTTAGTGCCACTGTACCCGCATGCAGGGTTTTTGCGCTCATGCAGGGCATAAGGCAGGGAAAGATGGGCTATCCTGGCATGGCGTCGACAGGGCTGTCTCGCGTGCGCTGCGAGACCGGCTCCACTTGTGGGACTTATCGCGAGAATAGAGAAACGCAGGGTCTGGAGTAGATCTCGGGGTATGCGCGGAGTCGGGCATGACAGGATGAGTCAAACTCCCGCCTTGGGTTCTCTTATCGTCTCTTCCGGCTATCTTGCTTCTGGTGGGCAAGTGAGGGAGGCAGGGCGGCAGTCTACCGCGACAAATTACTGAGGACACAGTCTTGACGACAGGCTATCATCAACAAGGTGCTGTGGAACACAAGCTAGCATTCACAAGGCGATGTGGAGAGGTCTTTTTGAGAGATTAAATTCGTTATTCGACGTCCATCCATTTGCAGACGTTGCTTATAGCACATCCATGACCATGTTAAACTGAACCAATGCTTCCACTCAGCCAAGCGTGGGTATCCAAGCCTCCCAAATCCCGTCCGTCAATCCCTCCCGCCCGTCAATACGCCAAGCAACGCCTTTTGGAGTCTACCCCAAACGCCCCCAGAAAAAGCAAGAGACGGCGAGCCGCTCACGACTTAGTGTCGACGTCGTAGCCGTCGGCCTCCGGGTCAAAGTCGTCAAAGGTGCCGCTGGCGTCGAGCAGGATCTTGAGGCCGGACTGCAGCCGCAGGTGCGCGGTCCGCAGGTTGTGATATTTGCGCTCGAGCTTGTTCTGGTCGGTCTTGAGCTTGTTGATTTGCTTCTCCAGCTGGCGGAGCTTGGTTTCTTTGCGTTCGCGGAATGCGCGCTGAGCCACTCGGTTCTGCTCGCGACGGCGCTGGGAGTTAGTTAGTGATGTGATGGTGGTGGTAGTGGTGCTGGGTTGGGGACGAGACGGGATGGTGAGACGTACCTCCTTATCGATGAATGCGGGATCAAGAATCACATCCTCCTCGGGCGAGGGTAGCTGGTACTGCGGCGTGCCTTGGGGCGAGCCTACGGTGGATGAACGAGACAAGTAGGACTGGTATGGTGGTCGTTCGTCGTGGTCGACGACATGCTCCGCGTCGCATGAGATGGAGCTCTGGAACATGGTCGATTAGAGGGAGGCAGGAAGCAACGGCGGTGGTGGAAAGAGAAGACTCACTCGTGAGCTGTGGAAGTTGGAGGGACAGTACATCATGTCGGCGTCCTGGAGATTTATGCCATCCGCCGTGGACCAGTGGCCCAAGTGGGAGTAGTCGGCGGGGAGAGGCTGGTTGTTGTGCATGGTCGATCGTAGGTGGCAAATTCGATAAGTAGAACTGCGTGACTGATCGAAAACACATTGGCGATCGATGGCGCGCGCCTCGCTTTATAACATCAAGTGGGGAGGGAGGCGGTCGGCACCTCGCCCTCCACCTGTCCGCCTTGTGCACTGCGTTGGCTATGTCAGCAGCGTGGTGCGCGGTTCATGCAGGTATCGGTGGCGGCCTGCCCCAAATAAACGTGGCGCTTATGCAGCTATCGGCGCCGGACCCGCTGAAAATAAGGCAGCGCTAATGCACAGATCGAAAGCTACGACTCCTCACCGCATGCTGGAGTGCCGTCGACAGCCCCGCCGCCCCAATCACACCACCCACCTCCATTCCACCCCGAGCCCTGAGAAGGCCGGGCGAGCATTCCTGGCCCACTAAGCCGCTTACTTAACAAGCTTCCTCGCAACTCTGGGCGGTCTGAACGCGTTCCGGTCTAGGCGGCTTTGGGCGATAGCGCGTTGCCTTGTGAACACGGCGACTGTCCATCGCAATACTTGTACGTACTCCCGCATGCATCACATGGGACGGGGGACAATTTCCCACACCACGCGGTATCGTCAAAGCTGTCAAGCCCTCCTGTCCACCATCTTCCGGCCACAAGACCAGCTGACATACTCTCACTCAGTCGGGGGGTGGAAGCTGCTGGGCCCAATCACTACGCGAGCTTCCCACGCCCTCCGGCGTAACAGCAGAATGCGTGATTTACCGACGATTCGCAGCACAAGGCCCCCTTATCTGACGACGAAGCGCTTCGGCAAGTCTGCGTGCCATAAACGGGCTCAATCACGCTCTACCAACCACCGCGCCCCCTTCCCATGAATCGCCCGCTGAATAGGCTGTTCTTTCCTTTTTGGGAATGGCAGCCTTACAGATCAAGGCGCGGGGCTTGTGCACAGCTCAGGATTTAGATAGACCAATCGATTTTCGCGCGAAATCTGCCACCTGGGCTGGTGAGTGTTTCGCAGGCCAGCCGACATCTCCTCGTTCGTACGAGTCGTCCAGTCCTGGGCAATCAGTGTACGGCCCGATCACCGTATCGTCGATCTGCCTCCACATGATCTCCCTCGTTAGTCGGTGCTACGTAGCAATGGAGCTCTGCCACCAACAACGACACGCGGTCTCCTGCGCAGGCATCCTCAGTCAAGATTGTCGGTTTCCCGGAGACCGCCGTCGCTAAACGCTCTCTACGCCAATCGACCCTTCTTCCAAATATCAACCCCACTAGGCCGGGTGTCTTGCTTTGCCCACTGCGCCGCAACCCCTAGCTGCTAAGCTGATCCATACAAGGGTTATGGGTGTGTAGAGCCGAGAGCCTCAAGCTTTCATGCACGCATCGGCGCGGCTTGTACGGTTTCCCGGCCCATGTACCCAGCAGGCCAGTCATCTGTACAGTCAGCAAATGACAGCTAGTCGTTGGCTTCGCTCGCCATCAGGACGCTGCATGACGTCTAGTAACTCTCGCCTGTTTGTGCTGTCCACGCACTCGGGCGCCAGTGAGCCGGAACTCCAGGCTCGATCCCGAATACATCCCGACTACATCCAAACCGGGCCCGGGATCGCGGTAAGGCTGTTGGTACCAGAGTGCTTTAAGCTTCACACATCTTTCTATATACGGCTGTCCTTGGCAGTCTTCAAGCTCTCGCACCAGGGAAGGAAGGCCGTCGGAAACGACGGCAGCGCATCCACGCTCTGAACGCCCAGGAAGAGCAGGAGGCTGCCCCCGGCAGGGTGAATGATCTCCAACGTTGCAATGCACACGACATGGATAAAACATGCTGCTCGGGCCTGGCCTCCAAACGGGCTCCGATCGGCCGGGTTGGCAGCCTTCTGCCCCCGTCGCCGCTGCCGCTTGAAGCCGTGAGCTCTTTCGCGGAGCCTCATGACCCTGACGCTCCCTCGCATGCCCGGCACCTGGGTCATGGTCGCTCGTCCGCTTCGGCTCTTCGGCAACAGTAGCTGTGGCAAGTGAGGTGTGCTGCTTACAAGGAGAACGTTGTAGGGGCTAATCTCTTGGCGAATGTTGGTCATTTATCGGGTTCAGAACTGGTCGTGACTGCGATAATTGGAATCTGCGGAAAGAGACAAATGATACCGTGCAGCTCCTCTGGTTGTTGGAGATCAACGATACTCATCTAGCTGTACAGTTTGTACTGTTCTCGTTCTATTTGCACAAGCACTGTACGAAGTGATGAAGGTCGATCTACAATGACACTGCTCCGCGGAGTCTTCACAGCCGGCCATCTGTACGCAATCGCTCTCCTCGGCATCATCGGCATCTCCCGTCCATCCATTGTAGGCAGAGCTCCGACACAATCGCCCCTATCAACAGGAATTCCAGACACCTCAAGCAGAAGTCCCTCACTCTCATCTCCCGTCACATGACGCTCGTACACAGTACCAATCCCCTCAAACCCGACCCGCCAGTCTCCATGCGTAGACCACCCAGCAGCAGCATGACCATGCAATTTCAAACCACACGCTCAAACCCACTCAATTGAACGAGTCCGTGTTGAACTCCTGAAGCCGCGAGAAAAGATCCGTGTCCGAATCGACATGCTCCGAACTCGCAGCTGACTCATGCTCCCCAGCGAAGCCCATCAATGACCCCGCGGCAGCATGTGCTCGCGCCGCAACGCCTCTCATGTGCGATGGCATCACGCTGAACCAGGGATTGTGCTCCATGTGCTGAGCACCCATCGATGGCGTGGGATAAGGCGTGGTCATCCCCCACGGCTGCGCCTGTGATGCGACGTGATCCCAGTACGGCGTCCGCATCCCGTACCCACGACCATCCGGGGAGAACTCCGGCAGAGGCATCTGCTGACGGCCACCCATCTCCTCGCCGCTGACAGACGGCACAGCGGATCTCGCAGCCTGCTGCTGCTGCTGCTGCAGGCGCAGGCGCCGCGTCACTTTCCCGCCTTTGGCACCGGAAATTTGGCGCGCGACGGCGGGCTGCTGGTCGCCTCTGCGCTTCGCTGCGCTCGATTTGGCGTGCTTGGGGGCTTCGCGGTAGTGGGTTGTGGGCAGCAGGCTGTTGGGTGCGAGGGCTTTGCTTGCTAGACGCCAGCAGTGCTTTTCTTGGTGGCGGTTGGTGGGGTCTGCGACGACGCGCTCGAAGGCCTGGAGAGTAGTGGGCTTAGCAGAATGTTCATGTCTTTGGTACGGTCGGGAGATGTGAGAGATTAGGGCAGGGTGGATGGATGCGTGATCGCGTACCTTGTTCATGGAGAGGTTGTGCCTGACGCTGTTGTGCAGCGCACGCGTGCTCGTCCCCTTTGCCTTGCAGCTGTTCGCCTCGATCCAGGTGTAGATTTTTTGCAGCGGGAGTGTGTTGTTCGGCGCTTCACTGAGGCATTGGTGGATGAGCCGGGCGTAGCACAGTTCCTGCGTGTCTTCGTCTTCCGCGCCTTGCTCCGCTTCCCGCTGCTGCTGCTGCTGCTGCTCCACTCCGGCGTACTGCTCGGCGCCAGACTGTTGGAAGTGCTGCATCCTCATGAAGTTCTGTGGGGATTGGAAGGTGGCAGGGAGGCCGTGGTGGATTGTGGCCTCCCTATCCTGGAAACCCAACGGAGAGGAAGACGGCGAGAGCGAGGGCAGTCCTCCGCGAGCACGCTCTGAGAATGGCGTGCCCAGTCCGAAGTCATACGGCCCTTGGAAGTCCATCGAGGGCATGCCCAGCCCGTCTCCGTAGGACAGCGCGGTGTGCGGAAGATTGGTCGGCACGAATGGGCCGGCGGAGGTGTGCTGGATGGCCTCTTGGTATGATGCGGTGGAGAAGTAGGGCGTCTGGGGTATGCTCCATGGTGCGTCTCCATTGGCCATGGACTCCGGTGTTGCCAGGTAAGCCGTGTCCCTGTCCAGCTGCAGAAACACGTCGTCAAAGGTGGGAGGCACGCGAGAGTCTAAGCGCCCCTCGTTGTCGAAGTCGATTGTTGTCGGGGTCCCAGGGAAACTGTACCCCACATAAAGATCGAAGGGGAGATCGGAAGGCATGGCGAAGACGAGGGTGTTGGTCTTCGCGATTGATCTGAATCTCTGGGACGGGGTCAAAGACAGAAGCGAGACCTGCGTCTCTGTTACGCCTGTCAAGGCGGTGACGAGCGGTGAAACGTCTGACGAGACGATCAGAAGCAAGTCCCGAAGAGCGATGGTGTCTTGAAAGGAGAAGGACTGAGCGTGGTGAAGTGTCGATGCACACTCAAGGTGAAAGGGAGGGTATGTCCGTCCTCTTGGAAAGATGTCTCTGAATGGATGTGAGAGAGGGAAAAACAGTAGAAGAACGGGAGCAGTTCTTATACACCAGAAGAGAGGCTAGCATGGAGGAGGAGCATGCCTGCGGGGGGAAATCTCCCTTCACCAATGCATCATCCTCCCTGCTGCCAACGCATGCTGCAATCGATCACAAGGAAACAAGGAAGACACGGCGTCACGAAGACGCATGCAACACACCCACGAGCATTGCATAGCGCATTGTCCAGTAGGCAAAGAGGCATTGCAGTGGCAAATGAACCAATGCATATGCAGTGGTGCAAGGCTGAAGAGCGCATGCAGCCAACAAGCTACGGCGCACAGGTAGCTGGCATTGTCTGACCGCATGGTGGCCAAGGATCGGATTGACGGCGCGTTCTGATTGAGCCTGCGACGTCAGAGCTGTATTGCGCCTACAGGCTGAGCGGAAGGGAAGCGAGGTGTATGCTACCGGCTGGCACAGCTAGGCGACAATGTTGCGTGCAGGCTGGTGGGGCGCGCTGTCTTAACGCGCACCTGTCGTTTGCCGGCATGTCGCTGCAATGCATTTCGCCGACGATCTGAGACATCGGGGCATTGTTGAAGATGTCAGGGCCCGTTGGCACGCGCACAGCCGGGTGGCCGCTCCAGATCAGCCAGCTTGCTGCGTCAAAGCGGGCAATGCCATTATTTTGAGCGCGCACATCAAGCACAGCGAACATCATCGGCATCGCAGCGTCCATAAGCGGGCCGGCTGGCCGTTGTGCAGAGCGGAGGTCAGTAAGGTGTCCGAAGGGTTCGCATGAACGATGCCGGCCTTCGCCCGGCGGTCATGTGCAGTCGCGGAATCTCTGCCCCAATCTGGCCAGAATGGCAGCATGGAATGAAGACATTGAGAGCGAGTGGGGTTGTAGTTCTGTTGTGTGACTTGAATATGGGCCATAAGCTTCTCGTGCCACGGTGTTGACACCTGTCACACCACTCCCTCGGATTTGTACCCACGTGCATTCGACGACGCGCTGGTATCGTAAAGCTGTGAATCGTCTTGAGCTCGATTCCACCCTGCGATTCAACGGGATACAAGAGGTTCTTTGCTTTACTGTATTGTCCTCCTCGGCACCGTGTTGCTAAAAACGAGCGTGGACCATGGCGATAAGGAAGGTGGAAGATATCCTGCTGTGCACGACGGTTGCACCGATTCAAGAAGACCAAGAGGCATGCACCTCACTGCAGCCAATTAGGCTACTTCCTGTAGTATATCTGTTCCACTAGTCAGCGATCGAGCTTGTACAGCACCGCAGCATATGGAAGGGGATCCATACCTTTTTGAACTGGAAGTGTAGTACCAGCATACCCTGTAAATCAATCAGCCGAGACCTTCGGCGAACAACACGTACCACACAGCAACTCACCTTATCGAAGCTGCTCTTAAAGCCCCGCTCACGTTTCGCAGAAAAGTCCCACTCGCGATCTACAATCCGAAAGGCAATATCCTCATATGGCGGGCCGGCAATGAAGCGAATCAGGCAGGTGTCGTTCTCGCCGGCTGGTGCAAAGGTCTGGCCCCGCTTCCTGCCGTTCTCTCGCTCGATTCGATATGTCGGGGCTCGTGTGTTGTCCACCAGATCCGGGTAGAAGATGTTGAACTTGTAGCCCTGCACGACCTTTGGCGGAGGATTTTCGTGGTCGTAGTGCGTTTGATTGTACTTGTTCCATTCGTACCCGCTGATGACACGATTGAAGTACCGCGGCTTGCGGGGACGATGTTGGTGAGCCCACTGAGATCTGTTCTTTGTTTCGACCTCTTCTTCGTTGGTGAACAGCTCCTCGTTGTCGTGGAGCCCGCGTGCGATTTCCCGGTCGAAAAGCGATGTGCTGGCTTGGCCAGGCCCGTTTTCGTCCTCCGTCCGGGCGCGCTTGACTCCAACCTCCCTCCCCCCGGCGGTGGGAGCACGACCCGCTCGGTTCTGCATCGGGACGTAGGCCAGCTTGGATACACCGCGTCTCTCTCTGGCCAGTTCTGCTGCGAAGGTCTGTGCGTCCGTTGATTCCAGAGCTTTGTCTTCCGGGCGCAAGCGAAGCAACGGCTCGGGATCCAACACGTGTCTCTGTTCGGAGTCGAGCTGTCCACCATCCCCAGCCCCAGAGTCTCCACCACTATCCGCCTGACCAGTCTGTGTTTTCAACCGTGCCACCAGCGCTGCAGCAGCCTCGGCCTGCTGATTCCGTAACTCGCCTAATCGTGCCTCCATAATCGATCGTGTGACATTACGTAGCTTCGCTTTTGCCTTATATGTGAGCAGGCTACTGAGCAGATGCTCCCAGTAGTCTGTATCGATGGGCTCGTTCGAGGCTAATTTTGCGTTGATCTGCTTTTCCAACTTTTCAAGTTCCGCCAAAGTCTTGGGCGCAAGGAGTTTATCGAGGTCCGAGGAGACGGAGGTGACACCGCGTGCGGATGAGTGGGTGGTTTGAGATTGACGTCGTCGGTCTCTGGCTATGGTCTTCATCATCTAGACGTCTGTTAGCATCAGCAAGCGTAATACAGGTGCGCGCATTGCACACTCACCCCCCAGTACTCTTGATTACTCCTGCTGGATTCCAGGGCAACGTATGTGTCGATACCTCGCTCCAGCTCGCTCAGCTGGGCGTCACTCAGCGAATCAAACACCGCTTCCGGATCCAGGATGGCGAGATCGGCATCTTCAAGATCATCGTCGAGCGGGTTCTTCGCGGGGTCGAGAGCGACGAGGGTCACCGCCAGCAGGTCGATGGGCTGTGCGCGACCGGCCTTGAAGCGGATCGCGGCTTTCTTCTTCGCCTGCTGTAGAACGAAGCGATCTTCCTCCGCCACCCATGCTGCTTCCTGAGTGTCCGCGGACCGTTTTGCGGGTATCGTTGATCGCGACATTCTCTGCTCCAATGTCCCACGGGCCTCTCGCGGGCGTTGTGCAGCGACGCTTCGGTCGGATCGAATGGGGAGGACTCTGCTCACGAGATGTGGAAGGGCAAAGGCACTCACTTCGAGAATGCACAAGTTGCTTGCTGCCTTCCTGAATCTCTGAATGAAGTCGGACGCGGTCCAAGCGCCGGATGAGTCAGCATTCTGGGGTCCACCACGTGCACTTCATCTTCACAACTCTCGCGAGTCACGTCGACGCTGTTTTAGCGCTGTGCTCTCTCAGCCAAGGTGTGTTTCACACGGCCCGCCGCCACGTCAGGTGTGACGCCTGCAGTACCTCGTCCTGGTGTAAGCATCGTGACATTCGCAAGAAGACGATGCCAGGTTCATACAATCCTCGTCTTCGTAGCCCTGCCGCACCGAGCTGGGAAGGGCAAAGATGTCCCACGCGGCGGTGAGTTGGAGGACTCTGACCCTTGACAACACGCACATCCCCCGACTCCTGGTGAAACGACGCTTTGCTCGTGATGGCTATGACGTGCAGGTGACGGACTTGAGTCGGGTGTGGGCGGAAGCTCTGTCCAGAGACGACATTGTGCAACGCGCTACAGAAAGGGGAAGCAGCATCGATCCCGGCGAGGACGACGAGCAGCTTGACATCTTCCTGCGGAAGATCCAGAGCGCTCTTGAGCACGAAGACGGCACGTTGCTTGACATTTCCAGTGCCAAGGATGGCACCGTCCTCCAGCTCAACGTGCAAGCGCCGCTACCACATCCGTTTCCTCCTTTCAAATGGACGCTGGACCTGGAACGCCAACCAGACCATCACATCGAGCACGAGTTGGTAACGCCACTTATTTTGCAGGCGACGCACCTCCGACAACAAGTCCAGCAACTCATCCACGAAATTCATGACAAGGACCGAGTGATTTCCAAGATATGCGATCGGCTGGAGACCTCTGGTAACGATCTTACCACCGTCTTTCCAGGTGTCTCTAATGTCAAGACTTCGCGGAAGAAAAGCCAAAGGGAGCAATTGGGTCATCACGTCAAGGGCCTCAATGACTTTGATGAGAGCGCATGGAGGCAGCAAAGTGACAGCGCAAACGTCGGCGAGCAGCCTGATGAGGAAACTCTCGATGACATCTTCCGACACCTACCATCGGGGGCATTACGTGGGGAAGTAAGCAGTTCGGGTGAGTGGTGGAGCTCGTTGAATGCTCGCCCACCCCGTCAATCCTTGTCCCGATCTACGAAAAGGGCTTCAACGAACACGGAACACCGTCCGCTATCGACACGTGCTACTAACAATGTCGTCGATGCTCTGGAGAATGGCGAGTTTCAACGTCAGGGCACTCCACCGCACTTGAAACAACCAGCCTTGAAGCCGACATCGATATCTCCCGATAGAAATGTCAAAGCGAAGAATGATGCGCCCGTGAACGACTCTCGGGATGCGCATTCTGATGGCAGCACCACAGACGAAGAAGCGGATCTTGATGCGCCTCCACCAAAAAGTCGATCAGCGCAGAGGGCTGACGCAACTGAGAGACGCACCGCGGCTTCGGCTTCGCCAAAGAGGCTCGGGGCTATTGGTGGCCGTCTACCACGTACAGTATCGCCAAAACCCGAAGATACAACGCAACCAGATGATACACCCGCTCCAAAGACCCGCGGAAAACTGGGCACCATTGGAGGCAAGACGAGCCAGGCCCTTTCAGTCGCTTCGCCACCGCGCGCGTCAAGCAGCAAGCCGGTTACCCATGAACCGTCGCCAGCGAAGCCATCGAAACTGGGTGCGATTGGGGGTCGGAAGACTGAAAAGGCGACATCATCTTCTCGTCACGCGACCGAAGAGGCTGCAGAGCCGGAAGCTCCCACTCCTGCAAGATTGGCGAGGAAGGCGGAACAGCAATCACCTCCAGCCGTTCGAGAGACGTCAGAAGAGCGAGCAGATCGAAAGAGGGATCAGCTGAAGAGAGAGCTGGAGGAGAAGGCCAAGGCGCCTTCGAAGAAGAAACGGAGATTCTAAGTATAACAACCATTTTACTTGTCATTCTCACATGTATTTTCCATTCTCCAACGTGATCACGAGCCGTTTGCCTGGGCCTGTCATCCGTTCCGACGGATCAGGTGTCACCTTGAAACCCGTCCCGAAACGAATCCGCTCCTTCCTTGTTTGTCGATAATCTCTTAGCTCCCGCTTCCCGCCCGTTGGGGCGTGCTTCCGACCCCGTGCAAAGTGACAATATCCCGCGCTCGTGGCCAACATCTCCGAACCTCCAGTCATCGACTACAAACGGCGTTTGCTCCCACTCTTTTGAGCATTGCACTTTCGATCGGGATTGCATACAACGGGCAGGATATGGTCGCGGCTTCTGGATTGAGAGTTCTGGAGTCATCGGGGAGAATGCGACTGCCTCAGCAATCATGTGTCGATATCATTGCTACTTCTTCGGAGGCTGCGGCCACCAGGAGACGCTCCTGGTCTCTTTCTGCTCGAAGGCGCCTCTGGTTGCCAACCTCGTCGCCTGCGCGCCGTCCATCCCGCTTGCTTCCAACGCCGCGCGCACGCGATGTCGCAGCAAGACCGACAGCCCTCTCTACAGATGCAGCTGGTGGCAGGAAAGAGCACCGGGCGGTGCCAACGACAACCAACCCCGTCAACACGCTTCCGCTGTCCCCTTCACCCCCTCTCCACCACTATACGCATCGCCGCTCGACAGCGAGGGCTCAGCATCCATCATTGTCCAGCCTGACATCGATACCCCATCCTTGCTAACGGAACATCACTCCCATTCTTCCCCATTCTCGCCTTCGCCGCCACCCGACATGGCTGGCTTACCCCTTTTCGGACTGAAGCATTGGATGTCTGGAGGGTCTGTGCCATCCCCCAGGCAGATCGATGCACAAGATGACACTGTCATGTCCCTCAATGTGAGAGTGAGTTCTTATGCAGCGGAAATCTCGGAAACAGAATGTCGCTGACCCGGGTGTATGGTAGCTCCAACAACGAGGAGAAGAGAACCACATCTATCGTCGACCAAAGATACCCGGTATCAGAGAGCGCACAGACGAGAGCTGCGACCTGCCACTCAGGTGAGCAACACTTCTTCCAGGCGTTCAGCCCAGCATACTGACTGCGTGTAGCAACGACATCATCCAGCATCTCGCAGAAACTTGCAACAGCCATCATGTCGGCATCAATGGCCAGAGAGTGACCTCCCCCGCCTTTACGGATATCAGCAATAGCTCCCGAGACGACCACGAAGTCAAGGCCTACGCGTTCGACTGCATCGAGGCTGAGATTGATCAATTGAAAGAGGATGTTTTGAGACTACGGGAGGAAGCCGACAATGGCCAGCCCACCGCCAACACCAACCGGAAGCCAGTTCCCAAATCCCCGGAGGCGCCTCAAGATTCGGCCGCTGCCCGATTGCAAAGGATGCATGCGGCAGAGAAGGCCGAAGCTCATCTCTCCAGCCACCCCCCTCGATCTCAACACTTGCCAACTCAAATGGACTTCCCAGCACTGGGCACCGGTCACGCCAAACCCAGCGCCATCCCCATACCCGCCGGAGAGAGCAACAGCCGTCCGACTTCGTACGCCGATGCCGCCACGACGGGCATGATGGACGCCATTGACCGTGCCTTCTCCGCCAGAACCGCCAAACGGAAGGACACGAAGCTGTCGGATGGTGCATTTCCACCGCTCTCAAATGCAACACTGCAATCCCAGACTGCCGCAAGCTCCACAGCAGGGACTCATGATACCCCTGAGAGCCAAGATGACGAGCACTGCTCCATCATCGTATCTCGTGAACAGATGGACGGCGAACTTTCCGCGTGCTGCTCTGCAGTCAATATCACAGCAGCTGCCCATGCCAACACCAGCAAGACGCTGAGACAAGCCCCACGTTTCGCTCAGCCGACTCGTTCCTCCTCACAGCGTGTGCAGGATACTCTTCGAAAAGAGGTTTCGCCGGTCTCTGCTGCCAGCACTGCCAGCGGCACTCCAGCCCGGTCGACGAAAGCTAAAGACTTGAACTTCGTCACCGACAAGAAGGCCACTCTTCGCCAGCAGAAGAGGAAATCGTTGCCTTTTGACGGGATGGCCAACGTCACTGCTCATCATTCCAGCCCCATCTCAGAACCAACCATCGTGCCTCCGAGCATTGGTACGCCTGAGTCTGACAGGTTCTCGTCTCCGGTCCACGCTACGCTGTCGAAGACAGTCGAAAGCTGGCAGTTCGACCGAAGCCCGCAGGCCAAAGACAGTACAGAGGCTCTCCACGCTGTGGCAAGTGAGGTGCATAGACAACACACTCTCCGCAAGAAAGCGAGCTCGTACATGGCTCCAACTGCCGCTGCTACTCAGCGTACAATCGCCACGCTGGGCCAGGAGAAGACGAAGCGTGATGTTGTCCGCACGAAGGCTATGGTAACGCAGACCTCGCCAGTCCGAGAAGTCCAGCAGATCGTCACGCCGACCCGTTCATGCACCATCTCTTCGGATCAGTCTTCTGTGCAGTTCATTTTGGAGCATCACCCTTCCGATGCCACTACCCCCGACAAAAGCAACGGTGTCGCCGAAGTCCAAAATCGGAAACCTGCCAACAAGTCGTTCACCGCTTCATCGCCGACTAGAGCGTCATCGCGGGCACCCAGCATGCGGTCAGCGTCTGTCAGCCCATCCAAGATCCCTCGTCGCACATCGCGAGTACCGCAAGTGTCTCAGCAGCAGACAGAGACGCAAGAAAAGCCACCCCTGCCTTCAAAGAGATCGCCCATGAAGATGGCGGAGGTTTCGAATGTCGTTCCCATGCGCCGTACGTCACGTGGCCATATCTTGCAGCCGATCATTGCTTGTCTGGATGCGAAAGGGCTGTTGAGCAAGACGACATCGGAGAATGCTGCTGTGCGGGCTCTCTTCGGCAGCGACGCTTCTAAGACTGGCGAGGTGGACTCTGGTCGCTGTGGTGGTCGCCGCTCGACTCAGGCTTCTTCCACGATGGAAATGGTGTCTCCTCAAGTTGGCGAGGCTCGCAATCATACGTCGCCCTCCAAAACGTCAGGATCCGTCGACATCGTTCAGGGAGGCGTGATGGACCGGACCAGTGGTTCCGCGCAAGTCGACGATCGCTCGGAAGTCCTCAATGGCTCTGGAGACGACATCTTTGACGGTCATCTCATGCCAGGCGACTTCCCATCGGCATCGGGTGTGTACTCAACCAGTGGATATGACGCACAAATGCAGCAGCGCAGAACGTCATCGCTCAGAGCGACTGCTAACGAGTTCACGCCTACCAGCGTCGATCGGGCGTTTTCCGGCCAGTTCAATATGCCTTCCACTTTGGCGTATCTGCCACCGGACGAGTGGTTTGCATTATCTCCCGACCAGCGGCAGGCAATCATCGAGTTGAGAACACAGACCAAGTACGGCAGCATGCACTCAGCCAACTTTCTCTCCTCCAATATCCCGATGCGGGGCCCCATCGACCCCGCCTGGACCACCAGCAGCATTCCCCAAACTGCCCTACCACCTCCCACCTTCCCCAAACTCGTCGACGAAAACGGATCTCCCAACGGCGTCCAAGCAGGCCAAGTACTTCGCCCAACCCTCAGCCCCGGTAAAAATACAGTCCAATGGGTCCTCCAAGATCTAGACGGCAAGCAAACGCCCCTGAAATTCGGCCGCGCTCCTCCCCCTTCCCTACCACCGCTCGCAGCCTACTCCTCCTCAACGCCCAGCCTCTCGCCCACCTCAGACGACACCGCACCCCTCCCAACCCCCGGTTCCCTCCCCCGCCGCTGGCACATCGACTCGGCCGTCTCGCACCGCGCTACCGCCCCGCGCTTCGGCTGGGAAGGCGGCGACGGCAAAGAAATTCGCTTCGTGGGCTACGGTCCGCACGCGGAGCGCGATTCTCCTCCTGGCGCCGGTGCGGTGGTGCACTTCAATTTTGGGGGTGTGACTGCCAGCTACGATCACGTGGGCGTTCCTAACGGCTTCCATTGCCAGTATGAGGACCCTGAGAATTTTCACTCCGACGAGGTCGCGCCTAGATCGAGGTTGCAGTGGGCGCTCAAGGCGGGGTATGAGCGGTTGCCGTGTGGGGATGTGGAGGTTGGGTGTGCTGTCGAGCACTGTGTTGCTCGTGGCGGAGGCGGCGGGGTTCATGGATCCTGTGGGACGTGTGTTGGGGAACAGCATTAAGAAGGGAAGTGTTGTTGGTGATGCGAAGGTACCTACGTGGACCATTGGAGATTGGGATGGTCTTTTGGCGCGGCTGAGAGGGAGTGCTTGGTTCATCTTGCGTTGGTTCTGGTTACGTGCGTCATTCAGGGCAATGCTCTGTTTTGAGCGGATGCGAGTGGTTTCGGGTGTGCGCGATGTTTTTGGCTTGCGTTGAGGGTGGTGCGAACTGACCTTTGAGTCTTCGTTTTTCTTATTTCGTCGAGAAGAGTGCTTGCGTGCGTCGGTTCTATACAACAGCCTTTGGCTAACAATAGCCGTTTGCGTCAAGCTTGACCAGACACATATTCCGACCATTCCCTGGCGTCCTTTCAAACCCATCCATCACATCCAGAAAGTCGTAGCTCCAGTAGAGCAGGCAACATAGAGGCGTGCACGCATCACCTCAACTCCCCCCTCCCCGCCGGATTCCGCTCCCGCCACCTCCTCTCGCGCTCCGCCTTCGCCTCCGCCTTGCCCATATCCTCATCCGTCTCCTCCATCACAGCCGTCATGACGCCCTGCGTCGGCAACTGCTCGCATTTCACCCACGGCGAATTGCGCACATACCGCAGCTCGGTGTCAATCTTCTTCACCATGCCCTCCAAATCCGCGTCTTTGCACTCGTTGTTGTGCAAGCGCTGGAAAGGTGGGTACAGCAAGCCGTTGCCGTGCGCGCGGTTCTGGAAGGCTTCCGGGCGCGGCACGATGTCGAGCGGGATAGCGTCGGGGAGCACGTTGTCCGTTGCGAGCGCTGTTTCGTGGCACCAGGCGCGCGCGACGTTGCGCGCCGTGTACCCGCCTCCGCCGAGGATGAGGAGGGGCAGGCGCGTGCGTTTGACGAATGACACGCACTCGCCGTGCTGCTTGATGTTGATGTTGAATTGGCCGAGGCGGTCGCCGCCGAGGCTGTCGGCCCCGCATTGCAGGACGATGGCGGAGGGGTTGAAGGCTTCGATTGCGCGGCCCGTCACGGCTTCGAAGAGGAATTTGTATTGTCTGTCGTCGATGCCGGAGGGGATGGGGACGTTGAGCGCGAAGTGCTCGCCTACCGTGCCTTTGAGTCCGGTGTCTGTGATGTCGCCGGTGCCCGGGAAGAACTTGTGGCCTGTTTCGTCATAAGGGCCGTAGCGGTGGTATGAGAGGGTCATGACGCGCGGCTGCCTCTGAAACGCTTCTTCCACGCCGTCGCCGTGATGCACGTCGATGTCGATGTAGAGAACACGGGGGAAGTAGCGCAGCATGTCGAGGATGGAAAGCACGATGTCGTTGATGTAGCAAAATCCGCTGGCTTCGCCGCGGTGTGCGTGATGCAGGCCGCCAGACCAGTTGACGGCGATGTCGGTTTGCTGCGTGGTGAGTTGGTGTGTTGCGGCGAGGGTGGCGCCGGTGTAGAGGAAGAGGTAGGTACTCATGCCGTCAAAGACCGGACAATCCGCTCCCGCACTGGTAGAGAGGTTGAACGGGCCCAGGTCGATGGTGTCATTTTCGTGTTTTGGGGGACAGTATTTTGCGAATCGCGGCATGGCGCAGAGGTCGGCAAAGGTTTGCGGGCTTACTTGGGCGAGGAAGTCGACGTAGTCGGGATCGTGAAAGGCGCGAACTTGATCTTTGCCGGCTGCGACGGCTTCATAGGTGTCCATGGCGTAGTGTAGTCCATATCCCAGGACCAGATGCTTGGTCAGGGTCAGGCGCCAGGGTTTCATGGGATGTGTCTTGCCGAAATGCATGTCCTCTACGCGGCTATTGTAATGAAAAGAGACCTTGTAGCCCTTGGGCCGAGTAATGCCATTCTCTTCCACACCCTGCATGATCTTGCGATTCAGTTCTTCCTCGCGCCATAATCGCTCGTCTTCATCTGTGATGGGTGGGGTGGCTAGTGGATTGGAGGGGGCATCGTCGGTGGAGTGGCCGTTGTTGAGATGGGAGGGGGGCGATTGAGGCGCGGAGCGAGAGATGGAGTCGCGCGACCACGACTGCACTATCGTATCTCTGACATGTTGGCGGGAGGGAATGTCCGGGCTCGCCATGAGCGCATGCTGGCGCAAGTCCAAGCGCTCTCACGTTGACGCGCTCCTGCAACCGGGGTCGACTGATGGATTATAAGGCCGAGTGGGGTCGAGATAGCACAGAATAGATGTCGTCGCACGAGAATCACTAGTCGTGCGCTTTGCGCAGAGGGGTATGGGCGGGAGATGAGATGATTAGAGTCGTACAGATGAGTGCGGTGCCTGCGTGAAGATGCAACTCTCCGCTAGCGCCAAACTCTCGCCAGCGGCTCTGCGGGAGATCGGCTGCTTATCTAATCCGCATCCGCCATCCGGACCCTGCATGTGTGCTTCACGTTCTTTCTCGCCTGACTCGACTTCGTCTCTTGTTATCCACCTTTCGCTTTCGACATTATCGTCGTGTCCTCACACTCCATCGCGCGCGACTTCATGCGACTCTGAAATACACAGATCGTCTTAATTCTACCTCCGTTGCGCAGTTCTCGAGCAAGCGTGCCAGTCATCGGCAGCACCTGCTGCGTCTACCTTCACTATAAAGCGGCCATACGCTGTCCAGCAAGATGAGCTTGGCAGCGCCCGAAGACGCCGCGTCGGTTCTAGAACAGTTCGTACATGATGGTGAGTGTCTGAAGGTCCTTGTCTCACGTTCGACCTTGTTTCTGACCAACTACAGTGGCCAACACTCCGGCAGAACTCACGCACCTGCTCGAGGAAATCCAAGCCAAAGACATCCAAATCCAGGCATTTCGCGACGAAATCAACAAACGCGATGCTCAGCTGCAGAAATGGGTGCGCGTGAACGGCGGGCACGTCCGTAACCCCAAGGAAGAAGCCTTTACGAAGACCATCAACGACTGCTACGACAAGTGCGAGATTCTACAGGCCGAGAAATGCGGGCTCAGCGAGAAGGCGCAGATTGTTCTCGACCGCCAGATCAAACGTCTTGACATCAACTTGCGGAGTTTGAGCATGCGAGAGGAATTTCCCGGCGACTGGAATGGCCCTAGCCTGCTCTCCGCAAGCGGCCACGCTACAGGAGTGAGCACCCCTACGCCTGCAACTACCGCGGCGCATCAGCCTCTGCAAGCCGTGAGCGGCAATGTGGGAAGTGCGGGTGGTGCTCCAAATGTCGCTCAGATGCGACTGGCTGCCCAAGCCGCCGGCGCGAGTGGGAGAACTGGCGCACCTGGCGCTCAGACGCCCACCAACGTCACACGTACCCAGCGGGAAGGCAGCAGCGAGGCGAGCAAGCGCCGGAAACTCAATACCAGCCTCTCATCCCTGCCCGCCGCATCGAGTAACCTCCGCCAATCCTCCCTTGGCCCCGGCACGCCAAAGGCAGGAACGCCCGTCCCCGCCGGCACAACCACCTCTCGAGCCGGCTCCCAACAACCCGCCCGCCCGACCGCCGGAAACAAAAAAGCCTCAACCACCATGCCACCCCGCAAAGTCGTCCCCCCACCACCAGCCAACAACCGCCGCCGCGACCGCACGCGCCCCACAACCAAAAAGTCCGACCGCAAACGCCACCTCAAATCCGGCGACCGCGCAACACCAAGCACAAACGCCTCGCACTCCTCCGGCGACGAGTCCGGCACATCGCCCACCCCCTCCTCCCTGCCTCGCTCCCAAGCCGACGGCACAGCAGACCGGACGCGCAAAGACGGCAGCGCCTCGCCCGACCACGACTCCGACGAGGACGAGGAAGACACCGGCCCGTATTGCACGTGCCAGCGCCCGAGTTTCGGCGAGATGGTGTGCTGCGACAACGACAACTGCGAGTTCCAGTGGTTCCATTATGATTGCGTGGGCATCAAGACGCAGCCCGAGGGCGAGTGGCTATGTCCGGATTGCAAGAAGTTGCCGCGCGATAAGATTGTGAAGGGCAGTCAGTGAGCGTTTGCCGTTGGACTTTGCCTCTTCTGCCATCAACTGGGGACGATGATTACTCGACACTCACGAAGATATAGCACAAAGGTAGTTCTTGGTATGCATTATTGCTCCTACAGTATACTGTTGCCGGCCTCCGTCCTTGTATGGAGAATGGTGCCGAGCTATACACAGATCCCTTTCTCGTTGCCCAGAAAAGCAAAGAACCCAACAACTCCCAAAACGATGCTAATACGCTCAAAAAACGCAAACCCCCTCAACAGCAAAAACCCACCTACCTCTTCCCCTCCTTAATATTCGTCATAGCCAACGCAGCCGGCATCTTCACTCCCGCACTACCTGCAGACGGCGGACCAGGACTCACCGCCCGACTAGGCGCCGCACTGCGATTGTGACTCATGTGCGCCTGCACCAGGTGGCCGGCCGCGAGCGCAGAGCAGAGCGACAGTTCGCCCGCCAGGACGCCGGCGGCGATGATGCGCGCGAGCTGGCGCGCGTTGTCGCCCGGTTGGCTGGGGTGGGCGCCGCGCACGCCGAGCAGGTCGAGCATGGCTGCTTGGGGCTCGAGGACGGTGCCGCCGCCTATGGTGCCGACTTCGATGCTTGGCATCGAGACGGAGATGTGCAGGGCGCCGTTGAGGCTGCGGGGAATGGTTAGTGAATGGAATTGGAGGAGAGGTGTAGGGAGGCAGAGACTTACTTCTTCATCACGGTGATGCAGTTGCTGCTCTCGACGTTTTGCGCCGGATCCTGGCCTGTAGCGAGGAAGATGGCGGTGACGATGTTGGCCGCGTGCGCATTGAATCCACCTATACTGCCCGCCATTGCGCTTCCAATCAAATTCTTCGCCGTGTTCAATTCGACAAGAGCGTTGACGTCGCTCTTGAGGTCTTTGCGCACGACGTCGGCGGGGATGATGGCTTCGGCGACAACGCCTTTGCCTCTCCCATCGATCCAGTTGATCGCGGCGGGTTTCTTGTCCGTGCAGTAGTTGCCGGAGACTGTGATGATGGCCATGTCTTCAAAGCCCGCTTCCTTCGACATGACGTTCAACGCGTGCTCCACGCCCTTGGAAATCATGTTCATGCCCATTGCGTCGCCCGTTGTCGTCTTGAAGCGCACGTACAGGTACGTGCCGGCGATGGCCGTCTTGATCTCTTGCAAGCGTGCGAAGCGCGAAGTGGAGTTGAAGGCGTCTTTCATCGTCTTTTGTCCTTCGGCGCTATCCAGCCAAAGCTTGGCCTCTGCTGCTCGGGTCAGTGTAGCGAAGCCGACGCAAGGACCCCGCGTCATGCCGTCAGCGATGAGGACGGTGGTGGCGCCACCGCCGGCGTTGATGGCTTTCGCTCCTCTGCTCGTGCTTGCTACCAACACGCCTTCCGTTGTCGCCATGGGCAGGAAGTACTTGCGGCCGTCTATTATGATCGGGCCCGCCACTCCCAGTGGCAATGGAAGATACCCAATCACGTTCTCACAACAAGCGCCGTGGACTCTATCGTAATCGAAATGCTCGTAGGGCAGCTTCGATCGTTCCAGCGTTGACGAGAATTCAGTAGTGGCCGGTGTTCGGGCAACGACTGCTCGCCGCACTTTCACGGCGCGGGTCTTGTCGCCCAAAGTCTTCTCCAATGCGTAGCCAGGTATCTTGCCCTTTAATGTAAGGTCGATGAGTTCGGAGTCCTTGAGAAGAGGTGCCTTCTTGTCCTTGAGCATCTCTTCACACTCTTCGGGGGTGCGTGTTCGTGAGGCGGATTCTGGTGTCGAACCGATTGGCAGTTTGGTGCCATCCGCATCAGCGCCGGATTCCGCGCCGTCAACGCTGGAAGAAGGGCCGGTAGGATGGCCGTTCCCAGGCAGCGCTTCCCTGCTCGGTGCCGGACTTGACGATGGAGACTGATCTGGATCGGGCTCCTTGATGCTCCACCTGGCTGCATTGAACAAGTACCCGTTCAACACCAAGCTCATCGCCAGCGCAATAATGACCCACTTGCTCAGCACAGGATCCTCGAAGCTCTTTAGTAGACTCTCGACCACTCGCCCGCCCACGGCAGAAAAGACGTAACCGTCTTTGTAATCGCCGTTCAGAAGCGACCAGTCGGATTCTTCGCGTGGTGAGTAGTGCACAGAGGGATATTGGAGCTCGTACTTGATGGGATGAAAGACGGTAACGTTGACTGCCCTTTTGTTCTTCTGGGCCTGCCCAAGAAGGAAGTCGAGGCCATTTCCGGCCACTTTGAATGGGTCCATAGGTGGTTGTGTAATGACACTGGAGAGGCCGGCAGTAGTGATGGGGTTGCTGCTCCGGCTGCTTCGGAAGGGCAAAGAGCAGAGGTTGAGCACGTTGATCAAGATGAAACCCGTGACCATGAGCACTTTGAAGCGGGGGATGCTCCCGTCCTTGACCTTCTGGCCAAAAACGCTACGATCACTGCTGCGCGAGAAGGTGTCGTCGCGGGGCCACTCGCTGCTAGACGCCACATTCTCCGCGATTCTGCGGCTGACGCCATCCTCTTCCAATGCTTTGCGAAGAGCAACGTGGCGCTTGATGCGGTTGATTTCAAGCTTGATTGTCAGGATGGAGGTGTAGAAGGTGAAGAGGAGAATGCAGTCGAAGAACAGCGTCCAGGCGGCAAGGAAGCAAAATTGTCGTAGACCGCCTTGGATCCCGGAAGCTGCGCCTGCGCAGAGGATGAGGATTTCAATGGCGTAATCTCGTACGATCTCGAACCCTCGCTCGGCCACTGCAGTCTGCACGGCATTCTGGATGGTGAAAGGGGCGTCTCCATTCGCATGGCCGTTGTTTTTGGCTTGAATAGAAGCCGACAGGACGGCTTGAGTCAGAACGATGGGCTTCTCAAAGCCGACCGTCACCACCAAGAACGGCACACCCTCTGAAAGCAGGACGACATTCTCCGGCACGCCAAGTTGAAGTGTGACCACGATGCCAAACAAGAAAGCGAAGGCGGAGGAGAACATGACGGTAGTGCCAAGCCAGAAATTCGAACCCATGCGGCGCATGCTGACGAACAGCGAGATGAAGGTGAGGTACATGGAGAAGTAGCCCAGAGACATGATGATGATGTCGAGAGTTTCTGCGTTTTTGATCAGATCGAGGAAGGAGGCCCAAGAGTCAATGAACCACTGGAAGATTCCTCCACTGCTCGCCGACTTCTTCCCCGTCTTGATGAGCCACAGCTTTCGCTCCTTCTCATCGTCGGACCCGTCTTCGAGCTCCGAGATGATCGTTTTGGGCGAGGGCACAATCTCTCTCGCGCCCTCGATGAATTGCGCAGCTGTAGAATACGGCATGGCGAATGCAAGAGTCGAGTCCGAGGAAAGCGGAGACAGAATGTTGGCACTCGAGGGAAGCGACTCTGCCCTACCGCCGGCGGGCAGGATAATGGTCTGCGCAGAGGGTGCGGTATTGGGGATACCACTGCTCACCGAGTCTTGGAAAGCCAGGGTGATCAGCGCCAGGTCGTGGTCTGCAGGGTCGACCACCCCGGTGTCCGCCAATTGCCATTTCCATGATGTCTCTGCGCTGGCATGCAGATGTCTGCTGCCGGCTGCGAGCGAGTGAAAGTCCACCTGATTCGCAGCGCTGGCCGGCGAAGGCTGGAAAAAGCCAGTATCAAGCAGATTGGCGTAGAATCCGCTGCCAATCACCACCACGAATGCAATGGTGTAGACGGGGTGTGTGCATGCTTTTTTCGAGACGGCTTGCAGCCATGGGGTGACTCGTTGATTGTAGAAGCCGGGTTTGTTCGGGTCGGTGATGTCGTAGTTGCGTCTCCACCGCGTGGGGATGAGAGAGGAGAAGAGCATGGCGGAGCGTGTATGTGGGGAGAGTCGGCAGAGACGAGGTGAGGTCGGCGGGAGGAGGGAGGGAGCTTGGTATTGTTCACGAAGACCTCGCTCTTGCAACCTTCATCTTTTACTCTTGCACGTTTCCCGACTTCAATGCCTGGTCCAGAATGAGGTGTTGATGTCGTCTTCACTTCCCTTCCAAGATCAAACCCAACCAGAGCAACTGCTCAGGGTCGGGGGAGAAAGTCGGTCAAAGGCGGGAGAAAAAGTGAGTGACAAAGCACGCCGCGCCACAGGGCCCTGCAGGCGTTGTTCGGATGCGCACAATGGCCGGCCAGATTGTTGCCTGCACACGCCACCAACCAATTTCTTGCGTTATGAATTGCTCCTCAACACTTGCGGTGTTTCATTAGCAGGGTGGGACCTCGGCGGTGAGGGAGGAAAAATGGCGTTGCGGCGAGGTACTGCCGGTACCTGCTTCATCCAGCAAGCAAGAGAGGGAAGCTAGTTCGCTTTCGGCAGGAGCGACGGACGGCGATTGGTTGCTGCACGCACCCCACGACACGGCCAAATTGAAAGGTCCACTTCACGAATTAAGTCGCAATCTTCGCTCGTCTCTCATCAAAGCAGGGCGGGTTGCGGGAGGGTATGAGCAGAGGTTGTTGTAGAAAGTCATCTGCGCATGCAAAATCTACATTTATCGTCTACGTACTGGCGGGATCTCGAAGTGCCGTGACCTTCCTACACTGCCGCGTCCTGCACCAATTTCGGCCTCGTACGATGTTGCCCCTTCGAGCTGTCGTCACCTCTGCGGCGCACAAGTACCTGACACAATTTTATGTAAGACCATGTGCGGGATGGTCACACGAGCTTTTGCGAGCAACGCTGTTATGACGGCTCACCCCCCAGTGCCTTCTTCTGAATTTCCGCGTCTTCGCTGGCGGAGACATCACCTCCCGTGACTCGGTCTACGAAATCGTCGCTCGGATTGAAGAGCATCACGTGGAAGTGCTCGACGGAATGGATGCTCTTCAGCGCCTTCCAGTTCTTGAACCAGATGACATTTTCCGCGCCGCAAACGTTGATAAACACCTCGTCGACGTAGGCTTGAATCTGCGCGCGCGTCTCGGGACTGAGATCTTCATCCGGGTCGGCATCGGAGCTGGGAGCTGCGGGCAGTTCGAACTTGGTCCAGACCACGAGATGAACGATGCGTGGGTCGATACCGTAAGGCCAGTCGTTACGCAAGATCTTCATATCGCCTACAATTGCTATCAGCTCGTGGGTGCGACGATATCGGGGTTGGAAACACATACTGTCCACGGCGAAAGGTTTGTCGACGGGCTCGAGATTCTGCCACTTCAGTCTGTGCTTCACGACAAACTCCATCACACTCCCATACTTCCGCTCCAGATTGAAGCAATATTCGCGATACCTGCGCAGATCACTCGGCATGCGCTCGAAGAGGTCCAGTCGATTTTGCAGGGTGAGGCGCTGCGCTTCTTCCCATGACAGTCGGTGCCAGTCGGCATCGCGGGTTGCCAGGATGCTTCGATCTTTCTCGTTTTCCAAAGCATATGTCAAGAAATCCGGACACTCTTGTGTCTGCAGCTCCGCCGGGACGTTGACGTTCCAGAAGTCGACGGCATTGTTTGGTTTGTCTGCCATGTCGAGGCTATGAGCGTGGTCCGGAGCTGTTGTCCAGTAAATCAACAGCCAATTCCTACAATGTCTCGAGACTGGTCATGGCGTCTAATGCAATATCGAGCGAGAGTTCTGACTGCTGTCGAGCCCGCGTTACCAACATGCTCGCATTAATTAGACGCGCATGAATGGAGTGGAGTGCTCGGTTGCAAGAGTTCCATTCCTACAGATTCTGGGACAGGGTGGAGGCCTTCTGGAAGCGGACAAGCGTGGCGCTACGAAAGAGTAAGCTCAGGATTCGGAGGCTTTTCCTCCCCTGAAAGTTTCAGGCAGCGTCGGGCGCCAGTCAAATCCCCGTCGGTCGCGCTGGCTGGCTCAGGTAATCTCAGGGGCCGCCATGCCGCGCGCACACACACGCCGCCATCACGTTGCTCTTCTCCCGCCGTTACACCCGTCCATCATCATCGTTAATACCATCCCTCCACGCTCGTTTGCATTGCCCCCCCGGTGTGGAACACCACCGTCGCATCTACACTCCAACGGGAAAGAGGAGGAAAGGGCGAGACAGCTGGACTGACTAGTCAGGCGCTCTTGAAACATCGTGCATCAACCGAGTCGCCCAGCCCGACCCGCATTCCCCTTGCCTCGTCAAGCACTCGTTTGCCGCCGCCGCCACACTCGCTCGACCGCATCTTATATATACACTTCACCCGGCTGTCACCGCCGCGCCCCGCCCGCATCCTTCCCCTCCGCAAGCCTGGCGATCCGTTGAGTAGACGCGACACTCCGGTGATGAGCAGAGTTGGCGGCTCTTCAGCCACTTCGCCCTTGTCGGCCGTCAGTAATGACTCGTCCTATCCCGCCCGTTTCCCAGCATCCAGCGCCGGCTCCATGGGTGGCATGATAGTCCCCGAGGCACTTCCTTACAGCGGAGGCCCCTACGGCGCCGCCGCGCGACCATTACGAACTTCACCCCCTTCCTCCCAACACCCCAGCAGCTCCACCGACATGTCGCGACCTTCGCATCACGGCAGCAGCATCGGCGGCGGTCGCCCGCCCTCGAGCGCCAGCTCCGTCGCGAGCGGCAGCCGTATGGGCTTTCCCAATCAGCGAGACAGCGCGAGGAGCGCCGTCAACCCGCACAACGAAGATGCGCTGCACAAGCACTACATGGCGCTGAAGCACTATCTCGCGCCGAGCCTACAGGACGATCACGGGAAGATGCGCCCGAATAGAGCGCGGGACAAGCTTCTCCGCCTCTCCGTCACTCAGTTCATGGAGCTTAGCACGGACGTGTACGATGAGTTAATACGGAGGGAAGACGAGCGTTTGCAGCGCGTAAGGGATGTCCCACACTCGCTCCCGCCCAAGCAAAATTTCCATCCCAAGCGCAATCAGGCGCGTCAGAAGCTATCCACACTGCCAATCGAGCGCTTCCGTCAACTGGCGACTGACGTCTTCTTCGAGCTCGAGCGGCGCATACCGCGCTTCGCAGTGGGCGATATGGATCGGCCGATGAGCAGCGCCAGCGGACGAGCGCCCAGCCGTGGAGGCATACATCCACCTTACGGCATGCGCGGTCCTCCCTCTGGCATGGGTGGTCCCCCGCGCCCGCTTCCGAGAACATTCCAAAGCAACACCATGGTCCCGAACAAAGGGACGATGATTGAAGATGATGAAGACGAGGACGAGTTTGCACTTGATAATGTGGTGACTGGTTTGGCGCGGCGCGACACCAATCTTAGCAATGAGCAGGCGCTGCAAGATGAGATTGACGCGCTGAAACGACAGCTTTCGGAGAAGGACGAGGAGATTGAAAAGGCCCGGACTTCGGGGCAAGGATTTGACACTCTGCGCGAAGAATTGGAGCAAAAGAATATGAATGCGCAAAAATTGAATGACGAGCTGCGGCGGGAGTTGGATCAGCTCCACAAGGACAAGACCCAGGACGAGCGCGACATTCGGGCGCAGCACGACAGGAACCTGGATGATCTGCACACGCAGATGGACGACCTTCACGCACAGCTAGAAACTCACCAGTCGGAGAGTCGCGAGTTGCGGATGCAATTGCAACAAGGCCAGCATCAACCCAGCGACTCGGAACTGCAGCGCCGCGTCGACCTCTTACAACAAGAGCTCGCCAACCAGGAGAAGCTGACGAAAGAGGTGCGGGATGAAGCAACGATGCTCCTGCAGGAAATGCGCGATTTGAGCCAACAAAACGACCAAGCCATCGAGCAGGAGGAACGGCTTGCAGCGCAGGTGGCCAAGCTCGAGAAGGATGTCGACCACTGGCGACAACGCTACGCCCGCATCAAGGCGCAGAACAAGAGCCTTCGCGCCTCGCACGTCGATCTTGGTCTACACAATTCCTTCGACGCCGGCAGCCTGCTCCGTCAACAATCCCTGGTGTCGACGGGAGGCCTAGTGAAAGACGTCGATGTGACGAGGTTCCAACTCGCCATTGAAGAACTGCTTCGCGTCGCGCGGCAGTCTGGCACCGAGTCCATGATCGACAGCATGAAGAACGTGGCCGTCAGCGTGCAGTCCATCACCTCCGTCGTCGGCACCGACGGCTACCCGACCCCTTCCTCCCCCAATTCTCCAGCAGAAAACACCAACCCCCAACCCGCCAGCGTCGCCAAACTCAAGGCCCGCGTCACCGGCACAGCCAACAGCCTCATCACGCAAACGAAACTGCATGCCTCGGCGCACGGCCTCTCGCCAGTCGCCCTCCTCGACGCCGCAGCCTCCAACCTGTCCGCGGCAGTAGTCGAGCTAATCAAAGCAGTCGGCATCCGCGCCTCGCCGCGCTCCGAACTCGACGACGCCCCTCCCGCCACCACCCTCTCCGCAGTCGACCCGCTGCAATTCCCGCGCGTAGTCGACCCCCACGAGTCCATGGGCTCCTACTACGAAGACCGCATGTCGCGCTCCGACCACGAGCCGCCGTTCCAATACGACGACCAAATGTCCGCCGCGGGCGACGAGCACCACGACCACGACGAGGAAGACGACGACGACTACTACGACGAAAGCGACTCCTTCCCCGGGCCCGCGACGCCTACCGTGCGCGTGCAGCACGACATGGCCGGCGCCGCCGGGATGCACCACGATGCGAATGTGTCGATGATGGCGCCTGCGGTGCAGATTTCTTCTGCGCCTGCGCCTGCTCCGGCGCCCGCGTCGCCGCCCGGCTCGATTGGGCGGAATAACACTTTTAAGAAGATGAATGGGTGGTTTGGATGGGGGAGTAAGGGGTCGAATGGCGAGTCGCCGATTTCGCCGACTATGGGGACGGAGTATGATCCTTATCGGTGATTGGGCTTGCCCAGGTTGTCTCGGTTTACTCGCTTTGCTGTTTGGAGATGAAGGGGGCATTTCGCTTTCACTGCTCGGCTTTACTGCTTGTTTTACTAGACCGGAATATACGGATGGATGGGGACAGGGGATATGAAGATCCCTCATCTTGCATATGGGGAATTGGATCGACGGCTTGGATGAGAGCAAATATAGACGGGGTTTTGGGTTTGGATAGATGGGTGGGGTTCTGGTTTCCTCTGGGTAAGCGGGCTGGCGTACGAGCAGAGCAGGGCCACAAGTGCCGACGCTCGCCTGTAGTATATTAGGTAACCTTCCTGCGAGTATGGTCTTCCATGGCAACTTTGACGCGCTGCATCCCGTGACGGACGCCTCCGACCTTCACTCCACCATACCCCGCTCTACTGTCGGATGAAAGCTGGAGACGAGGACGAAGGGAACGCGTTGATTCTGGGGAAGACGACATAGACACGCATGGGAAGGTTGACGCACATCGGCGTCCTCCGATATCTGGGGGATGCAGGTACCTTTGTAGGCGTAGGTGGAATAGAGGGGTCAGGTGAGGTACCTGCCCTATCGTGTACTGCTTTACGCGAGCTGCTGGATCAGCAATGAGGGGATGGCGCGTCAATCGATGATCTGGACCACGCCCATCTTCGCACTGCAACAAACGAAAGGAAGGCGAATGTGGTCGCAAAACGTCGCAATGAATCGCATTCGAGTCGAGACATACACTCGCTGATGTGCCCGGCACTTGCCTAAACCAGCCAGCGCATCCTCGTCCTCGCCCGCGTGGTGGCACGCGACACCTCGACCAATCAAGCGTTGGCCTCGCCTTATCTCCGCCACGCCGCTCAACTTCCCCACCGCCAGAGAATCTAACTAGTTCCGCCGCTTTTTCCGTGCAGGGAAGAGTAAAAGGAATGACAGCACGGCACGCGGCCTCGGTAGAGGTGGCCTAGACTGCGATTTGAGCGCGTTGAGTTGCAGGGTGCCTTTCCTTCTTATCAAGGGCCAAGACTCGGTTGCTTTTCCTATTCTTTCGAATGTGTATCGCGTCGCCGTCCGTGTGTGCGAGGGGTCTTGCTTGATATAAGGAACCGCATCTTGGCCTATCTTTTTTCTGGATTCATGACTGGCACCCGGATTTCTCAACCTTTTCACACCACATCTTAACCCACGCTCTCTCGACCCAGTGACCGGCGGGCTTCACCCGACTACCTCACAATGGGCAGCGACGAGTTCGACGTCGAGAAATCGTCGGCGGCGCATCAGTCGTCGGAGCCCGACAGCTCGAATGGCTACATTGAGCACAATGGCAAGCTGATGACCGAGGACGGCGCCGTGCCGGGCGAGACGTTCGTCATGGGCGACAGCTTTCGCGCCAAAGCCATGCGCTTCGCCGGCCGCTTCAAAATCGAGCAGCGCGGCATTGAGCGCGTGCCGGAGGATGAGCGGACGGATACTGGCTTCAAGGGGTTGCTGAACGCTGGGACGATGGTATGTTACGCCGAACAGCGCGTTGTATGCTCCTCTCCTAACGATGCGATCTCATAGTGGCTATCTGCCAACATGGTCGTCTCCTCCTTCGCCATCGGCCTCTTGGGTCGCGGCATTTGGTACATGGGCGCCTACGACGCCATGCTTACCGTGATCTTCTTCAATCTCATCGGCATCACGCCCGTCTGCTACTTCGCCACCTTCGGCCCTCGCTTCGGCCTGCGCCAGATGGTCTTGTCGCGCTTCTGGTTTGGGTGGTACGGAGTGAAGATCATCGCCGTCTTCAACTGCCTCGCCTGCATAGGCTGGTCGGCCGTCAACAGCATCGTCGGCGCCGAGCTCATCCACGCCGTCAATAGCGACGTCCCTGGCTACGCGGGCATTCTCATCATCGCCTTCTGCACCCTGCTCGTCACGCTCTTCGGATACAAAGTGGTGCACATTTACGAATTCTACTCGTGGATCCCCGCCACCATCATCTTCCTCATCGTCCTCGGCGTCTTCGCCCACACCGGCGACTTCATCAACATCCCCGCGCCCACGGGCAAAGCAGAGCTAGGCAACGTGCTTTCCTTCGGCGCGACAGTCTTCGGCTTCGCCACCGGCTGGACCTCCTACGCCGCAGACTACACCGTCTACCAGCCGCGCACGCAGTCCAAGCGCAAAGTCTTCCTCGCCACCTGGCTCGGCCTCATCATCCCCCTCCTCTTCACCGAACTGCTCGGCGTGGCCGTCATGACCGCCACAGCCGGCCACAACGGCGACAACCGCTACATGAAAGCCTACACAGAGACCCACGCGGGCGGCATCCTCGGCGAGGTCCTAATCTACAACCTCGGCACCTTCGGCAAGTTCTGCATGATCGTGCTCGCCCTCACCATCATCGCCAACAACTGCCCCAACATCTACTCCATCAGCCTGACCATCCAAGTGCTTGCGCGCTGGACCGCGCGCGTCCCGCGCTTCATCTGGACCTTCATTGCAACTGGCATCTACATCGCCATCGCCATCCCCGGCTACTCGCACTTCGAAGTCGTGCTGGAGAACTTCATGGACTTGATTGGGTACTGGCTCGCCATCTACGAGGGCATTGCGCTGAGCGAGCACTTTCTCTTCAAACGCGGGTTCGCCGGCTACCGTCCCGAGGACTACGACTCGCCGTCGAAACTCCCGCCTGGCTATGCTGCCGTGTTCGCTTTCTGCTGTGGGATTGTGGGCATGGTGACGGGCATGAGCCAGGTGTGGTGGGTGGGACCGATCGGATTGACTGCCGGGGTGAAACCGTATGGAGGCGATGTGGGCTTTGAGCTGAGCTTTGCCTTTGCGGCGGCGGCGTATTGCATTACGCGGCCGTTGGAGATTAAGTATATCCGGAGGTAAGGGAGGGTGCTTTGGCATTGATGATCCTGTGTTTGGCTGGGACGCGGCGCTTGGTAGTTTGTTGCACACACTTTACGAATGACATGAAAGTCTGAAAGTCTCACTTCGTTCCTCTGGGTATGGAAACAATCTCGTTCCTGTGGTAGAAAAAAGGCGCTCATGCAACGATAACTAAAAGTCCACGATGGCATGCAAATAAATCCTATCGTAGTTCCGCAGCGTCGGCGGTAAGACCGGCAGCATGCACCTCCTCGACCCTTCCATCCGCCGGCAGTAACCGCTCATTACCATGCAACTCCTCCAACGCATCCATGGGATGCACGCCCTCGTCCTCCTCCTCAAACTCCTCCAAATCCACAAACTCCCCCTTCTCGGGATCGTAATTGGGCATATCGGCAATAAGCCGGACATACGCCTCGGGCACCAAGCCCTGCTCACCCGTCGCGGGGTCCGAGGCGACCAGCCAGCCCTGCCCGTGCCGGTACGAGACCATGATTTCCTGGCCCTCGTCGAGGCGCAGCTCGTTGGGGTTCTCGGGTTCGAAGGCGTAGAGGGCGAGCGAGGGGCCGGCGAAGAGCTCGTCGTCTTCTTCTGATGTCGCGGTTGTGGGGGTTGGGTGGTAGTAGGGTTCTGTGTCTAGGGGGAGAGGGTCGTCGGAGTCGGCGGAGGGGAAGGGTGGCCCGATGGAGGTTCGTTGGTGGGCGAGGGTGGTTGTGGTTGTGTTTTGGTTGGTGGAGGTTGAGAAGGGGGAGTCTTTTCTTCCGTTGGTGTCGTGGGCGCGACTTCGTCGGTGGTCTGCGTGGTGATGATGGTGGTGATGCTGTCCTTCGTACCAGTGAAGTCCGCCGCCTCCATCATCTCCTCGACTTCTCCGCCGCCCGCTTTCTCTCCTTCGTCCACGTTCAAAGTCTGCCATGTTGGTGTATGATTTGCTCTTCTTGTGCTTCGCATTGTAGTAACTCAGCTCCTCGTTCAACCCAGGCTCACTCCCAAAACTCGTGCTGGGTAATGCGGCCAGTTCATCCTCGTTGGCGCTAAACATGGCCCCGCCATTGTCGCTGTACCACGACCCGGTTGACCAGCCGTCTCCGTACGATGCAGATGTCCATGAGTCGGAGGGTGCAGAGCCTCGACGCGCCGGGTGGTAGGCAGATTCGGGGGAGGGGGAGCGTGAGGGCTCGAGGACGGCGCCGTAGTGGAGGGGGTCTGAGACGGGGTATGCGAAGTCGCGTACGAGCGCGTAAGGGAGGGTAGAGGGGAAGACGGGGTATTGGAGGGAGGGCGAGAGGGCGCGCGTGGATTTCGGGGAGGAGAGGGAGTGGTGTGATGTGCGGCGATGCGCCGGGGGCGAGGGCGTGCGGGCGCGCGGGGGTGGTTGTGATTGGGATTGCGGGGTGGAAGTAGAGGGCGACTGGGAGGGCGGAGGCGGCGTGGTTGGTCTGATGCTCGTCGTTGTCGTCGGGGTGGACGGGGGAAGCATGACTTCCGCCATGGTTGAGAGGGGCGTGAGACGATGCGCCGTCGGCGGGTAAGCTGGGTGACCGCGCTGCTTTGCCTCCTCCTCCTTCCCACTCGACGACGGCTTACGACCACCACGAGTCTCCCGGCAATAGCGTCATTCGGGCGAGCGAGCAGAGCAGCTGGCGTGGAGAGGGCGCGGAGATTGGATGGAGGCGGAGAAGACGAGCACTCGCACGCGGGCAGGTGGTGCTCGGTGGGCGGCAGGGTGGAGGGTGGTGCGTGGGAAAAGCGGGCGCTAAAAATAGCGCGTAGGTCAAAGGCGCGGGGTGGGGCGGAGATTTCCAGCTGGTCCAATCCCTCTATTCTTCTACCTTAATCCTCTCTCCTATCCCTACGCTAATCGTCGCCTAGCTGTATAGGCGAGTGAGCAGTGTCAGATGGTCGACTGAGAACGGCGTCAACGAGCGCTAGTCGGCTCCATCTCTTGCATCAACCGCTGCGAGAGGTGAATGCGAGACGACGGTATACTGTCGAAGCTTCTTTCTCGTCGCCGATCCCCACGGCTAGAAGCGCACCAACGTTTCAGCCTAGCGCTAGGCCACTTGCGGAGCTGAATGAAGTAGATGAAACCTATTTCCATCAACCTAAACGTGCACCGTCTTGCAGTCGCACAACATCCACCAACCACCCACTCCGCTGCGGCCATGCTCTGCTTCTGGTCTTGCACGCAGTAGTTCGCGTTCCACAGATGGCGTTGGCACGACATCTCGCCGATTTCTTGCACAAGCGACAGCCGCCCAAGACCTTTTGTCCGTCTGAGGTGGCGCGTGCACTGACTCGTGAGGAGTTGAGCGAACTGGGCTATCAAGAGTGGCGAGATGCCATGTCCGATATTCGCCAGTTGGCCGCGGAGATGAGGGAGGATGGAGCGTGCGAGATTTTGCAAAGGGGCGAGGTTGTTGGGAGGGATGTTGCCGTGGATGAGATCAAGGGACCTATTCGCATTCGACGGAAAGAGGATTGATCGGATTGCTCCTCGTCCTGTTGCGCTACCGCGAAGACACCCACTTCTATCCCTCGGCCAATCGCTCATAATACTGCCAGTGGACTCCTCCGACGGGGATCCCCTTGGGACGAATGAGGGCTTCTACGCCAAAGAATGCATTGACATCGACACCGAAGAGCATCACCGATGCAGCTCAAGCATGAGGCTCTTCTCAAACCCCCTGGACTTCGAAACCATCAACCCATTTCACAGACATGTGACGAAGCCAGAAATAGAATCTTCGCGAGGAGATGATTCCATGGTGAGGCACACAGGTCACGTCGAATCGATTTCAGTCGGACAGTCACTAGCCTCGCAGATCAAGGTGCGATTGAATAATTTCTAGAGATCCGACAACCCTGAGCATGACAGTCTACATCAAATGCCATCCTGCCGTACATCAAAAGTTTACGCCGTCGTAGTAAGCCCGTGTCGCCTCTCGGGCCGGACCTCGGCTGGCTGCTGATCCGACCTCGGCCAGTCAGAGGCGTCGAATGCAACACTTCCACTCCAGAAATCATCGACGCGGGCCGGATTAGTAGTGAAATGCCAGCATGAGATGTTGCCAGTCCCACGATTCGCGTCTCATCAACTAGCACGACCGTCTACGCGCTTGCTCCTGACCGCCAGCAACACACGCGCGCCTGGCCGTCTCCGCAAATCCCATCAGCCGCTGCGGCCATACAGCGACAACCCCTTCACCATGCCTCCCAAACCCAAGAAGGAAATCGGCGTGCCGCGCCCCAGCTCCAGCGTTCTGCTCATCTCCCCCAACAACCAGCTCCTCCTGCTCCAACGCGTCAAACAGTCCTCCTCTTTCCCCTCCGCTCACGTCTTCCCCGGAGGCAACGTCTCCGAACAACACGACGGCGCCGTCCCCGGCCCAGACTCGCCGCAACGCCACGTGGACAACGACGCCTACCGCATGGCCGCCATCCGCGAGTGCTTCGAGGAATCCGGCATCCTGCTCGCGCGCAACAACGGTTTCGGCCGCCTGATCGAGCTGCCCGAAGCGGAGCGCGAAGCCGGGCGGAAAGCAATCCACTCTAACACCGCTTCGTTCCCGCAGTGGCTGGCGCAGAAAGGCGGGCGCGCGGACGTCGACGGCCTCATCCCTTTCACGCGCTGGGTGACGCCGACGAATGTGCCGCGCCGCTTCACCACGCAGATGTACCTTTACTTCTTGCCTACGCTGTCCTCCACGCCGCTGTCCGATGGCAGCAGCGCGGCTGACGAGGAAGCCGAGGTCAAGATCCCTACGCCCACTACTGATGGTGGACTCGAGCATACTGCTGCTCGCTGGCTCCCGGCCTCCGTCTGGTGTCGCTTGGCGCAAGAAGGCCGCATTATCCTCTTCCCTCCGCAGTTCTTCCTGTTACATCAAGTCGCGCAGTTCTTGGACGACCTTTCAGCTCCGACTGCATACGGCTCCCTCTCGCGGAAACCGCTGCCGCGAGAGGAGCTAGAGGCCCGACGGAAGCGGTTGACAGAGTTCGTCAGGACTGGTGATCCGCCGTGGACAGATAAGTGCATTTCGCCGATCGCTTTGCCGGCCCGTGACGGAAAGAAACGCGAGGATGGACGGACTGTGTTGGGCTTGGACAAGCCTGGACCAGAGTTGGCGGGATCGGATCGGAGAGGCTTGCGCGAGCAGTGTGTGCTGGTGAGCTTTCGGAAGGATGGGCCGCGGCAGGTGGGCGTGATCTCGAGGGAGGAGGCATTGGAGACTGCCAAGTTATAATATATACTAGTAGACGGAAGGGGTTATATGTACATTGGGGTGTAGATGCTGGCGATTATTACGACTCACCACCAGTCCGTGTAGTGTCCGCCGTTGTTTTCTTCTTCGTGCTTCTTTTCCTGCTTTGCATCATGCCTCCTGTCCTCTTTTGCTTCCTGCTTCTTCTCCGGCTTCAACCCCTCTCCTCTTCCACGCTCTCCATTCACCTTCGCCTCGCTTTCCGGCTCATGAGACGACCTCCAAATCATCGCAGCAGCCGGATGCGAAGGCAGCGGTTCCTTTTGCCCCGGCAATTCGTAAAAGTTCTCCCGATACGATGCGCCAGGCACGCAATACCCGTCCCAGAAGATGCCTCTCCGCCGTAGCTCAGGGATCAAAAGCTCGATGACATCTTCGAATGTGCCGGGCATGATGGCGTAGGCCTGCGAGAGGCGCCAGTCAGTGCATAGCTCACGAGAATAAATCCCACAACAACTTACAATATTGAATCCATCAACGTCTCCATCTCGGACCCATCGCTCCATCTCATCCGCCACCGTCTCCGGAGTCCCTATGCACGTAGCCCCCAGCCCGCCAACCATGATATGCTCCGCCAGCGTGCGCTTCGTCCACTTGCCGCCATTGACTTCCGGCGCATGCTTGATTAAATTCTCAACATAACTCCTAATCGCGTTCGACTCCACATCCTTCAACTCCTCGTCCTCGCCATACGGCGCCATATCCACGCCCGTCCAGCCGCCGAACAACGCAAGCGCGCCATCGTAGTCCCCGTACTGCACGTAATCGCGATACTTGGCCTCCGCTTCCTCCTTTGTTCGCCCGAGGATGGGCGCAAACTTGGCGAGCACTTTGATGTCCGCGGGATCGCGTCCGGCTTCTCTGGCTAGCCGCCGAATCTCGGCTACGTTCTTCGCCACTGCTGCCGGGCTGTGCTGGGATGTGAAGACTGCTTCAGCGTGTCTCGCGGCGAACTCCCTCCCGGCTTTGCTAGTCCCGGCTTGGTAAATAAGGGGTGTCCGCTGTGGTGACGGCTGGCAGATGTGCGGCCCTGGTACAGTGAAGTACTTTCCCTTGTGGTTGATTTTCCGCACGAGGCGCGGGTCGGTGTAGACGCCTGTTTTGCGGTCGAGTTTGACGGCGTCGGAGCGCCAGGAGGAGTTCCACAGCTTGTACACGACTTGCATGTACTCTTCGCACATGGCGTATCGTTCGTCATGCTCGAGTTGGGGTCCGTCTGCGTTGAGCAGGTTGCGCGCTGCGCTGTCGAGATAGCTCGTCACCACGTTCCACCCACAGCTATACACAGTCTTAGCATCAGCAAGCCAGTGGCGACTCTATTGGAAACATTCACGCACCGACCCCCCGTCAAGTGATCCAGCGTGCTCATCCTCCTCGCGAGATGATACGGCTGCTCATACGTCGTCGAAACCGTCACCCCAAACCCAATACTCTCCGTCGCAGCCGCCATAGCCGGCACGACAGCCAAAGGCTCGTTGACAGGCCACTGCGCCCCCGATTTCACAGCGGGATCCAAGTTCTCCGGGCCGTCATACACATCATAACCACCTAGCACGTCGGCGATGAAGATGCCGTGGAAGGCGCCTGCTTCGAGCGTTTGCGCGAGTTTCGTCCAGTGCCGGACGGAGTTGAAGTCGGACGAGCGATCATCGGGATGGCGCCAGAGGCCGGGACTTTGGTGGCCGGAGCACATTTCGACGAAGGCGTTTAGGATGAGGCGCTTTTTGGGCGGGCTTGAGCCATTGGGCGCCGCATGGTTGGCGCCGCTTTGTCCGTTTGTCGAGTTGGTCTGTTTGTGCCGCGGCACGTAGGAGCCTACGAAGTCGTTGTCGAGGTATACATCGGCCATAGTGTCTTGCTCGAACGTCACTCGTTTGCCGGGAGCTGTAGGCATCGATGGGGTTGAGGACGAGTTCGGGCCTGTGCTGGTAGGTTCGCTGCCGGCCGGCTTCTGGAACACTCATGCAGTGCAGTCCGACGATCTCTCGGGCGTGGCGTTGGACCGTGCGCCCCGGAATTCGTCCTCTTGGACCGTCAATTGCAGGAGACGCCACGAGACGCTCCAACATGATCGCAAGCAGTTGGGATGAAATGGAGGCGGTGCTGTATACATTTGTTCTTGTGTATAACCAGGTCTACAAACTGCTGTACAATGTTCACCCAGTCAAGCCCATCCCCTACTCTGCCCGTGCTATCGATCCAGCCTCGCCATTCCACATCTCGAAAGAGCCTCGATATCAGGTATCAAACAAAAAGACAAGCAGAAGCATACACTAATAACCGGCCCCTACTTCTTGCTCCATCCGTGCTTGGAGTACACAGCGGCCTGGTTGGAGTCCTCGGGCTTCGACTCGGCGTACACGTGTCCCGTCTGCTCAATCTCATACTCCACGTCCTTGCCGCGGCCCTTCTTTTCAAGGTCACGCACGAGCGGGATGACCTCGCGCCCGAACTGCTCGATTTCCTCTTCGTAGTGCAGGAAGGCAGTGAGGAGGATGGAGGCGCCAAGAGCCTTGAGGAGCACGATGCGCTCCGCGATTTGCTCTTTGGTGCCGATGAGGCGCGTCTTGAAGCCTGTGTGCGATCGAGGTTAGTGTTCAGACCCACGAAAGCAAGGGGTAGTGTTGCAAGCTTACCGTCGTTGTACTGGATCAGATCCTTGAAGCTGGAGTTGGCCCACATGCCAGAGTTGTTCTTCGTGGAAGCACCAGCATTCTGCACCTGCTGACGGAAGCCCTCCACAGCCTCCGGGTCAGCCTTGCCCTGAATCTCAGCCAGCACATTATACGCTTCCTCCTCAGTCTCGCGACAGATGACGAAAGCATTGATGGCGAACTTGACGGGGTGGTTGTTCTTGGCCGCGCGCTCCTTGACATCGCCAATCTGCGCCTGGAAGCCTTCGAGCGTGTTGCCGTTCATGAAGTAGTAGTCGCTGACCGTCGCCGCGTTCTCTTTGGCGTCGTCGCTGTTGCCACCCTGGAAGATCTCGGGGTGCGGTCGTCCGGGCCAGCTCAATGGCTTCGGCTTGAGAGGGTAGTCCTTGAACTGGTAGAAATCGCCACGGTAGGTGAAGGAATCCTGAGTCCAGATGCCCTTGAGACACTCGATGAACTCCCTGCTACGGCGGTACCGCTCGGCGTGGTCGAGCCACCACTGTCCGATGCTGGTGAACTACGCAAAAACGATTAGCAGCTGCTTCCCACATTTCTGATTTATGCACAACTCACTTCAGCCTTGAACCATCCAGAGACAATGTTCACGCAGGTCCTCCCCTCGGTGAAGCAATCAATGGATGCAACCATCTTCGCAGCCACAGCCGGGTTCCACGGGCCAGGAAGCAGCGCAACAATCAGCTTCAGCTTCTCCGTGGCCGCAAGAAGGGCGTGGGAGATGGAGACGGGCTCGTGCTGGCTGTCCGCGCCGTAACCCGCCATGAAACGAATCTGCGACAGCGCATATTCGAAGCCCCATCTCTCCGCCGTTTGCGCGTAGCGCTGGTTCGACTTCAAATCCCAGTGCGTCTTCTGCGGGATCTTGCTGATGACCAGTCCGCCGGACACGTTGGGCACCCAGTACGCGAATTTGATGCGGTCTGGGTCTGAGTTGAGCGCTTCGTGGTAGCTGAGGTCCGCTGCGCCGCCCGTGCCGTAGAGACCGGCAGTGCCGGCGGGTCCTTGCAGGTTCTCGTCGTCTTTCTTTCCGTTACCATCACCGCCGCCGACGGGGACGACGATGCGACGTCCGGACACTTGACCCGAGCGAAGCGAGTCGAGAGCTTCGTTGACGCCATTGAGGCCGCCAGACGCGACGCTCACCTCGGGCAACTTCAAGCTCTTGGCAATCAGCAGATCCTCGAGCCAACGGGAGATCGTCTCGCCAACGGTTGGGGCTTCATGGAAGACCTTGATGGGCACCTGGTGATGGACCACGCCCAGCGCCTTGTTCTTGGGCATGCCGCTCAAGCCCAACAAATGGGACTTGGGGCCCGACTCCTCTTGCTGCAAAGCCTTCTGGAGGCTGTCGGCAGTTTCCTTACCAACCACATCAATACCGAAGCGGAGCTTGCCGCCCGTGACGGCGCGGAGGATCTCGATGGCGCGACCCGAGTCATACCTGTCCACCATAAAGTCCGCACCAATGTTGTTGAGGATCGCTCCTCCCTTGGCGAGGTCTGCAACGCAGGCAACCTTCAGACCGGCCAGCTTAGCGAGCTGAACAACGAGTTGTCCAGTGACGCCATTGGCACCCCAGACTGCAATCCAGTCTCCGGCTTGCGGGCGCTCGCTGGACGCGATGCCGCCGAAGATCTCGTCGCGGATGTCCTCGGGCAACTCCCGCGGATCAAAGCTGCGCACCTGGCTGAGAAGATCGGGGCCGCGCGGACCAGTGCGGATCTTGGAAAAGTCGAGTCCGAAACTGACACCGAGGGCAATAATGGCGGCGGTGAAGGCGACGCCCAACGCAGCGCCTTCTTTCACACTCACGCCATTGGGAATGCGTGAGACGTTGTAGTCGGTGGTCACAACATACTCCTGATAGGCGGCTTTCCTGATGTCTCGGTAGTCGGTGCTGGGTCCGAAAACGACGTCACCCTGCTGCACTCTACTGGGTCGCCTCGGGGCTCTGATGACAATGCCGGCAAAGTCCCTGCCATTCACCCACGGGTAGCTGGGCTGGCCAAAATCGTAGTCTGCACCCTTCCAATCGACAGGGTTGAGGCCGATGGCGAGAACCTGCACGAGAATCTCATCGGGGTGCTTCAGCTCGGGCAGCTCCATGGAGCGCTCCAACTGGTACTTCTGACGAGGTCCATGCAGAAGGAGGATGTCTTGCTGCGGCTTGTCCAGGCGGAGGAACTCATCGTCGTTGTCGTAGTTGTCCTCGCGCGGGGTGGTGTAGCCGGTGGAGGGCTGGCCGTTGCCGACGCTGCTGCCGCCGCCAAAGTAATTACTCCCGCTCCGCTCGCTCAATGCTGGGCTCGCGACTGACCGGAAGCTCTTGCTGGGGGGCGAGGGCGGCCCGCTTGAACCCTTGTTCCGACCGCAGTCCTTGTCTGGACGCAGACTGAGGAAGGGAGAGCTCGACAGGACGGAAGGCATGGTCGTAGACAATAGCGGTCGTGTGTTGAAAAACACAAGAGAGTCGGGATGAGTCGAGAAGAAGAAGAACAAGGGTCAGAGCTAGTATACATGGCAACCAAAACCTACCATCTGCCGTTCTGGACCAAATCCAAATACACACCTCATACCAGCCGCGGGTGACGTATTTCGGCGAGGTGCAATAAAGAGCTCGCCGTGCTCCAGTGAAAGTCTCGGCTGTGCAGAGCCAGAGCAGATAACCGGCCAATAGACATGCTCGACGACGGGCAAACCGCCGTTGGCATCGCGAATGGTGTTGGAGCGTGTTTCGCTGAACCTGCAGTAAGGCGATGGCGTGCTTCTCCCCCACAATGACATATCAACCTTAATCCACCCCGCCGGGCGGAGACAGCCGCACAGCCAAACCCTCCCTCCATTTCCCCCGGACATGGGCAGACACTCGACGATCATAGGCTCTACATATCCCCGGCTATTAATCATCCCAGCAGCTTGGCGAAGCGGCATTAGAGATGCTGAGGAGAAAGTCTGGAATCCGGTGGGCGTTAGGACCAATACTTGCCACGGAATCGCACCTTGCCCTTGATGGTGAATTGCTCATCGTGCGCCGTGCTTTTCTGCTTGGTCTTGTCGTGACACCGGAGATTGCTGGTGATGGTTTGTTGAATATGCATTGATGTAGACAGCACTGGGAATTTCCATTGGATTGCACATCCGGTTGAGCATGAACAGCAACTCACAAATTGTCCATCGGCCAAAAGGATCGATGCCCGGATATATGTGTGCCCCCAAGATGTCCCGAACAAGGAGGAGGATCGAAGATCCAAAGTTCTGACCCGGCAAATGTTATCCGATCGCAACATTTGTCGGCGGCATGACGAGATGTACTGACATGTTGCGTACAAGCCGTCAGGCTCTCATCAGTGGTCCGTTGCCTGCGCGTATGACAGTCGACCACGTGCGAGAAATTGCGATTGTTTCGTGATACATGCCGTAAGTGCAGATGAAGTGCACAGGCATGTGAAACGTAGGGCACGTGATAGATATCCAGGATTTTTGACAGCAACGATGCCGACGCCGACATATGACCACTTCTTATCCGTCATTAAACGCGGTCGCGTCCAACCACATGCCTCGTGAAGGTCGTTTGCCCTCTATTGATCCCTGACATTATTCAACGTTGCATGTTTGCTCGCGCGCCAAGCTTGCATACTGATCGTTTTGGTCTACAGGAATGGCATCGTCTATCAAAACACGGTCTGCCCGACTCTTCCGGTCATCGGCAGGCATTCGCAAGCGCGCTCACGACGCAAAACCACGGCAGTCTACCCTCGAGCGGGCTCAACAACAGATGATCCGTTTCACCAGATCCAAGGCCAACCATTCGGACGCTATGGTCAAATCCAGTGATCCTGCAACAGAGCCCAACTCTTCTCTAGATGACGACAGCGAGTCCCATCCACCAGCCGGCTTGGGTTTGCTGGACCTGCCCCAGGAACTCCGCGAGATGGTCTACGCCCACTTCCCTGGTGTTGCGGTCATCCCCATCAATCAAGACCCTGCCACGTTCCTGCAACCCGCCATCAGCAAGACATCCCGTCTCATCCGCGAGGAAGCTCTCAACGTGTTCTACTCGCGGAAGCGCTTCTTCCTCGACCTCCGCGGCTGGAAATCCTCAGCATACCCGTCCACGTGGACACCTCGCAGAATATTCAACGAGTGGGTGAAAGCCATTGGAACTAGTAACGCCACCCGCATTAAACACCTGGGCTTTTTCTCCCACAACTTTACCGCAAACATCCAAATCTCCACCCAGAAACCGCCGACTTTGATCCTCAAATTCCGCACCCTCTCGCACAGCAAGGAGGTCGCAGAAGGCATAGGGGCTGCATACAACTTCGCCATTGCCGCTCGCCGAGCCGAACAGGGTTTGCGACTCCTCCTGGACAAGATTGAGCCCCAGCTTGACAAGAATGGTGGCATTAATGTGGCCGACATGAAGAAGATCTGCCGGGCGATCGAGCTGATCCAGCCGTTTCTATGCACACGGCCGAGTCTCGGCTGGGCTGGGACTACGATCCCGAGGGACGACATGCGCATGGAGGATTGGCCTTGCGCGAAACCCCACGTGCGCAACTGCGGCGAGTGTGGCTACCTTCACATGAAGTCACTTTGATTGGCAGGGCATCGTGCTACTCGACCAGGCCGAGAGCTATTGCGAAGATTGGGGAAGTCTTTCCTGGGGTGGATGTGTGGTTTTGGAAACATCGAAAGCTTAACTTGGCATACAGCAGCCTTCCAAACACTGCTCGTGGCTGCTTGCGTATTGCTGTCGGATTCAGACGGGCTGGACGTTCTGGATTACAATGCGGGGCCATAATGGATAGACCTCACAGCCGAACGAATCGAATGTCATCGAGACCATAAGCGCAGATTCATCTAATCATCGAGAAGCTGCTGACGTTGTTACGTGTGGTCCATCGAATAATTAATATTTCGTGTCGCTGCGATTTCCCTCGGTCCAATGACAGGCCTGTGCCTTGCACTGCGAAAGGGTCCGCGGGGGCCAGGCTGACTAGCCGCTTTCGATTCATCTCCACTCGACTCCGCCTACCTCATTTCTAAATTTGGGTCTTCCCTATACCAACCTCCATGAACCATTGCCAGCAGGCTGTTAACGCATCATTTGAAGCGACCTCCCTCTCCATCGCGAAGAATCAGCGCACGCGACGCTCATACACCACCCACCAATCGACGCGCCGAGTTGAAAGAGATGTCATCTTAGTGGGCGAATGCGGAGAAGGCAGTGATCTTCGGGCTGGTAGCAACCAGGGAATACATTGCGCTTTTTCTTGAGGACAAGGCAGCGATGAGGCTCGCAACCTTGGGGCGTCTAGAAGATTGGTAAGGACCGATTATGGACGAGCTCCATCACAGCGAGAATTGGCCTTTCGTCTCCGAGGGGGAACTGAATGCTGGGCAAGATGAGTCTGTATCTCCCGAAGAACAGCCCGACCGCGATATTGGCCATGCTGAGGGCAAGCGCGACTACGACGATGCGTACGACACCGATGATGCCGATTCCGAAGATCTGACCGCAATCTCGCCCATCCAGTCGCGAAGTTCCTTTGGCGAGGATACACTCCCCATGAATTGGGCCGAGGAGTCACAGCCCAGATCCACCGCCTTGCGACAGGCCTTCGATGAGCTGTATGATAATGACGACGAAGAGCGGGACATCATCACCCCCATACACACTCCCATACCATCTTCAGGCGTGGACGGTTTCGCCGAAACATCCGATCCTTTCGATGCAGTGCCTGCGAATCGCAATCTCCCACCGACGGCACGATCCACGGGCGCGAATGGCTCCTTTACCCAGCCGCTGCTTCGTCGAACGCCGTCAATCACCGCGCAAATACCGTTGAACAGACAAAGAGTGCGGTATAGCTGGCAATCGGTCCAGGACGAAGAACCCAACAGGCCGCGGATAAACGTGATAAAGCTGGTGTCCAATACGGCAACTGCGAGTGCTGGCTTCCCTCAGGGCGAAGCGTTTGGTTTCTCCATTTCTCCGTTTGGAAGACGCATTGCAGTCTTCAACAGTGCACGACTGTACATATTGCAGAGCGAAGCGTTGCCCGTTGGAATCAGTCAGGACTATGCGCTCAAGCGGCGGCCGGTGGCGGTCGAAGTGGTGGATGAGGGCAACACCATTGCAATTCTGGCGGACGAGCACACCGTCAACATCTACGATCTGGAGGAGCAAGAGCTGCGCAGGGTGAAGACGATCAAGCTGGATTATCCATGCAGTTGTATTGCTCTCTCTACGACCGGCGCGCTACTGGCGGCGGGATACGAAGGCGGCGTCGAGGTCTTCAGCCTGCATCCGACTGCTCTCCCTACAGATCGAAGGGCCGTTCGATCCCACCGAGTTGACAAATTGATGTTTTCGCGAGATGGTTCCACGCTCATCGGCACCACGACGCGCATCAATGCCTCGTCCACCGTAGTGATATCGGTGCCCGTGTTCCCGACTTCTTCGACAGGTATCCCATCACATGATGAGCTGAAGGAAGCCTGGTGCTCGGAGCTGCTGCAACCAGACAACATCCGCAATTCCAGCCACGCAACGTTTATGCGCGAAGACCGCCAGATATGTAACGACCGGCTCTTCGCCTGGAACGGCCTTCAAGACACTTTTGGGATCTTGAAGGTGCCGGACATGATGTATTCGAATGTGGATTTTCCCGTCGTCATCAGCCCGCCGCTTTCGACACTCGGCGGACTGGGCGCAGCAATTCACTGTTGTCCGGCTGTCGACGAGCATGGTGATGCTGTTGCAATGGTCGTCAACGATCGAACGGTCAGACTCTACCTCGTCCCGAGGAATACAGATGAGACGGAAATGATTGTTGAAGCGCACAGCATCGATCACGAGCTTGATGAAGGCTACGGCTGTCCCTTCACCGACATTCGATGGGTCCACAGTGGCGGTGCCCTGGCCCTACCAGACGATGTCGGTGCGATGCAGGTGCGGGGAAGGCTGCTTGTCGCTAGCCCAGGGGCTGTAATTGAGCATGAGGCGACCGAAGAAATGGCCGAGGTGGAGGACCTCGAGGGCGGGCGCATCATCATGTTCGACTTTGACCCCCAATATGCTGGTCAGCCGGGACAGACCTTTTCCTTGACGCTCGGGAGCACGCCGCCTCAGACGTTGGAGGAAGCCAATATCGACGTCGCCCATGAAATTGCAATCATGCGGCGCCGGACTGTGAATCAGAACAAAGTGACGACGCTCAATCAACGCCCCATTAACTTGGGACGATCGGCGATATCAGTCGGGAATAGAACCGAACGATCTCTACGCGCAGGGACGCCGACCATTACAGCGAACAATGGTCGGCGGATCGTGATGACCATGCGGCCCGAAGGAGTCACCCAGTCGGAAGAACCGTACGCCCAGAACGCGCCTAGATCGCAAGACTCGTTGCAGCGCGCTGCGAGCAATGTCCAACGACACCGCTTTCAGACTTTGGAAGAGCGAATCCATGAACACGCCAGCTTGGACTCGAATGACAATTTCTTGCCGCTGCCGGAATACACGGAGGAGCCGAATGCTCCGCTGCCCAGTCGATTTCGAGCCATGGCTGGACTGGATGGGCCGGCGCCGTTGCCTGCTACGAAGCCGTCTGAAAGTAACAATACTGCTGGTAGAAGGGAGGTCAGCTCGCCTACGCCACCGTCTTCGCAAACACCCACTCCCACCGTCGATACTTTTGCTAGGCAAAACACAGACGTGGCTGCGCGTGACACACAGCTTCAACGCCCACGTGGAGATTCGTTACGGGAGGAGACGTCGGTCAGGGATACTCCGCCCTTGGCCGCCAGACCGGATGTCCGAGCTCAGACGGCACAGTTGCCGCAGACTACAGTGCCCACACCCAGCTCGCCAGCCGCACCATCCCCGACTCCACGGTTCCTTCAGCGAGCATACGGCAATGCGGCTTTCAGCACGATGCGCGCGAGTCCATCGCCGCGCCTACTGGACGGCTGGGAAACCGCCATCCCACGTGCATCCGCGCAATTCGAGCGGCCTCGGCCCACGCCGTCACCACTAGACAGGCCGTCACCAATAGACAGATCACCCCACCGATCAAACGGCTTGTACGTACCAGGACAGTGGGACGTCTCCCCACTACCCTCTCCATCAACACCTGCAACGCCAAACGGTCTACAATACAGCCGCTCGACATCCCAGCTCGCCTCACCCGCCCGCACACCCCTCGGCTCCGCGTCTATCCCCTTCCACCGCGCCGCCTCGTCCGCAGGCTCCTCTTTCGCCCCGAGCATTGCGTCCTCGGGAGGCATCACGCCCTACTACGGCGACGTCAGACTGCCACCTCACATGCAAGCCTTCCGCACCGCCGCTCCGTCCACAAACTCAGCCACAGCCTCAATATTTCAAAGCACGCAGTCCGCAACCCACATCCCCGTGCGCGAGCCAGGACGCAACGCAAACGGCGCGACCGGCTACCCCATCACCGCCTGGCATCCTCCCGCGCCCTCGTCTCCGTCTGCCCTTCCTTCGAGCGAAGCTGGGAGGAGCAACTCGCTCCCCGACGAGCAGGGCAAGTCGGGCTTCTTCCGCCGCGGGACGAAGATGCGGAAGAAGGCTAGTCGCGATGTGCTTTTTGGGCCGGAGTTTGCGGGGCAGCAGCCTGGTGCTTCTGCGGCGAGGCCTGGGACGGCGGAGTCGGAGGGGGGATATGCTGGTGCGGGTGGGGCGAAGAGCGTGTTTGAGACGAAGAGTGTGTTTACTGTTAAGACTAAGCGGGGAGACACAAGATGTGTGGTCATGTAGTTGAGATTCGTTCTATTGGTTATTGTGGGAAGATTGCGTGCGTGGCGATTTGTATCCAGCGTTGTAGCGAGTCGTGCATGGTTGCGAGGACGCATGGGGAGATTTATTGAATGTCACATGACTTGCACACTAGGATGAGGACGCAAGAACGAGTTAGTAGGAGCAGAACGTGAATATCACTGTCGAAAACTACTCAATCAACATGTATCCAGGCGGAATCGAACGCAGGCACTGCTGATTACAGAGGCAATGGGATGGAAGAGTGGTCCCGCCCTCTGCGGTTCAGCCTTGCTCGGTGCTCGGATGTCGCCGGAAGTCAGGCCACCGCCACGCTGGTCGAGTCGACGCGCGCAGACAACGCGCAAAAAACGAAACCAAATGGGATGGAAAGAGGGTGCTGAGAATAGTCAATCAAACGAAGAGAGCAAAGCAACAAAAAAGAAGTCAAAGTTGCTCTCGGACGTAGAGTTGAACTACGATCTCCCGCTCACGCGTGTACGGTCAATGTGAAGTGAACAGATCAGATCCATCGACTTGAAGACGGGCGGGAATGCTACCATTGCACCATCCGAGACACTGCTGCTTTGTTTCGTCAAAACAATTGGTTATGTAGTCCATGGTTGCAATGACAAAGCTTCGGGATGAGTGTGTAAGCTTCAGGGAAGCAGGGATCGAGGAAAAGCAAGAACGAAGAAATAGAGCAGCGAGAACATGGCAAAAATAAAAGCAGGCCGACGAAATAAAAAGGATGAGATAAGAACACCAAAAATGCAAAAAGAATGTGCTCTCAGACGTAGACTTGAACTACGATCTCCCGCGGGCGTATTGAAAGACAACCAGCGAGGTTGAAATCGAAGACGGGCGGAAATGCTACCATTGCACCATCCAAGAAAACGATGGGAAGCGAAGCCGAGATAATGGCTTATATTGGTTTATAATCGGCGGCTTGGCGAGGCGTGATTGGTGGTGTTTCTCCGTCGGTCTCGGTGTCATCGGGACATCTGCCGTATAATAAGGATGGTTGGTATTTCTTCGTGGGCCGGGGAGGTATAGTGATTGTGTTCTCGATACTAACTAGAGTGGTGCGAGTTGATGACGGTTGATGAAATGTGTGATGACGGATAGATTCGCCCGCAGTCGAAGAAAAACAGTGCGAGTTGTCAGTCACAGATCACTGCAGAGATGACGTCTCCGTGCAATCAGCTGTCCTGAATGAAAGATAGGTGTATAGTGGACGATGGATTCGGCATCATTAACCATCAAAATAGCCATCTCAAATCATAGAGGGGGTGAAAATGGGAAGACGATGCGCAAATGGCGCTGGTTTGGAAACATGATGGCGCAAGGGCGGGCGGAGTGGGGCGGGAAACGCTTCGAAGCCTATGACATGCTCGAGGCGCCTCCAAATGACAAAGACTTGACTACTTTCCACCCAACACCTTTGCCGTTTCTATATATTGCCCCGTCTCTTCCTGCTCCTCTGAACCTCCTCTCGCCAAACTGAAGCTCATCAACAAACTCCTCTTGACACTTGTCATCGTCATCGCCCTCACACTACCCACCATGAACTCCATCCTCCAACGCCTCAGCCGGCCCTTCACCTCCAGCAGTCTCCGATTCGCCCCGGAGACCAACGGAGGCAGCATGGCCGTCCCCGAAGGTGCAGACAAGATCACGCTTGCCGCCGGCTGCTTCTGGGGCACCGAACATATGTATCGCAAAGACTTCAAGAGCAAGGGCTTGATCGATGCGCGAGTGGGATACATTGGTGGCGAGACCGACAGCCCGAGCTATCGCGCCGTCTGCTCCGGCCGAACAGGACGTGAGTCGCAGCCCACCATCCACCACATTTGATCCTCCAGCTAACAGACATCCACAGACGCCGAAGCCTGCCAAATCGTCTTCGATCCGCAAAAGGTCTCCTACCGCGACCTGCTCGAGTACTTCTACCGCATGCACGACCCCACCACCGCCAACCGCCAAGGCCCGGACTCGGGCAGCCAGTACCGCAGCGGCATCTTCTACCACAATGACGAGCAAAAGGCGATTGCGGAGGAGGTGACGAGGAAGGCCAACGAGCAGTGGTGGAAGGGCGGCATCGTCACCGAGGTCCTGCCCGCCGGCCAGTGGTGGGATGCGGAAAAGTACCATCAGCTCTACCTCGACAACAACCCGGGCGGGTACGAGTGCCCGAGCCATTTCTTGCGCAAGTTCCCCGCGCTGAAGTGAGCTGGTGGTGGTTGGGATGCGTGTGATATACCTGGCGATGGAGCCGTCTGATAATGATGATATGGCTGTTTGAATGCAATTGTTCCATTACTGCCTCTGCAAGTACCTCTGCAACAGTTGGTCAAAGGGCGCGCTTCGACCGCGTACTGCCCGCTTTGCTGCCATGCCGTGCCTCTTGCATGCCAGACTTCCCCCGCATTGCCTTTCTGATGGCAACTCCACACCACATTGCGTCTCAACGTCGACCGGCGCCTTGACGTGCGTCGGTGCTAGCCTGGAGTCTTCATCGCCCGCGTTGCCCTGCTGAGTATGTGAGGTACTCGCCATCTCGTCAGGTCGTAGAAGTGATGCGCTGCTGAGTATTGATGAAGGGATCCAGTGTGACCGCCCCGGGCCAATCGATGGCGGAAAGTCGATATTCGGGTGGGTAAAGTGGATTCCGTGCAACGGTAAACACGTTGTCCCAGAGCGGCAAGGAGCATATACCGCTTGCTTCGTGCATGGATGAAGCGCGTGGCCAGGCGACCAAAGGCGTGCATGTGTAGCCTGAATCCCGACTAGCGCGCGGAGGTCTTGGGACGAATTTGGAAACGGGAGGGACGGGACGCGTGCCCAGGGCTCGGGGTCGGGATGCCGCGTAGCCGTCCCCATCCATCCCAGTCAGCCAGGGAGGTTTTGGGATTTTGGGGCAATCGATGCCTGACCTTGCTCCTCATCCGCCGCAGTATCTTCTCTTCTTCCCATCTGCACCACTCATTGTCCCCTCCAGCCTCACGATAACGACCCTCCCTCACGATCTGTACAGCGCTGCCTTTTGCTTCTCGCCCCTCGCGCCCGCTCGTCTGGCTGCGCAATGTCGGTCTGGTACGTTCAACGACTGCTCCTTTAACCCCCGCCTGCTGGAAATCTTCCGGGTGCGACAACCTGTGCATCGGTGGACGTCTGACTGAGGCCCTCATTCATCCTTCCCGACCCCTCTCGCTGACAACATTTCACCCGTCAGATTCTTCGTTGAGCCTCTTCACCTCCCGTCCCATGGAAGCGTTACCATGACCTCACTCCCGCGCCACACCTGGCTCGCCCTCCGCCTCCTCCTCCTCTGCACCGCCTTTATTCTCCCTGCTCGCGCCGCATTCGTCAAGTTCCAGAACTGCGTGGACCAGAGTATACAGGACATCCAGCCGTTGCAGCTGCAATGGATCCCCTACTTTGTCGATGCAACCTTCGATACCTCCTACCCCAACCAGTTGCAAGTCACCCTCTACGGCAATGTCAGCGGCCAGCAAGTCCAGGGCACGTATCCACCACCGAATAGTCCCACCTGGACCAACGACAACGATACCTTTGGGAAGATTGCCAACATCGGGTCGGGGGACAAGTTTGCCACCCTCTTCTCAAAGTTCGACGACTTGTCCTACTCGGCATGGGATGCGCCTGCAGCAAAATTCTGCACGCACGTCACCCAAGGCCAATGTCCCTTGGGTCCCCGATTCTATGCCAATCCCGACGACCCCTCCGACCTGGCCGCTTTCCAGATCACGCACAACTTCGGCAGTCCATATCAGTTCAGTACGCTGGCCGCTACCGTGACCGTCGTCTCGGGAGATACTGCAGCGCAGACACTCGCCTGCGTGACTGCCAACATCACCCCGGCCTTTGGCTCGGCCATCAACAATTTGCTGACCTGGCTCCCCGCTGCCATTCTGATCTTCAAAGGCGTCGCCACCTTACTTGCCGCGATTTTGTCCCCCTGGGGAAGCTCCGACATCTTTCGCTGGAGTAGCAATTACGGCAGGGATGAAGACTTGCTGCGTCTGGTCACGCCGGGGTTCGGCGACTGCCTGCAGTATATCCAATTCGTGGTGCTGATGGGCAGCTTGACCCTGAACTACCCGGGCTTCTTTCAGCCTGCGGTGAGTCAGGCGGCATGGTCACTCCTCCTGTTCAATGCCAGCTATGTCACCGGAGGCCCAGGGCATCAGAGCGTCGTGGATGGCGTATACAGCCTCACCGGCACCTACGGCATTTCCCAAATCCGACAGTTGATCGGCATGACTGCTCCTGATGATGTCTGGGCGTGTATGGCCGTCTGGCTGGCCGTGATTGCCGGGATCATCATCGTGCTTTGTCAAATCGGATTCTTCAGTCGCTGGGTGCATCTCAAGTTGACCAAGTCCAGCGAGCAAGACTTGCTGCCCAAGAACATCCCCTTCACCCTCGGCAACATGATTCGACTGGCTTTCAACTTTTTCATCCTACCCATCATTGCGCTCAGCTTATTCCAGCTGGTAATCGCGCCAGTCTCGCCCACTTCCGTCATTGCCGTGGCGGCTGTGCTGCTCGCCGTCTGGATTGTGTCGGCGATCTGGATCTTGCGCGTCATCTTCATCACCAAGCCGAGGACGCTCCTGTTCGACATGCCAGCGCTGCTCCTCTACGGCCCCCTCTACAACACATACACCGACACCGCCGCTCCATTCGCCTTCGTGCCCATTCTGATCACCTTCATGAGGGGCGTTTCGTTTGGTGCAGTCCAACCCAGCGGTATCGCGCAACTCGTCATTCTTGCCGTCTGCGAGATCTGTCTCCTGATAGCTTTGAACGGGTTCCTTCCGTTTGCAAACTACACGAGCAACAACGCCTACCACACAACGTTTGCAGCCGTACGGCTGGTGACCATCTTCCTGAGCATTACGTTCATTCCGTCCCTCAACGTGAGCGAATCTGCAAAAGGCTGGATCGGCTACACCATCCTGCTCCTCCACGGCTGTGTGCTCGTGTTTGGCTTCTTCCTCAATTCCGCGATGACAGTGGTCGAGGTGGCGGCCCGCTCTTTCGGCCTGGCAGGTCGTGACGCTCAAACGGGCCAAGCTCGAGGTAGTATCTTGCATTGGCGCATGCTGAAAAAGCGTCAAGACCGTCCAGTGGCCCCCGTGCAACGAGAGAGCTTGGCAAGCCATGCGGCCATGATGAGGGTGTCGGATGCGCATCGCCGAAGCGGCTCATTCAGCAGTCAGCAGCTGTTGAACCAAGCGGGGGGCTCCCCAAGCACCCATCGCATGAGCGGTCTTGATAACCGATCGAGCGGGGGTGAGGGCATGAGTGATTCTCCTCAAGCCGGTTTCGTCTACGTGCCCGGTCCCGACGGACATGGTCCCATGTATGGCAGGACAGGCTTGAAGCTGGACGGAGACACCTTCTATCGACCTCCGAGGAAGCGGACCATGACGAATGATGCGCTCAATCCAATTGCGGAGAACCGCAAGTCACACTTGTCTCAAGATTCGGCGAAACTGGCTGCCGTCACGGCAATCGGCCGGGGTGGCGCGGATTCCCCTCGCCCTCCCTTCCTTCGGGACCGTGCGGATTCTGGACCTCCATCTGTGCGAACCGATTATGCTGTTCGAGAGGTTGATCAGGTCTATGGCCAGCCGCTGAACGTAGAAAACACTCGTAAGCTGAAGACTGGCCCCGCGGATCCGGAAGGTCCAGCGGCGAACGCGCAAACTTGGCTCCAAGGTTTTGTGGGGCTCTTTGGACGAGGCAAAAAGAAGGACAAGGAGGCTGGCAAGGGATTCGAGGTGGTGCGATCTTCGCGCATGCCGCCTGAGATGCAACAGGAGATTGCGAGGCAGCAGCAGGAAGAGCTGGAGTTGCAGGAGAAAGGCAAGCCGGAGGATGATGAGCCGTACCGTGATTCTCCTGAGCCTATTCAGGCCACCGGTGGTGCGGAGAGGCCTCTGTCGCCCGTCGAAGCACCTGCGTCATCCATACGGGAAAGACTGCCTGGTGGGCCTGGGTCTGCGGCAACCGCTACTGCCGCCGCCGCTTCAATTGGCCACACTCGCGCCATATCCAACACCACGCGCGACGCAAACCACCCCGGCATCCGCGCCGAGCAGCCGCCCCGCCCTTCGTTCCAACACGACCGCGCGGGCCTAGGCTCCATGGACGCCGGCCTAGGCTGGATCACGGGCGGGGCAGGCGAGGACTCCGAAGACGACGCCGGCTTCGACGATGCCGAGGAAGGCGCGGCGCAAGGCCGGCCGTCGATGAACCGCCTCTCCACCCACGCCCCCTCGCTCGGCGACCTCGACCTCGGCGGCGGCCTCGATATCCCCGCCGCTTCGCGCTTCACCACGCCCCGGCTGAACAGTGGCGGTGGCGAGTGGTCCAGTAGCGTTGTGAACAATACGAGCCATCGCCGTGCGGCGGACAGTATTACGCGGAACTCTTTCGGGGCTAATGCGGCGATGCATTCGGCGAGTGCGGAGATTGTGCCTGGCAGTTCGCCCGAGGGAGAAGAGGGGGGCTTTTTGAGGCGGTGATGAAGGTCTGATTTTCTCATTCACAATAAAAAGGGTTAGCGATGGCGTTCGGGGGGAGCTTGTAAGAGGAAGTGATAGATGATGTTGCTTGCTCGCCTTGTGGGCATTTCTTGCGTAGCTAGCGGCATTTGCATGAGTCGGACCTTTGATCGAGGAAATATGATCTGTCCATCGTCTCGTCTGTTCACTATACGACATCACCATTTCATCAATCCCATCCTGTCTAGCATTGAAACGCCGTCCCCCGCTTCCTAACCATATTCTTCCCCCCGCCCGCAAACCCCGTCCCATCAGAACTAATCTCCACCAACCCTCGCTGCACACTCCTCTCCTTCTCCTCGCGCTTCCCCTTCTTACTACCGGGCGTGACGTCCTCTTGACAAACATAGCACCTCACAGCCCCATCGTGCACCTCCTCGTGCGCCGAGCGCTCCGCCGCTTTTTGGAACTTGTCGCTACACGGTTTGCACAGCACGTGGCCGCACGGCTTGGCGAGCACGGCTTTCGTGCTGTTGGAGAGGGCTTTGTCGCAACTTGGGCATGTGCGAGTTGGGACGTCGGGGTCTGAGAGGTTTTTGTCGGATTGGAAGTGCACGTCCACCAGGAGTTTGAGGGAGAAGTCGTGGGGGTTCTCTGGTGTTGCGGCTGGGCAGGTGGGGTGTTGTTTGAGGGGTTTTGTCAGGCTGGCTTTGTGGTTTGTGGGTGTTTGGCTGGGGATCCAGAAGGAGGGTAAGTCCTTTCGGTTCTTCGGCTCTGTGGATTCGCGGCGTCGACTCTTGGCCATGTCCTCTTTGCCCAAACGCGCGAGCTCCTCCTCGTCGAGTTCGAATTTGCGTTTCGTGCCTCGCGCGCCACTGTCGCCGCCGGTGTCTTGCTCCAGGGTGACTTTCCCCTCTCCTCGGCCTACAATCCTGCTCTCCCCCGCTCCAGACCTCACGCTCAACCCAGCCTGCACCCTCTCAAACTCCTCCACCGCCCTCGCCCTTGCCTCCTCCCCCTCCGCCTCCCTCTCCCCCTCATTCTCAAGCCGCCGCCTCTCCGCCTCCCTCTTCCCTCTCTTCAACTCCTTGCTCTGCGCAAGCAAATTACTCACCGCGCACTCTTTGCAAAACAAGTGGCCATGGCTCGGGCACGCGACGGGGTCGCGGGAGGGGAGGAGGCAGAGTTGGCAGCTGGCGAAGGGGAGGAAGGAGTCGCGGGTTAGGCGGGTGGATTGGGAGCCCCAGGTTGATTTTAGCTCGGCGCGCTCCCAGGCTGTGAAGAAGGCTAGGGAGGTGTTTCTTTTGCCTGGCGTTTATTAGATTGCAGAACTTGAAGAGTGGACTGGAAGGTGGGCTTACTGTGGGACATTGTTTGGTGTGTTGGAGGTGAAAGGAAGGACTGGATGGCAGATGATGTTGCGAAGTTTCCATGCTTCTCGTTTTGGAAGGAGGGGCGGGGCGGATTCCGCGCCACTCTTGCTGCATGAAGCTTCACTTTACTTTCTACATCTCTCCCTGTCTCTGTGCAACTGCAACATCTTGGACCCGGAGCACCACACACAGGAGCACGCGATGCTCTAGCACAATACGATGGCACCGGATAGAGGTCAAGGCGTGTGACACCAACATGTCCACTTTCGTCCCTCGCGCCGCCTTTCCGGTCCTCGACTCCCTCCCGCGCTCCTACTATCTTGGCCATCATGCAGCGGGTGTGGCGAAGATGAGAACGCTGCTTAACCAGATCGACTTTGTGGTGGAATGTCGCGACTACCGCATCCCGCTCACCTCGCGCAATCCGCTGTTCGAGGAGGTGCTCGCCGATCGGAAGCGGATTATCGTCTATACGAAAAGGGATCTTGGGAGCGATGGGAGCGGACAGGAGAATGCGAAGGTACGCAGTTGATCATCTGTATTCTCGCATTACCATCGTTAATCCACAGTATCAAAGACCATCGAGCAACTTCGCAAGCTACACAGCCCAACACCGCTCTGCTTCTCCGACTTCCGATCCACCAGAGACATCCGACACATCCTCAACCTCATGCGAGATTTGAGTGAAGCTCGCCAAGCGCTGACAGGTTCTCACTGCATGGTGGTCGGCATGCCGAACGTCGGCAAGTCTACCCTTCTCAACGCTCTGAGGCAGACGGGCGTTCACAAGGGCAAAGCAGCGCAGACGGGAGCGCAGCCGGGCGTGACGCGCAAAATCGGCACCGGGGTGAAGATCATTGATGGAGGGCCTACGAACCAGTCGGATGTCTACCTGCTCGACACGCCCGGCGTCTTCATCCCTTATGTCCCAGACGCAGACGCCATGCTGAAACTCGCGCTATGCGGAAGTGTGAAAGATAACATCTTGCCTCCATTTACATTGGCCGATTACCTACTCTACCACATCAACATACACGACCCTACAGTGTACTCGGAGTATCACGGCCCCACAAACGATGTTGATCAGTTGCTGGATGCGATGGCCCGCAAAACCGGACGGTTACAGAAAGGCGGCACACCTGATGTCGAGGGGACGGCGATGTGGATGGTGCAGAGGTGGCGCAATGGGCATCTGGGCCGTTTTTTGCTGGATGAGCTTACGGAGGATTCGTTTGCGAGGCATGTGGAGAGCGTTGCGGCGCGGCCGATGAGTCTGAGCCAGGCGAAGAAGGCTGGGAAGGAGGCGTTGCGTGCGAGAGCGAGGGCTGTGAAGCCGGTTGATGTTGCTTAGGGAAGTAAGGGATTGGATGTCATTGGAGTGGGGGAGTTGTTAGGATACCCTCTTCGCATATTGCATTATAATTGGTGTCGTCAAAATCCGACCAATTGCGTATATCACTTCATTTCCTTGTGCCTGGCCATGGCCGACGTTTGTATTCCAACCTCTGAGTGCCTCAGGCAGCAAAGCTCCAGCTGCGCAACTTCGAAGCTTCCATTCACATGCGAGCTTCTCGCATACCCTTTGATCGCTTCCCGAAACACCACCTCGCTGTCGACGGCATCGCGGCGCTAACAATCCGCAATGGCGGAAACGTACGCTCGCCCCTACCACGTGGAAATGTATGCGCTGACTTCCATGCGCAGAGAGCTCGCCTCCGCAGTCTTAGTCCCAGAAATCGAAGACGACGAAATATCCCCCGCGAATCCTCTTAAGCGCTCGCACGCGATTGACGACGGAGAGACGCAAGAAGAGCAAGGAAGCAAGCGGCCGCGCAAGACCTCCGGTAAGAGTATTTCACCAAACGAAACAGGAAATGGCGAGGACAACGAAGCAGAAGCTACCGACGGCCCCAACTCAACATCAAATGCGCCACAAGAACAACCCACACCACCACACGACACCACCCGCCGCAAACCGGCCGTAGTAGAGGAAAAACAACGCAGCAAGCGCCTCTTCGGCGCCCTACTCGGCAACCTCAACCGCCCCGCCGCCGACGCGCGGGCGTCGAAGAAGCGCGCGGAAATCGAGACGAGGAGAAAGGCTGAATTGCAGCGACAGGATGACGAACGCGTTGAACATGGGCTGCGGAGGCGCGAGACGCTGGCTGCGGTGAGGAGGAGGGAGCAGGGGGCTGTGGATGAGGAGAATGTACGTTTTCGTGGTGTAAGGGAGTGAGGGGGAGTGCGTGGCTGATTTTGTTTGGGCAGATGCGCATTCGACATGAGGGATTGCTTCATGCGGCGAATTTCTTGAGGACGGCGGCTGAGCCGCGGTTGGTATGTTGCGTCTCTTTTTCGTGCATATGAGACGTTGGCTGACGATTATTGCAGTATTATCGACCCTGGGATTTGCTCTCCGATGAAGAAGACCGGATCGAGCAGCAACGGAAGGATGCTCAAGCACAAGTAGATCGAGAAGTGGAGGAGTTCAATAGCTCGAGGGAGCGAGGTTGGTTTGACTAAAGCTCATGGATGACCCAGTGTGCTTACTGGTTCGAAAGCGTCGACCTCGGCTCAAGATGGAGATACAGAACAGCGTGAGTTACCTGCGTATGCCAATGGAGACGGGGACATGGCTGGTACGGCCAAAAAAACGGGCGAGGCCAATGACACTTCCCCGGCAGAAGCACATGGTTCTGATTCTAATGTTGTCGCTCCTGACGCGGACGCTGGCGATGGGCATCCATCACATGATTCTGCACGGAAAGAAGCAGACGATCGGCAGGATGAGCTTGGCGATGAGGAGGGAGATGGTGTAGCTGATGGGGAGGAAGACGCTGTAATCTACTGAATAGTGTGCCCTTGACCAGGCGCGGTGATACGAATCCATGTCGAATGAAGCGGGTATTGTTCCCATACGATGAAACCGATCCTCCTGACAACAATAATCATACAGGTCGTCGGTGCTATGTTTCTGCTGCTGTTGGAGCGATATGCCATCAGCCAAGTGCTCTAATCCCTGCATCCTCCAGCCTGCCGAGGTTTGGCAGCTTTCCGGCGTGATGAAACATCATCTCAGCTCGCCCTCAACCTCGAGACTACCTTTCCTTCTCAAAGCAGCACTGAGCGGTTACAAAACACCCCAGTACGAAATCATGTCAGTCGACAAACTCCGACCCAACGATCCTCGAGCCAAAAAGGCTTCAGTGGAAGTCAACGGGCACAGGTGGTGTAAGTCGTTATCCATGCATCGGGATCCCCAGGAAACAATCTAACTCGACCGCCGTCCATTCTAGACTACCTCGACGCCGCCGCCAAAGGCCAGCAAAAAGGCGTCGTCTTCCTCATCCATGGCTTCCCAGATCAAGCCTTTGGCTGGCGCTACCAAATCCCCATGCTCAACTCGCTAGGCCTGCGCTGCATCGCGCTGCAATGCATGGGCTACGGCGACACAGTCAGTCCATCCTCCAACGGTCCTCACAGAAACGGCAACACCACCTAACAACACCCAGGGCAACTCCCCCAACCTGCGCAACTACGGCTTCAAAGCCCACGCCGACGCCGTAGCCGGCATCGCCAAAGCCATCGGCGCGCACCAAATCATCATCGGCGGGCACGACTGGGGCGGCGCGGTGATTTTCCGCGTCGCGCAGTGGTACCCCCGCCTCGTCACGCACGTCTTCTCCGTGTGCACGCCGTTCTTCCGCGTGAATGATTCGTACGTTTCGGTGGAGCAGATGGTGCAAGGGCCTGTGCCGCAGTTTGGGTACCAGTTGCAGTTTGGGAGTGAGGATTTCAAGGTTGAGAGGGCTGTGGGGGACGATGAGGGGCGGATGAGGACGTTTTTGAAGGGGATGTATGGGGGACGGCCGAGGGGTGGGGGGAAGTTTATGACGCCTGAGAGGGGGATTGATTTGGGGTTGTTGGAGGATGAGGTTGCTATGACGCCTTTATTGGATGAGGAGGTTCGTACTGCGTTGATGGTATGTTGTTGTGTTGTTTGACTGACTGGATTTTAGGAATTCGAATACACCGTCAAGGAGTACATGAAGAATGGGCTAGAAGGCCCCTGCAACTGGTACCGCACGCGGAAGATCAACTTCGAGGACGACATGCACATGCCCGCCGAGCAGAAGAAGGGCATTCAGCAGCCGACTTTGTTCATCCAGGCGCTAAGGGACAACGTCCTCACACCAGACCTTGCGAAGGGTATGGATAAGGCGATTCCGAATCTGACGACAGGCGAGGTGGAGGCGACACATTGGGCTTTGTGGCACACGCCGCAGGAGACGAATGATATTATCAAGAGGTGGATCGAAGGCGTTGTCTTTGGCGGGAAGAGTAAGCTTTGATTTACTTTCAGTCGAGTCGAGGATGCTACTTCATGCGAGATCAACCTGCACGTTCTTCGCCCAGTCGCCGTTGCCTTCCAAACTTTCTTGCCGAATGCGATACAGCTCGTCGATGAAGGCGGGGATGAATGTCCCAGGCCCCTTGACATCCTCCCGAACAGCAGCGCGCTCCGAAGCAATTTCGTACATGAGCAGTCCAGCAATGGCGGCGAGCAATTTATCCTCCCTTTCCACCGCCATGACACTAGCAATCGTCGTCCCCAACGCGCATCCACTCCCCGTAATCTCGCCGAGATACGCATGGCCATTGCGGATAGTGAACGTCCGCTCGCCATCCGAAATGACATCCACCTGTCCAGTCATGAGGATGACATTGCGTTCCCGCGCCGCCGTCCCCCGCACCAGCGTGATTTTGTCCTGCAAGGAAAGCTGCGATGCTCCGCTGTCGACGCCGTGTTGCTTCACTCCCGAAGCGCCAGACACGGTGCGGATCTCGCCTTCGTTGCCTTTGATGAGGTCGAAGTAGCCGCCTGCCATGATATCTTTCACGCCCTGGCGCCGCTGCTCAGTTGCGCCTGCGCCGACGGGATCGAAGAGTGTGGGTCCGCCGACTTCGTTGTACGCTGCCAGTGCTTTGAGGTGGTTTGACTTGATCTCGGGCGTGGTGGTGCCCATGTTGATCACGAGGCTGCCGCCTAGCGCCGCGAGGTCGGCGGCTTCTAGGCCATTGTTCGACATGATGGGTGAGGAGCCGATGGCGATGGCGACGTTGGCGGCGAAGTTTTGCACGACGAGATTGGTCATATTGTGGCAGAGCGGCTTTTTCGAAGCCATGCGTTTGATCACTTCCGGGATTTTGGCGATGAGGGTGTCGCGGAAGAGTGCCGGTTTGGACAAGGAGGTGGCGAAGGGCGGGTGAGTCTGTACGAGCTCTGCCAGTTTCTCGGCCGCCTGCTTGGGGTTAGAAGATGCCATAATAGCACTGACGACTGCGACTCCGTCTAATTTCTTCTGCGGAGAGGTAGATTGGTAGAGGACTCGCTGGGCATTGGAAGCATTTATGCCGCCTATGCACACGGTGCTGACGTCGTATCGCGCGGCCGCCAGCGCGCTTAGAATCTGCTGTACGCCCGCCGTCCCGATGATTGACTTTGTGTTCTCTTTGGTTGGCGTGGCGTACACGGTGCCAATACCGAGATAGTCGGCGCCGTCGCGCGAGGCTTCGAGCGCTTCTTCTTCGCTGTTCGCCGTCACGCCTATGATTGCGTCGGGGCCGAGCAAGCGCCGGGCGGTCTTCAGGTCCAAGTCATCCTGTCCGACGTGCACGCCCTCAACGCCCGCTGCAAGCGCGACGTCTGCGCGGTCATTGATGAGGAGCGGGACGCCGGCGGGTTTGGTGATTTTGTGCAGCTCTTGGGCGATTTGCACCAGTTCCGCGGTGTCGGAGGTTTTGTCGCGGTATTGTACTACTGTGACGCCTGGTTTCACGATGAGTCGAGGCTATGGGGTGGACGCAGAGAGTTGTGTGGTACCTCCTTCCACGGCTGCTTTCACTACTGATACCAGATCCTTGCCCCCGAGGATTGCTGGGGTGGAGTCTGTGACGAGGTACAGGGAGTAGTCCACCTTCTTGGGAGACATGATTGTGCCCGGGGATGGAGACAAGAGGGAGAAAGAGACCGGTCAAGATGGAACGATACGTTGGATAGATGGGAGACCTACCGCACAAGGTTAAGACCGGCGCGGCGGTTGAGGGGATTGATGCCAACTGCCCAGAGCAGCTGTGGATCGGGATGACACTCGAAGCAGGTAACCCACGATGGCGAGGGAATGGATGGTCGTCCTAATCTGTCACGAGAGGATACGTTGTCTGAGTCGTAATACTCTGTACTATGTCTTGTCGACTACATGATGCGAAGATGCATCTGCCACCACCCTCCATTGTGCCTGATCTGACCAGTTGGCGCCGCGGCTGCCCGACTGGGGAGCGGCAACTAGTCCTAATTGGGCTTTGCATGTGCACCATGAGCAAGGCAGACCAGCAGCACTGCAAGCTCGCAGACTCGAAGTAAAAGACTACGCATCATTGAATGTGTATCAAGTACCCATGCTTTCACCTCGCCATTCACAGCCCTGCATATCCTAGGATGCAGCCTGACTCACCACGCTCATTACCTTACATATCCTCCTCCTCATCATGAAGGCGTCAACGTGCCCCGTGGGCCCCGCCAGTGGCTTCGGCTTAATTCCGGGCGCCACACTCTAAAAGCCTGCGCGCTTTTTCTTCTTCCTCCATCTGACTCCCTCTCCCTCACGCTTCCCCTACCACCCTGCGTTCCAAACACGCTCCAACACGCATCAAACGCCATCCCCACAGCAAGCATCCTGCACCTGCAGCATCAACGCATCATCCCGGCCCTCCACCGCGACTTGGCAAACCCCTCAGCAAGCCCCCCTACCCACCCCTCCGCATCCACTTCGACACCTCCGTCAACAACCGCACGCATCCCATCCCATCCATCGAGCAGCGCGCAGGGTTTATGTATCCGTCCCACGCCAACACGTCCGTAGTCCAGCCGGCGCCGCATGTGCACTCCACTTTTCGCATCTTGCGGAGAAGACCTCGTAGTCGTGGCAGCGATCGCAGCATAGGCTGACCAGGAGCCTGGAAGAAAGAAACATCCCCCAATCATCAACATCAACATACCTCTCCAACAAAGGCAAACTTCGCCTGACACGGACAGCCTGGCAAACGCTACGCGTGTCTACTGTATGTCTTTAAGAGCCGTCCACTAGAGAGCCATTCGAGCCTTTCCCGCCACGCCGCCCACCACGCACTCCAACACACCTCCACCACCTCAGCACCACCACCGCAACCATGGCGCAGATCAACATCCGCCGCGATGTCACCGACCCCTTCTACCGCTACAAGATGGAGCGTCTCCAGTCCAAGATCGAGGGCAAGGGTAACGGAATCAAGACCGTCATCGTCAATCTGAGCAACGTCGCCGACAACCTCGCCCGTCCCCCCAGCTACGTCATCAAATACTTCGGCTTCGAACTCGGGGCGCAGACCAACATCGACCCCAAAGACGACCGCTGGATCATCAACGGCGCCCATGAGGCCTCCAAGCTGCAGGACTACCTCGACGGCTTCATCGGCAAGTTTGTCCTCTGCAAAGACTGCAAGAACCCCGAGACCGTCGTCCAGGTCAAGGATGCTAGCATCACTCTGGATTGCAAGGCGTGTGGCCAGCGTACCCAGGCCGACATGCGCCACAAGCTCTCCTCCTTCATTCTGAAGAACCAGCCGAAGAAGGGCAAGAAGGACAAGTCTACGAAGAAGGCGGAGCGTAGGGCGCGCAAGGAAGCTGAAAGGCATGGCGACGAGGACGGAGCCAACGGCAACGGACATCCCAGCCCGGGAGACAGTGGCTCCGACGGAGCGGACGAGAATGGAGATGTGGGCGACGACGCCGGTAGCGACGACGAACTCACCCGCAAGATCAACGAGGGCGCCAAAGACCTCCCCAGCGAGGCCGGCCAGGAGCAAGACGTGCAGTGGTCGGTGGACATGTCCGAGGAAGCGGTCAAGGCTCGTCAAAAGGCCCTACCCGACGACCTCAAGCAGACCCTCGTCCTCGACGACGACCACGAAGACGGCGAAGGCGGCGGCAAGACGGCCTACGACGAGCTCGGCGACTGGATCGACGACCAGGCCAAGGAGCTCGGCGGCGTGAACAAAATCTCCGACGTCGACGTCTTCAAAAAGGCAAAGGAGCTCGGCATCGAGACCAAGCACCGCACGCCCACCGTGCTCGCCATGTCCCTCTTCGACGACACCATCGCCAAGCAAATCGAGGCGCGCGCCTCCTTCCTGCGCTCCATCATCGGCAAGTCGGAGAAGCACGAAAAGGCCTTCATGGGCGGGCTGGAGCGGCTCGTCGGCGAGCTGCATCCCGCCCTCATCCCCACCGTCTCTAAGATCCTGCTCCCCCTTTACCAGGAGGACATTATCGAGGAGGAGGTGCTGAAGGCGTGGGGCAGCAAGGCGAGCAAGAAGTACGTGGATCTGGCAACGAGTCGCAAGGTGCGCAAGAGCGCCGAGCCGTTTTTGGAGTGGCTTGAGACTGCCGAGTCGGATGATGACGACGACGAGGATGACGAGTGAGGTCTTGTTGTCGCCGAGCTGACTCTGCTGTGCCTCTCTGCTCGACTTTTTGGGGGTTCGGCTGGGAATGCGAGAATACGTGCTTGTACTACTCTACTCTACTCCTCTTTATATTGACGGGCTTGTCTTTTGTTTTTCATATACGAACGCTCCGATTCTATACACTTTTATGTGGGCCACTCTGTTCCATTCACTACTCGGTTTTGGGTATATCACCATTCGTATGAATTCACTCTGATGCCGCTTCACAGCCTTACTTTATTACAATCCGCAGACCCCCCATCTACATCACTGAACATACCGCCGAAAGATAATCTCAGTATAAACACCTATCAACAGCAGCAAGTCAGCACCCAGCACGAGCTCAAAAGAAAGGACAGGAGAAAGCGACCTACCAGCCAACCTCCACCTCCTCTCCACACAATGAAACGTCTCCTCCAAATCCTCAATCGCGCACCGGTCCTCCTCTCTTCCACTCCGTGCGTAAGCCTGGTAGAAGTGGTCGAGCGCGCTGTGGCCCCAGGACAGCAGGAAGGGGGAGGCGAGGTCGACGTTGGGGGGTTGTTGGCGGGAGAGGAAGGCGCGGCTGCGGGTTAGGAAGAGGGTTGCTGCTGCTGCGGTGACGCTTCGAGAGTCTGTTGTTGGGATTGAGGGGGTGGAGCTGGAGGCGAGGAGGATTCTTGTGCTTCGGGGGGAAGAGGAAATGTCAGTATGCGAGCTGTCTAAGATTTGAGGGGACTGCCTACCTGTTCAGCAAGCTACGCGCGCCGCTGACTAGCATGATTTGCACCTGGGCTTCTTCCTCGATGACGTTTTCGAGCGCGGCGATGGTGCGGTGTAATTGCTGCACGGTCTCGTGGTGCGCTGCGGGCGAGGCTTCGAGGTCTGGTTTGATTCGGATGACTTGGCCTAGCAGGTGAGAGACCAGGACCAGGAGGCGGAAGTTGCCCATGCCATGCTGCAATGGTGTGGCTAGGGTTGCGTTTGCTTGGTCGTGGGGCAGGGGGCGCTGGGGAGTTCGTTAATGGGATTCCGTCTTGGAGACGTTTGTGTGAGAGGCCGCATACCCCTTGTGCCCAGGATTCATCGTCAGATGGCAAGAGTCTTGTGCGCGCTGGTTCGGAGAGGGATAGAGGGTGGCCAGGGCCGGCAATGGCGATGCATCTGAGCTTGAATCAATACGATGTTACAAGAGGGCCATGCGGGTCGAGCGACATGCCGTTCCATGATGAACACCGCCCACCATAACCGCCGGTGGAGCTCCGTCTCGATCCAAGTACTGCCTTGTCGAGCGTCGGGCGCATCTTCGTCGATTCCTAGAGCGGCAAGATAGTCTACACAGCGGCCTAACGTGAGATATGCGCCGGGATAGATGCCGTGTCCGAATTCATAGAGTAAGACGAGGACTTGGGTTTGGAGCAATTGAACGGAGAGTGCGCCGTGGACCTCCGCGCTGGCTAGCGAGGACTTGATTGCGACATAGAGCTTTGTACGAGGGTCTCTATCCAGTAATGGTGCCGCGTGCAGACGAATGCACGCGAGCAGTAGGAGGTTCTCACCATCCAGTGTGGCCGGCGGCGCCGAAAGAGTCGTAGAGATTTCTTGCGGCGGAATGATGGAAATCCAGGACTGAAATATTTCTAAATATCGTGCGAAATACTGTTCATGGCTAGTATCGAGCTCTAGCTCCTGGCGCAGTCTAGCATCCGGTACAAGGCGTGCATCGGGCGTGGAATGTCCCCGTGCGCGGAAAAGCGCGGCATCGAGGAAGAGGGCATCGCTCCATGGGCTGATCCCCAAGTCACCATCGACACTGTGAGACTGCGGCGTCTCGATTTCAACCGGCGGAATGGGAGAGACGCGATGCTTGCCGGAGACGTAGGTGCAGCGGCTATGCGTTCTGCAGGTCGTTAGTCTGCAGCTCCGGTATGTGGTGCAATTGACATCGTAGCATCACCGAAGACAGTAGGAACAAGATGGATACGCGCGGTTGCACTTCTTCTTGCGATATCGGCAGTTGCTGCAGGCTATTTGAGGCCTCATGCTGGACTGGTGTCATGCTGTCATGCTGAGGAGACGTCCACGGCAGGTCGTAGGCCGCGGACATAAATCTTCGCCCGTCACGACATTCGGCACGAGTTGAGTCTCATCGCCTCTTCTATGACCACTACTCATCCAACAAAAACGGGTACATGCACTGCACGACTGCCATCTGTCTTGCTCGTTCAGCCAGTCTTCCTTGCGTCTGGAGAACTCCCTTGTTTGCATGTACGTGAACTGCCTTTGACGTGTTGCACTGCGCCGTCGGCCTATTGCGGACTTTGGCGCAGCCTTGCCTCACGATAACGTCACCAACAGCGACTAAACACCGCTTTTACTCCGCTCTCAATTACGTGACTTGCCCACGCCACTCGTACGCCATTAGATTTTTTATATATAGAGCGTGTAAAGGCCATGGCCCTCACATCGAATCTTTGCTGCACTGCAGCACACGGCGAGATCTGGATATGCACGGCGAGTCACGTTCCCAGCTCGCTCAAGACGACGACGAGACACACAGTGAGGCGCTCAGCAAGGCGGACAACGGCTTTGACTCTGATCACCCTTCTTCCCACCAAGACGAGTCTTTGAGCAGCCCCGAGCAAGAACCAAAGCTCGAAGCTCGACTACCGCCTAGCAATGGAACTGGCGATGTCGAGAGAAATGCGGCAGCTGCAGGATTCTCAAACGATTCGAGGGGCAAACAAGAGGACGAGAGACAGGCCTTCCTGGTAAAATGGGAGGAGGGCGAGAAGGGCAACCCGAGGAATTTCAGCCCGGTACGAAAGGCCTTCCTCACCTTCCTCTTGGGCATGTTGGCGCTGAGCGCGTCGTTGGGTTCGAGCATTATTGCTCAGGCGCAACCACAACTCGCGGAATACTTGGGCATCTCGGAGGAGATTACAGTGTTCGCCGTGTCGCTGTACGTCCTTGGATTCGTTTTTGGGTACGTGCCATCCTTCTCCTCCTCGACTTTTCATAACTAACGAGACCGGCAGTCCACTTCTATGGGCCCCGCTGAGCGAGCAGCATGGGCGCAAAATCAGCATGCTGCCCGCTCTCCTTGGCCTGGGGCTCTTCAGCATCGGCACGGCAGTCAGCAAGAATGCCGCCTCGGTCTTTCTTACGCGCTTCTTCGCCGGCGTCTTTGGCAGCGCGCCTGTCTCTAACGTCTCTGCCGCCCTCGGCGACTTGTACGAGCCCAGGGCCAGAGGGATCGCCGTGAGTTTCTACGCGGTGTGCACTGTCGGCGGCCCCACGCTGGGTCCCACCATCGCTGCGGCCATTCTCTCCGCGCCAGGCTTAGACTGGCGGTGGACCGAGTACGTCGAGGCCATCTTCGTGTTTGGCATTACGGTGATAGCGTACTTCTTCATGCCCGAATTGTACGGCCCCGTACTACTACAGCGCAAAGCACGACGACTCCGCAAAGAGACGGGGGACAACCGATACTGGCACCCTCACGAGTCCTCGACGATGAACTTCAGCAACATCCTCACAAAACACCTCAGCCGGCCGCTGCTGATGTTGACCACCGAACCCATCGTGACGTGCATTGCCATCTACGCCTCCTTCGTGTACGGCCTGCTCTACCTCGAGCTCGAAGTCTTCCCCATTGTGTACCGGCAGCAGCGGCAGTGGGGCCTAGTCGTCTCGACACTGCCCTTCTTGGGCCTTTTTCTGGGGGTTTTCTTCGCGCTTATCATCAATCTGGCCTTTCAACCATACTACTCTCGCGCCGTGGCAAACAACAATGGTCGCGCCGTTCCGGAAGCGCGTCTCCCACCTATGATCGTCGGCTCAACCTTCTTCGTCATTGGCCTCTTTCTTTTCGCATGGACAGGACCTCCACCAACTAATCCGGCGCCATCGATCATAGCAACAGTCTTCATCGGAGCAGGGTAAGTTTCTCCACTTCCACTCCTTCACAACACCACAGAGACTGACCACGTCAACTCCCAGCTTCAACGTCATCTTCCAGCAATGCATCAACTTCCTCGTCGACAGCTACGGCCTGCACGCCGCCAGCGCCGTCTCGGCCAACACCTTCTTACGCTCCTTCTTCGCTTTCGGGCTGCCTCTCGCCGCTAACCCCATGTTCCACAACCTTGGCGTTGGGCCGGCGGGCAGCATCCTCGGCGGTGTGGCGGTTTTGGCGTGGCCGGTGCCGTTGGTTTTCATGAAGTATGGACGCCGGCTGAGGGCGAGGAGTAAGATGGCGCCGGAGGAGGAGTGATGGCCAGGAAGTCGAAGATATAGAGAGGACTTCTAGATTAGACTTGTATTCGCTCTGGTTTGGTCAAGATGGACTTGTGGGTTGTTCATCAGATCATCGCGCGCTTTGGTGCCTTCCATCATCTTCCGCCACCGGCCACTCTTCTGGCCAAGATTCAACTACAAGTTTCGGCCATATTGCCTTCCACCGCACTACTTTCTTCTCGTACGCCTCCCGCGTCCCCAGCACGGGATTAGGCCTCACAACCATATTGAAAAAGTCGGACAGGCCTCGCGGGGCATACAGAATCCACTCCTCCCGGCTCGGATCCAGCCTCACACCAATCATGGCACTCATCGAGATCCACGTGTCTATACCAGCCTCCACGCTCACGTGCGGTGGACATTGCAGCCCGTACTTCTTGCCATACCACAAATGCACGCGAGCCTGGTTCCGGATCTCGACCTCGACATCGATGTCGGCAAAGAGGCGTTTCCCCGCTTGGATGGCGGAATCCTCGGCCTCGTACGACAGGTTTGAATCGTCGTAGTACACGAGGTCGTAATCGCGGATCCCGGTCTGGGGTGGAAGTCTCGAGACGTGGTTCCAGATGGTCTGCGACAAGGCGCCGCCTGCGAGATACCAATGCGGGAGATTGAGAGTTGCGGCTCGAGTAAGCACCGCTAGCAGAGTAGGGTTTGTTGAGAGGACTTCGCGGACGAGGGGAATTTGACGGTGCAAGGGAAGTTGGCCTGGATCCATTGCGATATGAGTTACTTGTGGAAGAATAGAACGGCTCCGCCGAGGATATGGGTGGGACCGATTCGCACTCTAGCGCCCGTGGAAGATGGACACGGCTGTGTATGTACGGTCACGTGCCGTCTGCATGTCGCCCAAGGGAAAACTGCATTGCAATGTGTGGCTAGCACGTCAAAGATGTAGTGACGACTTCGAGATTAGATGTGTATGCACTCTGTTTCAATCAAGATAGACTCGTAGGTTGTTCGTCAAATCATTGCAGTCATTGAAAGTTAGCCGGCTCATTACATGCCATCTAAACGCGAATGGCATCCTTCCTCCAACCTAGTGCTACAGCACTTCCTGCAACGACCGGCCCTCCGCCCCAACACTCGAGCGCGGCAACCTAGCATACACTTTCCCGGCCTGCACTTGCATGCCCGCAACATCAAAGGGCACCGGCGGCGAGTCAACAGTATGAATCCGGCGAAACCCGTGGAAAACAAGGGGCAACAGCGACGAGCGCCACAGAATCGTCTTGTGTCTCCTCGTCAGCACAATCGTCGCAGCAAACACCAAGAGACCAGCGACTTCGAGTGCGAGCGGGTAGACCAGCCATTCCCAGCGCACCATCACGTGGCCGGTGGAGACTTCGACTGTGCCGGTGACTACGTCGCTGCTGAGGCTGAGGGCAAAGCTGGTGAGGGACGCGGCCAAATTCTCGATGGAGAAGGAGAGACCGTACGCCCCGACGCGCCGGATGAAGTCGGAGGAGTACTGGCTGAAGGGGTCTGTCATCCATTGATTCGGGCCATCTTCAGCCCATGTATCGCTTGAGTTGCTTTGTAAATACGGTAGGATGGTGGAGATGTAGAGCGAGACCGGGCAGAAGGCGGAGAGGGAGGTGTTGCCGAAGAAGATGGGGGCGAAGGTGCGTTCGTTGCGCACTTCGGTGTAGGATATCTTGCGCGCGTCGGGCTGCCAGCAGTCTAGGACTGTCGTGCTGCCGGAGGGGGCGAATAAGGTCCCGACTGTGATGACGCCGTAGTTGGTCGCTGTGATTTGACTGTGTAGTGTGCCGTTCGACACTTGCACGTTGTAGGTCCTGACGCAGGGCGTAAGTGCGCACTGCTCCGCCTTTGTCACGCGGAGCTGCATATCGAGATCGCCTTCGATCGACACCTTGCCGACTGTACCTTCGTTGACTAGCTGTGCGTAACCCAGAACAAGTGCCGGCGCCTGAATGCCCAAGACGGTTGGGCCAGAGACAGCCATTGAACCATTGACGAAGCTGGGCATCCCGTCACTCACATTTTGATCGTGGAAATGTGTCGCCCAGACAGTGTCTGTCTGCCAAGTTTTGTAGTAATCACCATTCATCTGCCGGGTGTACCCATACGACACAGTTATATCTTGCCCAGAGCCTAAGGACAAGGTGTAGTTGGTAGAGTTGGAATTCGGAACGAGCGTCAACGTCGCCGATGCCGTAGCATCCTCGCATTTGCTGCACCAGCCCAGCGAGTCGAATTCGGGCCACTTGCAGTTGCCAGAAGTGCACGTCGGGGCGCGGGCGAATTGAGAGGCATCTGCCCAAATGCCAGAATTTACTGCGCTAATCATGTCGAGCCCATCGACGACTGGAGAAAACCCGGTAGCTCTGTGCGTTGTGGCGGTGCCGTCCTGGGAGATCGTGGTGCGAGTAGGGTAGCGGATGACTTGTTGGATGAAAGGATCAAAGGCGAGAGCGAGGATGGTAAGGAGAGCGCCGACGATGGCAATGATATTTCCGGTGCGTCCCCAGAGCAGTTGGAAGGATCCCAAGGCCCCGCGACTGGCATCATCGAAAATCTGAAGCTCGTAGAGCCTCCGACGCTGCTGAAACCAGCGCCACTTCAATTGACTGAGTGCCGAAGCTAAGACGCACACCAGCGCACCCTCGGCCCCGGTCGCGAGGGTGGAGACGATTGCGTTCAATGTCAGCCCATAGGGTAGAGGGGAGAGGATATTGCCGTCGAAGACCACGAGGATGGCGATGATGGCGACGAAGCATGCGATGCTGAAAGCCATGGTAACGATCTCGAAGGTCCAGGTGTTGGCGTAAATCCGGCGCCAGGTGGGCGTTCGATCGTTGGTGTGCGCATCTTTCTCATCGCTCTCGAGATAAGAGATGCTCGAGGTTGTCTTGTGGCTGGCGGCGCCTTGCGCACTCTGGAAACTAGCAGGTGGAAGTGCAAAAGCGGCGTGTCCGGTACGCCCAGCGAGTCGCGGACTGAGGTGAGCCTCATCGCCATGAGGGCCTATCATGTACACGTTCTCGAGCGCATCTCCTGCATCACCACGAGGCAACAGAGGGTAGCCAGCTCCGCTGTGTGAGCGAGCCATGATTCCTGGTCACGCTGTAGACACTCGAGGTTTTCGGGATCATGGAGCCATTGAAGCTCATGAAGGGAAAGGGAGCATTCGAGTGCTTGAGAAAGCATGCGAAACGGTCTCGTCCACCTACCTGGCTGATGCTATATTCGTCCCGTCGAAGCGCGGGGCTGAGCCCAAAGAAACGCCTTCATGCATGGTGATTGGCTAGGAGCGGCTTCGGGTTTGGGGGCCAAAATCTGTAGCGACAGTAACGTCAGGCGTAGATCACACAAGAGGTTGATCTGGAGCACAATCAGCCTGGGTCAAGTGTTCTACTAGGATGCACCATCCTTATACTTGTATAAGGTAGGGACTGCAACGAGATATCTGGAAACGATTAGTCACGCACTTCCTCCCGCCCACGATTTGGAGAGAACTTCCACGCGGTCTAGCCCTACGCCTCGACCAATCATGTCGCCGCGCTTAAATGCCAATGCAAATTGCACCCTACAAAGCTTGTTACTACTTGGCTTCGACGACTTTTGCGTGGAATCCGGGGAGGGAGTCGTCGGGGTGGTGTTCGGGACCAGAGACTGGGTGTGTGGGCGGTGTGGGCTTGATGGAAGCCCTCCCAACTGATTTCGATGCAATCTGAGGTGCCGATCGCGTGCCTTTGTAAAAGACCGAGAAAAAGTGGTGATGCGTTCATGGTTGCGACGGGCGAGAGTTTGTGGCGGCGACCAGCAAATCCCCGAGTCCAATGGCGTGCTGTCGTGTCACTTCATCCACGGTCACTCTATCCGCGCCGTCGCATGGGCTAACCTCTTCCCCGCGCGAGTGATGAAGTGGTGTGAGGCGTACCACCGGCTCCCTTGAAATCCTCGCAGCGCGCATCTTCCGGTACGAGGAATCCTCGCTTCGGCCGAGATACCCCATTCCAGTAGAAGGATAGAAGGGAGGATGAGGGTGGCATGCGCTCTGCGCCTCCCAGTTTTCAGCCACGTGCAGCTACTGTATTTCTGCAGGGCGCCGCGGGTAACGGCCTGGTTTTGGGCCGTCCCTTATTCGCGGTGCCGGGGTTGGTGGGAACGAGCGAAGCAGCGCGCGCCGCTCGTAATTTAGTCGGTCGCCTCTCATTCCACCGCATTTACACTTTTTTCCCCTTCTAGGCACCTAACCTGTGGCCCTCGCTATTCTACTTCTTCTGCCTTTCCATAACCAGCTATACGCTTTTCCGCCTTCTCTGCGTGAAATCGTCTGCCTCCCCGTCTGGCGCGCACTCGGGTGGAGCATGCACGAAAAGGACGCCGAAGCAGCCTTGCTTCTCGGCCAATGGGAGGACGGCAGTCACGCGCGCGACGGCAGTGACGCCTCCAGCGAGCCCGAGATCGAGGCACCAACTTCCCTACCTCCCCACCGCAGATTACGCCTCACGCTGCAGCGCATATCACATCGCTGGCGCGTCCATCCCGCCAAATCACTCCGCGCCAACGGCTTCAAGGCGCGGCGGAGGCGCCTGAGCTGTGCCTCGTTCCGCCTGCTCGTCGCCTATGCCCTCGGGCTTTGGCTTGCTGTCATCCTCACGTGCGGCAGCTTGTTCCCTTCTTACTCCCATCCTCCGGCCAGATATGCGCAGCTCCGGGAGCGCGTACAGCTCGCGACTTCCCCCGGTGCAGCGAACATCGACAATGAAAAGATCTTCATCGCCGCCAGCCTGCTCGACAAGAAAGGCGAGCTGACATCTGGCGCATGGGGCGACTCCGTGCTCCAACTCATCCACATCCTTGGGCCGCAGAATGTCTTCTTGAGCGTGTACGAGAATGACGCCGATGCAGCGAGCATCGAAGCGCTGCGCGCCTTCCAGCCCCGCCTTCCCTGCGCCTCCTCGCTCGTCAACGAGCACCTCGAACTCAACGACGTCTACCACGTCAAGACCGCCGAAGGCACGTCAGAAGCGAAACGCATCGCTTTTCTTGCCGAAGCGCGCAATCGTGCCCTCCGCCCCCTCGAGAACGAGTCCTCCCCCGCCTACCACACGCGATGGGATAAGCTCCTATACCTCAACGACGTCGCATTCGACCCCATCGATGCCGCCAACCTCCTATTCAGCACCAACGTAGATGAAGAGTCGGGCAAGGCAGATTACCGCGCCGCGTGCGCCGTCGATTTCATCGATGCCTTCAAATTCTACGACACATACGCCACGCGCGATCTCGAGGGTTTCAGCATCGGCCTGCCGCTGTACCCGTGGTTTACCAGCGCCGGGGAAGCAGAGAGTCGAAGAGATGTGCTGAGCCAGACAGACGCCGTGAGAGTGAAGAGCTGCTGGGGCGGCATGGTAGCCTACGAGGCGCAGTGTTTCCAGCCATATGCGTGGCAGGAAGGGTTTGAAGCGCTGAACATGGCCGAGGAGCTGGATTGGAGTGAGACTCCCGTGTCAGACGAGTCCTCTGCCCTCACAACGCGAGGGCCCTTCGACCCCCCACTACGCTTCCGCTTCGAGCGAGAAACGTACTGGGACGCCTCAGAATGCTGCCTCATCAACGCCGACCTCGCACATATGTCCGGCTCGCAGGGAACCGGCATCTACATGAACCCCTACATTCGCGTCGCCTACTCGCCCCGCGTTCTCAGCTGGCTCGGCTTCACGCGACGTTTCGAACGCCTGCTATCCCCGCTCCAGTCGCTGGTGAATTCGCTTTGGCACCTTCCGAAACATAATGTGCGCCGGTTACAGCAGCCAGGCGAGGAAGTCGTGGATACCGTCTGGCGCTGGGAGCCCTCTTCGCATGCTGGCGAGGCTGATGGCGGCTCGCAGGGCTCGTATCATCAGATTCGAAGGATGGCGCAGCCGGGACAGTTCTGTGGGCGGCCGGGCTTGTCGGTTATTCGGGATGGAGTGCAGGGTGGGAGACACTGGGCTGGCGCGCCGGTGCCTCCGCGGCCTGTTGGAGGGCAGTAGGCTGCTGCTCTCGTAACGATTTGATGATGACTTGTATGTTGAAGCGGGCGGTTTATTGTATTACAAGGCTGGACGTTTAGTCCGGTGACTGTCGAGATACCATGTGATGCCGCGTATGCGGCGCCTTGACTCTGTGCATTCCTCTCCCCTTCTATTCTGCGTGAGTGTCTATCGGTTGTATCACAGGGTGCCCGCTATCAGCTACCTGCTGCCCAGAATCAAGTTGTAGAGTTCGCTTGCGAAGCGGCAGCCTCGTCTCTCTTCAACGCGTCCAACGCACCGCTGGTAATCTCTGCACGAGTATTCCGCGGCGCGTCTCGGATCTTCCTCGCCGGATTGCCAACAACCACCGAATAAGGCGGCACATCCTACTCAAACATCAGTCTCCGCCCAAAACAAACGGAAAAGAAAAAAAATAAAAATAACATACCTTCGTAACCACACTCCCCGCCCCAACCGTACTCCCCTCCCCAATCCGCACCCCAGGCAAAACAATCACATTCCCCCCCAGCCAGCAGTCCTCCCCGATATGAATCTCCGCCCCATCCTCCGGCCCCTTCGTCCCATTCCTCACCTCCGGATCCAGCGGGTGCCGACCACTATAAAGTTGCACGCCGGGAGCCAGCAGCGTGCGCGCACCAATCGTGATTCTGCAAGTGTCGATGAAGACGGCGTTGAAGTTGACAAACACGTTCTGCCCGAGGGAGATGTTGGTGCCGTAGTCTGCGTAGAAGGGCGGTTCGACCCACGGGTCTTCGGCGAAGAGGTCGTCGTCTAGGTCTTGGGTTGCTGCTTTTGCGGGGAGGGGGTTTGTGTCGTTGATGATGCTGGGGGGTTGAGTTGATGGGTGGTGAGGGTGTAGATGGGAACAACGTACTCACTCTCTCCACAGCTCGGCGCGCTTCCTTCGGCTGATGTCGCGCGAGTCGTTATATTTTTGCCGTGCCTCGGCGCACCGCATTCGTTGCTTGATGAGCTCGGGGGTGAAGGCGTAGTGAAGCTCGCCGCGGAGCTGGCGGGCCGAGTTTTCTGACATTTTGACAAATGTGCACCACGAAGCGTGCTCGAGGGGGTTTGAGTCGATTCGTTTATGTCAACCTTGACTCTTGGAGATGTGGTCAACGTGTGCCAGGAGAGTAAAGCGAGTCCGGGGTGTGACAATGTTGGGTTGAATGGGTCTGGTGGGTCGCGCATTCCGCACCGCCCGCCAAGGCCAAACCTGACCGCCAAAGCTTCTCTCAACTCCATCTGCTGTCCGCCAACGATGATGAGCGATTTAGCATTACAGGAAGAGTGCGAGTCCACTAGGCTGAGACTCAGATCGGGACCCTCACAGATAATGACAAGGCACTCGCTCCCTCATCCTCTTTCCGCCCTTCGACTGACGACAGCTATGGGGACGTTGCCTTGCTGGCAATCCTCCGAGCTCCTGGCAAGCAAGGTCCATCGTCCACGGAGCAGGCTACCTGCCGTCGAGCGCACCGTTACAAAAAGCAATGCAAGCTCTCGTGGGTCTGGCTCCACGATCCCGCGTCGCCGTGTTCGCCAGGCCACCCACGAGCCAACAATGCCACTTCCGCGCCAACACGCTCGCCGGCGTACGCTGTCCGAGCACGAGATGTCTCACTTCGGCTCAGGAATCATGAATGAACTGGCAAAATTTGAAACGCCTCGCATGTGAAATGCTGCACAGGCAGTTGCTCATACACACCCAAGCTGTGAAAGCAGACATCCCGAACCTCAGCTGGCATCAACGGCTCCGCGCTGACACTGGCCTTATATCCCCGATCACATGGCTGCCGCTCTGATCAAAGACACGGGTGGTATTTCCAACTAGCAGTCAGCGTTGTCATCGCTCGGGTATACGTGCCTTCGAAAGCTCGCAGCCGACGGTAGTGCTCACGATCTGGTGCTGTGGATCCCCGGCAATACCAAGCTGGCATCTAATACCTGGCCTTCCGTATCAGCGAGTATATCTCGCGGTCAGACTGTTGTATTGGAGGCATGAACGCCGGGATTCGCAATCTGGCCAATTGGGAGCCAAGTGAGTCCATGACATCGACATGACCCCCATAATCAATTGCTCCTGCGGGCACTGGAGGCCATCTCACGCAATAGGCTCAAAACGGCTCTGGACCAGCATGGGAAAATAAGAGAAAAAAGATTCATCCTCACGTCGAGGGGCCCAAGAACAAGAAGAAAGATTTGCGACCAGCTGGCAGCCCTCACTCTCTGACGCTGGTCCCATGGAAAGAACTCTTACATGCAGCACCCGAGACCCCTGGACGTTAATGCATCTATTCTTGGCCGCGTGCATGTTCAGTCTCTGGTCCTGGACCACGGTCCAGCTATACAGCAGACACATTCGAGCTGTTCTCGACGGACCTGGCATCTGTGAATCGAGAATGCTGTCGATTGAGGCTGCAGCTGTGCACAGAAAGACAGCGTGGTCTATCAGCTCCCACTGCACATCGTACACATAATAATAAGTCCTGGAGTCGTAACGCCGTGGCCTCCGCCCGCCTGGGGAAGGGATGCTCAGCCGTTCGCATGGGAGTGTCGGTATCCTGGCCGCCCTTGAGGATTCCAGAAGGCTCCCATGATGTCCGTCCTGGATTATTGCTCACGCTGTCTCCTTTTGGAGCTCTCGAACAGCCGGATCAAGTGTAGGTCTATCCCATTGTTTGCTTTTGTATGTTTGCGTTTCTTCTCTCCTACTCCGCACGGCTCTTGCATGTTGGCTGCTCGTCTCTTTCGGAGCATCACAAGTGCAGAACGCGATTGCGCAATCGGTGTGCTTTGTCAAGATCGCATGGTTATCCTTGCTTGCTTGTAGCGAGGTCCCGCTGGCAAAGGAACCGCGTCGTCGCAGAGTGCACCATCTGCGTGTGGGCGTAGTTGCATACATCCACCATCTCCTTCAGCAAGAATGACAAGATGCATGGCATTGAGTGGATCAATCGCACGTTGACTATCCGCTCAAGAGACTGCATCGAACGACGGGTGGTGTAGGCGTAGTTGCAACACATCTTGCATGCGTGTGTCGACGTGCACGAGGCACTACATCGGACCGGTGCTAACAAGCTGCAACACGATATCGCCCGCTGTAGCCGGGACACGGAAGAACCTAACTGTGGGTATATATCTAATTCCTGGAGCAGCGCCCTCGCCGGTGAAGCTGTAGTGTCCGGGGGCGGCCGGACTTGCAGTGGAACCGGCAAACTTACTACCAAAAGAACTGGGCTAACATATCTTCTCTACAGATGTCTTTCGAGACCTACTACTACCTTCTTTTTTGGGAAGTCAGGGGTTCGAGAGGGCAGGGGTTCGAATCTGGCTTGGCAGCCAGCCCCGTTAATTCATATCTCACGCCACCGACCAGTTGGCACTATTGTTTTTGTATGCTGAGGATCAGGCAATCGAGGAGATGGATCTCGGGCGATTTTTGGAATTTTTGGGTGCTTGTTGAGTTATGTTTTGAAGCCCAGGGGGTGGTGGTGAGCAATGTGGAAGCGGAAAAGCGACGGACGCGCTTACGTCAACGCCGCACACTGCTTCACAACATCACGAGAGCACTCAATCCTCACTCATAACGCTTCTTACACGATTGCCCAAGCACACACTCTCACGAACTGCGAGCATATCAAAGAATCGCCATCAACTGCTTCGGCAGCATCACCATCACCTGCACGTTGGAGACGCGCCGAACGGCCACCCCTGTCCTTTCTAGATCCACGACCAGAGGCTAATGAACGCTGCTCACCAGCTATATCCCCAGCAAACGCACCAACCATGAGCAGCCACGAGCAATTCCCCTTCCTCGCCAGCGACACCGCGCCGTCGAAATGGCCACCCAACATCGTAAGCCTCACGCCCGCCCATCAACGCGCTCTCACTGACAATTCACACCTCACAGAACGCGTGGAGACACGATGTCGCGGCTTGCGGGCCCTTCAACGTCGAGAGAGTGGCCGCTGGCTCGCCGCTGGACCTTTTCGGGTACACGCTGGCGGAATGGTTGGAGATGAAGAAGAGGGAGGAGGAAGTGGCTGTTGAGCGGAGACAGACGCGTGAGAGGGAGAGGGGTCGCTCTTGGGCGGAAGTGGCGGCCGGATGGCGCGTCCCTGGGGATAGCAGCCAGGGGGAGGCGAGAGCTACGCGTGAAGGGAATGATAGGGGTGGCCGGTAGGCAGGAGAAGGGGCAGCGAGGCAAAGGAAGAAGAAGGCAAAAGACGAGCATATCATACAGTTTGACGCGGCGGCATGGCCGCTCTCACGACACGATTTGAACGAGAATGCATCCATTCGATTTCTAACTACCTTCGCGCTTCCTTTCGTCCTCAAGGACATTGTCAACCACCTGGAAGATGCCAGTGACGAGCTTCATCGTCCCCTCGTCCACTACACCTCCGAAACGCTGTTGAATCTTATCAGGATGCCAACGCACCCTCTCAGCCTTGAGAACAGCCGTCTTCGACCGCTTCTCCTCCGCAGGCGCGTGCTGCATGAACGCCTCGATGTTGGGTTTGATGACAGCCTTAGAGGGTAGGACGGGCCATGGAATGCGTTTCGAAGGGTGCGCAGCCGTCTCTTTGCTGCTTGAGTCGCTGCGTTCGGCGAGAAGGTCGTATTTCAACTTGTCCCACGCGGAGAGGTAATTCTCCCACGCCTTCGCGTACTCCGCCCGCTCCTGCGCGCGATCGCTAGGAGCGAAGTTGGGTTCACCCGTGAATTCAAACCCAGCGTTACCATCCTCTTCACCCTCGTCGTCACCTTCCTTGGCTTTCCAGCCCTGCGCTCGCTCCCACGCAGCCCTCTCCCTCCGCCTCACAAACTCCTCCCGTCGCCTCGTCCGCTCCTCTTCCTCCAGCTTCCGCTCTCGATCCTTCTGCTTCCGCTCCTGCACAATCTCCGGGTGCTTCTTCTCCCACATCTTCGCTTTGACGTACTCCACGTACTCTTCATCGCTCATCTGCTCCAGTTCGCCTCGCGGTGTCTCAATGGTTGGGCGGGGGTAGATGTGGATTGGTTGGCTGTATACGCTTTCCCAGTATGCGGCGCCTTCATCGTCGGCTAGGGCGTCGAAGAGGGAGGTGCGAAAGGCTGTGTCGGAGGATTGCGGAGCAGGGTTGTCCGGGTCGGCGATAGGTTCGCGAGGGAAGGGATGCGCTGGATCTTCGACAGGGGCTTTGTTCGCTTCGTCTGATGGAGGCGTTGGATAGTCATCTCCTTGTTTTCTTCTGCGCTTGCGATGCGATCTTCTGCTGTCATGTGTTTCGCTCCGCGAGCTGTGCGATCTCCCAGTTCGTGGCTCCTGCGTGCCGGATTTGAAGCGGAAGCGCATCGATCGTGAGGAATCGCGGACGGCATCTTCTCGCTCAGGACTGCGCATGGAGGAGCGTAAGCCATCCTTTACTGCGTTGTGACGGTCGATCTCGTCTTGGAGGTTGGCGAGGATGGCATCGTGGTCGATTTTGTCTCGTTGTTTGCCCAGCTTCTCTTTCACATCCTTCCTTGTCGCCTCCATGGAAGGCATGGCGGAGCAGTGTGAGCGCAGCCTCAACCTATAGCCGTCTTATTGGTGGACGCATACTTCTGTTTGAGAGGTCCTGTTCAGCGGCGAGGAATGTGAGAGCACATGAGGTGTGACGTGAGGATCTTGCAGCCTCAGGCACCAAATGGCGGGCGGGTGGCTGAGTCATCGGAACAACCACCTCTCCATTCGAATTGCGGAGGCGGCGAAAGACGACTGTAGGGACGCCAGTCCGAGCATGCGCCCGTAATTCTCTGCGTGCGCCAGCTCTTCATCCTTTGCTCTTGGGTAGCCTCGCGACCAGGCCCCTCTTGGCTCTACATCTTTCGCTCGACGGCTGCTGTCGCGGCCACCTCTCACTATGCCGTCGAACGGCACGAGTCGCAAGAGTAAGCAATACCCTCTCCCATGCCTCGCCGTGGTGTAGCGCAAACATGATCTGACCCGTGCTTACTCCAGCGCCCACCGCCAAGGTGGTCAAGAGGGAAGATTCCGTCCCACTCGACAGCCTTTTCGACGATTTGTTGGAGGATGATGCGAAGACGGCAGACATCCCCAAGTCTCTACCTCACGTGAAGAAGTTGGGGAACTGGGATACCGAGCACAGTGACGGTACGGATGTCTCCTTGTCTGCCCCTATATCCAACTCTACTGAGTACTGATTTTTACAACAGCAGCGAAAGAAAACTCCAAAACATCCTCTGGCCGCTCCACTCCGGCGCCCACCTCCGCTCCCATGACCAAAGTCTCCAGCAACGTCACCAAAGGCTTCGCCGCCGGCAAACCGATGCAGGACAAGCCCGAGATGCTCAAGTGCAGCCATTGCAGGCGGGCCGTCACGAAACACTCCATGCCCAAGCACGTCGAGAACTGCCTGAACAAGAAGCAAGAAAAGCAGCGCAAGAAGAAGGAGGCCAAGGACGCCCGCGATGCGGCTGCAAGAAAGGAAAAGACCGGTGCGGGCGATAGCGACGACGATGAGGATGCAGACGAGGTGGGGAAGAAAGGCACGGCGAGTAAAACGGGCAGTAAGAAGCGCAAGGCCGGCGACGAGGGGGATGATGCCGCAGGTCCAGCCAAAAAGAAGAAGAAAAAGGAGGACTCCAAAGCCAAACCCCCGCGCCCAAAAGCGCCCGTCGACGTAGAAAAGCAATGCGGCGTCGAGCTGCCGCAAGGCGGCCAATGCGCGCGCAGCCTGACGTGCAAAAGCCACAGCATGGGAGCGAAGCGCGCCGTCCCCGGCCGCAGCGCACCTTACGACAAGCTCCTCATGGAATACCAGCGCAAGAACCAAGCGAAGCTGCAGAAAGCGCAGTTTGACGCTTCCGCCCCGAATCCCGACGACGACAGCCTGCCTTCCGGCCCCGTGGACTCGGAGGAGGAGCGCGACGCGGTCATGACTTCCATCGCGCGGAGCTGGGGCGGTCAGCCGTTGTTCCAGAAGACTCGCGTGCCGTTGCAAGCCAAGTACACGCACAATCGCATCAAGGGGATGTTGCAGGGCGCGCTGGGATCGAGGGGCGGCGGAGGCCTATTTGGAAGTCTTGGGAGCGGCTTTTTCGGCTCGGCGCCTCCTCAGGCTGCTCCTGCTGCGCCGGTAGTGGACGAGCAGGGCCATGTGCATGCCAGGCGAGGCAGCATTGTGCCGGGTGCTAGGAGCATGATGGCCCCGGCGAGTAGTCGGAAGGGCAGCGTGGCGGCTAACTGACGCGACGATCGGAGATGGGTGTTTTGTTTGCGAGGCGTTCTCTGGCTGGCGAGGCGACGATACCCCTACTTGGTTTGAACTTGATGAGATGAATGTGTGTGCTTTCGTCGACACAACTACAAGCGTAATACAGCAACAACCGTGAATGAACCGCACTCGTTTGGAGTTTGTATCATTATTTTCGTGAGCGCTGTCTCATCATTCCCGACGCCATGTCTGCGTAAACGCCTTTCGTAATATATCTCGTGGCCATGCTCGTACACCACCTTATCTCTGACATTCGAGACGAGAAGGAAGCGCGCATCTACTCCATGCACATGATGGCGCCCCCGAAAAGCCTCCTCACTTCCAGCCACTCCGCTTCGCGAGGATAGTCGACACCAGGGAACAGCTTGACCCATTCGGACAAGTCGATGGGATATGGGTACGTTTGGGGGCCCGAGTGTCTGATTTCATTAGCACGCAGGTAGAGCTACTCATACAGCAGAAACGTACAGTCAGACGCCCATAGTGAAGTCGTGCTCGATACCCGGCGTCACGCTCGCCATGAATTTCAGAAAGACCACCAGGTACTGATCGACGCGGATTGCCACTTCCTCCGGTTGGTCGGAAGCCGAGCTGAGGACTTCCCATTCGCCGTCGCCGCTCGTGTGCGCCTTATCGGTCGCCTTTTGCCCCGGCTTGTTGAGATCCAGAGCACCCGTCTGCTCCACCAGGCCCTCCATGCCCGCCGCACTCGGCGTTTCACCGCGCTTTAGCTTCTCCATGCGGAGCTTGAGGGCGGCGTCGGCGCGGTCGAGCAGGACTTTCATCACGCTTGCGTGTCTGCAGGGGTGGATGGACGCGGTTTTGATGGAGGGATTGGTGAAGTAGAAGTCTTCCAGTGTGACGGTCTTGTCTTTGTAGTCGCCGACAATGTCGTCCATCATGTCCATGGGGGGAAGCGGCTGGTTGGAGTGAGCGTTGTAGCCGAGGAGGTAGAGGCGAGGTGTGCGGTAGTAGGGGGTGTATGTGATGTAGAGGGTGTATGTGCGGAGGCTGGAGGGGTCAGCAAGCATGTCACGTACGATGGGAGGGACAAATGTAGCCATACCCATCCGAGTCGGCGGAGCCCTTGTGGTCTCTTATGATGGCCTCCTCATCGTCTTCCTCGTCTTCCATATCCGGAATTTCATCTTCCTCTTCAACCTTCTCGCCCACCTTACCATCCTCATCGACCGTCCTGACATCTTTCATCCTCAACTCCGCACTCCTGCTCATCCCGGCCGCACCACCTCTCCCTCCACCAGCCTTCAACCATCCATCGTCTTCACCTCCCGGCTCACCATCACCCGGCCCAGCCAACATATCCCTCACGACTTGCTCTTCTTCTCCATCACCCAAGAACGCAACATCTCCACCCTTCACTCTCCGCTTACACGGCACGCCTCTAGTGACCAGATACTGCTTGCCCGCGGGGAAATAGCTGACTCTCTTGTCCGGACTCGCGGCATCAGCCCAGCTCCATGAGGGGAACTTGTAGACGAGGAAGTCGCCGGCTGCTTGAAATTCTTCTGGCGTCAGTTGGCCCGTGGAGCGGAAGTTGCTGGTATGGTTGAGCGGGGCGAAGCGATCGCGGAGGGGATCGATGAAGGTGTGGATTAGGTTCTGCATTTTGTTTGCTTGCTTCAGGAGAGGATGAGGGGGATCATTCGAGCTTGTCGTTAGAAGAGGGAGGTCTATGACTTTGTGTGGTGTGGTGGCGGAGTGGCTGTGCTGAGCGACAGGTTGCCTTGAGGTTGTTCCACGTCGAGGTGGAGGTTCGCTGCTGACTCACCCAAGCTCTGGCCCATCAGGCTGCATGTGATGGCGTGCGTGGTCGGAGGGCCGGACATGAACTTCACTTCGTCTTACTTCTCTCTTCCCCCATATGCATAATCATGCCGACCCCCACTGCCCCGTCGATTCCCCTTCTAGATCTCTCCTGGGCCTCTTCTCCATCGCAAAGACCCACTCTCCTCAAACAACTTCATGCAGCACTGTTCGACGTTGGCTTCCTCTACATCAAAAATCATGGCGTCCCGCAAACCACCATCGACAACCTAACCAATCTTCTGCCATCTCTCTTCGACCTGCCCAAAGAGAAACGGGCCGCGTTGAGTAAAACCCACAGTCCTCACTTCGTAGGCTACAACGGCTTCGCGGAAGAAATCACGCTGGGAAAGCAAGACTTGCGTGAACAATTCGACTTCGCCACTGAATTGCCGGTCGTGTGGAAAGACGGCAATGCGCAGTCCAATGGACACGCCAATGGTCACAGCGAGACACACGATCGAGACTTCACCAAGCTGTACTGGAGACTCCGCGGACCCAATCAGTGGCCGAGCGAGCTAGATCTGCCCGGGTTTCGAAAGGCCTTCACCGAATACCACGATGCTGTCCAAGAGCTGTCCTACAACTTTGTACATCTGATTGAAGAGGCTTTTGGCATTCCCATCGGTACATTTGACCACTTCTTTGGCCGCGCGGCGCCAGTCACGACCCAGGCGAATGGCTCCTCGGAGTCGAGAACGTTCCTGCCGCCTCAACATCGGATCAAATTACTGAAGTATCCCCCATCGGAGCTTAATGCTGTCGGCCAAGGCGTAGGAGCGCACAAGGACTCGTCAGGCTGGCTGACGTTCTTGTACCAAGTGTCTAACGAACCTGGCCTGGAGGTCTTGTCGGCAGACGACGAATGGATTCCTGCCACGCCCATAGATGGAACGTTCGTGGTCAACTTTGGAAATCCTTTTGAAGCTGCTACTGAAGGCGCCGTGAAAGCCACTACACATCGAGTCATTGCTCCCGGCCCGGCCTCCAACACCCGCTACTCCATCCCCTTTTTCCAGGGCGTGCCGTTAGACATGACTGTCAGTGAGATTCGCTCCTACATTCCCGAACACGTTCGACGATTGCGAAAGGAAGCCGGCGGCGAGCAGACTGTGAGTAGCTTTCTGGATCCTCGATGGGATTCACTCGGCGAGAGCCAGTTGAGGAAGTGGGTCCGAAGTCATCCAGACGTTGGCTTGAAATTCTATGGAAAGGAAGTGGTCGACTACTACACGGCTACTCATTAAATACTCGTCTCGTACTTGGTCCGGCCTCGGAGCCTTTCGCCGCATCGCCAGAACAGCCAGGGGATGGGCGCCATAGCTAGCGAGCAGAATGCCAACAGGCTGGTGGCCCATCCAACCCCCAACTTCCTATACAACTGCAACGCGAACAATGGAAACGCCGCGGAAACACCATATCGAGTCAGCATCGCTGCACCGGCGGCCGAGGCTCCGTATAAGGGTCCATATGTGTCGAGCATGAAGAGCTGGCAGGGCGCGTAGATCATGATGGATGTCATCATGGAGATGGCTTGGAAGATCATCGGCACGATCCAGTGGATGCTGCGTCGTGCGGTCCAGGCGAAGCCAAAGAGAGCCGCAGGCTGAACGAAGGACGCGACCAGCGCGCCGAACAGTCGGTTTTCGGCGGGGAACTGCTCGTCTGGCGCACTCTGTCCGCCAAAGCGTTTCAAACGCGGTTGATAGAGGTAGTGATCCAGCACAATTAGAGGGATCGGAGCAATCGTGGCTCCAATGATCAGACCGAGGAATGACAAGCTTTGCCCCGTGATCCCGAAGCCGTAATACGTCTCGTAGACCCACGGGGATGCGACGATGAATAGGTAGATCAGCCCGAACAGGAAGCTGTTGTAAATGCACACCAGCGTCACGATTGGCTCCGTGAACAACATATGCACCGGGCGAATCAGCTGCGTGCGCAGGAAATGCTGCACGAATTGGAGCCACGTGCGCGCGACTTCTGCCGGACCGGGGACGCCGAGTTTCTTCGCGCGTCGGCGCAGAATGATCTTCTTATAAGACTCGCGGGTGAAGAGGATGGGGATGTAAAAGGCGATGAGCAAGAAGATGATGGTCCATTGCGTCCAGCGCCAATTCGTCGCTTGCGCCACAAGCCCGCCGACAAGAGGCCCACTGCATGCGCCGATAATGGGAATGGAGAAGTAGAAGGACATTATAACCGTTCGATACCGGCCGGCAGTGTAGTCGATGATGGTCGCCGAGGCATTGCCAATCGCTGGCGCAGCCGCGAAGCCTGCGAAGAAGCGACACACGACCAACGCCGCGATGTTATTGGAGAAGCCGGCGCCGAGCGTGAAGAGGGCAAATAGCGGCCCAGTGATCAAGTAGACCAGTTTCCTTCCGCAGGTTTCGCACAGCGGACTGCCAATTAGAGGGCCCAGGGCGAGCCCAACGGTGTACATGGACAGCGGCAGGATGGCGAGCTCCTCCGACACATGAAATTGCCGGACGACATCTTGGATGCCGGGACTGTAAACCGAGGCGCCAAAAGTACTCCCAAAGGCGAAGAAGGTGACTGCAAAGGTGGAAGCTATGCGGCGCGTGAGGGAGAAGTTTCGTGGATTGCCCGGGTCGTCGGGACTTGTCCAGTCTCGTGCGTCTAGAATGGGTGGTTGGTCGGGTGGAGATGAGGCCGCCTCGATTTTCTCATCGTCTTTCGACATGTCGAGGCTGCATTCTCGATGTTGGCCTCACGATTGGTGGTCAGGGAGGTTGAATGAGGCAGGAAAGTTGATGCTGTCGCCGGTGTCGGAGATGGGATGGAACGGGCGGCATCATGACGATCCTTCGCAGCGCATGAACTCTACTCGCGACGCACGGCGTGCTGTGGTCGTTGCAGGATCATCTCCAATTGGTCAACGATGACTCGAGTGGAATATCACTCCGAGGACTTGCAAGACATGGAAGAACGAGGGAATCTGCATCACACAACGTGTGACGTACGTGCGACATCGACGACGCAGCATCTGATCTCGCCTCGTGCTCCTCACGTGTGCTGATAGCCTCGCTTCTCCGCTGCGGGGCAGGGATGGCTTCTGCAAGTAGCAGTACGTACCTATATAACCGTGTCCTCTAGTATATACATGCAGCCTGACTGCTCGTCCCCTTCCCTTTACACCTGACGTTGTCGTCGGCGTTCCAGCCATGAAGGTGTACAAATCCGAAAGACCTGACATTGACTTCTCTCCTCCCATCGACTTTCTAACGTTTTTATTTGGTACGTCGATCGTGAGCTGGCTGTATCCCTTAACTTGACTAACGTCAAATCGTCGGGTTGCAGACTCCGACTGGTGTGCCGCCAAAGAAGACACGCAGATCCATGTAGAAGCCACGAATGCGGAAAACTACATCACCAAAGCAGAGGCCCGCGAGGCCGTCAAACGCATAGCGTACACTTTCCGCCATGACTTTAGCATTGGAGCTTCCGCCCCGGGACAGGATGTTATACTGGCCACCAGCTCGGGCAACCCGTTCATCCCCATCTTGTTCTACGCTTCGATTGCCGCGGGTGGTATCTTCTCGGGAGCGTCGACTGCCTTTACGGTGGCCGAGTTGACCCGGCAAGTCAAAGACGCGGATGCAAAAATCTTACTGTGTACGGCGGAGTTCCGGGACCGGACTGTTGAGGCGGCGAAGCAGTGCGATATCCCGCTCGACAGAGTCCTGGTCATTGACAGCAGCACCCCCAAGGACTGGAGACTGGTGTCGGAGAAGACCAAAAGGAATGTGCTCAATCTCGCCAGTGGCCCCAAGTTGGAATGGTTGCGATTCAAAGAGCACAAAGAAATGCACGATATCACAGGCTGCTTGCTGTATTCCTCAGGCACGACAGGCCTGCCCAAAGGCGTGCGGCTTTCCCACCTGAACCTCATCGCCTCCAGCCCCGTCTGCATGTCAGTCGGCGACAGCTTCATCGCGCAGCGCAAACGCGAAGGCAAGCCCTTCGTCTTCACCACCATCGCGCACCTCCCTATAGCCCATATTGCAGGTGTTGCGTGGTATTGCTTGAACCCCTTCTACCTAGGCGGCACGACGTACTGGATGGAGAAGTACGACTTTGACGAGTTCATCGCGCATCACCGCACATACCGGCCGACGGTGCAGATGAGCGTGCCTCCGATTTGGCTGCAGATCGCTAAGAGCCCGAAAGTCACCGACCACTTTGACAACTTGACGGTGGCGTGCACGGGAGCGGCGCCGATGGGGTTAGAGCTCGCCACGGAAGTCAGTAAGAAATTGGGCAAAGGCCAGACGCGCATGTCGCAATTCTGGGGTGCGACGGAGGCGACGGGGAGCATGACTGGCCTCGATTGGAACGAGTACGACAAGACGTTCAGCACTGGTGGCATCTTCCCGAGTGTGAGACTCCGCTTCGTGGACGACAATGACCGAGATGTGGAGGAGGGCCAGCCGGGCGAGGTCCTAGTCGATGGCCCTATCGTCTGCCAAGGCTACCACAACCGACCAGATGCCACGCGCGATTCTTTCCTCGACGGCTTCTACCGAACGGGCGATATTGGGGTGTACAAGAACGGACTCGTCTACATTGTCGACAGAAAGAAGGAGCTGATCAAGTATAAAGGGCTACAAGTAGCACCAGGCAAGTCTCCTTTCCTCCAACTATTCTAAACCATCAAGCTGACACGTACCATCTACAGCCGAGTTAGAAGCAACACTCATCTCCCACCCTCGAATCAACGACGCGGCCGTGATCGGGGTGCAAGACGATTCACAGGCGACCGAAGTCCCAAGAGCGTATGTGGTCAAGCAGCCCGGGGAGGAGGTGACGGAGCAGGAAGTCAAAGACTTTGTTCGCGAGCATCTGGCGAGCCACAAGCAGTTGCGGGGAGGCGTTTGCTTCATCCAGGAGATCCCTAAGAGCCCTTCGGGCAAGATTCTGCGCAAGGAGATTCGGCTGTGGGTGCAGGAGAAGCCCAAGGCGAAGCTTTGAAAAGAGTGATACATCTAGAACAGATAAATCGCAATGTACTTCTCACCGCGTTTTGCAGCATTTGAATCATTACAGTGATGTTGGAAGTCAAGCACGATTAAGTTGCCCGTAGCATGGCTCGTACTCTTGTCTTTCGAGAGCCGAAACCGGGCCTGCGTGACGATCTCCGCACGGCTTGCACCTGGACCGGAACTACAACCCCGTGGGAGATTTGTTGCTTTTCAACCCAAGAATTATAGCTTCCTATCGTTCAAGACGATTTACATTGGTTCGACGTTTGATTCTGACTACCTACTCCCCACAATGAAGGCGCTAAGATTCTATTCCGCAAAGGACCTGCGGGTCGACGACGTCCCTCGACCGTGCGTTGTGCTTGAACCCACCCGAACTCATTGCCGAACGTCGAACTAATCGACAACAGAGAATGCGGCGCAGACGAAGTGCGATTGAAGATTGCATATGTCGGGATCTGCGGCAGTGACATTCATGAATACCTCATCGGGCCCAGTACGTGACCACCATCCTTCACAAATGTTGATTCGGTCATTGATGGCTGATGGAATCTAGTGCTCTACGGCGGCACCATCCTAGACGACGTAATGGCAGGCATCCTACCCGCCGACCCAACGAAGGCAGTCAATCGCTACACAGGTGGTCGCCTACCGCAAATCATGGGCCACGAAATCAGCGCAACGATTGTCGAAGTCGGCAAAGACGTCCAGGGTTACAAGGTAGGCCAGAGGGTGGCGGTCAACGCGGCCATCGACGATCGACATCACGGCCACGAGCTTTGCGATCCTTGCGAGAAGGGAAGGCATAATATTTGCGATAGGATTTCGTTTTACGGGGTAAGTGGCGATGTTGACGACTCGATGCGATACTTTGCTGACGTGCGCGGCAACTAGGTCAACTCACCTGCTGGTGGCTTCGCCGAGGAAATGGTCGTCAAGTCAGTCGCGCTCGTCCCGATCCCCGACGGTGTTTCTCTCAAAATCGCCGCACTCGCGGAGCCATTGGCCGTCGCGGCTCACTCCATCCGCATGTCCGGCTTTCAAAAGGGTCAAAACGCTATCGTTTTCGGCGCAGGGCCAATCGGTACGGCGCTGACCTTCCTACTCAAAGACGCCGGCGCGAAATGCGTCATGGTGAGCGAGGTGGCTTCCTCTCGACTCGAGCAAGCCAAAGCCGCAGGCGCAGATCGCACGGTGAATCCGTTGGAAGAGAAGGTGCTGGACGTCGTGCATGAGCTCATGGGCACCGGCGCAGACGTAGCATTCGAAGCTTGTGGACTCCAAGCGACATTCGACGCGGCGCTCGCCAGTGTGAAGACGGGCGGGACCATTTTCAACGTTGCGATTTTGGAGAAGCCGCTGCAGTTGAATACAAACATCCTCACGCGTGGGGAGAAGAAGCTGCTGGCGGGCAATGCTTATACGGCGGAGGATTTCGATCGGGTGATGCGGGTGTTGAGCACGAGAGGGTCGGATGTGGAGAAGTTCATTTCGTCGGTTGTTCCTCTTGCTCGCGCGGTGGAAGATGGGTTTGAGGAGATTGTAAATAACAAGTCGAAGCATAACAAGATCTTGGTGGAGTTGAGTGGGGAGCACTAGGGAGCGCAGTCAAGGAGAGAACTTATGTACCTGTATGATCTTGGATCGATTGAGCACTTGGAGAGTCCTGCTTCTCTCTCCGTTTAACTGTCTGGCGTGTGGTATGGAGATGGGACGAAACTGGAATGAGCAGTCGTCTGATCGGTCGCTCCTTCTCCGACTGTCGGGCTGGATCTAGGCTGTGGGGCCGACCACCCTTCTCTTCCAACCTTCCTCTTCCATCTTTGAAGACCTGTCACGATCACCACCACCACCAACAACATGCTTTCAAGACCATGAAAAACGTTCGGATAGGCAATCTGCCGTCCACTCGTCCACAGGCTTCCAAGGGTAACGCTGCCAGGCTGCCGCGTGCTATCTGACTACCGAGACTGACACTTGCAGATTGTCGCCACTGCATCAAACGTCGCATACAATGCGATCGTAGCGTGCCCGAGTGTCGCAAATGCGCGATCCGGAAATTACAATGTCCGGGCTATGATCGAGTGCAGTTGAGATGGAAGGCAGGCGTCGTGAAGCGTGGGAAGTCCCCGTCATCCACCTTTGCGCTGGACGCCGGGTCGAGGACGGTAATGGAGGAAATTGGCGAAATATCAGCGCCCTCATCGTCCGCGGCGGTGCCCGCGATGGACTCTCAACTGGTGGCATCTTCCATGGCCAACCAGTCCGTCAGCTTCACGCTATCCCAGAACCTCCTCGACTACTTCGATCGAGAACTTGCTGCTCGCCTGGCATGGCTTGACGGACCCGACAATACCTGGCGGAAGATCATCGCCCCTCTTGCGCGACGGTCTTCTTGTGTCCATCTTGCCCTGTTGAGTTTCGTAGCCACTCACATGTCCTGCACATCGTCGGCAGACCATGCTTGGACAGGAGACATGAGAACCCTTGGCCATCGTCTTCGCGAGAAAAGTCTCGTCTCCTTGAGCACCAAGATGCGACATGAATTGGATCACAACGACCCTATGCCTGATCAGCGTCGAATGGAGAATCTCAGCGAGATCATTGCTGGCATGCTCAGCCTCTGTCACGAAGGCATGGTCGACCCCAGCTCTACTGCTTGGCAAATACACCTGCGAGCTTGTCGGATTGCTATCGACAGATACACTTTGGCGGTACGCAGAGGCACCGATTCAGGTACCGATCAATTGGTTCATGAAGTGGTGGAGCTGGCGGCATTCAGCGACCTGAGTTCATTCAAGTCCGAGAAGCATGAGAATACGGCAGCCTGCCTCTCGTTCGAAAAAGGCTCGTTTTGGGGCTTCACAGCTTTCATGAACCAAGTTACGGCCTTGGAAAGACGGCTCAGTGCTTCGCTCAAGAAAGGCGCCCATTTAGAAGTCGACATGATGCCGTGGAGAGCATCTCTGGAACACACGCTGATGCTCGTTTCCGCCGAAGCCTCTGCCACGCTCGCACCATCTTTGCATGAGCGATTTCAGTACGTCATCGAGACGCATTACTACGCCTGCTTGATCTATTGCCATCAAGCTCTTGCGGGAAAGTCAGAGGCAGCGCAAGTGATAGAGGCTGCACTTGATCCACTACTCGGTGCCATTCAGACCATCACCTCATGGACAACGACGGAATTTACCCACGACGTATTCTGGCCCCTCTTCATCGCCGCGACCGAGTGTGGAACGAATGAGCAAAGACGAAACACCGTACAAGCATCCTGTCGCGACTGCATCGAAAAGACGGGCTTCTGGTGTAATTCAGCGGCTCTAAGTTTCGTCCAGGCATTTTGGGATCGAGCAGACTCCGACTCCCATAAGACGTGGGTGCAGTATGCGCGCGACTATCAGACTGAAAGTAAATCATTCCTGATCTATTGAATCTTGCACTACGTCGAGGATGCTGTGGAACGATTTCATACATCAGCGCGCATCCTGGCCTGGAAAGCAGACTTCACATGTTGACGGTCTCCTCGTCTTCCACGCCAAACAAAACCCGCATTGGATCTTGATAATTCATGAAGCCAACGCCCGGCTCACATACGCCATACCCAAGGAGTCGCTGAGCCTGCGGTTTCAGCTGTCTAGCTCTTTCGAGTGGTACCATCAGAAACTGGTTCTCGGCAGGACGTAGGGTAGGCTTGCACAGAAAGATTCCAACCGTCTCGCGAACTTCGTTTCTAATGAAATAGTCAGCAGGGGCGCGACAACGCGCGGCTACTACTCCGGTATTTGCAAAGCTCAAAGTTACCCACTTTGTGATGTTCGCACCGCCACCATGGTACAGATTCCCCAAGAAGATGAACGCATCACCAATCTCGAGTTCCGCGGGGACCGCATCTTCAGTACGCGGAGGCCTCTCCACTCCCCACAAATGCGACCCCGGTATGCCGACAGTTGCTCCATTTTCTCTCGTGGTCTTCGTTATGGCGGTCACGCAACCGATCATCACCGGCAACTCTGCATTCGTGGGATGATAGTCACTGGAGCACAAGATCAGTCACGAAACAAAGCCTCAACACGGAAACTTCGCACTTATCATCCCTATGCAATCTCTGCTGGCGCCCCCCGGGATTAATGCGAAACGCAACAGTAGAAGAAATGATCGGCTTCCCCGTCACCGTCACCTGTCGATCGCCGTCCCACATAGTATGGCTCGACGACACGAGCGCGTTAGCAACGTCGATATAAAGCGGATTGCACGCGAGCTCGACGCAAGCATCGGAAAGCCCGAGCAGGCCTGTGGCACGTTGTGTCGTTTCTGGGAAGAAGCCGGATGGATCGGGCTTGTCGGAGTCGAAGCTCGGTTTCAGATCCTGCTTGATTTGCAATGCTTGTTCTCGCGGGATCAGGTTGCGGACTATTACGCCGCCATCGCGGTTGAGGATGGATATGAGTTTGGCTGTCGTTGTTGTTTTGGTGTCGAGCGCATCGCAGGATTCGAAGCCTTTTGGTTCTGGGATGGGGCGAGTCATGGTGGACTGGAAAAGGATGGGATGACTGGATGTGATGTTCGTTGGAAGAAAGAGAGAATTGAACGCACGCTCACGAAGTATGAGACGAAGACAATGGGCTATATACCTGTCGTGTTTGTTCCAAGTCGCGGCCATCGAATAATGACCATCCCAGGTGTACTAACCCCAATCAGGCCAAATTCGTGAGAAAATGCCAGCCTTGAAGCTACGAGACCCACCGCGAGGCATTCGAATTACTTGAGATGTACTACGCCCACCACCGATGACAAGAGAATAGCGCCCTTCGACTCGCAATAAGTCTGAGCATCCGCCTGCTCAATGGGGTAGTGGGATCCGGGGACTTGATCGCTTGGATTGACCGGGTCAGAGTCGCAGTCTTGTCGCATCTGAGCAAGACTGATATGTTCCCCGGCTGTCGATGTTGAGCTTCGACTTTAAGTCCAAACGATGAAGGCAGCGTCTACTTCCACGAATCGTTAATCGTCTCCTTGGTAAATGTCGTTTCTTAATAACAAACTCGGGATCGGTGAACGCATTGGCAAAGCCGGCCAAGGTGGTGTGGCTCCAGGATGGCATTTGTGACTCGTCGAGGGTACTCTGCGATGGAAGAAGACCAGGGTGTTGAACGGCGGCAATTGATGCAGCGATATACAGAGTACAAATACCACGGCGATGTGCGTGCTGTCGAGACGAGATGTATCGGAATGCGGACGGAACAGCGGGGCGCACAGTCCGCTCTGCTGCTGTCACGCTAACGGGCGTTTCGCATGCAACGGACCAATGGGCTCGCATCTTTCACGACTAGACTGGTCACCGTAAGCCGAAGAGCGAGCTTGACCTCCCCTTCTCCCTCCCGCGTCTTTGCCGCGAGCCCTTTTCAGGCAACACTCAATCGCTCTCCTCTCCTTTGACACATTCGGCGCACACTCAATGACGACACTTCCACTCGCTTGATCCCCGGTACTGGATGGCATGAGCCTTGTCGCTGCTCGGCAGCACCTTTGCGACTAACACCACCATGCTGCTCCGCCATCTCACCTTCCGCTCGCTCCTCTTCCTCGCCCTTCCACTCGCTTACGCCGACGTCGAATTCACTTCTCCCGCCGCCGGAACTACTATACCTGTCGGACCCATTGAAGTAGCATGGAAGGACTCCGGGCTACCGCCTGCTATTGCAGAGCTCACGGGCTATATTCTGGAACTGATGGTCGGAGGCAATGAAGCGAGCGGTATGGCGAATATGGTACGAGACTTACCCTCGTCAGGCGCGCATGCGCCGCAGAACCTGCACGGGAAGCGAAACAGTGGCTGACTCCCGCGTGTTATACAGCTGCCCATCCAAAGCTTCGCCGTCGGTCGCCTGTTCACCAATGGAAGCAGCCTGCAAGCCACCATTGACCCGGGAGTAGCTTCCACGGTCGAGAACGGATTGTACGTTCCCCTCACTCCGCCCACACGTCGTGCGACATCCATCTCCGGACCAACTAACACTCGCCCAGTTTTCTCCGCATCACCTCGACGAGCATCAATACCGGCGTCGTAATCAACTACTCCGACCGTTTCACAATCACCGGCCTTACCGGTGTCACACCATCCTTATATCGAAATGCGGCGCTAGCACTCAATGGCAATACCAACGGCCCTCCGAGAGGCGGTAACGCCCAGGCTTTGACCAGCAGCACACCACAGCCGACAAGCAGCGCAACGCAGAACCCCAAACAGACCATCACTGTCACCGCCGCGACTAAAGTAAACCCTACCTCCGCGCTCCCGCAACCTCATATCGACCACGGCAGCAGCCTCGGTATGGGCGCGATAGCAGGCATAGTCATCGGCGTCCTCGTCCTCGTCATCTCTCTCTTCAGTCTCGCAGCCTGGTTTCTACTCCGCCGGCGACGGAGAAGTAGCGAACACCCTCGCCCGGAGATCAAGATTGTCCGGAGTCAGGACTCCGTTACAACTCTATCCGAGCTCAGTGCCGACGGCAGAGTGGTCGAAATCGGAGCTGGCGTCCCGCCCCCGGAAATGGACAGCACCACCGTCCGCGCCGAATTGGAGGGCGATCTGATACAATGGCCCTCGCCTCGGACGCCTAGCAGAGGGAACTCTTTTGGCCCTCTTGGCACCTGGGGCCGCTCCCCCTTGACTCCCATCGCCCCGAGTATCACCGGGGACGAGACACTCCACGGCACATTTGATTATTTAGGAACGCCAACGACGCCTTCGAGCCGGATATGAGAGGAAGGCGGCAATCTTTTTTCTTTCCAGCCCTTTATGCCATTTCAGAATTGTACATGTATTTACGAAAAAGCGAGACAACAGATATCCCGATAATGGCACATGTCTTCGGGCCTGACGCCCTCTACCACCATCCTCCCAAATCTGCACCAGTCGGCGACGCGTGACCCTGTCGCTGACTTGCTTGAACAACATCTCATACTAATACACCACCTAAATCGTAGCCACCATCGTGCGCTCATCTCTCGTATGCGCTGTAATGCGGAAGTCCCAGTGAAAGAACCGTACACACCTGAGCGTGATAGGGGGTTTTACTAATGATTACATGCCTGCCGTAAACACGCCCAGATGCCGGCCTATGGGATTGCTGAACAGGCGGCGGACTTGCTCCGAGCGGATGCGCAATGACGAGTGGATGGCAGTACTATTGAGCGCTCAGACGATGAAGATTGATCTGATTGGCGACTCGGAGTTTAGTGAAAGGTTTGACGGAGGTTGAACTCCAAATAAATACTGCATCGCGCTTCGGACATGCAACGACACGTGACCAGCCGTCCCAATTTCCCGACCGGGGCGAAATAACCACATTCCGCTTGCCTTTTCGACGATGCCACCTCCCCACTGTGAACCGCTCATTCGCCACCAACTCTGTCGAAATGCGTGCCCGTCCATCCTTTCGGGACTATCTTGCTGACCTTTTCACACCCAAAGGTAGGTGAGGTACATAAAATGGACGGGTGGCCAAGGATATCGCCAGGGGTAATCGGTCGGTTTGTCGCGTCGCTTAAGTAGCAGCACACTCGAGGCGACATTGGCGACTTGGCAGTGCATGAGTGACAGACTTATACATTCAGGAGGCAAACCAACCACAGGTGTAAGGATGAGTAAGAGAAGCTACACCCTCCCCTCCGTCCCTGTCCTTTACTCCGGAATCGTCTGCCTCCTCTCCGGACACCACGACATCGTCCGCACAACGGGCTACTGTGCTGCCACTCCTTCACACCTGCTTCGTTATGAAGCACCACGCTCTTTCACCCCTTCGCTCTCTTTTGTGCTTGTTCTTGTGTACCTCTCAGTATTCGCTCGTCGACGCCCGACGGCATGACGCTCGCAATAGCCCGAAAGTCGACGCAAATGGCTACGAGATCGAGATGGCCCACATCGATACAGACTCACCCCAGCACAAACTGGACTTCTACAAATTCATGACGGTGCGTGCTTTTGCCTGCTCTGACGATTCACCCAGGTGCGAAATTGACACGACATGGTGAACAGCGGCCGGACATCGATGCCCCAAAGTTCAACGTCAAGATCTACAACCCGGATGCCGTTGCCCCCGGCTCTTGGTTCGTCGGTCCTTATCAAGAGCGCGTGCAGAGAGATCCAGGTGGCGCATGGGTTGGACCGCATATATACGATGCTCACGGCGAGCTGGTCTGGAGCGGTGTGCCTCAGTTCGGCCACTGGAACGCCTTTGATTTCCGCGCCACGAATATCGGTGGCGAGCCCATGCTGTCCTTCGTGGATCGCCACGACAGCGGGGTGTTGCTGGACAACACCTATGAAGAGCAGATGAGGTTTCGTGCGTCTGCAGAAGGCGCCGAGTTCAATATGCACGATTTCAACACTGTCCAAGACAGCCAGAGCGTGCTTCTTCTCGAGAGCATTGTCAAACGCGCAGATCGCAATACCTCTCGGCTGATCGGCTTCGACGGCGAATGCAAGATACGGTATTATGGATTTGAAGAGGTCGATGTCGTCACAAAGAAGACCACGTTCAGCTGGAGTTCCGAGGGTCACGTTGACGTGAGTGAAACTTACAACACTCGCCCAGGTGTGGAAGGGCCATGCAACGGGGGATATGGATTCGACTACATCCACGCCAACTCGATCGACAAATTCCCTGATGGCGATTACCTACTAAACGCGCGCAATTGCAACGCAATGTACAAGATATCCAAGACCGATGGGAGGATCGTCTGGCGATTTGGCGGCGCTCGTTCCGACTTCAACTTTGATCCACGCTTCCAAGGTCAACATCACGCACGCGTTCTCTCGCAGAACAAGACACACACCTTGATCTCCTTCCTCGATAATTCCTATCTCCCCTCCAACATGAACCCTTTAATCAACGACTGTTCGCGCGCTTTCGTTGTATCCTTGCGCACCGACACTACGCCAATGACGGCCGAGGTTGTACAGCAGTTGGACCACCCGCATAAGGCGTATGCCTACGGCCGAGGGAACGTCCAAACGCTCCCCAACGGCAACACTTTTGTCGGCTGGACCGACCATTCTCTGCATAGCGAGTACGACACCGCGGGCAATCTCATCCTGGAGGCGCAACTGCAAGCAGACCTAAAATCATACCGATCCTACAAGTTCCCCTGGACTGGCTATCCCGCAGACCCGCCCGACGTTCTCGCAGAAGCTCTTCACGTGGACAGTTCGGAGACAATAAGCACCACCGTCTGGGTCAGCTGGAATGGCGCGACAGAGGTGGATGTGTGGAACTTTTATCAAGTGAGGGCTGACGGGACCTGGCGGCGGCTATTGGGATCTGTGTACAGGCAAGGCTTCGAGACCAAGTTCGTGCACGAGGGGTTCGTTGCGCATGTGCAGGTGGAAGCTCTTGATCGTAATGGGCAAAGCTTGGGAGAGTCGGATGTCTACGATACCCTGCGAGTCAACAATGTCGCAGAGGAGTCCAGCCTTCCGGCGCACGCCAAGCAGCCTTCGCACGCTACTTCGGCAAGTGCGCAAGAGGGAGAGGATCTCGCCGATGAAATGGCAGAGCCTGAAGACGCGGCACCATTGGAGACGCCAGATGTACACGACCGACCTCCCGCGACGACTGGGGTACAAACAGCCCAGCCTGCCGCATCATCATCGAAGCCACAGACCGAGCCGGAGCATACATCCAGATACGAGCCGCCGAGTCCAATGGTGCTCTTCATCATCGGCGTCTTGTGCGCGATAAGCACGTGCTTGTTCTGCTGGCTAGGTGGAGGAAGACTCATGAAATCTTATCAACGACGCTTCGGACCGCAACAGGCTTTGTATACCTCGCTGGAGGAGAAGTCGTATTCCGAGATTGCGTTCGAGGATGGCGACTGCGAAGCTCTCCTGGAAGATAAGAGAGGTCCACGATGATGATTGCGCGTGTCACTCCGTGACTCCGTTATGTGTATATATTACGACTACTTGCTGCAATGAAAAGAGCATTAAAATCGATCCTTGATCCTCGCTTCCACATCGATGAAGACCGAAGTATTTGGCCTCGTTACTGGGTTCGAATTGCGTTACAGTACGCCTCGCGGAGGATCACGATTGTCCGAGTATCGCTTAAATCCTCATCAAGTCAAGAAGTAAGCGCAAATGGTGTACAAGAATCAAGTGCCGTCACGCACTCTGCACACAAACCAGCCTTACAAGGCAATGTGAAAGTTACACCCAAGTAGGTGAGTCTGTGCCTCAGGCATCCACCAACCTAACCACCTCAACCTCCACCCTCCCTTCACTTTCCTCCAAAACCCCAAAACCCATTTCTACCCCAGGTCACCGACCGCTCTTGTCCGCCATGGCGGCTCAGGAGCGGCCGTACGAGCCCCCATTACCATCACGGATCGCTTCCACGCTCGTAATCGGCGGCGTAGGCTTCCTTTCGCGCTCCTTTTTGTACCTTTTCAGCAACACCGAGACGCGAGGATTGGATGGGTTTCTGCGCTTTCTTGACAAGCGAAGGGATGAGGCGGAGCGGCAGCGCGGGTTAATTACTGTTTCGAATCATTTGAGCGTGTACGTCTCGCGCACCTTGGAGCTTACGGGGGGTATGAAGCTAATGGGGTTTGTGCAGACTCGACGACCCCATGATCTGGGGCGTTTTGCCTTTCAAGTATCTGTTCCGCCCGGGGAATATGAGGTGGTCGTTGGGGAGCTATGACATTTGTTTCAAGAATGGGTATCGATTCTACCACTTGTGGGTGCCGTAAAACACAATGGCTAATCATGTGAACAGACAATCTGGACTTCTATCCTCGTTCTTTACGTACGGACAGACATTGCCGACGCAAAGGCTGGCCCACTCCAAGTACGGCGGTCTCTTCCAACCCACCATGGTGGAAGTCATCCGCCTTTTGAGCGATCCGCACGCAGCGTCTACAGCAAACAACCCCACCCTTCCGACCATGGAGGAGATCTCAGCACATCAGAGCCTGCCAGTGTCGGACCCATTCTCCGCCTCGGAATTGACGTTTTCAACCAATGGCATGGACTCATTCCCAGCACCATCAGCCTACCCCATCCGTCGTTTCAGCTGGGTGCACATTTTCCCCGAGGGCATGATTCACCAGCATCCGCGCAAAGTGATGCGCTATTTCAAATGGGGCGTTGCGAGATTGATCCTAGAAGCAGAACCGTGTCCGGACGTTGTGGCAATGTGGATAGATGGGCCGCAAGAAGTCATGAACGAAAAGCGTACTTGGCCCAGGCCGCTTCCACGGCCTGGCAAGGCCATCGCCATCACATTCGGCGAGCCGGTGGATGTGGAGGCTGTTTTTGAGCCTTTCAGACAGAGATGGCGCGCGCTCAAAGATAGAGTGCAGCAGGAGAGGCACCATGCTGATCGAGCTGAGATGCCGGTGGATCGCCTGGGCGAGCTGTCCGATGAGCAGCTCAGGTATGGGCGAGAAGCTGAGCAATTGCGAATCGAAGTCACCCTGGCCGTGCGGAACGAAGTTCTCAAAGTGCGTCGCTCGTGTGGTCTACCAGACGAAGATCCGAAGCGTGGACTGGCAGAAACTTGGCGGCGGGAAGGTCGGCAGTCTGCGACTGAGGAAGGCGAGATGGACGACCGTAGTGTCGTCAAAGACATGTAATGTCCAATGCATATCTTCTTCATTCAGCCTTCGCCACGCTCCTTTGCGGCCTTTCTCGCAAGGTATCTCGCGCGGGCATCGCTGACATCCTTCTCTGTTTTTGTCGTCTTGGCCGCATTCTCAATCTTCTTGCGCTCCTCCTCTTCCTCTTCTCGCGCCCGTTTCGCCTGCGCCGCAAGTTGCTCCTCCATCATCCTCGTCTGCCGCTCTCGCTGCGCATCCCGACTGGCATGGTTTCGATTCGCAAAGGCTGATGGTCCCGGCCGCGCAGACGTCTTCAGGTGATCCGCACCCCGCCCATCCGTCGATTTTCCAGAAGGTGCAACGTTCAGGCCAGCAGACAGCAGTTCTCGCTTATCCACCACCTGCCCTTCCTCATTCACATGCACGTCGACGCCCTTTGCTCGCATTTCTGCCGCCAACTCCACATCCGTCTTCTTTCGACCACGCTCTTCCGTCGCTTTCGCCGCATCCTGCTGTTCCACTTTCGCGGCAGCTTCGAGTGCTTCTTGATACGCCTGCTCCCTCTGGTCCATCATCCCACGATAGAAACCCTGCATACCACCACCCAGCTGTCCCTTCCTCTTCTCCTCCAATTCCGCCTTTGCCTTTTCCTCTTCCTCCAACCGCCTCGTCTCCTCCTGCTGCTCCTTATACGCACCAGTAACAAACTTCTCCTTGTCCGCGAAATCGTCGCCTTCCGCCTCTCGCTCCTTCTGAAGCAGCTTCTCCTTCGCCATCTGCTGATCTTGTTTCCGCCTCGCCGCTGCGTCTAGGAGGTTGTTGATGTACTTGGGTTTCCGCTCAATGGCATCCTGTCGAGCTGCGGCCTTCTTTGCATCAGTGACGCTCGTTTTCGCATCGTGAAAAGAATCGTAGTCGAAGATGGAGGCATCGACTTCCTCGGCCGCTTTTACACGCGCTTGAGCTGCTTGCGCCGAGGCCATATCTTGTCGCTCTTCTTGCTCTTTCTTCGCACCCGTGGGGGGTCCGTTCGGTCCCTTCCGAGGCGCATGGCTATTGCCTCCGACGCTGCGGATTTCGTGGGCTGCGTTGCCTCCATTCTGCTTTGCATCAACTTCGTTCTCCTCCTCGTCGTCTTCGTCCAGTAATGTTCTGCGAGCTGGAGGCGGCTTGCCCTTTTTGATATTCAGCCCGTGCTTGAGCGACATTCTACGGTCTATTGCATGCAAGTTGCAGCATTCGAGAATGATTGTGGCAGAGTCGCAGTTGAATCGTGAATGCTGAAGTAAGCGGACAGCGGCCAAAAGTCGACGTATCAAATGCTCGTACTCCAGCGCGCCCGACTTCACTTAACACAATACAACCTTCGAATGGACGATGCGGTAGCTCTGGATAGCGTGCCTCTCTATCGGCAGGAAGGGCGACTGACGGCCACATGAGTGCATCAATATGGATGCATCTCTGCGCAACACGGCCAGTCTAGTGGGTACGCATTGACGTAAAGCACCAATTGCCCATTCCGCTGCTCACCATCACCACTACAGGCAGAATCGAGAAACTCCGAGATGATCTTATCAAACACTTCGAAGCTCTTGTTGGGCATGCGGGAGTACGTAGAAATCTGCGCATCTCAATTCTCATTCTGAGGGTTACATGCTGACTCTGCTTTGCCATCTTCCAGATCAATCGGCCAGACCGCACGAGCACGGCGATAACGCAGTACCAGATGCAGGTCGAGACCGCGGCTCTCGTACGTTGCGTCAACCAAACTCCGAGTGCTGCGTTTCTCACTCACTGACGCTTGCGCTAGATCCGCGCAACCGAAGATTTCCAAGCCCTCATCCGCCAGCTGCAGGAAATGTGGCTCTTCGGGCAACTGGATACAGTGGGGGAGAGTAAAGTGCAACAGCAGACTGACGAGAATGCGAAAGTGGTTGCGGAGCTTTTGAAGCAGCTTTTGGAGCGACAGGGGCCTGCGCCGCGAGAACAGGTCGATGGAGGTTCTCCCCCTGCTGTTGATGAGGCGATGCCGAATGGGTCGTCACCAGCGCAGGGCGCAGTGTCTAATTCAGAGCTAGAGTCGTGAAAATACATGGCTCCCGCCAGTACTCTCCGTCACCAATCTTACGACCAGCCTGGCTGATCCAACAGACTGCTGATATCCCGCCCCTCCGTGGCCGTACGCATGCACGACTCTCCGAGCACCTACGCTCTCTCTCTCCAGTCTCGGCCCTCCCTCCCGACCAGGTCGGAACCCGCATTGCACACTAATCACCTCAAACCCTCCATCGGCACCCGTAAGTAATTCCGGGGCTAGATTGCGATTCTCCTCCAGGATCTGCCTTGTAGTTTGATCATCAATCTCTCCGTTCCAGTTGCCCTTCTCCTTGACACCGCCCAAGATCGTAGTTCCTGATCCAGGCCGAGGGATGCAATAAGAGTAGTTCGCGCCTGTCCTCGTTCTCGTCGCGATCGCCTCCCCCTTCACTAAGACCGTCTGTCCTCGGATGGGATGCATAGCTTCATCACCGCACACCTTCCTCGCACCAAGGCCCGTCGCATTAACAAAGCAGTCTACACCTCCTCTGCCTTTCGCCGTCATGACCTGCTCAGCCGCAGCCAGCGCCTTCTCCAAACCACCATCAACAGGCAGATCGGCCTTCAGGATCTCGACTCCCAAACCCCGAGCCCTGTCCTGAAGATACAACAGATACTTCGGCACATTGATAGACGGCGCGCGAAGCCCCACACCCCACAATGCCTTCGTCAACCCTCGCGTCGCTGCCGTCTGATTCAAGCTGAACAGCGGCTCTTGCATGGGAGGCAGCTGGCGAAAGCTTTGCACGAACGGCGACCACCAGAGTGCCTGCGTTGGCCGGGCGTCGTAGAAGTGATATGAGTCTTGCATCTAGAACGTGATGGTCAGAGTAATCACACCAAGCACTCATCTCCTCCAGAAACCATACCTTCAGACCAGACTTAGGAGCACTGGCATTGTGCGCCTCTCGCTCCAATAATTGCACCCAGTACTCATACGTCTGCACCTCCCAATCGCACAGCATCGGCTCTGAAGGCGTGGCGGATGCATTCCAATGCGCCCCGGCCCTGGTTTCAGACGCAGGTCAGCCAGCGGATCGCAAAAAGCAGATTGATTAAGACACACCATGGTGAAGCGTATTCCACCCGCTCATCGCCCGGAACCTGAGCGGCAACAATGGTAACGAGATACCCGCTCTCCGCGAGGAAGATGGCCGACGTCAGGCCCGTAACGCCTGCGCTGGTGTTGACTGTCAGCACGACGAGACGAATCAAAACAGGCGTATGTCAGGAGAGAAGTATTTACCCAATCACGACTACATGTCGTTTGGACATGTTTGGTTTTGCAAATCCGCGATATAGAGGGAAGATGGTCGGTTTATGTGAATGAGATGTGGCTTGAGTCATTAAAACTTTATGTAGAGATGCAGCGCTGGCGAAACACGAAGCTGGTGATGTTAGGGCGCAGCTTGTACCGAAAGAAGCCAAGATGTACAAGTGGTGAATGAAAGATGAAGACACTTGTGAGATTACAGGCGATGAGGTCAATTGAGTCATGTCAGGCTACATGAGCCCGCAAATCCAGCAAGTTCATTATCTCGTCTCAGTATCTACATAAGCAGTTGAGGATGGGCTGCAACCGATTCCCGGCACGCAGGAGAGCCGTGCCAGCATCCTCGTCATGAATCATTACATATAGTCGTAGCGGCAAGGGCAGCGACCGCTTGCTTCACCTCCTCGTCAGCGACAGCCTGCCACCTCTCCCTCTCGGCTTGGTCTGCGAGCGCGGAAACATCGCCAACGAGGTCATACAGCTTGCGCGAGACGCTCTTGTTGATGTCGGTGTACTGCTCCTTCGTGACCTCCCTGTCGCGGTAGCGGGATCCCAATGCCAGCTTCACCATGCGTTGTATCTCTTCTTTTGCGGAGTAAGATAGATTGCGGCTCGGCGATGCCGATGCGGCGCGGGGTTGATGCTCTTCTTCAATGCTGGACGGTGGGCTGCCCGACTTCCGACGGTGCCGACCTCGCCTATTGACGTGTCGAATGCGCGAAGGACCTTGCGACACGACCGCGGGCGAGAATGGTGAGAAGGTGGCATTCAGAGGCGAGGATAAGGGCATGATGGTGGAGGAGAGGGGCGGAGATGAGGGTCGATGGGGTGGCGGTGTCACGGATAGCGCGCGCGGTGTGTGCGAGCCGGAGGAAGATGCGTCGGGTGACGAATCTCTCGGCGATAGCTGGCCGTTGTTTTGCTCTGACGCGCCTGGAGAGCCGGCAGAAATGGGTTTGCTTTCGACTTCGCGAAGAAGTGAGGATAGAAAGGTAGGTTGCTCTTCCGGTCGTGATAAAGTGGCCGTCGGGGGTTGTGCTGGTTGTTGATCGGCTCGGGGTTCAGGGCGTCGTAAACGGGGTCTCTTTTGCGGAGGTTGATCGACCTGTTCAACTTCGGGTTCTGGCGCTGGCGACGCTGTTGCCTTGCGCTTGCGCCGTCTCACTGACGCGGGCGCGTCTTGTGACTCTCGCGCTTTGTCAAAGGCATTCCAGGCTCGGAGCTCTTCTTGCGATTCGGGGTTGGGTCTTGTTGCCTCTCCCTGCAGCCTACTATTGGCGATGTCACGTAGTCGATTTGTCGCGCCTTGTTGGTTGGCAACCTCAAACCGACGCTGCCAACGAGCGAACTCCCGTCGTTGTTCTTCTGTGCGTTGATCACTGAGCTCGTCGTCAAAGGGAAAGTCGAGGTCCAGATCGAGGCGGCGGGACACCTCTTGCCATACACGCGCCCATATGGCATCGTTGTTGCGTCGTGTGCGCCGCTGGGGAGCTGCCGGTCGCCGTCGTCGTCTTCCTCTTACGGCCGAAGCCATGCCGGGCAGACCCAGGTCGTTTTCGAGGTCAACGAGACACGTCTCGCAGTACCAGACTTCCGGCGCATCGTCGTACCCAGCGCAGAACACGTGGACGGCCTTGTCACAACCGTCGCAGTACATGACGCCATGCTCCTCGCTGGCTACGCCACACAAGAGACACGGCTCGTACGCTTCTGCTTCGAACAGTTCATCTTCGATGATCATGGTAGGGTCAAGCTCGGCTTCCTGAACCTTGTCGCGGACGACGTAGCTGTCGATGACAGGGCCACCGACGACCTCGCATAGCTCGACCATGTTGAAAGTGGATCGACATATCGGACAGCTGTTTGCACGCTCCACCCACGGGGTCAGACATGAGTTGTGCAGATCGTGAGCGCATGGCAGCAGGTGGGCGATGGCTTCCTCGTCGGATTGGATGCTGCAATTTGAACATTAGCCCATCTTCGCCCATAACGCGTGAGCACGTTACTGGAGGCCTCCAGCAGCCGTGTGCAAGAAGCACGAGGCGAAAGGAAACCCTCACCATCCAAGCTTATTCGGCGAGTATCTTGATGCAGATAGTCAAGCCGTCCAAGAGTGGAAGTCCGTACCGAAGCGGTAGTAGGAAGGAGTATCGGGCCGCGGAGGACCTCCAGTACGAAAACATCGTCGATCGTTTCGCTCACGTGTGGATCGGAGGGTGGTACCTTTTCGCATTTAATGTTGCATGTCTTCGGACATCATGACTTTGGCGCGCCGCATCTCCCGCGGTATCAGCCGCAGTGGCGGCTATATCCGGTGCGGGTTCCTCGACGGTGGAGGTGCGCAGGTCACCGAGGCAGACGATACACGTCTCTGCCATGTCTTGAGAGGGATTGTAAAGGCGTGAAGAGTGTGGGTTGATACAACGACATGAGTAAATCAGTTTCGAGGTGGTAAGTGAGGAAAGGAAGGGAAGAATGACCGCGAAGTTCAGGTTGCACTAAAATGCGGAGGCCTTAATCATCACGGGTCGGTGAAGCGGCCCGCTCCGAAAGGGGATAGTTAGCCGACCAATCACGGCGGTGGCGATCATATCGTGCTGAATGTGCAGATTGCTCCTGGATGTGAAGCGGTTACAGGGAGTCATGAGCTCACCTGATCTCGAGCATGTGCTGGGCATGTCAGAAAAGCCCAGTGAGTCATGGAAGAGGCGGGATTGGGAGGGACGTCTTGCCAATGATCTTCGCTACAGTTCCCACTGATCATTTGGTGATCGCAGTATTCGAGCATGGTAATGCGTGCAGTAGGTCGAAGACGGTGAGCTTGCAACCACGCAGTCATTGTATGTCCGTGAGCTGGTCCTCTTGCCACCGTGAAGTGCTACGAGCGGTGCAACTTCCCAGCCCAGATTTCACCACATTGTACCGAGGAAAGAGGGTATGGAACGGTGATGTCGAATCAATGTCGCAAGGTTTGATCATCCGAGGCCTGCTAGCTATTCGCCCGCCCGATGGGGTGAGGTCCTAATGCACATTGGTCCTCCTGATTCTCTGTCCCGAAGCATGCAAAGTCATCTCTTTCTTAAACCTCCGCAATTTCACGCAACCGTCTGATGGTGGACCGGGTCGCCGCCGCCGCCGGTGTCGAAACCATGTACGCGCCACCTGCAATCGTCTGTCGCATAGAGTGTTAGTTCACTAGTAACGCGCTGTCCCCGATTTTTAGACGCCGAGACCGACCTTCTTGCATGCGCTGCAGTGCCAGATACCGGTCGAGTGTCGCTTCACAGTCGTCTTGCCGCAGAATGTGCACACATATTTGGCGTGTTGTGAGATTTCGATCTTCTTGACCTGCTTGCGGAGGGAGGCACCGTAACTGTTCAATCGTCAACTTCCGCCCTCTCACCACGCCCTGGCTGGCTTCCATGTGCGGAATGTGCGTACCGGGTACCGTATTTGCCGGTGATGCCGACCTTCTTCGTTCGCTTCGTCATTTTGCTGGTGTTGTCTGGATGGGAACGACGGTGGTTTGATGAGACGTCAAACTTTCGACGATGTGTGCGAAATTCGAGAGTGGAAAGCCAAGCCAAGACTTTCGCAATCACAAGCGGGAGGCCCGAAAGTCTAATCCAGTATGGCTGCCCGCCCCACTTTTATCTTGTGTCGGGCAGGCTTTCATTGATGATGGATGATGCGACCGCTCAATTCCCATGATAGACTGGCATCTTCTTGCATGATGCCAGTGTGAGAGCGAGCAGAAACTCAACTCAATATCCGCTACTCCATCATTCCGCACGACAAGACCGAGATAATTGATCTGTACGAGATGGCGCACCAATACGAATGCATCCTACTCGGCGCAACCGGATATACTGGTCAATGGACAGCTGAATACATCACGACACACCTACCGACCGACTTCAAATGGGCAATAGCCGGCCGATCGGAAGCCAAGCTCAAGAACTTGGTGGACGAACTCCGCAGCTTGAATCAAGATCGACAAGCGCCAGGCATTGAAGTTGTGCAACTCCAGCACAACGAGCTGCTACAGCTTGTGAAAAAGACCAAGGTTCTCATCACCACAGTCGGCCCCTACCACAAGTATGGAGAAGTCGCGTTACAGGCGTGTGCAGAGACTGGAACCCATTACCTGGACGTTACTGGTGAGGTCCCGTGGGTCCTTGAAATGACGCAGAAGTATCATGAGACTGCCAAAAGAACAGGCGCCATCATCATACCGCAGAATGGTGTCGAATCTGCACCGGCTGATCTGATGTGTTGGAAACTGGCATCCTTGATTCGAGAACGCTTCAGACAAGGTACCGGCGAGCTCGTCTTTACAATCCACGATATGAGTGTTGCAGCGAGCGGTGGCACGCTCGCGACTGCACTCGGTCTTTTTGACACTTATAGCTTCCAACAATTGGCGAAGTCGCAGGATCCATATTGCTTGTCCCTTGACGCTTCATCCCAGAAGGGAAAGAAGAGACCGATAATGGAGACTCTCGCAGGCGTGCGGACGGTCAGCGGTCTGGGCACTCTTACGGACAGCATTCAAGGACCCGCAGACATTCCAATCATCCACAGATCACGGAGTCTCTACGGCGACAAACTCTATGGGGAGAACTTCTACGTGACGGCTTACATGAGAGCGCGTAACGCCGTCACTGCCTTCGGATTCCATATCTTGTTCATGGCAGCGATGCTTGCAATAACCTTGTCGCCGGTTAGATGGCTGATGAAGCAATTCGTCTATGCTCCAGGAGATGGACCATCGAAAGAGTGTGTATTCACCCAACTTGTGACCAGCTACTTGCTAAGCCAGTTCTAGAGCAGCCAGCAGGGAGTACGTTGAATGGCGCGCCATCGCGAATGCCGATACTGGCAGCACCGGCGACGTGAAACAAGCGTACGGCAAGTTCAGGTGGCAAGGTAGCATGTATCATCTCACCGGCGTCACCTCGGCGGAGGCTGCACTGATCCTAGCTCGTGAGAAGACTTTCGCCAACGAGCTGGGCGGTGGAATTCTGACTCCTTCTACCCTGGGACAGACATATCTGGACCGATTGCAAAAGGCCGGGTTGAATGCCGACTTTAAAGTGCTGTAGACCAAATCTTGAGATCGTTTTGAGATGTGCCTGTATTTGTCGCATCATCTTTCTTTGGAGCTCACATTGTCCCAGACAAGAATGGTCTACTTGAAATGCTCGATGTATTGAGAAGAGAGGGCGATGTCCAATCGCAGGGAACGCGTGAGGATGCGAAAAGTCCGCACTAGGCCGAATTGAGCCAACAAAGTACGCGACACGTGATCCTCACTTTCGCATCCTCAAATACTCGTCGTCCTTGACTTCCCGCCCAATTGTTCTGCTTGCACGCATCATGAGATAACGAAGAGGGCCAGTGTATCTGGCTCGACAGCAAAATGGCCGAAATGTACCCCAGCATCCCGCAGTGCGCCGCACTGGCTACTGCCTTGAAAGTGCTCCTGATGCCAGCGTAGTAAGTTCCACCTGGGCAGAGCGAATTGCGAAAACGTACTAAAGGCTAGCAGTCATTCGACAGATTTCGAGGTACACCGGAACTGGCTTGCCATCACCAACTCATTGCCGTTGAAAGAGTGGTACTACGAGGTCAGCATCCTCCAACCTCACTGCATCTGACCAGTGTACTGATGGGCGGTAGAACACTTCGGAATGGACTCTGGACTATCCCCCTTTCTTCGCCTACTTCGAATGGACACTCTCACAGATGGCGAGCTTCATTGATCCGGCCATGCTTCAGGTCAAGAACCTGGGCTACGACAGTAACGCCACGGTATACTTCCAGCGCAGTACTGTCATCGTCACGGAGCTGGTGCTCGCCTACGCATTGCATCTGTAAGTGGATGGGCATATAGACGCGCAAGTCCGCACTGACATTCAGGAGGTTCATCAAGTCCACCCCGCCTTCAAACAAAAAGCAAGCTCATGCGGCAGCGCTGTCGATTCTGCTCTCTCCCGGCCTGTTGATCATCGACCACATCCACTTCCAGTATAACGGCTTTCTGTACGGAATCCTAATCCTCTCCATCGTGTTGGCTCGTAAACGATCAGGCCTCCTCGCAAGCGGACTAATCTTCGCCGGTCTGCTGTGTCTCAAGCACATCTACCTCTACTTGGCACCGGCGTACTTTGTCTTCCTTCTCCGGGCATATTGCCTTGGTCCGAGGTCTGTGTTCGACATCAAAATCTTCAATTGCATCAAACTCGGCGTGGGCATTGGAGTTATTGCGGGACTGGCGTTTGGACCGTTCGTGTACCTGGGTCAAATGCCGCAAGTCCTGAGCAGACTCTTCCCGTTCTCGCGGGGGTTATGCCATGCATACTGGGCGCCGAACGTGTGGGCAATGTACTCCTTCACAGATCGGGTGCTTATTTACGGTTTGTTCCGAGCGTCATTCTCAGAAATTGCACAACAAGACTGACTAGATGCAGTGGCACCGTATCTCAAGCTTCCTGTGAATCCAGGTGCCATCCAGAGCGTCACTCGCGGCTTGGTGGGAGACACTGCCTTTGCAGTCCTGCCAGATATCACGCCTCGCATGACCTTCACATTGACTCTGGCTGCTCAAATTGTAGGTGCATCCGTCTGCGTGTTCGTTGATGGTACTGACTTCATTCAGCCCGCCTTGCTCAAACTCTTCCTTCAACCAGACTGGCAGACGTTCGTCTCCACGCTCACACTATGCGGCTACGCTTCCTTCCTGTTTGGCTGGCATGTCCACGAAAAAGCCATTCTGCTGGTGATTATTCCGTTCAGCCTTCTTGCGCTCAAGGACCGGCGGTACCTGGGCGCGTTTCGGCCATTGGCTGTTGCGGGCCATGTCAGTCTGTTCCCGCTTCTATTCACAGCAATGGAATTCCCGATCAAAGTGGTCTACACCATTCTCTGGCTGATCGTAATGTTGCTGGCATTCGACCGGCTAACACCTGCGTAAGTGGATTTTACGCTGAAGGGTACGAGCGGATGCTGATAATCGAGTAGATCAGAGAAGCCGAGGGTCTTCTTGCTGGATCGCTTCTCCTTGCTTTACATCGCGGTGGCAATTCCGTTGATTGCATACTGCTCGCTGGTGCACCAGGTGGTTTTTGGGGCGAGGTACGAGTTCTTGCCGCTCATGTTCATCAGTTCGTACTCCGCCTTGGGCGTGGTGGGCAGCTGGGTGGGGTTCCTCGTTGTGTTTTACACATAAAACATTGCAGCATTCAAGGGTCGGATGGTTGGGTTGACGGACCACTGGCATTCTGCACAAATTGACGCCTGGTGGGGATCGACAGATGTCCGCACACAGAGGAAGTCGAGGAGTGCTTGTGGGTCTCTTGTCAACCATTGACGGCATGATAGTGCGATAGACTAAGCTCTATTAATTGAATCCAAGCATGTTTGCTGGTGAGTGACTGACATCATGGGTAAAATTGCCGTATGGGCGAATGTCAGCATGTGCCGGTGGTCGAGATGATGGAAGGCAGTACATCGCGTGCGATGTCGATATACAGCCTCTACACACTAGTCGCTCATCAACGTTGTCAAGCATGGCCCGATTCCCCCGTTCTCTGCGATCCGAATGACTACAAACACGTTGGGTATCGTGGCCAGCTGCAGCGCGGGTGTGGACAATTGCAAAGCCCGGAGGAGATGAGTGAAGTGGAGGAAGGTCCAGAGGGCGCTAGCGGCGGATAAAGCCTTGCTAGCTCGGAACCTTATTTTCGAAATGTTGCCGACCTGCGCCCTCGCGCGTGTTGCCGCAACCCATGCCTTAATCATGGACACCCACTTCTCCCTCCCCCAACTTCTTCCCTCTCTCTTCTCCCGCTCCATCTCTTACCTCTCCCTTCTACCCACCACGTCGCAACGCATCAACAGCCGCGTCCATTCATCGACCTCGAACACGTCAAGGCTGTCAGAGCCGTGTTTTTCCACCACTTCCTCCGCCGCGACTCTCCACGTCCCCGCCAACTCTACCCACAACGCGCACTCTTGGCTTTGCGACCGTTCGCTCCCACCACGTTCCGCCTCCCTCCCCTCCAAGTTCACAACCATCGACGACATCAGGAGAGAATCGCCAATGTTGCGTTAATGGCATGCTAGTCACCGCCGATCCACCTTCTTGACCACATCGCACCTCCGGGGGCCCCACCGAGTGGGCTAGGACGCTGCAAAAATGGTGGGCAATCATACAACACACCCGGCAGGTGCAAAGCTGATCTGTGCAAAGGTGCTCTTCAAGCGGAAGCCGTTTAGCCTCCTTCCCCCGCTACCTCACATCCCGGACGATGCGGAGGTAAGAGTTGCAACATTCTTGAGCGCTTGTGAATACACGTCTGATTGTTGTATCAACAGGTGTTTGTCATGCGAGGGACGGGAGAAATCTTCGTCAATTACGAGAGATACTTGAGAAGGTAGAGTGCTGCGGAGCCTTGTCATTTTGTCTCGAGGCTGACGAGTTTGAATCGCAGACTTGACTATCTCATGCAGGCAAGTTGTACCGTGGCAGTTTACATCCTTGCCTCGATCATGACTGACAATACCTACAGAAAAAGTTTGTCGACGCTGTCAATGGCAAATCTGGGCTCACATACTTCGATGCGCTCGAATCTGAGGTAGGCTGATTCTATGACATACTCGTCTGACTACACACTCATTCAGTATAGAACAAAAGCACAACCGCGATTGAAAACGTCTTCCCAGAGGTGCTCCGAGATCCCATTCTCAGGAAGGTGCAATTCTCGACCATCTCTCGGATCGACGATCTTGGTTTGTTATGGCTATCGCAAGTTAGGTAGTCGTCGCTAACTCCTCTCAGTCAACGCCGTTTACGATGAATTCAAGCGAGATTTCTTCCCAGGTGAGGACATCATCATTCTTGGCGCCGGCGATGTTAGCGAGCAGTGGGAGGGCACGATTCGGGAAAAAGCGAAGTTTCCGATGATCCGTGGTCCCAATGGCGAGATCCAGCGCGCCGCATTTGCGAGATATTTCGTGCGGATGCATGACTCCTCCCCCGACGAGGAGGCGTTGGTCGACGACAAGCATTTGCGACGCGACAGAAAGGTCTTCACCAAGCAAAACTTGCGCGCTTTCCTGAAACACTCGCTGCAGCGCGAGGCCTGGATCGGAGCCCCGTGGTTGGTGAAGGAGCATCTGGCGATTCAGTACCGATTGCCCATGGAGATCCCAGCACATCTCCTGCAAGATGCGAAGTTGTTGGCAAGCAAGGTAAGCCCAAGATTGCACCGTCGGCGTGAAGATCTATCTAATGCAATTCAGCAACAAATGCTTCAAACAAAACAACCGCGCAAACGGACGAAGAACTTTTCACAGGACGAGCTCAAGCGAATACAGGCCGAAGAGATGCAACGGACGGGCGCGCAGAGTCCAGGCACCACCGTACAAGCAGAGCCGAGCCAACCAGCGGCTCCCGTCATCAAGTACCCCATTGAAGACCTCGACATCGCGCCCAATCGCAACGGTGTTGTTCGGCCTGCGCTCGAATTTTTCACAGACGAGATGGCTGCGTACGTCAGGAACGGTCGAAATCAACCACTCAACGATATTACCATGGAGTCTATGGGAATGCTGCTGGAGGTTTGGAACACTCTGAACGTGCAATGCGAGGTCTATGTCCTGGACAGTTTCACGTTTGACGACTTTTGTGACGCCATGCGGTACAAGTCGCGCGATGTGCCGTGTGAGCTGCTGGAGGAGATGTACTGCGCAGTGCTCAAACTCCTGGTAGACGACGAAGGCGACGTCACCTTGGCGAAGAACATCCTGCCCGAGAAACCCGATGCCGACGACTCATCTGATGAACAACCTGATGAGAGTGGGGCATCCACGCCACTACCCGAGGTGCCTGCAAGATCTACCCGAAGTCGACTCAGTCAGGTGGAGACAGTGGCCGACATGGTTGAGAGAGCTCATCGCGCGATTGAAGTGCCAGGGGCGCAGGATTGGGAAGCTCGCGCTGGTGCAAGAGACTTTTCCAACGGCGGCTGGCAGATTGTGCTTATTGGCTTGCTGCACCGACTCTCCTTGTCGCCAATATGGAAAGAACGCGCCGACAAGATCCTGGCCTGGCTGGCCCCAATCGAGACCATCCCCGATTCACAGACCCCACGCATTCGATTTGCCACCATGGACATTAATCTTCGAATTCTGGCCCTGCAAATGATTACGATGCTTTCGATCTCTTCGCCAGCCATCAAAAACTTTTTGGAGACAAGCAGCGAGGACATGACGGGCGAGCGCAAAAAGAAGATCGAACTCCAGAAGAAGAAGAGACAGTTGGCGGAAGAACTCCAGATCAAGGACCGAGAGCGGAAGATTTTGTTGCCCGATAACATGCTCCCCGACTCTCCCGAGCAGGTATCTGTCGAGCCAGTGTCGATCAACGGCGATGATGACACGATCGAGGTCAACGGCATGATGAGCTCGGATGGTGACGACGACGAGCCCAGCACTGGGCGCTCCTTACGCCGGGGCAACGACCGCAAGCGCAAACGAGAGGAAGAGGCCATTCGCGTGGCCGAGGAGAAGAAGAAGGCGGAGCTCGCCAAGCAGCAACCCAAGCAGTCGAAAGAGTTCCGCAAGGTGTTGGCAGACATTGAAGAACTGAAGAAAAACATCCACACTACCGAATCAGACATCCAGGACTGTGACCGAAACTTGCGCGAGGCTAACGTCCAGCGTACGAAGGTGCTCGGTCGCGATCGATTCTGCAATCGGTATTATTGGTTCGAGCGGAACGGACAGCCGTTTGGCGGCCTACCGCGGTCCAGCACATCACACTACGGCTATGCAAATGGCAGAATATGGGTTCAGGGACCTGACGAACTGGAAAGGAGTGGCTTGATCGATCGCACGCCAGAAGACCAGGAGGAGTACCAGCGACAATTCAACCTGACCGTGCCCGAACGACGGGCGCTCGAGGAAGGCTCTACGATGCTTCAATCCGCCCACGAGTGGGGCTACTACGACGACCCGGTGCTCCTCGACAACCTCATCGGCTGGCTAGACGACCGTGGTGAACGCGAGAAGCGACTTCGCAAAGAACTCCTCGAGTGGCGCGACACCATCGTCCAGTACATGGAAGCGCACAAGAGTTTCAAAGACGAGGAGGCCGCGAGGAGGATGGAGGTCGATGAGGAGCATGCGACGCGCATCTCGACGCGTCACCGGGCACATGAAGGCCAGAGTGCGTCGCGGCAGCGCTGTCTCAAGTGGACGAATGGCTTGGCTATGGAGTATCTGGGCCACTTGCATTCCGAGTCGGTGGTGCGGAGCAAGTCGAAGCGGAAGGTGGCGCTGCATCCTGCGAAGGGAATTGCTGTGCCTGTCAATAGACACGGGAAACCGGTCACGCGGCAGGGAGTGTGAGGAAAGGTTGGAGCTGCGAATGACCGAGACGTCTTGGCAGCCTGCCACTGCTATGAGACGGCAGCCGATGATCTGCATGTGATAGGACCCAAACATTGACTTATGCCTGGAGCTGCACCTCCGCTGCCAGTTCCCCAGCTCCACCATTCCTCGATCCGTTCGTGTGTCCATTCTCCCTCGTCGCCTGATCGTAATGCTTCGTAAAGTCATACTCAATACTGCTCTCCTTCAAGAGAAACTCCCGCAGCGCCGCCTTGTCCTTGTTCAGCTCCTTGAGAATGCCAAAGAACTTGTCCGTCTCCACCACCGTCCAGGGATCCGATTTCCAGATGCGCTCAATGTTCTTGATGCTGCGCGTGTCGATGTACTTCAGGAAGATGTCGCGGCGCACGGTCGCCCACGTGTCGAGGATGTCCGCCGACGCTTTGCCTTGGTGCAGTCCGATGAAGCAGTCCGCGAGCCCGGCGACGTCGATGCATGCTACCATGCAGCCGTACCCGCCGATAGGGTTGTTCGCGTGCGCCGCGTCCGCTGCAACGAGGATGCGGCCGACTTTGAACGACGGGATGCAGCGGTTGTGGATGTTGTAGATGTTCGTCTTCTCAATGCGGTACTCGTGCGGCTCTGGACTGCCCGGCAGGATGTTTTTGAAGTGCCACGGCCGTCGCGCGAGGTACTCTTCGTCCGTCAGGCCGACGACGGGATCACCGTACGTGACGCGCCACATGCCTCCGTGCCCGCGGCGGGCGACGAGGCCCCAGTGGTCGGGGTCGATCATGTAGTTTCCGCCGTCCCAGCCGTGCTTGTCGAAGCCGTCGTAGTACACGTTCTGCACGATGAATTTGCACGCGAACGTCTGGCCGGGCCACTCTCTGCCGAACAGACTGCGGCGCACAGCGCTGGCTGCACCGTCGCAGCCCACGACGTAGTCGGCTTCAATGCGCTGCACGCGCTTCTCCTCCCCTTCCCCTCCAATCTCGACATCCACCCACGCCTTCCCGCGCTCCTCGTCCTGCTTCGCCTCCAGCACGCGATGGTTGAACCGCACATCGATAAACTCCGCATACCGCTCCACACAATGCCGGTACATGATTTGAATAATCTCGCCCAGCTGCAACACCGTCATCCGGTCCTCCGAGTCCTCGGTGACGCTCATGTCGATGCTGATCAGCTTCTCGCCGTCCGCGACGCGGCGCCAGCAGATGGTGGGGAAGCGCGGGATGGAGGCGGCGCGGATGTCAGGCACCAGGCCTGCGCGCCGGAAGACGCGAGTGGCTGGCGTGCCGTATTGCGTTGCGCGGAGACGGGTGTCGAGTCCTGGCCAGGATTCTAGGACTACGGAGGGGATTTTGGCTTGGGCGAGGAAGATGGCGAGGAGTAGGCCGGAGGGGCCGGCGCCGACGATGATGATCTGTGAGGATTAGGGTGAGTGGATGGTGTTTTGAAGCTCTTGGGATGAGAGGTACCTTTTCGAAGGGTGGAGGCATTTTGCTAGGCGTTGCAGGTTTGCAACGTGGGTTCGCCGGGCTTGATGTCTGTTTCAATGGGCTGCTCGGTTTTCAGCCTTACGGTACGGGACAGTCAGCCTCACAAGATCTGACATTCGACGGACATTCTAATGCTGGGCGAGTTCGTGGTATCAAGGTAGCATGAGAGGACGGCAGAGGTCGGGCCGCCGCCACGGAGCTAGGTTCGTCATGCTGAAGGTCCGCTTTGGGAAGGTTACATGCCCGGACTCCGATGTCGTCGTGTTGCTCGCTGCGGCTGCTTAGTCGGCCTTATCGCTCGTGCGGTTCTGACGCTTCCAGGCAGGAGTCGTTGGAAGTATCATGCTCGTTGCGCCAGCTATTGTGACACACCCAGAGCAACACTCTCATAGGTAAAGCTTCGATCCCGGTGTCAGATCGGTCTTCGATACAACTGCCAATGTATCCTCTGTCATTGGTAAGCACAATCAACGCCGCGCGAAACCAGATGCAGCATCGACTTGCTGCCGCTTTCAGCCTTCGCGCATTGCCTTCCCTGCTGTCGTGATACAACTACACCTTTTAGTACAGATCGCTATTTCTTTCCCTATTGCAGAGGCTTGTGAAAGGCAAAATATGTCATGCGCAAGCGCAATCTCGCCGTCCTCGTGTCGGTATATAAATGGCCTGGCCGACCACCCAGTGTTTCGCTACTGTTGAGAAGTCGTGCTCCATCATATCAAGCGAGCCCGTTCTGCAACCGACATAGCCATTGACGACTGAACGCACCACGTCAACAACCATTCTCCTGTATCACACGTGTCATCATGGCAACAGCTTACGAGAAAGAGATTGTCGAGGCCAACAAGAAGTATGCAAGTACTTACAAGCATGGAGGGCTCGAACTCAAGCCAAAGAAAAAGGCCGTCGTTAGTCAGTCTTCCTTCTCCTCAAGTCACAGAAAGAGAACGTGCACCGCTAACATCACCCATCCCTAGTCACCTGCATGGACTGTCGCCTGAACCCCGCCGAAGCCTACGGCCTGGATTACGGCGACACAATCACGCTTCGCAACGGCGGCGCAATGCCCGAAGACGCCTACCGCTCCGCCGTGATTAGCTGCATCGTCCTCGGCGCCGAAGAGGTCTTCCTCGTCAAGCACACCAGATGTGGCCTGCTGAACGCGCCTCCCGACAACGTCATTCACCAGGTGATGAAGCAACGCTTGGGCGTCACCGAGTCGAAGGAAGTCGATGAGTTCGTTCCCATGTCCTTCGACGACCCCGAGCAGTCGGCCCGGGCGGGTGTCGAGTGGCTTCGCAATGCGCCGCTTTTGCCCAAGGATGTGCGCGTCACGGGCTGGGTTCACGATACCGATACTGGTTTGGTCAAGAAGGTCGTCGAGTAGGTCGATTCAGGTTTGGACGGTCCTTCTGAGAAGATTCTTGCTCGCTGGGTACATATCTCCGTCGAAACTTCGGTCGACCTCACACCTCGTACTCAGCTTCTTCGTATGTCATCCTCAAGCATGGGCTTGGCTGTTTCACCTTTGTACATCGCAGCCACGACTGCGGAGTCGTGGTTCTCCTTGCGACTCCAATGGCGGTTTTTGTGAAAGTGCGCCATTTCATGTGCGGTCGCGCGCTGACTCCGCGTGCGCTACCACCAAGGGCATCACATCAGGATACCCGCAATCTCTCCGATTGTCTGCCATTTGCAGATAGCTGTCGTTGTGCTCCCCGACTCCGCTCAAGCTTTGATTTGATGTTTTGGAATCTCATGTCAGCATTACAAAGCCGGGCCTTACGTAATCCGACCCAACACGAGCTCTCGCTGGCGAAACGCCGTAAACGGAAGTCTGCTAGTTCTCAATCCTCGCACGCGTCTTCAGCCTTGACGACGATCCGGAATGCACGGTAACCCGCTCGCGCCCTGATGATATCACATGTAGTACAGTCGAGTCGCTGGGACAGTCTTGGAGTAGTATAAAGGTGAAGTCTTGGCTCGGTTGAGCGAGTACCTTCTTTCCTTGCATATCAAAAGCACTTTCACATCAGTTCGTGAACGAGTCCTTCCTCCTGTTCAATCTCGTCTTACTCACATACACACACAATATGGAACTCCCCAAGACAGCCCGAGTAGCCCTCGACGGCGACATCTCCGTCTTCTACCGCTACACCGGCGCCCCCGAGAAACCCGTACTTCTCCTCCTCCACGGCTACGCCAACAGCTCCCTCTACTACAAAGACCTCATGACCCTGCTCTCCCCCTACTACCGCATCTACGCCCCCGACATGCCCGGCTTCGGCTTCACGACCGTCGACTTCGCCAAGTACGACTTCACCTTCGCCAACGGCGCGACGGTGCTCGGCCGCTTCGTCGACGCCCTCGGCATCAAGAAGTTCGCAGTCTACATTTTCGATTTCGGCGCGCCGTGGGGTCTGCGGCTGGCGCTGCAGCGGCCTGATGCTGTTACGGCTATCATTAGCCAGAATGGAAATGCCTACGATGAAGGGTTGGGTAAGCCGTGGGAGGCGATGCGCAACTTCTGGGCCTCCAACTCCGACGCTGGACGAGAAGCGCTCCGGACGCGAGTAAGGACTTTCGACCGCGCCAAGGGGCAGTATATCGAAGGGAGTATTGAGAATGGCGACATTGTCGACCCGGCAGCCTACCATCTGGACCACGCGCTGCTGCAGCGACCCGGCGTGATGGATGCAATGCTGAGCTACTTCTGGGACTACCGCACGAACGTCGACATCTACCCAGAGTTCCAAGCCTACCTGCGCGAGAAGCAGCCCCCCGTCCTGGCGGTTTGGGGCAGACACGATGTCAGCTTCATCTACCCCGGCGCAGAGGCGTTCAAGAAAGACGTCCCAAAGGCGGAGGTGCATTTGTTGGACGCTGGGCATTTTGCCCTGGCTGGCTTGGAGGATGTGTTTGCTGCGCTGATGCATCGTTTCTTGGCTGCGCACGTCACTCGGCAGGCGAGTGTCTAGATTCGTAGGGAGCAGGCGTTTCGAGGAGTATCTATAGATGGACAATCGTAGCTTCGTTGCATCAATCGTCGGTTCGGCACCTACTTCATCAGTTCTTGATTTCCAGTCTTACGGTGTATGATAGTCGACGGACTAGTACTCCGTCCCAACGGAGTTCGGGAGCTCTGGTAGCTGGGGTTCTGCCGCAAATTGGTCATCATTACGGATATGTGGAGGAGTAAGTGAAACATATCATCCCGACAAGTCGGAGTAGTCGGAATACCATCGGAAGCAACAAAACCTCTTCAACTCCCAAACGCTTCACCGAGGCCCATGAGAATGACACACACATCACGCAACACAAATGACAACTCCCAAATTCCCCGCCTTCCGCACAGGCAAACGCCGGCATGAACAAGGCACCTTCACCCCCGTCCCCAACGGCGCACAAATCCCCTACGCAATCCTCGAAGCCAGCGAACCAGGTCCCGTCCTCCTCATAACAGCAGGCGTGCACGGCTCCGAAGTCTCCTCGATCGAAGCTGCGCTCCGCCTAATGCGGCTCGCCCCCTGTCACATCCTCAAAGGCACGCTCATCATCCTGCCCATCCTCAACATCTCCGGCTTCCGCGCGCGCAGCATCTACATCATGCCCGAGGACGGGAAGAACCTCAATCGCCAGTTCCCTGGCACAGCGGACGGGAGCGCGAGTCAGCGGCTTGCGTTTTGGTTGGCGGAGGAGATGTTGCCTGCTTGCGATGCGTATTTGGATTTGCATGGCGGGGATCTAGACGAGGATTTGCGGCCTTTTGTGATTTCTAATAAGGGGCATGAGCCTTCGCGGGAGCTGGCGCTTGCTTCTGGGTTTGATACGGTTGTTGATGGGTTTGGGGCGCGGCCGGTTGCGTCTGCTTGTGCTGCTGGTATGGGCATACCCGCTTTGACGATAGAGGCTGGCCACAATGGAGTCTGGTCGGAGGAGTCGGTGTCGTTGCATTACAATGCGGTTATGAGGATCATGGCGTACCTTAGGATTGCGAAGGAGCCGTCGATAGCGGAGCCGTCGATAGCGGAGCCATCTAAGCCCAGCCCTCCACGGACGGTGGAACTGTTCGTTCCTGTGGCGAGTGTGAGTGGTTTCTGGTATCCGCGACAGGCAGTCGGTGCTCTGGTCACCCCTGGAGCTGTCCTGGGAGAGATCAAAGATGCGTTTGGGGTGATGCTGTCGACGATCCGAAGTGAGGTTTCGGGGGACGTGCTGTACCAGCTCACGAGCCTTTGCGTGAATGAAGGCGAGCAACTTCTGGGCGTGGCGCACTCTGCACAATAACAATGGGGAAATGAAGCGGTCCATCATAAAGTGAACGAATGAGACTCACAGTGGAGTATAAGCAAAGGAAGCAAGTCGTCAAGAGCCAGTGAGTGAAAGGTGTACGCAAAAATAAGGACTTAGGAGTGAAGTGATAGAAATGCCTTGATAACCTGCTCGCTTCAGCGAGCCTAGGACTTTTCGAAGGAGTGGGGACATCTAGTTGTGAAGAATAAGCTGTACAAATAATGACACCGTCCTCACCACCCTATGCTGAAAGTCACGCATATCCCAGATCCAACAGAAATCGTACACTCCCCTACCGCCGCCGGTTACCCTGCTGCATAGCAAGAATCTGCACCATGCGAATGAAGATGTTGATAAAGTCGAGCTCGAGGCTGATGCTCTCGTTGACGGCATCGCGCTTCATCATCCCCCGCTCGGCCATGCGCGCGTGCGCGAGGATCTTCTGAATGTCGTAGAGCGTGAAGCCCCCAAAGACGGCCAGGCCGCCGTAGAGCCAGAGGTTCTCCGTCACCATCAGAGTTCTCGCGGCCGTGGCTGGAACGACGAGGGGCGCGAGACCGGAGAGGGCGACGATTGCGACGCCGGCGAGGAGGGGCCCACCGAGGTATAGGTATTTCTCTTGCTTGGCCGTGGCGCCGACGAAGGCGATCGAGCCCATCATGCCGATTGTGTAGAGGCCCGCTCGCGCGAGGATCGCAGGGGAGAAGAACATCAAGGGACTCAAGAGCGCGGCCTGCGTCAGGTTGAACGCAACCCAGAGCGGATATTTGACCATGTAGTTCTCCGGCGGCGTCGCGCGGGCAGCCATCATGGTGCCGATGGAGCCCACGAGTCCGATGCCCAACACCAGCCACGGGTTGGCAGACATGAGGCGATAGGACCAGCCGTTCATGTGGAGTGCGCGCGCGGCGACACCGATGATGCCGAGGCCGAGGCCGGTGTGCAGGAAGGTGTCGTTGAGGTAGGAGCGTTCGAAGGGTGGCATGCCGCCATCTTCACGAGTCTCGCGGTTGAACATGAGGTTGATGGCGAGCAGGGTGCCGCCGAAGATTGCGCCTAGAACTTTGAATCAGCTTAATGCTCACAACTGCTGTTCACGATGGGAGCGCCATACCGCCATAGATGAGTCGCTGCGTCAAGTTGCCTTGCGCCACGGGATTCACAGGTGCTGAGGTTTGATAACTCCGCCTCGCCGACTGCCTGAAGCTGTTGAGGAAGACATTCTCCTTGCTGGCGAAAGAGCGGAGGGGAGTCGAGGGGCGTAGGAAGGCCTGCTGCAGTGGCGTGGAGGCCTGCGTCTGGAAGCTTCGAAAGGCGATCTGGGAGGCTTTGGGAGCTTGTTTGAGGGTGTTGGCGATGGCGAACGGTCGCCGTAGGACGAACGCCATGACGGTGTTTGATATGTGGAGGACAAGAGGGAGACGGAGGAGAGAGGTAGAGATGGGATGTGTCTAAGAGGCAGAGCTCGGAGACGTCACTGATGCACCTCAGCGGGGCTTGGCACGCAGAGCCCCAGAAGCTTCTTTGGCTCTGCTCGGCTAAACAACGACCTCACACGGCAGACTCGTACATTGCAGGCACTTTGCGATGGCATTAAGGGACATGTAGGGTTACGTTTCCATTTCAGGATACTCCTATAAAGCCTCTACTCTTGCATACCCTGATCAACCTCTGTCAATTGAAGGCCGCCCGGCACCAGCCGATAGTAAACCGTCTTTCCCTCCGAGACTCCGTCTAAGCCACACACCGGCTCATCCTTTGCAGACCTCATGCTTCTCTGTATGGTACTCCGAGCTCGACAGTGAGTCACCTCGCCAGTTCAACGACATGTCATTTACCCTCCTCAATCCTCAGCATCAAGGAATGTCTCTTCGTTGCCGAAAGTGTCCGTCCGCCGTATCGGATGACCAGCATTCGACGGTGACGGGATCAGCGGCTGTTGAAGCCCGTATACAGATCCCTTCTTGGCTTCCGATGAAGGTTGGGGTCGTTCTGGTAGCTGTTGTTGCTGCTGTTGTTGCTGCCTGGGTTGTCCTTCGTTCTGCCCAAAGTCAATTAGATCCGCGCCTCCATCGGTTTGCGGTCTCGCCGACGATTGCTTCTGCTGCTGTTGCTGCTGCTGTTGCTGCTGCTGTTGCTGCTGCTGTTGCTGCTGCTGTTGCTGCTGTTGCTGTTGCTGCTGTTGCTGTTGCTGCTGCTGTGGCTGTTGCTGTTGCTGCGTCGGGGCAGCATTCAAAGACTCCCACGTCTGTCCCGGTAGGATGGGCGCGATGGCAAGAATCTGTTGAATCTGCTTTTCCGCAGGCGCATCACTGTCCACCTTCGCATCAATCACCCAGTCCAGTTTCTCCTCATCCCCCGCTGGTGCATGTTTGAAGAGCTTCGGCTGCCAAGCCTCTTCGCCACGGTCCGCGGCCTCTTTCCGCTGCTCGTCTTCGATCCTCGACTTCTCATCCGTTGCAACCCTCTGGTCGGCCTTCTTGATCGCGGCAGTGGTTGTGTGCCATAGCTTCTGACTTTCCCGCTCCGCCTGTTCCTCGAGCGGTCTGCTTTTGGGATAACTTGGTCTGGAGTGAGCGGCGTCGAAGAGTAGCTCTTTCTTGCCGGTGGAGAGGTCTTTGATCATCATCTCGCCGTTCCAGAAACCGCTGAGCTCGAAGAGTTGCTTGCCGGATTTGTCCTTGATGAAGCCGCCGATGCTGTTGTACGTCCCACTGACCCAGCCCTTGACCTTGAATTCGATGTCCACTTCCAGCCCCGTCTCCGGACATCGTACTTGGGCATGGTCGCCAAGTTCGTACTTCATTTTGCCGAAGAGGATACCTCGCGCGTACATGTTTGGCTGAGTGATGAAACTGGTGGGCCGGATGTTAGCGATTCTAGCCCACTCTCGGATCAAGATCAAGAAGACGACTCACTACCGCTCCCCTCTATTCAAGAACCGCATGACAGCGATCCCCTCCATAAAACTCCCCACACTATTCCCCAAAAACTTACTCCGCGGCTTCAGCGTCCCATCAATGCGAATGCGATGTTCCGGCGCCATGTAAAAGTACGAGCTCTTGGGCGGGTGATGCGACGTCTGCTCCGAAATATAATACCCCTTCGTCCCATCCTCGTAATCCCAATACCCCATAAACGTCTCGCCGAGAATGGGGTTCAGCGGCTTCTTCACGCCGGGCGGCTTGATGTGCCAGCCGGAAAGGTAGAACTTGGTGACGGCGACGAAGCGCTGGATGGGGTCGTCGATGTCCGGCATGGGCAGCAGGGTCTCCGGGTGGGCCATGAAGTTTGTGATGCGCTCGAGCATGCTGCGCGGCTCGAGGATGAAGGTGGGCAGCGTGACGCGCGACAGGTCGGCGCCCGGCCGCAGCTGGGAGATGATGTGCGTGAGGACATTGCCTTGCTCGGACGTGACGACTGTTTCGTCTTCTTCTTCGCCGTCGTCGTGTTTGCTGGAGCTGCCGGTGTTTTTGCGGTGGCCTAGGACCATGTTGGGCGGTGTGAGGGAAGGGGGGGAGGGGAAGGCGGAGAGGTTATGGTGGTTGAGAGAGAGGGTGTTCAGGGGAAGAGGTGCAGTTGTTGCGGAGGATCGGTGTGTTGGTTTGGTGAGTGAGCAGAGAAGAAGGAGGGGGGCGGTTATAAGGGGCGAGGAACAGGTATGCGTTCTATTGAGAGCTCATCAACACGTGGGAGTCAAGTTCCCAGCTGACCGTCAACCTCCCGCCTACGTACGCCAAGCATCTCACGCTGACTCTCGCCTACATTCACCGTGGCCGACCCCGACTACATCCGACTACGTCGACCACTGCAGGCAGATACAACATCGAATTCTAGGATCCAGATATGTAGATTTAATCAAAGACATCTTCTCATTGACCATTCGTACCCACTCGATGTCTCGATTCAGCGTAAGGCCGGGCTGCAGGCTCATGCATCAACGTTCACCTCTTCGCTTGCTCTCTATCATGAAATATCAATCTAATCACGAGTAAAAATTGGTGCCCAAGAAGCACCGCACAACAGTCCAGATAGCCACATGCCTACCCAAGCAAATCATCCAACCCACCACTGCCCGTACTCTTCTTCGGCGCGCTGCCAGCAGCCGGAGGCTGGCCCGGAATGGGTGCCGCGTTGGCTCCATACAAACCCTGCTGACTCTTCATCTTCGCCATATCCGCCATGGTCAAGCCCTTCTGCGCGGGCGAGTTCGTCTTCTTGACGCCGCTACCCGAAAGCAAAGAAGCAAAGGCGTCGCCTCCGGCCTTCTTCCCGGGCTGGCTGCCTGCGGCTGGGGAGGTCACGCTGGAGCCTGGAGTACCTGCGGTCGGCGTGGGTTGGACTTGGACCGAGGTGAAGTAGTTGGGGCCAGTGGGCTGATAACCTGTAGGCTGAGCCGGCCGTGCTTGCGATGGAGGGGAGAAGGCGGAGACTGCGGACGGCGTGCCGGTGCTACTGGGGGGTGGGGAAGTGGTGGAGAGGAGATTGTTGAAGTTTGCGTTCTGTGCCGAGGATTGGGCCACGGGCTGAGCGAAGTGGGTGGCGGACGAGGGCGTTGCAGTCGAGAAAGAGCTGTAGTTGGGTTGCGAGATGGATGGCGGTGCTGCAACAGCCGGTGTAGCGGTTGTCCCGGACGGAGTAGCGGATTGAAAGTCGTCAAAGTCGTCATCGTCGCCAGCCGGCACGCTGGATGGAGGCGCTGCGAGGATCGTGGACGAGGTGCCGTTGGATGGAGCCGAAGCAGGCTCATCCCCAAAGTCAAAAAGGTCGACTTCTGGCTCTTTTGGCGCAGCAGCTTTCGGCTTCTTCGCGCTCGTCCCTGAAGTCCGTCGTGTACTAGCCCCGGGTTTCCGTCGAGTTGGTTGGGCTTGTGCACCGCCGTCGTCAAACTCATCGTACTCCTCGAATCGATCAGCGCCACCTGTTCGCCCCGATTCCTCATACTCGTCCTGGCCCTCTCCACCGAAGCCTCCACCATCTCCGTAAACCGCTCGGCTCGTGCCACCGTAGCTGGAAGCGCCGTATTCTGCACTCTCGCTGCCGAAGCCGCCATAGCGGCCGCTCGAGCCGCTGCTTGCTCCAATCCCACCTTCCACGCCTCCATATTTATTCCTCGTCGTCCTCGACTTCTTCCTCTCCGATCGGATCCTTTCGACATCGCTCAACAGGTCCACCAGCTCTTTACTCCTGTTCCGGACGTTCAGGCCCTGATCCTTGCCATTCTGGTCGATGTAGTGGAATTGCTTCAGCATCTTGAGAAGACTGAGGTGCGAGCGAGCGTCGTCGATGACTCGCTCCGATCCGTTCTTGATGAGGAATTCCATAAGCTGGAGCGCTTTGTAGATCTGGCGCCACTCTTCGGCGGACTTTTCGGTAAAGCGTTTGTAAATCATCGGCATGATCTCGTTGAGCAGTTGGCTGTGCAGAAGGTTAGTCGATCTGTTGGGTAGCGCGTGCAGACCGTGGCGTACTAGTTGAAGGTGCCACTCGCGATTTCTTGCATCAGGGTGGAGGAGGCACCCCAGGGTTCGTTGTTCGTGGCCTCGCGCACCTTGGCCTCCATCTCTGTGTAATTCATCTTGCTATTGTCAGTCGGGGTGGTCTGGCTCGTCTCTGACCAGTATCATTTCTTACGACGGCTGGAAGACATGGTTAGTTTCCACCATCACATCCAGCCGACAGGCATTGGCACTGACCATTTTGGACTTTGCGGACTCCCGCTTTAACGTCGTACAGCGTCAAGTTGCTGACTTGATTCTTCAGGTCGTTCCAATCCATCTTGAAATGCTTGACAGCTATGGACGAGTCAGAGAGGGGCGGGAAGTGGACAGAGAGGGGTGGTTAAATGGCGGAGCTGGCTTTGTATAGATCGGATACGTTGTGAATGTGGGCGGCAGACCTAGCGGGAGTACCCGCCCGGCCGCGGTTCCCCCCTAAATACGGGACGAGGGCCACCATATGAGGCACGTTTCCAGACAGTGGAGGTTTCATTGACTATTGGTGCTTCCTTCATTCATCTCGTTCATCTCTTTTTTCATCAATCCTGGACAAGTTGCCAGTGTTGCGCCAATTGCATCGGTCTCAGCGCGTAGACAAAGAAGGTACGTTCATATGGTGTGGTGTCGAGTTCCTGCCTCAGCAGCTCCTTCCGAATGACGGCATTGGGGCTGGCTCGCTCTTTCCTTCCGTCCTTCCGCTCGTGATGCAGGCGACTTCGAAAGAGGAAGCTGCGGGCCAAGCGAGGAACACGAGGCGAGAGCACCGCCTCCGAGCCGCCGGCGGGTGAAAGAGGCCTTGGAAGCTCCAGTCGGACGGCGGCGGCCAGCTCGGGCTCGGGCTCAGGCGCAGGCGCAGGCTCAGGGTCTTTTTCCAATCCTGCAGGAAAAAACGTCACCACGGAAACTGCACTGACCCTTTTGCCTTTCTCAACAGCAGCACGCCAACACCCCCACTATACCCCGCCCTAGCGTCGAATACCCAATTCTCCCTCGCAACTCGCCTTTGCAAGCTTTTAAAAATTATGCTGCTTTCCACTTCTTCCTCCTCCATCACCCAACGCCACCTTTTCAACTCCATCCGACGATCTTCCATCAACCCTTCCATCTCCACCCGCGCGTTCCACGCCTCATCTGCCAACATGACTATCAAGTAGGTCGTCGACTTCACGCCGGCCAGGGCGATGAAAAGCCCCTCCATCCATTACCCCGCCAGGCTGACCCTCACCCCTCCTATAGAGCCTACTTCGACGTGACCTGGACTGGTCCGGAGCTGCAGACCGATGCCAATGGCAAGGTCACCTCTGCCGACAAGAGCGACAAGCGTACGTGATGACAGCCATTCAATCCTCTTCACCTCGTCATCCATCTCGCTGACTCCTTCTCCCATCCAGCCCGCTCTGGCCGCATCAACTTCGAGCTCTTCGATGATGTTGTCCCCAAGACCGCCGAGAACTTCCGTGCCTTGTGCACTGGCGAGAAGGGCTTCGGCTACTCTGGCAGCAAGTTCCACCGTGTCATCCCCGAGTTCATGCTCCAGGGTGGTGACTTCACCCGTGGCAACGTAAGACATCTTTCCGTGCCAATGTTCATCATCAGGTCACATCCATCCTAACGCATGCATCAGGGCACGGGCGGCAAGTCCATCTACGGCGAAAAGTTCCCCGACGAGAACTTCAAGCTCAAGCACGAGAGGCCCTTCCTCCTCAGCATGGCCAACGCCGGCCCCAACACCAACGGCTCGCAGTTCTTCATCACCACCGTCGTGACCTCGTGGTTGGACGGGCGCCACGTCGTCTTCGGCCAGGTGCCCAAGGGCGACACCGCGTCGATGGGCGTTGTCAAGAGCATCGAGGCGTGCGGATCTAGCAGTGGCGCGATCAAGAACAAGGACGGCTCCCCCACCATCGTCAAGAGCGGTACGGAGTAGATGTGCGCGCTAGACGAAGGAATGACGGTGCAGCAGGATGCTCGTGTTTCCCGTCAGGGCGAAGGTTGTGAATGCGGCGAAAGTCTTCGCCTGCATCTTCTCGGCTGATTCGAGCTCCTTTCCAAAAGTAGACCGTACATGACTCTGAAAGCATCTGTCATCTCTCCATTGTTCAATTTTTACTAGTACATGCTCCGTGAATCGAGATCGAAGTGGATGACCCAAGTGACCCTGTTTCTCGAGGCTGGCTGCAATCCCTGTAGCCTCGTCGTGTGGGCCAGAGGCGTACCCTGCTCTCCGTTGGACTCTGATCAAACCATTAGCATACTGCAATGGGCTCAGACACCCACCTAACTCTTCGCATTGGATAGTTTTACCAGAAATACATAGAAGGCAGATGCTTCCTTCCATACTGTTGCCTGAGGCTGACTGAGACCCTGACTTGGCGCTCGTATTTATTAGGTTACCACTTTCACGTGCCACGCGACACGCACTTCAGACTCAACACCACCACCTCACGCCACTGTTCCCAAAATGCACGTCTGCTGGTCAGGCGGTTCATGTTGGTCCAGAGGCCTCTGAAACCCCAAGAGTCTGCATACCTGCTCGTCATTCGTCCAGAATAACCATCGCCTTTCCTTCAGCCTTCCATTGCTCCGCCCCTTTCACACGCCATGGCCGACGACGATGCAAAGTCCGCCAAGGCGAGACTCAAGAGCAAATGGCATCGCGTCTTCAAGGACAAGGAGGATCACAACGGCGGGGGAGAGAATGTCGATTCCTTGCCCGTGACCGCCGACGTCGCCGATTTCCTCAGACCTTCTACCGATCGAGCGCCCTCAACCTCACGAGCGCCACCTCTGGCGCCGAAGCTCGACGTTTCTATAGCCCAGCGTTGGCCTACTGCTGAACAGATAAGACAAGCGAGTGGAGAGGCCCCTCCTTCCCCAAATGGATGGCGGAAAACGCCGCGGCGAGGGGGCTTGACGGTGGGCTTTGTGAATGCGGCGCCTGAGGTTCTTGGAGAGGGAGGCGATGATTGTGAAGAGCCGGTAATTGAGGTGGGAAGGAGGAGAGCGATGATGCCGAGATCTGCGTCTGAGAGAAGGGCGATTGGGCCAGACGGAGGATTGACTTCGGCTATGGGGCATGGACAGTTGAACGACAGTGGAATGGGTGGCTTCCAAACCGTACCGCGGCGCAGGGCTAATACCGGATATGAGCATTCGCCGCCGTCGCACATGCAGCCAGACGTGCACAATGACGATCAGCTCCAGCATGTGCCCACGTTGAACAGAGCCCCCACCGGACCCCCTCTGCGAGGAGGAATCGACCGCGACCTTGGCGGTGTTGATGATCAGCGATACGACAATCAGTTTCCGGGATTCGAGCGCGACTCTGACTTGCAGCCAGCGAGTCCTCGAGACCCCGAAGCCATTGCTGCACGCAAGCGCGAATTGCGGGCGGGAGAAGGCCTGATCTTCCGGCGTGCGAGTGCCATGTTGAAGGACCAAGACGGAGACGATGAAGAGGGACGACAGAACGTTGGGGTCGGCCGTCAGCCATCTTCCGAGCACTACGACACACTGTCACGGCCTGACGCGCCTAGCCTTTTGCCCGACATTCCTGAGCCGCGGTCTGCTCTGTCTCCGACCTCTGCCAACTCACCGGCTGGCCCGAATCCTTTTGCGGACCCGAAATATGGAGAGGTGCATGCGACGTTTGAGTCGCAACGTAATGGCCAATCGATGCCGGAGCCAGCGCAAAACAATCGGGCGAGTTTCATCCAGACGGTCATACCCTCGGCTTCCATCTCTCTTGATCCTCACGACTTCACACCAGGCCGTCAAGCATCTACGGGAACTGCATCCTCATCAGGTAGGCGGACAGAAGAAGATCGAGACCCCATGAACGCGCCTGCCCAGGTACCTCCGCCGCAAAATTTCGTCGCCGAACTGCCTGGAAGTCTTCCGCCACAGCAAAACGGCGATGCCGACCAGCAAAACTACATGAGTGTGCCGTCGTCCAACAGCCTTTCTTCGTCCCGTTTCCGATCGATCTCGCAGGGCAGCCAGCATGCGCCAACAGTCAGCTCCCAAGTGTCCAGCACCATCCCTCGAAGTCGCGATCCTTCCCCCATGACATTCCAAAGCGCCCCTGCGCCAACCGCTTCAATCCGACAGGACCAATTGCGAACCAGCCCCAACGTTTCGAGTAGCAACCTCGCCCTTTCACCTCCACACGCAGGTCGCACAATCTCCCGACCAAGTTCTCGAGCCTCTGGCTCTGTCCTCGCCGATACTGCCGCCCGAGCGGGATCTGCTGCCGCGTTGAGACTGCCAGATCATATATCCACCCCTCTGAATGGAAGTCCCCGTTCATCGATTTACGCCACTCACTTGAGTTCTCCAACATCTGGAACTCCGCCGCCTTCTGGGAAATCAAAGTATTTCATGTCTCCTATCAACAAGGCGCCGAGTCCCGCTGCTCCTTCGGAGGCGAACCCCGCGCCTTTTCGACCGGCAGCCACCACGAATGTCGTTACTCTCAGAGGTCCGCAACACCCTAACATCCATTCGCAAGCGAGGTTATCAAGTCTGTCCGTAGCTTCAGAGGACATGTTACAGTCGCCTCCGGCTGCCGTCAGCGACTCACAAAGTCGGGCACCTCCACCGGCCACGAGCGTACCGATCGCACGATCTGACAACAGAGCGAGGTCCGACACGGGAGATACGCTGGCTTCTGTACCCCGCCCAGGCATTCTCTCGCCGCAGGTAGCAGGTCAAGGCAATTCTGCCGTGGATGCCGCTTACGCCGATTTCGCTGCTCGTGTAGCACACATGAGGGGTGTGTTCAGGCTCACGGCGGAGAGGGAGAGACCGGTGGTGCAGGGTGCGGCAGGCGTTTGGCTCCGCGTAGCCGTCTGGTGGTATCTGCAGGGCAAAATCGGACTGGAGCGCATCCTGCGGCACCGTCGGGGTAATAACGACCCGCAGCAAATGCGCGAACTTCTCATGCAACCTCACGTCGATCTGGCCAAGGCGTGGTGGATCCTATCCGACCCGCTGGAGATGTACGACGATGTTGGCAATTCCGCCTCCCGGGGATCGTCGACGATGATGAATGGCGATGTGGCGCTAGTGCAGGCTGTCGGCTTTCTCAAGAGTCATCTCAAGTCTCTGTCGCTGTCGATGAGCCGGAATATGCTGTTGCCGCCTCCGCAGTCGCTGATTCAAGGGCAAGACACCACAATCTGGCTGCCGTATCCGCGCTACTCCCAGGATGCCACCATTGCTATCGGAGGTGCCAGACAGGGTCGACTCGAGCCCATGCAAGCCCTGCCACTCGGCGACACGGGAGAGATGCACTGCTATGGTCGTTTCCCCGTGGAAGTGGCAGTGAGCACAGACGATCCGCAGACCGACCGAGTGCCTATTCCCTGCATGTTCACCATGCTTCGCCACAAGCAAAACTTCGGCAACACCATCGTTGTCGCGAGTCAAAATGAACTCGTCAACGTCCTCGTGGGGCCGTGGCTAGAAGATCGCCGCGGGCTGACGTGGTACGACGTGGAGTGGAAGACGAGCTCCTTCGGCATGACTATTCGCCTGCCGAACAACTTCACCATGACGGTGCGGATCCATGAGCGGGACTTCCGCACTCTGTGGAACCTTCTGCAGTACTCCCACAAAGTGGAGGACAACATTCGGCCCGAGAAAGACGAGTTCCTCGTGCACGAGGCTGCACTGGCGGAAGTGCAGTACGAGGATTCGTCGGGCTCGGCGGCATTCCCGAAAGACAAGATTGTGCATGCGCGAGCGTACCTGTTTGAGCAGACGAGGAAGATCCCCGACCCCAGCGGCGATCGCAGGATGCACCTCGGCTTTCGTCTGGTGGTGGCGGCTGATCCGAGGAACAAGGCGCTGGCGTACATCAGTCACGAAATTTCCAAGGGCTCGCCGCTGTTGTTCGAGTTCATGACGGATTCGGCGGCAGGTGGCATGGCCGCTATGGTGGTGAAGATCGTTGAGGAGGGCAGGCAGTGTCGTGCGCTTCTGGTCTTTTCGGATGTGGAATCCAGGCAGGCGTTGTACGATCTGCTGATTGGAGTGGCAAACGGTCCCGATGAGATGATCGTTGGCAAGATGATGTTACTGGGTATGAACGTCGAGCCTGCCACACAGACTGCGGGCGTTACGCAGGAGCCTCACCCGGCGCTCCGAGCCCTGCAATGGCAGAAGCTGGGTGTGCACAATGCAATGTCGGGCAGCACCGTGCAGTCGGACTCTCTGCGAATCGTGGCCAGACATACAACAGGCTGCATCACCGACCGCCTGAATCTAGGCAAAGGCGAACTTCTCATCCGCCTGCCATGCACCGACACACGCACCCCCGCAATCCAAATCTTCCGCTACCCACAGGAAGACTGCACGGTTGCAGTCGACGTTCGCAACTGCCCAGCCAGCGAAACCAGCATCGCCGACTTGACGCACCTCGTGCAACAGCAACCCACCATCCGCACCTTCACCTTCGCCACCTCGGAAGACCTGCACGCCTTCCAAACCGCCATCACAGGCTGCCAAGTGCGGTACGACGGCGTCGCGGCGAATCTCAGCATCGCGCGCCGCAGAATGGTCGTCCCTGGCTTCTCGAAGAAGTGGGAGGCGAGCAATGTGCGTTTGCAGATCGTTTCATACGACGTCGTGTTTCAGATTCTGGCGTTTATGGAAGACTTCGGACATGCGGATGCGTTGTGCTTCCGCGTCAGGAGTACGGATACGTTCGAGGTTGTCAAGGGGGATGGCAAGGGGAAGAAGTGGGGGATCAAATTGGTGGAGGCGAAGTTCTCGTTGCCGAAAGATGGGGAGGGTCGTGATGAGGGGAAGGGCGGTGATGCTGCTCTTGGTGCTGGAGTGTTGGAGAGAGTGAAGAGGCGCTTTGTCAATTTGGAGGGTATGGAGTATGCGGAGGAGCATGATGATGTTACTATTGGCTTTGAAAGCCAGGAAGGTGAGAAGAGTCTTGATATCGATCTATTGTTTTGTTGTGCTTTGCTGACGGTTTGCTGCAGATCGCGACAGGTTTGCTCAAGCACTGCCTGCGGCTACGACGGTTGCACGGGGCATTACGTTGAAACGGCGGATTTGAGCATCGAAAAGTACTTTGCGGCATTGCTTGTGTGTTTTGTCGTCCGCGAAAGGAGAGGGAGGAATTGCATAGCGAGTGGCGTATTGGGATGTTCGCCTGGAACAGCCGCATTGGGAAGGAGGGGCCCTCGACCGCGCCCACCACCGCATCGAAGTGCTTACATTGATTATCGGCCTCACACTCGTGCATCATTTCATTCTCGTCTCTCTCCTGATTATCTCCCAATTATTCCCACCCACCGTGTCTGCCAGACAAGATGGCCAATTCCAACCACACTAATGGCTCCGCAGCCCCGCACGACCAATTCTCCAACTACACCCTCGCAACACTCGGCATCCACGCCGACGACTCAATGCACCACGACACCGACGTCGCCCCCTCCCTCCACGTCTCCACCACATTCCGCTACCCCCGCGACCCCGAAGACCTCGTGCCGGCCTCACGGTCGCCGCAAGCAAGACAAACACCCGCGGCCGCTGGCCTCCCGCCGTCAGACACAGGCTACATCTACTCGCGCTACCAAGCCCCCACCTCCTCCCGCCTAGAACTCATGCTCTCCTCCTTCATCCGCGCCCCTTGCCTGACCTACTCCTCCGGCCTCGCCGCCTTCCACGCCCTCCTCGTGTACCTCAATCCGAAAGTCGTGGCGATTGGGGCGGGATATCACGGCTGCCATGGCGTGCTGGGCCTCTACCAGAAACTGACGGGCTGCAAGATTGTCGATCTCTTCGACGAGGCGAGCTGGCAGGATGGCGGGGAGGGATGGAGTTTGGGCAAGGGGGATGTGGTGCACCTCGAGTCGCCCGTGAATCCCACCGGTCTGGCTTTTGATATCGAGCTGTTCGCGGCACGGGCGCATCGGAGGGGCGCGGTGCTCACCATGGATGCTACTTTTGCGCCGCCGCCTTTGCTTGATCCGTTCAAGTGGGGTGCGGATTATGTCATGCATTCTGGGACGAAGTATTTTGGCGGGCATTCGGATATGTTGTGCGGGATTGTTGCGATTGGGCGGAACGAAGGGTGGGAGAAGAATTACTGGGGCATGCTAGGTGAGAGGTGCAATTTGGGGTCGACGCTGGGAAACATGGAGGCGTGGTTGGGGGTGCGGAGTTTGCGAACGATGGCCTTGCGGGTGGAGAGGCAGAGCCGGAATGCGGAGCAGGTGGTTGCGTTTTTGGATGCGTGTGTGCGTGGGGAGGAGACAGGAGAAGCGGCGCAGGCGGTCAAAAAGGTGATTCGCAGGGTTCAGCATGCGAGTCTGCAAAAGGAGGACATGGGGTGGCTGAAGAAGCAAATGCCGTATGGTTTCGGCCCCGTTTTCAGCTTCGATACGCATGTCGAGGAGCAGGCGAAGCGGCTGCCGAGTAAGCTGCACCTGTTCCATCATGCTACGAGTTTGGGAGGCGTGGAGAGTTTGATTGAGTGGAGGCATATGAGCGACAATACGGTGGAAACGACGCTTTGTCGCGTCAGTATTGGTGCGGAGACGTGGGAGGATTTGAGGGATGATCTCGTTCAGGGTTGCAAGGCGCTGGTCGCTGAAGGTTGGTGATCCGGTGTGCTGGCCATAGACGATGCATTCTTGACGTTTGTACATGTTGGACTACAGCGAATAGAATAGATGGCGTGAAAAGTACAACCTGGCGAAGAAAGTGAATGGACCCAGCCAAGACTTATGACCGGAACCCAAGAAGCGACTGTCGACTTCTGGCCGTCCCACTAATTTACAGCATGAGAAGTGAAATTTTGCGACCAGCCAGTGCCAAGATTCCGAAACCCACAACCCAAAACCCGACCGCATCGACGAAGAAAGTTTGCAATAGCAAGCACCAGATCACCGACACAACACACGAGGCAAAGAAGCCGCTCACCGAATCCCTCCGAACCCCATCAATTAATCTATTGCGATGTCTCGGTATGTTTGCGCCTGGCGGAGTGCGAAAAGTGAAGGAAGTGAGAGCGATTGCTGACGTGAAGTGAAACAGTCGTGGTGCCTCCGGTACGAAGCTGAAGATGACGCTCGCTCTTCCTGTGTACGTTTTGATTCCTCCCCGTTCGCGATGAGGCTGCTGGGCAAGAGATGGGATACTGGGCGCTGGAAACAGTGACAAGCGAGGAGAAAGAGACAGCAGTCTGTGGTGTGGGGGGAGAAGATGAGAAAGAGTTCCATTGCTGATATCCACCGTGTTCCACAGCGGCGCGGTCATGAACTGCGCAGACAACTCCGGCGCCCGCAACCTCTACATCATCTCCGTCAAGGGCATCGGCGCGCGTCTCAATCGTCTTCCCGCCGCCGGCGTCGGTGATATGGTCATGTGCACCGTCAAGAAGGGCAAGCCGGAGCTCCGGAAAAAGGTGATGCAGGGTGTCGTCGTGCGCCAGAGCAAGCCGTGGAGGAGATCGGATGGCATGTACCTCTACTTTGAGGACAATGCTGGTGTTATCGTCAATCCCAAGGGCGAGATGAAGGGTTCGGCGATCACTGGGCCGGTGGGGAAGGAGGCTGCGGAGCTGTGGCCGGTATGTGTTAGCCTGGAGTCTTTGCTTTGTGATGTGTGTGCTAACAATTTGCAGCGTATTGCGTCCAACTCGGGTGTGGTGATGTGAGGGGTGGGGCTTTGGGGTATGGGCATTGCGGTGTTTGAGGGCAGGCGAAAGGCACAGTAGCTAAGTAGCTGGCCAATGCAAATCATGAAGTGTGCTGTGCTCATCGTCTTTTTTTCTTTTGCTCTTGTCTGCTCGTCGTCCACTTCTCTTTCTTTCATTGCCGCTGGAACACGCCTTCAAAGGGACCATACCGCCGCCATATGCAAGATAGACTGCGAGATCTACCTCACTGGCAGCCTGGCAAGGTACACCTTCTCAGAGCTCATATGGCCAGCTGACGAGCAGAGTAGGACACGACACGGCGACTTCACGATCAAAGGGGAAAATGAGATGCTCCGACTCACCGATCAATCCAGCTCCGCCAGCTCCGCCATGAGAGCGGCCACCTCCCGCCGCATCCTCTCCTCCTCCAGCTGCGCGGCGGTGGGCGGGGGCGGAGGGGGCCGCGGCACGCACGCCTCACAGAATGTCCCGTCCGGGCCACAGGCGAGAACAACCCAGAGGAAACGTGCGCGGCCGTCAGCCCCCCACGTCCCCACCCACTTGCACCCGATCTCGCACGTGATGCGCGACCACATGCCGTTGTTTGCGAGCGGTCTGTTTGATGAGAGTTGGTCAGCGAATGCTTTCATTTGATTCGAGGGGCGCGTGATTAGAGATCAGGGGGGTGGAGTCAAGCGAAAGAGAGTGAGTGGAGCGAGTGAGTGATGGTGCTTTGAGCTATCTTGCTGATGGATCTTGAGGGGTGTTGATGTCACTCACGATGGTGTGGTGGAGCTTCAAGGCTGTCAGCGCTGTGTTTGTGCACGAAGAGTGAGGGTGTCGTGGACTTACGAGTTCATGGTGGTGGTGGTGGCGGCGGCGGGGGAGATGATTGATTTGATGATCTGCGAGGGCAAGAAATGTCAGCATGAGTTCTTCTATCGCGGTCACGTGTCTGCAGAGAGCGTGGCGGCGAGCTCCAGCTCGTGGCAACGCGGTGAACGACTCGCAAAAGCGTGACGTGTCGAGGGGAAGGGGGCCAACTCACGTGTGATTGATGGTTCTGTGGTGGTCCGAAAAATGATCAGCTCATGCTCTCGTGCATAATTATGCCTGACGGGCGGTTGAAGCGCGCCAGCTGACCGGCAGCGACGCCAACGCCCGTCAGACTGGCGAGCGGAAGGGCTGATGAACTCACGTTTGCTCTGCTTGCTGTCAGCACGATGGCTACACGTCAAAAAGAGGACCAGATGCGGTGGTGGTGGAGCGGCACTTACTTTGGGGTTTGCTTGGTCGGAAGGAAGAAAAAGGGGGAAAAGGAGCGGGTTGTTATGTGCGAATTTGAGCGCTGTGCCGTGCGGCCCCACCCTTCCCGTGCCCTGGAGACGAGCAGGTGAGCTATTCAGGCTTTCTATTGTGCTGACCAGGCGACGTAGTCTTTGCAAAAGATTTGCGCGTGTTACATGGAGCCTACTCGGGTGGTCAGACCGAGTTTACGGACGATTATAGTGGTGGAAAAGATGTTTCAAGGTCTACATTGATGTTTCGAGCGTGCAAAGGCGATTGGTGCTCACGGGGACGTTGGAGGAGGTACGCATGTGCTCCACGGAATCGTTAAAACTTGACAACTCAAGGCTTTACATGCTTGACGGCGCTCAGACGGCTCGCGTCGACTGTTCTGTCGCCTCGAAGGTCGAGTAGCGTCTTGTTCGCGCGTAGTTAGATACGATAGGACTCTGCGATGTACAAAAGTCAGACGTTATTACTTGGTGGCAGAAGCGTTTACAGAGCAAGTTCGATCGAGTCTTGGATGGTCTACAAGCCCAGACTCGGCTTCTCGTGAACCCAGCATGCCAATGTTTCCCGTATCAGTACGATAGTTGCTCAGCGAGGGCCGTCAATAGACTGTCGTCGTCCCGGGGCGATGAATCTCGTAACAGATCTGGAGCACAACGTTCAAGGTCTCCAGGTTCAGTGTCGAGACTGCATCGAAACGCAGCACCTCGGCGCCTCGGCGCCTCGCAACAAAGATGACATCCGACTCGGCAGTTCGAGCGCGCCCTCTGAGGAGGTCGAAGATGAGTACAAACCAGAGTCCCAAGACCACTGGGCAGTCGTTTTGTCATGTGTTGGACAGACGCTCGTCAAAGTCGCTTGATGATCGAAAAAGAAAAACTGCGATCACGCTCTGGGGAAGGAAATTTGTGGACGTAACGGAAAGGAAAGAAACGGTCAATATCTCTTTGTGCCACCCAGGATGGATGATCTCAAGTCCATGAGCAGTGCGGCATTCGGTCCAATGTCGGTGTAGCGGATAGGTCTCGACGCTACTGATGGCAGAGAAGGCAGGAGAAATCGTCGCCCATGTTGCGTTGAAAGTGCATAAACCTCTCGCAAAAATCCAAAACTTACCCCAAACACTCCTGTCATTTACGAGAGCTTCCACCGGTATTCTCGAGGCTGGTAAGCGTTCTATCAAGCTCATTCGCGTGCCTGTGGAAGAGGTGAGGTCAAAAGAAAGCCGCGGGGAAGAAAGCGGCGGTCGAGTGTGGAGACGCTTGGCGGGCCAGCCCCAGCCCATGTTCGTCCCAACAGTGAAGGCGCATCTTCTCACGCCAGCCACCACCCAGAGCCTCATGAGAAGCTTCAGGTGCATGCTGAGTTGCTTGATCCCCATGTGAGAAGCAGGTGATGCTTCACATGCCCGCAGTCCGTGCTACTCGGCAGCAACTGCCAACCTCCTGCCGCCCGAAGCCACCACCCCGATAAGAGCAAAGCTAGCTCTCAGAGCTCCGCCCGCACTTCCGAGCGCATGTAAGACATTGGCTGAACATCTGTGCAAGAGGACACTGCGTGATATCCGCTCAGCAAAGCAGAAATTGCTCCGACCAGATCACCAGAGCACCCCTCGTTTGAACTCTGCGACAGGCGACACACCCACACCCCACGGCGATTGGCATCGGAAGAGCCCAGCTGCTGCACCCAAATCACCTCGTAGAGCCTGTGCGCTCCGGAAGTGGGCATCGAGCACGCCAGTGGCATCGCGGTTGAAAAGCTTGAGACAGTCAAACACCCCGGGCGGCAGTGAAGCACACCATCCACCATGACTCTCAGCGGGAAAGCAGGACTGGCAGTCATCGACGTGCAAGAAGACTTCTGCGAGCCCAACGGCTCCCTGGCAGTCAAGGGCGGCAGAGAGCTGGCGGAAGTGTGGAACGACCTGCTCTCGCTGCCCTTCGCCGTGAAGCTGGCCACTCGAGATTACCATCCCCAGGACCACATCTCCTTCGCCAGCCAGCACTCCGGCAAGCAGCCATTCGCCGACACCCTCATGGTCAAGAACCCCGAGAACGAGTCTGATGATCCCTTCACCGTCACCCTCTGGCCTGATCACTGCGTCCAAGGCACGAAGGGATGCGAGATCATCCCGGAGCTGGACCAATCCAAGCTCACGCAAGTCATCCGCAAGGGCTGGGACAAGCGAGTGGAAGCGTTCAGTGCTTTTGGTCCAGCATATCGCAACCCGCGTGTGGGCATGAGTGGTCTTGGAGACAGCTTGAGGGAAGCCGGGATCACGGACTTGTTCGTGGTAGGGTTGGCGTACGACTATTGCGTCAAGCATACCGCCATCGATGCTGTCGAGCACGGCTTCAAGACATATGTCATCGAAGACGCCACGGCGGCCATTGACAAGAGCGACGAGGGCCTGGCGAAGCTTCGGAAGGAGCTGCAGGACAAGGGCGTCACCATCATCGACTTGAACTCCAAAGAGCTGGACGCTGTTCGCAAAGCATAGGATGGCTTTTGGCATTCAGCGTTGCGTGTCACGCATTTTGGGTCGAGGGGCGTGCCTCGCCTGATCGCAAATCAAGGGCTTGCGTAGGTATACAAGGGAGGGTGATCGGATGAAGAGAGACGCGAGTCATTCTTTGATCATGCTTGCTGCAGTATTCCTCGCCCTAGCTCTAGAATGTTATCTCCTCCTCGACACTCCCATCAGTCATGCTGCTTAATCAGTATATGGCGATTTGACCACATCGCCCACGAATCAAAGTGCGACCATGCCGGTTCCGCCATGGACCTGGTTGTGTGGCAGGTGGTCGATATATCCAGAGAAGGCCCTGCAGCGTGCATTGGTGATGGCCGGCCACGAGAGTTGCGGCCGGTGGGACTGGACTAAACCTCGGAAGCGCAGTGGCTCTGGAGGGCGCAGAAGCTCTCGCTGGATATTGGAACCGCCCGCGACCAAAAGGAGAGTGGAGATCGGCACCCTTGTCTGCTCGTCCGCCTGCTCTCGCTGCTGGCATACCCCTGGATCACGAGGCGGACGTCAACGCCGGTACACTCATGTTCGCGTCGACGTGTGCTATGATGCCGTGTCTTTCGCCCTGCTGCTGGCGCGCCTTTATTACTTCGGTGTCGATGCTCTTCCTCGTGCGGACTGCCTTCGCCCAACACGATCTGAGCTACGCTGGAGCTATGATCGATGGACTGGCGCACACCGCGGTCCGAGGCTTCCGTAGACCAGAGATCGCTTTCCTGGTCTTCGATGTTCGTTTGCCTTGATTGCTTCCGTCGTGCCCATGGCTGGCTCCAAGGGTCCTCGCGCTGGGAACATGATTCGGCGATCGAAACGTTTGCGAGCTGGACGCTGGTGTTCTTCGGGAAGCGTGCGCGGTTGCAATTGACGAAAGACGATGGTGGCCTTCGTCCTTCTTCTCCACTAGGACCGGCGATGTTGCGAATGGCGAAGACAGGTGGAGGTCTTCATTCCTCTGCTCCAAGGTTGTTGCCCACGCTGGCCATGGATTGTCGGTGACGCGTCCGTTGCTGTTGCGAGCTGATTGCCGATGTTCTTTGAGGCACGCCCGTTGCTGGGAATGGGGAAGGGCGATGCTGGCCTTCATTCTCCGCTCAATGAGGATCGTTCGGGACTTCTGGTCGGCGCTATTCACAATGGATGCCGGGTATCGTCGTCTTCAGAGGGCCTTTCGGCATCCAGTTGCTTCGAACCGCTGAGTGGCAATGAGGGAGACTTGCTCTGCATCGAAGCCGCATGGACACCCTTCTGTCGCGTCATGGCGTTTTGAACCAGGGATGACCTGAAGACGTGGACCGTTGGCCGAGTCTGCCGTGCCGAGGCTTGGTGCGCGGCTCGTGCGATGCCTGGTGGCTGGGTGCTCATCCACGGCCATCAATCTGATGGTGCTGTCGACGTTGCAGTCAATCGGCTTCTGTGTCCCGACAGGGGGTGCTGCTTTCGAATGCGATGAGCGTCGTGGCCAGCAAACTCGCCCGCCCATTTGCTCGGGAAGCGTTGTTCAATGCATTGTCCCCCAAGAAGTGCGTCTGGTCCGTCTTTGTCGGTAGTGAGGCTTGCTGCAAGCCCGTCGCGAGCTACTGGCCTTGCAGAAGTGGCAAGCAAACCAAGTTCCAGGTCTGGACGGGGTTGGGTTTCGTCTGCTCTGGTGACGTGAGATGTCAATGCCCCTGTAAGGCTCTCTGCCTTGTGTGAACGGCGAGTTCGATCTCAGCAGCGCTGTTGTGTGTCGGCAGCTAGGTGTCAAGAGAAAGAGAAGGGTGATGAGCGAAGAAGCGCGTGTGCCAAGCCCCATCCGCAGCCTGGCCTGCAATCCATTGCACACGGAAACACGACAACCACGCCCTCTAAAAAAACGCGGCAAGTGTTGGAAAGGGGCAACAGACCACGGTGAGTCTGCTCGTGCCAATATTGTAACGTGGTTGTGGACATGTCGGCGGGGGAGCCGGGGCAGGAATTCTGACTATATAGATTATAAGAATCCCCCGAGCTCTCACTAATAAATCTAGCTAGGTCCGATCGATCGAACGAAACCACCCGCCGACCGAAGCCGAAAACCCAAGCCGCCGCCCGCCTGCCTGCCCGCTGTGCTAGATAGTCGTATATAGATCCATTTGGGTGAACTGTGCTAACAAGACCTTCTTAACAGATTGTCTACACCCGCCGCCCCGCCGCCACGCCGCCATTTCTTCTCCTTCTTCCTCTCCTTCCGTTTGAGTGGACATGCGCTGATAAATTACCAGATATGAGGATGTAGCCCCTTCCGGGGTGAACCTTTTGCTCCCCTGCAGTCCGGCCTCCATCGGTGTTGTCACCCACCAGCGTTGTCCCCCACCAGCGTCGTTATGCAGAAGCTGAAGTCGCGAGTTCGAACGACGCGTTGCCCCTTTTCAATTTTGTCGATTCTATTTTGCCGACGGCCATGTTTCTCTCCAAACCGCCAGCATCGCTCATTATTCCCATGCGGACGGTTAGATACATTCGACGCGTTCGTTTGACCCGGCAAACAGTCTATTGCAAGACTCCTGCTGCTGGGGGGTAAGTGCGGTGCAGCGTGTGCACGCCGTAGTACCCCTGACGCGCACAAAGCCCGCCTGACGGCACTTTGCAGCTTTGACAAAGCTCTCGCAAAGACACGCTGCAGCATTGGTAAAGTACACACGCCCTGTTTTTCACTCGCATCACACCCCCTACCACCAAGTCCTCGCAAGACACGCTGCAACGCGCTGCAAGTGCGCCATTCCCACTTTCATCGCCCTTTCTCGCACTCTTGTTTGCGCCGTTCTCCTACTCATCACGGTCTTACCAGCCTCCAAATACCTTGAGCAAAGCCATCTTCAGCACCGCAAACGCACGAACACGCGTCCAACCAGGCGCCATGGGCGCGCAAAACGTCTTCCCCCTTCTCAGTGTCGCCCAAAAGTAGCAGCGCGCAAGCTGTCGACAAAGCGCCGTGGCTTCTGTATTGCTGAGGCCGAGAGGGCGGCAGACCACCCGCTTCCCCTGGGCCAAATCACCAACCCCGCGACGCGAAGGGCGCATCGCGTTGGGAGCATCTCTGTTGCAGTGATGTAGATAAGAGACCTCATCGAGCACGGAAGCGACTCCTTCTGGCGACTTTGCCCCTAGCGGAGAGCTTCTCGACAGCCGACGACAATCATGTAACGTGTCGAAGAAGACGACCGCCTCGACCCCTGCCAGCTAGAAACGCTGTTTTACGAGGTCGGAGACCTGTTCGAGAAGAAGCGCAGGGAATGAAGGAAGAACTCCCACGACAATGATACCAGTGGTGGCGGCATCAGAGGCACACACCCTCCGGCTCCCAAAACTCCCGCTCCGCCCGCTGCTGGCGGTCAGAGGCTCTACATTCCATCGCGTCAGGGGTGGACATATGACTACCTGCGCAGGACGCGTGTGTTCGCTGAAGCATCAGCCATTTTGCGTCTGCTTGACGCTGACGGCACCCTACCATGGCTGGCTTGATTGCGTGAGTACCACCTTGCCCATGTAGATTGCAGCTGGAAAGAACGAAACGATTGGCTACAAGTGTGAAAGAAGCGTCAGAAGTACTGCCTGAACTTGAGACGCCGACGTGCAGCCACATGAAACTCTCCAAACATCTATACACCTCACTGTCCCTTCTTCTCCCCCAGCGCCGCTCGCCTCTCCCTCACCTTCCGCGCATCATTCCTCTCCTCCTGAATCCCCACCACAACAGCCGCAACCCCCAGCCCGAGCGTCACCAAATCCAGCACATGAATGCCCCACCAAATATGCTGCACGCCCAGGAAGCAAGTATTGTAATCAAACTTCCACTGCTCCTCTTCATAGTCAAACCAGCCGCTCACAAAGCCTGCATTCCCCCAGTACGAGCCCATCATGCTGCGCACCGTAATCTCGCGGATCGCGAGGAGGGTGTCGGGATGCGGGGGCTCGGGCGGAGGCTCCCGGTTCGGGTTGAGGTAGTACTCCGGCGGAGGGCGGTAGGGAGGGTAATTGAAGGGCGGGTAGTTGTCTACGGTCCACTCGGCTTCGCTCTCGCTCGCTGGTTGGCGGTATTTGTAATGGAAGGTGTCGCAACCGGCGTGGTCGTGGCCGTTGAGCACGAGCGCTTTTCCGCTCTTCGCCAGCCCGTCGAGAATGTGCATGCTGGTGGAGAGGGAGAGGAGGTTTTGCTCTTTCAGGCCGCCGCCTTCGTCGGCTGGCAGCCAGTCGAAGTACTCGGCGTCGGTGCAGAGGCCGGCGGGCTTGTAGAGTGGGATGTGCGTTAGGAGAAGAGTAGCGGAGTTTTTGGGACGCGTGGCGCCCGAGCCGTGCAGTTGTTCGCTGGCGAAGTCGCGGCTTTGCGACTGCAGGTCCAGATCTTTGGCCGGAGAGTCGAGGTTCATGCTGTTGAGGACGACAACGTGGAGTTCGGGTGGAGCTGGGCCAAATTGGAAGGCACTGAAGAGGCTCTTTTTGGGGGAGTCGGAGGCGGTGCCATTGTCGAGGCGGAAGCGGATGTCCCAATTCACAGCGCCATACGTTTCTTCAAAACGCTGCACGCGATGCTCGGTGATGTCGCCTGCGTATCCAATATCGTGATTGCCCGCTACGGCGATGATCCTGTTCTTCCAATCCGCATCTTTCCCCAGCGTTTCCGCCCTGCCACTCACGTCCGTGATCGTGCGCGGCACCCTCTTACTCCCCTTGAACACCCCTGTCCAAAACCGCCGACTCCGCCGTTGAAACTCCGCATCGCTGATATGCTGGCTGCCCAGTAAGTCGCCAAGAATGACCATATGCGTCGGATCCGACCAGTACGTCACGGAGCGATAGACATGGCGCAAGTACAGATCGTTGCCCCACAGATCCAATCTCTTCCGATACCACTGCAGGATATACAGCAGATCGTGCGTAAGCAGACCCGTCGCGGCCGTCACCACTCCTCCAGGAACAGCAGCAATCCCCCTCTCCCTCACATCCGTCCAGAAGTTCTCCAGACTAGGGAAGAAAGAGTCCCCGCCGGCATCCGGGAGGCTGGAGTCGCCCTCCAATTGCGGATCAGCAAAGGTAAGGAGGCGGAAGGGCGCGATCTGTGCTTTGACGGCCGGCCGCTCCTGGCCGGGGATCATGCATCCTGCTTCGGCGGGTTTGGCGTGGTTGAAGCCGCAGTTGAGCAGGGGCGCGTAGAGGTAGAGGAGGAGGGTGGCGATTATGGAGGGCGGGAGGAGGAAGGTGCAGAGCGTGCCGAGGACGTTGGAGGCGCGCATTGCATCATTGCATGGGTTTTTGTGGCTTGGAAGGGGTGTAAGGAGAGTTGTGGTGGGTGGGATGAAGTTGGAGGTTGCGCGTAGGGCTAGAGTGGAGCGGCCGGATTACCAATGCGCTCTCCCGGGATTGACAAACCGTCATGACATGTCGGACCTGGGGGCGGCCAATGTTTCAATCTACGTAAGTGCACAGGCTGGAGCGTTACTGAAGTTGCAGAATGAGCACGAGTGTTGCCGTGTTGATACGGTGTGAGAACCAGATCCGAGACGGATCGGCCAGGACGAGACAACACGGGCACCACAGAACAGAGCTTGGAACCATCAGATGGATTTGTATATCTACAACACCCTCGCTCGCCTTGCACAGCTCCACTTCATCCGTGCGACTGTGCACACCTATCTATACTCCGGTCGAATGAAATCGGCAATCGTCTTCGGCTCGCCCAGATCGGGGTGGTGCTCTCCGTATCCTTCCGGGTGTTCATGATGGTCATGATGGCCGTCGTCTACGGGGCCGACATACTCCAACTTGTACGCTGAGCCGCACTCCGGGCAGCGCTCAACGGGACGCCCGCGGGAGATGGTGAGCCAGATGGTAACGTGGGAGTCGACGGGACAGCCGGTGCAGCCGACGTATTGCTCGTCGCCGAAGCCCTTGACCACGATCGGGTTGTCGAGGGTACCTACGCGGTTGGGTTTAGTATATCTTGCCCGGATGTGGAGTCTTGCGTGGCATCTTGCATACCCTTGCGACTGGCGTCCAATGGCCGCATGTCAAAAATATCCACGCCCTGCATCTTGCCCAAAATCTCCAACCGCTCCAGACCCGTCGCTTGCTCAATATCGGTGGGAATGGTGCCGGGCGCGGCGCCAGGAGGGAGGAGATCGGCCTCGGACGTGACCTCTGTAAGGCACAAAGTATTAGCCCATTGCTTCATCCGCCTGCGCTACCACGCGAATGGGGCAAAGCCCACGCACCTTCAAACGGCTTCATTTCCGATAGCGACTTCGCGGACTGCGGGACGTGGGCGTGGGAGTCATCTTTCACTGCTTTGGAGGTTAGTTGCGGGGCTCAATGGCGGAGGGAGGGTGTCGAGGGAGCGCAGTTGCAGACGTACGGCGGCGGGCGGAGATGGCAAAGGAGCGGCGGGAGACGGCGGGGCGGAGGAGGGCAGCAGGCCTGCTTAGAGCTGGCACGGCTCTTCGGAGGAACATGCTGGCGGGTGCGGGATGGAGAGGGTGAGAAGGAGAGGAGGAGAGAGAGGGAATGGAAGCATGAGTTGCATGCAGCTCTCCTCTTGCTCTGCGCTGCTTTGCCCCGGCCCAGCCCGAAACTCTAATCCAGTCTTGGCATCAAACCCAATGCCTCATCCTCTTGCCTTCCACCTTGCCGTCTCCCTTACAGATGATTCGAACAATAAGGCGCACAACACCCCACCGCCTCACAACTCGTCCAATCAACCGTATAATCCGTCAACGTACTCCCCACCGCCTGCGCCCCCGCAACAGCCGTATCAACATCCTGCGTCACCGTCCCGCCACTCACCCCAATAGCCCCAATAAAGTACCCATCGTCGTCGTAAATCGGCTGCCCGCCGCCAAACACCACCAACCCGCCATTCGTCTCCTCGATTCCCCACAAGTCGCCCGCGGGCTTGGAGCGGTTGTACAGCCCGTACGACGGGAAGAGGCCGTTGAAGTACGTGACCGTCTGCGCTTTCTTCATGCTGATGTCCACGCTGCCGAGGTAGGCGTTGTCCATGCGGAGGAAGGCGACGAGGCGACTCGAGGGGTCGTAGATGGCGATGTTGTTTGCTAGGCTGGGAGGGATGTGTCAGTATTGCGAATGAATGGCTGCAAGGTAGGTGGATGGGTTGGGGTTACCCATTGGCGTCAGAATATGCCACTGCAGCTTGGATCGCCTGGCCAGCTTGGGCGGCATCGATGTAATGCCTCTGAGCGGGGGTAGAGCCCCAGCCATTGGTAGCGGTACGATTGACCGCCGCAGTAGAAGCGGAGGAGAAAAGGAATATGGAGAGGTAGGAGAGCTTCATCATGTCTCGAGGTGTCTCTACTTTGAAAATTGTAATGTGGTGAACGCAATCACTCCCAAGAGCAAACACCCATCTTATATACACCAGGCACAACGCAACACCACAAGCCAAGCAAGACGCACAAACCCCCTCTCCCCCGCTCGCCTCCATCGTCATCTCGACGCTGTCATCGCATGTCGATGCCTGCCTGCCATTCAGATATACCCGAAGCCCCCTCTCCAAACTCCTCCGCTCACCCACATAGCCAAGACGGCACTTTGTCGGCGAGCAGGGCATGACAGGTACACTTCTGCGGGTGGAAGTGGAGTGAGGGCAGGGAGAAAAGAGGTCAAAGAAGGCGAGCAGGGAGCTCTCCGAGCTTGGGGTTGGGACGCCTCTGGTTCAAAAGTCCCGTATGCACCTGCACAGCGCGGGGAAGAGAGGAACGGCCAAGCGCAACGTCACTCACAGCCGCGTGCGCATCTCTTGGAAGGACGGTGTACAGGGTGATGCCAGAAATACAACCGATCCTTGAAAGAAGTGGGAGAATTGACTTCAGATACCGTAATCACATCGATTCCGCTTCTTATAAACAAAAGCCGCCTCGGATCCATCGCCGTCCTTAAATCAAGGCCAGCGGCACAGTGGTATCATCCCTCATTCCCAGTCCCAGAACTCCCCTATTCACCCCCATTTGCTCACTCGCAAAAGTTCAAAGTCATCATCAAGAAAAGAACAAGCTAATGCCCATTGCCCTGCACCGTCGTAAAGTGCCCCATCTGACTCAAAGGCCAGGGCGGAGGCGCGCCAGCAATCTGCAATCCGCCGACCAAATCCCCCACCCCGACGCCGTTGGTGTGCGGGCCGCCGCCAGCAGAGACGACGTCCACGGGATGAAGGGACTTCGCATCGCCGCCCATGCCCATGAGCGGATTGCCGGGCCCGGCGTGCATGAAGTCCGAGGGCGCGGGGCCCATGCCGCCCATGTTGGTCATCATGCTGTCGGCGAAGGTGCGCCATGCTGCGGGGCCGGAGTTGAGCATGTCGAGGGGTTGGTGGGGGTCGGGGTGGTGGTAGGTGTTTTGGTGTTGGGGCGGTGGGGGAGGAGTAGAGTAGAGGTAGGCTTGTTGGGGGGTTTGGAGGGGGTAGGGGGTCCCGTTTGGGCCTGCGGGGTGGTGGTGAGGTTGTTGGAGAGCTGTTTGCTGCTGGGGCATCAGCGGTTGGGCGTGGTTTAGCTGGGTGTCGACGTTGGCTTTGGTGTCGAAGACGGAGGTGTTGAACTGCGTGAGAGTGTTGGGGTGGTATTGCGCTAGGGGCTGTGCTTGGGTATCCGGGTAGACGGAGGGTGCAGGTGGGTAGGATTGCTGCGCTTGTTCGGCTGAGGAATGACTTCCGGAGAACGATGAGCGTGCCACATGTGGCATCCCCAGTCCATGGTTGGGATGGTGGTGTCCATTGGTCTGAGCACCTGTACCCGCAAAGTCGGAGGCGGACGATCCGTCGGTAGGAGTGTTCGGTAGACTCGCCGAGGCCAAGGCGCCAGCCGTGTTCTCTGCCGGAAGACGGCGAGCGACGATGCCGAGAGCACGGTCTACAATCAGTCTGACCGCCTCTCGAAGTCGTGATCCAGCACCTGTGAACTCTTGTTAGCTACGCTCTGGGCATAAACGAACATATCCCACGAACCTAAGAGACTGCCCGCCTCGCCCATCACATCGAGCCAGCTGTCCATATCCCGTCTCAATTGGTGGAGATCCCGCGAGCTGATTTGCTCCGACCTCTGCGTATGCACAAACAAGGTGGTGAAGATGGCCGCGAGGAAATCCGTAGTTTGCATCCACGTCGTGTCCAAGGCGTTGAGGTTCTTGAGCTGCATAGCAAGAGCAAGAGTCTTACCACATGCATCAAGGCAGACATCGGCGTTGTTGGCCAATAGCTGAGGAGAGATCGTCCGACAGAGCGATGGATGGTGCAAGACCAGTCGAATGAATTGCACCGTCAGCTCGAGGTAGAGGGCTGGGGTGATGTCCTCGTTGACCGTGTCCGGCCCACATGACAGTTCCGCGGGTAAGTCATCCTTCCATCGTTTGAGTTGCTTCTCGATACTGGCCACGGTGGCATCGTACGGCTCCGGACTTGAGCGAATGGCGTAGATGGTCGCGTACACTTGCATCAAGATCTGAAGCAGTTTGAAGCCCTGGATTGCAGCCCTGAAGGAACACTTCTGCCACGCCGACAGATGAGAATCGTACGGCATGTTGTCCGGTTGAGGCTCAGGGATCTCAATGTCAATGTCTTCGAGTCGGATAGGCATTGGTCGGCCAAGTTTGCCACCGATACCAACGTGCAAGACCAGGATTGTCCAAAAGATGCGCTTGCGCATTTCGACAGTGTGAGGGTCTTGTCCGGACGCCGAGTCCTGCCAATTGTCGGCGGATCGGTGAAGGCCGATTTCCACGCAGATTCCAAACACGGCGTTGATGAACATCCATGCGGCGCCGGGTCTGGGCTGTGCGCGGAGCTGTGCACAGATGAGGACCAATGCTTGAATATCTTGAAGAGTGTGGCCAGTGATGAGGTCGGGAATGAGACTGAGAGAGTAGTGATAGTGCTGCATGTAATCGTCATTGGACGGATCCGCTCCGTTGCGAAGCGACAGCTGGAATCGCAAGATGGCCACCACCATGTGCAGCATCACCGTCTCGGCGGGATTTGGTTGATACTGTGCGTGAAAGATGTCGGAGATCAATTTCAGGAATTCCGGACGGTGGAGCACGGGAACGAAGATTTGAATGCTCTTGAAGTACCAATCGGCGTAGAAGGTGAGCTCTTCGAAAGAGGGCAGCGGCGGGGCGTTGACCGGCTTCGACTTGCCCAGGGCATGGGCGAGGAATGTTCGATAGGAGAGCGGGGAGGCCATGGAGTCGGATTCGGGTGGGAGAAACTCGGCAACGTCGATCTTCATGCCGAAGAGAGCGAGACAGGTGCCTTCAATGGGACTGAGCCAGCCATTGCCGGACGATACGCCCAGATAATTGTCGCCGATGCAGCCCGGGCGGAAGTCAGGCAGGAGAGAGGCCTGCGAGGTCTTGCGATCGGCGGCGCGGGCAGCGAAGGTGGAGGTGGTGTTGAAACTGCCGTCTCCGCTGGTGTCCGCCCAGGAGTCCTGCGACGCATTGTGCTCAAGGTATGCCGATGATGCAGAGATGTGCAGCTGTGCCCCATTAGGCGCGGCTTTCGGTTCGACGCCCTGCTCTCTTAATTGCTGCTGCAATGCCCGCAAGTGTCTCTTCAGCGACGTGTTCTCGCTCTCGAGGGTTTCGGTGTGGCCACGAGCGGTGGCGCGGCCGGTGATGCGATCGGTGGTTTTGCATTCGGAGTTGTTCACCAGGCAGGGAGAGCAGCCGCCGAGACGGGCGTCGCAGCGAATCTTTCGAAGCTGTGATGGAGGGTGGTGGTCAGTCTTCGCAGCCTTGTGTGACGGCGGGTAGCGGCTTGCTGCATACTTTACATCGGTCGCACGCCTGGCCGGTGCGGGTGAAGGCGCCGTCCTTCTTCTTGACACCTGCCATGTCGCCATGAGTGAGCGGTGCGGTCAACGCGAGGGAGGCGTGGCGGTGGTGGTGGTGGCTGCCATGCTCAGCTGCTGTCCACGTGCACTTACCTGCCGGCGAGCTCGCGAGGGCCGCGCGCTTGCTGTTCGGAGGCATTTTCCGAGGGCTGCAGTCGTCAGCGGGCAAGCGCCGCGGGGCAGGATGAAGGGGCAAGACAAGATCTTCCGCCGTGTAGCCTTGAGTGAGGAGGCATGGTGAGTGTTGTTGCGGCAGTAAAGGGAGAGAGAGTGTGAGGTGTGGAAAGAGCAATGGGCGAGAACGCGATCCACCTGCGTGTGCTAGAGAACCTAAGGAAGGCACGACGGTGCCTAGGCACACGCACGCAACACAGCCCGCCGGCGGGTCGAGTGAACCGCAGCTGCCGCCAGATCCCTCTTCCCATCCACCTTCCCAATCCGGCAATTCATCATCACCCCCAAGATTCTAGACCGCCGACTCTTGCCGAGACTTTTTCTTAGCGGCATGCTTTCTTGCTCAGTAATCACTCAACCCACTGCCTGCACTGCCCACACCAAAAGACTGCAGCACGTCCACACCTCACTCCAATCTTATTAGGCCGATGCAAGGCTCTGCACTCTAGCACCGGTCCGACTCCAGTCGCAAAACACCGGGCCAAATCAACGCCAATGGAAGTCATCACCCTTCCCCATCTGGAGCAGCACCCTTTGAGCGTGTGTCTCTTCCGCAACGTGCAAAATGCCGCCTTCCTTCGCCAGCAACTACTCCAAGCCAATCATGACTTCGAGTATGCCTTCTTAGACGCCAGCGTGCTCCTGTCGCGCACCCACGTCTTGGCCGCGTGCTTTCGCGCCATCACCGACGTGCTCCATGCCCGCCTGAAGAGCCACAATGTCCATTCGGAAATCGTGTTTGCCCTTTCGCCCAATAATAATGTACGCTACCTTGCCATTCAGCGATCAGACATATCGTCTAATTCTGAATAGATCGCCGACTCGTTCCGACGCTTCGGAATCTCAGACCAAAGCACCAATATCCTCGCCATCAAAGTAGGCGGCGATGCCTCGCAGATCGAAGCACACCTGATGCAGCACGTTCAGGGCACCCCAGTACTCTTCACAGATGCCACTCTACAAACCATGCGTGACCCCGCGCGGATCCGCAAAATCTACCGTGTCGATGTAGCCTCCAAGGAAGCAGAGGCTTTTATTCTAGGCACAATGGCACTGAAAGGCTCATGAGAATGAATGTTTCGGATCAATGTTCAATACGAGATGCACTGGATACCGCCATGCTCGGGTAAAGACGCTTGCTATGCAGAATGCCCCTGGATGATGCAACCCAACCCACCCACGCCACCTATGCAAAAACGGAAGTTTTCAAAGGCCTCCAGCTCAACGTTACACCCTCTCATCTCCAAGCCGCCTTCGACCCACTGACCCTGTTAGCACTCCCGGGCCCAATTGTACTCTGCCGCATAGGCCCTCTCATCCCAACACCACCCTGACTCGGCGTAGACGACATCACCCCGCCCTCAATCATCGACCGTCTTACCGCCACCGGCCCATTGCCCTTCATCACCGGCGCCGAGCGCGGACTCAGCACCCCGCGCGCAGCCGCATCGTCGCGCTCGCCCTTCACCATGCGCCGTGCATGCGAAGCGGAGAAGATGCTCTCGGGCGGAGACGAAGTGGCAGTCGGGGAGCGGCGACGGGTATGCGCGAGGCTTTCGCGCGAGCGGGCGGCGGTGTGACTTCCGCCGCCGACGGAGGAGGTGCGCTTGAGTTTCATCGCGTTGCGGATTTTCTGCGCGTCTTCCTTCGAGCTGGGGAAGGGTTTGTCGACGTCGGAATTGGAGGTGGTGGATGCGGCGTCGTTCTCTACGTCGGAGGCTATGGCGGGGTTGGCGGCGGAGGTGTCGGTGGGGGGTAGTGAGTGTAGGCGAGGCGCGCTATTGGCGGCCATCTCTCTCAGCGGGCTGATCTCGTCTTCATCGCTCGACATGGCGCCGAGGGTGAGGGTGGGAGGCGGAGGCATAGATGGAGAGCCACTGTCGTTCTTCTTGGCGAGGAATCCAGCAGCAAAGCGACCAGTGCCCGCGGCCTTGCGAATTTCGCTGGAGACAGGCCCAAGTGGTAACGGACTAGAGTCTTCGTCAGGCTCTACTCCGCTCGATAGCACCGGCACGTCAGGCAGATCCGGAGTTCCTGAGCGGTCTTCCGGGGTGCTGTCAAAGGCCTTCGGCGTAGGCTGGAATTCCACCAGCGTCCCATCATCAATATCATCTCTCCACCTCACCCCTCGTTTCTTCGGCGACTTCTTCTTCGGCGTCCCCGAGAAAGTGATTCCCCTCCGCGCCCCTCCAATCTTGATCCTGCGCTGCGGTGAACCCAAAGACTTCTGCGGACTCATAGAGCCACTCGGACTCGCGTGCTGCACGGCCGCGGCCACATGCGGAGGCACAGCGGAGATGGGCGCGTTGAAAGCCGGCATCAGCTTCTGCTTCAGCGGGCTCGGTCCCAGCAGCTGCACCTGCTTGCGCTTCTTCGGCGTGCCGCTCTTGGAGGGCGGCACCGCTTCGATGATCTGCAGGCCGCCGTCGGGCTTGATGACTTGGCCGGCTGCTTCGGTGCAGCTGGTTAGTAGCTTGCCCAGGACGCCTCGCGCGGCGTGCATCGCGTCTTCCTCGCTCGTTTGGAGGATTTGATTGAGGATGGCGATTGTCTCGAAGTGTGCCGATAGCATGACCTGCATCAAAGCCGCCTCGCCTCCCTTTTCTTGCTCGAGCACGGAAGTGTGCACTTCAATGTCCGCGCGCGACTTCAGGAGCTCCACTTCTTTGCGCAGCGATGTCTCGTCCACACTGTCGGTCACCGCACCGTCCAGATTCTGAAGCTGTCGTAGCCCATCCTGCAGCGCAGTATCGATCGCGCGTGTCCAGTTGCTCTTCGCAAGGCGCTGATGGTAATGCTGCCGACTCCCCTCCAACTCCACCAAGATACCTTGAGCAGTCTTGCGCATGGAGGCCAGAGACGTCGGCGGCTCTTCCTCTTCCCTCGCTTCACACACCTGATCAAAAGCGCCGATCCAGCCGCTGATGGCAGCAATGCGCTTCTCAATCTGCCGCAGCTTCTTCATGTGGTTCACGCGATCCTTGCGCTCATTCGACGAATGTTCGTACGCCGCGCGCACTCGCTGGATTCCTTCGCGCGTCACTTCTGCTCGCTTGGCCTCGCACTTGCGGAACTTGGCGAAGGCCATTTCTTCATACTGCTTTTGTTGGGCCGTCAATTCGTTGATGCGGTTCATCTGCTCGTCGATCTTCTTGAGGTAGTCTTTGACGTGGCGGTCCACGTTGTACACGTTGCGCACGCTCTTTGTCTGGATGTTCTTCGCTCGATTTGCGTAGCGCAGCGTGTTTTGCGTTTCGTCAAAGTGCGCGCTGCTGGGGGAGACGCAGACGATCATGACGGTGCGGCAGTTTCCTCCCAAGCTGAATTTTAGCAGTCGGGTGAGTTTGGAGTTGCGGTATGGGACGTGGTTCTTCTTACGGGGGTCGCAGAGTGCATTGATGCAGGAGCCGAGCGCGAGGAGGGATTTGTTGATGTTGGCTCCTTCCAGCAAGCGCTCACCGCGGTTTTTGGTAGCAGAAGCGCGCTCCGATCCAGCCAGGTCGATAATTGAAAGTGTGGCCATGGTCACGGGCTCGGTGGTGGAGGTGTCGCGATCTTTGAGGCTGACATTGATTTGCAGCACGGCGTGAGAGCGCGAGGAAGTCGCATTCGCTTCCGTGGGAGACTGTGTGCGCGCCGCATTCCCCCGAACAACCAACTCCATGACCTCTTGGACTGTCTGCGGCTTGTGTGATGACAACCCGGCGACCGACACGACGTGTTGCGCATCTTCTCGAAGCATCAGTCCCTGCTTTCCGCCAGCAGAAGGACCCAGCAGGTCGCGGATCATTTCGTTGTAAATCTCCAGGTATGAGAGTGTGATTTCGCTCTCCTTCTCCGACTTCAAATCTTCCACCTTTTCAAACAGCTCTTGCATGGTCATGAAGATGATCCCAGGTTGCTGCACCGTGCCACTGATGGTGTGTGTTTTCCCGCAGCCCGTGGCACCGTAGGCGAACACCGTGGCATTGTAGCCGTCGAGAACTGAGTCGAGGAGATTTTTCGTCGTGGCTTCGTATACGTCTTGCTGAGTGGTGTTGTCATCGAAGACCCGATCGAAGGCGAATGTTTGGTCCTTGGTGCGCTTCCCTTGCGGCATGACCGCGCGACTGAAGCGCTGCACGGGTGTGTCTTCGGGGGGGTCAAACACTCTGTATCCTTCTAGTCAGAGACTTTCCACCGTATTGTATACTTGTGCAGCACTCACAGGCATTTCTCATCCACCACCTTGATCACGCTTCTCAAGCCCTTCTTCCCAAACTTCGGCGCAGACGGCACGGCTGCCAACGAGCCATCGCCGAGGAAGAGAGGGCCATCTTCTGGTTTGGTAATCTGCGCAGCTTCTTGAATGGTGAAAGGGCGCACTCGAACGGTGACATTGATGCTGGAAGCGCCGTCCAAGCTAGCGATGGCCATGATGGTGACTGAGCCGCTTCAGCCCTTCATGCGTGGTCGTGGAGAGGGGGTGGAAGGGCTGCAACCGGCCCCGGGAGGTGTTTGTGAGTTATCCTCTAGCGATGTGCACTGCTGTGAGCGTGTGGAATGTCCGGTCTGTCGAATGGAGGCCTGTCACATTAACCTTCGTTAGACCAGCACGGCTTGGAGGTGCTGTCATTGGCATGTGGACGCGCCAAGCCTAACACGCGTGCCGGCCCGGTCGCGCATGGCAACGCGAGCCCTTCGCCAAACTCTATTTCCACCCAGCACACATTTGGACTGCACCTCTTATACGCTGCCTACCGCAACCATACGACTCCCAAGTGCTCATACTCTGCGGTCGATGCCAATGGCTCTATAACTAGATCGGGGACGTGAGTCGGTTTGTTTTCCGATATTTCCAGAGCCCGTCGCTCATCTTGCCGCGTTGAATACACGGTGGACCGCTCGATGGAGATATGACGTAGACTCCTTCTATATCCTTCTCCATGAACAATTACATAACCCTGCACTTCGAAGGCGCAATTCGAAGGCGTATTGCAACCATCAAATATATTTCTAAGGCTGTCAGAAGCACTGTTCCAAACTTCACCAGTACTTGTTCCTTGATTTCGTTGCTGCATCTCTATCACAATGAAAGAAGCCATCGTAGAAGCGGGCCCCAAGGTCCACATCATCGACTCGCCCACCCCCAAGCCTGGCCGGGGTCAAGTTGTCATCAAAGTCATCTTTAGCGGGAGTAACCCCAAAGACTGGAAGGTCCCAGGTGCGATATCCTCTAACACCCCTAACTGCCTTGTTGTTTTGCTGACTAGGTATCCCTCTAGAATGGGTCGGGGGCGAACCTATCAACCAAGGCGATGATATTTCAGGCATCGTTCACGAAGTCGGCGAAGGTGTGAGTGAGTTCAAACCCGGGGACAGAGTGGCCGCATTCCACGAAATGCGCACACCGCATGGTAGTTGGGCCGAGTATGCTCTCAGCTGGGCTCACACCACCTTTCGCCTGCCACCGAAGGTTTCTTTCGAAGGTATAGAGGGCCAAGGTACCTCCGCATACGATTGTATATCACTGACTCCTCCACAGAGGGCGCCGCACTCCCCCTCGCAGCAATGACAGCAGCCCAGGGCCTCTTCGCCAAACTCCGCCTCCCGGAACCCTGGCTGCCTGCTACTCGCCCCATTCCGCTAGTCATCTATGGCGCCAGTTCCGCCGTAGGCTACTACGCGCTGCAACTCGCTCTGAAAGCCAACATCCACCCACTCATCTGCGTCGCCGGCCGCGCCCAATCCCACGTGGAATCCCTAATCGACAGATCCAAAGGCGACACCATCGTCGACTACCGCAACGGGAACGAAGCCGTCGTCAAGGGACTACGAGACGCACTTAAAGGCCAGAAATTGGAGTACGCGTACGACGCGGTGTCGGAGAAGAACTCGTACCAGAACATCGGCGAAGTGCTCGACCACCATTCCGGCCATATCACGTTTGTCCTTCCGGGCGGCGAGTACAAGGAGATCCCGGATACGATTGACAAGACGATTACGCGGGTGGGCGACGCGCATGGCACGCCGGACGACTTGAAGGATTTCTCGAGTGTGTATTTCAGGTATTTCAGCAAGGGCTTGGAGGAGGGGTGGTTCAAGGCGCAGCCGCAGGAGGTTGTACCGGGTGGACTGGAAGGGGTGCAGAAGGCTCTGGAAGGGTTGAAGGAGGGTAAGGCGAGCGCTGTCAAGTACATCTTCAAGATCGCCGACACTCCTGGGGCGGGGAAGTAGACGGACGATTGACTACACTGTAGTATATACAACGGCTGGCCAGGCCAAGCTGGACCAAAACCACGTCCAACGCTCCTCTCTCTACCTCTACAACAGCAGCGCACCCGCCGCAAGCACAGGCATAACAGCAGCGAAAGCCGCCGTGGGCAACGCAGCAGCGCCACCATGGCTAGAAGTCGTCGACGTCCCCGTCGCAGCCACAATCGCACTCGTTGGCGTGCTCGGCGCCGACTTCGCCCCGGGAGAAGCAAGAATATACCCGACGCCAGGCTTGGAAGACAGCTGGCCCGTGGAGCCACTGACGCACGGCGCGCCATTCCAGTACGAATTGTACGCCGCCTTCCACACGAGCGCCTGGTTCTCAATCTGCGCGGCGGTGTAGAAGAGGCGGCAGTTGGCCGCTTCGTAGACGAATTGCAGCGGCGTCAGCGTCTCGTCGCCCTTGCGGATATTGTTGCGGAAGTTGACGTGCGCGTTCGCGCCTTCGGAGCTCTGCGTCGCGCGCGTCACGGCTTGCACGATGCCTGCGATCGCTTGGCCCCATTGCTGGTCCCATGCCACCTGCTGGCTGGCGGACGAGAGGTTGTACGCGAGTTGGAAGTCTTGCAGCAGGAGGTCGAAGCCGTATTCGTTTGCCCCCTTTGTGCCGCCCACGCCCTGCATGGGGCCCGTTTGTGCACGCCCGCCGAACACCACTTGGCCCACGTTGCCTTGCTCTTTCATGAACTCCGTGAAGATGGCGCAGGTCGAGGCGCACAGGCCGTCTTGGATGATGACGATGTTGTCCGAGGCGAAGGTCTGTCTGGGCACGATGCCGGCCAGGGCGCCGTAGCCGGCGACGCCCTGCGGGGTGGTATAGGGATCGCTGAGATTGTAGCGCACGAGGTTCGTAAAAGTGTCGTCGTGAGCGCTGACCGGGCCGTAGAACTCGCCCCAGCTGTTGTATTGCTGCAACGCCGGGTTGTCTTCGGTCCTGGCGTTGAAGGGCGACGCAAAGCCATCGTCATAGCCTGCCTTGCCGGCATTCGCGGGAGTAGTGTTGGCGAATGCGCTGGTCATCGTTTTCCCGACTTGCTGGAATAGCGTCCAGGCTCGGAAGTTTGAAGTGCCCCAAGGGGTGATACTACGAGGCGGTCAATGGCGGTCAGTATATGCTTCGCATGGCATGACTCACGAAGGAAATAGCTGCTTGAAGAAGTCATAAGCGCAGAGCACGTCACCGCCTCCGTTGCCACGAAGGTCAATGGCCAGCTTCGTCTTGCCCAATTTGTTCGAGGTTGCGAGACATTCGCGAATGACATCGGAGAAGTCCGCGTCGTTCTTCGGGCCAAAGTTGGGGACGGCAAGGACGGCGAGATCCGATTGATCTTCAGGGAAGTAGCATTGAATGCTCAGGTCCTCGGCAACTACCCATGGTTGGGGATATCTTGGAAGGCCGGAAAACGTGGTCTGGCTCGGGACAGGGGCATAAGGAACCTGAGTAGACTGGAGTGGAATCAAGGGCGATCCTGGCTCTGTGGCAAAAGACGAGGCGGTAGGTCGTCCCAAAGAAGGCGACCCTGAAGAAGGTGATCCCGAAGATAGCGTCCTTGAAGAGGGTGATCCGGAAGATTGCGATCCTGAAGAGGGTGTTCCCGTAGATTGCGACCCCGAAGAGGGTGTTCCCCAAGGTGTTGCCACAGCGCGTCTGCGATTTCTGGCAGTCGATGTGGAGGATGGTGATGCTGTCGACGATGCAGCGGTGGATGAGGACGACGATTGACCGAGCAGAGGGAGGTTTCCAGTACAGAACTTCTCAAAGAAACTCGCACCGTCCTTGACACCAGAGAAATCAATTGAGCCAGTGTCAGCGTAGGTGATCACGGGTCTGGTCGAGCCTAGAGCGAGAACAGAGTCAGCGCATGTGCTGCATGAACGAACAGCTGGTAAGGATGGGTCAAGAAACGCACCGTTCGCGAAGGTCAAAGTGGTGTTCGTGCCAAAGTAGGGGACATATGTGTTCGTAAAGACCGATGGCGCGCCCGCTCCAGTCGACAGAGTCGGAATGTTGGGGAACATGTTGTTGTACGCAGCATCCGGATCCTCGTTTTGAGTGGTCTCGTTGGCCAGGGTGTTGAGGAACACTTCCACGTCCTGCCCATTAATTTGAGTGATGGCGGAAGGGGTATAGTCTGCTTGGGTGAGTCCAGCCAGCACCTCCATATCTGGCGAGGCGTAGATCTTAGGTACAGACACGCCGTCGGTGGAGACGGAGTAGATTGGCATATCGCGAACCCACTCAAAGATCGAGACGATATCGGGGTAGAAGATGAAGTGTTCGTCGTGAGCGCTGTTGAAGAGGTTGTAGATGTCGCGCTGAACGTCGAACTCATTCGTATACCCATTGCTGATCAGCTTGGATTTCAGGTTCTGTAGCTCGGCGAGGATATCAACGGCGGGATACATGTAACCCGGTGGAGGGTTCTTGAGATATGCCAACGTCGATTGGAAGTTGGCGAAGGCCAAGATGCCGTCCAACTGCAACGCGTCGCCCTTCACATCAACGGGCACGGATTGCAGGCATTGCAACGCAACGTCCGCGTCGAGGTAGCCACCGCTCTTCTGGACGGCGCTGGCGGCTTGCGCGCAGGGCTCCTGGGCGGCGGCGACCCCGAGCAGCGTCGCATGAGCGATTGAAAGACGCATGATGAATGGTGAAAAGAAGAATCGACGCACACCACGGTCGTGTATGCGAGTGCAATGCACGAAGAATTTATGAGATTGGTTCGATCCGTTTTCCAGCCTGGGGTCTCCCGCCGACTTTATACCATTGATCGACGCGCAAGAAATCAGGCACCCCGTGTATGATCGTCACCAACTACTACACGTGTGGCCTGTGCGTAAAACCCTGTAACATCACGATGTTGAAACCGTCAGTGGCATCGAATCACCACCGTTGACAGCGGCCGTCGGCTTTTGGCGGCCACTGTCTCAGGGCTGTAGCCGTGTACCGCATTTGGTAGGTGTTGCCAAAAAAGGAAAGCCCTCCCAAATCCAGCCACGACGATCTTTCAGCTTGCGGGTGATCTTCACGTAGGTGGAGAGAATCTTCACGGCCACGCACCCGCGAAGTGCCATCGTGTGCATTCCGTAGCATGGAATGAGCTCTTGCTTCGCGAAGAGCACGCAGCATTTCCGCCCGGGAGTACTATAGCATGATTGCAGAGAGACCCGGGGGATTTTGTGATTTGTGGCGCACTGCTAGTTTCAGCGCCACTCGTCGTGGTTGGTTGCCTTACTCCAGCGTGTACCTGCATAAGATTCGGAGGACTTCAGGCGTGCCTCCGAGGGTATACTTGCACTGTATTTTAGCGCAAAGAGCGTGATTGTACTAATACCTTGCCGCGGAAACGACGCCACTCTTGGCCCCAAGACCAGATTGTCGGGCGCCCAGCGTGATAAGCTGGGTTCGATTGCCGATCTGCGAGGGCGGAGTAGGCAAGCGTATCGATGGAGAGCGAATGTACCGGGCGCCGGTAATGGGGACCAATCAAGCAGCAGCGCGCGGACGATACGGTAGATCAAGCATGAAGCGTCTCAAACTAGCACCCATGAAAACATACTGTAGAAGAGCTTCGAATCCTTCCTTCCCATGTGAACGCATGAGAATGCAAATGCATGGATCAACTGCCCCGCGCACGTTAGACCAAATATAGATTGGCAATGGGCACGCCCATGCTCTCAAACCAGTACCGCCTCCGCACAGCCAGTCCCGCGCGCTGCAACTTCCCAGGGCCTGCCTTTTGCATGAATCTCCCGCTCGCGTCAAAGCTCCCCACTCCAGTCGCAAGCCTCCTCAGCGCCTGCACGGTCTCGTCACTGCCATCGACCATGCACATGGCGAGCAGATGTCTGCGCTCGAGGCTGCTCGGCGTCCGCTGCACGACGTCGAGCAGCGGCCGAATGAGATTCTCTGGTATGGTGTCTGTGGAGTAAGAGACGACGATGACGAGTTGCAGACTGCCCGCTTCAGGGGTGAAGGAGGGGATATTGGCCAGCTTGTCGCTGAAGCTGCATCCGCCTCGTTTGATCACCAGAACCGTGTGGCTTTTGGCGATGGAGGCGGGAAGGGTGCGCTCGCAGAGGGTGTCGTCCAAGAAGAACACGCTTTGGAACGGGAGGTTGCCAAGCCCCAATGGCAGAGGATCGTTGTTGTCCATGGCGGTGGGCAGAGGTGCAGCGCCGATGCCCGTAGGGAGGATGGCGGCCAGAAGCTGCCTGGTAAGCACTGGCTGAGCAGACTTCTTCCGTGGCTGAGGAGGCATTGTCGCATTGCCGGAGACCATGTCGATGCCCGCCCCAGGAAGCATGTCTTGCACCATGGCTTCCATATCCTCGAACAGCAGCTCCAAAGCTTCGTCAATGTCGACATGGCCCTCCTCTACGGCTGCGTGAAGAGAATCAAGAGACGTCGGGACGTCCAAGACCAGATCCACCTTCTCCAAGTCTTTCACGCGGGTGAAATGCGGATCACTAGGGCTCACGCCTTTCACCGCATCGCCGGTCAAGAGAACGTGCTCGTCTTGCCCCAAGGCGAAATTCGCAATGCTCTGAATCCTATACTCCTGCACCGGGCCTTTCGGGCCTTCGTTCATTGCTAGACTGTCGCGGTTGGCCAAAGCCATGGGTGCACGAGGAATCTGGATCATGTTCAGGCGCAGGTTGGAGAGGCTGGTGACGATGACACCATTGAGCACTTTCTGCAGCGCGCCCGCGAGAATCTGTGGTTGGCCTTGATCCGCCGTTTTGGGGTGTGATGCACCGTCTGTGCCGTCGGCCAGAGGTGACAGGTTCGGAAAGGTGAGCGTGCTGATGATCGGCGTCGAGATGGGAGAGCTGAGCCCTTTCGCTGGAATCAAGTCTTTCGGCAGAGTCCAGGGGTAAAACGTATAGTTTGATGGGCTTCGCACATCGGCATATGAGATGGCAGGGCTCTTGGGGGAATTGTCAAGCAGTGCCGAAGCCCTCGCAGGGTTGATTGGTACCAGATGCAGCTGTGCCAGTGCGGCAGCGTGGAAGAGGTTATGCCGATTTGCCACATGGCTGACCGTCAGTGGTAGAGGAGGTAGAGGGACCGGGCACGTCGGTGCCGGATCGAGCAGTTCCACATCCTGCTCTGGCGCGCCCGCCTTTCGTGGCTCAGTCTTCCGTTTGAAGTTGCTGGGAATGAGGAGCGGATGGCCCTCGGTAGTGAACACTACCGATTCCCCACCACGCCCTTCCAGAAGAGCTCTTTGGCCAGGGCGTGCACCCTCAAACAAGAGGAACAAATACTTCGCCGTCTCTCCCAGGAAGAAGCTTTCCATGCGATCTCTCTGCTCGCCATTCACCACGTCACTCAAGTCGGCCCAACCACATCTCGCCCAACATCGCCTTCGAATATCCCTCAGTATCATCTCACCAACGTGCAGGTACCATGGATCTCGCGTCGCTTGATACAAATAATACGTGGACTCGGCAAACTCTGGGCGGCCAGCCCAATGCTTGAAATTCGGGTCGATGAAGCCATTGGCAGGTAACCCAAAAGCTGCAGGAGCATGCCATCGCTCAGGAAGGGCGGAGTAGCGCGTCCACAGTGCAGCAAAGACAAGGTGGGCTTCAATCGCTTCGTCCAGCTCACCTGCCAAGGTGAGAAGGCCAGGATAGTATGCGGACAGGTTATCAATCCAAGTGTATCGAACCGCACCGGAGAGAAGATCGACCTGGCTGTAGTAAGGATGTTTCTCGGCCAGGCCCGAACGGAGAACATGGCGTCTAATGCTCTCGTGAGCATTTTGCCATACACTCAGAAACTCGTCTGCTTCCCTATCGTCGTCCAGGGAGAGGAGAATGTGCGATTTGAAAGCGTATTCGTAAAAGCTGTCGATTCCCGCACCAATGCCAGCAAGCGGAGGTGCGGTCCATTGGCCATTTTCAGCATCGAGGCCGCCTCCCACAAGACCTATCGAGCTCCTGCGCTCCCACACGGCCCAGAATGCGTTCTTGGCAAGCGTTTCGAATCTTTCGTCACCAGTCAGCCGGCTCAGCACCGTAAATTCAAGAACCAGGCTTCCCGCACCGGCGGCACAAGTTTCGGTGATTTCGCGAGGATCGGATGACGTGCCGTCAAGACGACAGTACCCTTCCTCGGCATTTCGGTAGAATGGAATACCATGGCGGAGATTCACGCGAGGATACGGTAGACCAGTTGGAGTATCGAACGCGGGAAGCAGCCGCGTGGCCAGATCGTGAGCCAAGTCGAGGAGTTGCGACGTGTAAATGAACCCATTGGACCATTTGATTCCGGAGACACCGTTTCCAGTATCCACCCATTGCGGTTCATATCCTCGGATTGGCAGCTCGCCGGTAGCGAACAAATGCGCGGAAAGTAGGCCTCCCACTCCGCGAATGTTCGTCTCGAAAACCTGGACCTTACTGTCGAGGTCGAAGCCACATGCTCTGCTGCCACAACTTCGCTCTCCCGTGTGGCTCCCATCTCCATATAGGTCCACCAAGGCTTTTACACCCCATTGGAAGTCCTGAAGCGCATGATGGCCGTCTCTTCCATCCTCCTCTCCCGAAGCCAAGATGCACAGGGTGGTCAGGGAGTCGATGAGGGTGAGACTATAGTTGCCGAGCACATCGTTCAGACCGATGTCTGCCGGATTCGCTCGATTCCGCACTTGCGGTTGGCAGGAGATGGGCTTTAATTCGTCTTCCGGAAAGGCGTAGTGGAGGTAGTTGGACCACCCGTGATAGAACAAATCTCGCGTGTCTTGACGAAGAGTGGCTATCAGGTCATCTGTCATGCCATGTGCGCGTGTCGCCCAGCCGGTCAGGAAGAGGAGAAGCGTGAGTGCTGGCCATATCGAAGGACTGGTGGCCAGGGAACGGCACCGCGGGTAGGGGATCATCTGCTTTCATTGAGGTGGCGCATTGGGGAATGCGATAGCCTTGAATCATGCGCGGTTTTCGCAAAGGATGCACACTGATAATGTGGTCGCGTGTGTGGATTGAGGGTGTGGTAGTGATGGGTCAAGGAAACCTGGCCGCTTCCCCCCGGGCGATGGACGATCGACACTCCCGCGGCGAATGAATGGATTTCTTGGCATCGCCGAAGAAAAGCTTCATGTCGCCGCAATGAAGAGCTCCCCATTCTATATCCAGTGTCCGACACATTAGAACGACACCGATTCGTCCTTCCAGAGCGGATACCCAGTACGGTGTTGTACGATTGATGATGCGGGGATAGCGCGCATCATCTCTCCGTCTACACCACCGCCCACATCCAGAGCAGCGCCATGCTTTCGCGAGCAGCTCTCCGAGCCGTTCAATCCTCTACACATCTTCGCCATGCATCTCCGTTAATACCGGCTACATCTTCTCGATTACGGACGTACGCCTCTGGCTCCAAACCACCTCGTGCTCCCCCACCACCTCCTCTCGCCGCCTCAAAACCCGCCCGCAGACCCGCGCCCCCTCCTCCAAAGCCCGCGCAACAGCCGTCAAAAGGTGCGAGACAGACATCCCCAGGTACCTCATTCCCCAAAGACCAGACATGGAAGCCTCAAGATGGGATCAAGCTGGGCGGTCCGGCCGCTGCCACCGTTTCCGGCGCGGGACAACCGGTGGGTCAGGCTGTGGGTAAAGACGAAGCCGCAAGCCTGGAGCCCGATGAAGTCACATCGGACAGGGTGGTCGACAGCGGTTTGAAACAAGATGTGAAGGGAGAGAAGCCGTTGGCGCAGGAAATCAACGCGGATGGCCCGGAGCCTGGAGACATTCGACATCAGACTCACGAAGCGCAGGCGCAAGCCGAGAATATCCCTCAGCATCCGTCTGAGCCGACGGAGGCGCAGAGCCGGCCACAGCAGCCTTTGCCTGACCTGCGGCAGGGCATCCCAAGCACCTTCAATCTCGAGTTCGGACAGGGCAAGCAAGCCTCACAGCGTGCGGAAGCCGAGAGTGGTCAGAATCCGGAGCTCGATTTGACCTATGAAGCATCGGAGGGACAGCAACAGCGCGATCGCGGAGAGAGAGACTACGACAACTCTGCCTATGAAACGTCTCTGGACCGTCGACGGGCGCGACTTGCAAACTACATGTACGCCACCATCCTTGCAGCGGCCGTGGGAGGCGCTTTCTGGTTTTCCCGGCCCTTTGGTGCCGAGGAAGGACATCCCGCGTCTCTCTCGCCCGAAGAAGCATCCGGGTGGTCTCCGGGCAAAATGTACGCTCGTGTTCGTGCGCGCTGGGGAGATCAATTAGGGTATTACACGGAGCCGGCCTTCCCCAAGCTCCTCCCCGAAATGCCGGAGAACCAGCGACCGCCGTTCACTCTCGTCATCGCTCTTGAAGACCTCATGATTCACACCACCTGGGACCGGGAGCACGGCTACCGTACGGCCAAACGCCCAGGCCTCGACTACTTCATCCGCTACCTGCAACAATACTACGAGCTAGTCCTCTTCACGAACGTTCCGCTCGCAATGGCCGACCCAGTCATCCGCAAGCTCGACCCCTACCACTTGATCATGTGGTCGCTGGGCCGCGAAGCAACCAAGTACGAAGGAGGCGAGTACGTGAAAGACCTCGCGTACCTCAACCGCGACCTCAAGAAAGTCCTGATCGTCGACACCGAGAAGCGCCACGTCAAAAACCAGCCCGAAAACGCCATCGTCATTCCCAAATGGTCCGGCGATCCCAAAGACCCGCACACCAAGGACCTCGTCGCCCTCATTCCTTTCTTGGAGTACGTAGCGACGATGGGCATCGACGACGTGCGCACGGTCCTCAAGTCCTTCGAAGGCACCGCTGTACCGGAAGAGTTTGCTCGTCGGGAAGCCGAAGCGCGCAAGAAGTTCCACGCCCAATTAGAAGAGGAGCGCAAGAAGCGGCCTAAGCGCTCGCTCGGATCGCTGGGCTCGGCGTTGGGAATCAAATCGAGTCCGCAGATGGGCGGCGGTATGGTTCTCGCGGATGGCCAGAGCGTGGCGGAAGGCTTTGCGCAGGGCAAGATGCTGAGCGATCAGATTCGCGAGCAGGGGCAGCGGCAGTACGAGTATATTGAGAAGCAGATTCGCGAGCATGGAGAGCAGTGGTTGAAGGATGAGAAGGAGGAGACGGACAAGATGATGCAGTGAGTTTGCCTTCCTTGCCCTTCGCGAGGCTTGATTGGAATGCTAACATTATTGCACAGAGCCGAGATGAAGAACATGAAGAAGTCATGGTTTGGCTTCATGGGCGGCAGCGGTGGTGGCGGCGAGGCGAAGAAGGAGTAGGAGGGTCATACGTGGATTGACTCCCTTGCTGAGTTGACTTTGCTCTTCACTCTTCGCTCTTGTGTATCTATATACGGGAAAGCTCGGATGCTGGTGTGAATTTAGCGGGCTTGCAGCATTCCCGGCGTTCCACACGGGACCATGATGGACTGTATATCACTTCACCGTAGAACATATGTCGTTGTAATCAGCTTTATATCAGGTCTACGTCCAATTGCTCAGGCTGATGATGTTGACGTAGGATAGTTGGAGTTGATCCAATACCGGCTGATCGAACTCTCTGCCGACGGACAATGGCTTTGTGAGAAATCTGGATCGCCACCGTCAGTCCTTCAAGCTCCTCCGATCGCTCTCCATGCCAAGCACCATACCAGCCGCAGCCATCACATCCTCTCACAGTAACGCCTCCTCCGCTATGCCAGCACTCGGAACAATCTGGACTCGCAGCACATTATGTGACGCAGTTGGCGCAGCTGGAAAAGTCGAAGTCGGAGCGGAGATGCCCGGCGCTGGTTTGGTGAAGTCCTCATAGGAAAGCAGGAGCGGGAGATCTGCGATGACTTTGATTCTCCGGGTACTGTTGTTGGGGCGAGGAAGAGGTGCGCCGTGGGCGGTGAAGGCGAGGCTGGCGATGAGAAAGTGAAGCATCAGAATTCGGGATGCCATGGTCTTTTTAGAGGGTTGGCTGGAGTTTTCCACGTTGGGTATTTGGTGTGGCATTTGAGGTCCGTTAGTCGTGTGTTATTGACTTCGTGTGGAGAGCAGCTTCCGATGTCTGCAAGGTCTTTCAGGTGGGTAAGAGAAGTTGCCACCCGGATGAGCAAGGCGTAATGCGTAAGTGGAAGGCGTCATGTGAGTCTGATGCTTTCCGCATTATACTCAAGTAACCCCGCAAGCAGCATAGCACGATTGGTCGCTAAACCTTGGAGAAACTCTTGTGTCGATACGTGAATGTTGAATCAGACCGGCGCAACCTGCGTAAGCTGTAGATCGTCATCGATGAAGGAATTGAGTTCAGTCAAAGTGAAGCCTGCGTATTTGGGCGGTTTGGCAACCGTGCTCGGAGCGCGAAGTGGCGGAGGCGGCATCAGTATTCGATCTTGCTGGGACTTTGTCTTCTCTTGAGGTGTTGTGGCTGATGCTTCCAGGTCGTCGATGGTGAAGTCAAAATCGTCCGCTTCGCAGCTGGAGATCAATGGGACCGTCGCGGGCGCTATGTTTGGGTAGCTTGTGTCCTCCGCAGCCAGCTCTCGAGCAATCTGAGTACTACTCTCTAGTTCGTCGAGAAACGACCCGAAGTCATCTTCTTCCATAGGAATATTTGGTTGTGTGGGAGATAGGACCACCTCGTTCGATCCGTCTTGTTGCGGTAGTTGGCGTGGTGCGTCGGGTACATCGGTCAGAACAACGTCCTTCATCGGCCGATCGTTGGCTCCATCCAGCATGTTCAGGAGATTCTCATCGTCCACACCGTCATCACCAAACCCATCGTCCTCTCCCACATCCACATTCTCCTTCTGCGCTTCCGCTTCCTCCGCCTCCTTGCTATTCGTCCTCTTCAAAAAAAAGCCCAAATGCATCTGACTGCTCTTATGCCCAAACCGATCAATCCGCCTCTGAGTGCCCAAAGGCGCCGCTCGCAGCTCCTCCCGCTCCTTCTTCTCCTGCTCCGCCCTCTTCTTCGCAGCCTCCGCCTTCCGCTTCTCCGCTTCTTTGATCCGATATGCCCGGCGATCGAGCTCGGCAAGGCGCTCCAGGCGTCTTTTCTCGGTGTCGGAGATGGTGGGGTGGCCGCGGGCGCGGTAGGCGGCTTTGGCTTGTTTGATTGTTTGTGCTTGGACCCGGGGTGCTTGCGCGGGCATTGTGCGTGGTGTGTCTCACATGTTGCTGCGAGGATAGGCAGGCAGAAGGCGGTGGTTGCCTAACGTAAGCAATGGACGTCGGCGGCGTGTGGGGAGACGCGTGAGATGCCGAACTTTCGCCGATGCTGGGCCGTGGGTTGGACTTCACTTCTACTGATGCCAGCATGATACGCTGGTAATGCAAACGCTGGTAATGCAACATCTACGTCGATTGCTCTCTGCACAGTGATATGTGATGCTCTTCAAGTCAAATCTTGCTTGTCGGAGACGTGGGAAAGTAAAGCTGACCAGCTACAAGGGAGCATACTTGATTGTTCTATCTTCAAGCCTTCATCGTGCCACCCCTCCTCCAATCGCACAGCATGCATGTAACCAAGTCCCTCTAAATGCTTTCACCGCACAGATATCCGTTGTTCCAAGTCTTCCAAAGGGCCTCCGGCAGTCTCATCTGCTCCCATGCGCTTTCTGCACCGTTGTGCATCACTGACTCGTCGGAGGCCGTCGGGCTCGACAGAGGACATCTTGGTCGAGAGGGAGGAGACGGCGACGTGTATGCGCTGGTGCACCGTTGAGGACGCTAAATCGGACTTGAGCAGTCAGCTGGCAATGTCTATATCGCGATCAAAGACTTCTTGCAACGACAAAATCGATCAGAAAAAGTGTTGTGGTTTCTCCGCAGCGTGGCTGTCTCTGCTTCTTAGAGAGCTAATACGTATCTTTCATCAAAGCGCCTGTTATGACAAGAACGATGCACGTACCTTTGTGACCGCTCAGCGCTGCTGTCCGCCCTTGAATTTCCGATCGGGCATTGGGTTGGGCCAAAGGGATGTGGTTCATCATCTCTCTCTTTTTGCTGCGGAATACTCAAAGGTCAGCCACTGTTCATGATACGAGTGCAAAACGAGGTATTCGAGTCAAAGTAGATGCAATCAGAAATCTTTTGTCATCATGTCATACCATCGGAGTTAAAATGATCGCGAGGTTTGATCGACATGTAGTAATATCATCATGCCAAAGGGAAGAGATAGAACGAAAAGAACGTACCTTTTGTCCAGCAGTCCTCTGAGGAGAGCCGACACTGTAGCTTCCTCGATGTATCAGTCTGAGGTGCAGCGCCCTTTTTATCTGGTATACGAGTCGATCCCTTGCAAACAACTGATTAGCATGTCAACAAGCTCATCGAGTGACGGAAAAGGACTGTTGAGATGTGCATCGATCAGAGTGCCAAAGGCAGGCATGGTTGTTCTTCAGCGCGTAGTCTTGACAGATAACGGTTGTTGTCATGAAAGAAGGAGGGGATGCAGGACCTGGCTGCACGTACCTCTGATCTGGCCCGCAATCGCAACTATCTGCAAACATATTGATCAGCATCTGTTGCGGGAGAGGAGGTTGTTACAAGACCGCGGACAAACATTGCGGAGATCAGAAGAATGATCGAAATATTCAAGCCGTCATTGAGCAAACTCGGGCATAGTTTGTTACTCATCATGAATGAAGTAAGGAGAAGGGCAAAGGACACGTACCTCTCACTTCGTCGCTCGCCGCCAACGATGCCAAAGTGATTCTTCTCAGCGTCCATTTGCTTCCAACGCAGCACGATCCCGCTGGCCGCAGGCGGCTGCAAAGATATGCGCTGCTCACTCAATGAGTGTGGAAGTGCTTGGAGCTTTCTCATCATAGAAGTCTGGCGCCGGTGGCGGCGAGGACACGGCATACTGCAGGCATGCGGCGTCAGGTGTATCTGGGTAAAAGCAACGCGTCAGCAAGTTGTTCTGCCCGCAAAGTTCAAAATCGCAACGCGAAGCAGCGACATCAGTCCTCGACATCAGTCGAGTATCCAAGTTATCTCTTCATCGAGCATTCCCCTCCAAAACAATCAAAATCATCATCTGCCTGGGTCCGGTTGGATGGGAGTCGGGAAAGGGAGGGAGGAGACTTAGTTTTGGCTTCTGGTGAGGCACAGAGTGGGTGGTACATGGGCACGCGTCGCGTAGATCTTCATGAGGGTCATCTAAGTAGATCAAAAGAGTTAGCAGAGTGTACGGACGACAATGGGTGAGTGCAACGCGAAGCAACGTTGGTGTGTCTCAGATGTGGTGTCCTTTTTGTTCCCAGTGAGCGCAATGCCCTGCGAAATCTGTTCTTGTGATTCGTCATTGATGTTGAAGTCCGGTTCGACGAAAGGGGGGAGCGGGGAGAGATGGGGAGACTTAGGTTTGGCGACTGGTGATGTGCAGAACGCGTCGTATGAGGTGAGGTTGGTTGTGGAAGCTGCAAAACGCGTCCGATGGAGTGATGTTAATTGTGGGATCTGCAACAATGTTAGCCGCTTTGTCTGCTCTTGTGGTGATGACGTGAAGATGATCTGCAATTTCATCAGATAGCAGGGGGCGTTTTCAGGTCAGGCGTGCCTCGAGGCGATCAGCGTTGAAAACTATGTGGTGTTTTCGAGTGCTTTGGGCCCATATCATCATTCGAGCGAGCAAGTTGATGAAGAGGAAAGAGGGGAGAGGGGCGAGGGAAGAGGGAATAGGGGAGACTTAGTTCTGAGGTAGACGGCGTTGTTGAAAGCATGGTGGTGGCTAAGTAAACATCAGCATGCGTTCGAAAGGTGACCTTTGCAGAGTGAAAGAGTGCAACGTCGTGTCTTGCGGTGGAGCGTGTCAACTTGAGGGCACCGCGACTCATGAGATTAAGCGGCGAGCAAGTGAGCAGCTTGATCATGCTTGCTGCGGGAGCAAGGACGCGTTGAGGCTCTCGTGGGCTTACCAGAGCTTGTGAGCTGCAGTTTGCAGTTGTGGAGGAAATTTGGACGCGCGTTTGACGGCGTATACCTGTTCAGCAGTCAGTTAAGTGTCAATCAAAACGATAGGAAGGGGCATTGTGGTGTTGTGGTAGGTGTGGCTCGTCGTTACCAACGAAGAAGGACTCTGTCGTTGGGTTGGAGTGACAGGGCAGGCTTGTTGTTGGAGAAAGAGTTGTTGGAAAAAATTTGCGACGGTGCGTGAGAATGAATCAGCTCTGCAGGAAGAAGAGAGTGGCGGGTTTGGTGTCACAGGACCTTGATGTGATGTGAGGTGACGTCGAAGGTGCAGTTCCCAAATTGGAAAGAGCACGAACTCAGCCTTTTCGACGCCAGCGAATCCGTTTCTTAGCTGCTACGATCGGTCAATGGGAACATGTACAGTTGATTAATCCATCTGTGACCCAGTATGCTCGTATGAAATCGATCTACGCGTCTATAAGACCAGCGGTGGCCCGGCCAACATCCATGAGGCTCAGCCGGTAAGCAGGAAGGAGCGATTGATTACGTTGGCTTGGTTATTATGGGGGCATTGAGGGACCTGGGAAGTTTTCCACTGGATTATCGCATCAAAAGACTAGGTATTGAGAGCGGAAGGTGATAAAGACGCGTAAACGCGGGAATGGTTTGCCAGAAGGCCTTTGCTATCTCGCGTTTGCTCTGAATTTGCAATGTGAAACCTCTGTATGCCCATTCCTCCCTGAAGTCTTTAAACTCGGTGGCCACTGTCTCCTCCGTTCCACAACGTTGCTATCTCCCCGTATCTTCAGTCGTCGTCCTCAGTAATCGATGACATTGAGAGTCAGGGGTAGTCCCAGGCGAGCTGCAGCAGCTTCGAGAGCTCTAGCAACCTTGTCGAAGTACGGTCCATGGCCGGTGGGAGCAAAAGCTGCGTGCATGCCGAGAGAGGGGAGATCACAGGGCTGGTCGGGGTCGTCGCAAGGCATGCCCATGTTGTAGACGTGGATGCATTCGTGAAGGAGGGTGCCGAGCACAGCGTCAGCTCTAGACATCGGTTCACCGTCGCGTGAGGTCGTAGCTCCATGGAGGTAGTTGATGCTGATGAGGTATCCGGTCGGATAGTGTTGTGACCAGCCCATTCGAAGGGGAGGCATCTCTGCGAACACGGCTACTGCGTTGCACTCCGCCATCCTGTCACTGAAGAAGAGCGCGTCGAAGAAGTCAAGCACGGGACGCAGAATAGGATCTTCATCGTTGTTGATGGCGTCGATGGTGGGCTTCAAGAGATTGAATCGTTCTTGGAGGTTGGGCATGTCGGATTCTTCGCTGATGAAGTCGCAGAGGATATCCATGAGCTCACTGCCACAAGGCCCTGACGAGGATGCTGACGCGGGTGCTGACGATGGTGCTGACGAAGGCTCTGACGAAGGTGCTGCCGCCATGGTGATGCAAACGTGCCGGCTGCTGAGCCAGGTGTGGTGACAGTTTGTGGGCTGCTTGTCGGTTTGTTGTCACGGCGAAAAGCTTTGCCAGCCTTGCTGCAGTGGAAATTAGACGGCGCGTGCACGTTAGTCATGCCCTCACGTGATCCCGCCCTACCTGGCGCAAAAGCAATGGCAATTGAGAGCAACCACGCGTGACGACCCGAACAACGGGCTAATGATCAGTCAATATACCTCCTGATCTCGGTCAAGCCTTTATCAATCAGCTTATGTTCATCTTCACACTCCAATGGCCTCGAGCAGGAGCTCCTTCTCTTGCCCGCGCGAGTTCACACGAAGTGATCGCTCAATCCCGCGCAAAAGGAGGTAGCGGTGCGTCTGACAAACATATACAGTATTTGAAAGGAGCAGGGGATACGTACATACATTTCAAAGAGCCTAGCAAGCGCCAGGCGCACATTAGAAAGCTGGGGAGGCAGAACTGGTGGAATCAGCTCGAGGAGATGCGTCAGATGAGCGTACACCCGCATCGACGTGGCAATGGCGATGGAGGGCGTATAATGTTCCTTGATCAATTAGCTTGAGTCTTTTCATCTGCAGGAAAACCAGTTCAGACCCCTTTCATAGGCTTTTTTGCCCGCAAAAATCACCTTCGTCTTCCAGCGAACGCGCCCACGCGAGGCTTCGGCTGTAGATCTTTCACCAAGTTCCTTCAACCAAGACTGCGGCATCAGCAACATCAGTCACCTCAGCAAAACACTCGAAGATCGGTTCCTCACCTACATTGCCGCACCTCTGTCATCGTCCACGCTCTACGCCACAACTTCTCCAACCTCTCAACCACCGACAGCCTCAAAAAGCCTACTTTCAAACAGCACAGCCAACAAACACCTCCCTGCGCTCCCTCTTCGATCCCTCAACACCTTACATCGACCACAATGGCCCATCGTATCAATCGATCACAGCCTTTTGAGAAGAATGTTGAAATCTGGAACCGCTACAAACCGCGTGGCCGCCACAACATCCCTGCCTGGCTTGCAAGCCTGCCAGACGACCCTTCTCCCGCGACGCTGTGGCAAGACTGGCCACATGCCGTTGTCCAAGAAGCTCCTTTGCCGTGGAAACGCTGGACGAGATTGTACGCCTGGCTGGTGGAATGGTTTTGGTTGTGGCTTTAGGCGGAGGAGGAGGAGGGCGTCTGGGGGCATGCGTCCCGGGGAGGGAGATGGCGGCGGAGGCACCATATGGCACGGCAATGTGTCAATTCAGTGCGAATTCAAGGGCGGAGCTGGTCTATTCGGCCGCAGAGCCTCGTTCTACAGCTCATGGCGGTGTCATGGAAGGCGGTGGACGGCTTGCATAGTCTCAAGCGAGGCAGTTCACGATGGCGACGGTGAGGGCGATTGAGCCGCTTCTGTTCAATCATGCGGCATCAACGAGAGCGACCATATCAGCCAGAAGCACCCGAGAAGCGGAGCAGAACGTACTGAGATGGACATCGGTGCACCTACAAAACATCGACGAGCATGACCGGGCTGGTAGACGAAGTAGCACGGAAAGCACTGGGCTATGATGGCTCTCCAGTGGAGTGAAGAATGAGAGCGGGCACAAAGGCTCACCGCCCCGCTGAAACAACGCAGAAGAGAGACGAGAGAGCTACATGGAGGGACGAGAAGTAAGAAAAAAGCCGGGCATCAGCTCTCCAGCAATGTATTGGGGAAGAGAGGCGGGTGTGGATGACAAGATCAACGTCGACTAAAGGCGAAGTGACTGCCAAGGCTAGTCATCAGCGCCAGCAGCCGGCATCATGTGAGCTTCTCGATGGGGACCAGGAGGATGGCAAGACAGTGAAGCCGCGGAGATGTTGGAGAGTGAATGAAGCTGCGCCGCTGCAGCGCGCTGGCCGACCACCGGGCAACATCCACGCAAGGCACCGGGACTCAATTGACAGAGCTGGTGAGCTCGTACTCGACTGTCTGGACCTCATGATGGTCGCTGTGGTGGATGAAAGGAAGCAGGAACGAAAGTGGAGGCGAAGCCAGCGGAATCCCCTTCCGCCAAGCCCGCGTTGGTGAAGGTGGCTCGTGCTTGCCCTCGTCCTCACTCTCCTCCACCCCTTCCTCCTTGCCTTCCTTCACCAATAAAAATTGCGGCAGGTGCGTGAGGTGTGCCAGAAGAGCATTGCAAATATCACTCTGCGCGGTATGTACATCGCTCGACTTGTTCTGTAGCTCTACATGGAAGCATCATGCCACGCCGCTCCGCCGCTCAAACCATGCATCACCATCAACATTCCTCGCTGCTCCCTCGAAGTCATGGAAACTACCTCCTTACAGTTTCGCTCCTTTGGGTTTGGGAGAGTACCACTCTCGAGCCCAATGTCGCCAGTCCTCCCCAACCATAGCCATCTCTCTCGGATCCAACTCGGCCTTGATCTTATCCAGCACCGAGTGCTCTTCTCTCCACCGTTGCAGCATCGGACCCAACCATCCGTGCACTGCTCTCGCGACGAGCTCAGGCTTCTCGAACGGAACGAAATGGCCCTCATTCTCCAGAACGATCTCTGCAACGGAGTTTGTCTTCACCCCTCCACTCCCGCCAGGAGCTGTCCCCGTCTGCTCGAGCTTTTCTTTTCGGCTCTTGGGCGTGGCGGATGAGAAAATCGACTTCCCACCCCAGATGTAAAGACATAGAGGCCGCATTAGGGGCAGCTGACGAGCAGTCAGCACAGCTTCCGGTCGGTAGAAGGGTGCTTTCATCTGCGCATGCTCCTCTTTGGTCAGATCGGCATGCGATGGCGCCGCTGGAGTAAAGCTTTCCAGCGGCTGGTCCGGAGCTGGATAAGCATGGCGAGCGAGTCCGTGAGCTTCGTGATGTTTGGTGCTGGCGAGGGTGACTGGCGTCGTAGCATTCTTCGAAGCTTTGGCAGTTATTTCCTTCGGAGCCTCAGGATATAGCAAAGTGGGCAAATCGCGGAATCCATACTGCTTCCACCTCTCCAATACCCGACGGTTCCAATTGCGCATCAAGATCCCCTTGCTGGTTGTTGCGTACGCTTCTTCCCTTGACTCCCATACGTCGCGGCGATTTATGATGATTACAGATCCGTAAAACTTCATATCGTGGGCTCCGTTGACGATTGGCTCAATGGGGATCACGGCGGCAAAGAGGCGAGGGTGCAACAGACTCAGTTGGATGATGTTCTGGCCGCCCATGCTATGGCCGATCCCCACGAGCGGTTGTGGCATCTGGTCACGGAAGACGTTGACCATGTGCAGCAAGTCTCTGGCGTGGTCATCCCAGCATACTACCTCAGGTCATCAGAGATCGAAGCGGCAAAGAACGAGGTCGGATCGCACCCACCGTCAACCCCGAGCTTCCCCTCGTTTAACCTCCCACTTTCTCCATGCGTTGCGAGGTCTGCAATCCAAATGGAGCGAACGGCCCAAGTGCTGCTGGGCGCTTCGGCAGCCTTGTACAACTCATCAAACAGCGGCTCGTACAGCTCTTTCGGCGTGCCAAGAGCATGACACGCAATGATAGTGACCTGTTCCCTGCCCTCGCTCCTAGCATCCACCTGGGTCAGTGGAGTATACTTCTTGATGGCGATATGCAACTGCTCTTCCTGCGAATGCGCGGTGGAGTGATGGAAGCCGCGAATATGCTGGCAGGGGGTGGTATAGGAAGTGCAGTTGAAAAACTCCGACGACATGATGTCAGGGTTTGATGTGATCTACTCAGTCTCAATGGCACAAAGCACAGTTGAAATGAGAGAGACGTGCAAGACTAATAAAAGGATGTTTGCGCGCAATAATTCGCCCGAGCTGACATGGACTGAGTAAGGCTGCATGTAATCCACAGCCTTGAAATGGCTGGCTTGCGGGGAAGCGGCTCGGCGATATGATCCGGGCCCACTCCACAAGATGTTCAGCTCCTCGCCGTGCTACTAGTCTATATTGCGTTGAGAATCGAAAACGTAATATCTCAAGGGGAAATTCGATGGTGTCAAATTAGATTCAGCAGACGCTATGCAAGAAGTCGGCCGTTCTAATTCATGGATCCCGTCCATCAAACGCCAAATATAAATGTGCATCCGATGCAAAAGCGCTGCAGAACACCGCCTCCCATCCGCCCCGAACTCCGTAAGCCAAACAGTGCCCTAAGCCATTCCAAAAACCCCCTTGAACCTCCTCCAAATCTCCGCCTGCATGGCCCTCCTCGTATCATTCGTGCGGCCAGCCGCATCCTTGTTCTCCGCCGCACGCCGCAAAAGGTAGTTGAGGCAATCATATATCGGGCCCCAAGTGCTGCACTTGAACACCCGCTCCTTGACCGCCTTATCATTGCTCAGATTCGCCTTCGCGTCGGCGATCAGACGGCACGACACCTCGTCCGCCATGCCCTGCAGCTGCGCGAAGTTCAGCGGTGTCAGCGCCTCGCCGCGATCCGCTTGTTCTTGGCGGAGGCGCTGCGCGTTCTCGACGGAGACGGCGTTGTGGGTGGCGAGAACGACGTTGAGGTCGGGGAAGGATGCGGTGGAGTCGCCTTTGATGGGCTGGAGGGTGTCGTTGTAGGCTCTGTGGATGAGGGCGGAGGCGAGGTTGTCGTAGCAGGCGTGGGTGGCTTCGATGGTGGGATGGATGAGCTCGCGCTTTTCGGTGCCCAAGTATGCGCCGCGCACCAGCTTCAAGCCGTATGTGAAGCCCTCCTCCTTTGCGATAGCCAGTTGCTCGGCAATTCGCTGTGGGGTCTGCTTTAGGTATGCTTGGTGTGTGCTGTAGACCACCGCTTTTCCGTCGATGTTGTATACTCGCTGCATACGCAGACACCAATCGTGGAAGCCCGTCAGACTCCACGTCTCCTCCGCAGCGGGAAGGAGAGCGAGGTTCTTGGCTGCTGCCGCTTTGCAAAGAGCGTGCATGGCTTCGCTCATGCGTTCCGTAGGCTCTTTGTTCGCTTTCATCAGTCTCATAGCATCGGGCCCCATGCCAGACCATTTGAGCCCAATGAAGTCGCCGGGAGAGGCCATCTTCACGGAGTCCAGCATGCCCTGTCTCCAAAACGCCACATCTTCTGGCTCGTTGCCCTCGGCATCGGCAAGGACTTCTGGCGCATATTCAAGGATGACGCCGGCGTATCCCTCTTTCCGCAGCTCCGCACATCTCTTGTCCACCTGGGCTTCCGTCTCGCCAGCGCAGAATTGTTTGTAGAATGTCTCCCATAGCAGAGCTCGCATTACCGGGTTGGAATCGAGGCGGAAGAGCGGGTTTCGGCTGTTCAGCATGCGCTGCAGTAGAGATGTGGAGGCGCCGAGTAGCGTGGGCGAGCTGGAGATGGTGGTGATGAAGTATGTTCGGAGGACTGATGAGAGTGGTAGGACAGACAAGGCGGGCATGGTTGAGTCGCCCTGGGAAGCGTTGGAGGTGTGGGCAGATGAAGATGCTGGTATGCTCTCGGCAAGCGTCGCGGGCTGCTTCTTCACCTGAGAAGTATGTATACTAGCGCGACCTCTGCGACCGCCATCCTGCACGATATACGCAAGACAAGCGGGCGTGGTGTGTTTGTTAGTGACGCTCGAGAGCGCGGCCTCGACGCGCTGCAAGGGAAACGCGGCCTTCATGGTAGCGGCTGGATAAGAATACGCAAGGAAGATGAAGGAGAAGAATGGCGATCACGCGCCAGAAGGACAAGAATATATCACGTACTCGCAAAGGACCGACATCGAGTCGCAACACCCTTCCGCCTCTAAAGCCGGCGCGGCTCATGGTATTGCGTCGTGCCCGCAGACGGGACGAGAGATGTACCTCACCCCGCCACTGAGACCTCGCCGCCGGTTAATGGCGGCCCCACCGTCATCAGGCAAAGAAACAAATCTCGATCCCCACAGCGGGAAGGCCATCCGTCCAGGGTGTCTCTTATCGCCTGGAGGCGATTTCCGCTTCGAGTGTAGCGTCGGAATGCCTTGCCAAGGGTCAGCAAAGCCGACTACACTTCCTCAATATGAGGTGAATAGAACATGTTTGCCTTGCTGTAGAGGTGCAAAAGTCTGGTGTTGCGTCTTGATGGTGTCTCATATGAGAGTTGAAGGGCTTCTTGGCCGCTTCAATGTCCGAGAGGTGGTAAATTGGCCGCTTGCGTGCGCTAACGTATCGGTAATCAGGATTTCAAGAGGCGGCTCAGCCAGCCTGATCTCAAGGGCATGTTCTGCACGAGAAAGCCCCTATATGGTGTCGTCGCGCTGCCCATCCTTTTCGGAGCGCCTGGGACTGCGTTGGATGGCCGAGCATCAGAACCGAGCTCAAGCGCAACCAAGACCCTCCGTCGTTGCTCAAATTGTGCATCTCTTCAGCAAACCACGGCGAGAACTCTCTGCCTAGCGAACAAGCGCACGGTACGAAATCTCGCAGTAGAGTAGAGAGAGTGAAGTACAGTCCGCCCGCTCTCTTGCGCTTGCTCTGAGCATATGACAGCATCAGCTGCGCTCATGATCGTCGGACGGCTTTGTCATGGCTCTTCACTTGCTCCTAATGCTCTCCTGATATGGTGTCAGGCCCCTCACGTTCCCCCCGGCCCGCTGACTCAATGAGAAGAATCACATCTGGACTCCACTTGACCACAGCCGATCGGATCAACCGCGCTTGGTGGGCAGAATGGACGGGGCCTCCACCGGTAGGGCGGAGGAGGCCCTGTTTGCGGTGAAGATGGCGGCGGAGGAGGAGGAGGCGGAGGCTGGCATTCGTATTAGTACGAGTTTGTTGAACAACGCTGGCCATGTCAATTGTCACTCACCGCGGCTCCTGGGTTGCGTAGCTGACGGACCAGCGCGACATAGTCGTGGCGTGGCATGTTTGATGGCTAGGGTGCAACTGTCAAAGTATTTCGATGCTGCTGAGGACTTCAGAAGTGGTGCGGTTGGAGACTGGAGATGCTGAATGAGGTCGAGCAGCGCTGACTGGTGAAGTAACATCTCACGCGAGGACGACGAGCACGCCGACAATACCAGCAGGGCAGGGCTACGCACGCGCAGTCTCACCGTGACAGTACAAATGAACGTAAGATTAGCTTTAATGGGAGATCCTCACGACAATCTTCTCTGCGAGCTGGTCGACACGACCAGAGCACAATGAAGAAAAAGAAAGTGGAAATGTCTGCACCCCTCTTGTGTCGCTCACTCGGTTCACTGCCTCCGAAGAGACTCTCGAGGCGGATGCAAGTGCGAGCCAGAGCTAGCAGCAATGCGTAGGAGGGAAAGGCGCAGTGGTATTTGATCCATCCTGAGTGCTTGGGCAGCCATCTAGAGAACATGGGGAGGTTCAGCAGATGTTGCTAAGGATGAAGAGAGGAAGAAGAAGTTGAGCAAAGGGCGGAAACTTATACTCGAGCTGCAATAAGGTTGCCGTTAGCGCCGCCAAGGCCTGGGTGAATCACCTGCACGTGAGCACTGGCTTGTTTCGTCATTGGTACGACGCGGTTATGACGCTGCTGGAGTTGCTCTGGGCAAGAGGCGACAAACTGGGATGCTGCTGAGGCTACATTGCGTGCTGGTGATGGTTCAGAGTGATCTGAAGAAGAACATTGGGGTTCCATGATCGATCTTTCCTTAGCCGGCCTCTCGCAAACTCGCGTTGCAGCGGTGTGCTGTATGGACGGAGATGGAGTGCGGGTTTCAAGCACTCACTGGACGTTCAGACTTGGATAATGGCTCAAATGCATGCTAGAAGACGGTTGGTATTGTTCAAGTGATGAGACGCGCTCAGGCAACCTTCACAGCCTTGCGAGCAAGTTCAAAACACGAATTCGACGGACGACCAGACTTGAACGCGCGACTTCACAGCCATGACGCTTCCTTCATTGCGCGTGCATTAGCGGCAGCACAAACCAAACAGCGGGTCGGGGAGCAAACTCCCTCCCCTCGTATCCGACTTCTCCACGCGTCATAAAGAGCGAGCAAAAAGAACCATTGTCGGCGCGATCCCAGAAGCTCTCAGACTACAAACCTCAGTGCAGAATGTCAGCGGGAAACTTGGTGCGAAGTGCTTGTCGATCTCGGGCAATCTGTAACGTGAAGACTATGGGAACGGACGTCCTACATTATTCTTTGAACCCTCGTTTCGAGGGACGCAAAAGATCAATATAAAGCCACCGGCACTTGAATCACGTGAGACCGAAGCGTAGCCGGCTTGCACGAGCTCAACGCGTTCTGCCGGTCGAGAGCAAACTGCAACGCTCGAACAAAAGAAGAGCAGCAGATGGCAAAAAGAAATGTTGGGACTCTGTGGTGATATCTACAAGGGGAGCCCCGATGCGGTATCGGGACTTGAAGTAACTTGGAGCGAGCCCAATCCCTCCCTCGCCTTTCGGCTACTAAAGAGAATCGATCTGAGCCCAGGTAGCTTATTGAAGTGTGGGCGCCATGTGGAACGTACACGCGCACCCCTCAAAGCTGTGGCCAAATTAGGAAGCTGTGGGATTCGTATATATAACCCCCATCCGTCTTCTGGGAGCACGGCCGATGTATTGCCGTCCTGCGCAACTGTGGTCACGCGTCGGGCGACATTTGATGACGTGGAAGACGTATTTGGTGTTTCCGATGGATTGGAGCAGTTTGTTCCCACCCTTTGTCACCGAAACGAAAGAAGTCCTACAGATGAGAAGCACTTCCACATGTTTGTTTCGAGCTCCTTCCTCCCAAAAGGCTTGCTAACGAGTTTAGGAGCAGTAGAGAAGCCTTCTATCGTTCACGATGCCACCATCCGCGCGGCAGACTCCCTCCCCTACAACGCTGCAGCAAGTTCACAGCCCCGCGACGGAGCAAGCAACCACTTTCAGCCGCTCGCGTCAACGACAGCAGCATTGTCCATCAATTCGCCCGCCAAACCGTCGAGAAAATCAGCACAAGCAAGAGCAATGAGCAAGGGCAATCAGCAATAGCAAAGAACAAAGCCGACTTCCCTCTTCGATGATCCTCCATCACCTTTCCTTCCAGCACCCTGATGCTCTCTCGCGCGCTTACACGTAGCTCACCAGACACCGCGTCGTCAAGGAGCGTTATGGTTGCTACGAGCGAGCATAGCGATTGGGAGAAGAATGGCGACGCCCTCTGGAGACAACAAAGGCAGCAGTTGGGCTGCTGGACGCGCAAGCATCCTCTATACGTCCCTCTGCAGTGTCTACTGTATCTCACACCTGTTTGCCAAACAACGGTCATCACCCACCCCTACTCCACCACCCAAAACTCGAGGACGGCGCACACCACCTCCTCCGCGCGCACAACCGCTCCAACCCGACGCAATCTGCTTCGACGCGTGCACGCCCTTCCCCCGACTTCAATCTCACGCAGCCTTCCATTCAAAATGCCAGCGTCCAGTCACCGGCTCACCCTGCGGATCCTCCCCCTTCTTATCGTACATATGCTTGCCAAAGTAATCCAGCTCCGCCTCGTAGAAGCTGGTCGGCAAATTCGTACTCGTCTGATACTTCAAGTACTCCAGCGTGGCGCTCAGACTGGGGACGACGTGGTCGCTTTCCGTCGCTCGGAGGACGACGTTCTTGAGAGCGGGAAAGCACTCCTTGAACTCCGCTGCGACGGAGGGTTGGAGCATGGGGTTGATGTACGCGGGCGCGTTGGAGGTGTAGATCGGTGCGAGAAGTTCGTCGTTGATGTGGTCGGATTGGATGATGCAGCCTGCGCGCCAGAGCTGGAAGAGCGAGGGGTAGTTGATGTTGAAGTGGTGGGTCTTGTCGGCTTTGGCGATGATGTTGAGGCCTTGAGTGTAGGATGCGAGACAGGCGCTGTAGACGGCGCATCTTAGGTCTTCCAGGAAAGCTCTGCGGTCGGTGGGAGAGATGGACTTGGGGGTGAACTCGGATTCGAAGGTCTTGCGGATGTCGCGGCGTTGGTGGAGGTCTCCGGAGGCGATGCGGAGGAAGTGCGCGGTAGTCAGCGTGGGCGCTGGGACGTGCTTGTCGATGGCTTCGATGTTGCTCCACACGCCGGTGCCTTCCTCGCCCGTCCAGTCTTGAACTACTTTGTCTTCCACCGTGTCAAGAACGTGCTGTCCAGTCTTTTCGTCAACCTTCCGGCAGATTTCCGCGCCGATCTTGACTAGAAACGTATTCTTCAATTCGCCGTTCTGATTCCACCTTTGCAGCTCGTCGCCAACTTCGTCCAGACTCATCCCTAAACCCTTCGTCATGATCGCCCACGCCTCGCTGATGGCTGACATCATGCCATGCTCGATGCCGTTGTGAATCATCTTGCAGTAATGGCCGGCGCCGCCAGTCCCAACAGGAGCAACGCAAGGCGACCCATCCGGCGCCTTTGCCGCAACTTTCCGCAGCAAAGGCAGGACTACGTTGAGACTGTCGTCGTCGCCACCAGGGCACATAGAAGGACCGCGACGACTGCTGGCCGTTAGCAATCGGTACCACGCGAAAGAGGGTGGACTTGCGCCGCTTGATATCCACCAGAAACACCGCAGCCCACGTAGCGGATGCCGGTCGTCACACTCTTCCCCTGCCTCCGCTCAGTATTCTGCCAATTCTCATTCCCACAGTCGATAATGACATCGCCCTTCGTGATAAAAGGCCGCAACCCGTCAAATACACTATCGCCCACACCCCCATGCGGCAAGCTCCAGACAAACACTTTGGGATTGGGCAGACTTTCGCACAGCGATTTGTAGTCTTCGTATTTTGCCATGCGCTTCTCGAGGCCGTCTTTTTTCGCGGACGTGAGAATGCCGTCCATTGCTTCGGTCGATGGGTCTTGAAGTGAGACGTCGATGCCTTTCTCGGCGAAGAGCAGGGCCATGCCGCCGCCCATGGACCCGCAGCCGATCATGGCGATTTTTTTGATTTCTGTTTCTTTCGATGCCATGGTGTCGGATTTGGCGATGGTTGTGGACTGATTCGCCGAGTCCAGTGCAAATGGTCGTGGGAGAGAAGGGGGATTAATGGCTGTTTGTCAAGCGTCGTGATACGGCTGTGGCGTGGATCATTGTGACGTGGGCTTGCAGCGCAAATAGACTTCGCGGGCCACTCTTCCACCTTCTCCGACCCACTTGCGCGTGAGAGGCGCGATGGCACGTGGGGAGGCTTTCAATTCTACGGTACTGCTTAAGGCTCGAGGGTGTTTCAAAAGGGATGGGCGCGAATGGAAGCAAAAGAGAGGGAGACACGTCTGAACAGCGGTTGGTCGCAGCGTGGATTTCATTCTGCTCTAGCTCATCGTTTCCTCATCACTCCACGGCCTCTTCTTCTCCATCTTTATCGAAAGGCGTAGGAGCCATTTGCTGCATTGGCACTTCGTCGTCCCCACGATCTTCCTCGCCCTCCTTCTCCACCAACTCATCCGCCCAAGCAATACTCTTGCGGCTGCTTCTCCTCGGCACATCCACCGCCACAGGTGCTTCCACATCACCACTCCACGGCCTGCATTCCTTCACCAGCTCTCCGCATCGCAAACAAATCCAGCCTTCGCCTTCTTCGGCTTCGATGCGCTTCGCCACGCACGCGTAGCAGTAGATGCATCCGCACTCGACCGTTTCGTAGGGGTTGGTGATGTCCGTGGAGGAGTTGCCAATGATGCCGGCATTTGCTCCCGCCGAAATCACATCCTGCTCGCTCTTTCCCGTCGTGGCGTTCTGGTCTTGGTAGCAGATTGCGCACGTCCGCTCCGGCAGGAAGCTCAGCTCTCCTGTTCGCGCCCTTCCCTCTTCTCCTTCCTGGCCTTCTTGTTGAACTTTCTCGCCGCTTCGAAGGTTTGCCACGGACGTTTTCGTCTTCTTCCAGGCACGCGCCAGCCAGCGTTTCCACCGACTAATCCCAACTAACGGCAGGAGGAAGAGGAGGAATTCCGTGAAAGCGTGCCAGACTAGTTGACGGTTGAGGAACTCGAACGATACCTCCCGGCTCGTTTGATTGGAGGATGGGACAAGCCGCATTCGTAGTAATCTGTCGGTGAGCGTCCGGTATTTGCCATTGTAGAGGAAGATGAGAAAGGAGACGAAGGCCGCAACATTGTGTGCCGATCCGAGAAAGTTGGTGACTCTGCTGAGCCGGTTGATGAGCGGCGAGGGCTCGGTATCGTAGCTGTTCTCAATCGCCGACAATCGGTCTTCCCATCTGCTCCACGCGTATCTACCACCCACGGTGAGCAGCCCGTACGCCGCTCTCTGCGTCGCCGTCGCCTCTGCTCTTGCTGCTGTGTTCTTTGCTCGCGCGTCGATGTACTTCAGCCCTTGCAGAGAAGCGCCATAGCTTGCTCCATGGTCCCATATTGAAAGCTTCCACAGTATCGTGCGAAGGAATAAACTGATCTCGGCGGCATAGTCGTCCTTGAGGTGTGCGCCGAACAACTTCAAGCCTTCCCCCGCCTGGTTTTTGAGGAGGTTGAGCAGCTCTTCATCGAGCAGCTCCGCGTCGACTTGCCCGACACGAAAGGCTGGTTGTGTGCTGTAGGGACTTTTGATCAAGTCCCAGAAATTGAAGGCCTGGTGCGCCGCGACCCGCAGCGCTGGGGGGAGGTGGAGGAGGCGCTCTGCTCGTGAAGTGGTGACCTCCGACCGGACAGCAGCGAAGGAAGCTTCGCGCGCAGCTCGGCGAGCGAGAATGCGCTCTTGCGCGGCGGCGAAATCGGTCATTTCGGCATTGCAGACGGATATAAGGAGTGGAGGGGAGGCAGGAAGGTGAGGTAGAGTGGAGGTCGCGAGAGGTGACTGGGGAAGCGCGAAGCCTCGGCTCGGAATGAAACGATGGCAAAGCCGGCGTGTGTCCGTCACGCCCTCGCCTTCACTTTGCTCCTGCCTGTCTTCGACAAACATCAGTATAATGACGTGGCCGATAATATTCTGTTCCTCCTCAAACGTCCGCGAATGTAAGGACAGTGCCGACTGTGAGGCGAGCGATTGATTGGAGAGCATCAGTCAAATAGACCAGCACGTTGTTAGCCCAACGTCATCCCGCCGTGTGCAGAGCCTCGCGAGTACGGCCACAGGCAATGAAGGAAGCTGGCTTTCTTCCCCCACGACTCGGCCTATCGTGGTGGAATAGGTTGCTCACGCGCGTGATCAGTTACCAAACGTGCTTCACGTCGAATGTCAACATAGCGACTCCGTGATCTACTTAACAACTCCGTGGTCCGTCGAATGTATTCCGGCTTACCGTCAACTCAAAGCAGCGAATGAGGGTTAAAGTTTCAGAGGCATGCGCGCGCCGGACTCGTGACAAAGCTTGGCATCTCATGTGTACATCAGGCAGCAGCAAGACACCCAAACCATGAATCAACTCCATCTCGGTCTTTCCTCAAGTCGTATGTCTCCCAGTCCATCGACGACATGAGTCGGCTCATCGGGAGTTTGTGCACTGCATCCTGGACCCGCCGGCGAGCCCTTCAGAATGCAACAAATCCCGTTCGGGTATGCCTCCCTTGGCCATCATGACACCACCCCCAGCCTGAGGAATGGCACGACTTACTGCTTCAGCCATGTCTGGAACGATAGAGAGGCGCGATTCGAGACCTGCTTTCTGCCCATCGTGGCGTGTGTGCCAGCGGCACTCGCAGCGCTGGTAATCTTCTTCCAGGCCCTCACCCTCCTCATACCCTGGCGACCACGATGGACCAGGCCGTTCGTGGAAGAGGTCTACTATTTTCCGGTGGAGGACGAATTCCTACCCAAGCGTCGCTGGAGCCCATTTGTGCCTGCTCTCATTGTCCTGTCACTTGCTGGCTTCCTCCTCCAATCCCTCGTTGCAACCGCGACATGGTTCGAGCTGGGCAGACTGGCTCCCTTGGCGACCTGGTTTGCCGTGTCCGCACTCCTGTTCATCTACAGGCCGACAACCGCACCCTACTCCGTCTTGGCCATTTTGTCGCTCCAGGCGGTCGTCCATGTCGCCTTTTTGGTGGATGACGGCTGGTATCGAAATGGTCAGGAACAAAACTACGGCATCTCCACCTTGGTCCTGAGCATAGTCGGCATCGGGGTCATCCTAATCATGCCTTTGCGCAACCCAAATCTCCCGACTAAGGACATCAGCATGCCAATGTCTGAGCCCACCTCCTCTTTACGCAGCCCAGAGGACAATTTGACACTTTGGCAATTTCTGACGGTTTCCTGGATGACGCCGCTCATCAGCATCGGCTACAAGCGCCAGCTGGAAGACGAGGATGTGTGGCACTTAGCGTACGAGTTCCAGCATCAAAGATTGCACGATAACTTCCGGCTACTCAAAGGCACCGTCATCCGACGTTTGATCAAAGCGAACGCCATTGACATTTGCATCCTGATTGTGCTTGGAGTTCTTCGAATGTTCCTCACGTACTCACCCATCGTGCTCCTCGAACTTCTGCTGAGCTCGATGCAAGATCCCCTTTCGCCGAAAAGAGCAGCCGTCACTTACGCGGCAATCTCGCTTGTACTTAGATACATTGCCTGCCAATCTGGTCCCCTCAGCTTGTGGTATGGCAGACGGTGCTACGAGCGATCCCGCGGCGAGATGATCACCATGCTGTACGAGAAGACTGCCGGCAGAAAAATCGCTTTCGCTCCCGATGAGAGTGAGAAGACTTCCTCCAACGGGAGTGCCAATGGGCATTTGAACAATGAAGACTCTCGCAAGGGTGAGACTATGCCTTGGTGGAAACGAACATGGGTCAAGTCGGTGTCCATGTTCAAGCGAAAGACTTCCACTCCCATCCCAGTCAAGGAGACCGCATCGATGGGGAAGATCCTCAATCTCATGCGAAACGACGTGTACGAAATCGCTCAAAGATTCTGGGAGATCCAGGAGCTCGTCAACAAGCCCTTGAGCGTCGTGTTGTCGATTGCCCTTGTCGTTCGCTTACTCGGGTGGTCGTCGCTGCTTGCTGTGGTGGCAGTAGTCATCGCTCAGGCCATTATTGCCATCCTTGTGAGGTTCAGAGTCCACTACGAAAGGCGCATGCGAGCTGCTCGCGACAATCGGCTACAGGTCGTCTCACAGTTCGTCGAAGCCATCCGACATTTGCGCTGGTACGGTTGGCAGCACGCATGGCTAACGAAAATTACGGCTGCTCGGCAGAAGGAACTTCATCTACGCATCGTCCTCGGGCTATATGTCACCGTCATCGGCTTCATCAACACTCTCGCGTCGGAGACCTCTCCTGTGATAGCATTCTTCGCTTACACGATTATTGCCCGCAAGCCCCTTACTGTGGACGTGGCTTTCCCGGCAATGCAACTGTCCAACATGATGATCGCAGCCCTACGAGATCTGCCCGACTTGCTCAACACCATCGTCAATGCGTACGTCGCCGTAGGTCGTATTGAGGACTACATGGCTGAGCCTGATAAGCCGGAGATGAATACAGAAGCCCTACTAGGCGAGAGCGTGGCGCTGGAAAGGGCATCGTTCGCGTGGCCTGGGAAAACAGAACCAGTGCTCAAGAATTTGGACCTGGAGTTTCCGGCTGGCCTAACTGTGGTCTTTGGGGAGGTGGCCTCCGGCAAGACCGCCCTTTTGCAAAGCATACTCGGTGAACTAGACATGCTGGAAGGGCAACTTATGCGACCCAACGAGCCGATTGGATATTGTGCACAGGCGCCATGGCTTCAAAGTATGAGCGTGCGAGAGAACATCCTCTTCTCCGCGCCTTATGAAGAGCAACGGTACCGCACAGTCCTCGACGCCTGCGCTCTGGTGCCCGATATTGCAGAGTTCAAAGCTGGAGATCTGTCACTTGTTGGCGAGAATGGTATTGGACTTTCCGGTGGCCAGCGTGCTCGGATGGCGTTGGCAAGAGCGTTGTACAGCAGCGCGAACATCTTGCTCCTCGACGACCCTTTGTCAGCACTCGACCAGCAAACTGCAGAGTCGATAGTGCAGAAGTGCTTCGCGGGGGACATGCTCAAAGGGAAGACGGTGGTATTGGTGACGCACAGAACAGATTTGGTCCTGCAACATGCGACTCAAGTCATTGAGATCGAGGAAGGCGTGGCCGAAGTCATCGATCGAACCACCTTCGTGTATCACCCAGCGAAACGCGACCATCCCAGCCAGCCCGCAGACGAGACTCTAAGTGAGATCCAGCCTGCCGAACAGCCAGCAACGGTCGTCCCGGACAAATTCATGGAAGACGAGTACAGAGCACAGGGTGGCGTGAAGGCTTCCGTCTACTGGGAATTCGTCAAAGCTGGAAAGCGGCGTTGGTGGTGTGTGCTGATTTTCGTCCTCGCATTCTACCGCCTGTCGAATATCGCTCAAGCCTGGTTTCTTAAGAGCTGGGGCGAGGCCTACGGCGAGCAGTCCAGCATCGTTCTCTATGCCCAACATGACGGTCCAGTTCCTACGAACGCTAAGCCGGACTTTCTAGGCTTTCTCCCGCCTCCGGATGTCGATACCAACCCCTGGTTGCTGGTGTTTCTCACTCTCGCCCTCTTTGAATGTCTGTCATACCTCCTGTTCCGCGTCACCATTGTCGTGATCATGTACACCACGGCCAAGGAGATGTTTGCAGCCATCATGGAGCGCGTGGCCGGCGCCACTTTCCGCTTCTACGACGTCACGCCGGTCGGTCGTCTGATGAACCGCATGACCTCTGATATCGGGGTGATTGATGGCAACATCAGTATGCAGCTACACACTGTCGTCTGGCTGGGAATTTCTTGGATCACAGCATTGATCACCGTCGGTGCTGTCACGCCTAGCTTCCTCGCCTTCACCGCGCTCTTGACACTCGCCTTTGTCATGATCTTTCTGCGCTTCATCCCCACCTCACAGAGCCTTCGGCGGCTTGAAATGGTGTCGCTCACGCCATTGATGTCGAACTTCGGCGCGCTGCTCCAAGGTCTGACCACCGTCCGGGCGTTCCGTGTTCAACAGCAATTCCAGGACCGCGTGGTCCGCGTGGTCGACACTTTCCAGAAAATGGACCATTTCTACTGGAGTTTGCAAGCCTGGATGATGTATCGCTACGAGGTCTTGGCTGCGACAGCAACGTTTGTCGTGACTATGATAGCGCTCGCTACGAACCTGTCGGCGGGATTGACGGCCTTTGTGCTCTACGCCGCTAGCAAATTGGTCGGGACTACGCACTCGCTGTGTATACAGTACGGTCAGCTGCAAATGGAGTTTGTCTCTGTGGAGCGAGTGGTGGAGCTGAAGCATCTCGAGCAAGAGCCGAAGGGCTCCATCAGTCCGCCGGCATGGTGGCCCTCGTTCTCGGGCGACCTGCACTTCGATGATGTGACGATCAGATACGCACCGCACCTCGACCCGGCTCTCAAAGGCATCTCCTTCACGGTCAAAGGAGGCTCCAAGACGGCCGTCATTGGCCGCACGGGGTCGGGAAAGAGCACGCTCGCACTCTCCATGCTCGCCACCATCGTCCCGGAAGCAGGCAAGATTTCCCTCGACAACGTCGACCTGGCAGAAGTAGACAGGCAACTCTTGCGCACGCGAATCACCTTCGTAGCGCAAGACCCCATCCTCTTCCCCGGCACGATGCGCGAGAACCTCGACCCCGTGCAGCAGCACAGCGACGCCGAGTGCGAACTCGTCCTGGAGCGAGTCTGCGCGCGCCAAGACTGGACGCTCGACACGAAAGTCGAAGCAGGCGGGCGGAATCTGAGTCAAGGGCAGCGGCAGCTCGTCGGGCTTGCGCGGGCCGTGCTGCGCCGCAGTGCGATTATCATTCTCGACGAGGCGACGGCTTCCATTGATCGGGAGACGGCGGCGCAGATTCAGCAGGTCATGTATGAGGAGATGAAGGAGAGTACTGTCATTACGATTGCGCATCGACTAGAGGCGGTCATGCATGCGGATTATTGTATTGTGCTTGGCAAGGGGAGGATATTGAGGCAGGGGACGGCGGCGGAGATGTTGGAGAAGACGGGCGTGGAGGAGGAGCTGGAGGGGGATGCGGAGGGTTAGGCTGGACTGGATAGATAGATTCATGTTCGTCTAGAAATATTGCGCTATGGATAGAATGTACTACTTTAGAACGTGGTCGAATTGATCTCGAATCATTGGATAATATTCTCGAATATAGGATGCGTCTCGGTTCATGCCCTCTTCAGAAACGCCGAAACAGCAGAGTGATGCAAGTGGGGTCCACATCCACCCAACGTCAACGCTCAAGATGACGACGACCGCACGCCAACAATGTCGCTCCTCCGCCTCAGCAGACTTAAACCCCCAGGAGGACTAGTATCACTAGCACGCAAGCAGCAACAGCACACAATGGCCAAACCAACCAAATACAGCCACCTGCCGCTCTCAACCTCGGGCCCGCAAGACTGCGCCCTCACCGGCGCCGCCCTGCTCCGCAACCCCTACCTAAACAAAGGCACAGCCTTCAGCGCCGAGGAGCGCGCAACGTTCGCCCTGGCCGCCTCGCTGCCGAAACAAGTCGACACGCTGGAGCAGCAGCTGCAGCGCGCGTACGAGCAGCTGAGCACGCACCGCACGCCGATAGGCAAGAATGCGTTCATGACGAGCATGAAGGCGCAGAATGAGGTGCTGTACTACCGCCTCATCCAGGAGCATTTGAAGGAACTCTTCCCGATTATTTACACGCCTACGGAGGCGGATGCGATTGCGGATTATAGTCGCTTGTTCCGGCAGCCCGAGGGGTGTTATTTGAATATTGAGGAGGCGGAGGGGATTGAGGCTGCGTTGGAGAGGTGGGGCCCCGCGGAGGATGTGGATATCATTGCTTGCAGTGATGGGGAGCAGATTTTGGGGATTGGAGATCAGGGCGTCGGCGCGATTCTGATTTCCATTGCGAAGCTGGTCATCTACACACTTTGCGCGGGGATCCATCCGAACCGCGTGCTGCCGGTGGGCTTGGATGTGGGGACGGACAATGAGCATTTGCTGAACGACGATTTGTACTTGGGACTGCGCAGGCCGCGCGTGAGGGGGGAGGAGTACGATGCGTTCATCGATCGGTTTGTGCATGCTTGTCGGAAGAAGTATCCGCGGGCGTATATTCACTTTGAGGATTTTGGGCTGCACAATGCGCGCCGCATCCTGGACAAGTATGCGCCGCAGATTGCGTGCTTCAACGATGATGTGCAGGGGACGGGGGCGGTGACGCTGGCGGCGTTGTATGCTGCGCTGCACGTGGCGAAGCTGAAGCTGAAGGACTTGCGGATTGTGATGTTTGGGGCGGGCACGGCGGGGACGGGCATTGCGGATCAGATTCGAGATGCGATTGCGGTGGAGAGCGAGAAGTCGAAGGAGGACGCGGCGCAGCAGATCTGGTGTGTCGACAAGCAGGGCGTGCTGCTGCAGAGTCAGAAGGACGACCTCACGCCTGCGCAACATCCGTTTGCTCGACCGGACGACGAGTGGAAGGACAGCGATGCCAAGTCATTGAAAGAGATTATCGGGAAAGTGAAGCCGCATGTGCTCATCGGGACTAGTACGAAGCCGCGGACGTTTACGAAGGAGGTGGTGCAAGAAATGGCCAAGCATGTCGACCGGCCGATCATCTTCCCGTTGTCCAATCCTACAAGGCTTCACGAGGCCGATCCGAAGGATCTCCATGAGTGGACGGATGGAAAGGTTCTGACAGCGACGGGCAGTCCGTTCCCGCCGGTGACAACGAAGGACGGCGGGAAGCGAGAGATTGCAGAGTGTAACAACAGGTGAGCCAACGCGTTGTCCCTTCTGCGTTTGAGTGACGACTGACACTCCAACAGCACCATGTTCCCCGGCATCGGGCTCGGGGCCGTGCTAAGCAGAACCAAACGCATCACGTCGGAAATGCTGGTAGCGGCAGTGAAAGCGCTCTCCGCCCAAGCGCCCGCTCTCAAAGACCCCGATGCCGCACTGCTGCCCGACGTGACGGACGTGCGGGAAATCAGCGTGCAAATCGCGGCGGCGGTGATTAAACAGGCGATCAAGGACGACATGGCGCAGGAAGCAGACATCCCGACGGACGACGGGGACTTGGCAGAGTGGATCCGCGAGCAGATGTGGGAGCCGAAGTACCGGGCGTTGCGCAAGGTGGACAAGCATGTGGCGGATCGCGTTGCCAAGGGTGAGGCTGGGAGTCGGGGGGCTGCGGCGGTGCATGAGTAGATGTGGATGAAAGATGAGACACTGGATGCGCTGCTGGGCAGAGCTACATTTTGCGGTTCTCATAGAAGAGTAGGAAAGAGTAGACGAGAAGGAATAGACGTTGGTGAAAGGGCTTACCTTAGTTTACAGCGTGTAGGTAGTGATGAAACATGATGCATGTGGCTCGGATTCGTGGAGGGAGGGGGTACCGGGTAGTGGCCTCACACGCCATCATGCGTCCGTCTCTCGTCACTAGAGTGGTTACACAGCGCTCTCCTCCGGCCAGGAGAGGACCACAGTGTTTCTGCCAAGGACACTGGTTGCATTAATAGAAGACGGCGTGGTGGGAGGATTTGACAGGTGTGGCGGGGAGGGGGCTTCTCGGCTTGCCACCTTGTTTGATCATCGCTTGCACCCGCAGTGGGTATCTCTGTGATTATTAGGCAATTCCGCGGGCGGGGAGCGTGAAACCAATGCCTATAATTACAGGACGTTTGATGAGCACGCAAGACACGGCCAACCACGAGCGGCGTGATGACAGTGACGAATGGGCGGCGGGTGAAGTGGTGGCCGCGCGGAAAAAGTGGACGCTGGGCGCATGCGAGATTGGGACGGGTCACGCCGTCGTCAGGGGCGCGAACCACTCTTGCACTGCACCTCACCTCAAACACTCCCCGACCGCGCGAACGGTCCTCTTCATGCACCCAACGCTGGCCCGTCGCTGGTCCACCAACTGCTCGGTTAGGCACAGGTAGGTCTTGTATGCACTGGCCTTCGCTTTCCCTTACTCTACCTTAGTCTGCTCTCCTTGCCTTCTCTCACTCTCCTTCTTCCTCTTCTTCTTCTCCTCCATCACACACGTCCCTTTCACCCGTCACTCATTGGTGTGCTTCCTCTTTGCTCTCTAGCCTCTGCATCTTCGAGTCACTCGCTTCAAACCAACAACAACAATCACTTTCAACCAACCAGCCCCTTCATCAAACACCCCTCGACAACCTCCAACATGCGCACCTTCGCCATCTTCACCGCAGGCCTCGCCTACTTCGCCTCCACCGCCTGTGCGGCCGGGTCAACAGCAGCAGCCGGTTCGGCGGCACCATCGAACCCAAGCTACGGCGGCACCAGCAGCGGCAACGCCGTCGGCGCCCAGTCCTCCGCCACCCCAACGAACCCCAGCTACGGCACCAGCAGCGCCGGCTCCTCCGCCGCCGCCATCTCGACCGGCTCCGTCAACCCGCCGCCCTACTCCCGCGGCTCCAGCGGCCTGTCGTGGGGCACCGCGTCGACGGGCTGGATGTCGTCGAACGGCACGCACCACCACCCCACCTCCGGCGGCTCGACCGGCCACCTGACCAAGCCCACCACGCCCATCACCCACCCGCACCACTCTTCCACTGCCGCGGCCGTCAGCACCAACACTCAACCTGCCCTCACCACCGCCGCCGTCGCCACTTCCACCGGCACCGGACAAGCGGCGGGCGGTGTGGCTGTCAACGTCGCGGGATTGCTGCTTGCGGGCGGCATGGCGGTGCTTGCTATGTAGACCTGTCAATCATGGGGTGGGCAAGGTGCATTTTGGGCGGAGTTTCTGGGCATTGGTTCTAATTCACAGGGCAAAAATCGAGGGCCCTTTTTGGACGTCTGGGGTAATTTTGGGGAAATTTCATCACCCATAGATTATGCATTTGCAGTTGCTTCCATCACTCAATCAATCAACAAACATCAAACTATATCGTCTTACGCAATCTTTCATCTCCCTGCTGCACGTCCAGACCATGTGTACTTTACTGTGCCTCGCTAAGGCGATGTGTAGCAGGATACGGATACTGCGGTCTCATTGGTCAGCTGAAGCGGACGCTAGCGGGGGTCTGCAGGAAGCTCGACGGCGTCCATGCGGCGCATCTCGCCAAAGTCAACAACCAAGGTTTTGGCGAGTGCTGAAGTGAAAGCCGCCGCGCCCGCTCAAATGGCCGCCTCTCGCGAGAATCAACGCTCCAAATCCCGCGAACGCTGAGCCTCGTCCGATAAAAATGTGGTCATCGAGAATGTGTCACGCCATCGACGAGGCTGCATTCCGCGCTGACGCTTCGCATCGCACCCGAAAGCCGTTGCATCCTTCCCTCTACGATGCCATCGACACTCTGCCTTTTTCCACTCCACGCCTTGCCTGGTCATTTGCCACATGCCACAAATACGACGCAGCAAGACGCCTTGTGTCGACGGCGTAAGAAGCGTGTCTGGACCGTGCCGTGTCAACTGCGAACACTCCTGGCCTCTGCACCGCCCGCACGTTGAGTCACTTGACCGGCAGAGCAGGTCGAAGATGCCTTATGCCGGCCTCAATTGTCGCCTTTGTATTCTCGGAATCCCTACGGGTCTGACGTACGTTAACTTTCTGAATAGTAGTTCGCACCTCCATGTGCTACCTGCGTTTTCGTCTCTCCGCAGCCGACGCCGTGCCACCCTCTGCCGAAATCACATCATTGGGCACGAGTGCAGGGCAGTTCGCCGTCATCATCCCGCGAGGACATGCCCTTCGTGGCGCGGGTCTTCGTCAACTAGCAGCCTTATGTGCCGCTGCCCTCTGCAGCCCTACGATGCGGCTCTTCCATTGTGCCGAAGTGTGGTCCTCACGAGGTCTATGCGCCCTACTTCTCCCGGCGTGCTCCTCTCACAATAGATCATATGATGGAAAGATAGTTCACTGTCGACCACGCGCCCTGCCATTTGTGACGACGACGACGCCTAGGGCGAGCGAACAGGAAGCTGTGCGAGCAAATCGTCGTGTGATTGAGCCCTGCTCGCCAGCATGACCACACGGGAGAACGCCCCACGAGGCTCCCTCGGATGCTCGTTGTTCGAGCGAGGCCGTCCGAACGGCGTATATAAGGTCTTTTGTGCTCTGGCAAGTGAGTGTCACGTTCCACTGCATTGTCTTCAGCAAGCGGCGCTTCCATTCTTACAATCCCTGATCTCACCCCTCTTGAAAATCGTCATGTGTTTCTCTCTTTCTACCAAAGAATACCTAGCTGCTGGCGGAGGAGCCTGGCAAGCATCTCCCATCCTCGACACATGCGGCTCACCCTGGACTTGCGATCGTCCCATTCATCCCACAAAGCTCAACGCATCTCCCAACTTCGTCGAGGGCGGCGGCGGCGGCAACAATCCGCCCCGCCCACAACCACGTCCCCGACCGCTGCCTCCGCAAAGCCCAGGCAATGGTCGCCGCTCGTTTGTCCAGTGTAGCGGCAATGCACCGCCACCGCGGCCGGCCCAGCCACCACCACGCAACCCTCCTCGTCCGAAGCCGCAGCCTAGGCCTCAACCTCCACGGAGCCCCATCAATGGCTGATGTCCTGGAGGAGGTGGGATGAATGAATATTGCGATGGACTTTGGACGGTTGTTCTTTGCGACGTGGGTGCGATGGCGGCGGCGAGGGTCTGATCTTCAAGTTGGACTAGATGGAATTGCGTGAGCGGGTTGCTGGCGCGGCTTTGGTGGGTTGCCTTGTCGATATACTCAGGCACATAAAGAAAAGTTGTACGATTGCTGTTCATGATGGCGTTTGACGTCAGGAGTTTTGTGTGCGTGGACGGAAAGGGCCAGTCGGCGACGCCGTATGATATGGCTCATCATCGCAGCAACGCATAGACACACAGCTCCCTCGTTCCCTTCCATCGACCCTCCTCACTAACTCCCACCCTGCACCACAACCCTACTCCCATCTCCATCCCAAAACCCACCTTCCCTCTCCTCAACTCCACAAACCCCCCTCGCCACAACCTCATGCCCCGGCATCCGCCCCTCCCAAAGCGGAATCTGCAGCGCCACAGTCTCCTTGTCCGAAGGGTAATCAGTAACATGCCCCGGCCCCCAAGTATCGGCGGCAATCATAAGGCCGTTGACGCCTTCCATGATCCAGAGTTCGTTGGCAGTGGTGTCGTTGTCGGCGTAGTCGTAGTCTGCATTCGGAGGCAGAGTTACGTGCGCGAGGCCGGAGAGTAGGACGAAGAACCTATTCCGCCATGATGCTAATCAGCTCGGGTCACATTCATTCACTCCTCCTCAAAGGACTGGAGACGCGGCAGAGGGAAAACGATACGGGATGATGTACATTGGATGCGGCGCATTATGCACCCCCTCACTCGACCTCGGCGGCAAAACGACATAAGAGAGATTAGACACGTCCGCGAGACCTTGGATTGCTTTCCCGACGGTTGGGTACGTTGTGAAGGGTTGATCGAGACGCCAGCATTCGAATTGCGGGTGCCCGGTTTCGGGGTGCGAGATGAGGGCGGTGAGGTGCAGGTGGGTGGTGGATGTGGAGAGGGCGGCGGAGAGCAGGTAGGTTGTGAGGAGGAGGAGGTGGGTCAGGGAGAGCATTGTGCTGGAGAGGTAGAGGAATGGCGGTGTGGTTTTTGGGAGGTGTTGGTGAGGGAGTGTGGGGAGGGAGGGGTGCTGATGCCACCAGCCAGCTGTAGTCATACAAGCAGTTATTCGAAGAGCATGAAACACTCCCGCCCTCTTACGATTGTCCAGTATTGATTCTATCAGGCGTTTATCATCTCACATCGTCATCTCAGCATTAATAAACTCTCACGATCCCTCAGCCTGCCACTGCCCATTTCCCCCAACAACCATGTTATCGCCAGTAAACGTGAAAGGCGCCATTGAGTCGCCCAAAAACCACTCGTCCAACCCGCCCGCTTGCAATCCATCCATGCCCCCCAACGCCATATCCATCGCCTGCTCAAAGTTCGTGCCCCACCCGTAATCCAGATTCGAGAGGTCCATCGCGCCCTGTGCGTCGCCGGAAGGCACCATGGGATACGAGGAATCGGTTGGGTAGACTTGCTGCTGCTGCTGTTGTTGATTGACGGGGAACAGAACGTCGGTAGAGTTGTTGCCGCGGCCCTTGGGGTTCGTGTCGAAGACGTAAGGAGAGGTGAAGGTCCAGTCTTGCGATTGCTGGTCGAGTTTGGATCCCGCTGCGCCGCCGTTGGCTTGTGCCGGCTGCTGCTGTTGCTGCTGTTGCTCGCCGATAGCCACTTCGCTCAGCAGATGCAGTGGGGTCTGTGGCTGATGGTCTTCGGCGGGCGTCTGCTGCTGGTGCTGCTGCGGCTGCTCGCCCCGCTGCTGCGCCGCAACGTTCGCCTTGTGCTTGCCAAACCAACCTCGCAAGAGGTTCAAAATGCGCAGCACCTTGGAGTGCGGGCGGAACAGCTCGTCCGTGGCCATGAAGTCGAAAAGCGCCAGCAAGCTATCGATGTAGAAGTCGACTTTGAGATCCGCGGGCGCCATCATCTTGCCCAGCTCGCTGTTGGGCGTGCACACTGCAACGTGCATTTTGATTAGGATGACGATGGCGTACGTGCAGCGGATGAAGTAGATGAGCGTCGGCATTTCTTTGATGGTGACCACTTCGATCGACAGCATTGTGTCGAGGATGCCGTGCGCGCTTTTCAGGCAGGCCTCTAGGGCGGACATTTGGCTTGGGGTGAGGGTGTCGGATGAGCTGTTGACCGACTTCAATGACTCCTCGGTGAAAGGTAGGCGGAAGTCCTCGACGTTGTGGTTGAGGTGTAGAGCGATTTCGTGCAGGTAAAGCGAGGTGACGTGCTCGTACATCTTCAAGCCGGGCGTTTGACATTCTGCCGGCAGCTGCTCTTTCCACGCCGTGAGCTTGTTCTCGAGGATCTTCAACGTGTACGTCACTTTGGGATCGGTGAGACTGATGTGGTTGGCGGTGTTATCGTCCATGACGAACTGATGCCCGATGTCCTCACAGATGTTCTGAATCTTGATAAATTGGCAGAACAGCTTGTCCGTGTCAGCGGCGTCTGGACGAGATTCCAGCACCTCGATGCACTCCTTCATATAGTTTGTCCAGCGAACCAGGTTCGGACGCCGCAAGACCATCGATGCACTGCTATCACGTTAGCCATGTACGCCGGAGAGAACGTCGCTCAATCTCGTACCTCGCGCATGTAAAGTAGCAACCCAGCCACGCCCGCCGAGCTTCTAGAGTATCCGAGTCCTGCGGAAGTATGTGATGCGGACCAGGAGCGTAATTGGCATTGGGCCCACCAAACCCTCGCCTCGCCTTGGCTGGGTTGAAGCGCTTGCCCAGCCCAATATCAAGCGCCATGACGGCCGCCATATGGATCAGTTGATAGAAATTCGACTGGTCCGCCCGCTCGGGCGGTTTGTACCACATTGCGAGGACCTGCATGGCTTGGATAAGCTCCAGCGACTTCGCGCCGTGGCGCACGACACAGTCTGCGATCGCTCCAACGGCCTCTTTGGCGATGGACCGGGAGAGCTCAGGCTCCACTTGGCCATACGAGGCGGCGGACAGGATGCAAACGAAGAGGATGGGTTTGTCCTTGAAAAGCATCTCGTGAGTGGTATGCGGTGGGAAGATGACGGCTGGGAGGTGACGAGCGAGTTTGGTCGTATATCGCGTGAACAGCTTTGCGGCGAGTTCGGGTTTCACGAGTGCGTTGATACGCGCGGTGAATTCTTGTGGTGATGAAGCCGGGTAGTACTGCTGTATAGGAGCGTCGTTTTCAAAACGCCGGCCTGCATTGTCTGCCGTGTCCAAAGGTCGACCAGAGTTGATTGTATCGTCCGTTCGTCTCCGCTTACCTGGTGGCAATGCACCATCAGACGATGCAGACATGGGGTCGTAGGCTCTGTAAAGGCAAGTCCGTCAGTACACATCGATGATGTCAGCAGGCTTCGAAGGTGGTCACTCACGCTGTAGGATGCAAAGGCTGCAACACAGCACTTCCCTCGTCAGCTCTGTGATGCTGCCCCGGCCCAGTCTGGTGCTGCTGTTGCAATGCAGCAGTAAGCGCATCAAGCTTCCTCTCCAGCTCCGCCACCCGACTATCCGCCTTCTTCTGCCTCCTGCGCGTAGGCTGCGTAACAATACACTGCCTCCCCGCCTTCGCACACCTCTTACACGGGATATCCGGGCGTGCAGGGTCCTGATCACACCGCACCTTCAACCCCCGGCACGCCTCGCAGGCGCGCGGTCTCTTTGCATCCTCCGCGTTATCTCCGTCGTCGTCATCGCCTGCTCCTGCGATATCGGGACTCGCTGCATTCTCATCTCTTGCGGCGTAGGAGGTTGCGGGGCTCTCTTGCGTGCTGTGCGATCCGCTGTGCACTCCTAATTGCTGAGGGGTGTGTGTTTGCGGGGATGGGTAATGATAGTAAGGCTGTGACGGCTGGTACGATGCTGCAGCGTCGCTCTTCAGCCCAGAATACGTAGATGGTGGCGGTGCGCGTGGAGGGACATCAGTGTGCCGTTGAGTCGTGCCTGTCGCGTTCGTGGCGCCGCCGAGGCGCGGGTCGAGGACGTCGCGTTGTCCACTCATGGCGTCTTGGTCGCAAGGCTGTGAGATTGTTGGTCATACATCGGTGGTCGGTGAAGTCGGAGCACGATGTCACCGGAGACCGAGATTTCTGCTTATGTCATGCAGGATCACGTGATGTAACGTCCTTTCTAGTCGGCTTTCATTGCTCTTTTTGGCTTCATACATCGTGAAGACTCGAATATTGACTTCTTATTTGTTGGCTATCTTAACGAATGATTACTATTTAATGCGCGCGAAAGCGACGGAGCGTTCCGTGCCCGCGCAGCCTACTTTCTCCAGGTCGAGTTGGATGGGCCAGACGAACCGCCAGTGTAACCGCTCGGGCCATCCGAGATCGAGAAGGTGTACTTCTGGTAGTTGATGGCGGGCTCAGTAGTCGGGGTGTAGATCTGCCACTGCTGGCGGCCCCATTCTGGCTGGTTGATACCATCGATCCACTATTGTCACTGTCAGTCCTGGTCGTCACATGAACCCCTCTGGAGCACGGAAAACTTACGTCTTGGGTCTCGATGACGAGGCATCCGTACTTCTGCACGTACGCCGTCTGGTTGCCGAGGTGCTGCTGGTCGCTCTTCAACGGGATCGTGCCGTTCTGCCCGTTGCACGTGTAGATCTGCAGACCCTGCTGGTTCGTCTCGAGGCTCAGCTGGATACCGGTCGTCGGGCTCCACATCTGCAGCACCTCCACGCCCGGGTCTTCGAGCGCGCTGTAGCGCGGGCGGTCGAGGATGAATGCATTATCAATGCCAGTGCAGCCGGTGCCGCAGCCGTTGACGGTGTTGGCGATGTTCTTGCCGACGGCGATGCCGGGCGTCGTAAAGTCGAGGGCGGTGCCGTTGGCGACGGAGATGCCGCCGGTGGGCACTTCGATGCCGTCAATGTCGATGTAGCGGTCGGCGTACGGCATGTAGAGCGTGTCGTTGAGGATGTACTGCGTGTCCTCGTTGACAAAGGCGCCGAGGTTCCAGTAGATGTGGTTGGCCAGCATGATGGGCGTGGGCTCGTTGACGGCGAAGGAGACCAGTCTGCTGATGAAGGAGGCGTCGTCGGTGAGCGTGTAGGTTGCGAGGTTCATGACGTCGCCCGGGAAGCCCTGGTACGCCGCGTCGTAGAAGGAGAAGGTAATGCTGTTGCCCGTGAGGGAGACAATGGTCCAGTTGCGCTGGTCGTAGCCGATGAAACCGCCGTGAAGAGTATCCTCGCCGCCATGCTCGTTCGTGGGGATGTGAGACGTCTGGCCGTTGATGGTGAAGGTGCCGTTCTTGATTCTATTTGGGACATCAGCGCCGCCTGTCCTTGCGGAAACTCACATTGTCTCACCTGTTCGCATAGCGGCCGACAACAGCGCCGAAATACGTGTGATTCGTCTCCGAATCATGGAGATACTGAATACCAGTGTCGTACCCCACGACAATGTCTTGCCAGGCGCCATTCTTGTCCTTTACGTAGAGATTGGTGAGACGAGCACCGTACGGGATGAACGACGCTCGAATGCCATCGGCCGACAGATTGTACTTTGTGAACTGCGAGCCCGAGAAGGCCGGGTAGGGCGACTGGCCGTAGTCGCCAGGGCCAGAGTAGTTCTGCGCAGAGACAAGAGCGCTGGCTGCAAGCAGCACGGGAGCGATGAAGGAAAGCATGGTTGCGGCACTATTACACGCGACACTGAAGAGGTTCGAGAGGATGGCAAGAGTAGGAACGAGCACGTCCCGCTCGCTCGCGCGGGTCCGAGTCGTCTTATGAACCACTTTACTCTCTCCAATGCTTTGCTCACATGTCAAAAAGCCAATTACCCGGATCAACAGGTGCCACGCGGGAACGTGGAGGAGAGCAGAGCGCCAGGCCTGTTGCGGTTTACCCGGCGACGGTCGACATGGGGATGGGGTTTGGTTGCATGATGGCATCGGGGTGTGCTCCTCCACATCGTTCAGCCCCGGAGTTGCCTGTCAAATGCGGAGAAAGGTCGAATGGGGGAATTCGGGGCGTCGATCACGTCGGAAAGTATTTACCCGCCCAGCCTTCCGGTGCCACTGGCGACCGGGTAAAGTGGAGGTGAGAAACTACTCCCACGCTATACACGCCGATCGGGGCTAAGAAAGCAGGTACAGCCATCGGGACGGGCGGTACACGTGAGGGCATCGTGGCGAGGGGGAGCGGCGGGCATGCATGGTTGATGAATCTTAATAATCCCTCACGAGCTCGTGGCAACGGAGGGGAAAAGTGGGCACGCGTGAGGCTCCAAGATCAACTCCATGCGCAGGCAAGGCGTGGGATTGTACGATCGTGTGTATTCCAGTTCCTCTTGCACTAGTAATAGCATTATACAAGCTCGGGACGATTTGCCCAACTGTCATCAGCTCGTTCGGATTACAGCGCGCATCGAGGGCCTCGATCCGCCCATGTTCAGCCTAATTCATTAGATCCCATCATCAATCTGGTCAACCACATGGTCACCAGTCCACGCCCACCAGTCGCGGCACGTCTGCGCCATGACGCTCGGAATCTGCATCTCCTGCTCAATGGCCTCCGGGTTCTCGACCACCATGTACGCCATGCCGGCGCTCAAGTGCCACGCGATGTGACAATGGAGCGGCCAGACGCCCGGATTATCTTGGTTCCATTGGAGGACAATGTACGAGTTGGCTTGCAGCATTTGCGTGTCTCGTCGCTGGGGGTTCTGTGCGGGGGAGGTTAGCTTGCTTCTCTGTGCCAAAGGAGGTCATGTGTCTTTTCGAGACTTACCTGAGGGTTGACAATGCTTCCGTCCCAACAACTGTTGGGAGGCGCGGCGTCGCGCTTGCCATTGTCGATCCACATGCGAGGCTTGAGGTCGGCGTCGTCATCGCGCTTGGAGTAAGACGGGGTGGAAGTGGTAGTCGATGTGGTGCTCGAAGTGCTTGTCAAAGTGCTTGTCGAATTGCTCGACGAAGCGCTGGCGGTCGAGCCATACACCGGATTGGAAGGAGTAGAAGAGGGGCTTGTGCTGTAAGCGGGAGTTGAGCTCGAGGGAGTGCTGGTCGGGCTATACGGCGGAGGAGAGACCGAGGTGCTCGACCATCCCTTCGAGTGCTCCGTTGTCGGAGAGCTAGGAACACTGTGAGTACTCCATGGAGAGCTCTTCGGAGTGGTGTGGTGCGAGGGGGAGCTCGCCGTAGTCGCTTTCTGCGTGCTGACCGGCGGCTTCGTGTATGTGCTCTGGGGAGTCGGGGTGGGCCCGGGAATGCTGGAGCAGGGCCCTTCTTGCAGCACGAAGAAGTTGTGCCCGTGAAGATGAAACGGATGCGGCTGAGGAACGGGGTTTCTGGGGGGGAATTGTCAGCCTTCGTGTCTCGATCGCAGGACGTGCGAAATACTCACTCAAGGATGATTCGCACGGAATTAATGCTCCCGTCGTAGATGTGCGCATTACGGATGGCACTACAAGTTTTCGTCAGAAAGATTCTTCAACTGCTTCGCACGCCAACTTACGGGAACTGATCCGCGTTGCCCAGCTTAGTCTCCAGCAGCATGGGGTCGTTGTAATCAATGCGGAAGGTCTGGCCGTTGAAGTACCACAGCAGAGCAGTGCCGTTGGAGGTGAAGTTCAACGCAATCTGGTTGGTGACATCGGGTTCCGGGGGAGTCATGGGATACTGTGGCACCGTCTCCGACAGAGGGTCGTTACCGCAGTACGTGCTGTACGCGTTTGGTCCGGCTTGGGTGGTTGGCATGACAGACGTGTCAGCATCCTCGTAGAAGATGGCGGCCAAGACGAGCTCGTTGCCTGCAGAAGGGCCGCATGGCGGGGGGCGGAAGCCGCGCATCCAGACGGAGTCGGTCGGTTTGCCAGTTGCCTTGAACAGGATATCCGATCGCTGGCCCACTCCCAGGGTCACCACGTCCGTTGTGTAAGGTTCGATGGGCACGAAATCGTTGGCAAAGATGGTGAAGTTGTAGCCATCGATGGAGAACTTCTGCACAGAGGCACTACCTGGGTTGATCAAGCGCATACGGTAGCTCTTGCCGGATTGAACGTTGAAAGTGGCGATGCTGCCGCCGTTGTTGGTCTTGCCGTTGATCAGGTTGTTGGTCGCGAGCGGCGGCCCAGCTTGACCAGATGCGGAATTGGCCAGGGTTTTCTCGACATTGACGAAGTAGTACTCGGAGTAGTAGTCAGAAATGATGATCGGGCCCAGGTCCACGTCGTACTCGACATTCTGAGGTCCGTAGATGACCATTGGCCCCACAAGACCGCTGGAGTATTGCGCACTATAATGCGAGTGGTACCATGAAGTGCCGTACAGGTCGGCTTGGAAGCGGTAGGTGAAAGTCTTACCCGGGGCGATGGGGCATTGACTGTCGCCGGGAACGCCGTCCATCCATGGGGTTTGTTTTTGGAGCAGGCCATGCCAATGGATGGAGGTGCCCTCGTCTTCGATGGTGTTGGTGACCTCGATTTCGAACCAGTCTCCCCAGTTCGCTTCGAGGGTTGGGCCGGGGAATTGTCCGTTGATCAGCAAGCAGGTATTGTTGACGCCGTCAGGAGAGCAGGTCTCCTTCGTGACAGTCCAAGTGTAGTGCCGGGTGACACCGGTGTTGGGCGGACTTTGGTAGGGATTGGTGTTCTGCGGCGACCGTCAGCGACTCCCCGGCAAAGTCGATTATTACTTGGCAAGGACATACGGCTACAGTCTTCTTGCCCCACGGGTAGCCATTCGGCATGGGATTGTTCTCCAGGCAATGAGGGAGCCGGGCGGCTTTGGAAGTGCCCAAGGGCGAAACTTTCGAAACGGTCAGCGCACAATTCTATGCGCGATGCTGGCTTGCACATACCCCAGCCTTCAGGCTCGGCCCACAAACTTCTCGCAGCGAGCGCCGCGGTGGCAGCCTTGCCCCAGGCAGGCATGGTGGGTACGATAAGGGATACCAAATATGGAAGGTAGCGAATGTGTGCTGTTGCAAGCGAAAGAGAACGAGCGCCGTCTAGTAGCAGTCGTACAGCCTTGTGCCGCTCGGAGTGAAGAAACGGGAGGAAATGCTTGGGACTGGCGAACACCTTCTACAAATACCTACCCACATTTTTTTGGCTGCAGGCACACACGCGCCGGGGAGGTTCGCGAGATCGTCCAATAGTGCTGATGAGCGTGCGAACGTCAATTGGTCAGGACTCGCCTGTGCCGAAGGAACCAGGAAGGGACACGAGGTGCCACACGGGGAAGCACAAAAGTCCAACGGCTGCCGCCAACGGACACTAGCCTGTTTGCGCCATTCAGGCGTCTGGGAGCGAGCAACGGTTGGCTGGCAAGGCGCGGTGGAGCTGCGTGGGTGCTATTCTTGCCACGGCGCCAACACCACGCCCAGACGAATTCTCCTTCGTTCCTGGGGCGCGAGTGTGGTACCTGACATGAGACGCGGCCGAAAGAGGAAATTTCCAGTAAAGCTTGTCCAGCTTTTGGAGTGGAGAACGAGAGGCTCGAGTACGTGGCGAAGCATGGAATTCGTTGACCGCCAGAACTTGCCTCCCGCCTTGCCGCCCTCGCGTACGATGCACCCTTGCAAGTCCAACTATTGAGGCGCGAGCGTCCCGTGGACAGAGGATATGGGGTCTGTACCATCCCGCCGTTGACTGCTTGGCTGTGTGCAGGACAGTCGGTCCACGTGATTGCATTGCTCCGGGCATGCCGCATTGTGCGATGCGGCGACGAGGTGCAAGCGCGTTGGTGCTTATCGGTCGCACGCAATACGGGACAAGAGATGGCATTCGCCTGTCTTTGCCCAGCACGCAAGGGATGCGTCTTTTTGTGGCCCGCATGGATGTTCTCTATTGTTACTGCTTGGGGGAGCGCGGAAGGATCCTGCAAGGCAGCCTTTTATCGAAAACGGAAAGCGGGCTGTATGCATCCAATAGTGTGCCCCAGGCAGCAAAGGATTCCTGTGCAGTTCGTCGGCGATGCTACCTCACCTCACAAGAGCCCCACGACCGCGATCCACACACAATGCCTGCGGGGCTGCTCCCGGCTGCCCAATCGTATCGACTGGGTATGACCGTTCGCTTGTCTTGCACATATCGGGATGCAACTTGCCTGATGATGGTGCCGCTCTGGCTGCCGGTGAGACTGCTAGGGCATAACGTCACAGTGCGGAGCGAAGGATGCTAGGATGCAAACTGCCAAATCCTGGTGGCGGTGTCTTTCAATCCCGATCAACAATCCTCCGAAGCTCCTCGCTTTCCGGCTTTAAGTCCGAAAACCCGGATTCGTTGTGGAGGGGCGAACGGGTTCCTGCGTCGACCGGCATCCTTATCCTTCTTTCTCGGGAGCCTATTGTCTGTCTTAACCTCCCAGAGCCTTGCCATCATCACATCTCGAGTCTGCGCGGAGCAGTGCTTGGTGGCTACACGCTTCGTCCAGATCTCGGTACAAACACGATCGGTGGGGCACCAAGAAAAACGGTCTGAACGGCCGCCTGTGCATTGACCTTTTCTGACATCACATCTGTGATCGGTGGTTTCTTAGGCATGATGAGCCGTGCGCAATTGTGATTGACACTTCTGTGACACCCGGCCGGGCCCGGTCTGGAATACAGACCTTTAGAAGTGTGTCATTTGAATCGGCATCGATAGTTGAGTGAACACAGTGCTCGAGGCGAGCGCGCCCTAGCATCATCGTGCAGAAGCGAATTCGTAAAGCTCTACATGTCTTGAGATGAATACCGATATCTTTGATTTCGGTGCTTGACGAGGCCTTGGAGTGCATGGCGAGGATGCAGATGTCAGCCTGATGCTGATGCTGTTGAATCAATGCGCCGTGCGAAGACTCCAGTCTTCGAGCTCATCAGCAATACCGCATGGCATCTTACTCGGCGACTGGTAACCACAGAGCGCTTCGAACTTCTCGCCTGCCTTTGGGCATTCTCGTATCCATATGCTCATTGCTATTGCGCCGTTTCCTGCACGACGATTCTGAGGCTCGGGTCGCAGATTGCTTGACCTGACTGGACTCGCAACTCTCGGCGCAGTGGAGAGGCCAATCCGTGCCCCGCCTCATGATTCACTGGCAAAAGATATAACCCAAGCGCCATCATCCTGAACTGACGGGCGGAATGATGCCCACCTCATCGCCCTCTTTCAGGGCCAAGCTGCCGTCGGCACGGTCTTTCTTAGCCACCTCTTCCTCCATGTCCACATACTCCAAGTTGACCGTGACAGCAGAAGAGTCCAGCACCTTCTCTCTCAACCCGGGATACTTTTGATCGAGCACATCGAACAGCATATGAAAGGCTAGAGGAGCAGGGAGGAAGTCATGGTCTTTGCGGGTGTACGAGGAGGCCGCGGCGAAGTAGAGGATGGTGAAGTGCCCGGCTGGAGCTTTCGGAGTCGACATCGTCGCCCTGCAGAGACCACGTTAGCTTGAGCTCCTCTCTCTCTCGTTGGTATGCGCGAATCGGAGGAGGATGTGGTAGAGGATCAGATGTCTGCTTAATAAGTTGTTCTACAGATGCGTACAAGACACATTCGGGTAATACATGCTATAAGGTGAATCATCACGTTGGAGAATGGGGAGATAGGAAAGACTGGTACTCACCTCCGATGCTTGACGGGTGGAAAGGGTCAGGAAGAAAGGTGGTGGAGGTGTCATGGAAAAATGCACTTGCGGCGAAGTTCGGAAGTCTTGGCATTGGACATCATCCATCATCGCTCTTGCCTTGTCCGACCAAAACACAACTTTCATCCAGCCCCGGCGCACGCATGAGGTGCGCGGTAATGTTCCCTGTGTACAAGACGGTTCAACGCCAACCTCTCAATCCCACCTACATCTGCCTCTCCTGTCGTTTCCGGTCCCGCAAGCGCGAAGAGCAGCACCACAGGCTTGTAGAGCAGCAACGCGCTCTCGAGGAACGTCGTCAACGCAAAAGCAAGGATCGCGTGGCCAGATCAGCGGAGCGTGCAGCGAAGAAGTCTTCCAATGATACCCAGCCGTCGTACGAGCCCATCCGGGGTCAATACTTAGGCAAGAGCAGGAAGGAAGATGAAGCGCAGATATCGCCTGAAGCCATCAACGCTTCGCGCAGTCTCTCACCGACGATAGATGAAGGCGTCACATCTCGAGATTTTGGTTTGGGTCACCGCACTCTGCGTGAAGATGCGCAACGCTACGCAGGCATAAGAAGCCGGCTCATCAGATATGGGAGGTCCACTACAGAAGACGCAGTGCGTGCTGCTCTCGAGGATGTGCTCGATCTTCATCGAGCCGGTGCGGAGGAAGCTGAAAGCAACGACTTGAGGATAAAACAGTACCCATCTGCATCCGGACCCTCCACAATCGAGGACACCACGGCGCATGTATCCTTCGACAATCTGCTCGATCTTCATCGGGCCGGGGCGGAGACGGGTGTGCTTCCTAATGAGCCCAAGCATATTTCTGGGCTTGTCTCAGCAAGGCCTCTTTCAAGTGCTTGGCGATCTGCGCATATCAACTATCGTCCTTTCGCGAAGGGCGTGATGCAACAATCTCGACTCCTTCATTCATCACCTGAATCCCGACAGCAAGCCATAGCAGCGCGCGAATCAGACGTCCACCCACCACATCCTCCTGGATTGGATCAAATTCAGGAGAAAAGTACGTCGATTCGAGCTCAACTTCGCCAGTGGCAAAAGCTCCATGGCCACCAAAAAACAATGCTTGACGACGGCGCAGACTTGGATCAAGCTGTCGACACAGATGGCGTGATGAATCACTTGACACGACTCCCACTGGATAGCCGCGCTTTCAAAGACCACACACTCGAAGCGGAAGAGGAACGCCAAGCAGAGGCTCACTTCATGCGATCGTCAGATGAAGACCCAGATGGCGTGGCAATCGACACTCGCTGGCTGAGACCTGGTGACCTCGTGGAGCTTGAATTCAAGACCAAAGAGACTGAAAGTATCGTCGCTGTCTTCGTGCGGGCATCGGGCATGTTTGGGCAATTCTTCACCATGCACGGTCGATGGGTGTATCTTCTCGACCGGTGGATCCAGTACAGCGTTCCGGGCTGGATATCAACCGATCTCATTGACCCGATCATCCCCTATCTGCCCGAATCCAAGACTATTGAAGAAATCGAAGAGCTGGCCGAGCAATCCTACACGGAGGACCTTGCCGTACCCCGAAGTGCGGCCGCTCCTCTTATCAGCAAGATGGTCCAGTTCCACACGGAATCGTTGGAAATGTATCGCCGCCACGCCAGCGTACTAGACGATGCTCACAAGATTCTCTCGCACGACACCGATCTACGGTACGGATCGTTGACGTCAGCTGCAACAACGCTACTCAATGTACCCCGGCAGCAGCTGTCTGATACTGCTTTGTTCACGGTCCGCAAAGCACTAGCCAGGGCCGGCTTTGGTTTCAACGTGGACGCACGCTCTCATCGAATGACGGGCTATATTCAGATCCGTAGCAAACAGCAGGTCAGCATGGTATCCCAAGTACGCGGCTGGATTCGGGACTGGCAAGACGACCTAGCCCGCCGAGTCGCGACTGGAAAGCAAGGAGGCGCGCGAGCTGGCGGAGCCAATCGCACATCAGAGACAGCGACCTACATCTATAGTTTCCTGGAGAAAGCCAAAGCGATCGTCATGAAGAGCCGAGAGGACCGCGATATGACTCCTTATGGCAATATCGGACCCAGCAAAAAGCGCTTCCCCATCACGTCTGAGCAGGGGTCTCTGAAGATCACTTTGGAAGAGCAGTTCAATTGGCAAGATTGGCTCATTATCCGGTTCCTGGAGACGTGGGCTTGCGTGAATGGCTTCCTCGGATTCCCTCGACTCCAATCTTTGCCGCCGCTTTTGCTCCAAGCCATGGGTTTGTACACTCAGATTCCACTCAGCACGAGTACAGGCATCCTCTTTCTGCAGGAGATCGGCACACTCATGCCCCACGAGAATCGGGTACGCTTCGATGAACATCTTCTCCTGCCCACCAGCCAGCATTCCAAGCCGCTGCAGCAACTCCAATCCACGTTGGCCCAGATGGGATCTCAGAAGTCGCACCACTTTGCGGATTCCATGAAGGATATTCGGCACGATTGGCAAGACTTGCCAGTCTACTGTGTGGACAAAATTGATGCTCACGAGATCGACGACGGCATCAGCATCGAGCGAGCGGGCAGTGACCAATGGTGGGTACACGTGCACATTGCGAACCCAACGGCCTTCTTCGGACCGGAGCATCAACTAGCAAGAATGGCGAGGCATATGGGCGAGACTATTTATCTCCCCGAACGAGCGCACGCCATGCTGCCGGCCTGGGTTTCGGATTACCACTTCTCTCTCGGCAAGGATCGACCATGCTTGACCTTCAGTGTCAAAATGGACCTTGAAGGCAACACCTTGGATCAGCGGGTTCGAGCGGGAATAGTGCGCAATGTAGTGCGCTTGACACCGGAGGAGGTCGGCGAGGCAATTGGAGCGCAGTCGCATCCGGAAGACAAGGTTGTGGTAACCATTGGGGGCGAGGTCCCTGCAAAGCCGCAGAGGAAGAACCCAGTGCATAGTCTCCCCAGCAGCCACGCCGAGGCATTGAAGACGCTGTATCACCTGGCCGACAAGAGAAAGGAAATCCGCAAACGAGCGGGTGGCATCTTTTTCGACATGCAACGGCCCGATGTGGAAGTGTGGGCGAGTTGGAAGGGCCCCGGGCTTGGATGGGAGCATCCATATCGGAAGGGTGCTCGGCGAGTGGAAGGCGACCCGATCATCCGCGTGACCACGAAGAAGACGGTGAACTGGTTTCAACCCGTAGGCGCATCTGCCAACGTGCTGGTGCAAGAATTCATGCTGCTGGCCTGCGACACGGCGGGCAGCTGGTGCGCGCAGCGCCAGATCCCCGCCCTTTTCAGAGGCAGCGTAAAGAGGCCAGACACCATCGATAGCGCGACATTTGTCCGGGACGTTTTGGAGCCGGCGGCCAAAGAATCGAGCGATGGTATCCCCCCGCTCCATCTGGGCATTGCGCACCTCCAAACCCTGGGAGGCACCACCCTCCAAACCACCCCTTTCCGCCATCGCTTACTCGGCCTGGACTCGTACTGCAAGGCCACCAGCCCACTGCGCAGATATGCCGACATGATTCTGCACTGGCAAATCGAAGCGGGGCTGCGCGAAGAAGCGCGCACAGGCCGAAGCCTCATCACCAACGACGCCAAAGCCGACCGCAGCTTCCTGCCCTTCAGCCATCGCAGCTTGAGCGCCATCATGCTCGGCCTGCAACCGCGCGAAAGACTCATCACCAGCGCCAAAGCAGCCGGCCAGAACTTCTGGATCACCATGCTGCTCTTCCGCGCTTTCCACTTCAACGAAGGCCCCCTGCCCTTCTACACCAAGGCCTTCCCCACCAACCCCGACGGCACCACCAAACCGCTGATGCGCGTCTTTCTGTCCTCCGTCGCGCTCAACGATCGCTTCAGCGTGTCGGGTATCTGCCTGGACTTGTCCATCCAGACCACTATGCTGCGGCCAGAGAGGTGCGGGCTCGAGCCGGCGCAACATGGGGACGTGTGGGAGTGCGAGATGGAGGAGGTCAATGTGTATCGGAGAGGTGTGACCGCGCGGCCGGTGAGGCTGGCGCATCGGGAGGAGCGGCAGGTGCCGGATGAATATCGGGTGGGCAACCTGCGGCATACAAAGAGTCGGGCTCAGCAGTCTTGATGTGACTGCCCTCCACAGGTTGGCATCGCCGGCAAGAAAGCAATCGAAGAGAGGCAAAGCCCAGATAAGAGTGTTGTAAAACTATACTCGTTTGTACGCATACTGAACTGCGTCTACACCGTATACGAAACGTGATTTGTGCACTCAATCGGCCGCACCTCCAATTCTTTTTCAAAGGACCACCCAATCACGAAAAGCTCTCTCCTTCCACCCTTCACTCATCGCGGTAAAACTTCTTAAACACCAAATGCAACAGCAAATTCACCGCCAACTTGGCCCCCCCGCCCGCCTCCTCAAACACCACAATCGCATTCTGATTGTCGTACTGCGCCTGCAGCAGATCGTCCAGCAGCAGATTCGCGCTCGCTCCAGGCAACATCAGACTCCCCGAGCTGCCCTCAAGATGGAAAACGCCCACCTCGTCGGAGCTGATGACCACGTTCACCTGTCCCCATTGTTCAAGGGGATAGCCAGGCCATTGCAGCAGCACGCCCTTGTCGGCCAGCTGGCGCGCGGAGTACTTGTAAGAGCCGAACTTCGGTTGGCGACCGGCGCGCTCGAGTTCGCGCTCGTGGTTCCATTGCTTGGTGAAGGGGAGCAGGAATTTATGCTTCGCGCCCTTCTTGTTGGCCAGCGTGTGCAGGCACTGCTCGATGTAGTCGTTGTAGGACTTGAGCTGGTCTTCGAGGAAGTCGGCCTTGGCGTCGAGTTGCGACAGCGTGGCGCGCGTGCCTTCGATTTCGCGCTGCCGGTCGAGGCGCCGCCGGTGCTTCTGCCGGATGTCGGAGGCGAGCGCGTTGAGGAGCTCTTGGTAGTTGTCGTGCCTGCTGACGCGGAACTGGGCGGGGATGCGCGGTTGTTCGAGGGCGAGGATGTTCTCCAGAGCGCTGGATTTCAGCTCGGCGTAGGTCATGCTTTGCAGGTCGAGGAGGTCTCTTCGGTCTTCGGAGCAAGTTGATGGCACCTCGGAGTAGACAGATTGCGTTTTGGCGCCGCGGAGGGAGCCGCGAGGGTCGAAGAAGGAGTTTTGCCGCTTGGGAAGCTTCTTGTTGCGATTCTGCTCTGCCAGCTCCTCTTGCACGAGTTGGATCCAGCGGTCGGCATCTTCGTGGCTGATCGGACGGAGCAAAATCTCCATCAGATTGGCGCCGGATTGGACTTTGATGACGTACAGCACCAGTCGCTTCGTTGCCGTGAACAAGGCTCTGGCGTCTGCGTTCGGGTCCTCTTGGACGGTGTACCTGCTCTTCAACGTGAGTGTGATTTCACCACCACTCACGGCCCCACTGAGATCGCTCTCATTGCTCTTTGCCGAGCCCAGGTCAGCCAGCAGCTCCTTGATCGGGTCATCTCTCGCGGATGCCACAGCGGACAGGTTGTCCGCGACGAGGTTGTGCAGCGCGAAGATGTCTGCCAATTTGATATACAACGTCGGCTTAGTCTTCGCATACAAATCGCTGAATTGATCCGCATCGAAATGCTCATCCAAGCTCGGAACGTCCAGAACTCGGTTCAGGCATTCATGCCAGCGGTCCAGAGACTCCGACATCCAGCTGTTGAGCGGCTGCAGGTACAAGTTTTCAGTGCTGAAGAGTCTTCCAGCGGCGACTTGGCTGAGGACCGTGATGATTTGACCAAGATTGCGCTTGTGCGCAGGACTCAAGCCTCGATCGACAACACCCCAGAGTTCCGGCTCTTTCAGGGCAGGTAGTAAGAATGTCTTCCAAAGCCAAGATCCCATCTGCATGGCGAGCTGCGCGGGATCATCACGTTGGAAGTGCTCGCACAACGCGCGGTACTGCTCGGCCATGAGATAGCGCAAGCCATACGGCATGCGGTGCAGCGTCTCTTCGAGCGAAAGGAACCAACTATCGCACAGGTCGCGAAGGTCCTGCAGATGCTCGACATACTTCGGCCGAACATCCGCCTCTCGAATCACCACTTCGCGTGGCAGGTCTCGTGGGCGTTCAGATTGTCGGCCGGTAGAAAGCTCTTCATTGTTCAGGATCGCGCGGTAAATTTGCAACGGGTCGCTTTCGAGGTCCAAGTGATCCTGGGCGCAGATCCCCTCCTTGACAAGCCCGCCGAAGAGACTCTTGAGGTATGCCCGATCCTTGGGACTGCGGATGTAGCTCATCAGCAGCCGTTGGTAGAAGGCGCCGCTTTGCAACCTTAAGTATTCTTCCAAGTTTTGAGATTGTGAGATGGTGTTTTGCGCACTTGCCGCCATGAGCTTGAGGAGGAAGTACTCCTCGCGACTCTTCTGCGCATATCCAAAGAGCGTCATCATCAGGCGCTCCAGGTTCTTGCCATCCTTCTCGGCCAAACCACGAGCAGTCAGCTGCTGACACAGTCTCGCCAGATACTGCGATTGGGTCTGCAGCATGAAGAACAGCTCCTCGTAGCCGGTGAGTTTCTTCCGAGATGACTTGTTCAGGGCTTTCAGATCGAGGCCACTGCTCCCACCCGGGATGACCGCTCCACTTCGAAGCAGCTGGCTTGCAGAGCCGCCAAAATGCTTCTGATGCTTGACGACCTCATCCAGCGTAATCTTGTTCTTCACGAGCAAGGCGATCTTCATGTCCAGGCCTTCGACATAGCTTTCGACCAGTTCGTTCCGCCTCACGCTCTCAACGACTTGCTTCCTCAGTCTGTCAGCCTCGAGTTCTGATTCAAACTCCAGGGTCGAGTCCGTCAATAAGTGGAGATGTCGTCGGACCACGGGTAAGGGAGGATTCTTCCCATTCACCAGCGACTTATAGCTCTCGCCCTGCTGCTTCGCACGCACGAAGGACTGGAGCTTGATGACCTTTTGCATGTTTTCGTGGTAATGTTGAAGCTTGGTCTCGAACTGCGATCGGACGACGAATGCTCGGGCTGCCGCCTGGAGGTGAACAATCGCGTCTTCATGGTCTTCAAGAGCAGCAAGTAGAGTCCCGATGTTGCTTCGGACCATCATGGCCCGGATGAGCGCTTGTAATTGAGTGATCCGGTCGTCTTCTTTCTCCATCTCCACGAGCTGCTCGAAGATACGCTGTCGTTCAAGGTATGCCCTCGCCAGCGATTGCAAGTCAGTGATCTTGCTCTCTTGCTTTTCCAGGCTTGCGAACTGCTTTCCTATGCGTCCTCGTTCCAGCATTCCACGCGCGAAGGATTGCATCACCTTCACATTTGCGTCTTGCTGGCGTAGGCGCTCTTTGAGCACTCGCTGCTGCATTCTGACCTGCGATGCTTTGGTGACAGCCTGCAGTTTCGTAATGCCAGCTTCTCTGCCCTGGAGTGCGCCGATAGTCCTTGCTTGTCGAAGTCTGACCGCCAGCCCTCGCGCCGCGCTCTGGATGTCCGTAACGGCATCATGGTGTCGTTGAATCTGTGCATGTCTGGTTTCGTGACTCTTTCGCAGTAGAAAGCCTCTTGCTGCAGCTTGGAGGAGAGCCATTTGCTTCTCAACCTCCACGTCGTGCGTCTCTTGCCAAAGGTCACCAGCCCTCCACCGGCCCAAAGCACCGCGAATCGCAGCTTGTAGCTCGCGAGTACCATTGCTCTGCTTCTGCAACTGAGTCTTAATCTGTTGCGTCTGCGCTCTGTCTTGCCTTCCACGCCACAGGCCTTGTACTTTGACCACCGCAGCCTGATTTCTCGCCCAGTCCATTTGCTTCCTTTGCTGTCGCCTCCGGAACAGGCACCCCTTTGCAGCAGCCTGGAATCTCCGAGTAGACAGATCCATTGCATATCTGAAATCGAAGATCTCCCGCGCAAACCCGCCACGGGCCTTTGCCTGGAATCGCGCGATGCTTTCTTCCGCATCCCACAGATCCTGCATCATACTGCCGAGCCGCAGGCGGACGAGGGCACCGCGGACCTGCGATTGAAGATCCAGGATCACGTCTTCCTGCTCAGCAAGCAGCTCTTCGGGTGTAGGTTCCGGCTCGGGTTCGGGTTCTTCGATTTGCATTGCCGCTTTCATGCCACCGAAATTGGGCATCTGTACACCGCTGCGATCAATGCCCTTCTGAGTCTCTTCCAGTTCGTGCTCCTCGAATTGGAGTTGGCCGACGAGATTGCCAATTCGGAACTCCACTATCCCTTTGCGGTAGAGCAGCCATGAGAGCGCGTGGATACAGTAGATGACTTTGGGGATATTCTTCTTTTCGTAGAGATCCACAAGTTCGAAGCGGAAAAGTTCGGGAAGTTCAACCTGAGCCAGAAAACGGAAGAAGAGAGCGATGTTGTCGGAATGGCGAAACTGCAGGCGCGGTGAACGGAATATGCGCATCGACCCCAGAGCAGGTTGTTGGTCTACCGGCAAACCAGTGGAAAGGCGGACAACGACTTCGGCGAGGGTCACTCCGTCTCGTAATGCCTCCTCTAGTTGTACGATGGGAGGAAGCTCCATGGGTTCCAGCACGTCCTGGATCCAGTCTCGTGCCTCTCCGATATGGCAGAGGTATTCGTATGCTTGAAGGTGCTTCCGCTGAGTCTCCATCCATCGCGTAGACGCGTATTGGCTGGAGAAGGAACATTGTTGTTTGGCGTTGGGCTTGACGGACCCTGTCCGTTGTAATCGCTTCCGGCCGGCCATGCCCACCACCTGCTCTTCCTTTGAATGAATCCCGAAATCTTCACTGCCCTCCTCCGAGGCCATCTCGCTCAAGTGGCGGAATTGCGGTGTAGAGGACTTCTCTAGCTTTGCGAGATCTTCTCCATCCAAGTGTGGTGCGCTTATGTCTGTCTTGGAGGAAAATCGCACATGTCCGTCCTTTCGGGGTCGGGTACTCGCGCGCATGGAGTCCGACCTTGATAGAGTGGCCAGGCTGTTCTTGCTTTGGGGAGAAATTGGGCTTGTACTTCTTGGACGCTCGGGCTCGGGCGGCAGAAGAGCATCGGTACTTCTCCCTCGATAGTGGGACGTAGGCTTCGGCGGAGGGTCCATGGTGCGGTGTTCTTGGCGACTCAGTGGCCGGAAGCTCTGCGCTTCCTCGTTTTCCTTGCGGCTGGGATATGTGGACGTGGACACTGCGAATCGTGGGGCAATGTCAGGCGCCCCTCCTTGCAGTACGTTCCTAGCGACGGGTTTCAGAGCGGCGCGGCTTTCGCTTCGCCCAATTCCGGATCGCCAGTCGTCGTCCTTGACCTTGCGCGGGCTCACGTCCATTGTTTGAGCGCGCTTGTGAGACGGCTTGGAGCTCTGTAGATCTTGTTGGGTCTGCTCACGCTTCTCCCAGGCGGCGAATGCGGAGCTTTGCTTGACTGGTGACTCGGATCGGTCCCGTTTTGCGCCCACTGCTGCTCTTGCCCTATCTACGAATGGATCGCTTGCAGGGTCGTATGAGGGGTATGCTCCATGGCTGTCGCTGGATAATGTTCCATGCAGTGATGGGATGACGCGGTTCTCGGTATCGCTGTCGGTGGAGCGTGTCGAGAGAGTGTGTCGAAGCGGCGAGCTCTTGACCGGGGAGTGATCGCGCCGGTTGTGCGGAGGTGATGGCGACCCGTAGGCCGTGTAGGAAGGCATCTTGCAGCCAGCACTACTCCTTCCGAGGGGAAGAAACGAGTGTCGGGGCTTTTGAGAGGCAGTCACGCCTGCGTGGTGGCCGTTGCTATGCGGAAAGAGAATGTCGAATTGGCGGATGGCGCGAACGCGTCTGGCGACATTTCAGATGCTCTCGACCAAGAGCACTCAACTGGGTGACATCGAGTCTTGGGGAGACTGAATACAGAGGCGTGAGAGAAGCAGGATGAAGGGGACGGGGTGCATGAACCGCTTTGGAGGCCGGGTGATGCAAGTGGGAGGTTGTTTTTGTAAACACAGACACCACACTGCTCTTTCGGGAGTAGCGCGACGCCGCCGGGGTGTTCCAGGAAGTTTGAGCTTACCCGCCGGCGGTATGACAGGTCTCGGAATATTTACCGCCTGGAAATTCGCCGATACTATCTCAATCGTCTTCTCTTCGTCTGTACACTGCTGATGTCGCTTCTGCATAAGTTATGGCCGCTCGATACCTCAAGTCTGTAGCTGTCGACGTCCCCAAGCGCTGTAAACATCGAGCTACCCTTTTGGGTATAGCTTCTTTTGAACCCTGGGTCGCGTACGGATTTGGCCAAACTCTAAATCGCGTAAAAAGTTCGTGCATCTTGAAATTCGCAGACCGCATCATCTCACTCACAGCTTTCATTCTTACGAGCGGTACATCGCCAGCGATCCACCCTATACGACCAAGATGGCCGCCCTCCACGTCCTCGCCAACGGGCACAGTAACGGAGACCGAACAACATACGAGGATCCCGCGAGCGCTTTGCAACTCTTGAAGACTTACCACAGCCGAGATGGCATCTCCATCGAAGATCTCATGGACGAGGCGAAGACTGGCGGGCTCACATACAATGACTTCCTGCTACTCCCCGGCTACATCGGCTTCCCGGCGAGCGTCGTGGACCTCACGTCCAAGTTGACGCGCAAAATCTCCCTCAAGACACCCTTCACTTCCTCGCCCATGGACACCGTCACCGAGGCCAACATGGCCATCCATATGGCTCTTCTCGGCGGTGTGGGCGTGATTCATCACAACTGCAGTATTGAAGAGCAAGCAGAGATGATCAGGAAGGTGAAGAGATTCGAGAACGGATTCATCCTCGATCCCATCGTCATCAGCCCACGAACTACAGTTGGAGAGGCGCGAGCATTGAAGGAGCGGTGGGGTTTCGGCGGGTTCCCCGTCACTGGTAGGTGGAATACATTCCTAAGCGTCGCCGCAAAGAAGCATCATGATGCAATCTTTTTCATTAACTTTCGTTCAACCGCAAGCGGCTGGCCAACGTGCCGGGAGCGATTTGGATACCCATCAACCCTCTGATTTGCTGCTTTCTCCACCTTACCCTGCCACATCTCAGCAGTGTCGACCAGGTCGCTGACTACTGTACAGAGAAGGGCACACTCCGCAGCAAACTGGTCGGCATCGTCACCCCACGCGATCTCCAATTCCATCATGACCACAACTCGCCCGTCACCGAAGTCATGAGCACCGATCTCGTCACCGCACGGGAAGGCGTGAGCTTGAACGAAGCCAACAATATCCTGAGACAGTCGAAGAAAGGCAAACTGCCCATCGTCGACGCACACGACAACCTCGTCTCCCTCCTCAGCCGAAGCGATCTTATGAAGAACCTCCATTACCCTCTCGCCTCCAAAGTCCCCGGTACCAAACAACTACTGTCCTCGGCCGCCATCGGCACGCGTGAGGCAGACAAAGAGCGACTGCAAGCGCTCGTCGAGGCAGGCCTGGACATTGTCATCCTCGATAGCAGCCAAGGCAACTCCACCTATCAACTCGCCATGGTCCAATGGATCAAAGCCACCTTCCCCGATCTCCAAGTCATCGGCGGCAACGTCGTCACCCGCGACCAAGCCGCCTCTCTCATCGCCGCCGGCGTCGACGGCCTCCGCATCGGCATGGGCGCCGGCTCAGCCTGCATCACACAAGAAGTCATGGCCGTCGGCCGACCGCAAGCAACCTCCGTCTACCGAGTAGCCGAGTTCGCCGCCCGCTTCGGCGTGCCCTGCATCGCCGACGGCGGCATCCAAAACGTCGGCCACATTGTCAAAGCGCTCGCCCTCGGCGCAAGCACAATCATGATGGGCGGCCTCCTCGCCGCCACCACCGAATCGCCCGGCGCCTACGTCGTGGGCCCCGACGGCCAGCTCCGCAAAACCTACCGCGGCATGGGCTCCATCGACGCAATGGAGGACAAGAAAGCCTCCGGCTCGACCAGCGCGTCCAAATCGGCCAACACGGCGCAGAACGCGGGCACCGCGCGCTACTTCTCCGAAGGCGACAAGTTGCTCGTGGCGCAGGGCGTGAGCGGCTCCGTGCTCGACCGCGGTAGCGTGACCAAGTTCCTGCCGTACTTGATGGCTGGCATCCAGCATAGCTTGCAGGACGTGGGCGTGCAGAGTTTGGATGCGCTGCGGGATGGTGTGAAGGAGGGGACTGTGCGGTTTGAGTTCCGCACGGCGAGCGCGCAGGCGGAGGGCAATGTGGTGGGCATGTTGGGGGTGGAGAAGAAGCTTTACAGCTGAGCGATGCGGTCGGACAGTTTATGAGTGTTTTATATGGCGGGTACTCTGTATGTGCGTGTTTTTGGCAGCGTTGGCTAAGGGTTAGGGTTGGGGTAAGCTCTTGGGTACGGATGAACGAATTCGAGTAATTGTGCACAACGAAGCAATGCGAACGATTGTCGACGTTCCTGCACTGTGTAAATTAGTAGCGGGTGTTATAAATATATGTGGCCCGAAAATTGGGCGTCATTTCGTACGGTGGTGTTGGAAATGCTTGGTCGCAGAGCGGAGCGCTCGAATATGAGTACTGCCTGATGCGACATTCACCTCACTTCCAAGCTTCGAAGTGCAAACGAATGAATCGCATGACAGACGCCAATAATACACCGGCAACCAAGGCAGAGGCAGCCAAGCAGCGAAAGAGAAGAGACTAGAGCTTTGCAATATCATAATAGTCGAATATTGGCTCTACTCAATCCATTCTCACACCCACCAACTAGCCCACACGAAATGAACCCATCCACACCGCACATGCAATCTGCCAAGAGGCCTCTTCATCTACAGCCTGGCCTGGATCTTCTCCTGCGTATCGGCAATCGCATACTCGGAGCGGTTCTTCCGGCTGCGCACCTTGTCCGCGTCGGCCTTTGTGATGAACTTGGCCACGGTGGCGGGGTTGTAGTCCCAGTCGGAGTTCTTGATGATCTCCTCGTCCGACAGCTTGCGGTTCTTCTTGCCGTCCGCGCGCTTGTAGACGTTGATGACGACCGCGCCGCCCAGGCCGAGGTTGTGTTGGAGGGCGACGTCGGTTTCGACGAGGCGGTTGTTGGCCCAGCCTGGGAGGAAGGGGGGTTAGTGGTGGGTCTTCATTTGAGGGAGGGGAATTGCAGCTTACCTCTGAGTTGCCAGCAGAGCTCGGCGCATTGTGCAATGCCTGTTGCGCCGAGGGGGTGGCCCTTGGAGATCAGGCCGCCGGAGGGGTTGATGACGACTTGGCCGCCGTAGGTGATGTCGCCCTTGCGCACCATCTCGTGCGCCTTGCCCTTTTCGCAGAAGCCGAGGCCCTCGAGCAGAATGAGCTCGTTGGCGGAGAAGCAGTCGTGCAGCTCGCAGACCTTGATGTCTTTAGGGGTCACGCCCGCCTCCTTCATGGCGTCTTGCGCGGCCGTCTTGCTCATGCCGAAGCCGACGAGGTCCATGGCGCTGCCGGAGTAGAGGCTGGGGTCGTCGGTGCGGAGGGCTTGGCCGGCCATGAGGACGGCCTGGTCTTTGAGGTGTGCGCGCTTCTCGAGGAAGCTGGCGGAGACGATGACGGCCGCGCCGGCTCCGTCGCTCGTCGGGCTGCACTGGAGCTTGGTGACGGGGTGGTAGATCATGCCCGAGTCCTTGATTTCCTGCAGGGTGTAGGCCTTCTTGAACTGGGCGTAAGGGTTGCGTTGCGAGTGTTCGTGGCTGATGCGGCCGATTTCGGCAAAGTCGTCCTCGTGGGCGCCGTATCTGGAGGATGTTAGCCACGGAAGATCTGCCCCGGGATAAAGAGCGGAACGAGCTCACTTCTCCATGTACTCGCGTCCGGCATTGCCAAAAAATTGAGCATTTCGGGGAGACTTGTCGTCCCTTCCCCGGGACTCACGCATCATGTCCACGGACAAGCCCATCGGACTCGGACGGTCCTCCCAGCCAGCCTTGATGGCACCGGGTTGCATCTGCTCGAAGCCCACGACGAGCACGCAGTCAGCCGCACCCGCCCTGACCATGGTGCGGGCCATGTGCAGGCCGGTCGAGCCGGTGGCGCAGGCGTTGTTGGTGTTGTAGATGGGGATGCTGCTCATGCCGAACTGGTAGAAGATACGCTGGCCCTGGGTGGTCTCGCCGTAGCAGTAGCAGGCGACGCCCATCTCGACGTCGTCGTAGTTGATCTGCGCATCCTTCATGGCCTTCACGCCGGCCTCGAAGCCGAGCTCGACATAGTCGCGAGTTCGTCGGGGCTTGAGGAACTCTGTGAGGCCGACGCCGAGCACGTACGCGTCTTGTTGGGGCTTGAACACCATGTTTGCGATGAAATGGAAGACAGAAGTAGATTGATGATTTTTTGCAAGGAGTATTGGATGATATGTGAAGATCAGGAGGGAACAAGCATTGTGAAAAAGGACAGGCTGTCGACGTCAGTTGTGCCCGGCATCGAAGTAGCCGACCTGTACATTTTCCGACTTTCCCCAGCCCGCCCCGCGCCGCCAACCTCGGCAGCTCGGTCCGATGTGGGCGACTGGGGGCGTTGCTACGGGAGAGTCGTCGCATCGATCTGCACTTCTGATCGTCAATCGATGGCGATGGCCTACACGCTGAAATCCGTGTAGCCTTGCTGGGGCCGCGTATAACCGGCAGAACCGACGAAGTGTGATCGAGTGATGGGATGATTACTCTCCGGAGGTCTGTCCATTCTCGGCAACATACTCCTACCTTGTAGACGCCGATCGTGAGAGGACTTGCGGCGCAGTGTCTGCCTCTGCTACTATTGATGTCAGTCTCGTCTAAGGGCAGAGGAACACGATCAACCTCCATCACACCATGACATCTATTCCAGCTTGGCTTCAGTGACGCAGCAGCGGACGAGCATAGTCGGTGCGACTCGGCCACTTTGCAAGGCTTGAAAGAACCAGCAACGGTGGTTTTTTCATTGGCGTTTGATGCTTGATAGTAGAGGTCTGGCATTCAGTAGCGTGAATTTGGATGCCTGAGGCATCTCAAGCTGACGCCGGACCCTGGAAGCGCGTCACTCGAGGCGAAGCGAAGGCGGCAAGCTGGCTTAACGAGCCTCAGAAGGTGTCTACCTACACCTCCGTCTCTTCCTTTTACAAGATCATACATCACCAAATGTGACACGCCACGCCCTCGCCCCCTCGCTGCCGCCACGATGGTGAACATGAACGTGTTCCGCATCCTGGGCGACGTCTCCCACACCGCCTCCAAATGCATCCTCATCTGGGCCATCCACAACAACAAGTCGGCCGAAGGCGTCTCCCTCCTCACCCAATGGCTCTACATGCTCGTCTTCTGCACCCGCTACCTCGACCTCTTCTGGGTGCCGCCGCAGTTCAGCTGGTGGAATACGTTCTTCAAGCTCTTCTACATCAGCAGTAGCGTCTACATTGTCTATGTCATGATGCGCGTGTATGCGCGCACGCGCGAGAAGGAGTATGCGTGGAAGCTGGCCACGTGGTCGCTGGGCGCGAGTCTGGTCAGCGCGCCGCTGGTCTGCCTGATATTTGAAGGGACTCGAGGCATTTCGCTGTTCGAGGTGCGGAGCTTCCGACATTTGCAAGCCCAACGAAGCTAACACTGCCATCAATTACAGGTGTTCTGGACCTTCAGCATCGAGCTCGAAAGTGTCTGTGTCCTCCCCCAACTCCTCCTCCTCCGCCAAACCACCGTGCCCACCGTCATCGACAGCTTCTACCTCGTCACCCTAGGCAGCTACCGCTTCTTCTACATCCTCAACTGGATCCTGCGGCTTGCGCTAGAACACTACTTCGACGCCATCAGCGTCATCTTCGGCGTCATCCAGACCATCCTCTACATCGACTTTGCATGGGTCTACTACACACGGCAACGAGTGAAGTTGAGAGGAGGCGGCGTCGTCGATTCCGACGATCTCAGCAAGAGCTTTTTGGTGCGGCGCATCATTGGACGTGGCAGCAGGGCAGATCGAGAAGACGAGGAGATTGCCGACGAACATTCCGTGCTGGGCGGGCAAGAGAATGGGACGATTCGGCCTTCGGGTGGACGAAGCTGGGGCGCTCGGGGAATCAGCGTGAGTGCGGACGATACCCTCCCTGAGCGGCAAGGTGGAGCGCCGGGGGCATACGTGGATACGGCGTCTGATGCGCAGATGATTGACCCTGCGCATTTTGAGGAAGAAGACGACGACGACGATGATGCGGATGCGCCGCCTCCGTCTGTTGCTGCGAAAAACAGCAGATACGAGGCTGTCGAAGCGTCGGAAGACCAGGAGGCGTGGGCGTCCAACACGGGAGACCATTCGTGATTCTGTCAGTCGAATGGGTGCATCAAGCGGTGTCGATATCGGGTTTGTCTTGACGCATCTAGGGCATCCCATGTACGCTATTCTGTATCCTTGTTCACCCTGTAGATAGCCACAGAAAAGGCAGTCACCCAGGCCTCCTTCTGAACATCCGCGAATCGTTCGTTCGATGGCTGCAGAGAGGCTACCTTACCTTGCTGCGCCGTAGGACTTCTGTCGGACGACTTGCCTCGCCCGGTTCGGACAACCTCCTCTCGGCTCACCTGCTCCCCGGCTCACGATGCGCGGGGTGGTGGGGCAGGCGCGGCGGACTTCATCACGGCAGGTCATCATCATTGCCAGAGATTTCGTTGGCTGCCTTTCCTTCTTTTTGTCGAAGCCCTTTTCCGTCCATTGACCTGGTCCTCCTTCGTCTCCCGTGTCTCGAGACCCCAATTGCTTCCCTTTGTCTCCCGGGCCTCGTCTACAGCCAGTCACTACAACCGACCCACCATGGATCCCTCCAACCGCGACATCCAACAGGGCAAAGTTTCCCGCGACGACCCACAGTACCTCAACTTCCCCAACTCCAAACCCGGCTCGGGCCTCAACAAGTTCAGCTCGACGCTGACGCGCGAACATGACTTCCCCGCCGCCCAGGCCATGCTGTACGCCGCCGGCGTCCCCAACGAGCACCAGCTGAAGAACTACCCGCAGGTCGGCGTGGCCAGCGTGTGGTGGGAGGGCAACCCGTGCAACATGCACCTGCTCGACATCGGCAAGGCCGTCAAGGCCGCGGTGCAGAAGCAGGAGATGCTGGCGTGGCAGTACAACACCATTGGCGTGTCGGACGGCATCACCATGGGCGGCGAGGGCATGCGCTTTAGCTTGCAGAGTCGCGAGATCATCGCCGATTCTATCGAGACGGTGACTTGTGCGCAGTTTCACGATGCCTGCATTACCATTGCCGGTTGCGACAAGAATATGCCGGGTGTGGTGATGGGCATGGCGAGACACAATCGTCCGAGCTTGATGATTTACGGCGGCTCCATCAAACCTGGCTACTCGAAGCTCTTGGAGAAACCGATCAATATTGCCACGGCATTGGAGGCGCATGGTGCTTATATCTACAACAATCTCTCCAACCCAAACAACCCCTCTCAAGGCAAGGAGGAGCTGATTGGCGAAATCGAGAAGCAATCCTGTCCTGGCCAAGGTGCTTGTGGTGGCATGTACACTGCCAACACCATGGCCACCGCAATTGAAACCATGGGTCTTTCCGTCCCGGGCTCGTCTTCCAACCCGGCCGACAGCCCGAATAAGATGCGAGAGGCGCAGAAGGCGGCCGAGTGCATCAAGATTTGCATGGAGAAGGATATCAAGCCTCGGGATTGTCTTACCAAGGCTGCATTCGAGGATGCGTTGGTCATGATGATGGCTTTGGGCGGATCGACGAATGGTGTCCTCCATCTTTTGGCCATGGCCGGGACAGCAGGCGTGGAATTGACATTGGACGACTTCCAAAAAGCCAGCGACAAGATTCCCTTCCTCGCCGATATGGCGCCGAGCGGGAGGTATCTGATGGTGGATCTGTTCGAGGTGGGAGGTATCCCATCCGTGCAGAAGTTCCTGATCGCCGCCGGCTTGATGCACGGCAGCGGCATCACCGTGACGGGCAAAACGCTGAAGGAGAACGTGGACAACTGGCCATCACTGAAGCAAGACCAACTGATTGTGCACGGCCTCGACAATCCCATCAAGAAGACCGGCCACATCGAAATCCTCTACGGCAATCTCGCCCCCGGTGGTGCAGTGGCCAAGATCACGGGCAAGGAGGGCATGAGGTTCCAGGGCAAGGCGCGCGTCTTCAACAAGGAACACGAGCTCGACGACGCCCTGAACAAGGGCGAGATTCCGCACGGCGAGAACCTCGTGCTCGTTGTCCGTTACGAAGGACCCAAGGGCGGCCCCGGCATGCCCGAGCAGCTCAAAGCCTCAGCAGCAATCATGGGAGCCAAGCTGACAAACGTCGCCCTCATCACCGACGGCAGATACTCCGGCGCTTCGCACGGCTTCATCGTCGGCCACATCGTCCCCGAAGCCGCCGTCGGAGGCCCCATTGGCATCGTGCAAGACGGCGATGTCATCACCATCGACGCCGCGAACCACGTCATCAGCATGGACGTCAGCGACGAGGAGATCAAGCGCCGCCAGCAGGCGTGGAAGCCGCCGCGGATGGAGGTGACGCGGGGCGTGTTGGCCAAGTATGCGCGGTTGGTGGGCGATGCGAGCCATGGGGCGATGACGGATTTGTTCTAACCTGCTACATAACTGACATACATAAAGGAAACACAAGGAAAACGCTTCGTTCGAAATCGTAGCCATGCTTGCTGGGAAAATCAATCAATCAGCACACGGAACATTGTAAAACCGCACCACATTCGTCGGCCTGCACCCCGTCGGCGCACTGCCGTTATTGTAGTAAAGTCCCCACTTCAGCTGCAAATAATTCAGTCCATCAATGTACGAGTCGCACGCTACTCACATTCACTCATTAGTCACAAGGCGAACACACTCAAGGCCGAGAAGAACGACCTACCCAACCAAAGCTGATCGGCCGCCGTGCGCATCGGCTGAATCTCCCCTTGCATGCCAGTCCCATTGCCGTAGAAGAAGTGCGGCCAGCTTTGGCCCTTCACGGCGAAAGCAGGGAGCGCGGCGCCGTATAGCTCGCCTACGTCGGGGACGGAAATGCCGTACGAGCCGGGCGAGAGGGTGTTGCAGGCGGAGTTTTGGGCGTCGATTTGCAGGGCCAGGCTTGCGTTGCCTGAGCTGCCACTGAGACTGACTATGTTGCGAGTGAGTTGTTAGACTATACCACGTCTACCACTACAGGATGAGAAAGACATACCTGGCGTGCCCGGGTAACGCGGACTCAATTTCTCGCCCACGAGGAAGAGTTCGCCGGCATTCCCACTGTTGATAGCGTTGAGCGAGAGGTAAATTTGAGTATCGTCGGGCCCGTCGCCGAGACTCATGGCTAGGCTGAAGTCGGCGGAGAGGCAGGGTTGGGCCGTTGCTGTTGTTGCTAGCCAGAGGGCGCCGACGAGGAGGGAGGAGAGCATGGTGGGTGTTTTCTCCTTTAGTGTTCTGGTGGGTTTCTTGGGGAGGTGGATGGAAGATGCAGCGAGGAGAGACTGCGCCGACTTGGGGGCCGGGTTTTGTAAGGGATCTCTGTGTACCTCTGGACGCAGCTGCAGGTAATGTATGCGGTGAGATCAGGTCACAAGGCTTGCTTGCTAATTGCCTGCCCTGGGATCCGCGTTACTCGACGACTCACGGAATGCAACGCGGTGCAACGACGATCCAAATGGAATGCAGACGAAACTTATCCCCTCCCGCCAACACGCTCGCCACCCAGCCCAGCAACCCTCCCACAAAAGCCGCGCACAGATGTCATGTTTCCATATGTTACACACCCATCCAAGGGGCTCGGGAAAGCAAACTCGCCTTCCCAGCCTGTCACTCCGCAAAAGCGCGAGCAGTGACGTAGCCTTGCCCAAGGCTGGGGAGTGCTTCAGCCGCGCTGATTGGAGGCCGTTCCAATTTCGCGGCTGACCAGGCTGTGCGGTGCTCCTCTGTTTCTTTTTATATCAAGTTGGGGGCCCAATCGCTTTTTGCGTACTCGAGTGGTTGGAGGTTCTTGATTGCTTACTGTTGACTGTTCGACGGGCCACAGGTGTGATTGTCTACGGCAATGGAACCCCGCGCTTTGCCGACCTTCTTTGGTCGAATCGGGTAGCAAGTATATGTTATCTGTGGTTGTGCGAGGGGCGGTCGGCGGGTGGAATGAGTGCACACGGATGCTTGCTGATAGTCTATGATGAATCATCTCATTACATGCGTGACAAGGCCCTCAATTGCACACACGAAGAGAGTAAGCAGTGTCACGACTTTCTCTCCAGTTGTCGGGGAAGCGACAGCGTCTAGTCGTTAACGTTCAACGACAGTTCAAAATACTCAGCTAGCCAACGACAGTGCCCCGTCTTTCCATATGAACAGCATACCGCACATACAGTTCGTTGACAAAGTGCGAGTGCTTCACGCCCGGCGGCCGCTTCTCTGCAAACTCGGCAATGGCGTCTTGTAAGCGGTAGTCCAGGCGCTCCACCATGTAACATATGAGGAAAAAGCCCGTGCGGTTGAATCTGTGAAGCATCGTTAGGACTCGGCTAGACCTCGCCATGCCATGTTCAAGTGGATACTAACCCGTAATGACAATGAACGCCAATCGTCGCCGGCGGGACAACCATCTTCGTCTCCCGGATCTTGTCAACTAGATCAATGAAGCCTTGCACCTCCTCCGCTTTCGGCGTCTCCTTCGACACAGTCGGAAACTTGTGGTACTCCACCCCCGCATCCTCCAATCCCTTCGGATGGTAAACCGGCGTTTCGTGACTGATGTCCACCACTATCGCCACCCCATCCTCGACAGCGTTGCGACTGAAATGCTTGACGAACTCCTTCGGACAATGCACATCGTCCACTTCGCGCATCGTCTTCATGGCGCGGAACAAGCCGGCAATGGGCGCGCTGCAGGCGTCGATGGACTGCCACTTTTTGAGGTTCTTCACGTCCCACTTGCCGGAGGTGGTGAGGTGTTGCAGCTGCCAGCCTTGTCCCAGGCGTTCGTCGACGTGGCGGGCGAGGAAGTTTTCGATCATGCCGGAGAGGACGCGGACGGTGGAGGACACGTACATCAAGCCGTGGCCGGATGGCGCGGGGAAGATGGTGGTTTTTAGTGCGAAGGAGTGCTTGGTTGCTGTGTGTTCGTCTTGAATGGCGGTTCCACTGTCCATCCTTGGACGATCGAGATCGATGGCGTTGGTCTGGGCTTTGCGTTGGAGTCCCAGGGTGTCCCCTGCGACAGTAGGTAAGGGTACGCTTCTAATGGTCCTTGCCGGCTGTGGAGAGCCATGAGCCCGCTCGGTAAGCCACGTGTTGATTTGTTCCACTTCGGCGACCGGCGTGAGATGGTCTGCTTGGCCTGCGACAAGGAATAGCGGTACCTTGATCGTCGACCAAATATCCTGACCGGGCAGCTCAAAGCGGCCTACCCCTCCTGCAGCCATCAGTTGGAAGACAGCGGACTGGGATTGCTCATTGAATTGAAGCTGGAGTTTCCTCGTGTCCTCATCTGCGGCTTCCCCAACCATTCGACTGACGCTGCGACTGTTGATGCCGCCGCGGCGATCATACCATCGAAATAAGTCGAAGATGTACGTCGGCAATCCTTGTAGCCGTTTTAGTGTTAACACTTCCGCGGCACTGAAAGATGTGGCTCGCGGGCATATGGAGACCATGCCGGCTACAAAGTCTTTTGTTGATGAGTGCAACGGAGAAGCAGATGATGCAAGTAAAGCCGTGATCGAGCAGCCCATGCTGTGGCCTATCAACACAACCTTCTGGCCATTCTGTGCGTCACGGAATTTGTCGATGGCAGCTACCACCAACTCGGCCAGTGCGAGTGTGGTATATGCACGAGGATCCTTGGGGGAAAAGTCAGAGAGTCCGCATCCTGGAAGGTCGATGGCGAGACACGACGCCACGTTGATGAGACTGGTGAGTAAGGGTTCGAACTGTGCGACACTACCGCCGAGTCCATGGATGAAAACCAGCAGCGGAATGTCCCGAGGGAGCTTTGAGGCCTGCTGATGCTCTTTGTAGAAAGTGCGAATCTTGGGATAAGTAAAATGGGAGGGTGTATTGTAGGCTTCGTATGTGGTGTGCTTCCTCAGCAAAGATGGTTCTGTTGCCGTTGCTTTTACAGGTTGTCAGTTAGCATCGTGTATGCTCGTCCGATATCTACGCACCAGCCTTGATCCTCTTTTGCGACGCGCGATCGTGCTGGCTACGCCACAGGATGAAGAGTCCAAGCGCAACACCGCCGGATATCAGAGTCCATTTCGATCGTACAAGATGATCGGTGAGCGACTCCATGCTGGCCCGCACAGCCACGTTGTCCATAGAAATATCGCAATGTGTGAGCAGACGGCCAAATCAGGTCATCGATGTACATGTAGATTCAGTAGCAGCGGCATCGTGTTGAGTGTTCTGTGGAAGACGCGGCAATACTGTCACAGTAAGAGCGGAGGGTGTCCTTTCCGAGCCGTGGTCTTCCAAAGCATCGCTCCTGCCGTTTCACGGCATAATGTGTAGAACAATGAAGTCGCGAGATTGGAGGGGAAACGTAATGTTCAGACTGTCCACTGTCTTCGTATATCGCTGAGCACAATCCGGACATATGCAACGCGCAAATCAAAACCAATCCATCGGTGAAGCAAAAGCACGCACGTGAGATAGACTTTGTGATAGGACATATCAGCGGCACGGGCCGCCCCGTGTCTAGCGCCTCCACAGACCGCGCGCACTGAATTTCGGAAAAAGGCCAATTGAAATTCCCACGACCACGAACTTCCACCCCGTCCGTCACCACATCCCCACCCACACACACCGCAACCATGCCTGGCGTATCAGTCAAAGACGTCCCTTCGGACAAGTTCATCGAGGCCTACTCCGCTTTCCTCAAGCGACAAGGCAAGCTGCCGATTCCAGGTCCGTGAGCACACCACGACATCGAGATCCTTCCACACCCCACACGCACATTCAATCAAGAGGAGGGAAAGATTTCTTGGGGCGATTTGCATATCTGCACCCTTGATCTGGGGAAATGAGATACCTGAATCCCGTGTGGGACGGGGGACTCGATGTCACAATGAAGAAGAGTGTAAGAACTCTTTAGTTGACATGGTCTACAGGTTGGAGCGACACCGTCAAGACGAGCCACGCAAAGGAGCTGCCGCCGCAGTCATCCGACTGGTAAGAGAGAATTATGTACCCCTCTTATCTCCCTTCATACTTACGAAACTTCTACAGGTTCTACGTCCGCGCCGCTGCCGTCGCCCGCCACGTCTACATGCGTAAGACCGTCGGTGTCGGCCGTCTACGAAAAGTCCACGGCGGCACTAAGAACCGCGGCTCCCGCCCCAGCCACCACGTCGATGCCTCGGGCGGTGTCGACCGGAAAGTGATGCAAGCGCTGGAGAAGATTGGCGTGCTGGAGCAAGATGAGGAGAAGGGTGGACGCCGCATCACACAGGCCGGCCAGCGGGATCTTGACCGTATTGCGCAGACGTGTGTGGAGGCCGAGGAGGAAGAGGACGACGAGTAGCCGACCCACCCAGCCTCTGGCGGAGTCTTTATTATGCGTTTAGCATAGGGTCGGCGTGTTCTTCTCGGATGGATTTGTAGAATTCGAAAAGAAAAAAAGGTCTTCAATTGATCATCACCACCACCATCCTTGTCATTTTTCTCATACACATGCTTCCTCATACTGCAAGGAGCGAATATTTTGTTCTCAGCCACGAGTCCCGACAAAGAACTTGGTGTAATAACTCTTGGCATGACCGTAGACGAACTGGAATGCAATCCCTCCACCTGACGGCCAGTCAATAACTACTACAGAGCTCACGTGAAGTGGACTTATTCACTCAGCGGGCTTTTGGTCGGATCTAATTAGAGTCGTCAGCAAATGGACCACCCATCGAAGTCTGCAAAGTACGAATAAGGCAGTTAGAAACTCACCCCAAGCCGACGGCGAATAAGCGCCCGTCTCCAGAGTCTTCATATCCTCCTTGTCCAGCTCGAAGTCGTAGATCTGTGTATTCTCCTCGATGCGCTTCTTCGTGACGCTCTTGGGGAGGATGACGAAGCCTTTCTGCAGGCCCCAGCGTAGGAGGATCTGAGCGGGTGTCTTGTTGTGCTTCTTTGACAGTTTTGCAAGAATGGGATCGTCCATTCCTTATTTTGACATAGTCAGTGACGATGTAGTCTGATGTGGGAGGGTGGCACCACTCACTCTGACTGCGAACGAGAGGCGAATATGCCTCTAGCACCACGCCTCTCTTCTCGCACCATTCCACGATGTCGGGGCGCGCGAGCCAGGGGTGGAGCTCGACTTGGTTGACGGAGAGCACGCCTGCTTTCTCCTTGGATTGTTGCTGTGGCCCTGTTAGCATTGACTAGAAGCAGATTTCAGAGATGGAAAAGCTCGCCTTTTGCCACTTCTCTAGTTCATCGAGATGATGCACGCCATAGTTGCTCACACCAATGCTTCGGACTTTGCCTTCGTTCACTTTCTCCACGAGGCCTTGCCATGCGCCAAGCCGGGCCTCCTTGCCGCCATACGGGGCATGGAGAAGGTAGAGATCAATGTAGTCCTAAGAACGTGTCAATAGTCTGCCTCTCGAGTAAGACGGTGAAGCAAGCTTACAAGTCCGGTCTTCTTCAGGCTCTCATCTACGCATTTCTTCGCACCCTGATAGTTGACTTCCTTGGGCGGGACCTTGGACGTGAAGTACAGCTGATCGCGCGGGATGCCGGCCTTCAACATGCCAGCTGAAGAAGGCTCCTCGTTGCGATAGACGGTAGCGGAGTCGACGTGTCGATAGCCCGTCTTGATCGCGTGATCGGTGACATCTTCTGCGACGTCTGAGGGCGTCTGGTACACGCCGTAGCCCAACACTGGAATTTCCCAGCCTGTTTGTTGATTGAGACGAGATTAGTAGGCTGCTACATCGTCCCGAGATGATCGATCGATAGACTAACCAGAGGCGAGCTTCACTTTACTGTTGATGTCGTACTTGGCCATTGTGGCGGTCGATGCTACGAAGGAGCGGCGCTGCGGCGTTGAGAGGTGTTTCTGGAGTAAGATACTTCTCGAAAGCGATGATGACTTTGGAAGACTCAACGGCATTTGTGAATGATAATGGACGAACAACTTGCCACCGATGTGGAGTGAAGACGAATGGAATGGTATGGAGACCTGAGGCACGATTCGACCCCAGCTACGTCAGTGGACCGTGCGCGAATTTCTACGCGTGAGTGCAGATGATGCAGATCAGCGCATCAACTCGACATCCACACAGTCTGGCCTGTGTTGAACAATTCTCTCGAGAATGCGGTGACAATCTGACACAAACAATCTTCAAGATGCGCCTCATCAAGCAGAACATCGAGCGCAAAGATGGCTCCGGCTCGGCAACGCTCCTGCCAGAGGAACCCGAAGACATGGTGAGCTGCCTGTCCGTCTCTGCTGCTCATACGCATCGTCCGCCGCAGCCTCGCTAACCTCATCGCTCAGTGGCATGCGTACAACCTCATCCGCGAAAATGATCTCCTCCGCGCCTCAGCCGTGCGCAAAATCATCACCGAGTCCGGCGCAGGCAGTCGATCCGTCGACCGAGTACACACCACTTTGACCATCCGCGTGACCAAAACCGACTTCGACCCGCAAGCCGGCCAACTACACGTCTCCGGCCGAGTGGCGGAGGAGAACAAGCATGTCAAGCTCGGCGGCTTCCACACCCTCGATCTCGAGCTACATCGGAACTTCACGCTGGAAAAGGCGGATGGGTGGGATAGCGTGGCGCTCGATACGTTGAAAGAGGCCGTGAATCAGGATGCGAAGGCGGAGCTCTGGGCCGTCATTATGCAAGAGGGTTTGGCGAACATTTGCCTTATTACAGAACACCAGACGATCCTGCGGCAGCGGATTGAAGTCAGCCTTCCGAAGAAGCGCGCAGGCTCCACGGACCACGAGAAGCAGCTGCAGAAGTTCTTTCAGACTACGTTTGAGTCTCTCCAACGGCTAATAGATCTGGTGGACCCCAAGCCGTTGCTCTTGGCCAGCCCAGGCTTCACGGCGAGTAGCTTTCAGCAGTACATCAAAGCACAAGCGGCGTCCGGAGGCGATAAACGAATACAACGGCTTCTACACAAGATTGTCGTCGTGCACTCCGCCTCTGCGCACCTACACAGTCTCGGCGAGGTTCTCAGCAGTACAACCGTGACGAAGCAGCTCAGCGACACGAAGTTCGCGCGAGAAACGCAACTCATGGAGCGCTTCTTCGAACTGATGCGCAACGATGATGCGCGAGCGTGGTACGGGCCGAGAGAGTGCGAGGCGGCGGTGGAGCGAGGAGCGGTGGGAAAGGGAGGCGGCGTTCTGTTAATATCCAACGCGCTGTTCCGAAGCCAGGAGATCAAGACTCGGCGTAGATGGGTGAGGCTTGTGGATGAGGTGAAAGATCAAGGGGGTGAGGTGCGGATATTAAGCAGTATGCACGAGAGCGGGAAGAGGCTGGAAGGACTTGGTGGGATTGCGGCGATTTTGACCTTTCCCATCGAAGACCTGGACGGGGGAGACGAAGGTGGGGATGAGAATGGTGGCGAGTTCATTCACAACGGTGATGATGCCGGACCGCTGCATGGTATCGAGGGTAGGACGGAGCACGTGGACATCGACATATAACCATTGCCTACATTGGGAAGGTGGAGCCATCTTTCCTAAAAGGGAAAGCGGTACATCCAATGCTCTCCACAACCCTGCAACATTGCCTGAAACGACCCTTGGTAGAAACGTTGGGCCCTCGATCTACTTCAGGAGGACTGCACTCCTCATTTGTGGGCATGAGGTCAGCACATTCGAAAAAAAAAGATAAATAGGGCCTCTCGCACCCTCGAGCAACAGCACATCCACCTCCATCTACCAACACCAAACCACTGCCGACTGCAACCAATCATCATGGCTTCCAACCTTTACGAACGCATCACGCAGACCGCCCTCGAGTTCGCCCACGGCTACGACCAAGCCAACTGCGGCCGCGACATCACCACCCTCTCCACCGCCCTAACGCCCACCTGCCGCCGCTACTTCGCCCCCGCCTCTCTCCTCACACAAGCCCCCGCCCTCGCAGCAGGACGCAGCAACGCCGAATTCGAAGCGCAAACACAGCAAGAACTCACGGGCGCCATGTCCAGCTGGGAAGTGGAGATTCTCGATTTGACCGTCGACGAACGGGCGCGGAAAGCGGTGGTGCGGCTTGTGTCGCACGCGACGAGCAAGCGGGGCAAGACGTATGACTTTGAGAATGTGTTTACGCTGTTTTTCACGGAGGACGGGGCCAAGGTGGAGAAGATTGTGCAGTTTGTTGATGTTGGGGCTGCGGGGCAGTTTATGAGAGATGAGATGGAGTTTACGGGGCAGTTGCAGTGAGGGGGGATGAAGGGATCGAGTAGAGAGGGTAAGACGGATTACGAGGGACGACTTTGATACAGATAGAGCTGCTCAGAGCAATTGTGATCGATTGTCTGGAAACCTCCTCGCCGGGCAGAGCTCCGAAAATGCCAAAAGAAGATAATTAGTCTCCATTTCCAAACTTAGCTGGTGATCAAGGTCTGCTATTTTGGTAGATTTAGCTCTCTTTAATTGAGACTAAATTAGCTGCATTGAGGCCCCCCACCGATCCAAATTCCCACCTAAGTCCCAAAAATAGCAGCACCGCTTGCCTCGCCTCAGTCATCAGGCTGTCGCGCTGGCTGGCGTTCACCCAGAACCACTCGATCTCGGAGTCGACGAGTGCGGCTTGACCGCTGCGGGCGGCGCTGCCTTGGGGGTGTCCGTGGTATTGCGGCGAGGGCGATGCGCATTTTGCTTCTCACCGTTCGTCACATCGTGGCCAGTGAATGCTGCGGAGGGCGGCAGCTTTATACCGCCTTCGCTGGTGTGTTCAATTGGGAATCATCAGCCTCCGAGGCGTGGTTCTGGCGGTGTAGGGTCAATGTCGTCATGTGCTCGTTGCGTAAGGCGTGGGTTATGTAAGTTGCGAATGGCCGGGTCGCGTATCCGACAACAGCCGGTGGAGGTGCGTCGACATGGAATACGAGCGGTGTCTCCCCATCTTCGCTCCCACGGCGGCAGTCGTGAACCCGTCTCGGTGGAGGAGAATGCCAATGCCTTGCCGACACCTACATTGATCATCCGAGATACGCAGCAAATGCCAGAGCAGACCGGCGAGCAAAGCGGCACGAGACGCGCTCAAGCTGCATCATCTCCATTCGGCGAAGTGCGAGGGCGGATGCTCCTCCGCCGTAGCCTCCTCCATCGCATCATTAGCTCAGCAAGTCTGAAACATGGGCGGGCGCTGCACACGTTGCTGAAAATAATGAGAGGAGAGCCGCCCGCTCCGCACGCATGCGCCGCCTAAGCCCCGGCGGGTCCGTGTGGAGGGGGGGCAAAGTCTAATGCTTAATTAAGGCGCACCCCGGTCGGCGCAAGGCTCCGCCCACGCCATCGCGGTATGGCATCTGTACTACTTAGAGCATGCGCCGTCCAGCTTCTCGGTCACATTCTGTGTAGAGTCGAGTTGTCACTTCCCTCACTCCGACTCCTCTGCTCGGCTTCGCTGCTGTGGCCCCTCCCTACCATGTCTGACGTTCGGACCTACCCCAATCAGCAGGCGGGCGGATACGCTTCCGAGTCCATGTCGAGTTTCGGCGTCTATATCCCATTCCACCCCTCATATCTGACTCCAGACCACAACCCCGACACCCTCGATCAATGGGATGCGCGTCCCTACTCCTCCTCCCCACCACACCAGCCGACCGCCCAATACCCCACGCAACACCCCACCATCACCATCCCACCGTACCAAGGCCACCCCAAAGACCCCAACCGTCCCCGCAGCAGTCCCAGCACCTTCGGCCCGACCTTCGACAACACGCAGTGGCCCGTTTCCAGCGGCCTGCCATTTTCCAGCGGTCTTCCGCTCCCCGATGTCGGATTGGGCATCTACCATCCCAACACCATCGGCCAGCCGACGCCAGTGACTTCCACTTTCCCCCCCAACTTCCTGCAGCCCTTTGCTTCTCCCACCATGGCGCAGCAAGAGCACGAGGCGATGAAGAGGAAAGACTCGCAGCAGCAAACCACAAACCTTTGCAGCACGTCAAGTCCACCAGGCAATCGAATCGCCCACCCGCAGCCCCGCAAACCCTCCTCCAACCAACTCGCCACAAACATCACAGCTACCGCCAGCGGAGGCACTCCGCAAAAGCGCAGACGCAGCGAAGACGACCATCCAGCCGACGCGCCTCAGTCCAAAAACAACAAGCGCCGCCGCATCTGCTCCTTCAACCTCGCGGAGCTGAGCGACAACGATCGCCTGCTCGCGCAAATCTGCGCGGAGAAGTCCTACTCGTGGAAGGACGTGGCCGAGTGCTACTCGGAGGTGGTGGGCGAGCCGACGAAAATCGAGACGCTGCAGATGCGGTACGGGCGGATGCGGGGCAAGACGCGCGCGTGGACGGAGGGGGACGTCGAGGCGCTGCGCCTGGCGGTCGAGGTGTGGGAGGAGAAGAAGTGGGAGATTGTCGCCAAGGAGGTGAGCTTTGATCTGCGCTGCAGTTGAGAGAATGTGGGCTAACGACGGTTTAGATGCTCGCCTTTGGCATTGCAGAGAAGTGGAATGCGTCACAGCTGGAGCGGAAATGGCGGGAATTGGAACTGGCAGGTGGTGCGGCATCGAGAGGCAGTGGTGGCGCGAGGACCGTGGCCATGACGCCCGCCCTGTCGCAGTTTTCTTCGTCGCAGCTGTCCACGCCCATCGACGCGCCGGCGCATTTCAATTGGCCACTGCCGTGAGTACATCGATTGGTCTTGACCTACCTCTGAGTTCGAGAATCATACCCAAGGCGCAAGTGGAGTGAGCCGGCGCAGGACAAGGGTAGGCAGCGGGCTTTTGCATTTTCAATGATACCCCTTACACTCGCTTTGGACATCGGCGCTTTTTGGCGTTTATTGCAAGTGTTTAGCTATGCAACTTGGTTTGAAGTATATCAACTTTTCAGCACACCAAATTTTACCTTCGAGAGCAAGTCATTTGACCGCCGTCCATCCGTTGGCAGACTTTGATGTCGTCCGTGCTGCGCTCATGCACTCCCACTCAGTGCAATGCACTCAATCTCCACCGGCACGCCCTTGGGGAGTTCCTTGACAGCAACGCAGGATCGCGAAGGCTTGTGCGCAAAGTACTTTTCGTACACCCCGTTCATCTCGGCGAAGTCACCCATGGAAGTGAGGAAGACGGTCGTCTAGACATGATCAGTTCGCACATGCACACATACAAATCTGTGCTATGCGATTGGTGGCCTTACCTTGATGACCCGATCAATGGACGAGCCAGCCGCCTCGAGAATGGCCTTGACGCTCTCGCACGACGCCTTCGTCTTGTCTGCAATGCTGCCCTCGACGAGCTTGCCGGAGGCATCGGCGGGGATTTGGCCGGACACGCTGCGAGGACGAGTCAGTCGGGTGAGTGGTGCGGCTGTACAAGTGACCGTACAAAATATGCGGCCCGGCGATCATGGCTTGGGACTGTAGAGGAGAGATCAGTGGCAGCCCGCCATAGTGTGCTCTGGTAAGAGAGATGGAGGTCTTACGTAGGGCCCCACGGCTGCGAGGGAAATGGATGTCAGTCAATGCTGAAATGAAGTACATGAAATATTCGACACTCACGCTGGGCGGCATTCTTGGTGTTGAAGGTCTTGAGATCAGACATGGTTCTGGTTTGGGATTGGGGAAGCGGAAGGCGGTAGGTGTTGACTCGGGGGAGAAGTGTAGTTGCTGGCTTTTCGAGGCGTGAGATGATGGAAGAGAGGCGAAGAGTTCTTTGCATGAGCATTGTTCGTTGAGGGAGGGAGATGGAGCCTGTCCTTAAGGTGCGGTGGGTAGCGTTTCCGCCTTGGGCTATTTAAGCCGGTCACAACCGCCTTCCGAGATTTCCCTAATGCGGCCTGAGGCTTCATCAATTTGGTGAATGTTTCCCTGGAGCTTAGAGAGCAGTCTAGTTCGTTTAAATGTACATGAAGTAAAATCCCGATGGGTATTCTATACATGCATATTGACAGCGCCCAATCTCCAAGTATACACTCCGACGCTTACCTAAACGAAGCACAAGGACATCCTCAAACTCCCAACGACGGCGCCACCGGCAGCCAAGTCCACACAACGACACCAATAACAGCGAGAGTGGCACAAAGCCCAACAGCGCGTGATCGAATGGGGTGCTCACGCTGGTAATCCCCAACCGTCAGGCGCGTCTGCCGACCCAACTGCTGCAATTTCTCGCCGCCGAGTCGGTAGTACACCAGCCCGCCCAGCGCAATCGAGTAGCCGAAATACTGTATGATGGTCACGGGGTCGCCGAAGATGGCCATCGATGCCATGACGAGCAGGATGTCTTTGAGGACGCCGCAGAGCGTGAGCACGACGGCGGAGGTCTTGCCGATCTGTGTTTCGATGGTGGTTAGTTGAAAAGCCTGGATTGGAGCATGGAAGCAGGACTCACCAGCAACACAACGGACACATTCAAGCAAAAAGCCACGAAGGCGTTGGCGAGCAGGACGCCCGCACCAAGGTTGCTGATGTCCGCCAACGTCATCTTGGGAACTTCGATGATGAGAGTAATGACGCCGTTGATCACGGCGCACGCGGGCGCGTAGTAGTAGAGGGAGACCATGGGGTCCATCTTGAAATCCGCGGAGCTCAGCAGCCGCTGCACCATCACCAGACGCGTGGCCTCGAAGAGGATGCCTCCAGCTTGGACTAGGTGCTTGTTAGCGTTGACGTTCAAATCGCCCGACAATCAGCAAACATACAGAGGAAGCCGGCCAAGTTGAAGTTGATCTCTGCGTAAGAAGCAATGCCGACTCCGATGACAATCGTCGAGACATTGGCAAGGGTCTTCATGTTGGGTGGTGCCAGGCCGAAAATCCACGTGGCAAGCAGAGTGGCGACGGTATTCGTGGCCTGAAAATCATCAACATCAGCATGTACTCGGCCACAGTCTCGAAGCGCGACAGCTCCACATACCTTCAACATCTGGATAAAGGACACGCTCAAGTACATGTACGCCACGTTGCCGAAAATCAAGCTCATGCTGAACATGACACCGATCGGGACGATGGCTCGCCTGTCCGCCCACATTGCATCAGCAAGACCCCTCTCGAATCCCGATTGACTGATCATGGCCAACTCACATGTACACCTCCGTAGTCATGGGCACCTTGTGTCGGGAATCAAGGTAGTTCGTGAAGCGCGCCATGCCCTGGGTCATAGCCGCAGCGAACAGCATATGCCACGTCGTGAGAAAGAGGGCTACGACCAATTAGCAACCATTGGAACCCGCAAAAAACATCTTAGCCTTGTCATACGGAACTCTGCGCACAAACGTCAGCATCACCCATCAATCATCCATCTGGGGACAGCAAGATACGCACGAAACTTCGCCGTAAACAGAATCCACTTGTTGAACAAAATCACGCTCGAGCTGAGCGCAATCCACAACCTATCCCACCCAAATCAGCATTTCCTCTCCAAAAACGCAGACGGAGCCACGGCTCACGAAATGTAAATCGCCGGATGCACTCCTCCTCCACCACTACCACCGCCGCCGCTGCCGCCGCCGCTCGCATCACCACCACCGCTCCCACCGCCCTCGAGTTTCCGCTCGCGCTCGCCTGACGCTCGACCCATGATTACCACCTCACTGTCGAGGTTCAGGGTGGATGATGGGTCCGAAAAAGAGATAGGCGCAGAAGGGGAAAATAGAGTAGATGAATGGGGAAGGGGCTGCCTCTCGTTAAGCCCGTCTGCAGGCACGCAAGCACAAAAGGAGGGAGGCAGAGGTTCGAGGGCCTGTTTGGGTTTAGCGTGGCCGTTGTTACTAAGTGCAAGGTTTCGTGCCGCGCGGGCCGATATTTGGGGATTGGCCTGGCGTCTGGCGTCATATGGAAGGGCCGATGCTCAATGCTCACACGGTATGGCTTCACGATCGAACGGTGATGGACGGGTGAAGCGACAGACAGATCCAGATACGGGTGCGAATATGCGAATATCGCGTATCTACAACAACGTCGTGCCCCCACTCGCCATTCTATGCCTCTAATGCCCCCTCGCCAAAACATCAAAAAACAACCCAGCAACAGAATCGTGGACAACAAACCCACTCACTACGCATGCCAGACATCAAGGCTGAAACGTCAACCCATCCATCCCCCCAAGCGACGGCAACTGCAGCTGCAAATTCCCATCCAGCGCCCAACTAAGCGGATCGAAAACCGCATTCGCGCCAAACGTATTGTCCCACCCCATGGGATCGTCGAGCCCCGACCCATCCCCAAACGTCGACACAATGCCTCCGGCGCCGAGACCCGTGCCGCCACCGTGTAAATTCCCGGGGGGCTGCGGCGTGTTGCGCGCGTTCGTGTCGCCGCCGCCGACGCGCGTGGGGTTCTCGGCGACGTGGTCGAGGTTTTCGCGCCCGGCTTGGCCTGCTTGTTGGCGCCAGCGCCAGATGGCGTCGTAGAGGACGGAGAGGGAGCAGCGGCAGCGGACGCGCAGCTGGAGGCTTTCGTCGGGTTGTTTGGAAGCGGCGCTGTCGGAGGAGAAGAGGCGTTGCTCGCTTGCGCCGCTTGTCTGCCATAGTTGGGCCATCACTTCTGCCAGTCGTTGGGGGAGGTCGTTGCTTCGGACGCTGAGTTTGCGGAGGCCGGCGACGGTGCGGGAGAAGAGGGTGCGGCCGGAGGGGATGTCGACGTGGGCGGCGTAGAAGGAGTTGAGGAGTTTGAGCAGTGTCGTCGCGCCGGCGAGCATCATTTGCTCCAGGTAGCGGGGTATGTACATGAAGATGTTGGGAGGTGAGTCCAGCACGCAGGAGAGCAAGCTGGAGGCGGCGATGTATACATTGCGCAGATCGACCAGATAGTTGGAATGCGAGGGCTTGTCGAAGAAGGCGCTCAGTCGTAAGTGCAGGGCGGCGGCTTTGAGGTACAGAATATCAACGGCTGGTGCAGAAGTTAGCGATAGTCGAGTGGTCGTCAACAGCAATTGCAAACTTACGAGTAGAACGAGTGGAAAGTATCGTCACTTCCAGCTCTCCGAGTTCTCGAGAGTACATGTCAATCTGTAGACCACGCTGCGCTTGGTCGACCTCGACAATATGGTCACGCTGCATGGTGTACAAGGTCCGCGTGACGGTATCGCAAAACTTCTCCACCTGGCAGCGAGTGTGCAATTCGCTCTTCATCTGATCCAGATGCAGGCCGTACGTGTACCAGGCCCAACGAGACAGCGGCGGCTGTCCTTGACCAGTAGCTACATTCTGCGCGACGATGTTGACCGTGGCCCAAGTGTGCAGTCGATCCGTGACTTCCTCATCCCGAAGCTCGACTTTGAAGCGGCTAAAGTCGTTTGCGTGGCTGGGTCGATGTAATCCGTGCTGCATCGCAAGCTGGAACATGACGCCCACGAGCATCATTGTCGGCTCTCCCGAGGTCGACGAGTTCGGCAAGGGCCAGGTGCATAGGAGTGCAATGGCCTTGACAACGTGGTACGTTTGCGGAATGCCGGATATCGTTGTCCAAAGCATCTCTTCAAGAGGCCGCTGCAGTTCCATCAGCAAGCCCGGCTTGGTATCGTACCTCCGCGACGCGATTGCAAGGATGGTCCAGTGTAGGAGCGGATGCTGCTTGTAGTACTCGCTGTACGGGGTCTCCGGGCTCAAGATCGGGATAAATTGATGATAAGCATTGAAGAAGATGCTGAACAGCTCGCTCACTTGCTCATCCGTAAGCGTCACCGGACCCAGCGTCCTCGTCGACGTCCCAGCAGTGATGGAAGGGTAGGAGGTAGGTGGCATCTCGCGAAAGCCCTGACTCAAGTCGAGCAGACTGCGTGAAGCAGCGGCCTCACTAGGACCGAGCAACGGCGGCGGCCCGGCCATCTGCGCGACGGGCGCATGCCCCACGACGGGAGACGTCGCATACGACCCGCTGTAGTTGGAGCCCGTCTTGCCATCGTTGGGCAGGAACATGCCCAGCGCCTCGTATCGCGCCAGCCGATCTTTGACCAGGTCCAACTCCCGCACCATCTCTTCGTGCTGTGCGCGCTTGCCCAGCCGCTTGAAGTCGCTGTCGATGGAGCAGTCGAGGCCATGCTTGACGCATCGCGAGCAAGGCTTATATGGCGGGCCGGGGTCGACATTGCATCGCAACTGCGGATGAGAAACAGATCAGCACACGGTGTGACTCAAGCATTGACGGATGGCGGCAACGCGCTGCGCATAGCTTCACGCTCCGCACAGAGTGCCATTGTCCAATGCCGTGGCGGAGAGAAGCCTACCTTCTGCTGCCGACAATCATTACACGCCCTCTTCACCCCGGGCTGATGCCGCGCCTTGCTGGCGGGCGAGTCCTCGCCATTCGGCGTGCCGATGGAGGCGCGCTTGCGCTTGCGCCCGGAGGCCTCGTCGTCGGGGCTGGCGGCGCCATTGAGGGAGGCCTGGGCGGGCGAGTGCAGGGCGGCGGCGGCGGCGCCGGGCGGGTCGAAGGAGGTGCCGCTGCTCCAAGACATGTCGCGGGCGTGTGCTGGTAGGCCAAGTGGGCTGTATTGCGTGGGTGCCGGTGTCGGAGGAGGGAGAGCAATTGTGTGGACGGCTTCGCTTCGAGACTCCCATTCCAGGCCCGATGCAACGACCCCGCCTCCGCCCCGCACGGACCAGTCGCGTCTGCCTATCCCGCGCTTGCAACTCGGCTTACGGCTGGGAGGGCTGGCACACGGACGAGGCTGTGGCTTCAAAGGATATAGAAGAGAATGAATGAAGGAAAGGTGGTCGATCGTCGAAGATATCATACAACAGTAGAATGCCCATCTTCTCGGCATCTCATCACTTAGGAACCATGGCGCCAAGCGCAGACGAGAAAGCTGCCATAAGCAGTGCTCCAGTCCAAGGCTAAACGCAGAAAAACAGCACTGCTTCCATCCCCCAACACACCAGCGTTGTCCAGCCGATCTCCCTCCATTCGTAAGACCCCATCCATCCATTCCGAGAATAGCGAGGAGGAGGAAGCAGAACAACAACACCCTCACTCCTCCATCTCGCCCTCGTCATCCACCTCCATCTCCGACCCAACACTAACCTCCCTCTCATCCCCACCACCAGATCCCCGACTCTTCCTAGGCCCCTTCTTGATCCCCGCGTCACGCCTCTTGTGCAAATTCTTGCTCCCTGGGGGTCTGCCCTTCTTATGACCAGCCGCAGTAGCACCCGTACCATTCCCAGGACTCTCCTCCCTATTACTCGCCACACCCACGCTATCACCCCTCAACTCCCGGATGCGCTTCGGCACGTGTCCACGCCAGCGACCTCTAGTCGCAGGTGCAAAGCCATTAGGCATCGGGCCGCCGAGGGGAGTCGTGGTGGGATCGTCTGGCGTCATACTTGGGGCCTTGCTGTTGAGATTGGTGCGACGACGACGGGGTTGGTCGATGATGCCGTCGAAGCGATGGACGGGCTTGACGGCACGACGGGGGCCGAGAGGTTCGTCGTCGCCAAAGTTCCACCCTGGCAGAGTGCCGCTGTGGGCTTGGGCGGTACCGCGTTGGCGACGATGGCGAAGCTCGCGACCATCGACGTCGCGCTGGATGCGCTGGGAATACGGGTCTTGGAAGCCGATGCGGCGGCCATCGAAGGCGTAGTCGTACAGTTCCGCTTCTTTCCGGTCTTCGAAAATCTGCTCTTCGACTGGCAGCCTTCCGCCCTTGGCCGGCTTGCGCGGGATGCGGTTGTGCGGCGCGGTGACTTTGTCAAGGAAGAGGTATTCATCTTGGAGTTGGTTGAGCACGAGTTGGGTGTTCTCGGCGAGACGTTTGAGGTTGTCAAGACTGCGAACGATGGGATCGTGCTTGGTGAGAGCTCGGACGAAGGTATCCGCGGGGTTGATGGGACGGTACAGGTTGGGGAGGCGGTGCTGTCCGTAGTCGTCGATATCTTCGGGGTCTGGCGACCAGTCGTCATCTCGGTACAGCTGCGGCAAATCCTCTTCCTGGAGCACGTCTTCCTCGGGCTCGAGCATGCGCGGTCTCGGTGTCGGCACTTGCGATTGCGCGACGGATGAAATGAGCCCATCTTCTGCACCCTGAAAGCCACCAAGCTTGTTCGTGCGCCGGCGCTTGATCACCGGTTGCTCATCATCTCTGGTGCCATAGCGCCGTGCGTTTTCCGCAGCCGCGACCTCGCGCTCAAGCTGCGCCTCCGGACCATCGAAGTACGATGTCCGAGGTTTGGGCTTAGGCCTGCGAGAGCCATGCTTTTGCATAGCTTCAAAGTCTTGCTTCGTCAACCGTCCCCACTTGCCACCTCCGCGGTAGTACCAGTTCAGGCCGGGCCACTTGTCTGGACCCTCCGCTCGCATAACCAGTGCAGTGAGGGGAGGCGGCTTGTTGTACTCGTCCTCTTCTTCCAACAGCGTGGCTGCATCCGACCTCTCGCGCCCTCCTGGGCCACGGATCGCAGTCTTGTTAGAAGCGCCGGGTGGGGGCAGTCCACGGGCCCAACGGCCTTGGCCTCGATGATGAAATGTCTCCTCGGGATGAGCGTTGACGTAATCGGTAGTGACAAGACCATCCGGATCCTCTTCTTCGAACTCGTCCTCTTCGTCCTCATCTTCCGAGTAGGTTTGGCTTGGCCGAGGCCCACGCGCATAGCGACCTTGACCGCGGTGATGGAAAACTTCGTCAGGGTGTGCGCGAACATACGACTTGCTGTACAGACGGTCCTCTCCGTCATCCATGGGCGAGACTGCTGCAAAGCTCCTCTTGCGGCGCGATGCTGCCCAGTGTTCCGGCGCGGGACCTCTCATGTAACGCGCATTACCGCGATGATGAAACTCTTCTTCCGGGTGGGCGAGGACGTACTCTTTGGAGTAGATGGATTGATCGCGCTCGTACGCGGGCGATCCAGACTGAGATGCTTGCGTGGTGGCGACGCTGACGGCGCTCTGACGTTTGTACCAACCGTTTCCGCGATGAACCCACTTGACTTCGGGATGCTGCAGTGCGTACTCTTTGGACACAGCTGCATCTTCGTCCTCGTTTGCTTCGTCTCCATCATCATCTTCGTCGTGCATCGGCAGATCTTCGTTGCCGACCACGAGCGAGGATCGGTGACCGGTCGCATCGGGTCCGGGCTTGTACCAGCCGTTGCCACAGTGGTGGAACTCGACGCCGGGATAGTTGTCAAGCTGAGTGACGTGAACGGTCTTTGCGCCCTCGAACTGGTAGGTTCCATCGTTGCGACGGATGAGCGCATGGGCTTCCATGTCGCGCGGCTTGACACGGCGGCCTTTGGGACGATCGCCACGTTTGTACCATCCGTTGCCGGTGTGGTAGAACTTCTCGTTGGGGTGGGCATCGACGTACTGCTTGTCGTACGTCGGCTCCTTGTCGCCCGCCATGCTGTCGTCCTCGTCGGACTCGTTGTAGTTTTGATGGGTCAGATTGCGCGAGCTTCGACGATCCAACTCGGCGGAGGAGGGAGGTCTGGTGCGACGCGCGGGACGGACGGAAAGGTGGTCAGCGGAAGAAGCAGTTTGCGCTTCGCTAACTTGTCGGCGCAGGGACAGTCGTTGCCTAGGGGTCGTGTGATTGAGTTAGCGCTAAGGTGTTACACACGGCGAACATTCACTACTTTGCCACCGAGGGCGGAAACTTCTGGGACGCAGAAGGGGACGAAATGATTGGATTGCTCATACCGAGGAGTAGTGAACTTTGTATCGTCGTCCAGAGATCTGCGTCGCGGAGGCATGGGGTGATCTGATGCTTTGCTTCGCCAGTCGTCCACGACTTTGCGGAGGTTGTAATCACTCGCTTTGGGATTGCTGTGAAGGACGTCAGTGCGGGCTTCACATGCCAAAAGATCGATCAGTGAAGTGTGAATTGATTCACTCACCTTTCTGATCGGATGAGGGGAGATGGACGAGACTGTGCAGCGGGCAGGTAGCGGCCTTGGCCTCGATGCACCCAATCGATCTCGGGATGCAGCAGGGTGTACTGCTTGGAGTAAGTGCCGCGGGCGTTTGGCCCATCCTGATCGTCTTCGGGCCCCTCTGCTTTGACGCCCGATGAATCTGCGGGCGAAAGATTGAGGGTAGGAATGGAACGTGGAGGTTGACGGTCTTTAAGTTTGCCCAAAGCTTCGCGAGCCGTGGGGGAGTTGAATTTGATGATCAACAAATGACCATCGCGCACCTCTGCGAGAGGAAGGGGCTTTGGCATGGCTGTGACGGGCGAAAGGGCCAACACGGAGTCGAATGCCGACGGTTGCGCGGGTGCTGGAGGTCCAGGAGCGACCAATATATCTGACGAGGAGGAGGAGCTGTGCGCGGCGCTAGGCCTGTTTGGCGCTCCCTCCCAACCGGTTGGCGGGTCGCGGGACTCCACGGCGGGTTCCCTGTCGGCCATGATGGATCAGGCCGACGACCATTCGATGAATTGGAGTTGGAAATGGAGCGAAGAGTGTGAGCGAAGTCGAGTAGACATCACGCAGGCGTCCAATTTCCCATGCCTTCCCTTTCTGCGACTTCTCGGGGCCTGCCGCTTCCGCCCGCGTAGTCTCTCGTCCAATCAGCGAGCGACGCGCTAACGCAACCTTGTCTCCCGCTACTCCCGAAGACGTCTGGACGTCTTGGACGCTGGCCAGACCGTGGAGAAGAATGAGGCAAGGGAGAACTTTTTGAATACCATCAGATACTCATCGCTCAACGCCTGTGAACATGGCCTTGACTTTGTACAACTTGCCACGAATCGGGCGCCTCTGCTGACCTATCGAGGATGACAACGGCGGCTGATAAAGGCTGATGAGCTAAGCCTCGCCACCGCTTTACTCCCGTGACAACCCGATCGATCCAACAACATGGACGGCATACGTGGGAACACGTATTTACCTTGTTATCGATCCACAGCATCTCTATCTCGTTATTTCCTTCATTTCAGGCGTCGAAAAACCGTCAAACGTCGCCTTTTTATTCCCTTCCATGACGTCAACAAGCTCAGGCTCAGTGCAAGTAAGCAACATGCATTGAAACAGCGAGATCCGTAATATTCCTTCATCGGCCGCATCTTCTCGTTCTCCATCTCGCTGGCCGTATACAGCGTAGCATCAGAATGCCCGTCGACCTGCTACATCACTACCGCCATGTCACCAACCACATCATCCCCGGCCCCCAAAGCCTCTCCTACTTCATCCCCTTGCTCCTCCTTCCAACTGCTCTCCTCATTCCTCGACATATTCTCCCACGATGGCTCAGCATTGCCTTCTTCATGCCGACAATCACTCTGGCCTCCCTGTCCGCCTGGACTGCGATGCGCGGCGTTGATGTCATCTCCGTCGACGTCGTCCTTTCGTCGCTGTACTTGCTCGTGTTGAACGATCCGTGGAAGGATTTTCAATACATTCCATCTTCATCATCACACGGCGATGTCAGCAATTCATCTCCAAGAAGGTCAATCAAGGGAGACGCTCGTCGATCATCCACTCGAACCACGAAGTCGGGACGAACAACCAAACCGAAGACACTCGCTATATCCAACCAACACTACCCCGAGTCTTTCGCCCAGCGCCTAAGCTGGGTCCTCAACCTCCTAACATCAATCCGCTTCAACAACTGGAAAATCAACCTCCCCTCACACGACACGCACCAGCCCCCATCCCCCGCCTTTCCAACCCGCAAAGCTCTCTTCCTCCAAGCCCTCCTCAGCCTCACGCGAGGCTACCTCATCCTCGACCTAACAAGCGCCTACACGCATTCAGACCCCTACTTCACCAACCCCCACATCCCCATCTCCTCTCCCCTCCCAACCACAATCACAACCCTCTTCCCACTACCCCCTCAGTTCCTCCGCGCAATGATCCTCAGCGCCCAAGCCTGGGCCCTCATCTCCCAAATCTTCTACGCTCCCGCCCTCCTCCCGCTAGCCCTCAATGCCTGCTCTCTAATCCCCGATTCCTGGTCTCCGCACACTTGGGCCCCGTACTTCGGTTCCCCACTGGACGTCCTCGCGCACGGCGTGCGCGGCTTCTGGGGCCGATATTGGCACCAAATGATGCGACACTCGACTTCCGCTCCGGGGTACGCGGTCGCGGATTTGTTGGGGTTGAGCAAGGGGGGCTTGCTACGGTATGCTGTTATTACGGTCGTGGCGTTCGGGTTGAGTGGGGTTGTGCATATGGGTTTGGTGCCGCCGGAGCCGTTGGGGGCGACGGTGAGCGTGGATTTGCTGAGGGTGTATGTGGCGGGGTTCTTTTGGGTGCAGCCGGTTGCGTTGATGGTGGAGGCGGTGGTGGAGCGGGTGTGGATGCGCGGGAAGAAGGTTGAAGGCCCGGCGACGATTTGGAGACGTGTGGTCATTGCTATTTGGGTTGGCTGCTGGTTCACGCTTTACGTGCCGCTACTCGGGGAGGCAGGGCGACAGCTGGGATATTGGAGGCATTGGCTCGTGCCGTTTAGTTTGTGGAAATGGGCGCGAGGAGAAGCTGATTTCGTAACATGGTCGTTTCTGCGGAATTAGATGGGAACAATCACCACACCGCAACGCCTCCAGAACCCCCGCTGGAAAAATAAACACCTCTCAACCAAACCCATCCCCTCATAACGCCCTCGCCGCCTCCCCGGCAACCTCATTCTCCTCCACCCTCCTCTTCCCCTTCCCTAGCCCCCCCTCACCAACCCCCATCCTCCGCGCAACATACCGCTGCGCCACAACACCAACAACCAGCACCAGAACCTCCTCCATCCACTCCGCAACCCACTCGCGCGGATCCACGCCGCCCGCCTCAATCATCTCCACAATACTCTCCGGCAGTCCGTCATCTGACGTTGCCGACGCCGCCGCGTCCAGCCAGCCCACCCACTTTTGCGGGAAAGGCTGGGAGAGCGAGCTGAAGGAGAGGGAGTGCAGGGGGTCGTGCAGGTAGATGGCGAAGCAGACGAGGTCTTCCGCCGAGTCTTCGGGCTCCACGACGCCGGCGGTCTCGGCTTTCTTCACGCCCGCTTCGTGAGCGTCGCCTGCGAAGAGGTCCGCTTCGGCGGTATAGCCCACGGCCTGGATCGCGAGGAAGATATCCGAGCTCCGCACGGGATTGCTCTGGCTCTCGCCCTCCAGTGCCCGGCGCGCCGCCTCTTCCACCCCGCCTCGAGCATCAAAGAACTCCTTTGCATAGCTCTCCGCACTCACCCTCGCCAGCCTGCTCCCCTCTTTTAATCCCCTCACAACCCCCAAATCCCGCTTCTGACCCTCGTCCCGCCACCACGGCCCGTCCGCCCAGCCGCCAGAGGTGCCCCCAAGCACACTCCCCCTGTAGCCCTCCGAAGAGCCGCTGCGGGAGCGGTTCTCGCTTCCGCGCTGGATGACGAGCAGGTCGCCGCCTTCGACTTGCGACATGATGCGCGAGAAGGTGGAGTAGATGAGGGGGTCGAGGGAGGGGTAGTGCAGGATGTCGTGGGTGGTGTGGATTTGGAGGCGTTCGTGTGCGGCGATGGGAGGGGCGATGTGAGAGAGGAGGGTGCTGAAGGTGGGCAGGGCGCGGGAGCGGATGTCGGTGCCTGCAGAACGTTCTTGTTAGTAGTCATCCCGAGCAACGGAAGTGGAGGGAACACGCACTCAAAGTCTGCAAGCCAGCTCCATACCCCCTCACCTGCTCCGCCCACTTGAGCGCCTCCTCATTCTCGCGAATCTCCTTGGCCAAGTTCTGCGCCTGGCTCACAGCCGCCGTAGCAGCGCTGAACATACTCCCCCACCAGCCTCCTCCGCTCTTCTTCTGCTGCTGCTGCTCCGCCTTCTGCTGCGCGGGCGCGGGCAAAGGCTCCTCCCCCGGCACGAAACTCTGATGATAACTCCTCCCTCCATCACCACTACTCCTCGCCGCAACGCCCCTCGCCCTCTCCTCGCTATTCCTCCCACTCGGCGGCCCGGAAGAGGCAGGCGTGTGCTCCGCGCGTCTGGGGCTCTTGTTCGTGCCGCCAGACGTCGTGCTCGAGCTTAGCCGCGGAGTGGTAGGGCGGGAAGCGTGTGTGGAGGAAGCAGGCTGCGCACTAGACGCGGCAGCAGCGGCGGCGGCGCGTTTGGTCGCGAGTTGGGCTTGGATGGCTTCTAGGGCGAAGGCGCCATCGTCGTCATCGTCATCGTTGGTGTTGGTGGTTGCTCTGGTGGAGGACTGCTTTGTTGTGGAGGGGGTGTCGGGGGATTCGTTCGACAGGGCGTCGAGTTGGGCGAGGAGGTCTTCGTCTTGTTTGCGCGACATGGTTGTGGACTGGGAGGCTATGCACTGAGTCTTGTGTCGAAGGAACAGTCCCGAGGCTGACACTGAGACGGGTGTAGCGCGTTCTAGAGAAGGAGGACGTCGTCGCGAGCGCTGCTCGCTCGGCGAGGCACATGCACCTCCCTCGTCAACCCTTAACTCTAATTGGCGAAGCGTGAACTCTGTTCGACTCTCCCCAGCGCGCCGATCATCTGGTCTTCAGATCATCACGTACGAGACACGGACGAGGATAAGCAACACCGGAAAGTGACTTGAGATGGTGTAAAAGCCTCTGAACACCATCAACCCCTAATTGACTCCACTCCATAATCTGCATCCCATCTGCTCTGCTCCTGGTTCCCCCTCGTCGCCTAGAAGCGTCAATGGGTCGGGCGAGCTACAGCGTCGAAAGCGATCAGATCAAAACCTCCACCCACGCCAGGGGAACCTTGCCCAAAAGACTGGCGCCCAGTTCTAAATCAGTTCATCCACACACACAGCACAATCGTTGACTTGCCGCTGCGCGCCAGCATTTCTAAGAAGCAACAGTAGCTTCATTTCTCAGTCCACTCGCCTCCGCCTTCTTCCCTCTTCGTCCCAAAAGCGTGGCATTGTCCAGACTCAACTCAAATGCACCCGCACGGTTCTTCACCTGTCGCTTCGCCGCCGCCGCAACCTCTGGCGAGTGCTGGCCATAGCCCCTCTGCGCCGGCTGTTGCGAGCGCGGCGGTGCATTCGTCTGCCGCGCCTGAGCCGCCGGAGAGATCTTCGTATCCCTCATCTGCCTCTCCATGCCGTGCACATCCGGTGCAGCATTGGCTTTGGGAAGCTTGGCGGGCAGGTTCTGTTGATTGGGGTCGAAAGGCGCCGACACGCCTTCGTCTTCGTCGTCATCGTACTCCTCGCTCAGAGCATTGAGGTTCATCGCCGCGCCGCCTCCACCGCGGTAGCCTTGCTTGAAGTTCTTGCGTCGCTTGCTCTCTTCCTCTTGTCGGTGGACGGAGTAGCCGACGTCGAAGACTTCGCGCAGGTTGACGGCGCCGGGGGATCGGAAGTCCCCGCGTCTGCCCGCGCCCGGAGTCTCGTCGAGGTATGCAAAGTCGGGCTTCATGGGCGAAGCACCGCCTTGTCTCGAGTACAACGGCGTGGCGAGCGGAGGGGCGTCCAATGCGGCATACGTGGGCTCATTGGTCTTTCGGATCCAAGGGTGCGCCAAGAACTGCTTGATGTCGTATCGCTTCTCCGGGTCGACAGTGAGCAGATGAGAGACGAGGTCTTGTGCCGATTTGGAGATATCGTCCCACCAGGGCGAGAGGAAGGTGTACTGTCCTCGGGCCACCTTCTCCGTCAATACTTGAATGCTTTCGTCGTAGAATGGAGGGAAGCCGCAGAGCAGAGTGTACAGCACGCAGCCTAGCGCCCACATGTCGACACTCTTGGAGTAGCGCTCGTCCTTGACGATTTCGGGGGCGGTGTAGCCGACGGTGCCACAAGGCGTCTGGGTAACACTGTCCCAGATGATCTTGGAGAGACCAAAGTCGGCAATCTTGATCACTCCAATCCCACCGGCTCCCTGGCCGTGAACGAATTCGCCCTCATCCGCTTTGTCTTCGTCATCGGGGTGCTTGGGTTTCGGGTTTTTGGTCGGGACAAAGGGGATGGGGTAGAACAAGAGATTTTCGGGTTTGATATCCCTACGAGTTCGTCAGTCTCGAAAATCACCTGTTGAGCACTGGGACAAGACTCACCGATGCACGACACCAGCTTCCTCATGCAAATACTCCAGAGCGTTGGCCACCTGCGTGATGACGTGACGTGCCAGGTCTTCGCTAAAGTACGTAAGACGGACGATTTGATGGAAGAGCTCGCCACCGGGGCACAACTCCAAGATGATGTAATAGTATTGGCGGGATTCGGAGAAGTCGACGAGGCCGACAATGTTGGGGTGGTCGAGTTGCCGCATGATCTGGACCTCTTTCAGGATGTTGGCGCGCTGTGAATAGATGACGTCAGTTAGCCTTTCGCACGTTCCAGCGCAGGGGCAAGAGGTAGTGAAAAGCAAAAGAGGGGGGTGGGAGACGAGGTAAGAGAGTCAAGGGGTCGCACCTCCACGGTCTTGGTCGCTTTGTTTTCATAGTCCGGGTGCATGACCCCTTTGCCCTAAAAGGCGCGAGAATGTTGGCAGGTGTTCGTGAAGCAAAATGGTGTGGAGGGCATCGGAGGGGGGTGGGGAAAGAGGGAGAGGTCGGGAGATGATGTAGCCACACGCCTCGGAGTCTTTCCTTACCTGCGTTGAATTCATCTCAAACTTCCTCACCACCTTGATCGCAACCTCGGGGTATTGGTGGTTGTTATCGCGGGCGCGGTAGACATTGCTGAAGGCGCCGTCGCCCATCTTCTCCACGAGGGTCCAGCGCTCCAGACCAGGATATCGGGGCAGCTTGCCCTTGCTTTCCCGCTCTTCCGCCACGATTCTTTCGAGCACAGACGGATCGTAGTCTTTCGCCTTTTGATCTCGTTTCTGCTGGGCCTCTGCGGCGTTGGCGGCGGCATGCCCGGCTTTGGCGGCCTGGTTGCGGTTGTCGCCGGGTGCTGCTGAGTAGGCTTCTTGCGGTTGTTGGGGTGGAGCGGGGTGTGGTGATCGGTGGTCTTGGATGTTGGGCTCGCTCATGCCGTAGTCGGCGGGCCCGCCATTGTGCTGTGCGACGCCGCGATGCTGCTGGGCGTGCACGTTGGAAACGTGGGTGGTGGCTTGGTCGTGCGGCGAGCGGCCGTCTCGGGCTTGCTTGCCATGGCGGATGAAGTTCTTGAGGTTCTGAATGGTCGACATGGTCAGACTGCGTGCTCCGTCGGCTGCTTATCAATCGAAGAGCCTGGGTCAAGAGGAGAGGGCGGAACAGAGGGGGAGCATGAGCGGGTATGCAGGGAGAAGAAGGGTGGAAGGGAGATGTGGTGGTGGGGGAGGAGAGGGAAGAGCGCTTGATGTGCGACGCAGAGACTGATGGAAGCGAAGGCACGATCAGATAGAGCAGAGCAAGGCGGGAAGCAAGAGGAGACGGTGGAGGCGAAGTGACGCTGGTGGGTACGTCATGTCAACCGAAGCAAGCCCCCCCCAAACGCTGGGGCCACACGTGCTTCGACGCAGCGATGACGCGCCCGGCCAACGGCCCAACTCGATCAGAGCCGACGCAGGAAACTCCGCGGACTGACCTCTGCATCTAACTTCTCGCTCGATATTTTCCCAAAGGACAGTCGCTTGCCGGGTGGGTGGGCTTTGGCGGGGTTGCTGGGCTCTTTGGGTTTACTGCGAATCGGGCTGGGCGGCAAGGTCACCCCAAAGATGCGCATTGCGTCCAGCTCGGGCGGGATGAGGTGAGACGGAGCAAAAGACAATGACTGCAGCGAAGACACGCGAGGAAAACACTTTGCGCGACGTCCAGGCTTTATAAACACTTCGTCTACCCCGTCGCCTCCATCTGGAACGTGACTGTCCTTACCCATCGTTCTACCCGCGACGTCCCGGCGCATAAATAGCCCGGACTTTCACGATTCTCCATTTGAGCGAAGGGCCCTTCCAGGTCCAGCTCGGAGACAGCTCTCGTCTCATCACGTGAACCTCGAAGGGCTGATGTACCGATTCCACCACAGTCGTTCAACGCCAAACGGCAAAGGTAAGCGACGTTGAGATCATGGAGCTCATGTCTTGGGCAGGGATCTGCATTCGAGGCTGTACTGTACCTCGTCCATTCGAACGGCAGCGCAAGCAGTTCTGGGGAACTCGTCCTAACGAGGCCTCTACCTCCTTCGAAACATAACCAGGACACGGTTGGGTGTCAATACCACCTTGATCCCGTCTCCCTATTAACGTCCACAGAACTGGAACGTCAGCCCACCTTGCCGAGCAAATGGGTCCATCCCGAGCAAATGCTTACATCACTCGCTAACAAGGCTTACAGAGCTGTCGGTATTCATCAACACTTCCTGTATCTCTCAGTACGCTACATCGCTATTTCACTACCTCATGCCAGCTCAACCACATATTTCCTAGCCGAAGCCCCCTTCTTGATGAGGTCCACTGCCTCCTGCACACTCTCCAGCCCCTTGCCAACGACATACGCGTCCGGCTTGCACTTCAAGCTCCCGTCGGCGAGAGCGTCCGTGGTCCATTTCCAGATTGCCGGTCCCACGGCCGTATGTCGGAGCGAGTCACCGTAGTCTGCATATCTCCATTAGTGACGCCAGATCGATGGAAAACAGCATCCACTCACTGTAACCCAGCTGCACTCCACCCGGCAGCGGCTTCTCGTACTTCATCATGTCTGGCAACACCGTCGCCACCAGCTGCTTGCCTCCGAGTTGCACGGCAATCTCCGCGCTCTTAATGTACACCTCCTCTCCCATGACGGCCGCAAACACGCCACCGAACTCCTTGCCCTTGAGCGCGGCCACGACGTCCTCCACCACCGTCTCGCTCTTGTAATCGAACACGTAATCCGCCCCAAGGCTTCGGCAATACTCATGATTGTGCGCGCTCGCAGTCGTCGCCACCTGCAACCCCGCCGCTTTGACGGCTTGAATCCCGCAACTGCCTACACTCGACGCTCCACCCCAGATCAACACCACTTTGTCGCCTGCAACCTTCACCTGCCCGGTCTTCGGATACGGCAGGTCCAGATTGTAGTCCTCAAACAATCCCACGCAAGCAGTGCACATGCCCAAAGGAAGTACAGCCGCATCCTTGAAAGCCACTCCCTCCGGAAGCTTGACAGCCATACTCTCGGAAATATTGCAATACAGCTGAAACGTGCCGCCACGATGGTCCTCATTCTCATCACCCTCCTCTACGCACGGAATGCCCATGACGCGATCGCCGACTTGGAAGGCCTTGACGGCGCTGCCGACGGCCGTGATGGTGCCGGCGGCGTCGATGCCCAGGACGCGCGGAAAGGTGTTGTAGACCATGCCTGTTGCTTGCACGCCTCCGTCGACGGGGTTGATGGCTACGGCGTGCACGCGGATGGTGAGTTCGTGGGGGCGAGGGGTGGGCATTGGCGCCGAGGCGATCTGAAAGGGGTAGCCTTTCCGTTCATTGAGCCAGGCTGCTTGGTTGGTGGACATTTCGAAAAAGGGATGGGGGTTGAATTGAAAGACACTGATGAATGGAATTGTGATGAGGAGTAGCGGTAGTAATGGATAGCATGAGTTGATGGAACATGGAAAGAGAACTTTGTCTTCTTAGTTATACCTTGCCTTCCGACCGGAGACGGAGACGGAGAGTCAACCACTTTCCAGATGCTATGGAGGTGTTCCTGCATTGGTAGAGGGCAATGACGGTAGCATAATCAACTTCAATACGACGTGGAGTAAGGTGGGACCGGGGATTCCAAGAGGAATTGGTGGTATGTCCGTTGCTCACCAAACGTGGCCAATGAGCGATGCCTGACCGTGAATGTTTGCGCGAGCTGAGCTGGTGTTTGTCATCAAACAGAACATTGAATGGAGTGGTGGGGTCGCGAGGAAAGGCTAAAGCAGAAACGACGTGCCAAGACTGCTTGAATGCGACGTGAGGTTAGCGCGGCCCGCAGAAAGATGTCAGGTTGCAGCACCAGGTCTGAATGATGCAAAGTGTAGCAAGTACATGACGACGTATTAATGGGTGCGCGTAGATTCACGTAGTGTGGCATCTGTTCGCTCACCGAGCCCATCGACTCAACTTGCGCCGCGTCCACCTCCACATCTTGCAATCCCTTCACCGGCTTCGTCCTTTCCGATTCTGCCTGACCAACGAGAGGATCAATCTTGGCCGCGTTTATCGTCTCGTCGCGACCGACGGCGCCTTGGTCATCGGCAGTCGCGACAAGATTCCGAGATTGTCCTAGGATATGTCAGAAAGTATATTTTTCGAGGACGCCGGCCTTGTGAGAGGCTGGAGATTCCTGTTGGACGGCAGTTGCGGCCGTCCGTGGCTGGTTGGTCCAAGCAAGTGGCCAGTTGATGCTGCTTGTTCGGTTCTCATCTTTGCGAAGAAGACATCCAGCTTTGAGTTTCGATATTGATGGTAAGGATGGTGATAGGAAATGAAGACGGCTTCCTTGTGGCGAAGAAACGTCACAGACGTCTTTTCTCCTTTTACGAAAGGACGGCCAATGCAGAGGGAACGCAGCTACTGGTACTTGGCCTGGTGGAAACATCACACCTGCAGAGCTCGTGCGCATGACGATGAAAGAGTGCGGGGTGACTCGAAGTAACATAATGAGATGTATTCGAGTACCTTCTTCCTGAGCGATGGCCATCCAAGAGCGTCAATGCATTGTTCTGTTCCAACACTGATTGAGTGGAAGATTGGCAGGCCATTTCTGGCCTTTGACGAACTTCATCATCGGGGCCAATCCCGCCGCCGCGTAAGATGAGAGATCCTGCTGCCTCTGAGTCGCCTGGAGGGATCGGACCCAAGATATAGCCACGCAATATGATCGACAGCAGTGCTCACGACGGCGAAACATGTCCCACAACCGGCCCACAGCGGCACACGTGTGCAGGGTGTTGTTTGCCCTCATTAAAAGTGCAAGCGCAACCCGCGGATGCGAGGCTCCTTCCCAAACTTCTAGCGCGACCCCACCTAGCAACAGCCGCTAGCCGGTAAACAACACGCCCACAAACTTTTCCCGAGGACGCAAGAGGTCTCACCTCGCCTCAATGCCTCGTTGTCATTGGCCCTTGGAATGTTGCGAGAAGATATGCGAGAAAGGCGAGACAGGCCCCGGGACTTGGACGCCATCGTCGACGTGGCGGACGACATGTAACTAGCTAGAGGGCGCGCTGTTGATGGAAAACTTCGACCTCACCTCCTTCCGTGAAGCCACGATGGCGCCGTTTGCTGCAGACGACGTGACACAGCGTCCGAGTACGGCGCATGTCGTGACACCGCAGGATGAAAACGGCAATACCACAACACGTCCGCAGACAAGCAGCGCCGCCAGCTCTCGACACGCCAAACGACTGCAGCTACGCAATGCTGGCTTTCGCGCTGCTCCCGTGCCAACGAGAAAGGTCACGCCCAGGTCTTCCCACCCCTCGAGCAGTCTGTCGGGCATGCGCAGCTCGCCCGACATCGAGAACATCTCGCCCAAAGCCACGCCAGCCCCGAGGGTCGTGTCCAACCGACGACGATCCAGTGGTGTGCTGCAAGAGATTGGAAATTCCTCCTCCGTCACCCATCGGCCCAAGAGAGTGCGAAAGCGTTTGAGCAAAGCTTTCGACCTTGTTGAGGGTTTCCACGACCCACCTTCCCCTCCTCCTCGCCAGTCACCCTCTCCCCCACCGACTCGGTCGCGATTTCCCAGACTGTCGTGGAAGTCCAAGCCCGCGGTCAGCCATCGGCGGCGCACAGCCAGCTCGGAGATGTCCAAGTACATCGACCACCTCGAAGGCCAACTGGCAGCGGCGGAATCTCGCATTTCCACGATCAACTCGCCCAGCGTCATTCGCGAGCAACGGAACCACAACGTCGAGACCAAGCAGCTGCAGGAAGATCTGGCGGACTGGGAAAACAAATACGAACAGCGCGTGCAAGAGGAGGTGGATCGACATGTGGTCATCGAGACGGACCTGAGAGCACGCATCCGCCACTTGGAGCTGGAGGTCGAGGAGGCCAAATTCCGCGTACAGGAATTGGAGACGCAAGTCGACACCACCAAACAGAACATGGAAGCCGTGGAGTGCGCCAACGTCAGCCTTGAGAAGCGGCTGGAGATGCTGAGCGAGCTCCTCGCCTCCACCAAAGTCGACCTGCACGCGGAGACGCCGGGCAGGACAAAACGACACTCACGCCCAAAATCGATGCTGCCTCGCTTCCCGACTGCAAGCACCCTGCACGGCTCCCCAGAGAGATATGCGCGCACGTCGCCGTCTTCCCCTAGGCCCTCGTACGCCAGTGTCCACTCTCCCCGCCCGAGCATCCACGGCTTCGACGGCTCCCCTGGACACTCCGACTACTTCATGTCCGAGGCGGAGTCGATCTTCAGCGAAGACTCCCTGACAGCCGATAGTATGACTTCGGTCGAGCATTCCGAGGCCCCGGCCGGCTACAATCCCTGGAACCTGCCGATCCGACAGAACAACACCGTCAAGCCCGCGCGGCGCATGAGGAAGTTCGGGGCCGGTAGTCTTGGGCCCAAGCCACTCATCTTGCCCGCCACGTCGAATCGCGAACCGTACGAGGTCCACCACACCCCTCCTCCCCTCGAGCACAGGAAGACGGCTCCCGAATCCTTGCTGAAGTGGGCCAAGATCCCCGACGAAAGCCATGGCCGCAGCCCATCTCCCGCCAGACCTCGAGCCTCCACAACTGCGAACGAACTGACAGTCCGTAAACTTCAGGAATCCCCGTTTGCACGTGTTGAGGAGCATACGCTGCTGGAAGACACCTTGGTCAGTCTGACGCCTCCTCGCTCGCCCGAGTCATCGGGCACGCCGAGGATACTCTCTTCTCGCGTATCGTCGATTGATGGTGTGCTCGGTCGCAATCTCATGGAGGAATTGACTGCAGCACGCGCGGTCGAAACTCCCGGAAGTGAGGTAGCCCCGAGTGACGTCGTCGAACTGAAAACTGGTTTGAAGGAAAGCAACGGGGACGCAGACAGTCCAACCGGAAACAGCTTGGCGGAGAACAAAGTGGTCGAAACAGATTTCGCGGACCCCAGCTCTGGAGAGAACAGCCTTGTCAAAGTCGATTCGGAAGCCAGCAGCGACGAAGTCGAAGGATGGGACGTCGTGCCACCCACCGACTCCTCAACGGATCTCATAGAGACGGCATCCACAACAGCCACAGTCGGAGCGACTTCATCAACGGCCACCCTTCGACCCGGCCATCGAAGAAGTCACTCTCGCAACGTCGGCATTCCCGGCAAAGGCGGCACCGACTCAACCTTCGGCCGACTACGCCTCCTCTTCGGCGACCTCTGGCGCTCCCCCGTCACCATAGCACGCTACCTCATCCAAACCGCGCAAGCGAAAATGAGCATCCCACGGCCCTTGCTGAACGTACAGTGGTGGCTGGTGGGCATATTACTAGGCCCCATGATAAAATCCCGTATGCTGGCCGCCAAACAACGCTGCTGCGAAGACGCGGAGCAACGGCCTCTACTGCAAACACCAGAACCGGACGATAGTCCGCCGCGGACGCCAGACATGGCCCACAACTCAGTGCACGAGACCCCGCCAGATCCAACCCCGCCGCCCGGAGGCGCGAAGCTGCATACTCATCCTACTGGGGCGCCGAGGAGCATGAAGCGCGTGGTGCATAAGGTGCGCTGCGTGCATCATCGCTCGAAGCACAGTCCGTGGCTGTGGATCAAGTTCTCCCTTACGCTGGCTTTTGCCATTGGCGCCGCGTTCAAGGACGGGCCGGGGAGTTTGCTGAAGCAGACTGTGTGTTCGTGCCGGCGGAAAGAGATGGAGGGGTTGGCGGCGTCGCAGAATAGGAAGGCGATTACGCTGTGAGATTTGCTGGGAGGTTGGTTCTTAATCATTGTTTTCTGACGGTCGGATTGCATTGCATTTTCTGGGTTGGGTTTCTCTCTCTCTCGTATGTACTCTATACTCTGCTACGGCCTGGAGATTTTTCTTTGGTTGGCTCTTGGGATTGGGTATGGGAGGGTCGGTTAGATAATGTGGTTTTTTATTGTTGTGTTGGTAATGAGCGAAGCTATCGTTGATCTCGTGCAATTATTTGTTGTTCCGAGCCGATTCGTCGCCGACGATCATCTTCCTTCTTCCAAAGATTTCGGAATCGCCGAATATGGAAGGCACTCTGCCGGCTTGATTTTACCTGCTCGCTGGACGTCCTCGTCATACATCGGCCGCAGGCAGCACTACCTCTGATATCACGCTCCGTCAGATTCAAGAAGTATCTTCGACACCAACCAGGAGACAGTCCGTGAACGTGTGGAGGTACCTCCGCTCAAACCACATCGTCACCTCAACAAACCGACCGTCTCCCCGCCCCGTACCCATGAACGGCCAAACACCAACCGCCCCATCTGGGCCCGTACCCCTCTGGATCGCCGGCAAAGAAGTAACGACTTCAACAACCTTCCCCGTCACAAGCCCCAACACCGGCTCCCAACTCTGGACCTCCAGCTCCGCCTCCGTGACCGAAGCCCTCCAAGCCGTGACCGCAGCCGAAACCGCGCTCAAAACCTGGCGCCGCACCAAACCCGCCGCCATTCGCGCCATCCTGCTCAAAGCAGCCGACATCTTCAACCACCGCGCGGAGGAATTAGCGGGCTACATGCAAGCCGAGACCGGTGCGCTGCAGCAATTCACGCAGTTCAACTTGACGACCACGGCGGAGAACTTTCGCGATGTAGCCGGGCGAGCGGCGGCGATTCTCGGAGCTATTCCGACTACTGGCACGCCGGGACAGGCGGCGTTCATTTTCAAAGAGCCGTATGGCGTCGTCTTTAGCATTGCGCCATGGAACGCGCCGTACATCCTCGGCACCTGCGCGTTTCTGTATGCTCTTGCGGCGGGGAACACGGTTATCCTGAAGGGCAGCGAGCTGTCTCCACGAACCTTCTGGGCGATAGGCTCCGTGATGAAGGAGGCAGGGTTGCCGGATGGGGTGCTGAGTGTGCTTTACCATCGCCCGGCAGATGCAGCGGCGGTGACGAATGCGATTATCGAGCACGCGTTTGTCAAGAAGATCACTTTTACCGGCAGCACGACTACAGGGTCGATCATCGCGGCGAAAGCAGGGAAAGAACTCAAGCCCGTGCTCATGGAGCTGGGCGGTAAAGCGTCAGCAATCGTGTGCGAGGATGCGGATCTGCAGCACGCAGCGATGCAAGTTGCGCTGGGCAGTTTCCTGCACGCCGGCCAGATTTGTATGGCGACGGAGCGGGTGCTGGTGCATCGGAAGGCGGTTGGGGAGTTTGCGGAGGCGCTGAAGGGCGCGGCGGAGAAGGTGTATGCTCCTACGGGCGATGCGCCGGTGCTGGTGGCGCAGGCGACGGTGGAGAAGAATCATAAGTTGCTGCATGATGCGGCGGAGAAGGGGGCGAAGGTGTTGTATGGGGATCCGAAGGCGCAGGAGCAATCGCCGTACCGCATACGCCCGGTCATCATCTCGGACGTGACAAAGGACATGGACGTGTTTTACACCGAGTCTTTCGGGCCGATCGCTGCCTTGATTGCATTTGACAGCGACGAGGAGGCGATTGATATCGCAAACGACACCGAGTACGGACTCTCGGGGGCTGTATTCACGCAGAGCCTGGGCAGGGGATTGAAGATTGCAAAGGAGATCGATACTGGTGCGGTGCATATCAACTCCATGACGGTTCACGACGAGGCGACACTTCCGCACGGTGGAGTGAAGAAGTCGGGCTGGGGAAGATTCAATGCGCAGTGGGGCGTGGAGGAGTTTTTGAAGCTGAAGACGGTTACATACATGGAGTCATGACGATAGCCCGAAGGGTGGCTAATGTGATTTCACTCCACTCCACTCTCTTCTTCTATCCGCTGTTGCGTCCTTTCAGTCAAAGTAAGCGCCTGTCCGGCTTGCCAGATTGCCCAGTCCGGCTCCACTGGGCACACCGTCGCCGTCATCTTCGTTGAGTAGCAGTCCCCGTGGACGCTCGACATGCTGCGCCGGCGTATGATGGAGAGTATCATTGGAGACGCCATCCTCTTCGAATGCCCTGGAAAGAGCTTCCCGGAGAAGATCGTACAGCTTTCCCTCCGCAAACACTATCCACTCATCTGTGCGGGACCAAATTCGGGCGATCCGACCATGAAGAGAACCTCACAAAGAAATCCTCCATTTCCATAGTAGGGACCTCATTTCTTCCTCACATCCTTCTTCGCATCCCTCGCCAGCCTATCCTTCTTGCCACCACTCAGCATCTCCAGATGGCCCGCCTTGCTGGCGAGAGACTTTTCCGTAACAGCAGTCAAACCAGCAGAGTGCTTCTACTCTCACGTTAACAACTGCTCCAAATGAGGGCATAAGCCCGTAGATCAGAAGCCGCACCTTCTTCATCTTCTGCTGCTTGACGGCCGCTGCTTTGCGCGGTTTGATCACGCGGGCGCCGGTCTGTTTGCGCTGCGTTCTGCCATGCACGATGTTCGTAAGTTATCTAAACGTCGATACGCGGGGCTTGGATGGAGCTTACACTTTGGGCGCTGGAGCTTTGCTTTTCTTGATCTGCCCTTGAGCCATTGCGAGGCTGATGTGCAGTGGGACGGATAGCAAGAAGGACTGAGGAGATGCATGAAGTCAGATTTCGGGCAGATTTACATGGAGGATTCACGGCTGACTAAGCAGAGTCCACCCCAGCCCGTCAAGTGCTGGTTTGGGACGACGAGGCTTTGCTTTTACCATCGACATCGCTGACGATTATTTATATTTGAAAACGGCAAACCCCGCCTAGTAGCAGTATGCCTGATGTCACTTCATTTGTGGTCTTTGACGTTTGACATTGGTGTCTCAGTGATGCGTAATACCGTTACTGCGTAAGTTTGCGCAAGCCGCGGTAGTGCTGACATGTCGCTGTCCGCAGGGCTGATAATACCTCAATCAGCCCATAGCTACTCGCGCGTGCAATCGGCACAGTACGGGGATGCTCTTATAGCAAACTGTCGTTCTCATTTGTTCACCCCGGCACGGAAGCCCTCGCCTCCAGTACCGTGCAGCAATGGCCAACAGCTCACCCGACCCCGACCCCTATCCTCTTGCCAGGGACAAGAAGGAATCGGATAGGTAAGTCGCATTGCAGCAGGAGTTGTCTGTGTTCTTGCTGACCTTGGACCTACTAAAAGACTGCGAGAGCAGCACGACATTAGTATACAGTATGTGGACCACCCACAAGCTCACGGGGCTTTGCCTTGGTCTAACGACGTAGCAGGAATGCTGGCTATCTCATCTTCCCAGCGATTGTCGACCGCCTGCCATCACACGCACGGATAGCAGACGTCGCTGCCGGCACTGGCGTATGGGCCATGGACGTCGCCAAGTCGCTTCCCAATGCGCAGCTGGTCGCTTTCGATCTCTCGTCCGCGCAGTTCCCCCCTTCAGCACCTGACAATGTCCAATTCGTTGTCACGAATGCGAAGCAACCCTTTCCCGACGCCTACCACGGCTCCTTCGATCTGGTTCACATCCGCGCACTCATCGCCGCGATGATGAGCCCGGAAGACTGGGAGGTAGTAATGTGCAACATCCTCCAGCTGCTCAAGCCCGGCGGCAGCGTGCAGTGGTTTGAAGGCGACTTTGGCAATGTGCCTTGCCTTCGTAACAACCCAGAATATATGCGGTTTACCGCTTTGCCGAAGCTGCTGGAGAAGTTCAGGTCGGTAATGGGCGATCGTGCAACAACCGGTCCCGGCAACCTTGTCAAAGCGGCATCGGCTCGGCTGGAAAATGTGGAAGTGGATGTCTTTCCCACGGACAGGCTTCCTGAAATGAGGGCCCGATGGGCACGACAGGCGGCGATTGCCATGCTTGCATGGGCTGAGAAAAGTTCGGGCTGGTCGGCAGAGGAATTGGCCCAGATGAAATCGGGCGTTCAAGTGGATATTGATAACGGTGCGGCCCGACCATCGAAGGACCGATGCTACCTGTGCTAACTGCAACTCTCTTGACAGGAGCTTATCATCGTGGCGATATTTACTGCGTGACTGGCCAGAAGCCTCATGCATCGACGGAGTGAGCTTCGACCGCAGGACGATGTGCGTGTAAGCCACAGTCGGGCGATTCTTGTATGTGCGGCGAATGCACGTTTGGTGGCCAGTTGGGCGGGCAAGACCTGATAGCAAGGACCGTCCGGTAAGCGAGGTAGACGTCGTAGGTATCTTTGTAACCGTTGGTGAGGGTCGTCACGGAAGCTTGTCAATTCCATCCTAGTGACGACCTCGTGCGTGCCGGGTGGTACGTGCGAGCGGGAAGATATATCAAGAGCAGCTTCATCCCGCCGGCGCAATAGCAGCTCTTTCTTCCGCCCTGGTGCCAATAGTATGCTTTTTGATGAACTCAACATACCCCAACCTCCTCCCCTGCAACAAGTTGACTGCATCTTGCAACAGCCCAAACGCGAACCCCCCCTTCGCGCCCAGCTTCATCAGCCTCACCCCCGTAGGCAGCGGCATGCGCTTCCACGCAGAGAACAATCCCGCACTCACAAGCCCAGCCAGCATCGTACTGAGAAAGTCCTTATTCCCCGCCGCCGCCCTGCCCCTCACCTCCTCCGCCTCGGCATCCACTCCGCGATCATAATCCAAATGATTCCTCCACTCCCTCACAACCGCCGCCCGCCCACGATCAATCGTCTCCTCCATAAAAACCAAGCACCCCGCCCACGGCGCCAAGCGCCCACCCATCCGGAAGCCCTCGTAGATCCCTCCAAGCGCGATATGGTAGTTCTTGCTCTTGTGGTAGAGATACCATCCCGCCTGGGTGTTGGGGAGGCGGTGCGCGTGCTCGGCGCGAAAGCGCAGACCCGCTTCTTGCCCGCCTTTGCGTGCGCCGAGGAAGAAGCCCGAGACGCCGGCGAGGGTCATGTAGATTGGGAGGCGGAAGATGAAGGGTTGCGAGATGCGGTGGAAGGAGCCTGGGGCGGGTTGGAGGAGGGCGGCGACTGCTTCTTCCGCTGTTATGGGTTGAGCGGCTGATGGCTCCTCCATTGAAGGTTTGGACATTGCGTTGATGGTGTGGTTATATCATTGTTGGGTTGTATTGACGAGAGGCTGAGCTCGGTGTCGTTGAAGCATTGCATGGGCGTCGAGGCCGCGCTGATTATATAAGCATTCGAGATCTCGACCGCACCTTTTCAAAGCCGCTCTTTCTCCACTGCACCACCGACGCAACTCCCTTTTCGCAACGCGCCACATCGTTTCGGCTTGCGACGAGATAACCACAGCCGTCACACTGAGCGAGTTACCGCGCAATGTCCACAACCCAACCCTCCCCACGAACGTGGACACTCCGTTTCAAAAACAACCGAACCACCATCATCCTCCACGTCGATCCACTACAGAAGCTCAGCAGCGTGAAAAGCGACCTTTTGAAAGCGGTCCAGCAAACTCATCCGCACGGCCGGCTCAGCGGCGCAGCAATCCCCCAAAATTCCGCCGAAATACAACTTGCCAAACCCAGGGATGCCGAAGATTTGGCCGAGGGGTTCCAGAGCATAGAACCGCGGCGGGAAATGTTTGCCGATGGGAGCGATAGCGGGAAGGGAAAGGGCAAGGCTTCAGCGGGTAAGCAAAAGCAGGCGGATACGAGCAGAGAGTGTCCGGAGAGTGTTGGGCTGCGGGATGGTGGGATTGTGGCTTTCAGATTTCGGGGCGAGGGCGGGCAGCCAGGCGGAAGAGGGCAGATTGTGGACGACGAGATTGACGACATCAGGGTTAGCGACGAAGATGATGATCGAGACTGGGATGTCATTGTGCCGGATATCGACGAAGGTGAAGAAGAAGGGCTGCCGTCGATAGAGAGGATGGACGAGGACCAGGGCTGAAGCTGTATGGACTCTAGCTGGCAGTGCGGATATCATGACACGACGAACTCGACTCGAGCATTTTACTATCGGTACTATTGGACCACCAGCAGCTGGCGTAGCTGCATTTCACCCGATCGACCCCCAAGCGCCTCGGACGAGCGGTTGCTTCTCTCCGATCAATCCCATCGGCACCAAGGCGTGAGATGAAGAAGAAAGCCAGCACCTGTGTAGGATGCCCGGAGAGCCAGCTTATCGCCCGTATGCAAGCCTCAGAAGTGTCATATCTGCGAACCAACACCTTGGCCAGCATGTTTGCTTCTCTACGATCCAGTGGGTTGGAGTGAACTCTCCAGGAGTCTTCACAAGGCTTTCGCCCGTGGCTTCTCTACAGAGATGTAGTCAATGGCCAGTGTGCGTTTGGGATGTTACAATGAGCTTCAAAACGATTCTCTGGACGGATTCTCACCTCTCTTCGCCAATATGCTTTTATCATACCGCGTTGAAAGGATGGCTGTGGCTATCGGCAGCCAAAGTGCATATGAGATGTGGAGTCTTGGCCGCCAAGCAAACTTTTGCCCCTTTCACTCACGACGTGATATGCTTGCCCAACTTCATCATCTCTACAATTGAAAGGATTGGAAAGAAAGAATTGAAGCCACCTGCGGTGAGCCAAACGCGTGAAGTTCGCGCGGAGATACAGCCAGCTCTATCAAGAAGCTCGACCAAAAGATCCACCCCTCCCACTACAAGAAACCCCCGACCACCTCCAGAATCGCCGCCCAGTGCAGCCGCAGTGTCATATCGTCCTGCTCCACCCGGAGCCTGCTGAGCGTCTCGGCCTCCCCGGCCCTCCCTCCCTCCTCGGCATCCCGGATGAGATCCGACCACGTCGTCAACTGGTTCCGCGTCTGCGCGGTGAACGGCGACAAGTCCAGCCACGCAGATGGGCGGTCGAGCGCCAGGCGAAAGGCGGTCCCGTGCAGCATAATCGCCACACGGTGCGCGTCCACCGCCTGGCTGCGTCGAGCCGCCCAGCGTTGAGCACTCGCCATGTTCCCGGCGAGAAGGGACACGTTGACGAGGTTGTCGTAGGTGATGAGGCCGTTTCCGGGGCCCAGGTTCGGCGGCGTCATGACCTCGCCGGCGAAGGCGGGGGTCGCGAAGATTGCGGTGACGAGCTGGGGATGGAGCCGCAGCTCCGGCGAGCTTCGAATGAAGAGCCTCATTTCGTCGAGACGGCCGCGGCGGATCATGAGAAGAGCCCAGAGGGCTCGGGCCTCGAAGGTGGGCAGCAGGGGCCTGCACATCTCGTAGAGCTCGGGGGGCAGGTGGAAGATGTCGTTGGCGAGGCTTGCCAGGCCGGTCGTCGACGCGATCTCGGGGACGCGGACGAAGAAGTGGTGCCGGAGGCCAGCGCTGTTGAAGCGGACGCTGGTGAACTGCATCTTCTCGGTTGTTGTGGTGGTGGTGGAGGAGTTTGCGGTGCGTGAACGATGGTTGATTGATTCGAAGCAGCGAGAAGAGACCGTGGTGGTGAGCGAGGGCGGGAGGAAGAGAGCGAGGGGTTTGAAAGAGCTTCGAAGTGACCATATCAAAAAGCTGTGTGTGGGAAAAACTGCACAATAGAGACAAGGTTTGATTGCGAGAGGCTGTGTGACGCGAACTCACTCATCAAACGCAGCAAGTTCACACGGAAGGAGCGACAGCGGGAGCAGAATGGGCCTAACAAGACGCGGAGAAGCGGTTTGACGCTGTACAGGGCCGCAGACGCGTGAGTATCGATCATGATCCAAGCGATGGGGCAGAAGAGCTGAAGAAACGTCCAATTCGTTGTCACGCGGCATGGGGAGGAAGAGAAACAAGGCTGCAGGCCACATTGGTGCAAAAGGGGGCCATCCAACCCGTTTCAGCAGCGATCGCCGAACAATTCAGCATCTACAAGATAATTGCCCTCTCCAGCCTCCGAATCATTCCAATCACCATTGAACTGCCCCCTGAACATGTTTGCACGCGTCTTTGTCTGTCCTGACCCCAAAGATCATCAAAAGCAGCTTCACCGTGCTCCACCGTATGCTGAAAGGCCTCAACGCGTGAAGCTTTCGCTCAGCGACGTCTTTAAACGCCGAACAGGCGAATGGCGAGGCGGTCAAAGGGGAGAGGGTTATGTTTCGCGTGAAGAATACCGTTCATACTGCCCCCTTTCGCCCTGTGACTGCCCTGCCGCTGCGTGATATTGATGGGGGCTCGTGGAGATGCGTCAGAGGAAGGAAGAGTGAGCTCTACGAGTGTACATCCCATGATAACGGCTTTGGAACGCTTCAGTCGAGTTGTCAGGCTTGTGAAGTAGGATGAAGGTGACGGAGAGCTCGTGTCCGAGGTGGTATGGAGTTTGATCAGCCGGGAGAGGCTTTGTGACTGGCAGCGAGGGCTTGTGGTTCGAATCTCCGGCGTGGAGGAATGATGGCGATTGTGGTGGAAGCTAGATCTTGTCTATCTCACATCAGTGCTGCTTGTGTTCATGGTTGATTCGACGTACCTGTCGACTGTGCTGTAGCTTGGAAGGCTTCCGGCGCGATCTGCCGCCTCCACGACCGCGTCGGTGAGATGTGAGCCGGCACCAACATCTCAACGGATATGAGGGTGGAAGACTAAGTGAGCCATAGGCCGTGAGAGCGTGTAGACAGTGAAAAGAAGGACAAACAAGACTGTGTAGTAGCTCTACAAGCACTCATCCACAGCAAACTGCTCGTCGCTCGCCCAGCAGACGTCAAACACACAAACACACCCACCTACCTCCCTCTCCCAGACGCGTACAAACGTCCACCACGACGGCAAATACAAAAGCAACAACTTCAAGGATGCTTCCTTCTCCAGACTCAAGCAATGCAGCTCAAGGCCTGATGAAAAAAGGTTGGGATGTTCAAGAAATTGGAGCTACGCTCGGCCCTCAACTCGGAGCACCAGCAACGCCCTGATATGTCTCGCACTAGAAGTCACACTGTCGTGCATAGGCGATGATCGGGCGGTACTGTAGCGCGATTGGAGTTACCTGTAAGAGACACACGTTAGCGTGTTTCTTGCGGTATGAAGAAGAAAGAGAAAAGAAGGGAGAGGAAGGGAAGCTGCTGGAGTAGACTCAGGTACTTTCCTCAAGAGACGCGGGAGCGCTAAAATGCGCGCTAGTCGATTCGGCAGCTAGGCTTGTATGGGAAGTTGTAGGCCAATCGGATGGCTGAGTGGAGCCGTGGTGGAAGCTCGTGGTCGGTGGGCGAAGCTTGAAGTGGTTGCCGGGCATTTGAAAGGCTCAATGGGTCGTCGAAGGGCTCTTGCAAGGCGGTCTGAGGGCTTTTTGCTTGCTGTCGAGGTCTCAGTGTGTTTGTTGCTTGCTACTACGCGTCAGTCGGGCCATCTTGTAAGGATTGCATTCGACTCACCACGAGCGAAAGCTGACCAGAGCCAGCGGGGCGGATGGGAAGCATTTTCGACCAGTCATACACTGCAGAGACCGATACAGCGACGAAGGGCGGTCGACTTAGGTCATTGCGCGCTGCCAACCTTCTTTACGATCAATTGAGCTCGCAGTCAGCACCTACCACCTCAGGAAGCGCGTCAGCGGTACCTTAGCCCACGTGTCAGGAAGCAAGCACATCGGTCGGAGTAGCTCGTCCAACAATCGCGGACCCTCAATCGAAGGCCAATCCTTCGCCAGTACGCACAGATCCGGCATCGCCAGCCCTCAAAATCAGCAGCACTACATACTTCCTCCTTTTCTCTCGGACGCGTATCACACCAGATCACTTCCGTCAACGACCAGAAGCCAGGACAACGTCGCGGCTTGGAAAGTCTGGCCCAAGTTCCGGCGAATTAAATCGATGCCAGAGCACATTACGCAGTGTACACGACATACGCTTTGAAGTAGCGACGGCTTTCGACCCTCCAGTATGCCTTGAAAAGCGGCCAACGGCATGAAAGAGGGTGTATTGAGGCCAGAGTACCGATCGCGTGTCGGGAAAGATGCAAGTACCAGCAAGTGTACAACAAAGTAGTGGAGAGAGCGTAAGAAAACGAAAGACAGGGTTTGGGAATGTTGGAGTACCGCAATGTTCAAGATCGACCCGACAGCAAGCCCTGGAATCCTGCAACTTGTATACATCATCCATCGGCAAAATGCCAGGACTCGAAGTCCAAAGGCATCCGTCCAAGCTACCCAAAGGGCGGGATGGCGAGACATGGCAAGTTGACGGCAGGCGTTCCGGCTTTTTTCAAATTTACCTGATCTTCCACGCTGGATGCTGGCTTTGAGTAACGTTGTTCTACCTTTCTGCAGCAGACATTGACTGGTCTTTTGTACGGAGGAGCAGGATGCAGTCCGGGCCAGATTGTCGTATGAGCGTTGCCTCTGCGCCGGGCTGCGGAGATATTGTGATATTGGAGTACTGAGGAGCACTCTATATTCAGCCTACTTCCATTCCAGTGGAGATCGCTATTGTCAGAAAATGTGATAGCAGCAGACATGGCAAAGGGGAGAGCAGATGAAGTCGGAACAGACTCGCCGCCAACTCGGAGCTTGAGTGGAACTCCGCGCCAGCTCGATGGGGAAGGTGAGCTGCAGCGGGCAAGCACGACACCGAGGGGTAGGGCTTCGTTCGCATTCGCATCAGAGGGTTGGCCAACTTTGCCATTCTCCCAGATATATCCCTTGCGCCCCCGGCTGAGAAGCGCCCCTCGAGTCTTGGATACTTTGGAAGCCCCGTCGCGTGGCATGTAAAGCACCGCTGCCAAGATGCCCTCCGAAAGCACCCCACTCTTGCAAACTGTCCCCGTAGCGGAGCAGCACCAGCGATACCCACATCGATCGGTATGTCATCTCAGTCCCTTCCATCCTGCCCTGCAAGCAAATGATACTGACGTCCTCTCCAGCTGCGTAGATACTGCACCATTGCGCTCGCCTGCATCCCCATCGTCACCCTCGTCGTGATCCTCGTCCTCATAGGCATCGGAGCTCGCGGCGATGTGCTGGGCAATGGCGACGACGATGCCGTGCTTCTTGCCCTGACGAAAGGCGGACTGCCGCACAAGTCGTGGCCTGCATCGCAAGGCCTGAGCTATGCCGAGCTGAAAGACATCCTACGAGACACCCCCGATCCGATGAAAGCGAGGGAATGGAGCCAGTACTACGCTTCAGGCCCGCACCTCTGCGGCAAGAATCTGAGTCAAGCGGAGTGGACGCGAGACTTGTGGGAAGAGTTCGGTGTCAAGCACTCGGAGATTGTGACCTATGATCTATATCTCAACTACCCCGTGGACAGCGGGCTGGCCCTGTTGGAAGATGGCAAGGTGGTGTTCAAAGCCACTCTGGAGGAAGACGTGCTGCCCGAGGACCCCACGACTGGTCTCGAGGACAGAATCCCGACCTTCCATGGCTACTCCGCGAGCGGCGATGTGACGGCGCAGTATGTCTTCTGCAACTACGGCATGTATGATGACTACGAGGAACTCGAGAAAGCCGGCGTGGACTTGAAGGGCAAGATCGCCTTGGTCAAGTACGGTGGCATCTTCCGTGGCCTCAAAATCAAAGGGGCCGAGGAGAAGGGCATGGTTGGCGTGATCATGTACGACGATCCTGGTGACGATGGGGAGTTTACGGAGGAGCATGGGTTCAAGCCTTACCCGCATGGACCTGCCAGGAACCCAAGCAGCTTGCAGAGAGGGAGTGTGTCATACTTGAGTGAGTCGGCTCCGATTCCGAGATCACTCAGCTACTAATTTTGCGCAAGGCGTCGCACCCGGCGACCCAACAACCCAAGGCTACCCATCCAAACCAGGAGTACCTCGCCAGTCTGTCGAAGGCAAGATTCCAAGCGTTCCATCCCTACCAATCTCTTACGCGGAAGCACTTCCGTTGCTCAAGGCTCTGAACGGACATGGGCCGAATGCGTCATCCTTCCCTTCGTCCTGGCATAACGGGGGACTGGGCTACAAGGGCGTGGAGTACAGCGTCGGACCGTCGCCCGAGTCGTCAACCGTCCATTTGATGAACGAACAGGAATACGTCATCACGCCGGCATGGAACGTGATTGGTGTCATCAATGGCTCGATTCCGGACGAGGTAATCCTGATCGGCAACCACCGCGATGCTTGGATCGCTGGCGGTGCAGGCGATCCCAACTCCGGGTCCGCCGCACTCAACGAAATCATCCGATCCTTCGGCAAAGCCCTCGAGAAAGGCTGGAGGCCGCAAAGGACCATCGTCTTCGCATCGTGGGATGGGGAAGAGTACGGCTTGCTGGGCTCCACCGAATGGGTGGAAGAATACCTGCCCTGGCTGTCCGACGCAGCCATAGCGTATGTCAACGTCGACGTGGGCGCCGTCAGCCCCAACCTCCGCACCTCGGCTGCTCCGGTGTTGAACAAGGCACTCTACGACATCACAAGCTCCGTGCAATCCCCCAACCAAACGACTAAAGGCCAAACTGTCCGCGACCTCTGGGACGGCCTAATCTTCACAATGGGATCGGGTAGTGACTACACCGCCTTCCAGGACTTTGCGGGCATCTCTTGCATCGACATTGGCTATAGTGCTCAAGGCCCCGCGGATCCTGTCTATCATTACCACAGCAACTACGACAGCTTTTACTGGATGGACAATTTCGGCGACCCGGGCTTCCTCTACCACACTTCTATCGCACAGGTCGCCGGCCTTCTCGTCGCGAAGCTGGTCGAGGAACCTGTCATCTCTTTCAATGCCACCGACTACGCGTTCAGCCTGGAACGCTACCTGAACAGCCTAAAAGAGACTGTACCCAAGGAAGACGCACCTCGCAACTTCTTCGGTGCCCTCGACGCCGCAATCGAAGCCTTCCAACGCGTCTCCGTCGCCTTTGACCACACAGCCTCGAAACTAATCGATCTGGCGAGCAGCAAGAAGCCAGGGAATCGCGCGGAGCTGTACAGATCCATCCGCAGCCTCAACACCAAGTACAAGCTGCTGGAACGCCAGTTCCTTCACGCTCCGGGGCTCGACAGCCGCTCGTGGTTCAAGCATGTCGTTTTCGCGCCGGGATTGTGGACGGGGTATGCGGGGGCTACGTATCCGGGGTTGGTGGAGGCGGTGGCGGACAAGAATGAGACTGCGATTCGGAAGTGGGCGGAGATTATTGAGGGTGCGGTGCACCGCGCGACGGATCTGTTGATTCCACAATGAAGGATATGCAATGCTCTACTAATGGGATGTGTGTATATCTATAAGCCCGCTGAACGCAAAAACAACCTTCCCCCAAATGCCAACACCCTACTCATCCAACAAGATCAGCACTTCATCAACGTCCTCCCGCCCAATATCCAACACATTAACAGGATGCACAGCAGGCCACCCAATCGCAATCCCACACAACAGCACCTCCTCCTTCGCCACCCCAAACTCCCTCCTCACCACCTCGGGAAACCCCACAACGCTAACCTGCAAACAACTCCCCAACCCCCGCTCCGTCAACGCCAGCACGAAATTCTGCACAAACAGCCCCACACACATGGCGTCCATGGCCGTCAACCGCTCATCGCAAAGCGTGACAAGGCCACACACCGGCGCGCCGAAGAACTCGTAGTTGCGCAGCTGCGCTTCCAGGTGGTGCGCCGCGTCGTCCCGCGGGATGTTCCACCCTTCTGGACCGTAGAGTTTGTGCCCCATGGCGGAGCGGAAGTGGTTGAACTCTGCTGGGAGAGGGGCGATGCGTGGGCCGTGGTCGTTGGCGGCGCTTTGCAGGGCGCTCACGATGCGGGTGCGTGCGGGGCCGTGGGCGAGGCGGAGGCGCCAAGGTTGCGTGTTGGAGTTTGAGGGGGCGTTGGTTGCTAGGGTTGCGCAGGCGCGGAGGATTGAGGCGGGCACGGGGTCGGGGGTGAAGAGGCGGGTGCTGTGGCGGGCGGTGATGCAGGTTGCTAAGGTTTTGGGGGTGTAGGGGGGTGATGGTGTTGTTTCCATGGTTCAGTTGGTGGATTGGAATCCGAGATGGGTGGATGTCTGGCTTGGAGAAGATAGATGTGTGTCGAATGAATTTGTGTGCAACCGATTGTTCAGCCAGTCCTGGAAGTGAAGAGCAATATGTTTGCTATGGGAGTCGGGACAGACTGGTGTTCCTCGTGTACTCGGTGAAATCGCAATGAGTCGTGAAAATGCGTGAAAAGTGCAGCAGAGATCTCGAAACGCAGCTACCATCCGGTCTGCCGGTGGTGGTGATCTACCATGGGGCTGAAATTGAAAGGACTGACGTTGTATCTTGGAGCCATTTGATATGAGCGGTGTATGGCTGATGCAGAGATAGCGAATCGCAAAATGCATGGACGAGGTGTGGTTCAGCCGCACAGGCCGCACAAGTGCCATGGAGCGTACCAAGGAATAAGAGTTGCTCAGGCTACCACACAATCGTGCCTATGCAATGAGGCCAAGGCCAATGAAACGTGAACAAGAAGTCAAGTGAAGCATCACTTGTACATTTCCTACTTCAATCTTGCTAACTACCGCGTATGCTTTTTCTCCCTCATCTCACACGTGAAGCCGAGCCTTTCTTGCACGCCTTTACCTGCAAGTGTACCCGCCGTCAATCAGCAGATCAGCACCGGTGGTGTAGGTGGAGGCGTCCGAGCAGAAGTAGACATAGGCGCCCTTGAGCTCCTTGGCGTCGCCGTTGCGGCCGAGGGGGATCATGCTCATCCACAGATCCTGCGTCTCCTTGGGCACAAAGTCGGACAAGCCGGTGTCGATGTAGCCGGGGGAGATGGAGTTGACGCGGGCAAAGTCGCGCCACTCGTTGGCCAACGACTTGGCCATGTGGATGCAGCCGGCCTTGGCCACGTTGTACGACGTCTGCTCCTGCGGGTAGTTGGCAATGTGGCCCGACATGGACGAGGTGATGACGAGCGAGCCATGGCCCTGCTGCTTGAACAGATGGCCGACGGCCTTGGCGCAGTTGAAGGTGCCGTTGAGGTCGACGTCGATGACGTGGTTCCACGCCTCGACGGAGCCGTCGAGGATGCCCGAGTCGGCGGTCGCGCCCGCGTTGGCCACCATGGCGTCGATCTTGCCAAAGTCCTTGACCACCTCGGCCACGAGCGCCTCCACGCTCTCGTACTTGTCGACCTGGCACTTGTACGCCTTGGCCTTGACGCCGTACGACGCGGCCAGCTCTTTGGCGTTCTTCTCGCCGCCCTCCTTGCGCGAGGCGTAGGTGATGGCCACGTCGGCGCCCATCTCGGCGAGTCCGCGCGCCGCTTCAATGCCCATTCCGCGCGGGCCGGAGGCGCCGGTCACGAGCACGACCTTGCCCTTCATGGACAGGAGGTCGAGGAGATGCTCCTTCTCGGGGATTCTGACGGGCATGATGTCGGATGTATGGGGTAGAGTGATGTGGGGCTGGGATTGAATGGAGGAAGCTGAGAAATGGTTTGGTGATGGGTAGAGTGAAGTAGAGAAGAGATATGGGAGAGTGGAAGAGTGTAGAATGAGAGGAAAACAGTTTTCTCTTCCACCGACTGCCCCGCCATTGGGTGGTGTGAGGTAATGGTGGGGCAGAGCTCCAGCGCATGCATGACGGAGATGTTATGTAAGCCTGACCAACATGAACGTCACCTCCTTCGCCTTTCCTCTCTGCATAATCAAGCTGGAAATGTACCCTCCGCACTGCTCGGTGGTGTCGACCATAGGCTCAGCTTCATGTCCGGCCAAAAGCTTGCAAGCATGCATCCATACCGCACACCACCACGAATGCAGCAGCCTACATATTCACAGCATCACATCGGGAATGCTAGCCCATTCCGGCATCTCCCGGATGCGAGGAGACGGTGCAAAGCCAAAGCAACACCGGACCTCATGCTCGACAGTGAGTACTGTATACAGAGGCTACGCTGAGTTATGTAAGCCGCGCGGCATGTCTTCTTACGCAGCGAGACATATCACCCGACCAAACATGTCGTCACGTGAGCACTCCTCAATTGTGCACTCCTCCCCCTACGTTCGCAGTCGACCTGCCCAATCCCACCTTGTACCTCTCCAATGCCCGTTCCCTGCACTTCTTGTGATCCAGCATGGGCTTGGGATACCCAGCCTTCTCCGCCTGCTTCTGCGCCCCTCGCCCATAAGGATCATGGATCGCCTTGCCCTCAATGCCCTTCAGCTCCGGCACCCACTTCCGAATGTACTCCCCACTCTCATCGAACTTCTCGCTCTGCAGCAGCGGATTGAAGATGCGGAAGTACGGTTGGGGATCCACGCCGGTAGAGGCGGAGAAGCCCCAGCCGCCGTTGTTCGAGGCAAAGTCGCCGTCGATCAGATTCTCCATGAAGTACTTCTCCCCCATCCGCCAGTCTAGCATCAGGTCCTTGGCAAGGAAACACGCAACAATCATACGGCAGCGGTTATGCATCCACGCCATTGTTTTGACTTGCCGCATTGCTGCATCGACAATGGGAAAGCCGGTTGTGCCCTCTGTCCAGCGGCGGAAGGCTTCATCGTCGTACTCCCATTCGATGTTCGAGTATTCGTACTTGAACGCCTTGCCCATGCAGATGTACGGCCAGTGCGCCATGACGTGCTTGTAGAAGTCGCGCCACGCAACCTCCGAGATCCACGTGGTGATGCCTGCGCTGCCTCCGTCAAGCCTCTTACTGCTGTTGGCTTGTTGTGCTAGGCGGACAGCGGTACGAGCTGCCAGTGAGCCGGCGGAGAGATGCGGGCTCAAAAGCGAAGTGGAGTTGGCTGCTGGAAGGTTGCGAACGGCTTGGTACGACTTGATCTTTTCTGCCAGGAAGCGGTCCAGTCGATCGCGGGCCTCGTGTTCTCCGGCGGGCCAGAAGCTCGCAAGGCGCTCACGGTCCTCGGCAGACAGGCTTTTGTTTGCGGGAGCCGATGGGATCTCGCAATCAAAGAGTGCCTTGAATTTCTTCCTGGCGGCTTCAGGGTTTGCAGACGGCGCCGGCGACTCAACGAGCAAGTGTGGATGCTCGTGCACGTGCTTGACCCAGGATTTGAAGAAGGGAGAGTAGACGGAATACTGCTTGCCAGTACCCGACGAGATGCTGCCAGGAGCAACCACAACATCATCGTGAACGGGCGAGAAGTCGACGCCTTGCTGCAAACAGGTGTCAATCAACTTCGTCTCTCGCCTCAGCTCGTCGACTTCGTATTCGATGTTGCAAAAAACGTGCTTTGCGCCCCACTCCTGGAACTTCTGCAGGATGTGCGAGGGCACGTCTTTCCTCTTGTCGATGGTGGTAGTGTACAGCGGTATATCGAGTTCTCCAAGATCCGCTCGCAGCACCTCCAACGTCCTCAAGTCGAAATCGACCCGAGCCTTACTTGTGAGATGCGCTTGGTAGTCTTGCGGGCTGACGACGAACATGCAAATCAACGGCACGCCAGCCTCCTTTGCTTTCTCGCTGGCCTGACTCAGTCCTCGATTATCGAACATGCGGAGGTCACGCTTGAACCAGTGGACCACGCTCTCGCCGACTTTGATCGTCTCACGTTGGGCTTTTGTGTCCTTGATCTTCGAATGCAGCACGTCCATCGGTCGCGGGATTTCGCCTTTGTGGTACTGCTCGCAGCGCGCGTTGCTCATTTCCGGCGGATAGAATTCGCGTTGGATGATGCCGGCTTCCTCAGCCGGGCTGAGGTGGCTGGAGACGGCATTCTCAGCTTTGGGCTTTTTGGTGGGAGACGGTCGTACGGGCGATGTCGCTTTTCTTTTCGGTGCCATCTTGGACGAGAAAGCGCGTACGAGTGATTGTGGTTGTCGCGGTGGAGGCAATCGACGAAAGGCCAAAGGGAGTAGCAGTCTCGATGCGCCAAGCATGCACGTTGCAGTGTCGCGAAGTGCCAGGTGGTGAAGGAGTCGCACGCGCTCGCTGATGTTGCTCCTCTTTCGCGAAGAGTGTTTGTATTTGGTGTTGCGATTTCAGACGTTGCGTCGTTGACATCATCATGGACCTCTTTCCCCGGATTGCTCGTTCCTGCATCGACGCTAGCACGGGGTTGAGTTTACGGAAAGAGCCGTTCCGTGAGCTTGAAACTCCACCAGTCGTTCGGAATGCATTCGAGACTTTCGAAGCATTCACGTGTGGACCGCGCATACTCTCTCTTCCCCTCTGCTCGAGTATCCTCGGTGGCTCTCACAACACCGCAGATGGCGACCGACCCGCGACGACGAAACGTCCAGTCGCAACCACCACCTCCCCCGCCTCCACCGCCGGAAGATCAGCCCGACTCTACCACCGTAAGCCTCGATGGGTCCAGTGACACCACCGCACAGCAGCCCAATGGGCAGAAGCCAGGCGAGGCAGCGCAACCAGGCGGCTACAAGCTGAAGTTCTGCACCGTCTGCGCCAGCAACAACAATCGTTCCATGGAAGCGTAAGGCGCCTCTTTCCCCCCTTCACCCTTCACCAACTCACAGAGAATTGCAGACACCTCCGACTCTCCACCTCCGAAGCCGCATATCCTACCATCTCCTTCGGCACAGGCTCGCTCGTCCGTCTACCCGGCCCCAGCATCACGCAACCCAACGTGTACACCTTCAACAACACCTCCTACGACAGCATGTACAACGAACTTGCAGAGAAAGACGCGCGCCTGTACCGCGCCAACGGCATCCTACCCATGCTCGAGCGCAACAGAGGCGTCAAGTGGGGCCCAGAGCGCTGGCAAGACTGGCGCGTGGGTGTGCCTCGCATCGGGAAAAGATGGGAAGGCGGAGAGGCGGAGTACAATGCCGATCGAGGGTATGTGGGGACGGAGGCGGGGGTGGTGGACATCGTGTTTACGTGCGAGGAGCGGTGCTGGGACGCGGTGGTGGACGACTTGCTTACGAGGGGCAGCCCGCTCAATCGGCCAGTGCACGTGTTCAATGTGGATATCAAGGATAATCATGAGGAAGCGCTGGTTGGCGGGAGGGCAATTCTGGAGCTGGCCAATGAGCTGAACCAGGCTGCGAGGGAGGAGAGGGAGGCGCTGGGCGCGACGAATGGCGGTGCCGCTGGTGTGAATGGGTTTGACGCGGGCATGCCGCATGCGAGAGCGGGATTCGATGAAAGAGTGCCGGAGATACTGGGCGCATGGCAGGAGCGGTGGCCGGGTCTGCCAGCGCTCTGGACATTGGCATGGTTTTGAGCATTTCTGCGGGCGGACGTGTGCATTTTGAGATACCCCATCTGGCGATAGATCAATCAGTCAATCAATCATGAAATGTGGTCGTGGTCCTGCCTCATGCGTAGAGTAGATACGGTTTGGGTGGACTGAACCATCAGCTTTTGATTGGCTGCCGGACTAACGCTCCACGGGCCCGCCCGAGATCTACCCGAAAGCTTCCTCGTTGCACGTGAAACGGCGTGGCCTCTCCGCATCCGGGGTGTTGTCAGCAGTGAAGGCCAACGGTCATCTGCACTTCCCTGAGTGGCGAGCCTCGCCACACCACATCGGCCCCTTTCTATTCCCTCCTCGCACTTTCGATTTCAGTCTCGGCGCCCTGAGGTTCGAGGCCGCCGGGAATAGAAGGAACCCCGGTTGTGCCGGCCGGGCACGCGACCTCCCTCCGCTATGAGCAGCGGGCCCCGTCCTCAGCTCTTCCCGTCTTCCTCCTCTTCTCAGGCTGTCCCTCAATCTCGATACTACTCTCCAGAAGACGAAGGCGCCAAGTGGTTCGACTTTCTTCGAACAGCACACGACACCGTACCACTTGAATCGTCGTCGTCATCCGCAGACCGCAAGCGACCACACCCCGCATCTTCGCCGGATAAGTCAGACCTCCCTCGTAGAGTAGTGTGGAGTGGACGGACGGTGTCGAATAACTCCAACTCTGTCACCATGGCCGGGCAAAGCCGAGAAACAGCCATCGATCTCACCTCCCCCACACGACCTCCGCCACCCCGAAGTAGCAGCAGAAGAAGAGACAGCGAGGAGACGATAAGAGCAGCTGCACATAATCATCCCAGACCAGGCATGGGTGCTTCCAGACCCAGCGGAGCTACAAGACAAAGCAGCGATGTTGTGCTTCCGCCCTGGCAGCCCGATGCAGCCGTCGACCGCTGTCCGGTGTGCGGGACGGATTTCAGCTTCTGGTACCGCAAGCATCACTGCAGGAAGTGTGGGCGAGTCGTGTGTGCTGGGTGCTCGCCGCATCGAATCACCATCCCGAGACAATACGTTGTCCAGCCTCCAGCATTACCTGACGCTGATCGCTGGCCCCTCGGCCCTCCGATTGGTAATCCTTATCGAACTCTTGAAGGAGGCGAGGTGGTGAGAGTATGCAACCCCTGTGTACCTGACCCGTGGACTCCTGGCGCGGAACCGGACGGACCTGCTCAGCCTACAGACGTTCCTCCGAGGCGAAGAGACAGTCATGAACCGGCACGGTATCGATACCAGCAGTTTCCGCCACCACCCTCTTTACAGCGCCCACAACCTCCGGTGACGTCTAATCCACCTGGCGGCCTCAGTCAAAGCTTACCACCCAACAACCCCGCTGGTCCCAACTCTCGCGCTCCCCCTCCTCCTCCGCCGGATCACACCCGACCATCGACCCACCGCTACACCGCAAGCGCAAGCACCGCCATCCCACCAACCACGCAACCCCAACCGGCCAGACAGCGGCCACCCGCAGGCACCACCTCAACAACCAATCTCCAACCGCAACCCCGCCCACCCCGCCGCGAAATCCCAGAAGAAGACGAATGCCCCGTCTGCGGCCTCGAGCTGCCCCCCGGCGACGCAGTCCGCGAAGCGCACATCCAAGAGTGCATCACCGCCCGCTTCTCCTCCAACCCCTCCAACACCACCAGCGTCGGCTCCGCCCCACACTTACACCCACCCCGAACCTCCAGCACGCAATCAGCGCCTACAGCCACAGATGCCCCACCGACCGCACCTTCTACCTCCGCCCCCTCCAATACCACCACAACGCGTCCCCGTGCAACGAGTTATCGCCCCCGCGGCATGGCCGTCTACCGCGCGACGGAGAAGGACTGTGCCGACGCCGCCGGCGAGCCGCAGGAGTGCGTCATTTGCTTCGAGGAGTTCCAGCCTGGCGAGGAGATGGGGCGCATGGAGTGTTTGTGTAAATTCCATCGGACTTGCATTCGCGCTTGGTGGGAAACGAAGGGGGTGGGCAGTTGTCCGACGCATATGCTGCATGAATGAGATGATTGATGTGATGATGGAGGAGTTGGAAGGCTGGGGTTGGATGCTGCTGCTTTGGACGGGGGCATGGATAGATCTTATTGGTGGACATCTTCTTTCCGCCCGGGGACGATGATGAAGCTTCATGAATGATCTATCGTGAATGAAATATCAACTACTTCTGCTCCTGGCTATCCGGCTAAAGGCTTATGATATCGCTCGCTCTCTTGTTTGGGGTATCGCAGACTCCTAGGACCCCAATCGTCATCACCCTCAAACCCACCCCCTTACCGTCTCGGCAACGACCGCCCCGACTTCCCATCATACCTATGCCCGCCGCGTGGTCTGGAGTGAGGCACAGCGTGCGCAGCACCGCGCGGTGGAGGATACGGTTGGAAATGAGACGAGGACATTGGTACGTCCTACTCCAGCATAGCATCGACGTGTCAGCGAACTCCACATGAAAACTTGGAAAAAGGGGAGGAAGGCAGGCTCACATTGTCATTGACCGGTGTAAAAGTAGCGGCCGCTGCGGTGGGTCCTCGCCGCTTCTGATGGAGAGATCGTCGGTAGGATGCGGCGGGTGAGAGGGGCATGCGTGGTTGCAAGCCGAGGAGAAACGGCGATGTTCTTGCGGGCATTGCTGGGGTTGGCGAGAAGAAGGCGGAGAGAGGAGGAGCGGAGGTTAGGGGGAAGGGGGCTGCGACGGCCTGGCTGACTGGGATGCTGTTGTCGATGGGGGAAGAGAGCATGTCCACGTCGCTTTGCTGCTGTTGGTGGTCGTTGTTGCTGCCCATCGCGTTCCAGTTGAGGGGTTGAAAGGGGTGCGGGATGTAGGACTGCAAGCCTGGGTCTTCGAGCAGCAACACGCCTGTATTCCCCATGACTGTAGACTGAGGCCAATCGTCGTCATTCACGCAAGCCGCGTTGTCGAATGGCATGGAGTATGGATGTTGAATGTCGCTGCCAGATCTCGACATCGACACGGAGTCCAGTCTTGCTCTTTCTTCGCGCCGCTGACCGAGCTTCTGAAGACTGCCCGAGATGCGATTGACCGCCAGCTCGGCAAGGGAGTGCACTTTGTGCATTTCAAGTTCGCGAAAGACGGTATAAGCTTGTCTGATGAGCCATTCATGCTGATCGTCGTTAGTCTCCCATGCGTCGAGGAGCAGGATCATGCAAGCGTTGAAGGCCTGTTGACTCGTCGTCCAGCAAACGAGCAGGGCGGGATGTCGATGTTTGAAGAACATGAAGGCCTTGATGATCTGCAAGCAGGAGTTGATGACTAGCGCTCGGCCGCGCACCGGTGCTGGATGGCGAGGGAAGCCCTCGGCGCTGCATCGGTTGCTCATTGTGGATGCATATGAGGGCGGCGACGGGCCTCTTGGATCCGAACCTTGTGTTCGTTCGATACGTTGCCGATTGAGGAGGATCAAGAACGATTGCACTTTGACGAATAATGCTGAAAAGTGTCAGCACTGTTGTAAAACAAGGGTATAAAAGAGGCTGCTTACATGTGGACAGCACATCCATCGGCCACTCCGGCAGTGCGGTCTCGGAATGCACCCAGCGCTCGTCAAACTGCAACGCACTGGGCATTGTATCCCACAGGCCAAGCAGCTTGTCAGTGTATTCATCAATTTTGGCCACAGCCATCATGCCATTGCTACTCAAGATGAGACGTGCGAGAATGGTGAAGTAATGCGTGAACTCGCTGAGTCGAAGCATGGTTGGGTTCGTAGTCAGTTGCTCAGGTGGATTGCAGTCGCCGGTGCCAGATATTCCAAGCGGCCTACCAAGAGTGACAGAGTATTGCTGGTCCATGTGCAGCATCCACCACCAAAGCGCTTGCCGTGCAGAGCATTCTGGTAAAAGCGGGACGGGGTCGAGAAATTTGGGGTTTCGATGGAGTCCGATGGAATGAGCGAGGCGTATTGTAGTGCCGAACAGCGTCCATGCGTCGAGGAAGCGGCCCGTGTTTGTCAAGTACGGTCCCATCATGAGGAGAGTCTGAATACCTGGTAGCGTGGGCATGTTCATGAACGATGCATTCCGCAAGGCTTGCATGCTCGCAGCCACTGCAATGTGGTGTTAGCCAGGCACATATTCCCATGTTTCAATCAAGGCACACTTACAGAAGGCATCTTGTCTTCGACGAATCGCAGCGGAGGTCACGGCGTTCCACTGGCCGCCATTACGGTCGTACTGACCCATGTGCAATCCAGTAGCGAGCGTTGCAAAGATCAAAGCCAGGACATCTGGAGCCGTCTCGGTGTTATGCTCTGCATCGCTTAAGAAGCGCTCAACTTCCTTTTTCGTCGCCTCCTCAGGTGTGAACGGAAAGACGCAAGGTTGAGCACGACGCTGGAAGAGATCAAGGTATTCTAAAAGTTCTTCTTTGGGAGGCAGAAGTTCCAATAGAGCAGAGCTGGTGGAGTGGTTGAAGATGACGGGGAAGGGGTATGGCGAAGAGTCGGCTGCATACAGATCCCGACCTTTGGGAACGGTGTGCGTCAACGAGTGTGCACCCAGCTGCAGGTTGGCGAACTGTTGTATGGTTAGCAATGGATAATGCGGCGGATTGCGGGAGATACGCTACATCCGAAACAATGCTTGCAAGACCCGGAGTGCCGAAGTAGATGTTGTCAACGCGGTCAATCGTCCTCAAGCTGCGTTGGCGCGCAGTGACGGGCTTCGTGCCACTCCTTGATGGTCGTTGGTCCAGTGCCACATCGTCTTCCGCGCCGTCATCATCAGGATGGCCTTGCCGGATGGCCTGAAGTCGTTCTTTGAGCTGTTGGTTTTCCAGTCGCAGCTTGCGTATCTCATATGACTGCTGAATGGGACTGTAATCGTTACCCTCACCGACGACAAATTCACATTCCTTTGGATGCCCACGTGCGCAACACGCAGAACATGGCTTGGTTCGGTCGCACTGCAAAAGTAAGTCCCCAACACGTCGATGATCATCGGTGGCATCAGGCTTACCTTGACTTTGCGTTCACGACACGTCGTGCAGGATAATAGCTGGCGGGTGGTGATCTTCTTGAGTCGATAGTCGATGTTTTGGGGATCTTGGGGAGTCGAGGATGGCCCATAGTCTGCCCAGGAGAGGGAAGCCATGTCATGGAACAGCGGCAGACATCGTCGGGCAGATCGAGGCTTTAAGGTGTCAAGCCAGCCGCCTCCAATCTCGATTAGCGAGAAACACTCAGCGCTGAGCCTGAGCCACGAACTGAGACGGATGGAGAGGTGTCAAGCGGGAATGGGAGCTTCAAGATTTGAGATCGTGCTGTATCCCGCGCGGACGGATGATTGCGGACAATGCAAAGATCAGATCTGGATGTTTCTCCACAGTAGTGGCGCCGAAGATGGAGAGCATCTTGGTTCAAGCGATAACTTGTGCTCCGATTCCGAAGATGTGGCTAAAGACGGTGGTCAGATCTGTGCACGGGAGCAGAATTCACTCACAGATACGTCAAAACAAGAATACTCAAATATAGGTCCAAAAGGAGGGGCCGGCGCCCCGAGGCGTGCGTGCAGCCTTAGCAGATGCCGGCTGGGAGTGGAGCAAAGCGCTGTTGGTCGGCATTTCATGTGCCGTGCCACGTTTGATACCGCCATGGCAGAGGCTACTTGAGGCCGCGTACAGGCGGTGGGAGGCGTGGACATGGGATGATTTCAAATCCAAGAGCTCATCCGATCTGATCGCGGCTCCCGGGGGGATGTAGACCAGCCAAAGCCAACAGGCGTATTGGTGAACACAAGATCTCGAGCAGACCGCTCCGCGCGCCATGGATTCGCAGACGCTTGTCCTAGCCACCACCAGTCCTGTTCCGAATGACAAATGAGATTAGTGAACAAATGATTTGGAATGGCGAGAGGTGAAGTCCCCACGTATCCAAGTGACAGCGCCCGTTTGGGGGGCTACGTAGCCTTACGTGTTACCCAAAGCATGGACTCAGGACGATCGCCAGTAGAGCCTGACAACGGGTTAGCTTTCATGCCAGGGCAAAGAGCGTTACCTGAGCTCGCTGCGCTAATTGTGGTTTGCTTCAGATTTGGTAGTTTGGCTGCGTCCAGACACCGTGTGAATGAAGGATGCCGGGAACCAGAGCGTTGACTTGCAAGGCCGGAACCGTCATGTCGGGTCAGAATGACAAATACATGGCAGCCACGAGAGCAGGGTGTAGCCGTACACTCGGGAGAGCAATCATCGCTCGAGGCGGCGGTGACATGGGAGGACATGGGGTTAGGCGCGGTAGCCAGGAAGAGGATCGAACCAAGATTCAAGCCGATGTTCCCATGGCCGGGGAGCCAGTCGTTGACGCGAAGGTCGTACGGCAATGTCCTACAAACCCTTCGAACACGACAACAGGCTGCCTAATGCGGCGAAAGATGCATAATAAGCGAGAGTGGGCGTCGATCGTGACGTGTGCGGTGGGGATGTTTGCATGATCAAGATTGCGTGCATGAGTCGTTTGGAACCACTCAGTAGCGCTCACCGGTTGTTCGTAATGGAGGGGGGATGGCCGTGAGAGTCGCCAGCATGTCCAGACATGCTCGCAAAAAGGCGGCGACTCCAATGCCGACAGGCGAAGGTCGAGCGAGTGTCTCGACTTTCCCGTCATAGGTTGTCGACTAATTGTGATACATCGCAAACCTTGTCTGAAGCCAGCCTGAGATGAGGTCAGCCATACGAAATCCGACGCGCTCCTCGCATGGAAATCGCATCGAAGCACAGGGGTTTCCTCCAATCATCAGGACCCTGGCCTGTATCGTGCATACATCGGGGTGGAAATCGTGAGATCGTGCGATGCTTACGTATGCTCAGATCACGGCCTGTAGCAGGCGTGCAAGATGCGCTGCTGTAGATGTTGCGACGCGACCAACCGAATATCAACGCGCCACCTCAGATCGGGCATCAAGAGGCATCTGAGATGTGTACACTTCTTAGCGAATGTTTGCATGTACCGCTCCGGCACTGCGTGTAGTGAGGAGCAGCAAACATCATCGGTCCGAGCGGTCGGTCACCTCAAGCGAGTCATTGGAAACAGACCGACTGTCACAATGTAAGCGATCGAGTATCTCAACGAGATTAAACGCTGTTTGCGTCTCAGTGGAGGAGATATGGCCCCATTGCCGAGACGGCGAATGGATGAAGTCGAAAGAGAGGATGGCCCGTCCTTGGATAAAGTTGGCGCCATCCAAATGCTTGAACGTCACGGACAACTTCACTCCGCCTTCCCACACAACGAGTAGAACTATGAAACGACCGGAAACATCAACATCAAGACTCCAACGATGACGGAAATCAGCGAATTGCCAGATGCAGCAAAAGACTTCCTTCTCCCGTATCTCCCGTCTCGAGATACGATATTAGCCGCACCAAACCGACCTCACATCACCCTAACATACGCCTGCTCCCTCGACAGCATGATCTCGCTCGCTCCAGGAGTCCGCACCACGCTCTCAGGCCCGGAGACGAAAAGCATGACGCACTACCTCCGACTCAAGCACGACGCGATCCTAGTCGGAGTCGGCACGGCCATTGCAGACGACCCCAGCCTCAATTGCAGGTATCCGGGTGTGAGTCGAGACACGCAGCCGCGACCCTTTATTCTTGACCCTAGTGCTCGCTGGAATGTTGCAGACTCCAAAGTGAGGCGGCTTGCGAGCGAGCGGGAAGGCAAGTCGCCTTCGGTTATTCATTCGGATGCTTTGTTTTCTGAAGAACAATTGGATGCAATGACGTCTGAAGGAGAGTCGGACGTGCCCAACGCGGAGAGGGTTTTTGTGCGTGGTGGGCACTCCACGGACTCCTCTGTTACTGTTCAGCCCCGCCACATCGACTGGCTGGATCTCCTAAGAGTTCTCAAACGGAGAGGCGTCAACAGCATGATGATTGAAGGCGGCGCGACGATCATCAACGATTTGCTTCAACATCCCGACCTCGTCGACAGCGTGATCATCACTATCGCACCTACGTGGCTTGGGCAGGGAGGCGTGACGATCTCGCCATCGCCTCAGGTGAAGAACGGCGAACGAGTCAACGCCGCCAACCTGCACCAAACGAGCTGGCGGCAGTTTGGAAGCGACGCGGTGCTTTGTGGACGACTAACACGTTAATGATGAAGTATCAACGCTCTCCGGGGTATTCCAAGCGCCACAGCACACAGGATGCGCAAAGACTGCATATAGCCATCCATCTCTTCGCCACCCGCAAATCATTATACAAGTAAGCAGCAAAGCCCTTCGTGTCATCACCTCGTTGGACTCCTCCAGGTCCCATCAGCCACAGTGCTAAACACAACCTTCCGCTTCCAGACACCATTCACTTTCTGAACCCCGCCTCGGTCAAGCCAAGGCCGTAAATTCTTGCACTGGCTCACGTCTAGCTCCTCCAAGTGCCGACACCCCTCAACAACACTGTCGACCCCTTGCCCCGTCACGCGCACACACCCTCTGACGCACAAATACCGCAATTCGAGGAGGTGCAGTCCAATACAGCGCAGGCTGTTATCCGACACAGCGGAGCCGCAGAAGGCCATATTGAGGGATCGCAGAGCAGGCAAGCCGAGCGCGAGGACTTCCGTGGCCGTATCAGAGAGCGCACAACAAAAAGACAAGTCCAGCTCGCGCAAGCTGCGGCAGCCACCTACGACGCCCACAATTGCCTGGTCGGTGAGGTACGTGCAGTCGGCCAGCACGAGCTTGCGGAGATTCTTGAAGTCGTAGATGCTCCAGGAGTGGAAGCCGGCGTCGGAGATGCTGGTGCAGCGCGTGAGGTCGAGGCTCTCGAGGCGCTCGGAGGCGTGCACGGCGATGTGCGCCATGCTGCGGTCTTGGATGTGTTTGCAGTAGCTCAGGGTGAGGCGCTTGAGGTTGCTAGCGCCTATGACTGTGCCGGGCGGTGGAGGAGGCTGGTTGGCTTGCGTGGCTGTCAGAGGCAGTTGTTGCTGTTGTCGATGTCTGTTCCCTGCTCTTCTGGAGTGTGGAGGTGGCGGTGGCTGTTGTGGATGGAGAGCGCCGCCACCCAAGTCGTTGGGCACGATCCAGCCTACAACTCTCGCGAGGAGGTTGTCGCCTACTTTCCGGCAATTGCTCAGATCAATCTCTTCTAGGCCCTTAGCTTTTTCGACCAATGCCAGTACAGCAGGGCCCTGCACGTCCCAAACGCTCTTCATCTTCCATACTTTGGCGCCCTCGCCACACGCGTCGGTCAGGGAGCGGAAACCCTCGTCCGTAACGTGGAAGCAGTTGCTCAGATCGATTTCCTTGGGTCGACTGCCGGCGAAGGGCACGATGATGTCTCGAAGCACTTCGTCGGTGACGTATCGGTTGTACTGTGAGAGATTGAGATGATGCAAGATGTCGGGGGAGGTGTTGAGGAATTGCCACCAGTGTCTCGAAACAAGGCGTAGGCGCATGAGATCGAGGAGATCGAGGTGCTGGAACACGAGCGCGAGTATGGACTCTGGAAGTCGTTTTTCGGCAAGAGTGGAAGGCGGACGGGCCAGACTCGGTCTGCGTGAGACTGCTGGCGAGACTATTGCTGGCGATGAGGGCGATGCAGTTCGCGCGGGAGCATCACGAGGGCGGAGTGGAGAGGAATTAAGCAGCCGGATAGCAGGCGGACTCGGTGTGCGTTGCTCCACTGCGAAGAGCGGCGAAGTCTGTCCATCGGGGCCTGGGAGCGGCGGGGCAAGTGATGAGCGTCGAGATTTGGCGCGAATGTTGTCGAGGTCCGGATTGAAAAACGGGTCCGGGTCGATGGGCTCGATCTGGGGAGAGTGGCCGGCGGCGATGTCGAGAGGCGGCTCGTCGAACACCACCGTTGGCAACTCCGCTCGCCAGTCATTTTGCTCATCTTGCGCCCCATCGGCTTGCACTTGCTTCACGGGAATGGGTGCTGGGCCACCGATCGCCTCCACATCCTTCATCTGCACGTCGGCATCTTTCTTCGCCTCCTCCAGTCGTCGTTTCGCCTCATGCTCGATTTGTCGCCGCACATTGCCGTCGCACATCTTCCACAACTGATCCAACACTTCTCCGCTGATCGTCAAGCACTCCACCTCACTAACGCTTCGCACCGTTGCAGTACGTCTGGGCGCCAAAGATAAGCTGGTAACTTCCCCAAAGTACTGGCCCGTCTTGAGTCTCGCCTTCACTTCTTGTCGCACGGGATCGGCTTTCGTGTGTAATGACGCGGAACTCCTTCTCCCTTCCGGCGCAGCTTTCACCACTTCCACGACGCCCTTGATGATGAAGTAGACATCCCGACCCATGCTGCCTTCTTTGAGGATTTCGGTGAACGGGGCAAAGGATTTCGGGTGCGCATTCAGGCCCAGGAAATGCAGAATCTCGCTCGGCAGGCCAGAGAAGAGCGGCAACTCTTTGAGAAGCTCGCGGATGGTTAAGGGGGTGTTGTCCAATGCCGCACCGCCGGCCGCGATCTCTGCTAGACCAGGGGACGGGGATTTCCTCCTCTTGTTCGATACAACCTCCCCATCAATCAATGCTCCAACATCTCCCATCTCCACATCTCCCGCCATCCAATCTCTCGAACGTTTCCTGGGCGCCGCGGGAGGTTGCATGTGACCGTCGGCTTTGACAACCAACGTTCTCCGCTCCTGCTTCTTCCGCTCCAAAATTGTCAACCGCTCCACTGCCTCTTCACGAATAGCTCGCTCCACCTCCGGGTAAAGCGGGAGCTCTTTCTGCAGGTCCTCCTTGTTCAATCGCACCACCATACTCTTGACAGCGGCCACCACGCTCGCTGTGCGTGGCACGTCCATCAGGATACCAATCTCCCCAAAGAAAGCCCCAGGCTTCAACTCGGCGTAGGTGCTCTCGCCATCGCGGCTGGTGACACGGACGGCGCCGCGCACCAGCCAGTACATAGCCTTTGCATCTTCCCCCTCGCGGATAATCTCCTGGGAGGAGACGTAGACATTGGGACGCAGGCTGCGGCCAATGCTGAGGAGGAAAGATTCGGGGGCGGAGCGGAAGAGGGGGAAGGCTTTGAGGCGGTCGAGGAGTTCGAGGGGTAGACCAGCGATTGTGGAGGAGGCGAGCGGGGAGGACTTGACGGGGCGAGAAGGGTTGAGGTCGGAATCATAGGTTTGGAGGAGAGTGAATGGGTCGAGAGTGGTTGGAGGAGGGGTGGTAGGGTGGGGGCCCGAAGTAGCCTTCTTAAGGGGTTGTCGTGCCGGCATCGCGCCCAGCCCAGTTGCCTAAATCAGGCGCTGACAGTTGGGCATGGGTGCTGAGATGCGGTGCGACGTTGGGCGTGAGCGTCTTTTGGACCGCTGATCGACTAGGCGGTGTGCTGTTTGCGCGCGACCGGTTTACGCTTGCAACACCTCAGGAGGCTGGCGGATAAGACAAAATTGGTTCAGGCCAGGCGAGTAGCCATGTCTGCCAATAATCTGACGCGATGTAATGCCGTGCTGGTGCTGTCGCGTTTGATCGTCTCGAGCGGTCAGACACGCTCTACCAAGCTGACACGCGGGGGTAGAACAGGACCGGAAGAGTACAAAGCAACGCGAGAGGACAGTGCGATGAGGTCAGCGTCAGAGAGCATTCGCCCACGCGGGTGAGTGAGGGTGGAAGTGATAAGGGCTGTGGGTGAAAGGCAAGGCCATCAATGCGTGCCTCCGATGCATCCAGTCGTTCCCCACAAGCTCGAGCAGCTGCGCGCAGATAGGCTTTGCACTGACCTCATACCGGCATGCTACTGCCAAGTCCCGCCTTCTAGAACGATGGAAGCGGATCGTGGTGGTCCGGCGGGCGCCGGCACGTCGTTCCCTGCTCGCCTAATCTTAGCTGCCGATGTCTTCCGCCATCGACCCTTGCTTGCACCGCGTTGCTTGACTCATTTACCTTGTCTCCTCCATGGGCCACTTCACTCTACTCCTTCTCACCACTTGGACGACCCAAAATGAGTCGATTAATCCCTGATGGGGCTCCATTTGCTCATTTATCGGAACCAATGCGTGACTCCCCGATCGCGGGGCTTCTGGACGGCCAATCACTCGATGCTTCGCGTAAAACATGTCTGCCGATGAGGCCTGCTCCGCTTGTAAGTTATGCTGATGCGTCAGTAGCAGCTTTGGCTGTGCCATCGTCTGCCATTGATTCCTCGTAGTCAAGATGAAGTTGCTGGGTAAAGGAAGGTCGGAGCAGCTGAAGTGCGATGCTACTGCCTACAGCCCGTGCGCTCGCTCTCTCCTCGTCTTGAGGAGAGAGCGACCCAACGTGTCACATGACTCATTCCCTCTCATACGTTCCTATTGACTGCAAGTCGTCTCTTCAACTATCATAAGATGCAAATGCGTCTTCAGGCCTCGCTGCCACCTCTCTTTTCCTCAACCCAATCGCAGATTTCTTCACATGTAAAACAGAAGCAATGGCAGGCGTGCCCATCACAACGCAAATCGACCAGGCCATCGAGGCTCTATCCGCCGACCTCAACGCTGAATTGGCCTCTTCCACTCATCCCAATCCCTACCAAGCCATCTGGCGCAGTTCATTACGACGCGGCTGCCTCATTCCCACGGGCTCCTTCGCTTGCGGCGTCTGGAACAAAGGAGACGACATCCACCTGATCTACAGCGGCCCTGTTTCTCACGACCTGTACTGGAAACTCGTCCACGAGAACCTCGCTCTCGCCAGCAGCGAGAAGTTGGAAAAGGAGCGTCGGAGCGGAAGTATCGAACTGTCCTCACGTGCTCTCTCCAAAGGTGTGCAGAAAGATGGCGGTGTCGTGCGGGAATTCGCCCGCTTGAGCCGCAGAGATCAGGTGGGAGGATACGGACGTTGCTAACGGCGAGAGGCTAAGCTGATGTGGTGTGTTTTACACAGGCTGCTTGTCGATTTTATCTTCACTACCTCGCTGGCTCCTGGGCCCAAAGCAGTGAAGACACGTCGCGTGAACGCCATTTGGAGTTGCTACGCGACACGCAAATGCTCATCAAAACACTTTCCGATGAGCAGATGAGATACCATTTCCGTGCCCTCTACCACCGTCTCTATCGCTGGACTCAGCGCAATGGTCTTTTCGGACCCAAATTCGGCTTCCTCGCCAGCAATCATCTCGTCGCGCTCGCGCACGGCGCGCTTCCGAGAACTTTTCCGCCAGAAGTGGACATGCTAGATGAAGAAGTCGCTGAAGCCTTCCAGGCGGAGAAGTTTGCTTTAATTAAAGGCGATCTGCGCTTGCTCTGCCGCCAACTGACAAGCGGCGAGACCTTTTCCACCCTCGCAAGCGCTGCGAACCTCTCTGCAGCTACGCAACGCATCCATGACACCTTGACACCAGAGGCCAAAGTCGCAGTCGAAGAAGTACTCTTCTGGGAGGAGCGGGCATCGACTGATGGCACCATTCTGTCCTCCCCTCACAGCGTAGGCTACAGCCACTTCCTCACCGACCACGCGTACTTCTTCCACGTGAACAGTGAGAGCTGGTCCCTAGACGGCCGCGCGCACTTCCAGGACTACGACGTGCCCCGGAACATCTCCAAGGTGATCGCCGCCTTCCGCCCAGCAGCGACCAGCGCGAGACGCGCGCGCTACCACATCCGCAGTCTCCGCGTCTGGCCCGAGCCACTCCACTACTCCCCTCAGCAAACCGAGCAGGCTTTCCTCGTAGGAATCAATCTCGACGCCGACGCGCCTCAAAGCGAGCAGCTCTACAAGGAACGACTAGCAGATTTCCAAGACACCATCGAGCGTGAAGTGCTCGACTACAACCGGACGACGTCCTTGATTACATTCACCTTAGTCTCCCGCAAAGACCTCCCAACGCTCCTGGAGGGAAAGCATACCTCGCGTGAGACACAGCGAGAGGAACTAAACCCCAACTCACCATCAAGCTCACCCCCAGGAAACCCCAACCCACACACCACATCCCAATCCCCAACCCAAGAAGCCTCCCCACCTCCAACAACAGACCCAACAAAAGCCACACCCCCCTTCCGCTCCGCACACTCCGCCATCTCACGCCTCCGCCACGACCCCCAGCACAGAACCACCGACTACGAACTCGGCTACGAAGACCGCTTCCAGCACGAGCTCATCTGGATCCCGCTGGAGTCGTGGGGCGGCAAAGCGACGGAGGACCTGGACTTCATTCCCGAGCATCGCGTGCGGGCTTTGAGGCGCGCGGAGGGGAGGGAGGTTGTGTGGGATCGGGGGCGGAGGGTGGATTTGCTTTGATGATGGGGACGGAGAGTGGGTGGATAGCGCTGGGTGGGTGGGTGTGGATGCGTTGTCTGTTGCCACTTGGGCAGAGAATGCTCTCGCGCTTCTTTTAGAGGTGCAGAGCTGATGTACTTCAATGTTAAGCACGAGGCCAGCCAAAACCCAACAATCAAGTACCCATAACAAGTGGTCCACCTCGCTCTATGTATATGTATCTGCGCGACCCAGCGCAAGCCAAAAACGACAGCAAGCATATCATCATAAACCCAAACACATAATCTGTACATTTTCACCAACAAAAGCACCCTCGCCCTCTTGCCCTCCTCAATTGCAAATCAGAACCAATCGCCTCCACCCATCCCCATCCCTAACCTCAAATTCGCCCCATTAGCCAACATCTCCCAGTTCGGCACCGCACCACCACCGGCAGCACCAGCGCCAACGGCCCCGCCGCCCCAAGCTCCAATTCCACCACCACCACCGCCATCATTCGCAAACCCAGCCCCACCACCAGACAGACTCCTCTGGTCGACATTCGTGCCAAACTGCCGCACAAGCTGGTCCCAGCTTTCCCAATTCAGGTCGCCAGAGGTGTGCATGGCGGAGAGATCGGCGGACGAAGAGGAGGGCGTGAGGCCTGTGTCCGGGCCGCCGGCGGTGGGGGACCAGGGGTTGTAGGTGTTGAGGTGGATGTTTGAATCGTTGGGCCCGGGGTTGTTGGGGCCTGCTGTTAGTGGAGGAGGGTGTTGTTGATGCGGGGGAGCGTGGGCTGTCCCGAAGTTGGGGAGGTTTGGGGGGTGGTTGTTGGGGGTGGGGTGGAAGTCCATGTGGTTTGATGGGTTGGTGCGTGCCATTGGGTGCGGGTTGTGGTTCATGTAGAAGGGGTTGGGGCTGAATTGCGGAGCGAGAGGGGCAACGGGTGTTGGGGGTGGTTGGTGAGGGAGGTTCGGAGGTTGTTGTTGTTGTTGTTGTTGTTGCTGTGGAAGGTAGGCGTTCGGGAGATTGGTGTTGAGGTTGTTGTTTGGGGCGGTGTTGTGCGGTGGACTGGGCTGCATGCGAGCGTTTGGTCGCTGCCGGCTGGTGTCCATGGCATCGGGGTTGTCATCGACGGCAACGCCAGTGGACATTGTGGAGTTCCTGAAGAACTCGTAGTTGTCTGCAGGCAGGCGGCCGAGAGGGGAGTTGTTAGATTGGTGCGCTGCGGGGGCTGTAGCTTGTGCCTGTGCCTGCGATGGAGGTTGGAGATGCGATGGGTTATTCGTCATCGGCGCGCCTGTCTGGCCCATCTTTGCCTTTGAAGTAGGAGTGACGTTCCTTGAAGGAATGTTGGGCTGCGGCTTCGAGCGCTGATTCTGCAGTCCCCGTTGTCGCGCCTCTGCCGCTTTCCGGTAAAGCTTCTTCAGCGGCCGCCACAAGTGTCCAGCCGGCGAGTCGGTGGTGGAGTGCATGCCCCATCGACCATCGCGAGTCTTGTCTACTGCGATCCACGCTCGCTCTACCAAATCGCCGGTGGTGCGATGGCAAAGCTCCGAGAGGATGAAAGCGAGCGCGTGCCATTGCATGTACGTCTTGAACAGCCAGCCCCACTTCATCGTCCTCGATTCCGTCTCAAGCAGTAAGCTGTACTCGATGTTCTCCAGACTGGTAATGAACAGCTTCTCCTTCGTCTCCTGCGTTAAGCTCGCCCCGCCATCGTGTCGTTGGAAGGGGTGGTAAACCATGAGCCACATTTTGCTCATCATCAGCCGGGCTACCGTGGCCGTGACCCAGAACAATGGAACGGTCATGTCGCAGTGTTTCAGGTAGCGCTCCTCCAGCCGTTGGTGGCACTCTGTAATCCACTTCTCCTTGTCTTGTAATGTGACATTGGCAGAGTACTCGGTGCATGTTTCCGGAGGCCCAGGCGGAATGTAGTTGATGCGTCGGAAGGTATTGGCCACCTCGAACCGGATCAAGCAGAACGACATGTCGGTACAGCCCTGTCGCTCTGGCGGAAACTCCGTCATGTCGGGAGTAAGATCGGAGTCGTTGATGTTGAGCGGCATTTTGGTGTCGAACCCTTGTTCGATAATAGTTGGGTCACAGCCGTGATCTTCGCTCGCACGCGTATCGAGGATGCACACCTGCCACCACAACCGCCGGCGCATCTCTACTTCGAAGGGCGCCAGGTTAAAGTGTAACCCATCTCGGTGCACTCCGATGGTTTGGGCGATTCGCACCACAAGGCCTGTCAGGGTCCAGATAACACGCGCATCATTGTTGCGACGAAGACAGATGAGGAAGACGGTGAACGCCTGCAACACGACAATCTCCTCCGAGAGGAGGAAGTTGGCGCGTGCGAGAGCCTGCTGGATAGCAAAGCGATACCTGGCGAGCAGCACTGATTTCTCCTCGCCGAACTTTTGTTTGCATTCGGCAGGGCCCATGCTGGTCGTCGCTCCGTAGTAGATTGCGAACATGAAGGCCTCGAATCCCCTGCTCAGGCCGGTCAAGTTGGAAGAAGCGGCGAGAATGGTCGGTTCCATGGAAGGGATGTGCAGCACCTTGACGAGCGGGTCGACACGGTCTTTGTACACCTCCCAATATTCCCGGATCTGATTTGGCAATGGGTGCAAAGACAATAAGTCAACATTCTGGGAGCTGAAGCCGAACACCCAGCCTTGCTGAGTGCCCATGGTCGCGGGTTCGCTCGGAACGGTCGGATCGTCATCGTTGTCGTCGCTTGGAGCGTTCATGATGCCCTTCAAATCCTCCACTTCGTTGCTCAAGTTCGCCCAGAAAGAGTTGTTGATGTAGCGGCTCTTGCCCTCATTGACGACCAGCCTGCCGAAACGGTTCTCGAAATTGCGATCCTGCCTCTCTTCTACCCATTTAGCCTTGGTTCTGTGGTCGACGTCATCCGGTGGGGGAACATCAGGGCCGTCTGCGTCCATGGAATCGCCACCATCCCCCTGCGATCTTGGCTCGAGGCTCATGCGGCTTGGTGGCTGGCTACTGCCCTCTTTCTCCTCCCGAGGCACTTCCACGCCCATGCCCTTGACGACGCCTTCAAGCCTCCGCAACCTTTCCAACAACTCTTTATCTCTTCCCTCTGTGGCTTTGCGGACTTTGCGAGGTGCTCGACCGGGGGCAGGGAAGATGCACTCGATGTGAGCGCGATTGCAATTGCTGCATGGATGCACCTTGTCGCACTTGACTTTTCTCTTCCTCTGTAGCGGGGGAGGTTAGCAGAGCACTTGCGCCGGCATTAAGAAGCCAGTGACAGGCTGGTTATGCTATCACTTACACAAGTCACACAGCTTCGAGGGTTCAAGGTGCGCCCTTGAGAGTCGGTTTGGGGTTTGGCGGGCAAGGCGGCGCCATTGTCAGCGGATTCCGTGCCGGTCGGAGGAGATGCATCGGCGAGAGGGATGTGTTCGGAGGAGGGGAGGTGCTTGAGGAAGTCGGAGGGGGCAGAAGGGCCGGAGTTGGAGAGTTCGTCGCTCTGGGGGGTGGAGATGCGCGCGGTATGCGCAGAGTCGCTGGGGGAGGAAGCGTCATCCGCCATTCTGCGTGCCGGGCGGGAGTCTGGCGCTGAAGTGGGGTGGAGGGGGCAGTCACAGCATCGTCGTGGGCGCACCAGTTGTCTCGTCAGAAGGGTCAGGCATGCGCGATGAAGGGCATGGAGTCACTGCGATGCTTGGGACACGAGAATGAAGATGATCGGCGCGGCATGGTTGTCGAGGATGAGCTGATCTCATCATCGCTAAAACGTGATCCGCGGCCAGTACGAGGTGGCAGAGTGGGAAGGCGCTAGGGCGGTTTAAGGCGTGCTTGGCGGCAAGTTGCGCCAAAGTCTGCGCTCATATCTTGCGCACACGTGGAGCTCTGCTTATCATCCTATGATGCTGTTGTCGCTGGGCATAGGTTTGATGTAGCGACAGGCACCATCGTTCAGTCATGGTTCGGCATTTGTGAGGAATGAATTCGCATATAGCATGTCCTGTTCGTGGTACGGTCAGCGATTAAGGAATCTCAGATCTGCCGCATCCTCGCCACTTGATGAACCTTGGGGCCACTATTCGGTAGGAGGGCCCACTGCTTCCGCCTATAGAACGCATCGACTATAGCAAAGGAGTAAAGGTTGGCGACAGCAGGCGGAGACGGCTAGGTTAGATCCCGGCGGCCAATCTTACCTTTTCCATCTGATCTTCTGCTTACATCGAGCTCTGTTGGCAAGGCAGAGGCGTCCAGCATCTACTCTTGCATTATTGGGGAGCCCTGATCGACCCGGGCATTCTGCCTTGTTCCAACAACTTTCTCTCTGTGAGATAAGTATGTATCACGGTAATGAAGGGCTCTGAGATCTCTCGCACGTTCAGTGTGGGTGTCAGGAACAGTAAAGGCGGAAGTAAGCACGGAGTGAGGTCCGTGGCAGACGTTAAGGTGCGGTGGAGGACATCGCGCTCCTGGCTGTCAGTGCTCGCTTTGAAAGGAAGAACAAGACAAGTGTATGTTTGCTTTAGAGCGCCATAGTATATCTGCTGACAATATGCGCTGCATGTGGTGGACACAATGAACGCGAGGCTGTCGTGCTGGAGGCGGACGTCTCACGAACGCTCGGGCCGCTGCCGAGACGAAGCTCACTTTGAGGCTTCAGGCTTCCTTCCTCGAATCTTCACCAATTCCTACACTCGACCTTCACACATCAACCACATCTTCGACTTCCTTTCTTCTCCGCCCAGTTCTCCCCTCATCCCCACGCGTTCTCACCCATCCTTTCCGACCCCCTCCCACCCCTCTTCCTCGTCAGCCAGGCGACCCTCGAAGACGACACCGCCATGCCGAAGAACAAGCGCAAGACGTTGCCCGATGTCGAGGAGCTGATGGCCCGGCCCATCTGCTACTACTGCGAAAAGGACTTTGAAGACCTCTCATACCTCATCGATCACCAGCGGGCGAAGCACTACAAGTGCGATCGATGTAACCGCCGCCTCAACACCGCCGGTGGCCTGGGCGTGCACATGTCGCAAGTGCACAAGGAGAAGTTGGAACTCGTTGCAAACGCCTTGCCCGGCCGCGAGAAGCCTGATGTCGAGATCTTCGGCATGGAGGGCTTTCCCGCCGACCTCCTCGCCCAACACAAGTCGCGTGTCATGCAGGAGTTCTTCAAGCGTGAGTCCGAGCATCGCGCCAAGACCGGCAACAACCCCGCCGGCAGCAAGGGCGATGGAGAGGGCATAGGCAAGAAGATCGAGGACTCGAAGAAAGCCATTGCAGAGTTCAAGGCCAGAAAGGCCGCGGCCAAAGCTGCAGCTGCCGCCAACGGCTCCGCCAGTGGAGGTAGTACTCCTGCTCAGGCCGCGAATTCTCCAGTAAGTATTACCCCCTCTTCACTGCCTGCCACGGATACTGATCATTTGCACTACAGGCCCCAGCTCAGCACTTCAGCCCCGCTCAGGCTCATTCCTCTCCACCCACCGCAGCTACCGAAGCTGGCGCTCAGTACGCACCATCCTACCCAGGCGTGAATGCTCAATACCCTGCAATGCAGAACACACCCGCCTTCAATCCTTACCCCCACACCGTGCCTTACGCAGGAGGCCCTGCGATGGCCTCTGGCACATCTCCACCCGCTCCCATCTCCTCTATACCTCGCCCAAGCAGCCTTCCATCTGCGCCCGGCCTTCCAACTGCACCCGGCCTCCCTCAACGCCCGGCGTTTGATTCCCCAAGTTTCAGCAAAGGAGACATGGCGAGAATGCACAGTGGGCAAGCCCCGCCTCCCGGTACGTCAGGCTCTTACCATAGTGGAGGCTCGCCGCCCGCCGCCGCGTCGTACGCACCACCCTACGGTGCCGCGAACCCAGCTTACGGAATGAACAATCCTCCCTACGGCGCGCCGGCTCCACACTGGGCCATGCAGCAGTCCCCGACCGGCATGCCCTCCGGACCTGCATTCTCGCCGAGTCACGGTGGACCCGGGCCGTACGCACAACCCCACGACATCAAAGATCAAGTTGACTCGATGATCGAGTCCATCATCAGTGGCAATGCTGCGCGCACCCCAGCTGCCCCCTCACAACCGCAGGCAGTGCCGCAACAGCCTCCCTCCAACCCTCCTGCCACCGAGACATCCACGCCCGCAGCAGAGCCTTCGGAAGCAGCAAACTCGAACAAGAAGAACGCGAAAAAGGAGAACAACACGCTGCTCAAATACAGCGACGAGCAATTCTCACCGGAAGAGAAGCGAGCAAAGAAGTCATGGGAGCCCTCGCAGGAATGGAAGGACATGATGAGCAACCTTGACTCCACGACTTCCGCCGCTCTGAGCAAGAACTCACTAACCATGGTCGATCAGGCAGGCGAGGAGTCTTCCGCCGCAGTCACCGGGCCAGTGGACGATGCGATGCAGAATGGTGACATTCCTATGGACTAGGAGGCACAAGGGATGCATGATTCCGACATCACTACCTCCATTGCTACCAGCGACAGCGACGATTGGGATATCAACGACGGCTTCCGCGACGCCCCGGTCTTGGTCGAAGGAGGGCATCAACGTGCAGGTAAGACTCCCCGCTCTCGAACACCTGATGGAGCAGCGGAGCCCGAGCGGCAGCATGAGCGCAACTCGTCGACGTCTCCGGAGCAAGCCCTTGCAAACTCTATTCGCGAGCGCGACGCTGCCCTCAAGGACTTGCAAGGCGAGCAACAACGGCTTTCGCACGGAGATTCTGTCGGAGGCGGTGCTATCAGCACATTCATGGAGGGCATCATCAAAAAGGCAGCCTGGCACAAGTGAGTTGGACTCTCTTCGGTGGAAAAAAGACATCCCTTTGCGGGCACGAACAACAACCGGTCATTGCTGCTAATAGTCAGCTGCCTCTCTGGCCCATTCACATTCCCTCGCGCTGCAATGCGGCAGCCTGGATGATGCAGAAAGCCACTTTCGCTCTGCTGTCTCTCGTCTTTGGCAGATGAGGAGCCGGCGAGGATGAATTCCCCTCGAATAGTTTAGCTTGCTTTCGTTCATGCAGTAAGTCACGAGAAATTGAAACACGAATTAACGATGTGGGTGTCCTTTCCAATGGCCATTTGCTTACCTGCACTCCTCGCGAGAACTCGAGAAATGTCAAACAAGATGAAAAGTACGGCTGTTAACAAAGCGAATGACCACTTTCTTCAGCCGTGCTCATTATGTATGTACACTACTCGACGTTATCCAAGCAGGACACCATCTCTTTTCATCCTCCAACCCTCTCACACACACGGCTCAGAGCATCGTCTACGAAGAAGTAGAGTTCCAGCCCCAGCCGCCAGACCCGCCGAGCGCGAGCGCCTTCATCTTGACAAAGTCCGGCGCGCCCAGACCCGTCACGGGGTCCCAGCCGATGGTCGCGTTCCAGCTGGCGTAGGGGATGATGCCGGGCGAGCCGGGGACCTTGAGGCCGGATTGCAGGTTCGTGCCGTCGCAGCCCAGGGAGCCGCCGCGGGTGATGTCGGTCAGGGCGGCGGCGCCCTTGGAGTAGAGCCAGGGGTTCAACTGTTTGGGGGAAAGGGAATGTTAGTTTTTGCTGGGGAGGAGGTTGTTAGGGGAAAAGGGAGGGACTCACGAAACCGAGGGCTGGCTTGCCGGCGCGGAGGAGCGCGTCGTTGAGCAGGGCGACGATGGCGGCGAAGACGGGCGAGGCGGCGGAGGTGCCGCCGTTCGGCTGCGGCTGGCCCTGGATGACGGTCATGTACTCCGGGTAGAGGGAGTGGGCGGAGACGTCGGGGAAGCCGCGGCCGGAGAAGTTGGCGTAGTCGTTCTCCTTGTAGTAGGCGTAGGCCGTCTTGCTGATGTAGGTGTTGAGGTACGCCTCGACGGCGCCGTTCTGCCATGACGGGCGGCCGAAATAGTTGGAGAAGCCGCCGGACGACCCGTTCCACGCGTGCTCGACGGGCAAGAAGAATTGCAGGCCGCCGACGGCGGTCAGGTAGGGGCAGGTGGCGGGGAAGATGGGGGTGAACTGCGCCTTCTTCGGGCCCTGGTTGGTGCGGCAGACGGCGCCGGTGCCGAGGTCGCCGCTGGACTCGAGGATCGTACGGCCGCGCATGCTCATCATGCCGATCAGGTTGCACACGCGCGCGGCGTACTTGGGCGGGACGGTGTTCTCCTCGTCACCGTAGGAGTTGGTGATGACGTAGGGGAGGTCGGCGTTCTTCTGGGAGAGGAGGTAGGTGTAGTATTGGAGGTAAGGCCTGGAGCCAGTCAGCAATGAAGTCGTGAGGGAGGCGATGAAAATGCAGCAAAGACTCACTCGTTCTGGTTCTCCGTTGCATTGGGGGTGAGGAGGTCGGGGACGAAGGGTGGGGAGCCCCCGGTGATGTATTCACCGACGGGGAGAGGGCCTACGAGACCGAGGATATTCTGGCTGTCCAAGTTGGCCTCACCGAGATCTGCTTGAGGGGCAGACTGGTTGTTGACACCGCCGTTGATGAGGGCGTTGATCTTGAAGTTGTGCTCGGGCAGGCCCCAGATCTTGAGATACTTGGCGGCGTCGGACATGCTGGCGGATTGGTTGAGGAAGCTGCCGAAAGCAATGGTGCTGCCGGAGTTGGCGTCGGCCTCGTAGCCGGTGGTGCCGTACTCCTCCATCAGGCACTGGGGCCCGATGACGTCCCAGGTTTCGTTCTGGAACTGAATCTTCTTCTGGCAAGTGTGCTTGAACTGACGCTCGACGAGCTCGGGCTCGGGAGCAGCGACTGGCTCGGGGATGGCGCGGAAGGCCTTGGTGCTGCCGAACATGACAGTGGGCGAGACAAAGTCGATGGAGTCGGCGAGCTCGTCGGGGACAGAGTAAGCGGTGGTGCGGACCTTGGAGGTCTGGCCATTGCTGTAGAGCCCGAACTTGGTGTTGAGGAGCTTGTTGGCGTTGGCGATGGTGGTGGTGAAGCTGACGACGCCCGCGTTGTACTCGACGTTGTCGGCGTTGGCCGAAGCGATCCACGACTTGACCTTGTTCACGTCGTCGTCGGCGGGGCCGAAGAGAGAATCGACGTCCTCCTTCTCGAGGTACTTGCCGTAGTCTGCGCTGTCGGGCGAGGAGACGGAGAGAAGTTTCGACTCGAGTTGGTCGAGGTTCTGGAGTGTCCTGGGTGGGGTTAGCCAGTGGACTTGTGCCTTGCCATTGACTCTAACCTCCACTTACACGGCCACTTGGAGGTGGATGGTGGACTCGTCGGAGACCTCTAGCTGCGACCAGCCGGCGGGAATGGCGGCAATGGACTCATGGACAGCGGCGTAGGCCGGCAGCGCCAGCGAGAGCAGACCAGCTTTCCAATGCATGGTGCGTATTTATTAATGTTGGTCAAGGAATACAATGCCTTTGACGAACAATGCGGGGGAGGGGGAAATAAGAGGGAGGAACAACAAAGGACGGAAAACAAGCTGTCACGAGAGCAACGGGGAAGCTGCGTGATATAATGAATATTTTCCTGCCGGAGGTGGGGAAGGCAGTCGACGATGCGGATACCACCCTACGTCGCCGCCGTCGCGCGAGCAGCGGATGCCATTGGTGCGTGCCGCACGATATGCGCTACAAGGCCCTGCGTTTTGTCGACGTAGTGCCAGGTGTGGAGTCCGGAGACTCTTCTGGAAGTGGTCGTGCGAGAGCTGGGGGAGAATTGGAGCAAATGGCGGGGCGCCGGCGGGCAGCATGACTGTGTTCCTGCATGAGCGAGCGTCGCCCGTCCCACTCTTCGCGCAGCGCTAGACCTTGAGCCGACCCAACCTAGGGTCCAAGCGGAATGGGCATGGACTATTGCGATTGGCGCATGGATGGGGAGGACTGGTCGCTCCGGCCTCCTACTGGTACACAGGCTGGGATGTAATCAGTGCATGTCAGCGAGGATGCGCTTCACCGAGTGATGTGTTGGCCGGTGGTGCGAGTCGATTGCACGGCGGTGAGATGAACGTCATCAGACGTCGGCCAGGCAGCCGCATGGCGTCCATGCACCATCCCGCCCGCATTATCCTTCTTCTTCTTCTATTCTCGCCACCCCCGCTCAAACTCTTCTTAAGCCGCTGGCCTACCTTCTCCTACTGGTTTAGTTTAAGATAAGGCCATCCGAAGGGCTTGGTCAAAGCTTTGCCCTCTTCTCTAGTCCTGCTTTTTTTCCCCGTCTTCCGTCGTATCCCATTGACTGGCCCCCACGCTTGAAGGGACTGTTGCGAGCAGAGACCCACCAGCGCCCTGTGCAGGCACGCGATGCTCGTCGATGGCGGCCACCACGCTATCTTCGCTGCTCATCGGGCCGTCTGCTCTTAAATGGCGAGAGTTTTATGAATGGCACCATTCGGAACGCCGGCAAGTGTACACTCTACTTGACTCGTGAGTGGCATGCCGGCGGTATGCAAGATTGCACTTCGTCTGGTGCCTTTCAGGCTGAAGCCAGGCTGCAACAATCGTCAGAGTCCAGACTCGCTCGACCTGGTCATTGGTGAACGCCGTCGGCCACTTCACAAGTCCGCTCCGCGCCGGTTCGACCCCACGTGCAAGCAATGTGTCCCGACTGTGAAGTCGTCGCAATAGGACCGGGCAAGCCTTGTCTCACAGAAGCTCTCACCAAGCTCTATGGCGTAAGCTTGACATCTGCGTAAGCAGCAAACTGGTGAGAACTGCCGACAGCTACAAGGGCTCTTCCCTACAAGATAATGACATCTCGACACACGCAGTTGGTTGTTGTTAGGGATGATAGGAGGGTTCGGTCGACTCGAGGCTTCCTCTATCCACCCCGTCCGCCTATGGACGTAAGCCCGCGCAGCTTACGTGTATTACTACTCACTTGCACTTTCCACGGAGCCATCACGGCACAATGCGACATCCATCGCATCAGATACAAGCAACATCAAAGGCGGCACGCATACACGCAGTCCAAGAGTCTCTCACAAAACCAACTTCAATCCCAAGTGTCGTCTACAGAAAGTTTGTCCCTGCCGCGCGTAGCCTACAGTATCTCAAAAGAGCGTTGTGTCACAAGCGTCAGCCTCGCATCCTCCCTCCCGTCCCCTGTCCATCAGCCTCACGCCTCCATCTCCCTGTCCCCGGCCCCCAAACCCTCCCCTACGTCATCCCGTTTGTCGTCTTCCATCCTCACATCAATGTCGCCCATTGTGTCCCTCCTCGCAGTCGACATCTCCCTCTGCACCGTCTCGGGCGGTTGCGTCGCTTGCTGCCGCACGGACTCGGCTTCTGCTTCACCTGCTGGCAATGCTGGAGTACCGCTATGCGCAACAGACGGGCGCGGGCAGTAGATTGGTCTGCGGCGGTACGTCTCGTCCGGAACTCCCGAGCGGAGATGGTCGTTTATAGAACGAGTCCGTCGAGGAGGAATGTAGAAGATTGCATCGTCGAGGACGTTGGCTGGGTGAGGGGGAGAGGGAGAGGGAGCAAGTTGGATGCCGGTGATAGCTGTTTGGGCTGGGCTGAGGACATCAAGTTCGGGAGGACAGCCAGCCAGTAGCGCTTCGGGGTCGATGGGGGGAATGGGCGCAGTGGCTGTTGTGGCTGCTGGCGTCTCGGGCTCCGCGACGATGGGATAGCCTCTCGCGCCGGCGTCACGAGGAGAAATTGGCACGGGCGCGAGAATGTGCTCGGGGGTGTCGCGCAAGATAATCGGATCCTCTCTCGACCCAGTCCTCCCGCGGGGTGGTTCTGGAGACTCGTGGTCATCAGCGCCATCCGCCGGCACGCCGTTGGTGATAGGCCCTCTTCGCACATCCGCCATCACGAGGCCGGGAGATTCTCTGGACGGCGGCGGTGAGGGCGTGAGAAAGCGGCCGGTGGGAAAAGGCGTGACGGCTTCATGGTGAACATACTCGCTCTCAGTGAGGCCGTTGGTTCCCCGCACGACTGGACTTCCGTGGAAACGAGGAGGGACGACGACTGGAGCTCGAATTGGAGGATTGGCCCGAATGCCTGTCAGTGGAGTGTTGTTCGGTACAGGAGCTTCACGGGCGATGTTTATGGCTCTGGGCACGGCGTCGAGGGTACCCGGGCGACTGGTGTCGATGGCGTCTGCCGTTCCGTCTATGCCATTGACCATTGGAGTTTCGTCGCCGACGCCTTCACCTAGGGGTGGCAGATTGCGTAGTGCAATCTCGTCATCTACTTCGTCGACCAGCGAAGGTCCGTCGGTGTCGAGTTCTCCAAGGCGTGGCAGACCCGCGAGTGCCTCCTCCTCGCCTACTCCGTTGAGCAATGGACTCTCGTCGTCGGCGCGGCGATTCCCAAAGCTTGTGAAGTGTCGCCTTATACCTGCGCACGTAAGCCATTCCGTCGAATGAGCACAACGAAGTGGCAGCAACATCTCTATCTCCAATGACGGCGATTGTCGCCCGAAAATGCGGTGAGGAGGTGGCTTACCTTGAAGAGGCGTCCGGCCGCCGCCCAGCCTCGCAGCTTCCTCATAGTCCTCCTCATCCTCCTCTGCATCGGGATCGAGAGCACGTCGTTGGCGTTGTCGCTCCTCTCGAGCACGTTGTTCTGCAGCTTGCTGTCGGAATGCACGGTGTATCATCCTCTCGGCGGGATCCGTGTTGGTGGGATCGTCCTGGTCGTGGTCGAAGGCATCGGGATCGTTGCTGGGAAAGTATGGCTGGTGTTCGTTGAAGTGGGGTGCCATTGGGAGTCAAGGGTGGGGGTGAAGCGAATATGCAACGATACGACGTAAGAAGTTGGATAGTGGGTGACAGGATGAATGCACGAGCTGGTCGGTGGTAGAATATGCGTGGATGTGTAATGTGCAATGACATGAGCAAAGGGGAAATTCACGGTCATCAACAAACTGCTAGGGCATGTTCTTGTTGCTGTAGCAGTTGATATTTTCTAGGAAGATGTCAGTCACGTAGCCTCCACGGACCATGGGCGTTTCGTTCTTACCTCATTCTCATGCTGTGTAGTTGCCGACTTGAGGCAGTCGGCCTTGCCGCGGTCTAGATATTTGCGGCTATGCATGCCGCAGCTGCCGTCATCCGGCATATCAGGTGGTGGTGCCTGTGTTGGAGAGCCTCTTAGATCTCAATGGATGTATTCATCGCCGCTCCCTCACTCCACCTCGCCCTCTTCATCTTCCTCCTCTTTCTTCTCCCCCGGACTGCGGCTTCTTGGTCTCCCACCTTTCCTCGCTCCTCGACCACCCGACTGGCCCTTGGAAGGCGGAGGGCGAACGAATGCGAAATCCACCCCAATCGTCTGCTCTAGCAACTTCTCGCCATTCGCGCCTTCAATAGCGGCCTTTGCTTCGGTCAAAGTAGGGTACTCAATCAACACATATCCCTGGGCACGTCAGTAATCCCTTCCACATGGTGCTCCTGTGCGACATGTGCGCTCTCACGAACCTTCACATAACCCGTCCTCCGATCCAAATTCATATGCAAGTTCTTGATCTCGCCGTACTCGCCAAACATGTCTTGAATGTCCTCCTCCGTAGCCTCTTCATGCACGTTGGTGGCGATGATGATCCAGCCCTCGATGCTGCGCACTGCGACCGCGTCGGCAGCTGTGCGAGTGTCTGAATATGCGCCGTTCTTGCTCGCGTCGTTCGCGGCGCCGCTCTCGTCGATGTCCATCTCCGCGTCCGCCATGGTGAGCGAATTGATACGCTTTTGAGGAATGTGCCTGATTCAGCAAGAAGGAGAGGGCGCAATGAGGCGAGTAGGTGCTTTGTCGAGGCGTGGCTTCAATTGCGAGAGGTCTGGTTCTGGGAAGACGTCGAGCCTGATGGGTGCGAAGTCCTTCTTGGCCAAAAGTCGACGCCCATCACCTTCCCACGACTAGGAAATATCTCTTGGCATCGCCAGAGCAGACTTCACCTCACGCGTACAAAAGAAAGATGCAACAATCCATTCTCTCATTGCCTCTCCCGACTAAAATGATATCATGACGGCGCCGCCTCGTGACACTGGCGGTAAGCGCGAGCCCCGTGCTCTCTCTAGTCTTCTCATACTCTCCTACATCAATCACATCCCCAGCAAGTCCAACAATCCAGCAACTTGCCCACACCAGGACAACCACAAGGTCTTCTCCGAAGAGCAGCTCATCGTCTCCACGTTTTGTGGAGCAATGCCGTCTGTGTGCTGGAACGTTGCCCTCTACTTCTTCTTTGCGAAGAAGCGGAATGCCAAACACTTGCAAAAGCGAATTTTCGGACCTTCATAGTTCATACTCTCTCGCGGCTTTTTTTTGGGCTTCGGCGATGGGAACTGTGACTCCTTGCGTGCCGACATTACTTTGCGTTTCGTATTCAGATTCATCATTGTGCAACAGCACTTTTCATTGTCTTTGTATTGCTCCCCTTTGTTGTCCGATCTCACTTGCGGGGCTCTTTATGGGCTTGCTGTCGAGCAAAGCATCATATGCCATTGTCACTGTTCCTATTGTCACTCGTCTTTAACCATGTGCTTTCTAATGGCCGTGGATGCAAGAACAATCTTGTTCTCTTTGTATCCCTAGCACATCCCGGCCTTTGACAGGTATTGACATCACTCTCCTTCATCTCCTTTGTACCCGCTACAAGGCCATTCTTTGTCGCTTTCGATTGCAAATCACCCACCAATTTCGAGGCAGAGCCTTGTCCATGCCTTGAAATACTGTCCTGGTGGCAGTTCTCGAGAACAGCATCATTATACGATCTTTTTGCAAGTCATCCTTTTCAGAGCAACATCTTTATACGCCATCCTCACGGCTCTCATGGCGCCTACTTTCAAAGACCGCATGAGCGACGATGCGGATTTTCGACGGGCCATATTTTCACAATACACGCCCGCCGGAGCACGCAAGCTCATGAACGCTCTAGGGGTGCTCCTTCCGAGGAGTGAGTACATCCACTGCGGCAAACTAATATGTGAAAGTGCCCAGCACACCGCTCCTTTGGCCGTAGCTTGGCCACCACCTCCGCCCAGTGTTCATAATGCGCACGCGAATGGACCGGCGGCGACATTCGTCGCCGCACTCTGGCATGGAACCAGGGTAGCGGCCTTCTACAACGCCGTCACCGCTGACGACGAGCATCCGCTTGGCTGGCGCGAACCCAGTCTCTGCGTTGAGCCGGCCAACTTCCCAGCTCCCGGCATGCACCCTGCTCCTGGGGCAGAGGGACACGTGCTGGTGTGCAGCCCGTGCAAAGCCAAGCGGTCACGAGACTTCCTGTACAAACTATCAGAACTGCCATTCGGCGTGTGCACGACTTGTGAAAAGTGGGCCATCGCCAACATGGCCGTCGGACAGAACGACTGCAGGTGCGGCCCGCAAGGCAACAACGTGCATGACCACAACAACAACGAACCTCGGCACATGCACTGGTGTCGCAATCACGAGGTCGCGTTCTGGGACCAGATTCGGATCGCAGCAAACACCGAGATCGATCTCCGGGAGCGCATGCTCCGAACAAAAGCGCCGAAGAAGCGCGGCCACGGCTGGACGCGGAAGAAAGGCCAGGGAAGAGCCATTCGGACGCCGGCGGAGAGACGCCTGGCTCATCGCGTCGGCCCTCAGCTCCTTATCACCACCCCGGCCTGCTATTGCGGACAAAGGCTCGGTGGTGGTCGCCATCGCCGTCTCAATGCGGACGGGAGTCAGGCAGAGACAGATCGGGTGAGGAATTGCGTCGGGTGTAACCAATTCGTCCGGAATTCTTGAGCCGGATAAGCTGGACGATCTCTGGAAGATCGAGAACGGCGACCTCGTTGATCGAGTCGTCGCATATGCCAGGTAATGTACAATCCATAATGAGAAAGACCGTTCAGGCAACGGTGTAATTTAAATGAGCAGGTCCTCACACGTTCACCTCCTTGCCGAGTTGGACACTCTCCAGGAGGTCAAAAACGATGAAGATCGTGAGGTAAAGTGCCGTATATGGGAGACAGTGAAGCGGAGGATGAGAACAGCCTTCCGGGCAACGTTTGGCGCCACGTGAATGCCCTTGCGCCATTGCCTGACAGCAGAACGAAACCAATTGCCTGTGGAACCTCACCTTTCCTGAAGCTGAACGACGTTTTCAGCAGCGCCTGGGCCTTGGATGACAGCGTCGTCAGCTGCGAAGCTGTATTGTCGAGCGTTGGAGCGCTGACTGTCGTAGCGCAGATTGTCGCGCTAGCGAGGATCGTAGGAGAGGTTGTCGGGGGGTGGGTAGAGTTTGAGGAATCCTGTCGTTCGTTCTTTCGTTGCTCTCTCTTTTCTGCTCTTGTAAAGAGGCAAAACTGTCGTGGGCACGTGAAGTCGTCCGCGCTTGGTGATATGAAAGAAGGGGAGGAGGATTGGGACGAATATGTGCAGAGTGAAGCCTTGTTGGTCAGAAAGATAGTCTACTGCCATCGAGTGTAGTAGACTGCAAAAGACGATGAGAAAGGCCGCATGGCCATTACTCCCCCTTCCTCTCAAACCACGGCTGACAAGCCTGCCTCACCTCCAGCATGCCGGGGATCTCAACAATGCACTTCTGATACAAGTCGCCGCCGATCAAGCTCAGCATTTCCACCCAGCCCGCCACGCCGAAATCCGCGTACGACACCTGGCTCCCGCGCAAGAACGGGCCATCGTCCTTCTTACACTGCTTCAAGAAAGCCGCCACCTCGGCCTGACGGGGCTCGGCAGCCTTGAACGCCTGCGCCTTAGCCTGCTCGCTCGCAAACACCTCCTCCGGCTGCCCCATCCTCCTCTCGCGGTCCTTCTTGAACCACTCGTCTGAGCCGGGAGACACGACGCCGCGCCTGATCCCGGCTAGCAAGATGGCCCACAGCGGCGCTACGACCTTGGAGTTCGCCGCTGAGACGGCCTGGGCCAGTTCTGTTTCCAGCGGCAGGGCGGGCTCGGGATGCTCGGCTTCCAGGCGCTTCACGATGGTGAGGGAGTCCATGAGGTAGGAGCCGTCGGGGAATTTCACGAAGGGCACCGTGTATGGGGCGAAGTCGTCTGGCGGGTTGGCCGGAATGCCACTACATGACGGTGATGGAGTAAGCCGTGTTGAAGGTTGGTGAGGGGATGCTTTGTGTTTGTTGGAGTACTCACAGTTCTTTGCACTTGGGCTCAATGTCGGGATATTCGATCCATTCGGTCCTGTACGGGATTTTCTTGTAGTTCAGATATGCCCGCACTTTCCATGTGTTGGGCGACCAGCACGAGCCTTGTTGGCCGGGCAGGTCAAAGAGGACGAGGTCGTCAGCCATGTTTAAAATATGGTTGCTTGGGTGGAAGGTGAGGACGGGGAATAGAGTGTTTGTGGTGGGTGTTATGTATTCGGATGTCTTATCTTCGGCGTTGGTAAGCGGGAAGAAAGCTGTATGTCAAGTTCTGCAAGGAGTATGTCATCTTCTGGAGAGTAGGTATGTCATTTTCTGGGGAAGAGGTATGTCAGATTCTTGGGCCGAGGGCAGCAAAGCTCGGTGACGCTGCTTACGATCTCCGCATTGAACCAACGATGCACGGTACTCGGATCTACTTGAGTATGCTGCCATGCTGTGCTTCCGCCTTCGGTCGTCTTCGAAGGCAACAAGAGCCTGTCGCTGCACACCGGCCTACCGTCTGAAGTTGGAGCGTCGAGTCACGTGAAAGGCTGAACTGGTCTGTCACGTGACTGGCACGAGTAAGGCTGCTCTACTGGCATGCCGCCAAGTCATTTACCCATCTTCGGACAGCATTGGTCTCTGGCAAGGTTGCTCGAAACAAGCATGCTCCGATTGGACGGCTTTCAAGTCCAGACAACGTGTCTGTGGTTGCAGCTCTGCAACCTCGACGCAATATGTAACATCGATCACGCTATCCACCGATGCCGGCGGAGGTACATATGTCCAATCTCATCAACACGCCTCACCCCTCCAACCATCTGGCAACTCCACAGTCCCATCGTATTACAGCACAGCGCTTGATATAAACCATGGCAACCGCTCAAGTTCTTCGTCCCGGGCCCGCAGGCCAGCCCGACATCGACTACGCCCCCAACCTCGACAAGTACCAAGCGCGAGTCAAACGACGAACGGAAACGGAGCAGTTGGAGCAATCCCTCCCCGCCGGATTCCCTTCTCGTCTCGACTCACCCTTGGTCTGGGACGGGGCGGACATCGCCACCAAGTACGACTGGACGTACGAGCTCAACGACGAGGAAGTCGAGGAAATCGAAGCCGCATTGAAGCACTTCAGATCCCTCAACAAGCCCCTCGGCTTCGTCTCCAAGGACACCTTCCCGCTCCCCAAAGCGCACAAAGCGCTGCGTGAAATCTCCAATGAAATCCACAATGGTCGCGGCTTCAAAGTCCTCCGTGGCCTGCCGGTGACAAAGCACAGCCGCGAGGACAACATCATCATCTACGCCGGCGTGTCCTCGCACATCGCCCCCATCCGCGGCCGACAGGACCATCAATTCGAAGGCAAGCCCGCCGATGTCGTCCTCAACCACATCAAAGACTTGACCTCCGTCGTCGACGCCAGCCAGATCGGCGCTCCGGCCTACACTACCGAGAAGCAAGTCTTCCACACCGACGCCGGGGACGTGATTGCCCTTCACTGCCTCCAGACAGCCGCTGAGGGCGGCCAAAGCAAGCTCTCCAGCAGCTGGAAAGTATACAACGAACTAGCCGCCACGCGACCCGATCTCATCCGCACCCTCGCGGAGCCCTGGGCGGCCGAGAAGTAAGTCACCCAGATCGAGCCACGTGAAGACTCCCTCTGACAACACCCGCACAGCTTCTCCGGCCAAGGAAAGCAGTACTCCCTGCGCCCCCTCATCCACCACGCACCCAAGACCCCCACGCAGCCCGAGCGCATCATGATCCAATACGCCCGCCGCACCTTCACAGGCTACTGGGGCCTTCCGCGCTCCGCCAACGTGCCGCCCATCACCGAAGCCCAGGCCGAGGCGCTGGATGCGCTGCACTTCCTGGCCGAGAAGCATGCCGTGTCGCTGGACTTCCGCCAGGGCGACGTGCAGTACGTCAACAATCTGAGCATTTTCCATGCGCGCGATGGGTTTACGGATACCAAGGAGCAGCAGTGAGTTCTTCTTTTGTTGTTTGTGAGGTCTTGTTGCTTTTTGCTGACGTGTGTTGCTGTTCAAGACGGCACCTGATGCGTCTTTGGCTTCGGGATCCGGAGAATGCATGGACGACGCCTGAAGCGCTGGCGCCGCGCTGGGAGCATGTGTATGGTGGTGTAGAGGCTGAGAACAGCGTGTTTCCGCTCGAGCCGAGGATCAGAAGCTCTTCTGCCGGCAAGAAACTTGAATAGAACGACAAGCGGAAGGGATGGTGTCGCAAGCGGGTCGCATTCACACGGCGGTATGCTACCTAGTCATAAGAAGTCGCATGCCTTCCCCCTTACGCATTCCCACCCCTCCCACCCCGCCAACTGCCACTCTTCAAATAGCAGCAAATACTCTTCTCCTCGCACCACTTCTGCACCATCCAAGCCTGCAGCGGCTCACGGCAAAGCTCCCACTCCGCAGTCTCAGCCGCATCCGCCTTCCGTTTCCCCCCCTTCTTGCCACCCTTCACCTTCCTCCTAACGTCAATATGCACACCGCACTCATTCAGCCAAGCCGTGAGATCCTCGACGACAATCGGATCGTACATGAGGATCTTCTCCCACCATGATAACTCGGGGCCTGATGCGGTAGTGCGCCCCTTCGCGATTTTGACGGTTTCGGTGATGAGTGGATATAGCGCTGCCTTGACCTCCGGCCACTGGGTGCCGTCGAGTTTGAGTGTTTCGCTGACGGCTAGCATGTCGACTTTACTCTCGCGGTCATGCTGTTGCGAGCGGGAAGGACTCAGGAGTAAAGGCTGAACAGCCGGCGGAGAAGAGGAAGCTGAGCGCCGCGGGGGCGAGGGGGTTGTGGGCGACTCGGAATCGGAGATCTCGTCGATGTCAAGCCACTGCGTGTGAGGTGCTGAGGCGGACCATCTCGCGGCGTGGGTATTCGTACGAGGCGGTTTCAGGGGGTTGGGAGAGGAGCCGGGTTGGACTTCAGGAAGGGGGAGTGGCTGGTCGTGTTTCGTGGGTGATACACTTTCGTCTGGGTGTGCTATGGGATCTTTTCGTGACCGTCCACGTGGTCGTTTTGTTGCATGGGCCGAACTGGGTGCGGTAGAGCTGAATGCTTGGGCGCTGTGGAGAACTGATGATTTCTCCATAGGAGTGTTGTGGGTGAGGCTTCTGTTTGCATCAAGCGGGTGAAGAGCAGGTCGTGATGCCATGGGAATATGGCCCTGCGTAGGCCGTGATGGCAACGGGCTCGGCAATTGTGCAGTGTGTCCTTCTGCTCGGGCAGGTGGATGATCAGGAGACAGCAAAGCCGATAAGACCGAGTCGTCACTGTCGAGGAGCATCCAGGAGTCTTCGTCTGCTGTAGATTGGTGGATCGTGGTCTCCGGATGTGCCAGAATGTCCGAGAGCTGCGGCGTTAGTTCTCGATCGGCCTTCGGAGGAGAAAAGCCTTCTATGATAGCCGGAGGGGCGACAAGTGGTGACGAATGGATAGCGATCACGTTCTCCTCCTGCACTGTTTGCATCTCTTCCGGCGGTGCAGGCATATCGACGGCAGCTTGCACCGCCTCGCTAACAGCTGGAATACCGTCATCAATGAGATGCTCGTCTCGCACATCGGTATGCACATCGCCAGTCCGGAGCAAGTTGCCTTCAAAGTCCCTCGCCGCAACACACCAAAGGCCTCGCGCAGCCTGCCCAAGCGAGAGCGAAGTGCCATGCGGCGCCGTTGGTACACGAGTACAGATCTGGTGAGACGGACTGGTCACGCCCTGAGACGACTGCAATGGAGGTGAAGAGTAGCTCTGATGCGTACGAACATCATCTTCGGACGTTCTCAGCGCAGCCAGCACATCCCGAATAAAGCGCGGGGGTTCCGCGGGAGCAAGTTGGCTTGATGTGCCAAACAAAAAGTCCAGCTTCCGGATCTCCGCCACAGCATGTTCTGGCGGGTACAGCTGTAGTCGGGGATCGGGCTCGTTCGGCTTGGCAGGTTTCTTCTTCTTTGCCGAAGTAGCGGCCGCTCTCTTCCTCGGAGTTTTCCCCTTCTTCACCGCGGACTCGGGTCCATCAATGACTTTAATTAGGCGCTTTCGTCTCTTTTTCGGTTGCTTGACGATCCGTTCGGCCTTGGCGTGTTTCGAGACCGAGGCAAGAACAGCTTCATCGACTGTAGGTTGAGCGGGGATAGCTGCAGTGTCCAGACCTTGCTCTGGCTCGTCCAGCTTCGCGGGCAAGAAAGCAGCCGTGGCAACTGCAGTGATGGTCTGCGGCTTCTTCTTCTGCTTCGGTGCAGGCTTCGGCGTTTTCAGAGCCTGGCCGTGGGGTTTCTCGATAGCAGCCAAATCAGTAGTCGAGAACTCGGACAACTCGATACGCCTCCGCTTCGTGACTGCTTCTCCTGATAGTCCCCTGGCGCTTGGAGTTTTCGCAGTATAGCTGAGATCGCTGATGAACTGTTGGAGGTCCAGCTTCTGCACCTGAGAAGCATTGGAGGCCTCAGAACCTGCTGTTGGAGGCCGAGGAGTATCGGTTCTGACGGTTTCGGTATCGACCGGAGGCGTCCAGCATCGCCGTCTTTGGATTATCGGCACAGAAGCTTCGGTATCATCGAGATTTGATGAAGTCGTGTCTCCGTAAGTGGCCGGCACTGATGGCAAGACTGCACTGGGACCCGATGCGTTTTCAGTAGCTATCGGAGTGTTGATGAAGTAGACTGATTGCTCTTCCGTCTCGGTATCTTTGTTCGTGGGGGTTTCGTCGTTTTTCTTCTTCCTTGATCTCTTGGTGGCAGACTTCACTGGTTGTAATTTGCCCGATCCCTTCCGTTGATCGCGGTCTGGATCTGTAGCGGTGGTTCTGCCTGTGCGCGAGCTTTCGCCGTCCGCCTCGGCGACCGGCTCGTCGGAATTGAGAACAAATTCTTCGGACTTCCAGGTTCTCTTTTTCGGCTTCTTCGCTGCGGAGACGTTTTCACCTGTCGCTGGCTTCGAAGGCTTCTTCCGGGGCTTCTTTGCTTGCTTCGGTGCTTTGGTATCTGCAGCTGATTCCGGCTGCTCAATCTCCAGGTCGAGAGGTTGGGCCGCGTGATCGGGGTTTAGGCCATCTGCAACCGTAGTGCTCGGCTCAGAATCTAGTGCCGCCGGCGCAGGTGGCATCGTTGTACTCGCCTCATTCACGATCATGTGCTTCCCAGACTTCTGCGAGGCCCTGTCCTTATTGCCGAGCTGGGATACGACCAAAACATCCTCTTTCTCCACATCTAGATCGTCCATAGCGTCCAACCTCTCTATATCGGCCCGTGTCTCAACGCCCGGAAATGCAATCGGACGGCCATCGAAGGCTGCTTGTGCCGTGGATCCATCTGGTGTCGCTTTACCCAATCGCTTGACAAATGTAGATGGCGAAGGAAGTCGAGGCGACGACGAAGGGTCCGTATCTCGTCTCTCTCGCTGAGCGGCGGGAGGAGTAGCGGAGTGGCGGACTCGAAGGGTGAAGGGCGAGGACGAGTGGATCAAGATGGGGCTAGCCGTGGCCATTGTTGATGCGCGTGCATGGGAGCATCGCCACGCGAGGGCGACTGATCTCCAGGCAATCTTCTCCGTGGCTCGAGAAGGGGCGCAATAGTTCTAACGCTCTGAACGTAGAGGGTTCGTTAATGATAAGTGTGAGCGGGCAGCTGCGGTCGGTGCTTCGACATGAAGTTCGCGGCGCGCTTTGAAGGTGGCCTGTGCGGGAGTCACGATTCACATGCGCTTCACGTGATCTCTTCCCTACAGCCCTACGACATCGCATTCAGATTTTCAGCCTGTCGGTAGCTTCTCTTGCGTCCTTCCAGAGAAGAAGCAACTAGTGAGTGTCAATTGAGCAGGTCCGTCGATCGTTCGACGACCGAGAGCAGGCAAATCAACCCTATGGCCCCAAAACGCAGTTGGCCTTGTCTCTGAACCTCTACCATGTAGCAGAACAGGCTGGGTTATCACTGGAGATGCTCTCCGATCTTTGAACAATCGAAATTAAACTGTCCTATCTCATAGCAATCACTGGGTATCATCGCGGAAAACCAAGAATGTAAGCAGTACTCAATCCATCATCCTCACCGAAACGCCACACAAGTCCTCTCCACACTCCTCTCCATCCCCATCCACCCCTTGGCCCCCATCTTCCTCAACAGCGCCTCCGCCTTGCCCGCCTCGCGGAACACCGTGCGATCCACGCCCCCTTCGGGCACATCACGCTCGAGTTTGCGATACGGGAAAAGTGTACGCATAGTTCGGATGAGCGAGTGCATGTTCCACGCGGCGGCGACGGCGAAGATGCGCTGGCTTTGCACGTCGGGGAGCAGAAGGGCGGCGAGGTGGAGGGTCGCAGAGTCTTGAACGTCGACGAAGTGGGCTGTGTGATGTTACGGAGGTTTGGTTAGCTGGGTTGGACTAGGGAGATGGGACGTTTGGGCGCGGGTCGCGTACAAGGTGGGTATGCGGGGGGAATGGCGTTGTTGTAGATTGCTTGGAGAATCTCGATGGAAAGGGGGTGTGTTTGGTTCTTAGGGTCGAGGACCTCGCCCCAGAGGACGTCGGGGAGGACTGAGATCTGCCAGTTAGCCAGCTGTCTTTCACAGAGGTCAACGAGAACGGCACATACCCGTATTGAGCACAAAGGTTGGTTTGTTGACCTCATGCCTGTGAGAAGAATTTGCCATCAGTGGACGGCCTCGGACACTCTCAACACGATCCTGAGAACTCACCACCTCCATATCGCCGCCTCGGTCTGCATCTTCGCACTCCCCCGCACAGAGAGCGCCCTCTCCCGCTCATACGGCGGCGCAGCCCACGCAACATTGAAATCCGTCATATTCCACGTATGACTCGAGATCTCATACCTCTCGCCACGAGCATGGGAAATGGAAGCAGCAACGGAGCTGGTGTAGACAAATCTCACCACCCTCGGCTCCCGCGCCGCAGCTTCGAGAGCATTCAGCGCGCCGGCAATGGTAGGCGTGACGACGAGATTGGGATCGGGGGATAAGTCGGTCACGGAAGCGACGTGGATGACACCAGCGCAGTCCCGTATGGCCGTGTCGAACGCTCCCTGCACCGCCATGTCCGGCACGACGATAGCAGAGTATCGCGCGCCGCCGTATCGGTCTGTAAAGAACTTAGTCGTCCACGCAGCCTTGCTGCTGTCTCGCACCGTTCCGCGAACCAAGTAGCCATTCTCAAGGAGTTGGGCGACGATGTGCATTCCTTGGAAGCTGTTCGCGCCCGTGACGAGGACGAGGGAGCCCCGGGGAACGGCCAGGCTGGGTAGGTGGTGATTCTGTGCATAGCCCAATCGCGGCGGAGTGGAGAGGTGTGCGGCCGAGGAGACGGAGGAGCGGCCGGAGGAGGCGACGGAGGAGCGGGCAGACGCGTAGGGAGGCGGCTCGGTCTGGGGCTCGCCGAAGACAGCTTTGAGCGTATCGCTTTGCCGGCCGATGCGTTCCATGAACCGAGGAGGCATGTTGAGCGGCGGTGGTTGCGGCGTTGGAGACGGCGGAGGTGAGAACTGACGGTGTTCACTTGTTGCAGCCCCTCCTCGCTGACAGCGTGAATGAGGTAAGCCGTGGTTCCAGGCTATATTTGCTGCATGGTGGCTGCCCGCAATGACGGATCTCGCCCGGGTCGACAGTGAATGAGGTGATGGAGAGAAAGGCCGGCGGGCAGTCAGAAGAAGCAAAGATAGGAGAGGTGTCAGTCAAACCCAAGCCGAAAGAGGATATCAGTGCTTCAAACATCCCTCCATTTCTTATTAGTTCACTTCAAGGGTAAGACGGGAGGAAATGCAGGTAAGCAGGTAAGCAGCCACATGATGTCTGCCCTTGGAGCCCCGAGAAATCTAGGGCACACTCCTCGCCGTCCGTTGTCTAGCCTTGCCACCGAGCTACCGAGGGAGTCCATTCATTTCAGCCGCTCAGCTGACTTCGTTCGTATTCACGGTTGGCGTTCGTTGTACGGCCGACAGAACCAAGACGTGGACATGGGAGCAACAAAGGGAAACAAGTACCCACGGATCTACAAGCTTCTAAACCTGCCTCCTCACTCTCCTCCAGACAGATGCCCTTGGATGCCGAAAGCAGAAGCTTCCAGCCTCAAGTACGCACCCAATCTTCTTCTTTTGTACTATACACAACTTCTTCCCCCACCTGGACATCCCCTAAACCGCTGTCCGCATCTAGGAAGTGAAGTTCTTGGTGAACTTCTGCACGGTCTCCTTGAGCTTCTTCTCCAACTCGTCGCTGATCTTGCCCTCCTTGTCAATCTGCTCCAACAAGCTCTGCTCGTTCGACTTGAGGTGCTGGACAAAGTCCTGCTCCCACTGCACAATCTTGTCGACGGGCACGCTGTCGAGGTGGCCGTTGACACCGGCGTAGATCAGGGGCACCATCTCGCTGACGGCCATGGGGTTGTACTGCTTCTGCTTGAGCAGCTCGGTGAGACGCTCACCACGGTTCAGCGTCTGCTTGGTCGCGGCATCCAAGTCGGAACCGAACTGGGCAAAGGCAGCCACTTCACGGTACTGGGCCAAGAAGAGCTTCAGGGATCCAGCGACTTGCTTCATCGACTTGAGCTGCGCGGCAGAGCCGACACGAGACACGGAAAGACCGACGTTGATGGCCGGGCGGATACCCTTGTAGAAGAGTTCGGATTCCAAGAAGATCTGGCCGTCGGTGATGGAAATGACGTTAGTGGGAATGTACGCAGACACGTCACCACCCTGGGTCTCGATGATGGGGAGAGCGGTGAGGGATCCAGCGCCCCAGTCGTTGTTCATCTTGGCCGCACGCTCGAGCAGACGGGAGTGGAGGTAGAACACGCTGTAGGCTGGTTAGCGGGAGTCTCTCAAGGCCATGCCAAGACTGCACATACTCTCCGGGGTAGGCCTCACGCCCAGGGGGACGACGGAGCAGCAGCGACATTTGACGGTAAGCGACGGCCTGCTTGGACAGATCGTCGTAGACAATCAGGGCGTGCTTCTTGTTGTCACGGAACCATTCGCCTAGTAGACGATGTCAGCCATTGTTACCGCGTGTGGCGATGGAGTTGTTGCGCCGGAGCAACGGGGACGATCTCTTACCCATAGAGCAAGCAGTGAAGGGCGCGATGTACTGTTCATTTCGGTCAGTGTTTGGCACAAGAGAGAGAGAGGTGCCGTGCTTAGTATCTTACTTGAAGGGGAGCTAAAATCACGTGATGAGTCAGCATGGGAAACAATGGAAGGGCAATTCAAGGGTTGTATCTCACCAGCTTCGGAGGCAGTGGCGGCGACAATGATGCAGTACTTCATGGCATCGTTCTCCTCAAGAGTCTTGACGAGCTGAGCGACGGTCGAACGCTTCTGTCCAACGGCGACGTAGATGCAGTAAAGCTTCTGGGTCTCGTCGCTGCCCTTGTTCCATCGGTTCTGGTTGAGGATGGCATCGAGGGCGACGGCGGTCTTGCCGGTTTGACGATCGCCGATAATCAGCTCACGCTGTCCACGGCCAATGGGCACCATGGCGTCGATGGACTTGAGGCCAGTCTGGACGGGCTGGTTCACGGACTTGCGGGGCAAGATGCCAGGGGCCTTGCGCTGCGCACGGAACTTCTCGGTCGTCTTGATGGGCCCCTTGCCATCGATGGGGTTGCCGAGGGCGTCGACGACACGGCCGAGAAGAGCCTCACCGACGGGAACATCGACCTTGGGTTGGATTAGCATGGCACCCGGTATGTGCACAAAAGCATGAGAACTCACAATCTCTCCGGTACGCTTGACAGTCTCGCCTTCCTTGACCAATCTATCGGAACCGAAAAGCACCACACCGACTTGGCCGGCTTCGAGGTTCATGCACATGCCCTTGACGCCGGAAGCAAACCTTTGATGGTGTCAGCACCTAGACAAATCCCGCATTGATGCGTGTGGTACATACTCGACGAGCTCCTCAGCCTGGACATTGTTCATGCCGTGGACACGGGCGATACCGTCACTGTATGCCGTTGTCAGTCACCGAGTCCATGCTTTTGCCCTGATGTTTCTGCTCATACCCGACGGAAAGGACACGGCCAGTCTCGGCCAGGCCAGCCTCCTCTTGCACACCGCGGATTCTCTGCTCGAGGATGGAGGAGACCTCGGTGGGCGAGGCCTTTGCATCGGCGGCATAGGTGCGTTTGATGGAGTTGGATACGGCGGGGGCTACTCGTTGCTGTTGTGGATACGGGTGGTCAGCTCAAACTTTCTCCGTGCGGCCGATGCGCACCGCGCCAGGAAGGTAGCAACAGCTCGAAAACATCTTCAATACAGTCTCAACAGCATTATATGGTGCCATTGAGCCCATTGGAGATGCTTCCGGGATGATGATAGCTTCCTGGGCTTCCTGGGGGGCGCCGGGTATGGGTGAAGATTCGTACCTGGACCTGGGCTGTCCGCGAGCTGGCGACAGCCAGACGGGAACCCGTCCGAAGCGCTCTGCTGAACATGGTGACGAGGGCGGGAAGCGAATGGAGTGAGATGATATCGCTTCCACAGCGGACAATGAGGGCGCTGAAAGGAGAGGAGAGTGGTGATGGGGGCTGTTGCTGTCAACGAGGAGAAGCAAAACCGAGCTTCCCAGGCGCCAAGAAGGCGGTCCGTGCGTAGATGGATGGTCCCGGAAGTCTCCGCCGCCCGACTGTTTCTCGGAGTCTTGTTGAGAGCTCTCGCGATATCTGACATCTTCTGCTCTGACGTTGGGGGATAGCGACGCCTGATGGAATGACGGCAGGCCATCATCCAGCATCTGCCTTCATTGTCGTCTCCATCCTCCCCTTCGTGTCTCTCGCCCTCGTATTGCCGAAACTCCGGCCGATGCCGACACGCCGATAACATGGCTCTTAATCTGGAGAAACAGCTAGTATTCGTATGCACCTTCTTGTCAGACGTGGATCCGCGAAGATGTTTTGGCTAACCAAACCATCTAGTATGGATCATACCACCATGACCCGGTATGGCCAGACGAGGGTCAGCTTAATTTCAACATCAGCTGATCAGCTCGCCACGACAGGTCAACATTGGCATACATATCACCTGTGTGCCCATTTTACTGATGACCGGGTTCATGCTTGTAAGGGAACAGAGCTCTCCGGAGTGGAAGACATGACGCATGACACTGACACTTCAATAGGCAACGAACTCGCCGGCAATTCCACTGCCACCATGGATGACCATTCCTAATCTGCCTGCCAACCTGGGCACAATGGCCTGTGTAGTTTACTCGACCCTCTACGTGCTCATGGAACCGGTAGCGGGCGGGATGCTGGCTCCTTTGCTGTTGGCAGGGACGGCATACGGCAATCACTTGACGAGCGCCTACGGGATGAAGGCGAACTACATCGCAATCGGCATCCACATCGCCTCCTGGATTGCCCAATTCATCGGCCACGGCATTTTCGAAGGGCGTGCTCCTGCACTCGTCGACAACTTGGTGCAGGCTATCTTCCTCGCGCCATTCTTCGTCTGGATGGAGATCCTCTTCGCTTTCGGGTACCGACCCGAGCTGAAGTCGCGGCTGGATCAGAGCGTCGAGAAGGAAGTCACAAAGTTCAGGGGCGAGAAGGGATCGAAGACGAACGGGACGGGTAATGGACATGCGAAATGATATTGACGCAGCGATCCTTTTTTCATTACATAGCGGTGTTTCGTCCGAGCGTAGGGTTTTCTATGGGACGGCGTAACTGGTGTAGAAAGCCTGTATATGTCCAGTTTCTGCGCCTCCTACCTTGTGTTACTGACATGGCAGGGTGAAGTTGGCGAGTGGATGTCAAACACCTCTCTCACATCGCCGTATGGCTTGAGTCAGATTTTACGAGTCCTGATTGAAATGCTAATCGAATGTCTGCTCAAGTGTAGCGTGACCTGGGTCACGTGAGTGGCGTTGCGTCATCCGGACCCTCAGTCATCCAGAACTTCCAAGACCGCATTCAAATAAGACTTCCAGTTTGGCATACCCCGTTCTTCGCAAACATCACCCACGAACGTCGACTCGGAATGACAAACAAGTCAACGTGACATTCTTGCGACCAGCAAACACACTACCGTAACACGCTTGATCTCGAATCCGCGCAGTCTTCCGACCACAATCCTCTTCCACCACAAGCACCGCAACCACGGCAAACAACGCCGACGGCAGCAGCTCCGCTGCAGGAGCGGGAGACGCATCACCGACCGCGCCTCCATTCAGTCCTCTCACGCCCAAGACCGAGCCCGCCTTCCCAGCGCCTTACCCTTTGCCGGCCCAAAATGGGCTCAGCAACGGCGCAGGTCCCAACTCGATGCCACGAAACCACCCACTACCTTTTTCCAGCGATGATTCAACGGATGCGATAGCACTCAGAGCGGCAATCTCTACATTGCAGTTTCAGAGAAGGAAGGCGCAAGAGGACATCAAGACGCTGGATGGGATTCGCAGACGCGCATTGGAGGATCCCGACTTCTTCAAGTCTGAGCTCGTTGCGGGGAGGTTGAAAGAGGAGAAGCTGAGTCTGGGCGACTTGCGGGCTCTGCTGGACTCAAACAGCGACGATGACGAGGACGATGGAGACGGGGAAGATAACGAGCAGCAAGATGACGACGGCAGAGGGGAAAAGCAGGCGCCCTTCGACCGCATCCCCGGCCCGCAGAATGTCGTGCGCATGCCTCACATCAACTGGGAGAAGTACCACATTGTGGGCGAAGCGCTGGATCGGATGCACGACGTGCAGCGCAAGTGGCCCGGCACGACGTTTGCATATGGCCAGCCGCGCGGGCGAGAGTTTGCGGTCATGGCGCCTTATAATCCCTGGCAGGATCCTTTGGCTCCGCAGACTGGTACTAAGAGGGACAGTGGCATTGCGTCGGGGGCTGCGAGACAGGGATCGATTAGTGAGCATCCTATGTCGACGAGGAAGGGCTCGAAGCAGCAGCAGCATCGTTAAGGTGTGATGGTAATGAGGTTAATGATACTATGATGATAGACACTCTGATATGTGTCCTTTGTGCCGTGCGCGTTACGTTTCGATTTGTCGCCCTCTCGCTCTTACTGTAAAGTATCAATGACGCGGCTGAGCTTTTGCGCACTCAAGTCTACACCACCCTGGCCTCCATATTATTACAACGTTAAAATCTCACAATCCCATGCTCCCAGATCACTTGCACATTTAATGTCAAACCGGCCCAAAAGAGGGCAAGCCGCACCCGCACCTCGATACCTCCACCCAGACGAAAACGTCCAGTACTGCATCACGTGCGGCAGACTCATAGGTATCTCGTCCCCTCCAGACGAGCGGGATCGCTCGCGAGATGACTACCACTACTGACAAATCATCATTTTAATGAGCCAGGTAGTCGCAAAATCCGCAATGCGAATACAAGCCTGACACAAGTCAAATACTGCTCGGACAAATGCAAGCGCAACAAACCGGCTGTCCGGCGGAGTGATGGCAATAGCAGCAACGACAGCAACAGCGGCAACTTTGACGCCCTAATCGAGTCGGTTTTGCTGGGTTTGTTGGGAGGGGATGACTCGGTCCATCTCGTGCGTATGAGCGAGCTCGAGCAGGCTGTGCTGGCTCGACGCACGAATGGCGACGTGCACATCGTCGCCGAGAACATACCCGCCAGGACTTACAACATTGACGATGATGAGAATGACGATTCGATCCAGGACGATACGGAAGACGGTGGTGTTCGGCTTGATCAGCCGGCGGCGACACACCCGCAGCGCGAAGGTCAGGAGCGGGCGAATGTGCGAGAAGTTATCAGGGGTGCAGCTCGACGGGCCGTTGTCTTTGGTTTGCCTTCTTCCTCGGACAATGAGACGCGGCGGAAATGTGAGGCGGTTGTGGATGGGAAGGTGGTAGAGCCGAGTTTTGCAAAGGGGGACTGGGGCATTCGGTGGCGGGAAGGGTCGTGATGTTGCTGAAGTGGGCATTGTAAGACGAAGGAATGGAGTGGGAACGGCAGTTAGCGGCAAGTCCGACGAGCGTGTAGATTAGAAGATGCTATGCCAGTAATAATCGGATCGCCCTGCAGTCATCAGGCCGCGATAAAAGAAGACTTCAAGCGCCACCCATCACAATCACCCCATCAGATAGCGTACAGAGTCGACGACCGAACAGCCAGTTCAACCGACGAACTCCCCTCTCAAATCTACCAGTGGCCCGGGTCGCAAGTCGCCGTGGCCTTGGAGTCGCGGACAGTGACAGTGGTGCTGATGATGTGCGTCGACGTGGGGATGTCAATGCAGTGGCAGGACTTGCTGATGGAAGCCGCGCCGCCAGCCTTGCCGAAGCAGAGCGGCTCATCGACGACGTCGATGTTCTGACGCTTGAACGGGTGGGGGTGCTGGGTGTGGTGCGGGTCGTCCCAGGTGCCGGTGCCGCTCCAGGTTGCGCTGCAGCTGGTGGGGGCGATGGTCGGGCCCTTGGTGATCTGTCGGGATGTTAGTGGGATGCCACTTGCAGACCGTTGGCTGAGAGTGGATAGGGTGCTTTGCATACCGTGTATGTGTGGGTGGAGGTGGCATCGGCGATGGCCAAGTAGTTGGAGCAGTACTTGGTGGCGTGGAAGAGCTGGGCGTCGTCGCAGGACTTGGTGACTCTCTTGCACACTGGTGGGGTGCCAGCGGCTCTCTCAATGACATTGGCCGAGGCAATGCCTGCGAGGAGGGCGAGGGTGAAGAACTGCATCTTGGAATGAGGGAGGAAGAGCTTTGCTCGGGGCTTGTCTTTGGAGAAGAGGGGGTGGTAACGACTGAATGGAAGTGGAAATGGATGCCGATGGCCAAGAGGAATTGCCTTTCTTCTAAGCCTTTATATGCTTGTGAGACCGCTGACAAGGCTTGTTGTGCTTGTTGTTTGTGCTTGTTGAGCCTGTTCTCTGTCAGCGGACGATTTGCAAGCGAGATTGCTGCGAACGACATCTGTCCGGCTCCCTCGAAACCAGTGCCACGCATATACACATGGCAGGGATGGACGATCGACACGTGAGATTGGGAGGCCAACGGTAATATCAGGATACCAAGAATAGCGGTTGGATGAAGCTTTCACCAAAGAGCACCAAAGGCGGTGTTTCGGCTGAGTTACATGCGTCATGTGGCTTCCACCACCGTTGCAGTTGCGGCATGAACGGTTTTCCAGCGGATGCAAGGGTTGTATCGACCGTTGCGCTGAGCTAAGTCGCTTAGATATGAAAGAATCCTGCCCGCGACTGGAAGGCATTCATCATGTATCAATCCAATGGAGTGTGGTGTAGAAAGGCTCCATCCTGGCGTCCATAATGCTACATTTGTAGCATTACCAAATCGAAGGATAGATGACCAGAACGGTGACCAGAGCATCGCTGCGGGCATAGCATTCGCGGCTTGTTGTGTTTTGTTGACGTGAAGTCTGAATCCAAGCAGCTGTCGTGAACGCGGGCCGCTTAAGCAAGACGCCACGCCGTTGGAAACTCTAACGCGTCGGCACGGCTGACGCTGCAGAATGTAATAAAATCGGCCCAAACAAATGCCCAACTCTGAAGATGGATTAAATGAATGGCGAAGCTGTTGCGACGCAAAATATAGCACTGATGATAAGCACTTCACGGTTCCGAATGCCACATCTCCTAGCAACGTACCGGAACGAAGGCTCGCACATCCTGTCGAAACCCCAGAGACGGGAAGCATTGATCTGCAGAGGACCAAATCGACAAGGATGATGGATTCGAGGTAGACATGACTCGCCCTGATCAGTGAGCAAGCCATGCAACCAAGCCACCAAGTGACCAAGCAATGATGGCTTGCGGGCGAAGCAGGAGGCGCGTCCCCTACGCCTCCCTCTCTCCATTCGCGCTCCCGCGCATAGTCTAGTGGCTGTAGCCGCGAGTTCGCATGTGGGAAACCTACACCGCAGGCAATCTTTGTCAGGGTATCAAATTGGGTAGCGAGTGTAGAACGTGCAAGGATGTGGGTGATGAGGTGCATGCATGTGATGAAGTGGAAGCTTCGTAACTTCCGCTTTGGGCGACTTGCGTGCCAGCCTCGTGGCGTATGTTCATTGGACGAGACATCGATGGCCTGTCAGCAGCATGTTGCAGCGCGGTCGTAGTAAGGAGACATGCTTTCGCTATAAAGTACAGCAAGAACACAAGCAGGCAGTACAAATGTCAGCGAACGCTCACACCAATGCAACACGCCCAACACTACCAAGCCAAACGATTGGGCAACGACTCACCCCCCTCTCAGAACCTCTTCTTGGCGGAAGCAGCGTTCTTGCTCAGTGCCTCCAACTTCCTCTTCCTCTCCAGCTTCTCTCTCTTATGCCTCTCCTCCTCCTCCAACATCGCTTGGTCCTCCTTTCGAGCAGCCCGCAGAGCCAACATCTCCTCCTCCTCCACATCGTTGAACCCACCCTCCATGTCTGATGACGCGTCCGAATCGTACTGCTCTTCCTCGTCGTCCTCTGCCTCGTCAAGATCCGACCAGCTCGCGTAGCCGCCGTACTTGTCTTGCGGTTGGCCGCGAGTCTTCTTTTCGGCTGGATTGGAGGCGCGCGCAGTGCCTTTGTAGGACAGGGGGGCCGGCGCTCTGGGTATATTGCCTTTGACGCTCGTGTCTTGCGGTTTCTTCTGTAGGGCCTGAGCGCTGCTCGACGTGCCATTTCGAGCCGCTACTTTGTTCGCTCTTTGTTGAGCCCGTGCTTCCTCCTCCCGCTGTCTTCTCTGCCGCTTCGTCAACTTCTCCGCCGGTCTGTGCTTAATGGTCGCTGCTCCGGCACTTTGAGCCGCCATCTGCGCTGCTTTTGCCTTCTCCAACACGGAGGCGTAGCCTCGCTTCTGCGGTATTTGATTGCTACCTCCGGGCGGCGCTTGGCTGGTTGCTGAAGTAGGAATCTGCCTGGGCGCGACTCCTTTCGGATTGACCTGCCTTGTAGCACTGACAACTGATGGTTTCGCGAGCCCACCGTTGCTCTGAGGCACGGCAGATTTGCCGCTCAGCTGAAATCGGGAAGCAGACGGTTGCGCGCCAGGGGTGTTCGTGCCGCCTGTGCCCTCGACTTTTGCTGTTTTATATGCTGGCTGCGATGCTGTACTGTCCACCTTTCTCTTGATACCTGCCGCTGCATTGTTCGCCGTTTGTACCTTCCCGTTCACCAGGCTTGCGGGTGGTTGTGAGGCGGGTCGAGGTTGGCTGGCATTTGGCGGTTTCGCGGTCTGCTGAGTCGGGCCTCCGATGGAGGACAGAATAGAACTGAGAGTCTGGTCATGATTGGTGAGCACGTGCAGAACATCATCACATGGAGTCCGCGACATCAACGCACCGACATCGTGAATCAGGGCCGCGTTGGTTGTGCTGGTGTAGCACGCGCCGCGTTCTCAGATCATGCCATCGAGAATAGGAGTCGAATTGATGTTGAAAAAGGTATCAGCCCGACCGGCGATCTTTGATGTTCGTCGGTCGGACCGTATTCACTACAACTGGAGATGAAGTATAGAGGATGCCGAACCGCCCGCTCGCGGATGCGCCTGAAGAAGCTGCCGGATTTGGCTTAGCGCGAGGCCGCAACTCTTGGCGGCAGCACTACGAACTTCGACCTCGTGAAATTCCACACCCGAATTCGAGAATCTCGAACACCCATCGACAAGCACAAGAACCCGAAGTCTCAGTCTGCGCTACAACTCTAGCGCTTAAATTGATTGAGTCTCTCGTTCTCTCGAATCACTTCACTTCACCCACAACCAGAATCAAAAGTACGGACACCTCGAAACCCGAGCAGCAGTCTGTAGAACCACGCAGCTAACGGGTTCAAACAGCCTTCAACATGAAGCATCTCGCAGCATACCTCCTCCTCGGCCTGGGTGGCAACAGCTCTCCCTCTGCCGCAGACATCAAGGAAGTCCTCGGCGCCGTCGGTGTTGAGCCCGATGAGGAGCGTCTCGAATCTCTCCTCAAGGAGCTCGAAGGCAAGGACATCAACGAGGTATGAGAGCGCCGGTCGCAACGAGCAACACGTGAGGATTCCGTGCTAAAACATTTATCTTCAGTTGATCCAAGAGGGTCAAACCAAGCTCGCATCCGTTCCGTCTGGTGGCGCCGCTGCTGCTGGTGGTGCCGCCGCCCCGGCTGCTGCTGCGGGTGGTGATGCTGCTGCTGCAAAGGAGGAGGAGAAGGAAGAGGAGAAGGAGGAGTCGGACGAGGACATGGGCTTCGGTCTCTTCGACTAGATGCGCACACGCTTTGCGGTTCGCGAGACGGGGAGGATTGACTTGAAGGCGCATGCAGGGCAGCTCGGCACACTTCATCGGAGGGTCGTCGCAGTTGTGACGTGATATTCAGCGTATCGCATGCTGTTTTGATAGGAACCACCCGAATGAATCCAATTCCAAGCAAAAATTGTGTCTACAGAGAGTTGCGCGATGCTTTCGTGATCAACAATTGGAGCTAAATCAGACTCTGCCAGCATCGCACGTCGGCTGTGATATTCAAAATGATTCAAAATGGGTCAGATGTAACCGCCATTGCCTTCAACTCGTCTCTGTCGTGTCATCATTCGTATTCATGCACATATGCGCTTTGGAAGATCATCAGAGTCACGTGACTGTGTGGATGCGGCTCAAATTCTTGGCGTTGAAATTCCACAGCCCACACTCAACCTCAGATCTCAGATTGACATTTGACTTCCATCCACAACATCACACATCCATCACCAACATGGCGGACGCAGAATACGTGAGTCACTAACACCTGCTTTCGAAGCTATGGCGATTTACTGACGGTGCATAGAACGCCGAAGAGGCAGCCGGTACGCAAACTCCGCCTGGTTGAAAACCCTGTGGTGCCGAAAGGCCACGAAGGGGCGCTGGAAGATGGGATATCGGCTGATCACATTTTGAATGAACAGAGTTGAAGAGAAAGAGAGCGTTCCGCAAGTTCTCCTACCGTGGCATCGATCTCGATGAGTGAGTTTGCGCACACCATACCTCCTCCACCCATCCATTGGGCAACACCATTGACCGTGTCCTTTCCTCATCCATAGGCTCCTCGACCTCAGCTCCGAGCAACTCCGCGATGTCGTGCACGCCCGCGCGCGCCGCCGATTCAACCGCGGTCTCAAGCGCAAGCCCATGGGCCTGATCAAGAAGCTGCGCAAAGCCAAGCAGGAGGCCAAGCCGAACGAGAAGCCGGACCTCGTTAAGACACATTTGCGCGACATGATCATCGTGCCGGAGATGATTGGCAGTGTGGTCGGTGTGTACTCTGGCAAGGAGTTCAACCAGGTGGAGGTCAAGCCTGAGATGGTTGGACACTACTTGGCCGAGTTCAGCATTTCTTAGTACGTGTTGCTGAGGATGAGATGGCGTGGGAGGACACTGCTAACAACCTCTGCAGCAAGCCTGTCAAGCACGGTCGCCCGGGTATTGGTGCTACGCACTCTTCCCGTTTCATTCCCCTCAAGTAAGCGCTGGCGGAGATGATGATGGAACTTCGGGTTGGGGCGCGTTATGAGCCGGGAGGAGGTCTATGGCTGTAACGTCTTCCTCCATAGTCAAAATCAAGACATGCCCTGCGCATGGCGTGCTCACCACCAGAAATCCTGTTTCTCCCTTCACGCCTCCCATCTATACGTCACCTCGTTTGAGGGTTCAGCTGCCTGGACCCAAGGTGATGAGACAATCGAAGCCCGACTCGCGGAGCCTTTGCTTTGGCTTCACGCTCCCTCCACGATCTCTTGGCTTTCCCTCTACCTTCTCTTTACCCTTCCTTCATCCTCTCTTTGCCTTTCTTCTTCCTTCGCTGTACATTGCCGTTATATCCTCTTCCTTACCCCTTTATATTCCCTATCCCCATCATGCCAATTCGCGACAAAGAAAGGAAGGCATTGTTCAAACATTGTCCCAAGCCGATCATTTCGTTTCCAACCCAGGTTCTTTGTTTTCGTTGATGGTGTTGACAATGCCCTTCACCCTCTGAAACAAAGGCGAATCGCTCAATACTGGGTATATATGACGGGCTCAGCTGCAGTCCTCACCAAAGTCTTTGCTCTTCATAACCATTCGATCTACGTGAACAACTGCCTTTCTCGACGCTATGCCTCCCGTCAAGAACTTCCCCTGCTTCCCAGAGGGTGACGTTGAGATCCGTTTCATCACAGGTGCCCTATATTACGTCCTCCACAGCACCACACTGACAAGCCACTCTGACTTCTTCCAGATTGCGTACTCCTCACGCTGGAACGCAAAGGAGACAAATATGGATGGAGAGGCCAACGAGCAGCCCGGAACAGTCTACGGCAAGTGATTTCCTGTTCCCTTCTTGGTCACTCCAAACATATGCTGACATCTTTTGTAGAACTCCGCTTCGAGAACGCCGTCGACCACAACAGCTTCGACGAGGTCGGATTTCTCGTTTCCAAAGACGACGCCAAAGAAGGCACGGAGATGATGACGGTGCAAGACATCCCGCCTGAAGACATCCCCTGGGTGTGCACGTTCGAAGAGCAAGTGCATCTCACGCGACTTAGCTCTGCCGCCGCCCACGACCGCTTCTTCCAAGTGCTGTACCACGTTATGCCTGAGTACAGCGCCGACCGCTGCATCGCCCGGAGCCAGCTGCTGATGACGTATCAGGTGGCCAGGCTGTACGGCAGCGAAGATCTCATCCGGCATTCCATCGAGAGACACCTTCTCGACCACCGCGCCGAAGTCCTCGAAGACTGTGCTCGCCAATCGGCGGAGCTGATGTGCTTCGCCTACTCGCTCAAGATCGACTGGGTGTTCAAAGAAGCGGCCACGGTCCTCATCAGCCTTAACAACACGGATTTCAACGGCTTCCCGTATGTCACCCATTGGGATGCCCCACAGCTGACGCCCTGGGTGTACAACAAGCGCCTGCAGTTCGTGGCAAAGCTACTGAAAATCGAGTTGGCGCTGAGGGGTCTTCAACCCATGAACTTCACCTGCGCCAACTGCACCTATGCCCGGAATTTCTACCAGGACTGGCTGACTCGCCGTTTAGCCCGGGGCGAGGGTTCCGGTCTCTTGGGGCGCTACGCAAGCATCTACCATTTTCTGCATCACCGTAAGTGGGTGTCACCGGACCCCAATCAACCCTTCTCCATCGAAATCCAGGACTTCATCGCGCAGTCCAACCTGCCTGTGGTCGACGATCTGCTGAGGCCGCATATCAACGAGCTCTTTGATCGTGCCACCGCGGTGGTGGCGGAGATCATGAAGGACGCTACCCTGCGTGGTGGTAGATTTGAAGATTTCCCTGAGTTTGAGCAGGCGGCGAACGCGCCGGCGGAGCCGTTGAAGTTCATGAAGATCGAGGATCATGAGCTGCCGTGGGCGCCCCAACCACAACCTGTGGCTGCTCCTGCTGCTCCCCCTCAGCAGAATTAAGTTGAATAAACGATTTGGCAGGTTCGTCAATGGTGGAGACAAGATGGAGAAGAAGTAAATAAGTTGGACTCAGTGATCTATCTTGTTTCGATCTCGAGTCTAATTCGCAATCTTGTCCGTTCAGTCAATCGAGGGTATCATTAGCAATGAAATTGTTCTTCTTCACGAACCGCCCTCTCCCTTTCCACTTGGTCGTCAAAGCCTCCATCCTCCGTTTTGCTCAGGAACTTCTGTTCTATGGAGCTTCTCTGACCTCAACTGCGCGCCACCCCATCCCTCATATCAGGGCGTCGACCACGGCAACTCCTCGTCTGCGATTTCGATGAATGTGAGGGCGCGAAACTCGTCCTTCTTCCCCTTGTTTCGCCGCCGGGTGTCGTTGAGGATTGACTGAAGAATCTTCGCGGCCTCAGACACCACCAAGCTGAGTTGAATCTCCAACTCTGTCACGTCCTGCTCTTCCAAGACGCCTAGAATCCCGTCGACATACTTCTGACCGACTTTTTCCTTGGTCAGCGTTGACAGGGTGACTTTATTGAGTCGGATTGTGTGGTAGAGATTGGCGTATCCGGGTTGAAGCCCGCTGCCGCGGCCGTCATTGCTGATCTTTTCGGAGAGCCAGAATCGGAAGAAGCTCACGGCTGTGTAGGACATCGGGCCCCCGTTCTGACGTGGCAGGATGCAAAACATCTTGTGTTCGCAGGCCTTGAGCGCCGCGACAAAATCTGCTCGCTTGCGGTCTAAGAGCTCTCCAACCTGCGCCTCCTGTACTCCCTTGCGTAGCGTCTTGTAGGAAGCATCGCTACGTCCGACGAGGTTGGTCGCAGCCTCTTTGAAGATCCAAGCTGACTTCGCCTCGTACGCCAGTGAGAGCTGTTCATCCGGCTCCCGTATGCAGGCAGTCAAGATATCATCCTGGCAGCGACCAAGAAGCCTTGCGATGTGGAGGCTGACCACCGCTTCACATCTGTACATCTTCCCTAGTCGAGCGAGGTTCACATGGCGAGAGTGTGCGGCAGAGATTGGCCAGTCTTCAAAGGATAGCGGCGCGTGGTAGAGAGCGCAGAAAAGGTCTTGATGAGCCTCTACCATCTCGTACTGATCACAAACGCGTAATGTTTGGCGTGCGTCTTGCTCACGCACTGCTTCGACCTCGAGAACTTCTCCCGAAGGTATCGCAATCGATTCGCTATCCGGCTTGCGCGCTAGCATCGCGAAGTCGGTTCCCTTGTCGAATTGCAGCACTGTGCATGCGTCAGCGGAGGTCTAGCGTAACAAACAATCCACTGTCGACATGTGGCATACCATAGAACCAGCGCTGCTTCTCTCCGACTAGCCGTAAGTCATTCTCGTGGTTCCAGCGGTCACTCAGGCTGGCCTTGAACCACGATGAGTGTAGCGCTAGGACGTAGCTGTGCAGGACGAGTTTTGCGTCATGCCGACCGCCCAGGGAGATCTCCACGTCACCGTCGCTGAACTGGGGAAAGCCTTGTGATGCCATGATGTAGGCGATGAGGCGAAGCCTTAGAAGCCGGGGATCGAACAGAAGGCAGGCTTTATGAAGAAGGGGAGAAATCAAGGGGAAATGAAATGTCGTGCGATCACTTTTGAAGTAGACGGGGGCAGTGAGGTAAGAAGAAGGTGACGGCTAGGAAGCGAAGGGAAGAAGTGAAGGGAAGTCAGAAGTGAAATGGAACGAACAAGGTGAGCGCGAGCACCGCCACGCACGTGATATCTTTCCACCCACGCGTACTACCATGAACCAACTCTTCTCAGCGTGCGTTTCTGAATGTTGTAGTTGGCGTATACTTAGCAATGCAATTGATTCCTCAGCCACCTTTCCCTCGATCCACCCACCCCTTCTCTACTACATCTCACCCCCTATCTCTACTTCCAACCCCCTCCCCCATCATCCCGCAATCTACTTAGCAAAATGCAAATCATAATTCAACCACTTCCTCGCATTCACCTGCTCAATACTCAACCCCGGCTGCCCATACGTCAACGGGGCGAAAAAGACAAAAGCAGCCGCCAAGCCGAGCACAATCACAGCCGCAGCAAACCACGTCGCGCGCAAACTCTGGCCAACGAGGCGCTCGCGGATCGGGCGCTTGGAGCCGCCCAAGCCGTCGCGGATGGGCTGGCGGTTGGCGACTTCCGAGGGCTCGATGTTGAAGATGAACTCGACTACCGCGCCGGCGACGAGGGCGGAGGCGAGATGTGCGGGCAGGTAGTGGTGTAGGAAGAGCTGGCGGCCCATGATGAAGAAGGGGATGTAGTGCGCGGCCCAGAGGAGGAAGAAGAAGCCGGTGGAGTCGTAGAGGCGGGAGCGCGTGCCTAGAAAATGATGTTAGTGGATATCGAGGGGATGTGGAAGGGTCGGGAATACTCACGTTTGTCCAAAGCATCCATGCCGCGTCTGAGCGACAATTGGTCCGCGCCTATGATACCGGCGAACACGGCCAAGATGGAGCTTGCCAGCCACCAGCCCACGGGATTACCCAGGAAGTAAATTTGCTGGTGCGTCTCGTCCTCCGTCCAGAAACTGACACCGCGGAGTAGGAACGGCCACGAAATGGGGGTGCTCGAGTAAGGGTGGGAGGAGGTGAGGGCGTTGTTGTGGTGGAACATGGCGCGCTGCAGCTCCAAGTACTTGGACAGGAAGGGCATGGTCTTGACTTTCTTCTCCGTCTTGATGAGGCGAGGCGAGTCCTCGGGGATGCCGGGGATTTCTTCCACGAACCAGTTGTTGGAGGATTGCTGGGAGTTTTTGTTGCCGTTGATCTCGGCTTGCTTGAATGCCCATTCTGGCAGAGGAGTGGTATGGGTCCACATGGCAACTTTGGAGGGGTGGTGGATGAGCTTAAAGTGCGAGGCCATGGTCTGGAAGATTTGGCCGGGTTTCCCGTTATCGATGCGGATTTCGAACACCGTGTCGTTCCAGCGGTTGCCATAGGCCTCATCTTCGGGCACGGTGGTGAATTCCTGATTGGTCGGGTAGTATGGCGATGCCACATCGTGGCTGAGGAGCCAGGTATCGGTGACGAAATGGCGAAGGCGGACCAGCTCTCCATTCCTGACATGCGTGGTGGAGTCTTTTGTGCTGTCCGCCGCTCCTGGATAGATTTGCCAGAGATTGTTGGTGTCGTTGTGGGGGTATCCGGTGACTTGCTGGCCTTGCGAGGAGATGCGGCCATCTTCATACCGTAGGGGGTAGCGATCGGGATGAGAGTGCAAGTAGACTTTCGTGTCCTTGTGGCGCATCGCAATGTTGTCGAAGTAGTTGATGTTGACCGCTGACTTTGCCATGACGTTGTCCGATAGTGTTGCTTGGAAGTCGGGGGTCATGAAGTCGTCGCCAGGTCCACTTCGGTTGAGGATAGCAAAGTGCACCTGGAACCAGAAGAGGTACATCAAGAAAGGCACGATGATCAATCCGAGCACACGCGCCCCCAGATGCTTTCCGAAATCCGGCAAGCTGAGCGCGCCCTGCTTCCGCCGGATATCCAACAAGTCCCAGAGATCAATCATGACCGGCACACCGATGGAGAAGAAGGTGAAGGCGCCAACGTATTTGGTGCTGATGACACAGCTCATGCTGATGCCGGTCAAGAGCAGCCACTTCCACCACTTGCGACTGAACGGCGCATGCCGCAGCTTGTAGAAGCGGATATAACACAGGACGCTCAAGGCCATGAACAGCACCAACGTGGCATCGAGGAGGATCAGCCTCGTCTGGCCAATGTGCGCATTGTCGAGCAGCACCAGCGACGCGGCAACCACGCACGCGGGCAGACTATACCCGGACTCCCACATGATCCAGAAGACGACGGAAACGGTCAAGGCTCCCATCATGGCTGGCATGCTGCGGTAGGCGAGGTAGGGGACGTGGTTGGCAATGTAGTGGTCGCCGATATTTTCGAAGAGGAAGGCACCATCGTAGCCCACGAGCCAGCCGGCAAAGGCAAAGAGGAGTTTGCCAAAGGGCGGGTGGACATCGAAAAAGTAGGTGCGCTGGAGGTAGTACGAGGCAAACTAGGGAGATTGTATTAGCAGTGATGCGGGTGTCCGAGGGGAACATCTCGAAAACTTACCTTGCCGAAGTGCACCTCGTCAAAGACCACCTGATCGGGGTGGCTGATGCCCCAGAATCTTGTAATGAAAGCGAGAACGGTGATGATGGAGAAGGCGAGCTTGTAGTCCCATTCTCGGGTTGCAGTCTTCTTGGCCTCCTTCTTCAACTCGTCGAGAACGCCATTGAGATCCTGCTCTTCCACTCCAGGAGTCGTGGCACGTTTCTTGTCCGTTTTGACGGTCCGCTGGCGAACACTGCCCACCGGAGAAGACATTTCGGACGAGGAGGGAGGGAGGGAGAGGGGGAGAGGGGGGGCTCTGCTGAGCTGTAGTCGACTCTGCGACTTAAGTAAAGGGGAAAAGGAGAGTCGAGAAAGACGCGGTGATTAGCCGCAGATTAACAAGCAAGCATTGAAAGCAGAAGTAAAGGGAACGAAGATTCGTGAATGCGAGATCTCACGACGGGTGTGGTGGTGGGAACAGGCTCGGGAGCTTTTCCATCTGGACAATTGTCTCGAGGACCCTGAAAGCTTCGACGCGACGACCTCCTGGCGCGAGCCTGCGCGAGTCATGCGCGCGCCTCAGGCAGCCACTGCACGCCTCACGGCAATCAAGGCAAGGTAAGGCATGTTCACTCAAGATAATTGCATTGAAGCGAGTCGTGCTATGTTCATTTCAGCAGTCAAAACGCAATAACATCCTCAAAAAACACTAAATGGTCGCTGAGCCGCTCATACGCTTCAACGTGTCGCGCTGAAAAGTAGCCGTTGATTCATCCAACCACTCCCGGTCGCCTCATCGCTATGTCCGGAATCCAACCCCGGCAAACACCTCCTTCCTCTCATCTCCAGGGAATCGATGCATTTGACCGGCAGGAAAAGGCCGGGGCCCATCCGGAGATGTCTCCTCCGCCGCTGCGCCATCTTGCGGCGCGTCGATGGTGCTCACTCCCGACACGCCCGAGATGTTGCGAAAACCTGGGGGATCGCCGATCACGCCGTTTTCCCGTGTCTTGGGAACGGAGAGAGGTGAGCTCTGCTGTTGATGTAGGAGTGCAAGGCGGTCAACGGTGGGTGGAGCCGCGACGACGCTCGATGGCATGAGGACTTCGTCGCTGTTCACCCCTATCGTACCCACGCTCGAACTGAAGTGTTGCTGCTGCTGCTCTACGTTTGTCGCTGTTGGTTGAGGAAGCGGTGTGGCGAAGGGACTCGAGTTTTGCTGCATCGCCAGGTTCGCATTCTGGCGAATGTGCTTGCCGGCGTTGTTGTCGGCCCAGTCCGGCGTGTGCGAGATGCCCGGAGTGCCGTGTGCGTAAATCGGCGCTTGGGGCCGCGCCCACGGATTCTGTTCGAGGTATTGCTCGTGCGCGAGTCGGTCATTGTCTGCGAGATGTTTCGATGCCGCGGGATTGGGGAGGAAGATTGGTCGAGGCTGCGAGACAGGCTGAGTTTGTCGTTTGGTGATCTGGTTCATCATTAGCCCCAAACTGAGCTGCGTGCCGTCATCATCACCTCTGCTAGACTCACCTTCATCGCCCGCAAGTCATCATCCATCTTTGCTCCGTCCACGCCCAGAATGTCCGGAGCAGCAGGAAAGCCAATATGCTGAGCGACACCAGCCAGGATGGACACTTCCAGATTGTACTTGGCCTGCTGCTTCAACTGCACGCCCCTCTTAGGGTTGTACAGGTAGACAAACTGGTTGGCGTCGTCCAACTGGTGTGCCTCTCTCCTCTCTTTCTGAATCGCGTACCACTCTTCTCCCAATCGATACAATGTGTCCTCCCGTAGCTGTCGCACCTCCTGAAAGTATTGGCTGTGCAGCTGACTTCGCTCGCCGAGCACAGTGTTGCGGATACTCTGTAGCTTGTAATTGTAGTACGCGTGGGACTCGCGGATTTGTTTTTGCCGCCTGCCGTCCACGCATGCAACTTGGCGGAGGTAGTCCGGGTGCAAGCATTCTGGCTGCTCAAGGACCTCCAACTCCGCGGTCAAAGTCGCCACGCGCTCGGTATAGACTTGCTCTTGAAAGTTGCGGAAGTGCTTCGCGATGCCTTCGTACAGCGTTGACGCTTCCTTTTTCGCTTTTTGCTGCTCTTCACTTTTCGCCGCGTCTTCTTCGTTCACCTCTTCTGCCGCTTCCGCAATATCTTCAGCCTGATCGGTCTCTGGCTCTTCAACTTGCTCTTTCGGCTTTCTGCCGCGTTTCGGCTTGCGGCCCTTTGGCCCTTTCGTAGGTGGGGGCGGTGTATCATGAGCCTCTTCCAGCATTGGGACCTGTTCCACGCTGACAATGGCTTCTTCAGCGGGTTCGGTGTCCTCAATGGCATCCTCGCGGCGTAATTGCTCGTCGGCGGTCATTTCGTGGCTGCGTTTTCGAGGTGACTCGCCCAGATCTGACTCGGTCTCTGTCAATGGGCTATCGGCGGTTTCTGATCGCTTCCTCTTTTGACCTGTCGCACACATGTCAGTCGCCATCCATTGGAGCAGGCCGGCGCGGGCTCTCTGAGAGCTAGCCACAAACTCACCAACTGTCGCAACGGTACTCGTACTGGAAGCTGCTCCCGCTCCAGCAGGGAGTGGTGAGGGAGGATCGGAGAGCTCTTCGTCATCGGCCAATGCAGCTTGGCTGAGCTTGCTCGGCGTCCTGCCCACGTTGTCTGCAAGCTTTCGCAGTTTTTGTGGTGTCTGGCTCAGTCTCTCAGTCTCTGCCTCGGAATCGACTTCGGACAACGGGGCCGCGGGCAGCTCCTCGCCTTCTACAGCGTCACTATCGACGCCGTTCGGCCCCTCTGACTGATCAAGGAGGTCTTCGGGGTCGCTGAGACTGCTGGAGCGATCATCGCGGAGGTGGTCCCCGACTTCGGCGTCGACATCAGTTGTGGTATTCGCGGCTGCCGTGGTCGCGATCTGCTCCATCTCTTGAACCGGACTGCTCTTTGTGTTGTCTGAGAAGCGTCCGCGTCTTTTTGAGGTAGCGGTTGTTGTGGTGGTGGAGTGCCGAGAGGGTGGTGCGCGACGCGCAGAGCCGCTCGCCATGCAACCTTCTCTCGCCTTGCGCTGAAAATCGGGTGTATTTCGAAGGACGATGGTGGGAGGGCGTGGAAGGCTTTGCGAAAGCGGTGTGAGTGGGAGGGTGCGGTGGGGGTTAGGCGGTGGCTCGCATTCAAGTGGGCGCGACGATCAGCTGGCGGTGGTGGACGAGGATGTGAATGGCTGGAGTGGAGGGGCTGTGATGCATATGATGAGTGTCACATGGAGTCAACACCACGGGGACGTGCCCACAAGTGCTGAACAAGGCGTGCGTGAAGAGGGTCGGTGGGGGGAGGAGTGCGAGGAGTGCTGCGTTTCAATTTCAGGTGAAGGCCGGGGGAGCGTCACAACTCGGCTCAGCGCCATTCCCGTCGCGGGCCCTCTTTCTGCCCGGCCACGCTAGGCCGCTTCGGGATAGGCGGTGGACCTTATCGATAAGGCAGAAGCCTGAGCGCAGCTCGAAAAAAGAGTGAAGCAAAGGCTTAATCCTGAGCCGGAACATTGGCACTCGCAGCGACGAGCATATTGCACCATGGCGAAACGCAAGACCACCGACGATGGCGCGGACAAAGCAGCCAAGAAGCACAAGAAGGACAAGGCCGTCGATAAGAAGTCGAAGAAAGAAAGCAAGGCTGCCTCCGAGCCTACTACCTTCTCCCTGCTCGCGGATGAGAAGAGCATCAACCCGGCGCTTTCGTCTCTTTTCGCTGCAGAGGTGAGAGCTGCTTGGAGTTTGTAATCTTAATACAGCCTAACTAATCTCAATCCAGGCGACACCACTGGTTCGAGTAACCCGCGTACCCAGCCCAGATGTCCCGGCCTCATCTTTCGTGGACGATGAAGAGGAGGAGAACGGCGAAGACTCCGAACCTATTCAACAATCGGACACTACCGCAGCCAAGGCTGTACCTCCGGAGGATGTAGGAAGTTCTGAACAGAGCAGCAAGCGAAAGCGCAAGAAGAAACAGGAGGGTGAGGAGGTCGAGGATGCGTACATGCGCCGCTTGGCGCGCGAAGAAGCCAAAGACGCACAAGCTGTCGGCGAAGAGCGGAAGAGGACGCAGGTCGACCAGGAAGACGCAGATGAAGTGGCTGCAGATGGTGAGGAAGCAGTTTCGGACGAAGAAACGGACGGCGTTCAGATCGAGCATGCCTCCGACGATGAGGACCTCTCCCCTCCTCCGCGCCACGAGACCGAACAAGCTGCCAACAATGAGCTCGACAAGGCCAAAAGGACCGTGTTCCTCGGAAATGTGTCGACGACCGCAATCTCCTCCAAAGCGTCAAGGAAGATCCTCCTCAATCACCTCAAGTCCGTCTTTGAAAACGCTCCGCAACCCAAAGAAAGCACTGCAAAGCACAGCCTGGAATCCATCCGCTTCCGCTCCGCACCATACACCGCTACACTCCCCAAGAAAGCCGCCTTCGCCAAAAGGGAAGTCATGGACGCCACGACGAAATCCACAAACGCCTACGCCGTCTACTCCTCGCCCATGCTCGTGCGGGAAGCAGTCAGACATCTGAACGGCAGCATCGTGCTCGACCGCCATCTCCGCGTAGACTCCGTCGCCCACCCCGCCGCTGTCGACCACCGCCGCTGCGTATTCGTGGGCAATCTAGGCTTCGTGGACGACGAGAGCAACATCCAGGATGCGAATGAAGAGGATGGAAGGGAGACGCGGAAACGCAGCAAGATCCCCGCTGATGTGGAGGAGGGGCTGTGGCGCACCTTTGCCAAGTGCGGCAAGATCGAGAGCGTGCGCGTTGTCAGAGACAGTGCGACCCGAGTGGGCAAGGGCATTGCGTATGTGCAGTTTGAAGACGGGATGGCGGTCGAGGCGGCCCTGGGTTTGAACGAGAAGAAATTCCCGCCTATGCTGCCGAGGAAGCTGAGGGTGAGTCGGGCGAAGGCGATCAAGAGGAACGTCAAACCGAGAAGTGCAGAGGGCGCGGATCGGCCGAGTGCCACTGGCTATCGGCGGAAGATTACTGGTGAAGAGGCATCGCAGGTCGGAAGGGCAGGCAAGCTGTACGGCAAGGCGGCTGCAGCTCAGATTCGCCGTCCTACAGCTAGGCGAGATGTCAGAGACCGGAGTGGCGGAGACGAACTGCCAAATGGCATCAAGAAGCCCGAGTCGTTTGTTTTCGAAGGCCACAGAGCCAGCAGCAAGAGTGGCAAGTCAGGCTTGAAGCTGGGCAAGAAGAAGGGAGGCAAGCCGACCGGTCGCAGCGCGAAGAGAGCAGCTGCCTACAAGGCGGATGGGAAGAGAAGGGTGCCATCGAAGCACTGAGGAATCTAGGCCATGTTTTGCATAGAATGCCGCTACAGTCCACATAGGATTCAGCCTCACATTACATCCCGTCTCCGACATTCCCTTCTCCATCGAACCAAGGTTGATCATCTCCAGCCTCAAGGCCGGCTTCAATCCGAGCACGCATCTTCACACTCGTCAGCTCGTTTGCCTCGCCACGATTAGGAATTCTCCATCAACACGCACTCAACGTCAACGTAACCGCATTGTCCTGGCAAGCGAAAACCGCCGGCCCATAGCGCGTGGCATTGCCACACACATTCGCCGTCGTCCCATCAGACGTCACATCCCACTGCTCGCCAGCAAAGGGATCGCCAGAAGCATTGTTCACGCTCCTGCCACGCACGTCAGCCAGTCCATCACCCACCCGCCCACAGAAAAGTAAAAGACTCACCAGTACAAAATGTCATCACTGACGCTCGTCCCCAGAATCAGCTTCGCGACTTGGTTGGAGAAGATGTCGGCCGAGTGCGACAGCGTGGCCGTGTTGCCCGTGCCGGCGATGGGGTTGATGTACGCTTGTCCGCTGGGCAGTTCGAAGGGGCCGGTGGTGCTGCCGTTGTTGTAGATTGTCAGGTAGAGGGTGCTGGGGCAGTAGTTTTTGACGAGCTGGTAGGAAGCTGCGAGGGCTGTGCTGGGCAGGAGGAAGAGGGTTGGCTTCATGTTGATTGCTTGGTGGTGTGGAGGATGGGGTTGGCAGGGGTTTGAGGGCTTGGTTGGAGAGGGTGAGGTGCGGTGGTGTTGAGTTGAGGTGTATATGGAAGGAAAGAAAAGAGAGATGAAGGACGAGGGGACGAGCGGGTTTTGTGTGTTGCTGGTGCCTTTCCATTTGACGATGCATGATCACACCAGACGGCAGCATCGACAGAACGCGCACTCCCGTCATCACGGGAGTCAAGAACAGAGCAGTGCAACCGTAAGACGCTCTTACCCTCTGTGATATTGGTCTGCACGACGCATAGCCGACTCATCGCTGCAGCCGTGCGCACGCGTAGCAGCATCGATGACACTGTGGTCAGTATGACAGTGAACTGCAAACGCAGTTGTTCACTCCTCAGTAGGTACATGTATTTTGGTGTAACCTGTCAAGCCGGGAGGTTGCATCTGTGCCTTGCAGCAAATCTTTGTGTCCGTTTTGGAGGACGGTATCTCACCGTTTAAGATGCTGCTAGTTTGGAGGACCTCGAAGTCCTTTCCGTTACTCCCGTCGACTGGGTTTTCAGATTGTGGTGGGGAGTGGAGTTTGAAGGTCAGCTGGAGAACTAGTGATCTGCGTAGCGCGAGAGAGCCTTGAAGAACTTGAGTTCGATTTCGATTGCGATCTCGCACCGAGCTACGTGCAGCGGCTGTCCGCGTACAACCCTCGGTGTACCCATACGTACGCACGTACGGTTCTTCGTCATCGTCATCCGCCTCATCTCCGCGGCGCCCCAGTGATAGGGATGGTGCATACGCTGCGCACAGCATCCTTCGTATCTCGAAACGTAGGTGGAGCCCGTCGAACGGTGCAATACCGTGTCACACCGCTCATGACTTCCAGCAACAAATCATCCTGCTGCTAGTTCCCTCACGTGCCCTGTTTCGCTTTGGCAGCCGTTTGCGAAGCCTCTGTACCAAGCAATCAAGCGGTCAGCAATCGCGAAGACGCACACCGCCAATTCAATCACACCGGTGTACGAACCTCGTCTTGTTGCATCCTCCAATAACGGCGTATCTACCGCCGCAGCGGGCAGGTGCACATATCGCACCACACTGCCTCGGATAAAGACGTTCTTGACCGAGCTCTGTGCCGCACAAACGTCGTCAGCATGCGTATCCCTTCAAATCGTGTGCCACAGTCCGCGCCAGCAGTCCTCGCTCGTGCACCGCTGATCACTCTACCCTTCCAACCATGTAGATTGCCGACCAGTAAGACGTACCAAATGCGGATACTTCAACTCATCTACCACCGAGATGTCGTCCAGTTTGATGTTCAGGTACTGATCCACGCTCTTGAGGGTGCCGCGGATGGAGATGTCGTTCTTGAGCTCCACCGTCACTTCGTGGTTCACGAGCGTTTTGAAGAAGCTGAAGAAGAGCATTTTGACGGTAGCGCGAGATGGAGACGGGGACGAGGAGCTGGGTAGAAGCGTGTTATCGTGGGTTTGTTATGGTGGGCGTGGGCATGGTTCGTTGGTGAGGTGGACTTGGAGGATGAAGCGCGCGCAGAATTTATGGAGCTTCACTTCAAATGCCAAGACATTGGCATGGAGGCAAGGCCAGCGATACATGCATCAGGCTGCGACAATGAAGCATCTTATTAATCCGAGCATGAAGAGTCGAACTTGATGATTTTGTGTGTAGATTATCAATTACAACCACCTCTACACTGAACTGCATCAAGCAGCCCAGCCCTTCAACAACATCCCATCCTGTCCATCCTATCCTACACCGCAGCCTTCCTCGCCCACCCAACCAAACACCTCCACCCCGCATTCCCCTTCCCACACTCCTCCAAAGCCTTCGCAACCCCCTCCAACCCCCTCGCCTCCTCCCGCCCCATCTCACAATGCAGCTTCAAAATCCACTGCTCCCACATCCTCGCCCCCACCAGGCCCGTCATGGCCCGCACATCCCTCGTACTCCCCACGACAGCAGGCGCATACACGCTCACCTCGCCGTTCGGGCCGATGATCTTCTCCGTTGCGATGGCGTCTGCGCTCTCGCACGACTTGCCTAGGTCCTGCCAGCGGGGGATGACGTCGGCGACGGGCAGGATCATCCAGGCGCGCTTGATGCTTTCGAAGCCGGCGCGCTTGAGGCGAGGAAGGAAAGTGCGGCCTGAGCAGGGGTCGTAGCCGCGCGTTTTGAGACTGAAGGCGAATTCTACGCCTAGGGCTTGACATGCGGGTTCGGGATGGGCGAGCTCGGCGTCGAGTAGGTTGAACTCCAGGTAGCCTCCGGGCTTCAAGCAGCGTAGACACTCTTGTAGTGTGAGGTCCCATTCGTCTGCTGCGTGGCTCTGTGGATAGACGGTCTTTAGATTGGCGTAGAGGTTGCGGGCGGAGATGATGTCGAAGTGATTGTCGGCGAACGGAAGCTCCCACGGCTTTGGAGCCGCGACGACGCAGTGGTTTGCTGGGCCGTCGAGCGTCGACTGCGCAACATGAGCTTCCGCATCCGAGGAAACGGTCGTGTAAACTGCGGCGTCGGGGTGTTCCAAAGCTACGCTCCACGCCCAGCCGCAATGCACCTGGCCGTCAACGTCCAGAATGCGCACGTCTGTCCGGCCTTTAAAGCTTTGCACAATCGGGCTGGTCAGAAGCTTGCCTCCCGCGATCTCCCTATGGGCGGCCAGGTGCCATGAAGACGATTGCATCTGCTCCAGTGCTTGTCTCTCCCGCTCAGCTCGACCAATGACATCCGCTTTGTCGTCTTCGTCCGGTTTGGCGAGGAGATCTGATATTGGTCTGGAAGGTGCCGGCCGGTCTGTGCAGGTAATCTGATATCTGCCTTGCAGCTGGTCCAGGTGTTGCTTCTGACTGCTGATCCGTTTGACATGCTCTGCCTCTGCTCTCGCTTGGCGGTGTAGGAAAACGTCTCGAGCTCGTTGTGATCGCTTTGTATGCCGCCAGCCCTCCCAAAATGTCCCATCATGAATGGGCGAGATTCGTCGCTTCTCCTCAGCCGCAACTGCCGGTTCTTCCAACGCCGAAGGCTTCTCGTCTGCCCACCTCACGGTCTTCTTTGGTGAGACGTGCTCCAGAGTTGCTGCAATTTTCTGTTCTGGAGTCTTTGGCACTGCGTTGACAGTGTTCGTGAAGCTGTCGAGCACATCATCATCGACATCATCCTCCGCCTCCGCCTTGCACACAGCTTTCATGTAGTCTGTCTGTGCGTGGAGCCAGAGCATAGTTCGATCGAGACTGGCAGCTGCACTTTCTTTGAGGGCGTCATCGTATTTTTCATCGATCTCGTCAACTTCGATCACGCCGTCCACGGGGGAGAAGCCAATTCTTCTCGCGGTTAGCGGCTCAGGGGATTCTGAGAGTTCGGTATCGATCGTGATGATTTGCTGAACAGGACTTCCAGATCGTTCTTGCCAGGGTAGGTTGTAGAACCGTGCAGCTGTGCTGGTCGGTGGCGGTTCTGCCGTCGCTGAGCGGAAAGGGACATCGTAGAATTCGGTGGCGACACTGGTCGGCGGGGCTCTCTGATTCGCACACCAAGTGTGCCTTGCAGCAGATGAGCTCAATGAGGCAAAGAAACCTCCAGGTGTCGGGATAGACAGGTCAGAAAGCTCCTCCGCGGCATCGATGGGATTTGCCGGCGTCAAGTTCTGCGTTTCGAGTCTCATTCGCTGTGCTTGCCGAGGAGACTCGACCACTTGGCGCATTTCCTGGATTTCCTCTTCCGGCACCTCGATCACTGTTTCGAGGGGTTCAGGCTCCTCGACGCCGTGGATTTGGCGGAGGAGAGAGATACTTGACGGATCCAGTTGAATGGGTATCTCCCATGTCGAGTCGTCGTTGGCCCGATTCGCAACGTCAGGAGTCGAAGGACAGCTAGACAAAGCTAGCTCTTCGTCGGTCGAATTGCCATCAAGCGATGGCGTGGAGCACGTGCTGGGCACACGACCAGATCGGAGCGTGGCCAGGATCGATGGGGCAAGATCGATCTTCGGAATGGGTGAGAGTGGAGTCGTGGTAGCCTTCATCTTGTCAACCGTCGGCCATTCGCTGGGCGAAGGAATGACCAACGGCGGGTATTTGTGCCTTCCCATGACAATGCGCTTTTTGATAGAATGAGAGAGCTTGATGGGCACCTCACCCTCCGACTCGCTTTCCGAGACGTCGTACATTTCGTCAAAGACGCTTCCCGAAGTGCGCTTGCTCCACATGGAGTTGTCGTCGGACTGTGTGTCTGAGGTGGTGGGCGACTCCGCCACCAACTCCATCAAGGGCGCCATGGTTCGATTTGCCTTTGGTGTTGGGAAGCTGTCGCTCATTGGCGACAACGCGAAGGATCGTGGCTGTAGTTGTGGTGGGATTCTCCGAACCGACACTTGGGGGGCGTCTTCGATCACCGTGTGTCGGTCCATGGCGGAGGTCGGCGCAAATATTTAGGATCCTTTGGTGTAAGACGGTCAACAGTTTGAGAGTGGTGTATCGCGGGGGTCAGCCGTAGGAATGTGAAGTCTGAGTATGTTGAAAGCGACAGTACACCGGCCAGCGGTATGTGGTTCACAGATATTCGAGCGATGGAAATGTACAGTGTAGAGTAAAGCGAAGGACTTCGACGCACAAGTAAAGGTGTATGAAAGAGACAGAAGACAGAACGAAATGAAAGTACCTTATGGAGATCTACAAAGCGCGATGTGCCGAGGAAAGGGTTGACGCCGGGGATGGATAGACGTTGACGAGAGGGCGGTTAGGAAAATGACGAAGCAACGTGACCTCGTAGCGGCCAAGGCTGGCGCTATGAAAAGAGCCTCATTCTCTGGGTCGGCGCGTTGGGTGGCAATCTGATGGGTCAGGTGCGACCGGCATTCAGAGGCATGCACGAATGAGCGACGTGCTCTCCAAGGCGGAAGATGTTGCAGACGCCCGCCCATTTGATTGTTTGCTTCAGGGCGCGAAGCCAGCCAATGAGAGGGGCTGACGCCGGCATTTCGTATTTCACGCCTGACTACTCCAGGCGCCTCGCAGGTCTGACCCTGTATGGCTATACGTGGGCATGCCGGGCTTCGCACGGATGTGAAGATCTTCCAGAACGTGGCTGTGCCTTTCAGGGTGGGTTAATGCGTGGTGAGGATAGGAGATGGGCGCGAGCAGGAGTGGTGAAGTGGAATTTGATTGGCAGCGGAAGGGCCCGCTGTCGGTCCGGCACGCCCTCGCAACTGCAAGCAAGATGTTACTGCATGACGAAGTACCTTATTGAACACAGCGTCAATGTGCAACCAGCCTGCTGGCGATCATTTTTCGGAGTAACTCGAAGCGAACTCGGTGTCTAACTGTTCCGGACGAGGTTGGCTGCCAGAACAGGAGCTCTTCCGAGATAAGACTTGGCTTTTTGGACTACGATCGCCGGATGCGAGCGGCCTGTTAGCAGAACACCATCATCTATCTCCGAGGACAATCAAAACGCGCCGTTCTCGGAAAGAGGTTCTTCATAGCGTGTCTCGACAAGGAGCGCTTCAAGTGACACAATTGTAGCCGCCCGCGCTCATCACTCCACCATCACCCTCAAACATGGCGCCTCAAGCCATCATCGCCCCATCAATTCTATCCGCAGACTTCGGCGCTTTGGGCAAAGCATGTTCCGACACAATCTCGCATGGCGCCGACTGGCTGCACGTGGACATCATGGACGGCCATTTCGTGCCCAATATCACTTTTGGCGCCCCGGTCGTCACCATGATTCGCAGCCACGTGGATCGGCCGAAAGAAGTGTATGGCAAGGGCACTTTCGATTGCCACATGATGATTAGTGAGGTATGCTTGCTGTATCGCTATTGACTGCCGAAGATTGCTGATGGACGTCAGTAGCCGAAGAAATGGGTCAAGGATTTTCAGAAAGCTGGTTGCGATCTATACTGTTTCCATTACGAAGCTGCCATTGATTCCACTGCCGCCGAGTCACCGGAAACGCACACGGATCGGAAGACTAATCCCAAAGAACTCATTAAGTTCATTCATGACCAAGGCATGCGAGCCGGTATCGCCATCAAACCCGGCACAGACGTCAAAGTATTGTACGACATCTTCGACAATGGCAATAAAGATGAAGTGCCAGAGGTATGTTTGAATCGTCGTGATCCTTCTTCCGCTTGGTCTTCTAACAGCATGCAAGATGGCGCTCGTAATGACAGTGGAGCCGGGGTTCGGCGGGCAAAAGTTCATGCCCGACATGATGCCCAAAGTCGAAGCGCTTCGGAAGCGCTACCCGGAACTCAACATCGAAGTTGACGGCGGGCTATCAGAGAAGACAATTGATGTCGCTGCAGACGCCGGCGCCAATGTGATTGTGGCTGGCAGCGCTGTTTTTGGCGCTCAAGATCCGGCTCAGGTGATTGCGAAGCTGAGAGAGGCGGTGGAGAAGAGACGGTGACTGCATGATAGCCGACTATGATGGACGAGAGGCCAATTGCTGCAAAGCGAAGCGCTGTGAGTCTACACGGTACGGGCTACCACGTATGCTCACGTTTGCTAAAACTCAGCGAAGGGGTAGGAAGACTAGAATCGTGTTCGAAAGCGTATAAAAAGATAGACCGGAACCGGCCAGCATTCCTCATTCCTCAACCGTGCCCATGGAATGATGACCGCATTCCTCCGCTCGCCATCGTGTCTTGGCGCAATTGCTCGTCTCTACATCGACATTGGTGCTTCAAGATTGCATCTTAACGTACACTCGACTTCGTCTTTCACAGAGAAGGACGGACGTGAGGACTGCTCCTGTCTGGCTGCGCTCGCGAAGAAATAGAACAAGCAAAAATAGATGAGGCAAAGGTTTCATCGTCTCCGGTAAGGATGTTTTCTTTATTCCCTTGACTACTTCCGAAAGCAGCGATTTCAGCACATGGCAGCCATAACGACAAAGACCTGCTCTTCCTCTTTTCCGTCTTTTCAACTTCTTCGTCAACACAGCGCTCCCAGATTTCAACTGTCAGATCCAAGATGCGTCTGCCAGCCGGAGGACCAAAGAGCTCCGGCCGCAAGCACCACGCGGAGCACCACGACGAAGCGCAACCGACAAGATCCAACACAGAGCAGAAGCGCGAGGATGAACACAAAACTTGGAGCAGAGCGAAGGCCTTCGGCGCATCGCACCCCCATTTCCGTCCAACGGCGATACCGCCGCAAGGTCAGATACAGCCCGGTCCCGGCAAGATCTCTCGAAGCAGCAAGGGCGACGACAAGACGTGTGCGCACTGTCCCGCCCGAAGTGGCGATGTCGCTCAAAGCAGTGCTGCAACATCAGACCCGGTTGCTGCGAGCCCGAGCACTGCGCCTGCAGCAGAAGCAACTTCGACGGCAAATGGAGAAGTTGTGTCTAGCGCAGCATCTCCCGCGAGCTCTGCACCAGCACCAGCCGGAGAGGCAGAGATAAAGACGGCGGCTAGTCTAACAGTCTCATCCCTGCTTTCCGCAACCTCATCCGACGACGCAGCAGCATCCGGAACACATCCCAAATTCGATTCCGGCTCCACGCCTCCTGCTTGCCCAGGTGCGAACGCAACAGTCTTCCGCGATGCATCTCAGATTGAGTACACCATCCACTGCGGCACGGACAACACCGCGACATCCAACGGCAAAGTCTCCATCGTCACTGGCGGCTACGGCTCGTGCTTCTCCGCCTGCTCCTCGACCGCAGGGTGCGCGGGCTTCACTTTCGTCGGCTCGGATAGCGGAAACTGCTATCTCAAGGCGACTCTGCCCAAGAGCGACTTCGTGGAGAACTCTGGGAGCACCTACGTTACGTGCAACAAGGTGCATCCGGATGCTTTCGCGCCCCCGGCAGCACCAAGCAACACGACGACTCCGAACCCACCGACCGCAAGCGCAACTCCAAGCAGCAGCAAAAAGGCACCCATTGGCGCAATCGTCGGCGGCGTCATCGGCGGTGTTCTCCTCATCGGTCTAATCCTAATAATCATCGCCCTACTAGCGAAACGCAAGCGGAAGCAAATCGAGCAACGCCGCGACGACCCGATCGTCATCACGCACCTCCCACAAGACCCAATCGAAATGACGACCTCGCCCGCGCAGAATTCGTACGACGCGCATCAGAGATCACTGAGCACGTTCAACGACGTGTTCCAGCCGCTAGGAGGTGCGTATCATGCCACCGCTCCGAAAGCTTCACATGCGCGGCAGCGGTCGATTTATCAAGAGCAGACGTGGATCTAAGGTGCGCCTTGCACGACACGTGTGGAGCTTTCTGCTGTGTAGTGTTGGATTTTGTTTGCTGACTTATTCGGTTTTAGGTGGCTATCGAGAGTCTAATATGGGTGAATTGCCGATCTGGAATCAGACGAGTCGAGGCTTTGGTACTGCTGCGCCGGCCGGCGTTCGGCCGATGACAATGTTCTATCCTCAGCCAATGGCGGAAGGAACGCCTGTCTCTACGAGTGCCTCGTCGTCTTCTGGTCCTCGCTCGCCTCGGTTCACAGAGCACCTTGCCGAGCCTGGAGGCCCGCCAGCACCAAACACATTGGCGGGCCCTGGCGGCATCTCAAGCGCAGCGAGCTCTCCCAGCACCGCCGCAAACAGCGCCCGACAGTACCAGCATCGGCTATCGCCCAGCAGCAGCTACGGCCAAACGTCGCTAAGAACGAAACTGCGAGACGAAAACCGGATGCCGTCGAGTTACTTGCCGAAGAGTTCGCCATCGGCAAGGAGTGGGAATAGTGTGAGTCCGTCGTCAAGATACGGGCAGCAGGATGGAGGGTATTTTTCTGTTTGAGTCGAACAGATGGTGATGGTTACGGGTTTCGTTTGGTGTTGGCGTTGATAGAGTGTTTGTTTGCTCATGCAGGGTCTCATTTCCATGCGTCCATCGCTCCTTCCTGTCTTGCTCAAAAAGGAAGGAAGTGAAAATGTTGTCATTTCGACAAACGGCGCTCCTTGTTTGAAACACATGTCTTGTTTGCCTTTGTGTCGATGAGATGTCTTACACCTTCACAACTGAACACACTTTCCTTTTGCTGTCAACGTATATTACCCATCTCCTTCATCGTCGGCTTGCGGATAACGGAAACCAGACATGGCAAAGATGAGTTCGACAGCATCCACAGCCGCCTCTTTCGCCGGCGACAAGCCACCCAGCATCAGACCGACGAAGTCGTCATCCACCGAGCAATCGTTCCACTCTTGCGAACAACAGTCGTTCTACTCTTGCGAATCGCATGCGGCATCGGAAAAGACTCCCACGCCAAGTCAGGAAGACGATGAACCGCCAGCGCCAAACAACTGGCTCGAGCTCTGGGTACAATGTTACTGGCGAGACGTGGCCGACGACCACAAAGCCGAGGACCAGCAGCAAGGAATCAGCAGAGCGCCAGCCAAGCGCGCCTTCCTGTCTCAGCCAAATGCCATGCATCCGCCGTCCGCTCGCGCCTCGCGTGATCTGCGAGTCAACGATTTGGAGGGTCGCACTCCGCTGGAAGAGTACACGGGCAAACATGCTTTGCGGTCGGGGAACGTTTCCACGGAAGATGAGCTCGAGACCTCGGATATGATTCGGGATTTGGTAGGTGGTGTGGAGCTGTTGGTGTTGTTCATTTTCGTGCGTGCTGATGTGCTGGTTACAGAAGGGGATTCTGGAATGTTCGGGTGCTTTCATGGATGGGTATAGCACGCTCGGGCTACCGATTCATGCGAATACCAAGGGAGCTGAGGAAAAGTTTGACCGATGGATTGACCGCTGTCTGCCTGATTTTGGGACGAGCCCGAAGGGTTGTGAGCCGGAGAAATAGCCGGAATTATTGGTTGGCCTCATTGGCGAAGAGGTTTGGAGTGTTCGGTGCCGCAAGCTGCTCCTTGTGGAGGCGGGCGGCATACATTCGAGTGTTGATTGCAGTGAGTTTGCGCGCGATGGAACAGCTTCGATGGGCGAGGGAGTCTTGGGATCATACTGCACCCTGGAATTCCAATAGCTAAGCAGGACCGTGCCGTGGTCCGCGCTGGATGCGGTGCAAAATCATGGCTGAGCATCCATATCCACGTCTCCATCCACATCATCATCAGGCCCATCGATTTCGTCCGTGGACCACCACAAAGTAGGGCCCAACCCCGAAAGCATCATGCTCCCCCTGATCAGGTAAGGCGGCCTACGCCCTTCGAGATCATCGCCTTGGTCGGCGAATTGTGAGTGTGGCTTCTGCTTTTGGGGCGACAAATCGGTCCACTGCTCCTCCTCCACGCGGTACAAGCACTTCTCCGCACGATCGAAGTAGTATGGCGTTGGCTCATCGTAATCCGCGGCTTTCTGATACCAGATGAACAGCTCCGTCCCATTCTCGTCTCGGTCCCATCGCGTGTCCTGAAAGAGCGTCTCCGGAGGCACCACAACGTCCTCGAAAAAGTCATGTGAGAGTACTATTCCCACCTGAGGAGCGGCGTTGGTGATGATGGCGCTGACAATCTCGCCTTTGAAGGGGCGGAAGACGATGAGGCGGAAGTCGACGTTTACGTTGACGATTCCCGTCCCGTGACCTATGAGGCCCTCGGAGGTGGAGATGATGGAGTGGAAGGCGACGCACAGGCCGACTTTGTGGATGACTTTGTCGGCGTACTTGGCGTTGATGAAGTCCTCGATGGCACGGTAGCCGGGCTTGTTAAAGTCGGTGGGGTGGATTTGCACCACATCCGTTAAGGATACCTGTAGATCTGGTTAGAAGGCGGGTGTGGAACCGGCGATAGTAATGCGTACGAGCAGATACATCGCGTTTGCGTGTTGGGATGAGGAAGAGTCTGCTTCAACATGTGGCGATTGTGGAGAGACTGCATGCACTTTCGAGTTTCATCTTGGAAGAGTGTAGACAGTTCTGGGCACAGCAAATGCTTTTGAACGGACGGTAGCAGTGGTGCAGTGGTAAGACGGGTGGACAGAAATATCTTTCGAAGAACGTGAAGTGAGGACGGATGAAAGTGCGTGCCTGTGGCTACCCGGAGCGTGACATGTTATTCGCGCACAATCTGAACGTCACCTCTCCAGCTTCCCATGCAGCAGACATTTGAACTTTCACATCATCCTTTGTTCGAGTAACGACCACCTGGCTCGGCCACGAAAATTATGATCAGTATGACTGGATAGCATCTGGAAGAATGAGCGGCTTCTCGTTCCCGCCGCCGCCTCCGCCACCGCCAAAAGTCGACCAGCCCGGCGGTGCGCAACAAGGAACGCAGTACAGTTCAGAAACCCGAGGAAGGGGCCGCGGAAGATACCAGAATCAGCGTGGCCAACGACGCGGAGATGGCAACCAATTTGCGAATGGCGATAGGCAGCACGATCGACAGCAGAATACTGCACCTTATGGACATTCTAATCCCTCATGGCCACAGCAGCAACCGCGAACATCGAACTTGCCGCCTGGAGCCTATGTCAATCCCAATTTTGTCCCAACACCATTCGCTACAGGACGGGGTAACTCCAACGCCGGCTCCAATCATGCGAATGCCAGACCTCAACTATTAAGTGACCGTGGTGGCTCGCCATCAAGGACTGTTGCTGGGCACAAACGGAAGCTTGAAGCTCTCCGTGGCCCTGTACAGGAACGAAAGCCTCCACCTCCCACACCGCCTTCGATACCGAGCTTTGGTGTGCCTCTAAGTGCACCACCTAGCAGGGTAGAGGTACCGCATGTGGCTGGAGCCGAGCGAGCAGTGCGTTCTAAGTCAGGAGATCGCACCAAGAGTCTCGGTCTTGTGCCCACCAGTCTTGAAGCACAACATTCCTCCTCCGAGAGTGAAGATGATGCTCGCGAAGTCGACGAGGAAGCAATGTACGCCGAGCTGGGCGACAAGCTGACCTTTGAGCACAACGGTGTCATCATGTCTCTGACGTCGCAAGCCGACTTGGCGGATTGGAAGAAGGAGAGGCAGAAGAAGTGGCCCACGAACGCTCGCATGAGGGAGAAGGAAGAAACACGTTACAGGGTTGGCGAGGAGCGGAAAAGATTACTCGCTGGTGCTAATTTGTTGAATGCGCGGGCTTCTACCGGCCAATTGAGGACTACAGCAGTGCGGCAGCAGCTCTCGATGGACCAAAAGGAGAGATCTGGACCGTCAGAGGTGCATGAGCCAAGCACAGCTCGCAAACCGGAGAGCGAACTGGAGAAGATGAAGAAACAGTTGAGCGAGCAGACGAAGCATCTCGAGGCATTGCGTAAGAAAGTCGCAGACAGTGAAGCGAGGAATCGTGAGACACAACGACAACGTGACTTGAACGACAGCAATGCGGCCAAGGTCACCGATACAGGAGTTATGCCTGATGACGAAGAAACTCAGCACCTGGAAGAGATAGACGGCAGCACTGGAGCAATGGCAGTGTCCAACGTTACGAAAGAAGCAGCTCCAGACGACGACCAGGAGAGCTCGAAAGATTCCTCATCCGTCATCAGCTCAGACTCTGCCTCCGAAGACTCCGACGAAGCTCCACCAGAAGAAGTGACTTCAAAGCCAGAGCCCACCACCGCGCCGCACAGTCAGAAACCCGTGTGCAGATACTTCGCAGCAAGTGGGCACTGTCGAGATGGCGACGCTTGCAGGTTCAGGCATGAGCGCTCCGAGGGAACGGGTGATGGAGTAGCGAGCAGAAGTTTGCAGAGACCGCAGCAAAGCGTCAGGCCTTCCCCACGAGCTCACGTGGATGGGAAGGAGCGGAAGAGTATCCATGAGCGATTGGTGGAACAGGAGCAGGGTGAGGCTGATCGGTTGGCGCTCAAGGTGATCAAGTACTTGGGTGGCGCGGGGTTCTTCAACAGTGATGATACCGTTGCTGCTGCTGTGGAGCATCAATGAGGGAGGGACGCTGTTACGCTGAAGATAATGAGATGTCGTTGACTGTGGTATATCATTCTAAATGCTGCCCTGACTGTTTGAATCCCACTGGTGCTTTTTGGTCTTGACGAAGTGAACGCGAAGCAAGATAAGGTGTGTCGCCGACAGTGACCAGTATCTCCAAACTTGGACAATGCAGCTACCCGCGAGGCGAAAGACATCGTGTTCCCAGAGTTCACAGTGAACCTCACTTCACCGCGCAAACAGCATGCACGATTAAGTTTCGTCACATGCCACAGGTCGCAAAAGAAGTCTTTGTGTCACCTTCGCAGCCTGTTGCCCCCCGAAACTCACCTTTCTCTCTTCATTTCCCAAAATCTGCGAGCTGAGCACTCACCTTCCCGCGCCGCACAGAATCGTCAGTCCTCAATCTGCGTTCGTTACTTTGAACTCAGCCAAAGCATATACTGATTCTCTCTTGCCTTTACTCACAGACTCCACCACTCCACCAACTAAGCACAACACATCATGGCGGGCGACGACAAGACAATCTTCTCCTTCGAGACCGTGGCCGCACTCGTCGCCGCCCTGAACAGCAAAGGCGGCACTCTCGGAATGAAAGACTACGAGTTGATGGCGTCTCTGGACGGCTCGCGCACGGCGTCGAGTTTCGATCACCAGTTCCGCAAGGTCAAGACTCGCGCGAAGGAGTTGCTTGAGGGCAAGAAGGGCGGCAACGACGGCGCCGCGGGAACCCCTACGAAGAATGGCCGTGTTGGGTCGAAGAGTGCGACGCCCGCGTCCGGGAGGAAGCGTGGTGAGTTTTGCCGTGAGCAGATTTCTGAAGGATTGTACGCTGATCAGCTCTACAGGTCGCAAGGCTAGGGATGATGAGGAGAAGGATGATGAGGAGGTTCAGGTGAAGAAGGTCAAAGCTGAGCCGGTGGAGTATGAGGAGGATGAAGAGGGATCTGCTGGGGACGACGCGGTGGAGAGTGCGTTCTCTTAGGTGTTGTTTACGCGGCGTTCAGTCCGAAGCGATGTGTGATGAAGGACTTCATCGTCTGAAGGGTTGCAAAGCTATCGAGTGGTGAGAGATGGACACGAAGACGGGCGATTGCAGTGTGCTGGGCTGGGCAAGTCGAAGGCTTCGCTCCACGAGGTAGCACTGGACATAGCGATGACTATGATGGAGCGTATGAGAATGCTGTAACCTGCCCAACGTGTTCTCGGAGCACATTGTCTTGAAGAGAGGAGTGTATTCCCGATGGCGATGTTTGCACGTTCAAGTTGTGGGTGATGGCCGAACGGACCGCACGGACCACCAGCACCACCTCCGCGAATCCAAACCCGCCCCGAGCTACCTCACCTCGTTCCCTCCCTCATGCCCCAGCGCCAGTGACCCATTGGCCCTCACACCAAGCATGCAGCCGCTCCAAAGAACAGCAGTACGCTCCGCGCGGCTCCTGCGCCCGCAAGCACAGCGGCAATGCCGGCGGAACGCCTCCGGCGTCCAACCCCCCGAACACACCCCTCCCAAAACCCACGGTTCGCACGATCACGGCCCCGCCAACGAGTCTTTCGGCGTAAGTACTTATTCCCTTGGCTATATGTGTGGAAGCTGACCACGTGCAAACTAGAGCGGCTTCTTCATCGCCCTTGCTGCCATCCCCGTCGCCATCGCTGCCATCTCTTACACCCGCGAAGGCCAAGCGCCCTACTTTACCCGCGTGATTGTCGACACGTACGACGACTACAAGACGAAATGGGCGCAGCGGAACGACCTGCACACACAGATGATTGAGCAGGCGGCGTCGGACCGGACGCTGTTCTTGAACGAGGGCTCGAAGCCGATACCGCCTATCAGGTATCCGGAGTACGTTGCCCTTGCCTCGCATCGGTAGAAGAAAGGTTGTGTGGAGGTATGCTGACTTGGCACAACAGGCAATTCAACCATGGCTCGCCGTGGAATGTGGGTGCGGGACACGGGAGCATTAATCTGGAGAAGGTGATTGAGAAGTATGAGAAAGAGGCGCAAGAGGAGCAGACCAAGAGGCTGCAGCAGGTCAGGGAGAACAAGGTTCCTGCGGAGCAACCTGTGCAGAGGTTGATTAGACGTGCGCCCGCGCCTTCGAATTGAAGGGTGGAGACCTGTGTGCTGTCTATGGGAGGTGTATATAGCTGGGACAAGAGCATATGCAAATTTACAGAGCTTTCACATTATCATACGCCTGGGTTTGTCTGTGCATGACTATGGTGTTGCATGCTGCGGAAGCGGATAAATGTAAGAAGGCCATCAGGCATGGAAGAGAGGATCTTGAATCACGCCATCTACAGCCCACCCGATATATAGCTGTACACCCCGCTGTAGTTGTGCCATCGTGCTCACACTTAATCGTATCCCAAACGCCTTGCAATGCCGCTAATCCCCTCCCATCACGATCTCCACCTTCCTGCTCCCGTCCTTCTCTTGAATGCAGTCCAAGATAATCACTGCGCACTCCCCGCGCTCTTCACAGTACTCATATGCGGCGCATGCGCAGGCTGCGTCGGCGCATCGGGAATCGGGACATCGGAAAAGTCGTCCTGCCCGATAGCTTTGAGGGTCCATGTGTCTGATTCCCATCCATCAGTCTCTGTACGTGTGATGATGGAGCGCAAACAGGACTGGCGGAGAGGGGGACGACGTACACACTGCTGCCACGAATCCTAAGAGACACACGCCTGTTACGGCGTTCTTGACGAGGTAGGGTTGCCGAGCGCGCATGAGAGCGGCGCCCGGGCGGTTCTTTTGGTCATAGTAGGAGGCTTGGGGTATTCTGCGGACATCATCATTAGCGCCGGTGTACGTGGATGGATGGTGGTTGACGTACCGCCCCAGTGGCATTCTCCATATCTGAGTCGGTCGCATGGTGACCGTCGTGAGTGTCGCAGCTGGTTGTCGACTGATGAGATGGATCGAAGGTCGGACTGAATGAATCTCGTGAATGTATGACTAAGCAATTAGAGTTTGGCTGGAGGGAGAGCTGCTTCACACGACAATCGCTTTGAGCGACGCGAGACCGCACCCAGAAGGTTTGCTTCGAGTTCTGTAACACCATTGCACCACCTGTGCTCACCCACTTGTCCTCATCAATCAGCGCATCCCACTCGACAAACCACCACCTCATTCACCACACCCACACCCGCATCGCCAATCCCGTGGTGCTCTCCCGCGGCAGCCATGCGACTTTCGAGGCACCACCCTTTCCTGGACCTTAGATAGCATTTCTCTCTCGCTCTCTTCTACCTTGCGTGATCCTCGACCGCTGAGGCTTGTGGAGCTAGCAAGTATCGTGCGAGTTGTTGCGCCGCGCACTTTCGACGCCCGCCCGCCATGGCCAGTGAAGACACGATCAGGCAGTTGAATTCTGCACGCGACATAGTCCTCCGCGACCCCGCCATCTACCCCCAAATCGTCCCGGGCGTGCTGCCCGTCATAGGCGCATCGCAGCCTTTAGGATTGCGGAGATGGGGCGCCGACTTCCTTGCCGAGACGTTCGCCAGTCCCGTTGTCAGCCCCGAGGACAAGGAGAAGATGTGTTTGGGGGTGTTGGACACACTACAAGGATATCTGAATCGAAAGGAGCAGAGTGGCGGCGAGGAGGACGTCAATGTATTGAAGAGTGCGATTCAGTGCTTCGCAAGCATATACCCGTACGTCTTCCGGTACGTGGTTACACACGCCGAGGAGAGTGTCAAGGAGGTGTGGGCAAAGGTGATGGGGATGAAGAGTGGCATTTTACGGAGGATGGACTCGGCGCCAGCGGGAGTGCGGATATGCTGTATCAAGTTCGTGGCGCGCGTGGTGCAGGTGCAGACGCCTGGTTTGATTGCCGACCCGCGGAAACCGGATCAGAACGAGGTCTCGCTTGCCCTTGTTCCGCGAGAGCATGCCATTCTTGTGCCCAGCAACCTGGAAGCCGAGGCCAGCGGGCTCCTCGATCGCCTTTTGACGGTCCTTGAAGACAATCCGGCGGACGCATTGACGGTCACCTCGACTCTGAACGCCCTCTCGCCTTTGATCCACCGCCGCGCCTCCATCTCTACCAAGATCCTCGCCACAATCCTCTCCTTCAATCCGGTGCAAACGGGCAAGGACAGACTCAACGCAAAGTCCATGACACGAACGACCATCTCCCTCCTCAACAACGTCCTGAAACGCATTCCCACGCATACCCTCGCGCTCCGCATTCAAAACCAGATCGACAGATTACGCCATCTCTTGGCAGAATCACTTCTCGACCAGCCCAACGCGCTCAAGCGAGGCCCAGATGAGCCGATTGACGGTCTTCATGCGAACAAGCGCCTACAGCTCGACGCGGAAGCCTCTGGCGCCGCAGCACAGCAACGACGCGCAGACGGGCCTCTCCCCCTTGGACCAGTCAGTTTCAAGGATCTATACACTCTCACCGCAGATCCGCGAGCAGCGGGCTTCCATGTGGGCATTTTGCCTGAGCAAATCGTTGCGCAGCTGGTGCCTCCGCTCCTGCAGAACGTCAATTCCACGCAGTTCGACCAAGCCTTGAATCTCTTGCGGACGAGGATCCTGGAGCTACAGCGCAGGCCACTGCCTAGCGCAGTCGATGCTGCGAGAGTCGGGCCTGGCGATGGCATCGGAGACGAGGAGGACGAGGAGTATGATCCGAATGTGTTAGGAATTGGGGAAACGGATCAGGTCAATCCGATTACGAGCGATGAGCGACAGGGCCATTTGCGACTGGAGGTGATGAAGTTACCTGCCGAGCCTCCCCTGAACGAGAACGAAAGGTTAGAATACGGAGAGCATGCGCGGCAGAGGCTGTTTGGTACGCTGCGGGACCTAGATGACGAGCTTGATAAGAAGAGAGCGGGAAAGGCCGGGGTGGCGGAGAGGGAGCGAATCGGTGGCTTCGGCCAGTCAATGGGGGCTGGAATCGCAGGGCATGAGCGAGAGAGCTGGATTACACTGCTCGTGCGCATGGCCACTCGATCCGCTTTTGAGACCAAGGAAGGTGCAGACGATGAAGAGGAGGAAGAAGACGAAGCAGCCGTCAAGCGCGAGAACGACGACAGAAGTCTCGCCACCAAAACCAAGAGCGGGCAGCACTCCTCATCATCCTTCCCCGACAAAATCCGCGACGCCCTCCAAACCTACATCATGTACGACTGGCGCCGCCGAATCGACACAGCAATCGCCTGGCTCAACGAAGAATGGTACACCGAGCGCCTCTCCCGCCCCGCCTCGTCAACCACCAAAGCCCTCCCAACCTACACCCACCTCACCCTCTCCACCCTCGACCAACTCACCCCCTACCTCGACACCAAAGACGGCCGCTACCTCATCCGCTTCCTCTCCGAAGTGCCCCACCTGCCCGCCGGCATCTTTCCGCGCATCAAGAAGATCGCCGAGGACCCGGAGCGTGTGCAGCTGGCGTGTCAGGCTCTGCTGTATTTGATTATGCTGCGGCCGCCGGTGCGCGAGGCGGCGATTCAGTGCGCGAGGGAGATGTGGAGGGAGAATCGCGATGCGAGGACGGGGGTGGAGAAGATTTTGGTGAGGTGGGCGCCTGACGAGTTGAAGGGCATGAAGCAGGAGGCTGAGGAAGGGGTGAAAGGGGAGTAGAGGGGGGCGTTATGTAGATTGATGTAGGATGTGAGAGTTGGATTTGTGTGCATGCTTTTTCACACATTTCTTATTCTTTCCGATGCTGCTGTTTTGCTACATGTCCATATCTGTCGTGGAATGTGGCTTCAATGGGTGTTCCCAATTTATGCCCAGCGGGTGGGTCTTGCCATGCATAAAATTTCCCAGCATCCCAATAATTTCTGACATTCTGACATCGAGTCACAATCGCGATTACGGACGGTGCCGGTGCTTGCCATTCTGCAAGAAATAAACAAAACAAGGACCCGCCGTTTTTGTGCCCCTCCGACTGCGGAAACATGGCAACGACAGCAGAGGCTGGTGCTGCATCAGCCCAGCCAAATGGAGCCCCATCCTGCAAAGTCGTCCTCGCCGGCTCGATAGCCAAAAAGCTACTGGAAGAAGTCAAAGACGGCCTGAAGAATCTCGACAAACCTCCGGCGCTGTACGGATATCTCGCCAACCAAGATGCAGCAGCGCGAATGTACGCCGACTGGACGGCAAAGACGTGCAAAGAGAAGTGAGTTACCTACCTCTCCTTCGCCCTTCCTTCGCACTCAAAACTAACCCTGTCCAGCGGCTTCGACTTCCACCTCCGCGAAGTCGCGCGCGAAGACCTCGAAGACGAACTGCGCGACGCAAACCATAACGCCGCCGTAGACGGCATGATCGTGTACTACCCCGTCTTCGACTCCACGCGGGACCGCACGCTCCAATGGACCGTCAGCATGTACAAAGACGTCGAGGGCCTGTCGCCCCAGCTCATCTCCAACATGTACCAGAACATCCGCTTCCTCGACCCGCCCGCCAACACGCACAAGTCCATCCTGCCCTGCACGCCGCTCGCGATTATCAAGATTCTCGAGCATTTGCAGATTTACAATACGTTTCTGGATTATGGGAGCCGGCTGTTTGGGCGCCGGGTTACGGTTGTGAATCGGAGTGAGGTTGTGGGACGGCCTTTGGCGGCGCTGCTGGCGAATGATGGGGCGGAGGTGTACAGTGTTGATGTCACTGGGGTGCAGCAGTTCAGTCGCGGCACCGGGTTACGGAAGCAGAAGCATGAGGTGAAGGAGATGGAGGGGTGGGGCCTGGAGCAGTGCTTGGCTGTGAGCGAGGTGATCATCAGTGGTGTGCCGGGAGAGGCATTCAAGGTGCCGACGGGTATGATTCGCGAGGGCGCGGTCTGTATCAACTTCTCGAGCGAGAAGGTGAGTGCCCAGACTTTGCGAAAAAGTGAGAATGGTGAATGCTAATGCATGACAGAACTTCACTCCGGATGTGAAAGAGAAGGCATCCATTTACGTGCCAGCTATCGGCAAGGTGACGATTGTCATTCTGCTGCGCAACTTGCTGCGCATCGTTCAAAACCGGCCACAGATGCAATCGTGAAGCGGCATGTGAATGAACACGTGAATGTGGCGCTCTGTCTCTGGGCTGCGCCTTGTTTCACATCACCTTGGCCAGTGTGCACAAACAAATATCGCATCATCCATCCTTTGTCAACATTCGTACGACCCACAGCCACCTCAGCGATGGAGGCCCTCGCTCTTCTCATGGCAGTCTTCGACAGGAACGAAGAAATGATGAAAGAGGAGCAAGCCGAACCCCCGACCTCGAGCGTAAGCGTTCAAACTCCTCCCCCATCCTCGATCAAAGGCTTCCGCTAAACCGCAACAGACAACCTCTTTCTCCCTTCTCGACCTGCCCCCCGAAATCTGGAGCAGAATCTGCCACTACGCGATCACCCCCGACAAACTCACCGTCTTCCCAACCCTCACCAACGACCCCGCATACTGGAAAAAATGCCTCGCCCAACCGAGCATCACGCGCACCTGCCGCGCCATCCGCGCAGAGTGTCTCGCGGCATTCTACGGCGATCTTGTCGTTCTGTATCGCGCTGAGTGGCCCTCCTACTCTCTCCGACAATGGCTTAAGGCGATCGGCGGAATGAACCGTGAGCATGTCGCTATCTACGACTTCGACTCGGTCTTGGACCGCACCGAGGGTGCGAAGTTCAGGTTTGTGCGGGGGAGTCAGTATTGGGAGAGGTGTGTTGGGATGGCGGAGGTGGACGATTCTGATGGAGAGGATGGGAGTGAGCTGGAAAGCGAAGACGAAGATGATTTTTAAGGCAGCTCTGGGGAAGAGGATGGTAATGGAGACTGGGTGAGAGGCATACGAAACATATGAGAGCGAGGAATGATCAAACATCCCCTCAGATCAGCCACAGACGGAGTCCTGGGTAGTCACGTGGCGGGCACGTGAATGCGAATGTGCCTGATCTGGGTCGCGCCTTCCCTCCATTACAGCAGATTGCACGGCCGTGCCTTCCCTGGGTGATACAAGCTTGGCAAAGTGTGTTCAAAACGCTTTCACCTCCACGATCCTCCATCAACGTCCATATAAGCCGCAGTCACCGCAGTCATGGACGCCCTCGATCTTGCCATGCAGATCTCCAAGAGCAACAGGGACAAGAACCTAAGGCTAACACCGGAGAAGCCGACCGTGAACGTCGTAAGACTGCAGCCTGTGCATCGGATTTGAATCTCGCTAAATCAATACAGATCTCGAATTACCCCCTGCTCGACCTCCCTCCTGAAATCTGGAGCAAGATCTGCCGCTATGCCGCCGTCCCCAGCGGACCGTCTGCCATCTTCGTCCCCTCTCTCGCCGACCGTGACTACTGGCAACAACAGCTCACTCAACCGGGCATCACTCGTACCTGCCGTGCCATCCGTGCGGAGTGTCTCGGTACCTTCTATCAGAATCTCTACGTCATCTACGATGAGACTTGGACCTTTCCTATCATCGGCGACTGGCTGTATGGAATTGGTGCAGCAAACCGCAAGCGCGTGGTGATTCACGAAGGCGGCGGCAGCTCCTACTGGAGTGGCAACGATGCTATTTTCGAGCGTTCGCATGGAAGGAATCATGGGGGTATACGCGGCCAGAAGTATGGGCATTACCTCGCGACTCTCATGGACGACCTGGAAGAGTTCTCATCTGAGAGGCATTACCAGCTGCGTGATGTATATAAGGACGAAGACAGCACGGAAGAGGAAGACGACAGTGAGGACTGGCCAGAGGAGGACGACAGTGAGGACTGGTCAGACGAGGGATGAGTCAAACCGAGATGTTGATTCATCTCGAGAGCAGCGCACCAAGATCCTACATACTCAATGAAGATGAGCGCGTGAGGCGAGACACTAGTGCATGAGGAACGGAATTGCCACGAACAGTCTCATTCCTGCTCTCTCCTTCTCTCGAACCGCGGATAGCAAAGTCTACACTTGTCGCATTACGAAGTTCAGTTTCTACGCGACGCAGTCAGGTCCGGGCCATCGAGTCTTATAACCAGATAGATATAAGAGCTATGGGGATATCAATCTTTCATGCCACGTATCCGCCCCCAACCCAAAAACCGTCTCGCTTTCATTCTCGGAAAGAGATAGGAAGGCATGATATGCAAAACTCGCTCAAACGTATAACTGAACTTCCACTCACTTCACCTTCGCCGCCGCCGCCCCGCCCAGCTTATGCTCAAACCTCCTCCTCCAACTCTCGCTCACCCAATCCTTAAACTTCTCCCACCGATTGCGATTCAAATGATTCGACAAGCGGCGGAAATTGTACATTTCGCCCCAGCAGTCGCGGCCCCACTCGCAGCCGGCCATGTTGACGATGAAATCGCGCTCCTTCTCCTGGTAATGGATGCCCTGCAGCCCGCACTCCCACTTCGCCAGATCGGCCATTTCAATCGCCGCGCCAGGCTTGATGAGAGATCTGCAGCCGCCCTCGGGGATGCCGCGGTCGTCGCCGCAGGCGCCGTTGGGGAAGGCGTTGACGAGGCGCTGTGGGACGAAGGCCACGTGCGGTCGCATGCCCGGCTGGTTGGTGTAGATGTACTCCAGCGCGTCTTGCTCCTTGTGCTCCCACTCCATGTGGCGCTGTTCGTAGAAGACCGGGTCCCACCAGATGTCGAGCAGCTGGTCGGTCCAGGCGGAGCGGCGGACGAAGAAGCTGCCGAGGTTGAAGCCGCCGCAGTCCTGCGAGATGAGCAGGTTGATGCTTTCGGGTTTGCCGTCGCCGACGGCGGAGCGCGAGATGGGGTCGAGGTAGTTTGTGAAGGCGGGATTGTCTTTGGTCGGGTCTGGCGGGTGGGAGATGTTGAGGGGGTTGTAGAGGTTAATGTCGCGGTAGGTGTTGGTCGCGAGGTCGTTGAAGAGGTGCGCTTGCAGGGACACGCTGGGCTCCATGATGAAGCTGTTGAGGTCGAGCCACCAGAACCATTCGGCGTTGGGGTACTTTCGCATCGAGTTGCGCACTATGTCCACCTTCTCCCAGCTCTCGCGCCATTCGTGCGCGTAGCGCTTTTTCGTCGCCAGGTCGACGATTTCCAGCTCGTAGCCCCATTCGGCGGCGTAGCGCTTTTTGTTGCGCACACTGTCGCGCTCGATGGCCCATTCTCGCGGCCCTTTCCACTCCATCACCCCACCCCCTTGATTTGCTCCTAGGATGATGACAAAGTTGCTGCCGCCGCCGAGGGAAGGATGTCGGCGGTACCAATGGCGTAACGCTGGAAAGATTGCATCATTAGTACTTGGCTACTGCCCACGGGTGGAATGCGCCATGCTTACTCGGATTGTTAAACAACACCACGCCCAACACAAACAGCAACACCATCATCACATACTTCTTCCTCCGCAGCAAAAGTAGGCCAATGAGTCGTGGCAGCTCCTTCAAGTCGCGCAGAGTCCAACGTTGCCATGGCTTGCGACCCGGTATCCGACCCCGACCAAGCTTCTCTTTCTCCGCATATCGATCTTCTGTCGCTGGCCGGGAAAAGATGGGCAAGCCAGAGGAGAAGTTCCGAATGTGGCGCGCCAGGAACCCGCGATTCGATGGCTGTTGTTTGGGCCGATAGCTGTTCACCTTTGCACTGCTCGCCTTTGCACTCTCCCATGTGACCGGGCCTCCGTTCAACTCGCCATAGTTTGGTTTCGAAGGGCTCGTGGATCGCGCGGAGCGTCGATCTACCGGCGTGGTGGAGCCCAGGCCGGGAGAGGCCCAGCCGCCCCCCGGCAATGGGCTCGGGGGTTGGTCGAGCGACATGTGCTGATGGCGCTCCCCCTCCGCCTCCTCCACGAAAGACTTGTTGGCGAAATTCGAGTCGAAGCGGTGGGTGTACCTGAGGCTGTCGGAGCGAGGAGGATTCACGGGGTGGTGGGTATGAAGGGGATCATGGACACCCCTGCTGTTGGTTCGACGGCGATGACGAGTGGTTGATGAGACTGTGGCCTCTGCCCAGGCGGGTTGGTACGCCACTTTTTGCGAGGTTGTTGAGCTTCTTTTGCGGGCCGACGCCTGGCTCTTCCCAATGGCGGCAGTGCCGATGCGCGGCTTGGGAGGAAGTCGGGTTGTCGAGGGATGAGGTGGAGGTGGCAGAAAGGGTGGGGAGGTGCCACGCCGGGGTGGAATGCGGGAGACAGCTGTTTCCAAGCCCGTCTTCTGCACGTGAGACTTGGCGCAGAAGGGCGGCGGAGAGAAAGGGGCGAGATGGAGCGAGATGAGGAGGAGAACGAAGGGATGTCGAAGAGGTGTGGTGCAGAGGCAATGCTCGCACAGGTGAGGTGGTACAGGACGATGCGGCCGGGCAGGGATGTCGTACACCACCCTTAAGCTTTCCTTGGCCGCGGAGGTCAGGCTGCGCGTTCAATGGTTGGCTGCAAAGGGGTTGGTTGATTGAGTAGATTGTGACACCAGATAAGGTTGGAGGAGATGAAGGTGAAGATGGAAAGAGGAGTGCCTGTCTGTCGTTCGTTCTTTCCCTATACTGTGCCTGTCAGACCTTCCCCTCCCTTTAACAAATTCCCATGTTGAATTTCCACATCGGGCAGTTCGTTGATTAAGGGCGTCTAGCGCGGCGAGGTTTGCGCGGCGACTTGCGAATTATCGACTCCACGTCCCCACGGATGGAGATTAGCTCCACGCCACGTCGCCTATTGCGGAGTTGCTCTCCCGTTGCTATTCATCCAGACTGAATGTGTCTATTCCAGGGGCTGACTACGCACGTAAGGCCTATAGCATCGGACTCTGGGCAGATCTTACAACATACACGATACGTCTCCTCGACACGCTCGAAACCAGTTATCTTCCGTTCCCACACTGATCAACAAGACTATGTGTGGCTCTGCGAAATCGCTTCGCGGGATCCGGCAACTCTCTTTGACAGCCGCGGAATGGGAGCAATAACCTTTCTCTTCCATCCCATCTCCAACACGGACAGCCTGTTCTTCACAAATAAAGCACCGTCATGCCTATCCTCCGCCGCTCGATCACCACAGGATTCACTTGTCAGCAAATGTCCGAACGCCGCCCTTCAACGCTGACTTTACACGCCTAAAATCCCGCTTCCCTTTTGCTTGATCAAATCAGTGATCGATTGATTTATATCCTCATTGTTCCCTGTAAGCAAGTTCTATTTCCCGGCATACATCTACTTCACCGTTCCTCGACGAGAAGCATTTCACTCTGCAGCTATCTCGATGATCACCTTCTTGGCCGACACTCCCTTTCTGACCATGTCAATGCCCTCCTGCACTTTCGACAGCCCACCTTGAATGATGAGCGGGTCCGGTTTGGCTTGAAATATGCCTGCGTCCAAAGCCTTGGGAAGGTATTGATGCCAGATTGCTTCGCACACTCCTGGCGCCTCGGTGACGAGCCATGCGGCGACCACTGCCCAGGGGGAGAGTTATCAGCGCTTCCATTCAACTGGGACATATGTCTATCCGCATCCTTACCAAACATCGCCTCAACTCCCTGGGGGAATGGCACAAGGGGTGGCAGGAGAAGTGCCAGCTTCCCGCCTCCAATGCTGCTCAAGATCTCGCCACAAATCGCTTGCGTCGACGAAGTAGCAATGCAATCAATCACAACATCGCCCCTCCGAAGTACCTTTCCGATCTGCTCCCGAACATCTGGAGCTGCTCGATCGAACGTATAGGCAGCCCCGAGCTCCCTCACATACTCGAGGTTCTCTCTTCCAGCTGTCGTCACCACCGTCAAACCGGCCGCCACTGCCAGCTGAATGGCACAACTACCGCACGAAGAGCTGCCGCCCCAGATGAGGACCTTTGTGTCGATCGGCTCCGGCCTCGACGATGGCAGTGGGAGCCGCAGCTTGTGGAACAGAGCGTTGGCGGCCGTGGTGACGGCGATTGGCAGCACTGCGGCGTTTGCCAGGGGAAGACGGTCGGGAATTGCGGCCACCAGAATGGTTTTGCACGTCACGTAGCGCTGAAAGCCGGAATACTCGGGCTGGATGAGTTAGTGGTGTCTTGTCATCCGCCACTCGAAGATCGTATACCTTCTGCGTAAGAAGCGGGAGACAGTTACTAAGGAGCAACATCAGCAATCCCGCATAGCGTGGGACGGGTCAAAGTCACACCCACGCCATAACCCGCTGTCCAATACTGAAACCAGTCACACCTGGACCGAGTTGTACGATGATCCCAGCAACATCTAGGCCCGAGATCCAAGGATACGGAATCTCAAGATATGGAGCGTCTTGCATCATGTGGTCCGAAGGGTTTATAGCGGCGTAGGCGACCTTGATCACGACTTCATCGGCGCCTGGTTTGGGCATCGGGGCTGGACCGACGACGAGAGGGTAGGCTTTTTCTGTTTCGTGCCATGCGGCTTCGTTGTCGTGCTTAGTTGACATGACGGAAGTCGATGTAGATAGATAGCAGGAGGAAGAAGATGAGAAAACGATGTGCTGAAGCAGATATGAGTTTTGCATTGCGTTCCATGCCCCATATATATACGATTTCCAGGTGACATAGTGCTCATGCCGCACACGCTTCTTGCCTTACGTTGTTTCACGGTGTTCCGTTGTCAATCGACAATCGGCAAGGAGTAGAAGAGAGGTTGCGAGTTCGCAGCCAATGAGACGCCTGCGGTGACACGGAATTCCGTGGCATGCAGCTCCACAGCCTTCAGCTGCTTACGAACACGCCATGACGATTCCCTCCCACGCATTCTACATCTCATGGCAGTGCATTTGCACTCCACGTATCGAGGGGTAAAATACTCGGCCTGCGAATGTCCACCTCGTGCCCATGGCCTGTGCTCCGATTCGGCGCCTCGCAGTGTGGGCATCCGCACGAGTGATCAGCTTGCAATAACGTAGCGACAAGCAGACTCGACTTCCTGTCCTCCGGCCACATCCAGACGATATGTCCTCTCAATTGAGCTGTGGAATCTGCAACAAGACCTTCACCAAACGTAACTCAGCATCTAGACCTTTCAAAGAGCATCAGCTAACGCATCTCCCAGGCCAATCGCAAATCCGACATACCAGCTATTGTCGCCGGAAACTGCGCGATCCGTTGCCGCCTAGAAAGAAGTCTTGCTCGCGATGCATACTCGCCAAAACCTCTTGCGACAAGGCAAGGCCGGCGTGCTCGCGATGTGTCAAGTTTGGTCGGGACTGCCATTACGAGCTGGCTGTGCGGAGTGTACTGCCATCGCCGAGCGATGGGTGTAAAGATTTCTTTTCCGATGAGACATCTTTCTCTGCTCTTCAGCCGTCTTTCTGGCCTCCAGTTCCGATTGAAGATGCATTGCTCATCTCAGATTTTGTACCTACGGCTGCCGCTTTCGACAATCTAGATCTTCGGGGAAACGATTCGACAGTGCTGCCTCCTGGCGATTTGTACAACATGGCTCACAATGAGCTACTGATCGACCAGTACACGATGACTGAGACGAAGACACGGCCTCAGATGCTCGAGATTTCTCGCCTGCCTGGTTTCGACTACAGTCTTTGTGCTGCGCAGCTTGTCCAGCCAAAGCCACTGTACCTTAGCTCAAACCTGCCTGCGCAATTCCTGTTAAGCACTTTGGCGGAATACCCACGTCGCCTGTTGAAGAGCCGCGCTCCGCCCTTTATTCATCAGCACGTGTCAATGCCGCGCTCGGCATCGGCATGGAACACTACCGCCGGTATACCGCCGCCTAAAATCCTCAGCAGAGGCATCGAGCTCACGCATTTCTGGGCACGAGGACGTAGGGAGGAGGTCTGGCAGCTTGCGCAGCACGAGCTCCTACAGATCCAAAAGGAGGTGAGTAGCGAGTAGCGCGCGCGGAACCCTTGGGCCTCTTGTCCCTAGCTTACTGAAAACAAAGGTCTCAACCTACAACGACGTCAACACCGTCGCCGCCTCCCAAGCAGCCTGCATCTACCTCCTCCTCCGCGTGGAACGGCTAGAATCCGCGCAACCCGCATCACAGTTTGACACTGTACTGCGCCGTGCACTCCTCAGTCTCACGCCTCGCAACAGAGCACTGAAGGAGAAGTATTCCGACGTCCCGTTGTATCCCTCCGCCACTATCGACGACACCACAATCGACTGCCGCCAGACGTGGCAGCTCTGGATCCTCCTCGAATCGCTGCACAGAAGCATTCACACCATCCTCATCGTCGACTGCATCGCGCAGTGCATATCGGAGCATAACAAAGTAGGCTGCGCGACTGAGCACGATTGGTTTGGCGTGCGTCTGCCGTGCTCAAGGTATCTGTGGGAAGCGAGGAGTCCGGCGGAGTGGATGGAGGCGTGCGAAGAGTGGAGAGAAGAGCCGACTCTGACATTTGGAGATCTAGTCTGGAGCTCTCAGGCACAGGAAGGGAGGCATAAGAGGGCTTTGGAGAGATGGATGGGTGAGGCGGACGAGTTGGGGACGTTATTGGTCACTGTTGCCGGCGTTTTGGAGGCAAAGTGGAGGGGTTAGGGCGTTCTTCTGGCTGATCTCACGCCTTGGCTCCAGTCTCTGACAACTCGGGATCCCAATACCCACGGGGCCCACTAATGCCGAGAGCACGCCACGGGCGACAGTGATCCGACGCAAGGGGGCACCGAAAACGGTGGCTTGGTTGACTGTATGGCGCATCTCCGACAAACTCCCTGGCCATGGATGCCTATCTCACTTCCACCTTGTGGGCATGTAACGCGAGGGGCCAAACGAGAAGTGACAAATGGGCGACAATCTGCGACGCAAGGGACGTGTGGAAAATGGAAGGTATCTGGCTGCCTGGATCATCTCCGAGAAAGTTACTTGCCATGGATGCCCGTCTCTCTTTCACCTCATGTGCGTGTTATGCGACAGGGGTAGAGAGAAGTGGCAAATGGGCGACAATCTGCAATATAAAGGAGCTTCGGAAAATGGAAGGTGTTTGGCTACTTGGGGCATCTCCGAGGAGCTCACTTGCCATGGATGGCCATGTCACTTTCAACTCGTGGGCGTTTTGAACGAGAGGAGTAAAGAGAAGCGACAAATGGGAGACAATCTCCGAAACAAGGGAGCCGCGAAAAATGGAAGGTATCTGGCTGCTTACCGCATCCCCAACAAAGCCATTGACTATGGATACCCGTCTCACTTTCACCCCAAGGGCTCTTGGAGCGAGGAAGGGTAAAAGAGAAGTGACAAATGGGCGACGAGGTTGATTCGAAAAACGCGTTATTGCGGGAGAAGGGACTCGGGATTGAAAGATTTCTATGCTACACCACTGGCCTGCTCGCACCTATCTCACCCGCACACACCCTCCCCCACCACCCCCCAACCGCTGTCATCCCACCCTTTCACCATGACCTATCTCGCTGAGAGCTGACACCCTGGCTAGTTCCTACCGAAAGGGATCGCCTGACACGCGGTCCTTCCACACGGGCAACGGAGGCAATCTCGGCCAAATCAATGCGCTCCGTCACCATGAAGCGAACGGAACACACGCCTGTTGCCTCCGCCGCGTCGGGGAAGAACCCAAGATCCAGCAGTAGCATTTGCGCCGTCTCAGGCATGGGCTCCCATAAGACCACGCGCGAGTGACGGCCGAAATCCATACGGTATAACACCCTCCCGAGGTCCTCGCGCTCCGATGTGAAGTAGAGCCAGTGCAAGCGACAGCGATTGACGAGGCCGATGGCGCGGAGCCATTCGCTCACGATGTTCATGTCGAGCCAGTCGTCGTGGATCACAAAGCCGTTTTGCTCGTAGAATGCGGGAAGCAGGGTGGCGCGGAAGCTCTTGTTCACACGCGTCATGGCGGGCTGGGCGAGCAAGGCGGGCATGTTGCTGTATTCCTTGGAGCTCGGGTGGAAGAGCTGGATGGGCTCTGGGTTGACGACGGCGAAGTAGCCGATTCTGAGCACGAGCTCCAGGGGAAGGCCGGCGAAGCAATCGTGAAGAGACTGGAGGTGATGAGTACGTTGGATGGATGATGTTGGAGACGCGTGTGGGTGGCTTACCTCTGTCGAAGACGTGTCGTGAGCACCAAGCTCGCGTGGAAGCGCGAAGATGTTCTCAGCCACCTCGATGTCCGCCGTCGTGCATGAGGACACGCGGCCCTCCGCACAGATGACCCCGTCGGAATCTTGGTCGACATCTTCCTTGGGCTGCTTGTTTTGATCCATGAGCTCCACCAGCTTCATGCGCTTCTCCAGCATCTGGATAGGTTGGTCAGTGAGCTGAGTCCGTGGAATGTGATGCGTTTGAGCGAATCACCTCTCTCGAAAACGCGTCGATCTTGTACGTATGAGCCTCGACTGCTAACACCAGCGGGGCGAAAGGACCCTCGGGGATCGCCTCCCCCGTGGACGGCGGGATGGCGTGATACACAGGGACATCGTTCCATCGGAACGCCATTGCGTGATACCCGCGGAAGCGAACGCTGAACATGTTGGATGAAGTTGTAAGAGCCGGATGAAGGTGGAAGGGCTGAATGAAGGTGGAAGAGCTGGATGAAGGTGGAAGAGCTGGAAGGAGGTGGAAGACGCGTGGAAGAAGCTGGCAACCAAACTGGAAAGGAGAAAGTTGAGTCTGCGCTTTCAGGGGGCCACACAACAATATTGCAGCATGACTCAGCCTGTACCACCAGCATATGAGTGCAGTATGACGTTGCGGTTGCTATGGGAAGGCGCGAATTCACTTCAAGGAGTACGTTCTACCATCCGACTCAACGATCTCCACGGCCAGGGTCGATAACCACGGCCACAACGCGTCTCTTCGGCCCCAAACCACCACCTCGTCATTGCTCGTACCTCAGTCCCTATCAAGCACCCTCCTTCTCATCATCCGCCACCTCAGCATCCTCCTCACTCGTCGTCTCCTCCATCAAGCGCTTGAGGTTGAGCAGGACAGCCCTGTCCGCCTTCTTCTTCGCCTCCTCCTCCTTAGCCCTCTCCTCCACCGTCTTCTCGACCTTCTTCTTCACGTCGCGTTTCGCCGATCCCTTTTCGTGAAACAAGCTGCCCTCCGACGCATCCTGTTCCTTCAAAACATCCTCCAGTCTCGCAGTCAACTCCTCCGCGTGGTTCTTGGGCATGAACTCATAGTACTGATCACCGCTTCCTCCACTCGACGCGTCGTAAGGCAGATCGTCAAAGTCCTCTTGGAAGAGCTGCCTTTGCTTGCCGCCCGTACGACGCGAGCTCTCAGGAGCAGCGCGGCCTTTGCCTTTGTCTTTGCTTGGACGCGTGGTGTCGGAAGGAGGCTCGGCGGTGTAGTCAGTCTTGGCCTTCTTCGCGGGATGGTTCTTGATCGCTGTTTGTGAAGGTTGTTGCTCGTCTTCTTGCTCTGAGAGAGCCCTGGCTTTCCCCTTTTTCGTTGTCTTCGACGAAGACGCGTGAGCGTGTGAACGGGGAGGCATGACGGCAGAAGTTGCGTTGATGATGGCCTTGAAACCGAGTAATGTGGGAGGAAGACTTTGTTGATGTTTCAAGTCTTGTCGAGGAGAGATGTCTAGCGTTGATATTTGATGGTCGCACAAAAGCGAGCGCGAGTCCTCAGCACGGTGACGTCCCTTGAACTGAAAGCCACGGCCGCCTAGTCGTGAATGCGACGTGGCGAGCGCGCCTACTTTATCGAACAAACCCGCTTATACCACTTGTGACACGCGAGACCCTTCTCAAAGTCACCACTCGCCCTCCTCCTCAACCCAGCCAACAGCCCAATCGTCCTCCGTTTTCTGCATGAGCGCCAAAGCCAAGTTCAGATCCAACGAACCATCGTCATCCTCGACCTCACGAACGATCCCCATGCGTTGCAACAACTTTTTCACCTCCGCCTGCCACGTAGTCCGCTCCGGAAAGCTCAGGTGATGAAGATCACCATCCATCCCGGCCGACAGATTGCCACCCCTGCCCAGATTATAGCCAAGATGCACGTTCACCGCGAGCACCAGCAGAACGGAGGCGTTCCAAGAACCGCGCACGTACATCTGCATCAAATGCACGCGATTATGTTGGCCGATGGCGCGCAGCCAGAGCACCAGATGCGTCGGCATGGCGTAGCTTTCGTTCACGATGAAGACCGTGGTGTTGTAGAATCGAGGCAAGACGAACGCACGAAGTTGGCGGCACGCGCGGGACAAGCATGGCTGCTTTACGTCGGCTTGGTTGATGCTGGGAGTGAGCGTCCTGAAGAGGTGGATGGGCTCTCTTTGCCCGAAGGTCAAGTCGCAGATGTAGAGCAACAGCTCGGCGGGCAGGCCTAGCAGGCCGCGAGGGTGCTGCTGCGCTGGCTGTGTCTGCTTAGCCTTTCGTACAAAGTGGAAATTGTGGTGCAAGCATACCTTATCCTGGCCGTGGACCGGCATGGTCTCTGCCATTATGCCGAATATCTCCCCGAGTCGCAGCGATGTCTGCTCTGTTGTAGGAGTCGATGTGGGAATACGAGAGATGAAGTTGGGAAAAAGACTGCAATCAAGTACCTACCGTATTGTGTGGCTCATACTTCATGGGTCCAACCGTTCTTCGAGCCTACTTACAGACGCGGCGCGTAGTCTCCAGTCGGAAGTATAGGTCAGCAAAGATGGAACCCGGTATTGAACATTCATTAGACGAACGAGTGGCGACTGGGAAGGAGACCCGTAAACGACGATCAAGTGTCCACGATCTGATGAAGCAGACTCGAAAGACGTAGCCTATGCTACCAAAAAGAAAGGACCTCGAGAGGTCTACGTCGCTTCGTGGACTCGAGTCTTCGAGAGACATTTCGCGTCTTCCTAGGAGAAGACTATACTGTGATGATGAAGGACTGGGATATGGCCAAATGATTTCTGGCGGCACATCTAATAGACTGTCGAGCGAGTGAAGTACAAAGAATGTGAAGGCAAAGTCAGCGCGCTTCATCAGGCACCAACCCGTTTCCAGCCAATAGAAATCCTTTGATCGCGTGGTCACGCTTCAATCTCGCGTTTGGGGCAAGTTCGATGATCTCATCTTTCCCTTCCTTCTTCGAGGACTTCGAGATGGACACGAGCGACTTGTAATGTTTCGCAAGCCTCGCCAGACAACCCCGCGCGCCTCAAACAATGAAGTCCCGGACGTTGGGCGTCCTCCAACACCGCCACTGACGCCGGCAAAGTCGCCATTCACTCTCGCCATCCCTCCGACTGTACCTGCACCCAAGATGGCGGCGTCGAAGAGCAAGTCGAACAAGGCGGCGCCGATGCCAGTGATAGGGCGGCAGGGACATATTGGCAGTGCGAAGAAGCCTACTGCTGCTTCAAAAGTCAAGGACAAGGGGAATGCGAACATCACCAGCTTCTTCAAGAAGTCCGAGCAGGATGCGGCGGCGTTGTTTGTGCAGGAGAAGGGTGGCCAAACCGGGCTCGCTGACGACATTGAGAACTATGGGCCTCCTGATGATGTGACCATCCATCAAGACCGTTTGGAGAAATCGGGCGACGAGGAGCGGTACCATGAGAGTGGCGGCTCGGTGAAGAGGCGCAAGCTTTCTGATGCTGGAATGAATGCCGAGCCTCGCAGTTCAGCTCCGGCGACCACTGGTACGAATGGCGACAGTACCCCGACAGATGGGCGGACGAGAAGGGGACCTTTCTTTGAAGAGTCCGACAGCGAACAGGATGAAGAGCAGCCCGAAGCAGTGATTGGAATTGATGCAACGATAGAAGACGGTGATCAACCTCCAGCCATGACTGCGGGACTCTCTCACCACCAAGAGGAAGTAGCGCTTGATCCACCTGAACAGGAGAGCGATCGTCGACCCGCTCTTGTGAGGGATGAAACCAGCTTCGGACCAGATCTGGACGATTTCAAAGACTTTGAGGGCATGGATGACTTTGACGAGGATCTCTTTGAGGAAGGCGACGAATACCTCGAACGGAGGTATATGGAGGAGCAGGCTTTGCTTGAAGCAGATGATAATGAAGGAGACGACGGTGCCTTCCGACCCGCAGACGCATCCTTCGCCAACGTCAGCGACCAGGCGGGATCTTCAGACAACGGACCAGCTTGTCCGATCTGCAGTATCAGCTTAAAAGGGATCAACGAGCAAGATGCCGGCGTGCACGTCAACAATTGCCTCGATGGAAATCCTACTCCCCTGCCCGAGCCAAAAATCCCACAACCACCACCTCCAGTTGAGGCTACCACGAAACCGGAGGCTGGCATTGCCCACCCAAATCAGTTTCGAAAACCGAATCGCGCACCAAAGCCTGGTCAAGCGAGTCCCTTTACCTTTGGCCAGCAAGCGGGCAGCGGCGGATCAGCGTTTAACAAACTCATGTCCGGCCATGCCGAAGATGCCGCGTGGGCAGAGGCCGCCGCCTCCGAACACGCATCTCGGGGAAAGCCTTCTTACCAGCGTACCTGCCCTTTCTACAAGATCTTGCCGGGACTGTTCATCTGCGTGGACGCTTTCAGATATGGGGCCGTGGAGGGATGTCAGGCCTACTTCCTGAGCCATTTTCACAGCGATCATTATGTCGGTTTGACGAGTAGCTGGAGCCACGGGCCAATCTACTGCTCCAAAGTCACGGCAAATCTTGTCAGACAACAGCTGAGGGTGGACCCCAAGTACGTTGTGGGTTTGGAGTTTGAGCAGACGGTCGACGTGCCTGGCACCAAAGGGGTTAAGATGACGATGATCTCTGCCAATCACTGTCCGGGAAGCTCGTTGTTTCTCTTCGAAAAGGTGGTTGGCAAGAAGACGAACGGTGAGCCCAGACTTCAGCGCATCTTACACTGCGGTGACTTCCGAGCGTGTCGAATGCACGTTCAGCATCCCCTGTTGATCCCTGATGTCCAAGACCAACTCTCTGGCAAAAGTAAAGAGCAGAAGATCGACGTCTGCTACCTCGACACCACCTATCTGAACCCAAAATACTCGTTTCCGAGTCAGGAGAATGTCATCAAGGCTTGCGCGGACATGTGCGTCAGCTTAAGCAAGCACAGCGTCGACGATAGCGACGGCTGGGAGCAGATGAAAAAGCAACGCGCAGGTGAGGGCATGGCCAAGTTCATTCGCAAGGAATCACAACCAGAGATCAAGCAAGAGCCCGCAGACGAAGGCGAGATGGAGGACTTGAAACTTGGCAAGAATCCCCACGGTAGCCAACAAGTGTTGTCCACTCTCGCCACCCCCAACGTCGAAAAAGGCCGCGGCAGACTGCTCGTCATAGTCGGCACCTATAGCATAGGTAAAGAGCGCATCTGTCTGGGCATCGCCAGAGCACTGAACTCGAAGATCTACGCTCCGCCCACGAAACAACGCATCGTCGCCGCACTTGAGGACCCCGAGCTGGACGCCCTCATGACCAGTGATCCACGCGCCGCGCAGGTGCACATGACTCCCCTCTTCGAAATCCGCGCCGACACTCTCGACGACTACTTGAAAGACTACTTCCCACACTTTACGCGCGCCGTCGGTTTCCGCCCCAGCGGCTGGAACTACCGACCCCCGACGTCGCGCTTCACGGACTCACCCACAGTGCAGACGGTGCTGCACAGCGAGAACTGGAAGAGCGGCTTCAGCATGCGCGACCTTGTACCGCAGCGGGGCTCGACGAGTCGCGCGTCGTGCTTCGGCGTGCCGTATTCGGAGCACAGCTCTTTCCGCGAATTGACGATGTTTTGCTGCGCGCTGCGGATTGAGAAGATCATTCCGACGGTCAACGTGGGGAGCAAGAAGGGTCGGGAGCGGATGAAGTGGTGGTGTGAGAGGTGGTTGGCGGAGAGGCGGAAGAATGGGCTGTATAAATTGCCCGAGGATGGGAGCTGGTGATAGGGCTGAGCGCACGTGCGAGGTGGATCAGGCTCTAAAAGGCGGAGGTTTAATCTCGCCCCGGCGCCAACCTTACCGCATTCAGCACAAGGCTGCTCACGCTTGAAACCAATCCCGCAACCTTCTCTCAGCCCCGGCGGCCCTGGCCCATCTCCTTCAAGAAATGGATCGTCGTTGATCCCAGTAACGCTCACTGCCGCCTGCCAACGGCCTGCCAGCCCTACCCCAGCCGCTACGGTATGGGCCGTCTATACATAGCCATGGCACGCACCTACCTTTCCTTCTTCCTGTCCTTCTCCTCCTCCTCCTCCTCCGCCTCTCTGCGCGGTGCTGCTATTCCCTTCCACCAGTCACCATGTCTCATCTCCGCCTGCATCTCCTCCCCACCTCCCTCCTCACCCTCCTCCTAACTTTCGCGCCCCTCCGCACCCACGCGAGTTGCTATGTCGCAGCGTACGGCGTGATAGGCGAACAAGGCTGGGACGCTTGCCCGGGCACCGCAGTCTCCGGCGGTATCGAAACGTGCTGTCTCCCAGGCTCGCAATGCGGCGAGGACTCGCTGTGTCGCGTGCCGGCGTCCGAGAACCCGGGCACGAACGCGTACTATCTGGCCGGGTGCACGGATTCGACGTATTCGAACTCGGTGTGTAATAAGGCTTGTGGTGAGTTGGATGCTGTGTGGGGTTGAAGTGGTGTGACTGTGGCTCACAACTTGCTAGTGGACTTCACTACTACGTATGTGCAGTACGAGCCCGCGTCGGGAGTCTGGATGTGCTGTGGAGACGGAGGGTGCAATGGCACAGTGACGGACGCGACGTTCGCGGGCGTGGCGCCGGCGAATTGGCAGGTGATTACAGGCGATAGCAGCACTACGCCCTCGACTCCGACTCCTACGCCGAGTCCTACCACTCCCTCGACTCCCAATCCGCCTGGAGAGAAGACGACATCCAGCGTCTCCTCTGCCTCGTCTTCCTCTACAACCAGTGCACCCCTCGGCCCCGCCGGCGCAGTAACAACATCCATCTCCTCAGCAGACTTCAAACCAACGCCTCTCTCCTCCATCCAAACTTCCAGCACAACAAGCACCGCCGCAGCAGGAAGCACAGCCACAGCAAGCACTTCAAACTCCGCCAGTAACAACCTGCACAACCCCTCCTCCAGCTCCGGTCTCAGCACAGGCGCCAAAGCAGGCATAGGCGTCGCTATTGCCCTCGGGGCCCTCGCGTTCGGCGCCGCGATCGTGGCTATAGTCATGTTCCGGCGACGGGCCAGACGAGGCGTGAGGGAGATGGCGGTGGCGGAGAAGAGTACGCTCATGGCGCCCGGATCGGCGGGGAGTCCGCCGCCCCCGGGGTATCATGATGTGGCGGAGTTGAGTAGTGCGCCTGCTAGTCGGCGGGAGCCTGAGCCTTGGCGGCCAGCGGCGAGGGGCGAAGAGAGGCACGGAAGGGTGGAGTATCTCACGGAACTGCCGAGTAAAATGCCTGTTTACGAGCTTGGGGCGTAAGAACGGTATTTAGAGATTGGGTGGATAAGTGAATCGTATTTCACGAACTACGTCCTATTCTTGCACGCATTCGAGCCAGGCAAAGACACTTATCGCCAACTACTCTCATCCGGATACCGCCTCCCATCAACCCCCGATGCAAATCGTGTCTGCTTCTTCCCTTTCGCAGGCGCCGCACCAGAAGCAGCACTAGGACCAGCAGCAGCACCACTCTCTCCACTCCCTTCGTACCCGCCTCCACTCAAATCACTCCCACTCACGCGTCCACTACGCCTGCGCTCGCGATTCGGCAACGGGGAGTCAGGTGGGAAGAAGCCTGCGTTAGAAGTCGGGTAGGGAGGGGCATCCGAGGATCCGCGGCGGGAGTTGCGCGAGGCCGTAGTGTTTCCCAAAGGCGGTGGATCTCGCTGCTGCTGCTGGGATGGGCCAGAGCGAGGCGATGCCCTGCCGCCGTTGTCGTCATATGGTCGACGCGGCGAGTCGTATCTGCGGCGTTCGCGGTCGCCGGAGCGTCTGTCGTACTCGCCAGAGCGTCTATCGTTGTTGCGGCTGCGGGGCCTGTCGTTGTGAGTACTGCGGGGTCGGTCATTGTTGCTACTACGCGGTCTGTCGTTGTTGCCGCTGCGAGGCCGGTCGTTATTCCGGCTTCGAGGTCGGAAGGGCGAAGGTCCGGGGGAGTCACGGGAAGTGCGGGGATCGCGGCGAGGACTACCAGGCCGTCCTGCTCCCGGGTTTCGACGGAACTCAGGAGACGTGCGCGGCGGCGGGTAGTCGGCGGCTGTTCGTGCGGTGTACATGGGTTGGGGCTGTTTGGCGACGTGAGAAGCGAAGAGCGGGCTGGCAGACGGCGCGAAGCTGGGACCGATGCCGTTGGGTGTGATGGCTGTGCCTTGCGGATTAGGGTCGTCGTAGTCCTGGAAGTAGTCGGTGATTTCTTTCTGGCTAGGTGTGGGCTCGTGGCTCCTGCTCTGGCGGAGTGTGGGTTCCAGATCTTCGTCGTGATGGCGATGGCGCGGAGGTCCCTCGACGCCGTCGCCATTTCGTCCGTCGTCCCCCGGCGCCGTGTCGGAGCCTCCGTACTGTCCGCTTCGCACGCGTCGATGATGCGCGGACGGCGTGCGGGCATCGGCTCTCATCGAAGATCGGTCTGCAGATTGGTGAAACTTGTCACTGGGAAGACTACTCCTCCGCCTGTGGTCTTTGCTGTGATCTCGGCTTTCGCTCTTGCTACCCCTTCTGCCATCCCAAAGATGCGGGCTCCCGATATTTCTGATAACCTCCTTCATCGTGGTCGCGCCCTCCTTCGCCTTGTCTTTCATCGAGCTCCTCCTAGGACTTAGCTGGGGGCGTTTGCCGCCACGCTGCACGATGGTCGGCCGGCCATCCTGACGGTACAGCGGGTTGCGGAAGTAGGCCATGGCGGGGCCTCTGGAATCCACGGACTCGTTGTCATCCGCATCCTCTCGACGTTTTCGGTACTGGATTCGTCTGACTTCGGCTTGTTCAGCTTCTACATGCCGTTGCTGCTCCTCCTCTTCCGCCTCTTTTCTCAAGCGCTCCGAGACACCATGATACCATGCGACCATGTGCTTGTCCGGCTCCAGTGGGAAACATTGTCGCGGGAGAAGCTTGGGAAAGAACTCCCCCGTGCTGGGATCCGTGATATTCCATTTTTGCACCGCCTCTCGTAAGAAGCCGGAGTGCTCTTCGGGGCCCAGGAGTATTTGGATGGTCTGCCACATGATCCAGCCCTCGGTTTTCAGCGCGGGTACAGTGGGGTTGGTGAAGGCGGTGGACTGAGGGAGAGGTTGCAGAGAATGCAAGCAGCCGAGAGACTTGTAGATGAAGGCGATGCTCTCGCTCGGGGTGCCGAGGAAGAGTTGATCGTAGTTGCCGTCGAGCTCGCGGTAGAAGTGGGCGAGTTGGATGGGGGTTAGATCATTGCAGTCGGAGGGCTCGTAGTGTACACGCTGGGCATTTTTCCTTAGCGACGACGATCGCGCGACATTAGCAAGGCGTATCACGCACCATCAAATCTTTCAGGCCTCGCAGGAGATTCTTCAATTTGTCGGTGCCAGTCTTGTCCGGCTTGAACAGATAGCCCCAATACTCGTACGCTTCGCGCTCTTCCACACTGAAGTCGAGATGGGTTTCTGCATTGTTGCTGGGTGTATTCAGCGCCGGTTGCGTGGCGGCAGTCTTGTCGTTGTCATTCATGGCGGCGAGTGGAGTGGAGCAGGTCGTCGACAGCTATCATGGGGTTGCTTTCCAGAGCGGTGAAGGTTGAAGGGAGAAGAGGGAAGGGTGCGCGGCGAGGGGAGCTCACGCGGGCAGCCAGAGTGACTGCAGGCGCCACGACTGCGCGACGAAGAGGCGGCGCCGGGTGTGACGGGCGTGAAGAGGGTGAAAGAGAGGGAGAGGTGCAATGGTGTGTTCGTAACACCCGCATTGAAGCTGCACGACGCGCAGCTGCGCTGGACGTCATTGTGGCTGACATAAGCTGTGGCGCGTGGCGGGGAGCATGCGGATGGCGGCAGGTGCTATACGACGAACATTTGCGATGGCAAGTACGAAGGACTCGGAGTGGTGAATGTCGGAGCGGCAACCGATAGAAGGCAACGCTGTTGCAGATGTATAAACTCAAAGGTGAAGAATCAAGAAGGCTGCAACTTGGTCCCAAGCATGCTGAGCAGCGCACACGGCGTCAACCGTGGTTCGCAAGGCGCTACTCGTGTCCCCTCCCCGCTGATGATGATGATGATGAGGTGGAGCTGACCAAATACTTGCAGACCCTTCTAAGGCGCAGACAAAAGAAGGGAGGATGCAGAGTACCGACTGCCTGCCGTCTGCAGTTGGTCGGGTCCATGAGCTCGCAGCAACCGTAACCTCACCTACTTGGTTTCCTCGTAACTTAACGAGTTCCTGTGCTAACCCCGTCTCGTATCAGCGGCCATCCGGCTGACGGCTGGTCTGCCGATCCTTCGGGTTATTCGGCCAGAACAGAAGGATAAGATGCCTGATTTGCGCCCTACTGCGTAGCCAAGACCCGATTCCCCGACGCAGATACGAGGGTGGGTATAGTGGGCATCAAATCTCCTTACTGCAAGGCGCAACGAGGGATGATATAAGACCGTGTCTGCACTTCGCAGGCCCATTTCACTCCCATCTTCTTCCGCATCAATTTATCCTCATCTCGCGCTTACGACATTCTGCCACATCATGTCTTCCATCAAGCCGATCATTGTCTATGGGGAATTCATCACTCCTAATCCCCAGTATATTACACTCTCCCTGATCCCTCTTGACAAAGTTAACCTTCTCGTAGCAAGATCCGCATCATCCTCGAAGAGCTGAACATTCCCTACGAGAACGATGTCGTTGAGGTCCGGGAGGTCAAGGGGGAGCGCTTCATCAACATCAACCCTAATGGTCGCCTTCCCGCCATATACGACCCCAATACCGACGTGACGCTCTGGGAGTCGGCAGCCATCATCACCTACCTCATCGATCAGTACGACACACAGCATCGCCTCAGCTATGCCTCCTCTCCAGAAAAGTACGAGATTCAGCAATGGAATGCCTTCCAGGTCTCAGGTGCGTATCCCGATAGCAGAAAGCGACCATACGGCTGGCGAACTGATTGAGTCCACAGGTCAAGGGCCTTACTACGGCCAAGCTGTCCATTTCAGCGGATTCCATCCCGACAAAGTCCCCATCGCCATCAACCGCTACGACAAAGAAATCGACCGCGTGCGCTCAGTGCTCAACCTCCACCTGACCAGGAAAGCAGCGGCAGCAGGGTCCTCTCCAACCGAAACGTGGCTCGTCGGCGACAAGCTGACCGTCGCCGACTTGTCATGGGTCATGTGGGAGCACGTTGCAGACTTCCTCTTCCGCTTAAAAGGCAGCGACCTCAATCCCCCCGGCAAATATCCGGCCTACGAAGCGTGGATTTCCCGACTTTATGCGAGGCCGGCGTGTAAGAAGGCCATTGATCGACGCGCGGAGGGGTTCAGGAAGGAGGGTGCGATTATTGCGCAATTCATGCGAAAGGACTTTCTCGAACTCGACGGTGCTAAGGCCGAGATGAAGACGTGGGAGCCGGTGAAGTGAGATGCTCCTGTAGATGAGATTTGCCCTATCTGGGTTTCGCTCAGAATGATAGACTAATTGTCGTTTCGCACGTATCTTGACTAATGTGTTGTGCTCGACTCCTGCTTCACCTGGCAAGCCTGCCCCGCAAAGTCGTTTGGCGGGGCGAAGTGAACTGGGTGGGGAGAGCTTCGATGTCAGCTCGTCAACCACTAGAGGCAATCCCCATCTCAGAGCACCCAGCCCATTCCCATTCCCATGCCTCGCCTCTCACAGTCTCATATATGAACAAATCCAAAAGCGCAACCATCATGGCCGTGACCGCCAGTTTCCTCCTCTGCTCCATCCTCCTAATCGCCGGCCTCCTCTCCGCCGAACCCCAGCAACCACAGTCTCCCCTCATAACCATCTTCAACGGCGCCTCAACACAACAACTAGACCTCATCTACGAGTCCGTCTAAACTTGACCACAACCCCAGTACCATTCACCCAATTAACGAAAACAACAGACTCCACAAAGCCGAAATAATCCCCACCGTCCTCGACGAATTCATCCCCCAATACACCATCGACGCCACCTGGTCTGAGAAAAAGAACATCACCGCCGCCTACGGCAACACCCTCCCCGTCTCCGCCACCCAAGAAGCGCCCAAAATCAAGCTCACCCGCAACCAAAACTCCCAATTCGTCTCAAACCCCCGCCCCCAACTAACCCTCATCATCACCGACCCGGACGCCCCAAGCAGAGATAATCCAGAGTGGAGCGAAGTATGCCACTGGATCGTCACATTCCCCACCTCCCGGGCCCCCACAGAACCAAATGTCGAAATCGCCACGGAAGGAGAGGACGTGATGCCGTACAAACCCCCCGGCCCACCGCCTAAGACGGGAAAGCATAGGTACGTGCTTGTGGCGCTTGCGCCGCTGAACCAGACGACGGAGACGCTGGCTCTTACTCCGCCGGGCGAGAGGAAGCGGTGGGGGTATGAGAGGGAGCGGACGGGCTTGAGGAGGTGGATGGGGGAGATGGGGTTGGGGGTTGTTGGTATGTTTCTTTTTTTCCCGTCTTGTCGTGTTGAGTCATGCGGTGGGATTTGCTGATTGATTATTGGTGTTGTAGGGGCAAACTTCATCTACGAGCAGGACGAAGAGCAGTGAGGACTTTTCCAAATCACAACCACCACGACCACCACATCCAACAACGCCAGCGAAATGATACACGTCGGTACGCCGGGGTTTGCGGCGCCACCAGTCGAACATTGTATCCTACCAAATGGGCACAAGTACTCTGGTACAAAACACCACATATGATCGAGCAGTGAGAGATGGAGCCTTCTCGAACGACTAGTTTCTCTGCGATTGCGCGAGAGATACCGAATACCCATCAATGCTTTGTTGCTTTTTTTCCCTTGCTCCGTTCGGGGTATCTCATGACCCACTCTCATCCCATCCTAGCGCTGCCCAGGCCGTGGCCAAAGATCATAAAAATGCACCCAACCGCTCTAGATCATGCCATGCCGTTGCTTCGTGCGTATCCCGTCTTCATGCATCATCCCCTGACGCCAGCATGAGGTGAGAACCTCCCATGCGCAAGCCACGATCCATTCTCAGCCCCTCAAATAGCCCAACTTCCCCTGCGCGCTCCCGTGCCCCAAGTGTTGGCCAAAGGTCCTCCTTCACTGGGACTCCAGTTCTTCTCCTGCTTCGCCCATTCCCGCACATACCGCTTGAGCGCACGCCATCGCATGCAGCTCTCCTCCACCATGCCCTCGCCTCCTCCGCCTTCGAAATCCTGTCCCAGCCGGATATATCCCCTAGGGGCGTTGCGAGCTTTCGTATCGTCCTGGCGTAGCTCTGAGATTGGGATGCGGCTGATTTTGGCGAGCTCTTCGTCAAAGGAGCGGGCGAGAGAGGGGTAGCCGAGGGAGAGGTAGTTGTAGATTTGCGTGATGGCGGAATCGGGAAACTCGTCCTCCATCATGGTGTCGATTTGGTGTTCGGTCACGAGGATGGCATTCAGTTGTTGGAGATTCGTACGGCTGGCGTCTCTGCTGATGGGGGTTCGTGGTGTGATTGTGCCGGCGCCTGCTCCGGTTTTGAGCTGGAAGGGATTGGGAAGTTCGTGTCTTGGAGTCTCCAAGCCCTGTCGTTTGGGCGGAGTGGCGGAACCCCATAGGCCGGGACCATTCTTCTCGTCGTGAACGCAGAACCCTCCCCAAAGTCCCTTAGAAGATGAGGAGGTTGTGCTCGCGACGCTCTTGATCGTGCTGACGCGTTGAGCCTCGGGCTGTCTTGATCGCCAGAGACCTTCATCCTCGCCGGTACGCTGGCGCTCGGCATCCGCTGCGGCGGTGAGATAACACATTTGATCTCGGAGGATGGCCGAGCCCTGAGTCACGTCGAAACGGGCTCGATCGGGTGATGCACATCTCGGGAAGACGAGGTCCGCACCTAACATCGGCGGTCTCGCACGCTCTCGCATCGACTTCAGCTCGGCGTCTAGCTCTGCATCTTTCATGACAGTGTCGAACTTGCCGAATGGTGACGGGCCAGACTTCTTTGCGGTGGACGCGTCAGCGTTACGCTCTTGCTGCCTGATCTCGGCATGCCGTTGCAATTCCCCCTTCTCCCAGGACATCACGGCAGTGCTCTCTCGCCTTGCCATCTCCAACATGTCATCTTCGTTGTCATCCCAAGTGACAGGGCGCTCTTCGATCTCATATACTTCGGAGTCATCGTCCTCGTTGAAGTAGTGGTGTGGATGCTCGTAGCCAAAGTCCGGGTTGGGGTAGGCTGCCAGTGCCTGCTCCTCGAGCCGCTCCTGCGCCTTCTTTCGTTCCAGATCGAGCAGGTAGTGCTGCCAGGTCTCATCAATACTCTCGCGCCGCCTCGTGGCGTGCTTGAACAGCTCGTAAGACGGCGAGACTGTGAGAGGTGAGCCAACATGACCAGGAGTAGCGGGGACGGAGGACACGATGCTATCTTCCTCACTCTCACTACTCTCAATGGTGTCCAGATCGGGTAGGCGGAAGGAATGTCCGCGCTCCGGTTTGAGACAGCTTGATCGTGGTGGGGCGCTGCCGTCTAGAGGAGACATTCGTCTTCGATTCGAGCCGGGTCTGGATGCGGACGATGTGGAGTCGACGTCCATTGCGTCGGGATCTGATTCTTGTTCGCTTGTGGCAACAGGCGTTTCTACTCCGTTGACTCGTCTCCAGTGCTCGTGCGGGTGGGCATGATAGCCGTACTCCGTCCGGTAGTCCTGTGAGAGTGGTGCATTTGGATCACCAGCACGCCGTGACCTAGATGCGGTGTCGAGTAGAATTGGAGTGAACTTGCGAGGGGGCGCCTTTGGCGCTTCTGCATTGGAGGCCGGATCCGCTCGCTTCCCTTTTCTGTTACTGCTGTATGTTGTGGCGATAGGCTCGGGACTGAACTTGACGTGCTGTTTCTTGTCTCCTTTCCCAGACTCGTCAACCAGCTGAGGAGCGAAACGTCTTGGCTTGTGCTTCGCATCCTGGTCAGAGGACTTTTCTTCTGACTCCTCGACCAACTGAGGGGCAAAGCGTCGTGGCTTGGGCTTTTCTTCGGTGTCAGATGATTTCTTCTTCGACTCGTCAACCAGTTGCGGAGCAAAACGCCTTGCCTTGGACTTCGATTCCTCTTCCGATGATTTGGGAAGCGCATGTTTCGCCGATCTAACGGGTAGCTCCATGGGCTCCGGAGCAAAGCGTCGAGGCTTCGCGTGTTCGCCATTGGAAGACGGCGGTGCTGCATCTTTGGAGGACTTGGTGGTTTGCTCGACAGGTTCTGGCGCGAAGCGCCGGGGCTTGGCGGGCTCTGGGCTGGCTTCAGGTGCCTTACGGGAGGACTTGGTGGATTCCTCTACCGGCAGTACTGCGAATTTTCGGTGTGTTGTGGTGGACATGGTGCGCGTTAGCTGGGGCGCATGCCCGGAGAGAAGGGCAATTCTGGCTGATCATAGACTGGGAGGATGCTCGCGGTAAAGGCCGACCAGGCTGTGTAGATGCTTGTCACACGAGCAGGAGTGTGGACTGGTTCAATGAAGGGTGGATGGTGCTTGACACGGTTGCTGTTGCCGTTGTCGTTGTTTGCTCAGACCGATGCAGTCAAGGAAAGGGCGAACACCGGCGTGCAGCAGGTGCTTCACTGAAGAAGCCCTTGGGAAACCGAGGTGTTGAGATTAGTGCTGTGTCATTGAATTAGCGACTTGATCCGACGGAGAAGAACATGGCGAGGCGCGCGTGTGTGTGTGTGTGTGAGATGGTAAGGGGTGTACGGAAGGATGGAGGAAGACAAGTGATGCAGCTATCAAGGGTGAAGCGAGGCGAGGCGAGGTGAGGTGAAGTGAGGTTGCACAGCGCGATGCATCGGGCAGGAGCGCTCAACGGAAGGCGCCGGTTGATTCCGAGCGGATGCACGTACAGGGAAGGTGCCAGGATGACATAAGCCTGGCACGCCGTAGTACTGACAGGCCAGTGTTTGTATAGCGAAGGAGATGATATCCAAAGATCACATCGAGGTGCTTTCCACAATTGAAGCCGAGAAAGGGCAGAGTGGAGTTCGCGAAGTCGAGGATGACGATGATGCACGTGGCGGGAGGGTGTGAAATTGACTTTCGCCTTTTCGTTGCGCACCACACCCTCACGGTCCACCGGAGCCCAGACCTACAAAGTACATGCATCCTTCCTCCTCCGTACCTACCGCACCTACTCTGCAAGGCCGCCGGGAGAAGCGACTGTCGCCACTGGCAGGATGCATGATGCACCTTCCCCGTAACCCCAGACTCCGCATCCCCAGTATGGTGATGCGCGGATCGACCCCCGTCCCCATCCGCGCTCGGGAAAATCCGGAGCGTCTGACCTCACTGCACCCCAGGCCCTGGAGACGGGAGGCTGACTACATTCCGTTCATCCAGCGGCCTGCATATGTCTTCCGGCCGACGTTCGGACCCTAGGCAATCAAAAGGGAGAGCAGACCAAACGGTGTCGGTACATGAGCTCCCGCATTGACACCCGCGAGCCATATCGTGACAGAAGCTCGTCCATGTCCAACATATGAATTGGACTGTTGCTTTGCCCAAGCAAGAGAAGTATGGCCTACCTACTTCTTTATCGTTTCTCTTCTTCTCACCTATCCTGTCTCTCAACTCTCGAGCTCTATGAAGCGTTTGCCATCAATCGGATACTTGCAGCATGTCTTTTTTCCAAGGTGTTTCACCCCTTCCAAACAGTGTCGTTTGCACAGTGTCACCAGATACCTTCATTTCCTCAACCATCCGTCTCAAACATCCAATATCCTCAAATGATGAAGTCTTCATTCCATTCAATCCGTTCTTGCTCTGCCTCGTCTTCATCTTCTTCAACAACACCAGCACAACCACCGCCAATCCACTCTCCACCCAACCATGGCCAAGAAATCCAAACGCAAAGCAACCCACACCCGCGTCCTCGCCCACTTCGACGCCACCTACGGCCGCGACGACACCCGCCTCGAAATGTGGCAACGCCTGTGCCGCGACATTGGCGTCCCAGAGCAACCATCCATCGCGAAGAGCAAGAAGGTACCGTTTTGCTTATCATTAAGACCTGCAATGCAACCCACTGATACGTATGTCAATGTCGCTCAGGCCCTCAAGGGCATCTACATCAACATCACGGACTTCGTCGAAGCGTGCGAGGCGGGCGAGCCGGTGCGGGTGTTTCATTCGTATCGGGCGCTGCTGAACGACCTGCTGCGCGACCGAGAAAGGATCTTTCCGAAGGACAAGGCGAAGGGCAATCCGATTTTGACGTGGATGCTTGTGAAGGTGTTTTGATGGAAACTCAACACTCACACAAACGGAAAGGTGGTATCATGGCCGGCTGCACTTCAATCTGGTGAAGGGAGAAACAAAATACTCTATACAACGACAGAAAAGATAAGAACGACCGTGCAAGTGGTATTCCCGCTTCAACACACATGCCATTCTTCTTACACAATCCCATCACAAGCGCCAGTAATGCAAATGCAATCCGCCGCTAGTGGGATCCAGTCCAGTCCAAATTGTACAACTACCACCACCACCACCACCACCACCTCAAATCTCCTCCTCACTATCCTCCCCCAACAACTCCCCCTCGTCGTCCGCAACAACCGCGTACCTGCCCGCAGCGCCGCTACGGCCAAAGCTCGCGCCAGAAGTATACGCCCTGCCCCCGAAGCCATCGCGACTTCTGCGGCCCAGGCGAACGGAAATGGCTTTCCACACAGTGCCGACGACCATAGGCACGGCAGCGATGAGCGCCACGACGCCCGAGAGGACGAGAATGGGGTATCGGATCCACGGGGCGTCGCGGTCGAGAGCGCCGCCTGACGAAGTGCCCAGCCCGTCTCCCAGGCGGATGCGGCCGAATTTGCCCTCCCAATTCTTCCACACCCAGTACCCTGCTCCTGCTGCTGCGGCGATGGGAATGACGATGGCGAAGAAGAGGCCCGCGCCGGAGATGCCGTGTTTCTTCTGGTACTCTTCTTCGAACCCTGGGCAGGGGAAGCTCATGGGCGTGTAGTCCATCTCCTTGCCGCCGGAGCAGGTGTCGAGCGGGATCTTGCGGTATCCCGTAACGCCGTAGTACTCCTTCAACTTGGGGTTTTTCTTGCACTGCTCCTTTGGATCTGCGGCCTCCAAGCCCTCCACCAGCTTGCACGATCCATCGCTCTGCTTCTCGTAGTTGTAGTCGCATTCGAAATCGTGGCGCTCGCACGTGCAGTTCTTCTGGATGCGCAGCAGCTTCTGGATGTCGCGGCCGTTGTAGCAGTCGGACGAAGTCTTCTTGCGGATGTAGAGGGCCTGATGTCCGAAGAGACACTGGTCTTCGTGGTTGGGGCGAGATGGGGCCCAGGCTAGGTAGTCCTGGCTGGAGCGCATGTCGTCTGGAGATGCGTTTTGATCCAATCTGCACTGTTTGCTGCGCTCGTCGAGCCCGCTAAAGTCGAGATTGACGCTGGTGAGCTCGCCATCGATCTTGCCCCAGAGGAGAAAGCTTCGGCTGGCGTCGGAGGGGATGGTCGTGATATCGGTGACGACCATGTCTTCGGCGGAAAACTGGTATGAGAGCCAGGTGACGCCTTCGTCCAGACTGTACATGACTTCTTTGGTGGGGACCTCTTCCTTGACGAGAACGATGATGCTCCCTTGATCCCCATACTCCCACATCCAGGTGCCCGGCGCGGCGTATCTCCATTCGGTGCCGCCGTCTCGGGTGATGAAGGTGTCGGCATCCGCTTTGGAAGTCAAATATTCGCCGACATTGCCCGTTCCGATCATCATTCCCACCGCGCTGGCCGAGGAGAAAGTATCGCGGGGGTCCTTTCGCTCGGTGTAGCCATGGAGATGCAAGGAGCACGACTCGATGTCCCCACTACACCATTTGCGGTCTTTGGGAGTACTGGAAGGCCTCTTGACCAACGCCCAGTCCGCGCCGTCATTGTGGGTCATGTAAGTCTTGAGTTTCTTCGACATGCCCTCGTCGACCTCTTTCTTGTTGGCCACACGGTTGATGACGGCCACGCCTTCGAGTCCCTGCATCTTCTCGAAGTCCACGTATCCGTCCTTGTTGCGGTTGACTTCGTTGACCATGAGGACGTATGAAGTACCATTCGAGTTGGACTTGACAATGCTGCCATATTCGGCGCCGTCGACATTATTGACGGTGACGTGCAGGAATACGGCGTGCGTGCTCGAGTCGAGAACGGTGTAAGCTTGCTGGTGGGGGACTTTGAAGTTCGGTGGGAATTTGGCATCGGCAAAGACCCGCCCATCAATGCTCGTGTCGACCTGCAGCGTTTGCTGGTCGGCATCCCGGACGGCGACGACGATGAACTCGGACATGGTGGCGAAGTTGATGACGTCGCGCTTCAATTCCTTTTTCGTCTCAAACCAGTCATCCGAGCTCAAAAGGGAGAGGGAATTTGACGGATTTTCGTCCTGGTGCTGCTCGCAAAGGACCAATTTTTGGCTTCCACTGCGGTCTTCCCGGTATACGAATTGACACTTGCGGACGGCGCCGAGCAGTTTTGTCCACTCGTCTCCTCCTTTGGTGCTGACACGAGCAATAGTCTCGCAATCCGAGCCCTCACAGTTGCCGAGGCCTGTCCAGATAAGCCACTCCTTCTCCGTAGGATGGAAGGACAAGATTTGGAGGCCTTTCTGGTTGGGCTTGTCCGGCGCTGTGAACGAGTGGAAGCTGTGTGCCCGATCATGGGAGTAGTGTACCTTTTCGCTCGGTGTGATGAGGTACACGTTGCCGCCGAGGTAGCGGTGAGGGTAGATTGCAATAATCTCCTCATCCTTGTATTTCTGCTCCCACTCCTTGCCTTGGGTGTGCGTGATGTAGACCTCGCGCTCATTCGTTCGCATGATGACTGTCTCGTCATCTCCAGTATCGGAATCCTGGCGTTCAAGATAGTAGTATTCGACGAAAGCGTTTCCGGGGAACTTTGTTGTCTTGCTGGAGATCTTGCCACTGGCGACCGGCTTCTTGATATCATCACAATCGCGATCGATCGGCTTATCCTTCTCCACGCCGCCACTCTTGATGCACGTATTGCCGGGGATCAATCTATACCCAGATGACCCCTTGAATTTGTCCGTCCCGCGACAAGCATCCTCTGGCGGTTTCATGGGACCTGTCAATTTACAATCGCCGTCGGATCTCCTGGTGAACCCGTTCTCGTAGTCGCATTCGTAGTCGTCGTCAGTGCATTTGCAATTCTCCATCTCTGGAACAGGGTCCTTGAACAACTGCCCGACAAAGCACTTGCTGTCCCTCTTCCGCCTGCGAAAGCTTTGCTTGTGGCCCATGATACAGGTCGGTTTGCCCTCGTCGTCCACGCGAGCATACCAGTCTTCGAAATCACTTTTCCCGCACTCTTTAAGGTCATAGTCGACGAAGCTGATGGAGATGATGTAGTACTTCCGATCGCTCCCTCGCCCTTTTGCGGCCGTAAGAATGAACTTCCGCGACGTCGAGTCGGGTACGGTGGTTAGAGCGATGGGCTGGATGTCGTCGTCCATTTCGTAGTGATCCCAGTCTTTGCCGTGGTTGATGGAGTATTTGATCTTCTTGCTCTCGCCGTCTTCGACCGCTACAAGGATTGCGCCTTGGTCGCCGAATTCGAAGAGATGAGGATCCTTGAGCGCCCTGCTCCACGTCACACCCGCATCGTCCGATACGTAGAGGTCGCCTTCGCTGCGGGATCGCAGGTAGTCGCCCGTGTTTCCCACACCCATGACTATGCCAGGCGCAGGGCTGGAGAAGATGCGACCCATATTGCGCTGTTCGGTGACTGAGTGAAGGTGCAAGTGGTCATCGTCAACCTTGAGTGGGTGAAAGGTGCGACCATCATCGAAGGAGATTTGTGTCTTGACCTTCTTGTCGGCAATCCAATTCTGCTCGACCTCTTCCCAATTCGTCACCGTGTTGACCATCACAATGCCCTGAATGTTTTGGATTTTCTCAAAGTCTACAAATCCACGCGTATTGCGATTGGTGTGCTCGAGATTGCGGGTGAAGAAGGTGCCATTGCTGTTGCTCGTGAGCAGCACACCCATGGGGTTGCTCGGTTTGGTGGTGAGGACGTCGACCTGCATGCTGTAGTTGGTACTCTCGAGGATGGTATACGCATCCTCTTCCAGCTTGTGCTCGCCAAACTCGGCGCGATGCCAGGTCCTCGTATCATCGGTCACGTATAGCGCCAATTCCGTCGTGCCCTGGCTCTTTGCTGCCGCCACAATGTACGACTTGACCGCTGCAATGTTCATGATGCCAGTGACTGCGCGCCCTTCGTGCATGACGGGCTCCACTTCCTCGGACCGGAAGAAATCGGTGGAGGAGATGAGACGGTAATTGGTGGCAAACGGGTTGAAGGAGCCCTTGACGATGCAAAGTATTTGGTTCTCATCGCTCTTGCTGTCGCCGGTGGTGAAGCGGTCTGTCGATTTGGCCCAGATGCAGCTGACGGAGCCATCGAGGAGCTTCTTTGGCTCGGAGTCGAAACCGTCGGTGGTGTAGTAAACGCGCTCTTCACAAGTCAGGCCATCACAATGCGCCGTCAGGTAGAGCATGCGTTTGGGGTCGGTGGCGTGGAAAGTGATGGCGGGTCGCGCGAGAATCGGGGTACCGTCGCACTTCCATTCTTTCCAGTCTTTCCCCTGGTTCGTCGTGATCCAGTGTGTGCCTTTTACGCCAATCACCACCGCGACCTGATTGTTGTTGGGATTCTTTAACACCGAGAAGATCTTGCCCTGGCCCACGTCCAACTTGTCCCACGTGGTGCCAGCGTCTGCGGAGCGCCAGAGGGTCTGAGAAGAAGGGTCGGTGACGAGGACAACATTGCTGTCATCAAAGTAGGATAGACCGGAGGGTAGATCGGGGAAGGAGGTCTGTTTGATGACAGGGCTCGAGTCTGCTAGCGCTGGGGCGGCGAGGAGCAGGCTGAGGAGGAAGGCGAGCAGTAACACTGCTCTGGAATGTATTGCCATGCTATGTCGGGTAGGGCGACTGCAGAAGATGCTTCGGCGGCATTGAGAAGCGATGGAAACAGGCGACGTGGTGATTGTCTAGTGTCGTCTAGAGAAGTTGTTGCCTCGCTGCTGATAATCGTCAACCCTGACGTGACAACCCTGAGCCTGAGGCCACCTTCGTCAGCCACGCGGGAGTAGGTAAGCAGCCACTCCACTCTTCCTCTTTCGGCTAGGTCGGCACGAGCCCCGGAGCGCGTGCGCTTGATCCAACTTTACTACGAGTACTACAGCCACCAACTCGTCAGTATCTATGCCATGGACATGTAGCTGGATTTTCACGCAAGCCTCGTCAGATATGTAATACTCCTCGCTGCCGCGCATTCACAATGGTTCGTCGAGTCATACGGTCACGTTAGGGCATGTGGCTTTATGTCAGGCACCTTCTGCGGGTGAGGAAGATTTGGGACGTGCAGGGCGCGCTGGAAAATATTATTGAGATAGAAGCGTATTGTGGTAGTGCGTAGTTCAAGTCGCAGTTCAAGAAACGCACATGCGGCGCTCATGACTCCTCTGCGCCCTCCAATTCTTCCACTCCCCTGACCTTGAGCTCCTTCACGCGCAGAATGGTGAATCGATGCTTGCTCTTCACCTTCTTCACCCTCCTCTGCCTCCGTTTCGTCTTCTCTTTGATGCGCAACGGCTCACTCTCGACCGCCATCACCGTCGCCCGGCATTCGAATAGTCTGTCGTCGATGTACGAGTGCTTCCCTTTCGCGATATGAGGAATGAAGTGTGGCGCGTGCTGCACGGTTGCCGACCCAAGAGTCTGCTCTGGTTCTGCAGGGAGCGGTGGCAATGGCATGATTTCACTCTGCGTCGCCCATGGCTCTCGAATATTCCTTGTGTCTGTTGTAGGGCTTTTGAGAGGTGGAGCGGCCGCTGCGGCTTTGAGGGTATAATCTCTGCTTCCAATGTTGATTGCGCGATTCAGGCGAAGAACATCGCCAGGCTCAACGCCGTGCATCAAGAACGGTAATCGTAAAGTGTCGCCTTGGGTGAGGAGGTAAGGTTTGCCGTGGATGTGGACGGTGATGTAATGCGGTGCCTGAGCCTTGAGGAGAGGCAGCATTTCGCGCAGGGAAGGCGAGAGGTCTAGAGGTTTTGCCGCGCTCGAGGTTGGAGGTGGGGTAGGAGGTGAAAATTGCATCGTTTCGGCGGCATTGCTTCGTGGTGTCTGTCGACTGCTCGGTCGCAACTCGGATCGCTGTGCATCGCTACTGTGTTGAGATGCTGCAGTAGGAAGAGGTACTGCATTGGTGTCCATGGAGTGCGACACTGTAGTCAAGTTCGCCGCCCACGGAAGGAGGAAAGTCGGCGGAACCGGCCATCTCGAGTCAAGAAGAGCTCTCTTGAGGCTTCTGGAGAGCATCTTGACAGCTGGACGACAAGGCAATGCGAGTATCTGGTCATCGAAAATCGAGGAGAACATTTGATGTTGCAGCTCAAGCACTGCTGACTCAGCGTCGCCAAGATTTCCTGCCGCCAGAAAAAGTTACAACTCGCCCGCCTCAGCCTCTGCGATTTTCCATCACACATCCACCACCGCCACCATGCCTCAAAACGAGTACATCGAGCGCTTCACAAAGCAGCACGGTAAACGACTCGACCACGACGAACGAGTGCGGAAACGGACCGCCCGCGAAGCCCACAATGCATCGAACAAGTCTCAGAACCTGCGCGGCCTACGAGCCAAACTCTACCAGCAAAAGCGGCACAAGGAGAAGATCCAGATGAAGAAGGCGATCAAGCAGCAGGAAGAAAAGAACGTCAAGTCCTCCGAAGATGCACAGCCTTCCAGCACTCCGCTGCCCAGCTATTTGCTGGACCGCAGCAATGTCACGAATGCCAAAGCGCTGAGTTCGGCGATCAAGAATAAGCGGGCGGAGAAGGCGGCCAAGTTTGCCGTGCCGTTGCCCAAAGTGCGTGGTATCAGTGAGGCGGAGATGTTCAAGGTGGTGAAGACGGGCAAGAAGACGGCGAAGAAGAGCTGGAAACGGATGATCACCAAGCCGACGTTTGTCGGGCCGGACTTCACTCGCCGGCCGGTGAAGTACGAGCGTTTCATCCGGCCTATGGGTCTGCGGTACAAGAAAGCGAATGTCACGCATCCCGAGTTGGGGGTGACGGTGCAATTGCCGATCATCTCGGTCAAGAAGAATCCGCAAAACCCCATGTACACCCAGCTGGGCGTGCTGACAAAGGGCACGATTATCGAGGTCAATGTTTCGGAGTTGGGGTTGGTGACGGCGGGTGGCAAGGTGGTTTGGGGCAGATGGGCGCAAATCACGAACAATTGTGAGAACGACGGTTGCGTTAATGCGGTTCTGTTGGTGTGAGGGAAGGCGGCGATGGATTGAAAACTTTTTCATTTCTGCTCTGCATATATCAGAGCTGCTGCACCGAGGTGCAGAGGCCAGACGAAAGCTCCATGAACAATCCTCAGGGCCGTGGCATTATGCCGAACACCTACGACATCGGTTACCGTCGTCAGCTTCGCAATGCCAGGATGCGACGTACACCGAAGAGGAATGGCGATATCGGCAGCACCGACTGTCCCAACGAGTGGAGTCCGGTTCATTCACCACAACCACCAAAGCTCGACCGAGTCAGGGGAGCAGGGCAGGGCAGTGGGGGCTAGTCAGCGGTTCCTGCCAGGCTATGATGAGAACAGGAGCCTCAGCATCGCAGCCGATTGGCACGATTACTAGCCAAGTCGTATTACGCAGCGTGATAGCGATTGATAGATATTGCATAGACGAATCCCGTCCAGATCGGCACGATCCATTCATTCTCGATCTTGATGCCAGTCTCACGGTTGAGGGTACAGAGATCGTCAAATGTCGTCCAATCGGGCGACTGGTTGCAGAGAAGTCATGAGATGCAAAGCGTGCAGTCCCTCATTATCGTGTCTCGTGGAGATCAGCAGCTTATGATCTTCTTGCTTTTGAGATCTTGCGTTACACCAAAGTCTGAATTTCATGGAAGATTGGCTGATCGGGAACGCTGCCCAATGATGCATCCCTCGCAGTCTCCGATCGACTTGATCTTGACTATCCTCTGGACAAGGTCACGATGATGTCTTTCGCTAGTGGCTTCACGCGTTTCACACGCACTGGTCAAGGCTGTGACAGCTTCACGTGCGCTGATTGGCCATCAAGACCGCATTCACTTGCGCGACGAAACACAAGCCTTGACTCGCCCGCTCCATACCTTGGGCACCGAGACGAGCGTCCGCCGATCGTGCACGCAAGCAACAAAAGCCACGAGATCCAAGCCGGGCGTGTGCACACGTGCAACCCAAACCACGAGGCACTGTTACACAGCATGTTCCCTCTTATACGCATTAGGGCAAAGGTCCGATTGGCCGAGGGGCAGAACTGCAACCCAATGATCAGTTGGAGTCGTGGTGCACGAGCATGTGACTTCCGGGTTGTGTGCCCAAACGTGCGGCCATCGGCCATTCATCTAAGGCGAAGGGCTGCAGACCAATCCGGCCGTCCTAACTAGATCATTGTGCCGATTCGGGAGGATGTTTGGATCCGACGGAGTGGAAGCACAGAATGTTTTGCAGGGCGTACATGGCCTCGTGATGCAGAGCAGATATCACCAGGCTCGAGATATAAGAGCGGGAGAGGCAGAGCCGGGGGGAAAGGTCATGGTTGCTTGCGTCTGAGTACGAGAGGACGACTGCTGTGGCCGGCGACTCTGCGAATCCTCGGAATTGTACGACTCGAACGACGGCACTGGGCTTCATGCGATACACAGTCGAGACGCAGGTTGCGTGAAGAGGATTGGATGTAGAGAGGGAGGAGGATGATTGATGGGGCTTGGCGACTCCACCGGTTAAGGTTGGGGTTTTAGGGTTGAGACACGGACGGCAGGGCGGGCAGGACCGTTGACACCGTTTCACTCCGACCCAGCAATTGAATCCCAGTGAATATTGACGACACCTCCTACAGTATCATGCCAGATTCAATGCTGCCGTGGCGATGGTGACTATGGTCCAGATGGTTCGGGCTGTATCACGCGCTTCCGGCGCGCTCATGTCAACAGCTGCCTCGGCCGTTCCACACGTCACGCGTTTCAAGTGGGGAGCGGGCACGACGAACCATAGGTAGGGCGAGTGTTACGAGAGAAACGGGCGTGCCTCAAGATGCAAAGACACCAACAGTGGGCCAGCCATCAACTCCCGATGCCACCCCGCTCCACCACCTGTCGTCTCGGAATCCCGAGCCATTTTGACAGGCGTGTGGCCCCTTCCTCCCCACCGCGCAGGGTCGACGGCCGCATGCGCGCACGGGATGGCGCGAGGCTAATGCAGAGCAATGCACTCGTACCCGATTGTGAAGGCTCCCGAATGGGAAGGCCTCTGCTTCGTCCACTCCGCCATTCGCCTGCTTCTCCTTCACCCATTTCGCACCCTTCAAACCCCTCTCCTCATTTCCCTCATCTTTCTGCGCCTCGGAGCCTGCTTTCCCTTTCTCGATGCCCAAAACATGCAAGGCTATCTATAGCGCTGCTCCTCCTCGTCCTGCTCATCCCTTTCCTTCCTTCATTAACCCCGCCGACACTCTTTGACTACTTCATTACCCAACTTCTACTTCGTGTCGCCCGAGTCTTCTCCTTCTGTTCGTCCATCACCCCAAGCTATCGCCTTTAATTACGATCTTCATGTTGCTGCATTTAATGCGCATGCACCGCGATTTTCGGCAGTGTTGGGTCTGACGCCGGGAACCGTCAGCGACTTGCCGAGCGCCCGCGGCACTCACCGCTCCCCCCGTCTTTGATCCATATCCCAGCCATGGCATACCCCAATGCCGCTTTTGCGTACCAACCGCTACATCCCGACGCCTCTTTTGACTACCAGCCATCACACTTCTTCACGGAACATGGGGCAGACGTCGACAACACCTCTCCATCCGCTTCCGACGCGATGCAAGAGCCCGGCATCACGCACGTGCGCAAAGGCGGCACGTATGTGACGACGCATGGCATCCTGTCTCCTACTACTCCTCACCATCCTCATCACTGGGCGGGTCAATTCGTCGGTGCACCGTCGACTGAGCCTGGAAGCATGCCTTACCCCTACCATGACGAGCAGCACGCCTTCAGTCACCACCCAGCACATCAAGTGCCGCCTCCATATGGACACCTGACGCACCAGGCGCCTGTCGCCTATGAGCGCAACCCTGCTCTTCGTCCTACAACGAGTCGCATCGACTTCGACCAAGTCCCGCTCGCTCTCATCTTCGACGGCGCGCACTACACCCACGCGCGCAGCGACAGCGCTCGTGGAAGCTTCAGCCAAGCATCCCATCCTCCGATGCTGGAGACTTCAGAGGATGGCGGGGTTCCACCAGCTCAACTCCAGACACCTATGTCGCCTCACACGCACGAGGAGTGGATGGCGCTTCCGGGGCTGCAATCGAAGAACTCTGCGCAGTCCAGGCGCATGAGAGGGCCCACTCCTTCCAGGACGGCTATTGAGCTGCAAAGGGCCGGTGGGGTGCGCAAGAAGAATGCGAGAATCGACATTCCCAATGAGCGCAACATCGATGCTATTGAGAGGTTACTGGAAACCGAGAATGATGAAGACACCATCAAGGAACTCAAGCAACAGAAGCGACTACTTCGCAATCGCGAAGCAGCGTGAGTGATTCATCCGTGCATCGGTCTTTGTATTTAGGCTAACGCGCAAGTCTAGGCTCGCCTCGCGCCAGCGAAAGAAGAAACACACCGAAGAGCTCGAAGTGCAGCAAAAGAACCATAACCAGACGATCGAGTCTCTGCAGACACACGCTTACAATGTGGAGGCTCGGTACGAGCAGATGCGGCGCAGCAACCACCACCTCACCCAACAACTAAGCGAAGCACAAAGAATGATCGATGCGCTGGAAGAGGAGAAGAGAGAGATGGCAATGAGGCACACAGAGGAGACATCGAATCTGCGCAAGCGACTGAACGCCTTCACCGAGCATGCGCGCGCCGAGTACGCCGCGCCTGCAATGTCGGCTGTGGCTAGCAGTACGGGCTTCACCGACTTCAACACGGAAATGGGAGCCTTGAATATGGAAGCGTCTCACTGGGACAACCTGCTTCTTGGCGCAGACCTGCACAACGAGTCGCTGGATACGATCGACTTCGACGCGGGGATGGGAGGGGTCGCACAACCGTTGCCGCTCACGACGACAGCACCCTCCCAACCCGGAGCAGCCACTTCCTCGTCCGAAACAAACGTCACCTCAGGCCTGCTGTTCTTCCTCCTCCTCTGCGGCGCCTTCGTCGCCTCCCGGCCCCCAAACTCGCACATCCCAGACCTCCCTCGCGTGCCCGCGGACATTCGCGCCGCCGCACCCCAAGTGCTCAATAACTTGCTTTCCGAGAGCCATCCGTCGCTAACACAGCAACCCCACGCGTTGGAAGGCCTCGAGCCCCGTCCCTCCAATGCACTACTCAACAACCCGCGCCCTAGCCGCCTAGACGACCTCCACCAACACCTCACAAACCCCACGCGACACCAACAACTCGACGCCACCTTCGCCCTCACACCCTCGCAGTACGCCTCGATAACAAACATCAACGACGGCCCCTCCCTCTTCCCCCACAACGCCGACATCGTCGAGTCCCCAACAACCGCCCCTGCCACGCAGCACAGACGTCGCCCCCTAGCCGAAACGCTCGCGGGGAGTGCTCTGCCAAACGAGCAAGCGCAGCTTCCTGCTAGCGGTACGAGCAAAGCGGAAGTCTACACTCGCAGTCTGCTGTGGGACCGCATCCCGGCGGATGTGGTGAAGCAGTTCCGCGAACTGGTGAGGGCTACACATGCGCTTGAGGCGAGGGAGGAGGTGTTGTTGCGGGGACATGAAGGACGGCGGAGTGATGATGGACTTCATGATGATGAATGACGAATAATGAATGCCTGACACGGCGTGTCTTTCTTTGGACGAATGATTTGATGAGTGTGCCTGGGTGATGAATTCATGATTGCTGATGATGGATTGATTCGGGATGAATGATGAGATATGGATGCGCTGTTTTCTTTTGAACACTACCGCGCCCCGACGGCGACGAGGATAGGCACGAGCAGTTTTTTCTTTGATGATGTTACGGATGAACGAGCGCGAGCATGTTTCATACTGCATGGTGGAATGATGGGATGGATGAACGGACGCCTCACTGGCATATCACGAACTTTTGTCAATAACGATCTAATCTAGTTCCTTCCTGCTTGTCGATTTCTCCTCATGAGCTCGTCGGGCCATTGTCTGCTTTCAATGGAGATCTATCGGGCTTGTCCAGTCCGGTAATCTATTCGACGAAATTCGGAAGTCTCCAGGACATGCCGGCGGCTTTCCAAGCGGGCAATGAGTCGTTTCCAACGTACCATCGCTGATGGTCCACAAATATGAGTTGTGGCTTCTAGTGGTGCTCGCTTTCCCCAATGTTGGATGCCAGGCGAGTGGTCTTCGTCTAAGCTGGTCGTGGAGTGGCGCAGTCGTTTAAGTGGAATGGGAGGTCATTTTCTAGGTTCGCCTCTGTTTGTGTTCACTTCGGCTTGGGATTGGCGTATTTGTCTTTCCAGATCCTAGATTGAATGTTAGTAAAAGGAAAATGGTGGGTGTGAGGAGGAGCATGCACCATGAGTTGCCCACAGTCTTGTGTCCCTTTTCCTCGGCGATTCGAAGGTACTTTGCTGCCGTGAACTGTAGAATCCTTAGTCTCCGAAGCACACCGAATTGACGAAAGGAGGAACGGCATACCTTATCCTTCCCGCCCCCAAAGCCCTCCAAATAACACCAAGCCACCTCCTCCATCGCATCCGTATCCCCCAAATTCGCCGCCGTCTCGTAGTAATTCCTCGCGGCAACGGCATCCACCTTGACTCCCCATCCGTAACGGAAGCAATTCGCCAACTCATATATAGCCAGCACCAGCTCGCCTTTCGCGGCGCCGCCCTTCTTCATCCCACTCTGCTCCAGCGCGGCGGACTCGACGGAAGCAGAGTTGGAAGCGGCGAGGGAGAGGTAGTGGATTGCTTTTGCGGGGTTGGGCTCGGTGCCCCAGCCGTGGCGCAGGGCGAGGCCGTAGAGCACTTGGGCTAGGGCGTTGTTGGTTGTGGCTGGGTCTGCGAGGCGGGAGAACATGGCTGTGGAGGCGGCGAGCTCGCCGGTTTCGTGCAGGCGGATGGCTTCTTGGATGGTTTCGTCGGTGTGCTGGGATGTGATGCTGGGGCTGTGGCTTCTGGCGGGCGAGGGTTGGCGGTGTGTGGGGGAGGCGCCAATGAGGGGGTTGGATCGTGCGAGAATTGTCGCGCGCTTTTCCCATTGTGCTTCGCGCTGCTCGTTGTTGGCTTTTTCATCTTGGGCGTCGCCTGCCTGGGAACTTCCTGGTCTTGTGGGTTCTATGGCCGCCGGCGCATCGGGAAGGTCGGTGGGGAGATTGGAGCTCGACTCTGCCGACGGGCTGCGAGAATGCCGGCGGAAACGATGGGAGAGCCTCTTCTCTGACTTGGGAGGAGTGGTGGGCAGCGTAGACTCCGGCTCGTCTATCGCCGCGACCTCCTTGGTGGTGTCTTCATTTCTGGACTTTCGAAAGGAGAAGCGGTTCTTGTTGTCCCTCGTTCTCTTGCTCTTGCCTGCACCCGCATCTTGTGGAGGGTCGTCGTGGTCAGAATAGCTGGGAATCTCAATCAACTCCTCCGCATCGGTGGTGCTTCGGATGAATTTAAATTCGCGGGCATCGGGGGTGGTGCTCGTTTGCGACGACGAGGCTGCGGCCTTGCTCTGCTCCACTTCGATCTTCTCTTTCTTCCGCAGCAGGTCGCGAAGTCCAGGCATGGTGGGATACACGGTAGCGATGCTGGGTTAATGGACGCTAGGAGAACATGTCAAGAATGTAAGTGGCATACATGTATCAGGAAGCAACGAAAAGGCAGGGATAAGGAAAACCTGCAGAAGGCTTGGGGCTGAGGAGACGCATCATCAGCCAAGAGCTGGCAGAGGAGTCAGTCTGGGGTTGTAAGGAAGACGTCAGGCCATTGGCGCCGAGCCCGACCATGCAAGCCGTAAAGCTTAATCGAACCAGCAATGCATTGAACTCCTTGTATTGTTCGGTGCACAGTGCGATGAAGAACACGATGCAAGCTGATGATGAATGCAGCGAGGAGAGCACAAGAAGCAGGGGCCAAATGGAAATGTCACGTGCGGCAGCCTTCCATCATCCCGCCGTCCACCCCTCATCAACCACATCCGTGTCGAACCACCCCGTGCCGCTAGCGAAAACGGACACGGGCATGCCGCGGACATGTTTGGTCTGACCCCTGGATATCCGTGAAGGTTTCGAGCTTGTTCACGCTCCCACCCCGGAACTCGACGAGAGTGGAGTATAGAGGCGGCGAAAGCACGGCTAGGAGAGTCGCCAACCATGGCTCGGCAATAAAGTCACCCCAAAACGGCCGCTGCCTTTTACAATGTATTTACGGCGGATCCAGTCGCATCTCGAGTGGTCCTGGAGTGCTTACCAAGGGTGTATCTTGCCATTAGGTCTACATATAACCACCTCCCTCCACGGCTGCCGGGAAACTGGCCACCACTTCCGCACACTACACTCGCTGCACCGCTTCTACGCACATCATGTTGTCTCGGCTCCTTTGTGCGCTGCTGCTGGCCCTGCTTGCCGCCCCAAGCCACGTCTTCTCCTTCTCCTGCGGCGCAACAACGAGCCACAAGTCCTGCACCACAGAATGGGCAAAGACCAAGTGCTGGAATGTCGAGACCGTTGCATCCCCCCATTCCATTGTCACATCCAAGTCTATAGTAACGGTAACGGAGTCTCCAACTACGACGGTTACCCCTGCGCCCGTCACCGGTACGTACCGTTGTGTTGTCGTCGGTGCGGTAGGAGGCTAATCCGACTTGCCCGTAGTTGACTTCTTTACTACGACGAGCGTAAGCGGCAGCACTACCACGGCCACCGTTACGTCTACGACTACGTATTCCGCATCTCTACCACCTACCGTCTAACCCAGATCTAATGCGTAGTTAGGACGATTATATTCAAATACTTCACTTCTCCTCCTACTAGTAAGTATTAGAGGTGAAGGACTCGTAACGCAGCTCTGGGCTAATCGAGCAAAGCTACGACTGTTTGCGAGAACCTCAATACGCCTCCGCCTAAGCGCGAGGAAGCGACGCATAAAGGGGGCAGACACGCCTGGCCCTCTCGAGTGATATGCCACATGTCAGTGCCCTACAATGCTACCGGAGATGGGGATTCAAATGCATTAACAGCGTCGCATAGTACGGGAACGACAGACGTATGCGATACGACGACGACGACGGCGCCGACGAAAACGGTAACCGCCGCCGCGTCTGCCATCGACACGACCGAGACCGTTACGACTACGATTCAGATCACCAGGACTGCAACCTCTCTGATCACCGACTCATCCACCTATCCTCTTCCCGTCGGAGGGACGATCATCACCATATCAACTACCTGCGCTACTTGATCGTGGTAGGATGCCGACTTAGAGTCCGGTCGATCTGGCGCCGCATACCGAAAAAGTCCCCTTGAAGCGGAAGGGGAGATGGGTGCACTTGTGTAGACTACTGGATTGCTTGCTTCTTGTTTTCCTTTCTTGCTTCTGTCGAGTACAGGATTAATACACATCGATGCCTCGCACCATCGCACTACCGCACATAACTTCTTGCTAGGGCACGTTGCTGCAATCGAAAAACCATGCCGCTTCCTTTTCGCTATGCAATGGCGCGGAAAGTTTGGGATTGGCCGACGTCGGGCAGCAGACACCCTTTCCAGGCCATTAAAGCTTAACTTGACTGGACCTCTCCGTCGCTGCACTCTCCTAACCCATCAGTGCACGACCACGGACGCTGTCAAGAGAGCACGAGCCAGATGCCAACGTCCCGTCAGGCAGCAGCCTCCTACAAATCTCCCCGTCCGCCCACCTCGCTAATAATAACCAAGGCAGCAAATCAACCCCCTCCACATCGGATCCACTGCCAGTGGCGCAACGAGACACATGGATCCCACGTTTGGTCTCCTATGTATCACAGCAGGGTCCGAGCGTGTGCACGCTCGCACCGCGGGGTACAACCCAACGGTGAAGGAGCAGGAGTCTGGCTAAAATAAGGCTACGCGAGCATGAACCCTAACTCGGCAATAAAGTTCACGACCCTGGGCCTGGACGTTGACCTCCTGCAATATGTTATTTACGGTGCGACCCAGTCGCCATTCCCAGTGGTCCTGGAGCGCCGACCATGGATGTATCATTGCTGTTTACCAAGTATTCTAATACATAAGTAGCACCAGGACCCTCGAAGTCCTCTCTCAACATTGACCCAGCTTCTACACGCGATTCTCGATCACTCCCAGATTCCAACCCGTCTATCTCTCCAGCTTCTACGCGCATCATGTTGTCCCGGTTCCTGTGTGCGCTGCTGCTGGCCTTGTTTGCCGTCCCTGGTTACGCCTTCTCCTGCGGCGCGGCCATCACTCACAAATCCTGCGTCACCGACTACGTAACGACCAAGGTCTCGCACGTCACGACCATCACGTCTTCCCACGCTGTCGCGACGTCCAAATCCACAATCACCAAAACGGTCACGCCGAGGACAACCGTCACTCCCGCTCCGGTCACTGGTATGTACTGTGTTACTTTTTGACCAACGACAGCATGCTAACTCCGACCTCCCCCTAGTCGACTCCACAGTCACATCGACCAAGCGCACCACAACGGTATCCACCGTCACCACGACCAAGTACGTCGCATCTCCACCCAAGCAATCCAATCGGATCTAACGTGCGGCCAGGACCTTCACAAGCATCACAACCCTCTACTCCGGCACTGAAAGTAAGTCTAACAATCCAATCCCCCAACAAGCTCCGCGCTCACCAAGCAAAGCCGTGACCGAATGCACCACAACCATCCCCACCACCACCACCGCCACCGCTCCCGCAACCACCACATCCCCCACCCACAGCAAGCGCGAAGAAGCAGCGCGCATAAGCGGCGAACACCCCTCCAAAGTGATCTGCCACGTGTAAGTGACCCCCGCCGCAACCCAAAAGCGTCATTCGCTCAACTCGCCACTAACCCCACCCCTCGCCCAGCACGGAAACGACAGACGTATGCACGACCAAAACGACGACCGCGCCGACGAAAACGCTGACCGCGCGGACCCCCACCGTCGCCGTGACGAAGACGGCTACCACCACTGTCCAGGTCGTTCGCACGCATACCACCACCGCGTCGTTCACTACCACTTTGCCGTTTAATGTTCCGAGCGCCATCACTACGGTCTATAGCTGCACCACTTCAAAGTAGAGATGTGGGTTGGGTGGATGGAGTCGGGTTGACGGGGTGTTTCTGGGCTCTGTAAAGTAGACTTCGACCAGTAGATGAACGGGAGGGACGACCGACAGAGGGATTAGTTGTATGTATCATTCAGTAGAGAGGAAGATGGCACTCGAGGAAATACTAGGGAATCTTCTTTCACATTTTCTTCTCATATCTTGCTTCTATCGAGTCTTCTCATAGTACACGTCGCTGCAATCGACAGACAATACCGCTTCTTTCTCGCTATGCAATGAAGGAGTTCGCAGGGGGACGGAAAAGAAACCAGTGGACGACACCGAACAGCATCTCAAGCCTCGGAGAAAGAAATGAAATCCTGCTGCTGGCTGAGCGCATGATCGGCATCATCCGCCCCCGCCATGAACGTCTCGGCGTCATCAGAGTCAATGTCGTCGACGCCCATCTGATCGTCGTGCTCGTCTTCGTCACTCGACACATCAGACTGCTCCTCCGAGCCCGTCTTCGCCAGGCGCGCAGCGGCTTTGCGCATGGCGCCGGCGTGGTCCGGGTGAGGCATCGTGCACTTTTTGTTGGCGCACTTGCCATGATTGACATGGTCGGCGCAGACGAAGAGGTGGCGCTTGGCGCACTCTTCGCCTAGCGGGCAGTAGTGGAGGGTCGAAAAGGTACGGCACACGGGGGCAGAGTCAGAGACGTGCACGTGGGGGTAGGGGCATGTATTGTTTGTACAGTTGCCACGGAGGAAATGGGTGCAGGCGGGGACACGGTGGTAGGTGGGCTCATGTGAGAGGTCGCAGGCGTCACCAGCTGGACATGATCCCTTGAGGAAGGTCTTGCACATGGCGACTTTGTTGGGGTCGTGCGAGAACTTGCAGGAGGGGCCGAACGGGCAGGTTCCTGAGGATAAGTTAGCGCCAGATTGGGTGTTTTGCCAGCCTCGAAAAGATTTCAACTGGGCCACGTGTGGAAGGTGGAGGATGCGTTGGGTACCATGTTTCGTAAATTGCTCGCAGGGGGCCGGGTTCTTGGATCTAGATGGAATGTAGGTTAATTGTGCCCATCTGGCATAGATGGCGGGTGCGTCGGCGTACTTGATCAGCTCTCGGATCGCGTTGGTCCGGACGAGATTGCCGGTTTTTGTTCTGCAGAAGTCGACGTTTGCGATCGTGATCCGCTTGGGAGTAGGTCTGTTGTCAGTGGTCGCATCTGTGTCGTTTAGTCGATTGTCGCGTGCGTTGGTAGATGTTGGGCACGCACCGTGGATACGCATGAGCTTGCTGCCGTCGTCGCGGAGTTGGAACCGGATGCCGTCGACAACGAGTTCACGGTGTTCCGAGGTGGCAGAGACGTTGGCATGCTGCATCAGCGCCCTACGCTCTCTGCGGTCGATCTTCTGCCTCTTCGAAACACGCGCATTATCGTTGTACTGTTGCAATCGCTTGAGTTCGCGGTCGTACGTGTCCTTGTTCATGAGCTGTTGCCTTCCAGGAGCACGCGCCGACACAAACGCCTCAGATGAATCTGCTGCCCCTGGGATGGCAGTACGAGGAGGGGATGCCTGTGAGCCGTTGAGGACAAGCGTGCGGTTTTGGTGGGGCGGCGGGCGGATAGGTCTGGCGGAGGGATACGGCGAGTATCTGTAGGCAGGTGGGTGAGGGGCGTGGAGGCGGCGAGCTGGATCGGGAGTGGTGAGGGACGGTTGGTGCTGCTGTTGTTTATGCTTGTTAATCGAGCCGGCGAGGGCTGCGATTTTGGCCTGGAGCTCTGCGTCTTGCACCATGCTGTCAGTCCGTCGCCGCGTGCGGCGCAGGAGGTGGTAACGTGGCGGACGAGGAGGAATGTGGTGGAAGTAAAGCAAGAAGAGCGAAGCGCGTATGGACGATGCGTCAAAAGTCACATTTAATGACGGCCCGTGCGCGCGTGTAAAAGCGGTGGGATTGCACGTGTCAAAGTGAAGTCACGGCTTCGACGTCACTTCGCAAGGACAAGGATGGAACATTGCGGACTGTGTACTTCGGCTGTTCTCTACACGATTCTTCAATATTAATTGTGCTTGACAATCTTTCTTTCTCCTTCTGATTTCGATCTCATACAATTACGTCCGATCTGCCGACCTGCTACATTAGATACCGAGTTAAGAAACACCACAAGCCATATTCACCTGAACTGTACAAAATCACAAGCAAAATGGAAGACAACCACATCTACCAATACTCCCTCCTCAACGCCCTAATGGACGGCGTCTCCGAAACCGGCATCCCCGTCTCCAAACTGCAAACAAAAGGCAACCAAGGCCTGGGCACCTTCTCGCGCATGAACGGCGAACTGCTCTTCCTCGACGGCAAAGTCTACCAACTGCAAGCCGAAGGCAACATCCGGGAAGCCGACGCGAGCGATCAAATCCCCTTCGCCGTGAGCACGAACTTCGTCCCGCAGCAGACGACGACGGTGGAGTTCCGGGACAAGAACGATATCGAGACGGCGCTGGATGGGTTTAATGCGAAGGCGGCGAATTTGTACATGACGTATCGCATTACGGGACGGTTTGAGTATTTGAAGTGTCGGACTGTGAGGGGGCAGCAGTTTAAGGGGGAGTCGTTGTCGGAGTTGGGGAAGAGGCAGTCGGTGGAGGAGTATGAGAATGTCAGCGGGACGGTGATTGGATTTCGGTGAGTCAGACGCCTGGCTGGATGGAGAGAGTAGGGCTGTGCTGACTAGAGTGTTGCTGATTTCAGCACGCCCAAGAATTGGCAGGGGTTCGGTGTAGCTGGTGAGCACCTACATTTCGTCAACGACGATCGGACTGCTGGAGGACATGTCCTGGAAGTCACGGCGCAGCAAGTGCAGATGCAGATGGCTCTTGTCGCCAATGTGCATATTGAACTGCCTACTAATGCCGACTTTAATGCGGCGCATTTAGTTACTGACGATGATGGGGTGAAGAAGGTAGAGGGGTAGTGTCATGCAGTCGAACGAAATCTTTTATTCTGTGTCCACTCTATCGTCTATTATCCCCAAGAACAGCACGTTCAAATGTCAAGCATCCAACTCTCTCCGCTACTACCCGACCGTATCCTCAATCAGATCCCCAGCCAAGTCCTTCACATGACTATAATCAATCCTCACATCCACCAGACTGACCCCCTTGTACGCCAAAGCCTCATCCATAACCGCCTCCAGCTGCGAAGAGTCACTCACCCGGAACCCCTTCGCACCAAACGCCTCGGCAAACTTGACAAAGTCCACGCCGCCGAGTCCAATCCCGCTGCTGCGCCCGTACTTCATCTCCTCCTGGAATTCCACCATATTGAAGGCCTCGTCGTTGAGGATGAAGTGCGTGATATTGCAGCCCTGCTGCACGGCCGTCGACAGTTCTTGAGAGGAGAACATGAAGCCCCCGTCGCCGCTGAGGGACACCACTTTCTCCGAGCAAGGCGGTTCCTGTACGAGAGATGCGGCGATGGCCCACGGCATGCCGACGCCTAGCGTTTGCTGGCCGTTCGAGCAGAGGAGTCGGCGCGGCTCGTAGGCGAAGAAGTACCGCATCATGTAGATGTAGACGGTGCCGACGTCACACGTCACCGTGGTGCTGTGGGAGACGCGCTTTTGCAGAGCCGAGACGAGGCGGAGGGGGTGCACGAGGCCCTCACTCTTCGTGTTCTCCACCTCTGTCTGCCATGATCGCAGCTCTCGGCTGAGACTCTTGCAGAACTCGTTTTCCGCAGGGTTGGGTACGGTCGTAAGAGCGTCGGACAAGGCGAGGATGTTCTCTCGCACGGAGCCGAGGAGTTCGAGTTTGGGACTATAGTAAGCGCCATAGTCGCAGGAGACAAAGTCGACGTGCACGATATTCAGGTTCCCGCTCGGGTTCCACTGCTGGGCGTCGTATTCGGTGGGATCGTAGCCGAGGGTGATGATCAAGTCGGACTTTTGCAGCAGCCTGTCACCGGTTTGGTTTCGGAAGAGGCCTACACGACCGTAGAACAGCGTTTGGGCCAAGTCTTCTGGGATCGCTCCTGCGGCTTGGAAAGTCTCAACTACTGCGATCGGGTGCTTCTTCAGTGCAATTCGCAGAGCTTCGACGACTCGATTACTGCTCGCTCGCTGCCCGAGGAACAGGACGGGGAGCTTGGCTTGCTCGATCATTCGGGCAACTTTGCGAACATCATCGGTGGGCGCAGGTCCATAGAGTGGCGCCACGAAAGCCGAGGAAGGAAATGCAGTGATTTTGGATTTATTGGCCGCCACATCCATGGGGATGGAGATGACACTGGCGCCTTTGGGGTTGGTGTTAGCGGTGCGGAAAGCAGACAAGACGACTTCGGCCGCCTGGTCTTCCACCTCCACATTCGTCGCCGACTTTGCAACCGGACCAAGAACTTCCAGCGCTTTCAGCGATTGATGGGTGTGCTTGGTGCTCAGTAGACGGGGGACGGAGCCGATGATAGCAACGACAGGATCGCCTTCGGTGGTGGCAGTTGCCAAACCGGTGGTGAGATTGCTAGCACCTGGTCCCGAAGTAGCGATAGCGACTCCTGGAGTGCCTGTGATACGGCCGACTGCTGCCGCCATGAACTGAGAGGGATGAAGTCAGTGATATGTAGATTCCAACGCGTTGGAGGGGCGAAAGAACTTACGGCGGCGTTCTGTTCATGTCTGCACACGACAAGTTTGACTTCAGGATGGTCGGACAGGGTGTCGAAGATGGCATCCACCTTGGCCCCAGGAATGCCAAAGACTACCTTCACACCTGACCGGTAGATGCTATCGACGATGATTTGGGCAACTTGTTGCTCCGGCATATTGGCGGCAGCAATTAAGCAGAGTCGTGAGGGGTTGAAGAGAATTGGCTGGGTGCACCGGTTATTGTCGAAGATGGATGAGTAGTTGTTTTCACCGCGTTGCAGACAGACTTGAACGATTCATGGCTTCCGGAAGAGAGGCTACGCGATGATGCCGTTGGGGATCAGATTCCCATTGCCTTGCAATTCCCGCGAGTGAGGTCATTATGGCGCTGCGGTGCTGACGGGCCGTGCTCAGATGTGCGCGGTGGACATTTTGCAACTTCCTCCATCGGAAATACACCGAATTAGGTACATACCTATCTTCTACATAGAGTCTCGTATTCATTATAACTGCAATGTCCAACTCGACGGGCGAGGCCAAAAGAGGTCACACCCGGCAAGACACGGCTCTCATGCACGGCCTGTCTACTACAGAAGTGCAGAAAGTATGGGAGGCCTGCGATGAGGCGAAGTCCCGGGCATATTGTGCGGCTCTCCCTCAGTCCCTGGGTCGAATTTCGTATCGTTGTGTTAACGAATCGACAGGCCCGTATTCCAACTTCCGAGTCGGCTGCTCTGTCCTCTTGACAAATGGAGACATTGTACAAGGGGCGAACGTCGAGAATGCCGCGTATCCTGTGGGAACGTGTGCGGAGAGAGTTGCCTTGGGCGCTGCAGTCGTTCAGGTAGGCACCTGAATGGTTTCACCCGTGCTTCCCAACGCTGCTCTGACACCAATGTCATCCAGGGTGCCAAGAAGGGCGACATTCGTGCTCTAGCAATCGCGACAGACATTACGCCTCCGGCTAGCCCATGTGGCATGTGCAGGCAATTCATCAGGGAGTTTTGTGAGGTATGAGTGCTGGACGTCTCCGTGACTGTTGGTCTTGGCTAACATGAGCCCAGCAAAACATGCCCATCCTCTTGTACGACAAGGATGGTAGATTGGTGGTCATGACTCTGGCTCAGCTTCTCCCCCTATCTTTCGGTCCGGAAGCTCTTGCAACGACGGATGAACTTGCTGTTCCGCGGTAGGCCGTATGCTATGAAGCATCTGAGACGGCTCTTGGATATCACTGGCTACGTATGTCGCACACACTGCTGGCGAGGAGGTGGAACGATCCTGCCCGCCTTGACCTGGAAACAATGCCCAGCCCGGTTAAAGTCAGGCGTTCAAAATGAACGAGGCTCTCCGCAGTCATGTCCAATTGGTCTTCGGCAGACATCCTGGCCATATGAGTCGCAGTCCTCCTTAAAAGCCATCAAATTCTGTTTATAGAGGCTATACAATGCATACATCCGTTCATGATTATCTAAACGACCCGTATCACTTGCTATAGTGTGTGCGATACTCGCGTGTAGTTCTCGTCACGATCTCACAACGCCGTGCGGATCCCACCCATGACTTCCTCTCTACAACAACCATTAATCCCCCAACGATTAACAAGACGACAAAATGAGACTAAACGAACACCAAGGTACCCATCCTACAAACCCCAAGTAAAAATCGTCAACCCAACACCAACAAGACCCCAGCCCTCACAACCACCCAAATCCTCCTCGTCCCCTACAGCACCCACCACGTCCCCACCTACCACGCATGGATGGAAGACGAAGCCCTGCGCGCCGCCACCGCCTCCGACCGCCTGACGCTCGAAGAGGAATACGCGATGCAACGCAGCTGGCGCACAGATCGGGATAAGTTGACTTTTATCTTGTGTTTGCCTGCGGCTGAGTGTGCTTCTAAGGCGGTTGTGGAGGGGCGGCGTGATGAGGTGGAGAGGATGGTAGGGGATGTGAATCTTTTTCTCTATGAGGTTGACGACGACGACGACGACGACGACGACGACGACGAGGGAACGCGGCTGAGCAATGGCGCATCTGCACAGCGATCTCTAATCGGCGAACTCGAACTCATGATTGCCCGACCTGAACATCGACGTCAAGGCTACGGTCGCGCGGCGCTGCTGACGTTCATGGAGTACATTCTCCTCAACTGGGAGCGCATAGCAGCAGAATACACGGCGTCGGAAGGAGGCGGAGCAAGGTCTCCCCTTGCCTATCTACGCGTAAGGATCAACGAGACGAATGCCAGCTCCATCCGATTGTTCACGAGTGTCGGGTTCCAGCAGACTACAGAGAAGGCGAATTACTTTGGCGAACTGGAGTTGAGGTGGGAGACGGACGACGGTTTGAGTCGACTTCGGGGACTTCGTGGGTATGAGGCGGCGAGGCAGCTGCGGTACGATTGATGCGCGATCTTTCTTCAGGCCGACTACTGCGCACGTCAAAGCTTGTGAAGAACTTTTTCGATTTTCGACCAATTTCGAGGTCGGATCAAGGGGGACTATCTAGTTTCTCGGACCGCTCAAGGGGATTGCTTCAGAGATTGACGGCCTCGTGGAATTTGGCACCGGCATAGACGGCCTTGTTGCCCAGCTCCTCCTCAATTCGCAGAATCTGGTTGAACTTGGCCGTCCGCTCCGATCGGCAGGGGGCACCGGACTTCAGCTGGCCGGAGCGCAGACCGACGACGATATCCGCAATCGTGACATCCTCCGTCTCGCCCGAGCGATGGGAGACCATGACGCCCCAGTTGGCGGCGTAGGCATCCTTGGCGGCCTGGATGGCTTCGCTGACGGTGCCGATCTGGTTGACCTTGAGCAGCAGCGCGTTGCACGCCTTGGTGTCAATGGCCTTCTTGATGAAGGTGGGGTTGGTGACGGTGAGATCGTCGCCGACAATCTGGAACTGCGCCTCCTTGTAGAAGTAGCTCCACGCCTCCCAGTCGTCCTCGCCAAAGGGGTCTTCGATCGACACAATGGGGTACTTCTTCACCAGCTCGCGGTACATCTCGGCCAGCTGCTCGTACGTCACCCACTTGCTGGGATCGCTGTCGGGGTTCTTGAAGTCGAGGTCGTACTTCTTCGCATCGGCCTTGTAGAATTCGGAGGAGGCGACGTCCATGGCGATCTTCACCTTACCAGTGTAGCCAGCCTGCTCGATGGCCTTGGTGATGAGGTCGAGCGCTTCCTCGGCAGTCTCGATATCCGGTGCGACACCACCTTCGTCTCCGACGTTGCCGGCAGACTGGCCATACTCTTTCTTGGCGAGAGACTTGAGCGTGTGGTAGACTTCGGCTCCCTGGCGCATGGCCTCGCTGAAGCTGGGTGCTTCGCTGGGAAGGGGTTAGCAAGAGATGTGTTGGTGGAGGTTATGTAGGACACTCACGTGGGCACAATCATGAATTCCTGGAAGGCCAGACGTCCACCAGCATGGGAGCCACCGTTGAGCACGTTCATGAAGGGCACGGGGAGAACGTAGGGCTTCTTCGTTCCGGCGAGATCGCTGATGTGGGCGTAGAGGGGCACTCGCTTCTCCGCGGCGGCCGCCTTGGCGACTGCCATGGAGACACCGAGAATGGCGTTTGCGCCCAGATTTGTCTTGTTTGTTGTTCCGTCGAGCTTATTCATGAAGTTGTCAATGGCGAACTGGTCCTTGACGTCAAGGTTGGCTTTGATGAGTTGGGGCGCGATGGTGTCGTTCACGTTGGCCACGGCTTTGAGGACGCCTAGCGGAACGCGTTGTCAGTGGTTGTTCTAACAGCATCGACGTTATTGTATCCGACTCACCCTTTCCTCCCCAATGAGTTTTGTCATCGTCGCGCAGCTCGCATGCTTCATGGGAGCCTGTTGAGGCACCGGAAGGAACAATGGCCCGGTGGAGGCCGGTCTCGGTGATGATGTCGACCTCGACGGTGGGGTTGCCACGGGAGTCGTAGACGGAGCGGGCGTGGATTTTGGAGATGGGCATGGTTGCGATCTGGCTCAACGATGTCAATGGTTAGCTTGGGGTGGTGTTGCGAGGGTGCAAGAATGGGGAGGGTTGATCGCGGAGTGTCACTCACCTTTCACTTGGTATTTCGCTTTGCGGATGTTGAGGGAAGGAAGAGGGAAGTGGAAGATGACGATGTGTTGATTTTTGACGGAAACTCTCGGAGAGGCAGAAGAGTTGAAGCGCCAACAGCCCCACCAAACGACTGGAGCTCCCCTCACTGTTTCTCAGCAGCCCTTTAATCGTTTAAGGTTGGCGCCGCTGTACCCCCTTTGGGACTAGTGAGGCTCTGCTGGATTACGCTTCTGGTGCTTGCCTGAGAGATGCATGAGAGAGGCCATCACATCAACATCATCCGCCTTGATTCCGCCCCTGTCATCGCCATCTCGACATCATCCATCCCGTCATCCGCCGTCATCTCTCCACTACTGTCCTGATCCCTCACTCGCCGCTCTCCTCCGGCAATCCCGGTCACATCACCTCAGTATGGCGTCCGATCCGGAGCGCGATCAGGCCCTGGAAGAGTACAAGAACAAGCTGTTGGAGTCACGCGAGTGGGAGGCAAAGCTCAAAGCGTTACGATTAGAGATCAAGGGTCTTCAGAGGGACTTTGACGTGTCGGAAGACAACATCAAGGCGTTGCAGAGTGTGGGACAGATCATCGGCGAGGTGCTCAAACAGCTCGATGAGGAGAGATGTAAGTCAGCCTCCATGTGACCCCCCGGAAACAGAAGGCTGATAGAGCATGCGCACTACAGTCATTGTCAAGGCCTCCTCCGGCCCTCGCTATGTCGTCGGCTGCCGCTCCAAAGTCGACAAGGTCAAGCTCAAACAAGGCACGCGCGTCGCCCTCGACATGACCACCCTCACCATCATGCGTATGCTGCCACGCGAAGTCGATCCCCTCGTCTACAATATGTCTTTGGAAGATCCGGGACAGGTGTCGTTTGCTGGAATCGGAGGGCTGAACGATCAGATCAGAGAATTGAGGGAGGTGATCGAGTTGCCACTCAAGAACCCCGAACTCTTCCTACGGGTGGGCATCAAGCCGCCAAAGGGTGTCTTGCTCTACGGCCCCCCGGGTACTGGCAAGACACTTCTGGCGCGAGCAGTGGCGAGCTCCCTGGAGACAAACTTCCTCAAGGGTGTGTTCCATTTCTTCGCCCTGATATGGATCCCCCAGCTGACATATCCCAGTCGTCTCCTCCGCAATCGTAGACAAGTACATCGGCGAATCCGCACGACTCATCCGAGAGATGTTCGGCTACGCCAAGGAACACGAGCCGTGCATCATCTTCATGGACGAAATCGATGCCATCGGCGGCCGACGCTTCTCCGAGGGCACTAGTGCTGACCGTGAGATCCAGCGCACGCTCATGGAATTGCTCAACCAACTCGACGGCTTCGACTACCTCGGCAAGACGAAGATCATCATGGCCACCAACCGCCCCGATACCCTCGACCCGGCCCTGCTGCGTGCTGGTCGGCTGGATCGCAAGATCGAAATCCCCCTGCCTAACGAAGCTGGTCGACTTGAGGTGCTGAAGATCCACTCGGCGGGCGTGCAAAAGGAGGGCGAGATTGATTACGAGAGTGTTGTCAAGATGAGCGACGGCCTCAACGGCGCGGATCTGAGGAACGTTGTGACCGAGGCTGGCTTCTCCGCCATCAAGGACGATCGCGATGCCATCAACCAGGACGACTATAACAAGGCTGTCCGTAAGGTGATGGAGACGAAGAAACTCGGTAAGTCTTCCTCATCTATGCACTATGAAGTCCGAATCATGCTAACCACGTCGACGCGGAAGAAACTAAACTTGAGTACGCTAAAATTTGATGCCCCGGGAAAGCACATGAGAGAGTGGCCGTGGTGGCTGAACTATTGGGCAAGGGGAGGATGAAACCAGAGGATCGAAAGCGTGCTGTGGCCGAAAGCGAAGGCGTTCGGCGGAAGGCACTATCTCGCATAGAAGAGCATCATGGCAAGCCGCTGGGAGAGCGACGCGCATGCCTGTACCATACAAGTTATTCAAGAGAGCGTGTAACAAGTATAATCCCTATAATACTCCTGGGGGTCGAGGAACGTGAGGCAGCGCGCGCCAGCACGGGGCCCCTCGTGATGCCACCCCTTAACAACGTGGCTGCGTCTGTTTCCAGACGCTGGATTGCCGCACACTACACGTACTGTATTGGGTCGTCCATGTCACAAAGTCTTTGGAGCAGTGGGTGAATTGGATTAGACGTGGAAGCGCTCGAAACGTGTGCGTTGCGCGGCCGGCGTGCTCTCAACGGAGCCATTGTCGATGCACCCATGCCATTAAGCGTACTTATGGCCCATAGAAGGACGCCTTCAGACTGAGACTATCCGTGCAATCTCCGTTTAGACTATGTTCTTCGTGCTGTTGGTAGATGTGCACCATCTCCCCACGGAAGCGTTAAGGTACTGCCTCGATGGCGACTGTAAGCACGCCCTCTACTACACCTACAGCGAAGAGAAAGAACCAGGCGACTAAATTCCCGACAGCACTCACCCCCTACAACCATCATTGACTTCCGACGCGGCGAAGCAGCGGTCACACTTTCAATCCTCATTATGTTGTCGCAGTATCGCGAGCTTCCCATCAAGGCTTTTGGCTCCGTGCTTGTCGGAAGGCCAACCATCAACGTCACGCTGATCGCCCCCATCGGCGACTCAGACGTCCGCCGAGAATACATGGGCGGCAGAGTGATTACTCTCAGAGAATCACGCAACCATGAGACGGAGCATTTCAGCTTTGAGTGGGTTACTCCCATCCGTGATGATCAAGAGAGCGCGTAACCAGTCCAACCCGACTCCAATCCCTCCCTCCACCTGTGCACTCACCAAAACGCCGTAATCCTACACTCGATACTATTCCTCGGCTCCTCGGCCTCCATCCCCTCCAACCCCAGCGAAACATGCGGACTCCCGAGCGCAACGCTCGCGTCGACCTCCGACTGCGTATCCGCCAGCTTGATAAATAGCACCTCGTCCGCCTGCTGCTCCGGCAACCAGTACCACTTTTGCTGCGTCGGCTTCGTCTTGGACGGCACGACGTAGTACCCTTGCATTATAAACTCACCGCTCTCGTTGACGCTGCTTCTCGTGCGGAAGTCGAAGGTCGCGAGTTCGTGCTCGGGGTCGAGGGTTCGCCAGTCGCAGACCGCCAGGGGGTCGCGTTTGACGGGTTTGATGGGGCGCTGTGGAGGGATTGGAGTTAGATGGGTAGGGGACGCTCGAGTGGAGGGGGATCAACGAACCCAGATTGAGAAGGCGGCGTAGCGCGGTGCCTCGTCCGCGCCACTGTCTTCCTTCTCCACGCTGTCCTTCGCTGCTTCGACGAGACGCGCTGGTCCGTATCGCACGAGTTTCCTGAGGCCGGCGACTGTGTTGTCGATATGAGCGAAGCGGACGGCCTCGAGGGATTTTTCGAGTGTCTGCCCGCCCAACCCTGTACCGCCAGCTCGTCAGCAACAACGAACGACAGCCAGTCGATAAGCAAAGCACACGTACAAACAGACGTATACTTCGGCTTCTCCGCAATCTCCTTGTCCATCATCTCGCCTCGTTTCCAGTAGAACTTCGGGTCCGCCCTCGCCTTGCTCGCCGGCTTCCGCCGCACGCCCACATTGTATACAGCCACGCGCTTCGCGCCCAGCACCTGCATTGCCAGCGCCTTGATTTCAGGGATATACACATCCTCCACCGTCGTGCCGGTGAAGTAATCGTCCTCCGTCACGAGCGGAGAAGTATGTTTGATGTAAGCGAAGCCTTGCTTGTCGAGCCCCTCAGGGCCGTGGATGACATTCGGGTCGGTGCGGATGTCGTGCAGGGCGACCTGGCGTTCGAGGACCTCGAGGCAGGCGGGTGGGGCGAACATGGCGCGGAGTTCGGGGGTATTGTCCGGGTCGGGGGTTTGCAGGCGGATGGTGGCATGTTGGTGATGTACCGTGTGGCTGCTATTTGGTTGGACCATGGTGGATGGCGGCGACGGATGGGCGATTTGTATGTGCCCGTGGATGGATGAGGAATGAGAGAGGCTGAGGAAAGAGAGCGGACGAGGATAGAGATAGGACGAGGAGTTATAGGAAATTCCTCACCCTCAAGTAGCTCCATCTCGTCTCGACCTTACCAAGATGATCGTCAACTGCAATCCTTCGTACAGCGTACATCGCAAGCTTGCCGCGCACAGCGTCCCGTCAGATGTGCCCTAGCAAGTCAGCACTGCAGCGGGCAAACATAAAGTTCAGTAGCGACCTGCTGCAAGCATGAAAGGATAGTGGCAACGAGGTGGGGTTGAAAGAAAGCTGAGTAACAAAGATTTTGAAGGTCGGGTATAATCATGCCTAGCTAGGATATTAGCCTACTACCTCTCCCATCAAGAAAACAGTTCTGAAGAAGAAGAAGAAACGTAGCAGCAATCCCACGCCTCCTCAAACTCGGCCCCTAGATCATCGCTTCCGTCTTCGCCTTCGCCCTTCACACCCTGCAAACCATCCCTCATCAATTCGTCCAAGAGCCATCAATTCATGTTAGAAGGGGTATATAAAGCCGGGCAAGGCTCGAAGCAAACAAACTCGCTTTCCAGAAAATCCAAACAAAGCCAAGAGTGTAGAATATGCCATAAAATCGTGAATCGAGATCGTCCAGCGCCTCAGCTTCCGTCACCCCATACCAGTACCAGATCACTTCTTCCTACGCTGCGCCGAACTGCCGCCGGCAAACCAAGCAGCAAGGCCAGTAGGCTCCTTGTGACTCCTCGCCTTCACAATCACAGGCCGCTTCGATTTGTCCTTCCTCTCATCGCCCGAAGGAGGAGGCGGCGGCGCGAAGACGGTATACGGATCCGCAACAAAACCAGGCGGGTACTCATGAGGCAGCAAACCAGGGGGCGGAGGTCCGACTTGGATGATCTCCGGCTGAGGGGACGACTTCTTCTCCCGCTTGCTCCCCTTCCTCTTGGGCCTGTGCTTGCCATCGTGCGCGAGCATGTCGTGGATGCCCAGCGCGGAGAATGGATCTGCAATCATGTTCGGGTCGTGGTGATGGTGGTGCTTGCCCTTCTCCTCCACCGGCCACATGTGCATGCTGATTTCCCAGTCTGGTTGCACGCATGCGTCCCACACTTGCGGCAGGATGATCTCGCCGTCGGGACCCATTAGGTCGTAGTGGCCGGCGCGCACGTGATCGCCAATGACATCGACGTGCAAAAAGGCCTGGCGAATGAGGCCCTCCATGCCCTTCCAAGACTTGCAAAGGTTGAAGGGGAAGTTGAATTTGCGGCCCACGGCGTCTTTGAACTTGATCGCTTTGCCAGCGTCTGGCGGCGGCTTGAGCTTCTTATTCTCCTCCTCAACCTCTTTCGACTTCTTCTCCGCTGCTTCCTTGGCCACCTGTATTTCCTTGAGTTTCTTCTCGTGTTCCTCTTTCGCCTTCTTGGCCGTCTCCTCTGCCTTCTTCTCGGCCTCCTCGCGAGCCTTTTTCGAAGCGACTGCGATCTCCTCCTTCTTTTTCTTTTCCTCCTCATCCTTTGCCCGGGCTGCTGCAAGACTGGCCGCCTCAGCCTCAGCTCTCTTAATCATGGCGATCTCGCGAGCGACACGCGCCTCTTCGTGCTTCTCCATGAGCGTCTTCAACGCTTCCAGCTCCTTCCTGTCTTCAGTGGATGCAGTCGGTGTTGGCGGCATTTGGTTGAGGAGTGGTGCATACATGCTCGCCAAGTGTGGATTCGCTGCCAGATTGGCAAGCATGTTGTAAGAAGCATACGACGGCATTGGCGGAGCACTGTAGGCACTCATCACGTCGGAACCATAGTAGCTCTGCGGACGAGGCATTGGCGGTGGACGATGTTGTGGCTGCGAAGGAAAATAGCCCGAAGACGAGGATGAGTCCATTGGTGAGAAGGGGTGGTGAGGCGGAATGGGAGCGCTGTAGGGGCCGGGATGAGGATAGCCATATGGGTCGGCCGAAGGGGGCATATGGATCAAGGCTTGCTGCGCCGCGTAGTGCTCAGGGTAATAGCCACCATGGCTCATTGGAGGCGGCGCTGGTGCCGGCACGTGTCGGTAGGGCAATCTGCCATGGTGGCCGTAGGGGTAGTCGTCGTGGGAAGCCACGGCGCTGGAGGACTCGTCGGAGGCGGCACGTCGCGACTCGCCGCGTCGGCGCCTGCTCGAGTGGCTTGTAGTGGAGGGCCGTCGGTGGGAGGCGTCACGGACTCGTGGGTCTTCTTCGGGCTCGACCTCCTCGTGTAGCACGCTTCTGCGGGAAGAGTGTCGACGGGTGGTGGTGGGGCGGTGAGCGCTTTCGGCGCGGGTGGTGGAATGTCGTGGTCGTGTGGCAATGGAGGCGGACGCGGACTCGAAGGGACGAATTTCGTCGTCGTCGCCGCCCGACGGGGGATCCACCTCGTCCCAGCCCTCTGAAAGGCCGGAGCCCGGGCTGCGACTACCGGCGCTGGAAGCGGGAGAGTGAATGGATCGCGCCGATGCGCTGCCTCGTGAGGAAGTGCGCGCCCTCTGCGAGCGCACGACCACTTTCTCGGGGCCGGTGTGGACGGTGTATGAGGGTCTGGAAGAGTCGTGCGTCAGTTTCAATTCAGCTCAGGTCGGGTGGATGTACGATGGCGTAGCACGGCAGGCCAAGACTTCTGGAGCTGCGTAGGGCCGACTGTGCGACAGATGAGGGGCAAAAGACTTACGGCATGGGGCGATTGATGGACGAAGAAGCAGCTGGAGCTGCAGCCTTCTTGCTGAACAAGTCGTGACTTGTCTGCCTCTCAATGCAATGCAATGGCGGGGACAGAGGAGAGGTTTGTTTCGCTTCGCCTTTGGACAGCTCCAGCGCGTTGCTCGGCCAAAGAAGGAAGGCGCGCAAAGTTTCGGGGAAATAAAGTGGTACGCGCCTCGCGCTAGTCGGCGGCGCGTCACACGCAACTTGCTTGCCCGGCAACCTGAGCAACGTCAAGAGCTGGAGCTTGCAGATGCGTCTGGTTAGATTGAATCGCCGCGATGTCGAGAGGAGAGGTAATGCTGCGAATCTCCAGAGAAGGTCAAGGGATTCCCGAATCCCGAAAGTGGAAGCAAGGCGCGTCAGCAACCCCTTGCTTCGGCCGCGGAGGGGTCGAGAGCTGTTTGGCTGCTCAAGCGCCTCCAATCTCGTTTATCGCGAGACTGGCAACGTTCGTGCAGCCGCGGGGTAAAAGCTGGGGTAAGGTAGATGGTTTCAGGGCTGTAGATGTCTCAGTACAGCATCCCGTCCAAGCAGCGACCTTGGATGAAGGCGACTTACCTTCTAGCAAGAGTTTGCTCGTGGCTAGAGATTGCAAGATGAAAGGCTGACGAGGATGCGAAGTTGACGGGTAGAAAAACCAAAAGATGCGTGTGACAAGTCGCCTCGGCAGCAAGAAGGCGTTGCTGAGAGCGGAGTGACGAGTGGCAATGCGATGCGATGCCTCGACAACCAATGTGCAGCTCTGGGTGCTCTTCACCGATCCGGGCGTCGCAGTTTCGTAAGATCAACACTCAGTACCACCACGAGAGAAGGCATTGGTTTCAAAAGGGGAGCAAAATTGGAAGACGCAAGCAAGGGGTTCAAACGTCGCCGTGCATGCAAGACTGCCGGAAGCAGGAGGAAGGCAAAGTACATATAGCAGGCGGCAGTCCGCATAAACAGGATCGCAGCGGCGCTTATGATAAGGTGAGGCAAAGCAGCGGGTATGACTCTCCTCCGGCTGTTGTCTTTGCTGATGACATGGAGCATGAGAAGTCCTCTTCAGCGAAACACACATCCCCGGTAACTGGCGCCCAATTGGCAAACTTCCGTCGGAGACTGTGCCAAACGGAAACGCGAGAATCTTCCCATAAGCGCAAGGTAGGCAGGCGGGCTGCATGACGTCCGATACATCGCTCGCCACGTATGCCCAACGCGCGCGCTAAGATTGGGCATTCATGTCACTCGTCAGCATTCGAGCCTGCCACTAGGTGGCAGATCTCCCCGAACGAACGACGCAACGACTCGCAATGTCGTGTCGCTGGTTGCGAGGAGCACAGAGTAGAATGCTGTACTACTGTGCGAAGGAAACGTGCCACCCATGCAACAACCAACTTCCAATACGTGCATACCGGTTGGATGGAAAAAATTCCGTTGGGATGCATGCAGACCTGCGGCCGGCGTGGATCAATCGAAAGCAGGGCGACGTACGTTGACGTCGACGAGCAGCCAAACACCATGCATCTTTCGCGCCTCCTGCAGGACCAATGAAGTGCTTGACACTTCCGGTCCTCTCAAGCCGACGAGATATGCACCTGCAGACAATCCAAATCCGCCACTTCCGTGCTCTGCACTTCGTCGTCGGGGTTGAGTTTGTCGCCGTCAAACTCCAGCGATAGCTGCTGACCTTCCAGTGCCGCGTGCGTTTTGGTGTAGGCGGCGATGATGCGTGCGAAGGTGGTGCTCTGTATGGCCAATGATTAGCGCGGCGCCCATGGCTCTCATGAGGGGGGATGAAGTAGTGACGTACGGCTTTCACTTTCAGCTTGAAGTCTTCTTCCCCTTTGGCTTTCAGTAATAGCCTTATGAATTCTTCCTTTGCCGGTTCGGTTGATTGCAACTCGGCTTCGTCTTCTGCGTGCGCGAACGATTCTCCATTCCGCTTCTGCGAGTCTTCCGCCTTCTCGAGCTTCTTCTGCCGGAACGTTTCTTCCGTCACCGCTTCAAGATGCACCTTATCGACGTCTTCTTCGCCCTCTCCTCCCTTGAAGGTCAGGTTGCCAAAGGAGTCGACTTCCAGTCCGAGACTTCGGCAAGTCGTGACATCGTAGACGCGGCCTGCACATTTCATGTCAGTAGAAGTCCCTGCAAGCTATCACTTGTAGCCCACGTACGCATGCGATGCACGAAAAACACATCCTTCGCCGCCTCCTCCGAAAACCCCTGCCTTTCGCACCAAATCTTTCGGACGGCTCCGATGTTCTGCGAAAGTTTGCGATACACCAACATCGGCTTGGTGCCTTCCAATGTAGAGGAGACAAGTAGCTGTATGGTCGGGTCGGGAGGCGGTGTTGTTTGGCGCGCTTGTCCGGTATCGAGAGCAGGTCCAACTGCTGGAGAGGCACGAGTTGTATGAGATTGGCCAAGAGCTTTGTCTTGCCCCAGATCATCCTTTGATTGTCGCTGTTGCCGTGCGCGTCGTGCCAGAGCGGCGAATTCATCGTCGGAATCCTCTTCCACTGGTTCGTTGAGTGGTATTTGAGGTTGGAATATGTCTTCGTGGCCCTCGCCATCCGAGCTTCCAAGATCCACGACCTGGATGTTGGGTCGATCTCTTCGTGAAGGCGTACCATCCCCAGCGACAGCATACCTCTGCTTCCCCCTCGGCGACCGTCGTACTACGCCCTCCTCCCTTCGCAAACCATCCACACTCCCGTTGTAGCGATCTCGCCGTGGCGAAGCCGCAACACCGCCATCAACAGGCATATAATCATCATCGTCATCTTCTTCCGGCGGAGATATGCGCATCCTCTTGCTAGCTGCCGCATTCGGCGCAGCCTCCCCATCAGCCTGCCCACCACTGTCCCGCTTTCGCGATAATCTTCGCTCCTCCTTTTCCTTTTTCCTGTCCAGCTTCGCCTGTTTCTTCCGCTCTTGCTCCGCTACAATCTCGCGGAATGCGCGGCCCGAGTGGCTGAAGATGTTGGTGTCCGGTTCATCGTTGGCCAGCTCGGTGGTTTGTGTTGATTTGGCCCATGCCGGCCGGTTGAATAGTGACATGGTTGTCGCTGTCGGCGATGAGAGATGTGCGGTTCACCTCATTTGTTCTTGGATCCCTGAGCTTCGAACCAAATGTTCTCAGCAAGACATTTCTCCAGAAGTGAAGTGAGCTCTTGGGCGCGCAACGCTCAAGTCCACGGCCGCGTGAAGTGGCACTCATAGTTATGGTCCGTGCGCAAGGCGGGCGTCTGGAAGAAATTCACAGTCGCAACCACTTCACCAACCCGCCTGCACAATCACGAACTCGCAACCAAAAAAAGCATGAGCGGGACAGACGACGGCCCCAACGGCGCAGCCGACACGAAAGATCCCTCGGGTTTCCTGAGCGAAATCATCGGCGCGCCAGTGACGGTCAAACTGAACTCTGGCGTGGTATACAAAGGTTTTTTGCCCTCTTCATTCTCACGAGCTGTTTCAACGTGACTGACTTGTGCTTGCGAAAGGCGAATTGCAATCCGTCGATGGCTACATGAACATCGCGCTCGAGCAGACGAAGGAGTACGTGGATGGCAATCTGCGCCGGAATTACGGGGACGCGTTTGTGAGGGGGAATAACGGTCAGTTGCCATGTGCGTTTTGTGAATGGGAAGTGTGGTTTGCTAATTGGGACCAGTTATGTATATCTCCGCCGACTCATCATGACGAGGGGTTCGGAATGGGTGAGCGGTGCGGCGAACTATTAGGGCCGCGCATGGCGCGTGTTGAAAAGCGTCTATGGGGAGTCTAAGTCTATGAAAGATGTCATCTTGTGCCGAGGAGCTATTGCCTCTCAACATCGGCCAACTCATCGCGACCTTCGGCGGGTATCTTCGAGGTCCAGACAGCAAAGGTCGTTCCATGAACAGCTACCCTTCCCTCGCCATCCGTCTCAGTGTCTGGACTGTTCAGTGCTTCCATAAAAGTCTTGTACGTTTTCTAGGATGATGGTTAGTGGTTGGAAATCTCAAAACCACAGCCCACGAGCGCACTCACCTCCCGCTCCTCACCCTCCAGCACAGCAATGTGACTGAGCGTGTTGAACCTGTCCCAGATCTTCTCCTTGGGCAGCCACGTCTCGAATGCCTCTTGTTGCTCACCAAGCGGAAGCGAGAAGAACTGTTCGTCGTCACCCGATGGCAGCAAAGACAGTGGCGATGATTTGACCTGCTCGTCGAAGACCTCTCGCCATTTCTCGTGCCGAAACCTCGGGTCCTCGTCGTTGAAGGACCAAATGAGATCGTGCGCTTTTGCCTCCCAAGTCGTCTTGGCCTTGTGTCCCTGCGGTGCATTGTAATCCTCGATATTCCACACCATTCCAAGATGACCGTGGCGTTTCAGCACACGATGGATTTCTTGTAATGCAGGCTTGGTCGCAAACCAGTGGAAAGCCTATCGGGTGCTCAGCACGAGACACCAAAACCTGACCAAGAGAGCAGCAGCAAGGCAGCCGACGCCTACGGGGAAACACCTACTTGAGCACAAATCACTGCATCTACACTCGCATCCGGCAGGGGAATGGCATCAGCCTTGCCATCCTTGACCGTCACGCCTCGCAGCTCCTTTCCTGCGAGCACGCCACGCATTTTCTCGTGCGGCTCAACGGCCACGATTTCGAATTGCTCCTCGCGAGCCGCCACGGCTTCGGTGAATTTGCCGGTGCCGGCAGCCAAGTCGAGGATTTTGGCGTGCTGCTTGCCATTCACCTGGAGATTGTCGAGGAGAAGCTGCACAATGGTGGGCGAGTAGGTGGGGCGATATTGGTCGTATTCCTCGCCTTTGGCAAAGCCCACCCGGGCGCGGGTCTTGAACGTATCCTCTTGCGACATGGTCGATGCGTGTTTGATGACGAGAGTGGTTTGGGATTCCGTCCGAGATCGGGAGCACGAGGGACACGCGGAGGGTCGGCTCGAGGCAGTAGCGGCGGAAGGCTTAGCCACCGAACTGTTTATCAGCCACATGGCCATGTCAACAACGAGCACATCGGACCCAAACTTGCTGCCACTGGTGATTTGCCTGGATTGGATGATGCTTGCAGCTGCTAGCACACACCACGCACATCGACTTGCCGTCTCGTAGGCTCCTCCATCCCTCCGTGCGGCCGTGTGGCCCTTCCATAACACGAAACTGTCGCGAACGTGAAGTTATCCGGTCTGTGCTGTTCAGACTGCACCCACCTCCCTGCAGGCAACAGGCCGCAGATATATGTGCGGCTGCATCGCTTGGACAAAAATACACTCTTCTACCATTCCTTCTCCTCGTATTCGTCTCGTGCGCAGCACTCGTCATCGCCGAACGTGGTGATTATTTGCTGATGGGAGGCTTGTAGAGCTCGCTTGCTGTAAAGGGAAGGCTGAGAGTTCACGCTAGTCGCGCCTTCCTTCGCGGAAGGCTGGGTGGGCTGGACGATCTCCACAAAGCAACAAACACCACCACTTCACCTTCCCAATCCTTTAATTGGCTCTTCAACAATCCCATTCATATTTTGTCGACTCGACCGCCGCTTCCTACCTCATCTCCATATCATGAGTCCACGGACATCATCTCACTGACTCCTGTGACGGCAGCCAACTGCACACATCGCCCTCCACCGCTGGACCTCGCTTAGCACATCTTTACGACCGTCAACACTGCCTCGCCGAGTCGAGTCGAGTCCTAATCGCACGGTGCACACATACAAATCCTCGACTACAACGATCTGGATACATCCACATTCATGCGGCAATAGATTTCACGCGACTTCCCTACTCTGTCGCAGATTGTCCACCGGCCCCGGGCACATCCACCCCACAACACCGGCCTCATGCCCAAGAACCCGCTCAAGTTCGCGAGACGAAAGTCTGCCGCTTCTGAGGAGCCGACCACCACTCCTGCCGTCTCCTCCTTCCGCGTACTCGAGCGCCCGCAGAAGATCAATCTTGATGGCTACGACCGAACACCACTGGCCACCCGGCCCATCAACTCGCCGAGTGCCGTGCCGTATCCTGGCTCCATCGACCGACTGGACGTGTGTCCGACAAGGTTTGTTCATGGACATCTCATCCAGCTCTTTGATCCCGCTAATCCTTTGCAGAGCGAGTAACAGCACGATAACATCCAACTCAAGCGGCTACTACTCGCCTTCCGCACGCCACAGTTCCACCTCTACCCTTCCCTCCTCTGTCGATGCCGAGAAAGAGCCGGAGAATGAGGAGCTGTTCCCCCGCAAGGGCAGGACTGCGACCGTATTTGAAGAGATTCCCTTCAACCACAACGGAACGAAACACCAGCGGGCCATCTCAAGTCCTTACATGATTCCGGCGCCACCCGTTCGGCCTAAGAATGTCGCGACCAGCCCAGAGAGAAAGGGAGGGCCTCGCAGGGAAAGAGCTTTGACTACGGCAAGCTATGTGAGCACCACACAGCCAATTCTCGTTCCAGGCATCGATCCGACCGATTTCGTCGGCGACGATGTGTTTAGGCCGACGAGTGGGGATAGATGGGACGATCTAACACACGCACCATCACCTTCGAATGGCCACCGCAGGACCGATACAGAACTGTCGTTCCCGCCACAGACACACTCTGGATTCACATCGCGGCATGGCTCACCCGACATAATACGGGAAATGCCGAGCTCGCCGTACGCCTGGGACCGTAGGAATTCCAGTGACAGGCTCATGTCCAGCTCACCACGTCGCTCACCCAGCCCCGAAGCTCCTCCAGTTCCGCTTCATCGAAGTACCAACGGCACCACTCCTTCCGTTTCCCCATTTCAGAAGAGCTTCTCGCCAAGCCTGGAACGATCATCTCCTCCCGTGTTTGATCGAACTTTACGAGACCGGCCGCTAAGCTTTCTGCGCGAGCAGCAAATCCCTGGGGATATCCCGGAGGAAGATGATTCTTTTGTCGAGTCTGGATCACGCAACGCCACTCCCCGAGCCGCTAGGTGGTTGGTCTCGCGGCAAGAGGACGGCTCACTGTTTGGTTCCTCGCCCACTGGCACGCCGAGCCGTGCCGTTCGACCGCGACATGGCCGTTCCGCAAGTGGCTCGCCGAAACGCATGACCAAAGCCCAGTTCGAGCAACTCCAGAAAACTGGAGATTCAAACTCGAGTCAGAATGGAGCAGCGGAGGAGCATGACGAGGCCGATGAATACGAAGACGATGACGATATGGAAAGGGCAACTCGGATGACGAAACAGCGACAGAGACAGGAGGCAAACATGTCGCTTTACCGGCAGCAGATGAGGAAAGTCACCGGCGCAAAGCCGACAGACACCGACTCTCCGCCTCCACCGAACTTTGGACGGGTGTCTCCGAGTGGATCGGCCTCGATACATCTTGGCGGACTGACTGGTGCAGAGCCAGCCGTTGCTGCAGGGACACCACCACACGATGAGGAGGATGAAGATGTGCCTCTGGGGATACTGCAAGCTCACGGCTTCCCGCGGTCCAGCCGATCTGCCAGTCGATGTGGAGACGATGTCAGCAGCCAGCTGCGTGCCTCTGGAGGACCTTCACATGACAATCTGCCGCCCTTCGCGAGGCGACTTCCAGTCGATCCGTACTATGGAGCTGCGCTCGGACAGTCAGCCGCTGCTCAGCCACATCCCGGAGGCCTCGTGGGCATCATTGCGGATGAAGAACGCGCCAAAGCGGCACGCAGAGGGGGCCCGAACGCGGTGGCGGGCGGATATGGCCGTGCGGTATCCTCAGGCAGTGCTCTGGCGCCGCAGATGTATGCGCCGAGCGCGATGTCGATGATGGGCTTGCCGCAAATGCAGATGATGGCTGGCCAATCTCCGGAGCAGATGCAGCAGTTCATGCACATGCAGATGCAGTTGATGCAAAACATGCTAGCGATGCAGCAGCAGCAACAACAGCCGGGTTTCATGCCCGATCTGAATCCTACGCCGCTCCGCGCAAACGCCGCGCCGTCTATTAGGAGTGGGCGTGCTATGAGCATGCTCAATCCTCCATCGATCTGGGAGGCTCCTCAAGCCTTGCCTCGACCGAAGACCTGCGCACCTTCTGGAATCAACATGACTCGCGGGCCACCCTCGCAAGCGTACACGCCGTCCATCGCACCGAGTGAGCGCAGCAATGTCGGCCTACCGTCCCGCTACCGCCCGGTGGCCGGCAGCAGCAACGGTAACAGCGAAGCATCCGCCCGAACCGCCAGCACATCCTCGGTCATGATCCGCCAAGGACTAAACGACTCCTCCTCTGATATGGGGAAGTCGGAGCAAGGCGAACCGCCGTCGAACGCCACCATTCGCGCCATCGACAAGCCCAAGGGCATGCCTAGATTCTACTCCTCGATGACGACGCGGTCTGTCACTAGTAACGAAGACGAGGAGGAGGAGCAGCAAGGCTGGGCGGAGATGCAGAAGTCGCGAGAGGAGCGACAGAAGAAGAGGAAGATGTCGCTTTTTGCTGGCAGTGCTGGTGCTAGGCAGGGCAAGGAGTTGTCGATGGAAGAGCTGGTGCGGAATTTGAACTGATTGCTTTTCGCATTGCATGGCATGCGCGGGGTTGTTCGAACACCACCACATTGTGTAAATGGGGGGTTTGGATTAGCGACGGCGCTTTTAAATGGGACTGCCGGAGCCCTTTTCCATCTTTTCGTAAAGATAATGATAGACACGAGATTCCGTAAACTGGAGAAGTCACAGACTTCCGATTCCCTCCTGTGATGAAAATGAACAAACATTCCTCAATTACGTCTTATCCCTACAATTTCGCTTTCTTGCTCGTCACCTCCCCCACCCACGGCCGCTTGTCCTCGATGAACAATTCTTGCCTCGGCTGCACTCTATGATCCTCCAGCGAGCCGCCATGTAAAACAATCAGGCCTTTGAACTGCGGGTTCTTCATAAACATCGGACATCCCTGCCATCCATTAGCAAAACAAAGAAGCTAAGACAAAAGAAAAAACCTACACAAGTCCCGCAAAAATGCCTCTCCAGAGGATTGCCGCTCTTCGTGTTGGTATCAACGTACTGCCTAATGGCCTCCTCGCCTTTGGCGAATGTGAGCTCGCCCGGCAGGAAGCGGTGGTTGTAGGCGAAGGCGCTGCCCGAGGCGCGCCGGCAGTTGGAGCAGTGGCAGAGGACGGAGCCTTTGTCGATGCCGGTTACGGAGAGTTGGATGGCGGCGCAGTTGCAGGTTGCTGTTAGGGTTGTGGGGGGTGGGGAGGGCTTTTTGGTGGACATGGTTCAGGCTGGTAGAAGAGATGTGGGTTGTGGTGGGGAAAGAGGATTGAGTAATGAGATGGAGATGCTGTCTTACACTGGATGACTGGAGAGGAGGAAGAGGAGGTGAGGTTCAGGCTCTGGCCGGGCGGATGTCGGGTAAATCGCCACTGGGGGCGAGTCTACGTGGAATAACGGCATGATTGACTGCAACTTACGACTCGTATAAATTTACTGATTAGACGGGAAACATGGGGCGAAGTATACTATGATCTATCGTTTACATTTATTAAGAAGTACGCTCATCCATCAAGGTCGAGTATCTCCATCGCCAATCCTCCAGCCAGGCACCTTCCGAATGCGGGAAGAGGGATGCGGCGCGCAACAGCCGAGTGACGTCTAGGCCTCGGCATCTCACACCCTCGGAGACCTCATCCTCCACTTCCCTTCTACGCACACGTCCTTTATCAAGCATTACACATCATTGTCCGCAGCACTTGAGCCATCTCTCCGAGCACCGTGAACAACACCCACTCGCAGTCATGACTAAGCACAAACTCACCCTCTTCGTCGATATCATCAGTCCATTCGGCTACATCGCCTTCTACGTCACCAAGGTACACTATCTCCCCACCATTGACCCTCTCGCATTGAGCATCCACAACAAGACAGCAGAGCTCCTCTAACTAATCAACCTCCCCTCCCAGAACTCGCCCATCTTCAAGCAATGCGACATCACCTACGTCCCCATCCTCCTAGGCGGAGTGATGAAAGCAACCAACAACCGTCCCCCCCTCGAGATTAAAAGTACCGCTTCCCAATCCCCAATCCCCCCTAAAACCCCCAACTAACCACCCCCTGCCTTCCCCCCAACAGACAAAGACGTCTGGATAGCCAAAGAGCGCAAGCGCTACATCAAAGCCTTCTCCATCCCCTCCCTACCCGACACCCCGCAACCCTTCCCGCAATCCACCGTCACCGCCCAACGCGCCCTGTGCGCCATCGAGCTCCACCGCCCGGACAAACTCGTCGAAGCCATCGCCGCGCTCTACCACATCTTCTTCGTCGAGGGGAAGCCGATTTCCAAGGCCGAGACCGTGGCCGAGGCGCTGAAGGGTGTGCTGGGTGAGGCCGGGGCGAAGGAGATTATGGGCAAGGTGGGGGATGCGGAGGTCAAGCAGCAGCTGCAGGCGAATTCGAATAAGGCGATTGAGGCGGGGGCGTTTGGGTTGCCTTGGTTTGTGGCGACGAATGCGCAGGGGGAGACGGAGGGGTTTTGGTGAGTTTCTTTGTGTTGTTGATTGAGTCAGTGTGGTTGGTTGCTAATCTGCTGAGGACAGGGGCGTTGATAAATTGGGGCAGCTGGTGGAGCATCTTGGTTTGGAGAGAAATGGCGAGCCGGGTCTGCGTGCGCTGTTGTGATGGTCAGGATTGTTGTGATATACCTTGCCAGATGCATGCAAATTTGATTGTCATACACGACTACCCTAGTCCTCGTCTATCTTCGGCCCAAGATCGTCTAGTAATACATCCCCCGATGCCCTGGCCCGCAACCATTCGGCCTCTACACGGAAGAACACCCACATCCAGCGGCGGAATATCTCCATAATCTCCAACAAGAAGATGCCGCCTTCGATGTCGTAAAAGTGCTCCAGATGCACCGACAGTTTGGCCGACCACGTACACCGCAACACCAGATCCACTGCAATCACCGCGTAGTACAGTGTATTCGAATCGAAGACGCGCTGTCTTCGTAGGCCAAAAGGATGGGAGGGATCGTTGCAGTCGGAGGAAAAGAGACTTAGGTCCCAATCTCGTGCTACATCCCAGTAAAAGGAGTAGAGGGAATTGATCATGGCGAAGAAGAACCTGGATCACCACGTTAGCCAGAAAACACGCATTGAAGAGTATAGCAACGCTCACCATAGTCTGAAGAGTGACGTCGGAGTCAGGCCCACATCCTCCGCATGTCTTTGCATCGCGCTCAGCGCAATGGCTGGAAACGCCGTAGCATACTTCAGCGCATTGGCCGGCTGGCGATCAATAATGCATTGGCGAAACCGAATCAAAAACGGAACGCACATGACAATGGAAAGGATGTAGGTGCCGCCGCAATGCCTGTCGGGTCGGGCGGTGGTATGCTGGCCAGTGACGAGCATGCACAGCGTGACGTAGACTTCGGACAGCGGTTTGGCGTACGATGTGAGGGCATCGGCCAGCAGCACGTCGCCGAACTTGCCGTCGTCGGTCTTGGCTAGGCCGCCGATGGAGATGCGGCGCAGGGTGTGGAGGAAGCGCAGGCGGCCGGCGCGTGGGAGGTGTTGGACTGGGATGAGGAAGGCGAGGAGGAGTAGGAGTAGGTAGAGGTTGGGTACGATGTGCCATACGATGACGCTGTGGCTGGTGCCGTGTGTGAGGGTCCAGAAGAGGAGGACGGAGGCGAGTAAGGGGAGGGTGAGGAGGCTTGCGAAGCGGTAGATGGAGAGGTGGTGGGAGGGTTGATTGGTGCTTGAGCGAGCTGGGTATCGGATGAGGTGTGGTACGTCCTAAAAATGAATACGATTAGATCTGGTTGAGCAGTCGTACTGCTTTGCGAGGGAGACTCACGATTTTCAGCAGCCGTAACGCGTGTAGATTCACGCCCCAAAGCCAGACTCCCAGGACGATGAGAAGGGCTAGGCGGTAGGGGAGCGGCAGGATGAGACTGACGGAGTCCAGCTCCTCTTCCACTGCCGGTGCGCCATCCATCTATCGCCACATAACCGTCGCAAGACAAGGATGGAGAGGAGGGGCAAGAGAGACAATGAAACTGAACAACTTTTGAGGATGGCGCGTGCTGCGCCAGCGGAGACTCGGGGGTGCCACACTTCCAAGCCACACATCCTTGTCTGGTGAGGTGGCTGCGAATGTATTACGTCAGCCAATGTGTCTTCATGTTCCCGACTCCCCACCAAACTCCCCAAACTCCTCCTCAACTATTAGCCGCTCCGCATCTTCATCCCTCAAACAGACGGCGAATGCAATGTCTCCGGCCAAAGTCTTTGGCATGAAATAGCACAGTCCTTCCCAGGCTGGGAATGCCGGCCGCCTGACTGCACTCGCTTTGCCCAAGAGTCCGCCAAAGTCAAAGGCATAGCAATTCTCCTTCGCCCACGAGCTCATCTTCAGATCGGACGTAGGCACTGTGCTGCGAGAACTCGATGGACCAGCCGTCTTCGTCTCGCCCCTGGCAACTGAGCGCGAGAGCGCAGTTGCCTCGGCCCGCACTTTGTAGGCAATGTCCTCGTTGATGAGAGAGGAACGTAAATGCGAAGCGACAACGCCCAATGCAGCATCGACGACGTCCGCAATCTTGCGTGTGGTGGACACTTTGTGTACCGGCCCATTACCAGGATATGTCAATGGCACACCGAGATGATGTCGAGCATTTACTTGCCGATCGAATGTGGAGCTGCCCGCGGAGTCAAGTCGAGGGAGTCGTGCGCGAGTGATGTTCTGCCAAACGAAAGCAGAAAGCACGTCGTCGGTCGATACGAACCCAGATGGGACGTCGGTGGTCGCGATGGCTTTGAGGGACGCAAGGTATGCTGCGGAGAACGTGAAATAATGCCAAACAGCTCTTGGAGGTTCTGATTCCGTTGATGCTGGCGCCGTTGTTGTTGGCATCTGCTTCTGCCCGGGAGGCAATTTCGTCGATGTTTGGTCTTCCTCCAATAACGGAACAAGGTTCTGACGAGAGATGTTTCCCACTTTCAGCTCCTCCGCGGTAAATCCCTCACCTCTGCATGCTTTGGCGAAAAGATCAATGACTTGGCACTGTCCAGCCATATCCATACAGTTGTGCATTCCGTTGATGACCAGCAGGAGACCTCCAGTGATGAAAGTGGCCCGGAGGAGAAGTACTGGGGCGTCTTTGTCGGATTCCTCGGAGTCTGGCAAAGTGCTGCAAGGCGCAATGACTTTCTCGTCAAGCATGCGAAAGGGGAAGCCAGCCGTTTCCAGCTCTTGCATAGAAGGTAGGCTGTCCGATAGATCTTGGACATCGAGCCATGGCTTTTTGGTAGAGTTTGAATGTATTTTGAAGATGCCAGAAGAATCTTGAGTCACCACTCCGCCCACCCACGGAAACGCTTGCGCTAGAACGTCCAGGCCGCGATTCAGATGGTCGACGACTTGAGCCTTGTGCTGACTCGTATCGCTGGCCAGGCGGAAGCAGAAGCACAGCTGGGTGTAAAGCCGGTGCAGGCGAGGATTCTGCCCAAAGACATCCAGTTCGAAAGATGACGAGTCCATATTGCTCGTGGTTTGAGTGATCTAACAAGGACAACATTTTGCTTAGATCACTCATCAAATAGGATATTTGTAGTGTAGTCACGTTGTCCAGCGATGCTTTGTTCCTATCTCCGACCGATCTCGCGGCGAACTCGGGAGTGCCACAATTCCAAGCCACACTTTAAACCGATGTGGCGGTAAAGGTATTAGGTAAGCTTCGAAGGCGGCGAGTCGATGGCGTACACCATATTTGCCTGAAGCCTCAGTCTCGTGTCTCCTTCAATATAAACAGGCCTTGGATTTGCGCGGAAACTGAACCTCATACAATTCTGGCAACGATTTGATCTTCAACTAAACCTGTCAAGATCTCGCGATCACTGGGAGTGGGACGGCAAACAGCCTCAACCCATGGCTTAACAATCAACACACGCCCTCTCTCTTCCACCAGCCTCCGCGGCGCAGTGGGGAATCATGGCAGCCGCTCAGTCCCTCGAGCAGCGAGAGCTGTCCCTCATCGGCAAAGTCGAACTGCGCATCGCTCTGGCCGACTCGGACGCCAAACTGACCACCATTCTCAACACCTATCTCGCTCCACTCCTGCTCAAACTCGCATCCGAGCACCAAAGCGTCCGCAACAAAGTCATCTCCATCTGTCAACACATCAACACGCGCGTGAAGCCACAGTCCGTCGTCCTCCCTGTGGCGGCGCTGGTCAAGCAGTTCAAAGAGCAAGACAGCTCTTTAATTCGCCACTTTGATCTGCTCTACATCCAGCAAAGCGTCGGGCGACTCTCGAATGCCGAGAAGTCTAATCTCCTGCCTGTAGTCATCAAAGGAATCTCGAGCAGTGGCAGCTACGGGCCGCAAATCTTCAATTTGCTGCTGAGATTGCTCGAGTTCTTCCCTCTGCCTTTGCGCGGAAGCAAAGAGGATGTCGACTTTCGTGCTCGACTGGACCTGTCCGACCAAGATGCAGCCTACCTTGCCAGCTGGATAGGTAAATTCATCCTGTTTGCCCCGCAGAAGGGAACGGCGACAACGGGTCCTGGTCTCGCAACAAGCGACTACTCCTTCTTGACTTTGCAAGGCAAAGATGATGTCTGGAATGCAGCTGCTGGCGGTCTCAACCTGCTCCGCACCAAGACTCTTGCCGCCAGACTTCTCGTAAGCGGCTTGTTCAAGGATAGCGAGCGCTTCCTCCCGGCTCTGTTTGCTTCTGCAGACCCTGCGTCCACCGTGAGCGATGTGGGAGATGACATGATGAAGCGAGTCTTACCTGCTATGGACCTGGAGGACTCAAGCTTAATCAGGCAACTCTTCGATCTCTACTTCGGCACGGAAGAAAGACCACGAGTAAGAGCGCCGCTGCGAATGAAGATCATTGCTCTCCTCAACAAATCTACCGTCAGCACCAGCTTCACGGAGGAAATCAGGAAAATCGTCGACGATGGAATCGCGTCGCCGGCGCAGGACGGCGAGGATGTCGTGATGTCTAATGGCTTTGGCGGGTAAGCCTCCACGGTTGAATCCCGCATACGACTTCGACTCATATTGACTTAGCAATCACGGCGTTGGCCGTGAAGTGAGCAAACTTCGCTCAGCGACCTTCACATACATCAACTTTGTAGCCAAGTATGGCGCCAAAGACACTCTGCATACCGTTGCGCCGCATGCGATCAACCGGCTTCGGGACTTCATTGAGAACCAAGGATGGCCGAAGCCGGGTCCCAATGAGGATTTGGTATCTCGTGGGTACGCATATGAGGTGATTGGCGTACTTGCCAAAGCTGGTTAGTCTATGGAATGGTAGAGTACGAAAGCACTCGACTGCCTGCTAACCGCTGTATCAGGGCCGAAGAGCGTTCTCGTGGAAGAAGATCGGCCGACGCTGGACTTATTGAGATGGCTTTTCACCTCGCTCGCCAAGGACTCTTCCGGCAACTCCATCATAGTCAGTGTGGAAGAATGCCTATCCGTCGTCATTAGCGCAATCTCCGGGCTCGAATTGACAACTGCGGAACAAAGTGTGCTCGAAGATCTGCTGATCGACCAAATGGAGCAATCCGTCGACCTACAAGCCAACAAACGCTTACGCAGCACTCGATTCGTTGCGATCCGATTCGCCAACCGTTGCCTGCCTTTTCACTCCGTTAAGGCCCGCTGGGTTGATATCCTCGGTCTGGGAACTGCCAATGATCGAGCAGAAGTGCAAGAGGAGGCTCGCAGGGGACTCAGTCCTTACTGGTATCGCATGATCAACGGCGCGACTACCAGCACCGCCTCTGCTCATATCACGTTTCCCGACTTTCAAAGCGTGATGGAGCTGTTCTTCCACAACGACAATCCAAGCGCAGCAAATGATCTTTTCAAATTGGTTCAAGAAATGCAGCAAAAGTCGCACGAACGTCTCTCGGAGATGACAACCTTTGCACGCCGGGTTTTGTTCCAGGAAGCTATGCAGAAGATCGATGCTGCGGTGGAAATTGACAGCGAGTGGGAGAGGAGGCTGGATGTTGCGGTTGAAAAGGATCCTAACGCCAGAGGGGCAATCGCCACGTAAGTCAAAGAATAAACCAACGACGCAACTCACCTACTGACTGGTAGCAGGTACCTGCGAGAGTCTATGCAGAAGCAAGGCCAATCTCTCCGCATCCTACAGAGCGCTCTTTACGTCAGTATCCTCGGGGAAACGAAACACACCGAGAGCCATTTGGTCGAATACCTGGCTCTTGCGCCAGATGCTCTAGTACAAGACCTAGTCCCTCACACCGATGCCCTCCTACCAGTATTGCGAGTCAGCAGACAAGACAGGCGTATGGTCGCCGCACAGGCATTCGGGATTCTTGCGTCGGACACAGCCGCGTCAAAGAGTACGACCAGCGCACAAGTCCAGCAACTCGTTGGTGTCTCTCAAGCGTGGCAGACGGCCACCGGCTCCATGACTTTCGCCGTCCATGGGGCTCTTGCTGCTCTCGGATTCTACTTCAGCAGAGCGATATGCAGGAGTGCTGATGCATCAAAGTCCGACGCTTTCGAGACAAGTCTCCGAACGGCGATTGAGGTCCTCCAAAGGTCAAACGACGACTTGCTCAAGAATGCCAGCTTCGTCTTTCTTGGACAGGTCTGCATGTTTGGGGCGGTCTCACTGCCTACAATCGAGAAGTTTGGCGAGTTCAACAAGATCGTCGATAAGATCTACGAGAGCGCGAAAGCTGGGAAAGAAACTGCGATTCTGTGCTTGGGCCTGGTTTCAATGATTCTTCCCGAGCAAGCCGATGATGCGAATGATCGCTTGCGCTACATCGAAGAGCAGCTGCATAAGCTTCACGAAATCAGACAGGCGGAAATTCACTTCAGCGTGGGCGAGGCGTTCAGCTACCTTGCTTCCGGATGGGCATCTCAGGCGCTCGAAACCTCATTCGACATCGATGGGCCCAAGCCGACCTGCGCGACTCGAAACTCGACTCTCGGAAGACTGACTGATCGGATTCTGAAAGACTGCGAGACGACAAAACCGGCTCTCAAGAAAGCGGCAGTCATGTGGCTTCTTTGCCTTGTGCAGTTCTGCGGAGGGCAGTCGGAGATACAAGAGCGACTGTCAAAATGCCAGATGGCGTTCAAGCGTTGTCTGTCGGATCGTGACGAGCTGGTGCAAGAGACAGCGTCGCGAGGGCTCGGAATGGTCTACGAAAAGGGCGACCGACGCCTCAAAGATGAGCTTGTGCGTGATCTGGTTGGCTCCTTTTCTTCGGATAGACCAACGCAGCTGGCCGGCAGCGTTTCAGCTGACACCCAGCTCTTCGAACCTGGAGCCTTGCCAACCGGCGATGGATCCGTATCGACTTACAAAGACATCATGAGCCTGGCGGCCGAAGTGGGAGATTCAAGTCTGGTCTACCGATTCATGTCCATGGCGTCTTCGAACGCGATTTGGTCCAGCCGCGCGGCGTTTGGCAGATTCGGACTGAGTAGTGTTCTTTCCGACTCGAGTGTGGATGGCTACCTTGCCAGCAACCCCAAACTCTACCCCAAACTCTTCCGCTACCGCTTCGATCCTAACAGCGGCGTGCAGCGCTCCATGAACGACATCTGGAACGCGCTGGTCAAAGACTCTGCCGGTACGATTGACAAGCATTTCGATGCTATCATGGAAGACTTACTCTCCAGCATCCTTGGGAAGGAATGGCGAGTGCGGCAGGCTTGCTGTGCTGCTATTGCGGATCTTGTGTCCAGTAGCAAGATTGAGAAGTACGAGCCGTATTTGGAGCGAATCTGGACGCAGTGCTTCAAAGTACTGGACGATATCAAGGAGTCTGTCCGTGCTGCGGCAACGTCCCTGGCCAGGACTCTTACTGGGGTGTTGACCAGGATACTAGAGACTGACCATTCTTCGACCAAGAACGCCTCTGCCATGCTGCGGCATGTCCTACCATTCCTGCTATCCCCTTCGGGCATGGAGTCGAGTGCAAAGGAGGTGCAGGCCTTCTCGGTCCACACTCTGCTTGAGATCATCAAAAAGAGCAACGGCGCGACGCTGCGTCCATTCATCCCGGAACTTGTGGAGCGCCTCATTGGTCTCCTCAGCTCTTTGGAGCCCGAAGCCGTGAACTACATCCACTTGAACGCATCGAAATACAACCTCACGGAGCAGAAGATCGACGACATGCGGCTGACGAGCGTCCGCAACAGTCCCATCATGGAAGCGATCGAGCGCTGTCTAGATCTGCTGGATGACAGCACCATGCGCGCACTACAGCCCCGACTGGAGAACGCGATGAAAAGCGCAGTAGGCCTGCCGTCCAAAGTCGGCTCGAGCCGGATCCTGGTATCACTAGCCACGCGCCGAACAGCGTTATTCCGAGACTTCAGCGACGACTTTCTCAAACTCATTGAGAAGCTGGTGCTCGATCGCAACGAAACCATCTCCAGCTCCTACGCCGTCGCGGCCGGGTACGTCGCGCGCGGCGCATCGGAAAAGCAGGTTTTGCAGCTCTTGTCATTCACGAAGCGCCTCTACTTCGACTCGGAGGGCGATCGCGCGGCGAGCGTGCCACGGCGTAGCATCTCAGCCGGAGAGATTGTGCACGCGGTCGCGAAGCACGCAAGCGACAAATTCAACTCCATTGCCGCTTCCGCGCTTCCCTTCGTCTTCATTGCGAAGCACGACACGAACGAGCAGGTGCGCGAACCGTTTGAGAACGCGTGGAGCGAATCCGTCGGCGGGTCGCGCGCGGTCCTGCTCTACCTGCGCGAGATTGTCGCTTTGTGCTCCACCTACCTTGACTCTCCGCAATGGACATTGAAGCACACTTCTGCGCGGGCGATTGCGGACGCGACGACGCTGGTGGCGTCGATGGAGATGTCGGAGGCGTCGGCGGAGGGCTTGTGGCCGGCGGTGGAGAAGGCGCTGGGAGGGAAGACGTGGGAGGGGAAGGAGGTTGTGCTGCCGGCTTTTGCTAGGTTCGTGGAGACCGGACGGGCGTTTTATGGGAAGCGGCCGGATGTTCAGACGGCTATCAGGAAGGTGAGTGACGCTGGATCGCGGTTGTTGTGTTGCGATGAGTTAGAAGGGCATTGTTTCGGCTGACATTCCTTCCAGATTGCCATTCGCGAGGCCAAGCGACAAAATCCTGCATATCGGCCGCATGCCCTGCAGGCGTTAGGTCGCATATGCCTGGCGCTGTTGGACACCGACATGAGCGCGGAAGTTTTTGAGCTTGTGGAATCATTGCTCGCTCCTCCAACGAGCGATGACGATGAGATGCAGCTCGATGGCGATGCCGCAAGGAAGGCAGATGAGGTCAAAGAAAGCACCCAAGCATCGGCGATCGACGCGCTCTTTGCGTCGATCAATCCAACCATGCATCGCGGAGCCGAGTTGAACGTGGCGCTACTTCGGGCCTTCAATGCGACTAACGAGGTCAAGTCGCCTTCATCCCGACTCCGCCGCGCCTTTTACGAGAGCACTACGAAAGTGTTTGACCGAATTGGTCAGCAGAAGGCGGGCTCGTCTGTCGAATTTGACATCACTTCGTTGCAGCGCCTGCTTTTCGGCGCCGAAGAGGTGGAAGCGGTGAGGCTGGTGCGGGCAGACGCCATTTCTGCGATTTCAAATACCTCGCCTGGGCTCGCGGCGCAAATGAGCGTGGAGATGAAGAGGTTGCTGACGGAGGAAAGTTCGAGCGTAGTGCGTGCTCGGCTGCTCGGGGAGAAGTAGGCGCCGCAGGCTATTTGTCGTACGTGGGGCCGCCTAAGCTCCAATATACCGCAGCAAAGGAACCTGGAAGTAGATGAAGATGGATCTATGGCAAGCAGCCGCAGCAGCCGCATGCCGCAGCCATTCTATCCGCCTGATGATGTGGTCGAGAGCTGGGGCCCAGCGTGGGGGTGTTTCACCAAGCGCCATGGGCTACGCCACCGAACTGCTCGTACAGTAGTAGCGTGATGATCTCCGCATTCTTGTCTGCGCGAGTCACTGGCCATGGAAGTATAGCCGCGAGATCCATGTCTATCAAGCGCAAGCGGATGGTGGCTGTTGACTCCCTGCAAAGACGGCTGGCTGAACGACAGGATGTTGTTTGTCGATGCCTCTAGCCCTGGTGTGGGGCCAGCCGGCTGGGCGAGAAGGAGGGGAGCATGAGATGAGATCTTGGGTAATCCTTCACGCCCCGCGCAGAGATCTGAGAGCCAGATCTACCGCACACGCACCCCGTGGTGGATTCCCGATGCCAAGCCAGGAAGTGGATGAAGCTTTGCACGCATGGCAATCGCCGTCTTTGCTTGCACATCACCTTGCAGCATCATTACCGCCATCCACCCCTCGGGCCCGAATTCCAGCACATCATCATCAACAGTGGGTGGTCCGCCCCGCTCTGCCCATCATTCATCATCGCCTCCCCACCTCCGCATGCCCCCTCCCATCCCGCGTCGCCTTTGCACTGGCCTGCGGCCGCGTGCCAAGCCTGCGTGCCAGGGTCCTGGTCGGGAACTCCGAGAGGGCCTAGACTGCATCCCGCTCCAAACCTGGCCGGATGGGGGAAAACGCGAAGCCTGATGCTCCCTCGCTCGTCCGCTTTATTCTCCGGCGTGCCTTGGAATGCACCTCTTACGTCCGTATGTGCGCGCGCGCGAGCTTCGGCCGATCACATGCACGCCCTCCGTCCGCCCATCCTCCGCCGTAGACAACAGGATTTCGCTTGCAATCTGGCGCCGAACGCCAGGCCCGCCCACGCAAGCCACCGCCCCGCAGTCTGACCGAGAACGCGCCTGTGCCTGGCAGCCCGCGGCGGATTGCATTTGTATGGCGTCTTTTGCCAAGCCTCTCTCGTGGCAGCCACCGACGCCCTCCTGACCCTCCCGCTGGGCCAGAGGACCTACAAGCACCAGCTTCCTGCACGCCACATCTCTAATCCTGTTGCGCTAGCCTCGCACACCATGGTATGTTTGCGGTTAGACGGCGTGTCGACCCCGCGTGTGCCACTCGCTGCTCACTGTAGGAGTCGAGACGTCGTCCTATCCTGCACTCAGCCCTACGCTATGTGTAATTCTGTCGGCGGTTGGCAAGGGGCCTGCGGAGCTCCAGCCTTTGTGGAATGCCAAAACCGCTGCCCTCTCTCGGACCGTCCAGAACGTTTTGTGAAGCTGGCACGCACGCCATCACGTTCCTCTCCACCAGTCCAGAGTCTCTTCGGTAGTGGCTGCTTACTCCCATCCGCTGTCTCGGTATCGCCTTCACTGCCGAATGATGGCGTTCTCAGACATAACTCTATCCTCAACCTAACCCACAATACTAGGGTTGGCCCTTCTACTTTAGCGCCGTCCCGGTGACACGGCTGGGGGTTGATGTGAGGCTCTTGCCCCAATACTTTCAATCGTCATTGGTCTCCCGCCTTCGCGAATCTTCACCTTAAATCTTAATCCGTCCGATTCGCACTCGCCGCCGGCCGCGCTGCTCACCGTCGGCCCACGACACCACCTGTCTTTAGGATGCAAGACACCGATGATGCCTCCATCTCCCACCGCAGGACAGCGCAACTCCCGCCGCTGGCACCACGGCAAATCACCCCTTCCGCGCAGGACCGCTCGTCGAGCTCAGGCTCGAGGCCTCCGCGCTTGTCACACCGCTCCAGACAGGGCTGTTGGACGTGTCGAGCGCGCAAGGTGCGTTCCACCGCGTGTCCTTTGACCCCATCCTTCCTCCTGGCTAACAACAGATGTGACAGGTAAAATGTGACGAGACCCATCCGAAGTGCGGCGTACGCGAGCCCCTGTCATCCATGACGATTGCGACTGACCGTTGCTAACGTGGACTCTAGCCATGTACGCGGCTGAATCGCGAATGTGACTGGGATCACCGCTGGAACGTACGTACTTCTCCCGCATTTGTGCCTGTGAGGTCTCTGCCTGCCAAGATGGCGGGTTGAGACGATTTGTTGCTTGGTAGAGCTTGGTGGGCTGACGATAGATACAGTTCAGCGACGCGACCCGAAGTACGAGGGAGAAGTATCCCAATGTTCGATCGGACGACAACGTGGTCTGGGACCGTAAGTCCGCCCGGGTGACCCTTCACGTCGGCGTCACACCTGCATATACTGACTGTGCATCAGCCGGCGCAAGGTCGAGCTCGACATCGACAGAGGAGCGTTTCGCCTACGACGACCAAGCTGCATTCCATCTTCTCAGCACCGATGAGGAACGAGAGCGAAAAGCAGAGACCCGGCGACCCGGGACGTACGGTGTCGTTGTCACACCCGACAGCTTCGCGGAACTGCCAGAATATGCCACTTCCGCGACATCGAGTCGAAGAATGAGCCTGCAGTCCCCGATGTCCACCGGCTATTCTACGCCTCTGTACGAGCGGACGATGAAGCGAGCTTCAACCGACCCGAATGTGGTAGTGCTGGATCGATTCGAAGACACCCCCACCACCCCGGCCGTCTCTTTTCTCCCACCTTCCTTGTCTGGTCGGGGCTCGAATGTGCAGAACGATACGCGTTACCTTCCCATGAGATCAGCGCCAATGGCAGATGGCCTCTCCAACTCTCCGCTCGCGTCACGGAGACGAACGGACGACGAGCTAGTGCAATATTTCCGTCGTGATGTCGTCAGTCGACTCGTGCAACCACATGGGGGAGGGATATCTACGAGCACACCTCCGACGGGATCGACGAGGGATACATTCGAGGCGGCTTCGAGGCGTTTTCGGCCGGTGAGTGGTGGTATTGCAGTTCTTGTGCGCGCGGTAAGCTAACTCTTCGTTACAGCTGCACCACGCGATCTGTGCCGTTAGCGCTCTCAAACTTGCATACAATGGGGAATCAACACTGGAAGAAGCATTACAGCATTACCATCAAGCCCTCTCGACATCAACGAACGCATCCCCGCCCGACGACCTTGCATCCGATGGACTCTTCCTCCGCCACTTCCTCCTCCTCATTTTCGATATTTGTTTCCAGATCGCCAACAATGAGAATGGCTCAACCAACGCCTGGACGATCCATTTGGACAATCTAAAACGCAGCGCCATGCTCCGACACCAGCGATACGGCCGTGAAACCCACGCATATCTCATCTGGAGCATCTGCGAGCTCGACGTGTACGCGTGTCTGCTCGGCAACGGCGAGTGCGATTTCATCCAGACGATGATGCAACACAACATGCTGCCCCCGCTCGATCAGCAACTCCCCATCGTTCGCCCGGATGCCTACTTTTCTCAGGATCCGTCGATTCTGCAGGCGACTCTTGCATTACGCCAGGCCATGTTTCTTCACACCGCAAAACTCGCGCAGACAGCACAGCTGTTCCGCAACGAGGCGGCAGAATTGGGCGCCGTGCCGTCTCAATCCATCGCACGCTGGCAAACGACCGTCGTCGGGCTGCAAAACGAGCTCCTGTCGACGTGGATGCAATGGTGTCCTCCATACCTCAACTCCGGCGACCCGAGAGCAGGCCAAGACCTCCCCGAGCAAACCAGATACGTCTACGAACACGTACGTCCCCTCCACGAACCCCTCAAGCGAATCCAACTGACAGCTTCCCATACAGGCACTCACCCTCTACCACACCTCAACAATCTACAGCCGCACAAGCATGTTCCCCTCCCAACGCCGGCTCCCCATAGCCAACCACGTGCAAATCCACACCGACACCGAAACACGCGCCTACGCCATCCTCGCCCTCGCGAGCGACCAGCTCGACCGCGCGCCCGCCCACCCGGAGCGCCGGCACACCGTTTTCCCCCTCTTCATGGCGGGCTTCGCGTCGAGCCAGCCGGACACGAAGGCGCGCGCGCTCGAGTTGCTGAAGAGGTTAGAGGGCGGGGGAATTGGGCAGAATACGGCGCGGACGAGGGTGCTGCTTAAGGCGGTGTGCGAGGAGCAGAGGCGGCGCCGGGCGCCGGAGGAGGTGGACTGGTTGACGCTTGCGAAGGAGCGGTCGTTGAATGTGGTGAATTGTGGGTTGTGAGGGCGTGGCATTGGAGAGGGGAGGAGAGGCATTTGAGACGCATCTTGTTACACATACCTGCCCGTGCATCTATCGTTCTGAGAATCGGGAGTCCTATATCTCTTGCATTGGGAATGGAGTGGGATTGGTTGGAGCGGACGAGACGGGCAAAGCAACGACACGATACCCAAGAAGCAAGAGGATATGAGGCAGAATAATCATGCCGCAGACGGCCGAGCGCGCAATGCATAACAGACATAAATGTTGCATTCAGGCAGCATCGAAACCTGTCAACTACTAAGGCGTAAACCGACTACGGTCTCGTCCCTCTCCTCTCAATCTGCTATATCAAGTACAACTACACGTGACAAAAGACGCGAGTGTCGCCCTCAAGCATCCTCCGCCTCAACCCTGCACAAGATCTCCTCCAGAAACCCCTCCAGCACCCCCTCCACGCCCTCGCCCATCCTCACCGGCGCCACGCCGTCCCAGTGGTCGATTTCGCGGAACAAGCGCGACACTTTGGCCATGCACTTGCGGATTTGCTCGTGGGCTTGGCGCTTGAGGAGGAGGTCGTGTTGTTGCTGTTCGGAGGTGGGATTCGTGGCTGCGGTAGCGGCGATTTGCTTGCTGAGGAGGGAGAGGTTGTAGCTGCGGCGGTGGAGGGCTGCTTCGAGGGCGGGCAGGACGACGGAGTTGAGGGCTGTGGCGGGCTGCTGCTGCTGGTCTGTTGTCGTCGCCGAGGACTGTTGTTGGGTGCTAGTGGTGCTTGACGCCGACGACGACGACGACGACGACGTGGAGTGCGGCGGGAGTCTGGAATCTGCAGTTCTAGCCGAGTCGGCGACGCCACTATCAACCACCCCACTCTGATGACGGGTGGAGTGTGTCGTGACCGGGGGCGCCAGTTGAGGCGTCGTCTCCACAGTGGAGCCTGGCGTTGTCGTGGGAGGCGCGCGGTCTAGGCCCACGTGGGAGGCAGGGGGGAGGTCAGGTGCAGCGGTATCGTGTAGTCTCGACGCGGCGATAGGACTGGGGTCTGCCTTATCGTGGATTGCCAAGCCTTTCATGTAGCGAGACATGTCGCTCGCGATGGATTGTTGGATAAAGTCGTCGTTGAGGAGGCGTGGGGTCTGAGGCGTCTCTGGGGGTTTGGGAGATTGCGGGTGCGGGTTTTGTTGAGGGCGTGTTGACGGCGGGGTTTGTGCTGTCGCAGCGAGGGAAGGCAGTGGTTTTCGGGATGGAGTGGGAGGGAGTGGAATTTGCGCTGCTGCGGTTGGGGATTGGAGTGGTGGAGCGGATTTGGTGGGAGATGGGGTCTTTGGCAGGGGAGGCGGTGGCATCAGCGAGCTCTTGATCGTCCCTCGTTCCAGATCTTCGTTCACACCGCCGGAGAATGCATTCTCCTTGTTCGAGACTGAGCGTTTGGTCGGAGATGTGGGGGCTTGCGAGCTGCGCGCGTTCATGCCGGCTTCATTCATCGCTCGCAGGCCGACAGCGCCATTGCCACGTCTCCCTCCAACAGGACGTACTGTGCCAAAATCCCACAGGTCTTCCTCGTCGCCATCTCGAGGGGAAGACGACGCTTCTCGCATGTCTTCGTCTTCCGAGTCTCCCTCATGGCCATGCGTTGCTTGCCATCGCTCGTGTCGCTCAATAAGCTCCGTCAGATATGTCGTTCGTTTCGCCTTTCGCACCCAGGGGTGCTTGAGCAGCTCACGCGCGCTCGGTCTCTCCTTTGGTTCCTTTCGGAGACATCGGTGCACGAAGTCTTTGAAGTCTTTGCTGAAATTGCCTTCCAGCATGGGCGCAGGGTTCTTCGGAATAAGGAAGAGGACCTTCATGGGGTGAATGTCGCTGTATGGCGGCTCTCCTAGCGCCAGTTCCAGAGCAGTGATGCCTAGAGACCAGATATCCGCCTTGTGATCATAGCCCGATTGCTTAATGACCTCGGGTGCCATCCAGAAGGGCGTGCCCACGAACGTGTTCTTCTTCGTCATGGTAGCCGTCAGCTGTCCAGAGACTCCGAAATCAGCCAGTTTCACCTGTCCGTTTGAGCCCAGGAGAATGTTCGCCGCCTTGATATCGCGATGCAGCTTCCCATCCGCATGCAGATACTCCAACCCCAACAACAATTCTCGCACAATGATGCAAATGTAATCCTCAGGAATGAGGCCCGGCTTCAACATGTCCCCACAACTCCCGCCCGAGCAGAACTCCATGATAATCCACAAGTCGGAGCCCTTGAGGTAGGAGCCAAAGTATCTCGTGACGTACGGCGAGCTGAGGCCCGAGAGGATGGAGATTTCCTGGATGATGTCGTCCACCTCGTCGTCTGCATTCTCCACGTCGATGATCTTGATGGCGACCGATTGCCCTGTTCGCTTGTCCACGCCTTTGTACACTTTGCCGAAACTGCCTCCTCCTATGCATGCTTGCTTGGTGTAGAGCGTTTCTGGGTCGGCGTGACCTGCGGTGATTGCGGCTGCCATAGTGGAGGTTTGAGGGGGGTGAGGAGGTGGGCAGGAGGAGGTGTCTTTCGTGTCCAGCCAACGTATGCAATTGCTATGCCAATGTCGCGAGGAAAATCATGCAATCGTATCCTTCGTCAATGCCGGAGGAGAGCGGGACGGTAAGATGGACCTCGCAAGAATCGTAATCATGTCGTCGTAGAAGCAATAGAAGCAGACATGTTCGTCGGCGAGGGGGATCGTTGCTTCGCGGTGCAGCCTAACACAGCACAATCCACATGTCCGAGTGGCCGTCAGCAGCAGTTGGATGGATGAGAGACGTCTTGTTTATGCATTCGCCCTGCACGAAACAACGTCGCAGCCCGGCGTTGATTGGTCGCCAGCGCCTGCCGACGTCGGCGGCGCGGCCCGCACGCCGAAAGCTTCTTTCGGGTCGAGACACGTGAATGACGGCATACTGCACGCATGTCGCTTTTCCCCTCCTCTTCCCACAAGCAAGGCACCGCATCTTGGACCAATCCGCGACCATGTGGCAATCAGCGCTATTCTTACTCGCATCATGGGCAATTCAGCCCGCCATTGGCTTACAACAAGAGCCATTGGCCGAAATCTCGGCAAATAAGAAGCATCTCCTGCTCGGCGACGACCTGATCGCATTCCACAAGAACTTGACGCAAATCGAATCCATCACGTACCACGAACAGGAGGCCGGGAAATGGCTGGCCAAGAGCCTCTCGAGCCAAGGCTACACGGTCGAGAAGCAGTACATCGACGACGACAGCGGCCGCTTCAATGTTTTTGCCTATCTTGGCAAGAAGCGGGAGACTGATATTCTAGTTTCGAGCCATTATGACACGGTAAGGATGCCTCTTTCTAAACACATATCCTACAGGATCGGAGTCTAAACAGAAAGTACACAGGTCCCGCCATTTTACCCGTACTACCACAAAAACAAAACCATCGGCGGCCGCGGCAGCGTCGACGACAAAGCCAGCCTCGCCGCCCAACTAATCGCAGTCAACACCCTCATCACCACCAAAAAGCTCCACGCAAACGACATCTCCCTGCTCTTCGTCGTAGGCGAAGAGACGGGCGGCGACGGCATGCGTCTCGCCAACGACCTGCACCTCACCCCGAAAACCATCGTCTTCGGCGAGCCCACGGAAGCCAAGCTCGTTGCAGGCCACAAAGGCAACGACGCGCTGACCATCAAAGCAAAGGGCAAAGCGGCCCACAGCGGGTATCCCTGGCTAGGGCGCAGCGCGAACGAGGTGCTCGTCGCGGCGCTCGCGGCCGTCATCGAGCTGGGCCCGCACCTGCCGCGGAGCGAAAAGTACGGCGCGACGACCGTGAACATCGGCAAGATTGAGGGCGGCGTGGCGGGGAATGTGGTGGCGGAGAGTGCGGCGGCGACGATTGCGATTCGCATTGCGGCGGGCGATGCGGACGAGGTCGAGCGGGAGATTACCAAGGCGGTGCATATGGCCGTGCGCTCGTTTCTGGAGGAGGGGATGCGGCCGGAGGATGTGGTGGAGCTGCAGTTTTCTGCGCGCGGCTATGGGCCGATTGACATCGATGCGGATGTGCCTGGATTTGATGTGATGACGGTGAATTACGGGACGGATATTCCGTGGTTGAAGAAGACGGTAGGCGGGCAGAAGCGGTATCTGTATGGGCCCGGGAGCATTATGGTCGCGCACAGCGATCATGAGGCCTTGACTGAAGAGGAGCTTTTCGGGGCGGTGGAGGACTACCAGAAAATCATCCTGCATGCATTCAAAGCGGGGCAGTAGATGTATAGAGGTATCGGAGGATGCCCTCTTAGATGCAGAATATTTTTGTAATATCTCGCTTACTCCTCGTACAGAACGCCATTGCTGTAGGCACCATGTCTGTGCGGCGGCCGCGCAGAGTCCTCGATGTCAATTGATGCGTCTGCCCGCGGAGGCTGATATGCCTTGAACATAGGCTCATCTAGGGCGATTTGCTGCGTAACCGGCTGCGCGATCGTAGCTGGCGCGTACTGGCCTCGTGCCAGCGTTCCCTTTCGGTGGCGATGGTAAATCACTGCCCCATAGACAAGCTGTGCGACGGACGTCAAGCTAGAGAAGGAAGGTCACGTTAGCCGTCTTTAAAGCATACACAAACATGATTCAGAAGAAGCACATACCATAACAGCCCGGCCAACAGAAGCGCAAACCCGCTCTGCTGACTCTTCGTGTAGGCGACAACGACGAGGAAGAACCAGATGGTCCAGGCGCCTCCCTTGACCACCTGAAAGCCCAAATGCGGCGCGGGTTTTAACTTTTGCTTCGCGAGCAGGATGATTTCGAGCAGGTCGAGGAGGATGGTGATGAGGGAGAGGGCAAGTGCGGCTGCGACGCTGCCACTGTGGGTGATTTGTTAGCGAGGGTTCGCGCGCAAGAGCGGCAGGGTGTGCTGCATGGGCTTGCACGTACTTGAGCGCGGCAATGACGCCCGCCGTGCCGTTGAAGTCGCCCTGTGCAACAGCCTGGCCAAAGGCGTAGAGGGCTATTATGCTGACTGCGGCCAAGATGGCGCAGATGAGGAGTTGGAGCACCCAGATGGGGATGAGGATCCTCTTCATCCAAAGCTTTTGAGCCATTGTGTGATTGCTTTTTTTTTCAAAGAGTGTATGGGAGCGGATGAATTCGCGGAGGTCGCGTGGTCGTTGTGGAAGGGAGGGCGGAGGTGGGCGAAGGGGGAGGATGCGGTTGTGGAGGTGTGGAGGAGCGTGTCGAAGATACAGGTGGGGAGACGCGGGAGTGAAGGAAGGAAGAAACGAACAACAAAGAAAAAGCAATTGGCACGAGTAGAGAGCGAAGGAGTGTTGAATGGGCAGAGAAAGAGCGGACTGACCCAAGCGGTGCAGATCTGTATCTTGCAGGCCCGCCTATGAGGCAGGGCGAGGTGAAACGCGGATGGAGATGATGAAATGAAGGGTTTGGCGCTTGCCGAACAACCCAACCACCGCCCGGAGGTGTCAGGTACCGGTGGGGCCCGCATGCAAGGGGTCGAGCCTATTGGGGTTTAACATCGCGCTAGTGGAACTCAATTCCCGCCGCCTTCGCGTGGCTCTGGGGTATGTCATCATAAGTACATCCATCTCTGAGTCCATCTCTACCTTGGACCTGAACATCATGGCCTGGTCCTCTCGCATCTGCCGGGATCGGTTTGAAATGAGGAATGGTCATAAGCTTAGATGAATCAGGTGTAGATATCAATCAACAAGCACGTGGATGGTTGTGGATTGCACATCCTTGGCCAGCCCATCACGGTCATATGAGGCTAGCATTTCGAATGCCGGCTCATGATTGCTTGGTCGTAGTTCATGGCCACTTGTACCCGTCTGACACCTGTCTCGGTGCTACCACGGCCAGCGCGCATTGCCCAGTCGCATCCGAATCACCATCAGCAGCAGGCAATCCATTGTCGTACCTTAAGGCCATATCTGCAAGTGGTTGGCCAGTCTGATCAGTGAACAAGCTCCAGCCGAAAACGATCCGATGTCACGCGCTCCCGATTACAAGCGATCCTGCTCGGCTTGCAGCCTCTCTTGCATCCTACGCATCTGCTCTCGCTTTTCCTCGCGCAAACTCGTGAAGATCTGACACAGTATTAGCCCAACTCATACCCAATACCTCCATCATCATGCGGTGTCTCCTTACCCAGAACCATGTCGCAGTCTCCACGAACGCCCACGCAAATACCAAGCTATTCCGCACGTTGTCCCCCGCGCTCGCGCGTCGCAGCAGCGATTTCGACCCAAATACTCCATCATCTTTGAACAGGTAGATGTAGCCCGACAAGCCGAACAGAAAGGTCAAGCGGACAGGCACATTCGAGAGCCAGTAGTCGACGGCGATTTGTTCGTTCAGCGAAGCGCCGGTAAGATCAGCGATGCCAAGGAAGGCGAGGAGCACGGCGATGAAGGCGGAGGCATCGTTAGGTTTGTCGAGGCTGGTAACATGAGGCTGGAGGGGTATTAGCTGATGCTGACAGTAGTTGAAGATGTCTCGTCGGACATACCAGTCTTAACGCTTCTCCGAGAACGTACACCATGTTCTGGTCTGCAATCATCCGTGGCGCGGTGAGGAAGAAGTAGGCCAGCGTGATGTGGAAGAGCGAGATGGCTCGGATGATCGTGAAGACGGAGAAGAGAGCCATGCTGCCGAGAATGCTGTCACCTTGCACGTTGCGTGTGTTTGATGTGTTCCAGGTTTCTTTTAAGTTGGGGGAAACGTGTGTGATGATATTAGGGTTAGGGTTGGATGACGGCACCACGACATCCGGTCACGGCGCTCGATGTAACTTCAACGGGGTAATCTTCTACGGAAACGGAGTTGGTAGCTTGAGCTGCTATATAATACGGACTGCTTCGTCAACGGCCTTTATCTGACATCCTGAATCCATCCCAAAAATGGCCGACAAACTAGAGAGATTGGACTACTATTGTCCACCACAACCACCAACATCCATCCATCGCAACCGGTTTATACGAGGAATCATCGCCGTGGTCGGCATCTTCGTCATCCTGTGGCTGACACAGGAACGAGCAATTCAACCATTGACCTCGCTTTTGTATAAGCCAAGCGGTGCTGCCAAAGTACTGTCCAAAACCCCACTCATCGATGGCCACAACGACATGCTCATCCTCATCCGCACCAAATACAACAACCACATCAACAGCGGCAACTTCTCGCGCGACCTCATTGAAGGCGGAATGCCCGGTCAATTCGACATCCCGCGCGCCAAAGCAGGGCAAATGGGAGGCGCATTCTGGTCTGCATGGGTTCCATGCCCTGCCGACGGCTTCGACTTCTCCGACAAGAACTACGCCGAGTCAGTCAGAATCACGCTGGAGCAAATCGACTTGTTCAGCCGCATATCGCAAAAGTACCCCAAGTACTTCACCCTCGCACACAACGCCAAAGAGGCCGAAGAGGCGTTCAAAGCCGGCAGACTCATCTCCCCTATCATCATCGAAGGCTTGCACCAGATTGGCAACTCCCTGGCTACTCTGCGCTTGTATCACCTCCTTGGCGTGCGATATGCAACTCTCAACTGGAACTGCCACACCAAGTACTCAGACGCCGCGGTGGTGAGCATCGATGGTAAAACGCAAGCCTCCAAACCATACCACGGCGGCGTGAGCGAAGCCGGCCGAGACTTGATTCTGGAGATGAATCGGCTGGGCATGATGGTCGATCTCAGCCATGTGTCCGTCGACACCATGCGCGATGTTCTCGGGGGAAGTCCCGAAAAAGGCTGGAAGGGGAGCATTGCGCCACCTATTTTCAGCCATTCCAGCGCCAAGGCCATTTGTCCGCACCCGCGCAATGTTCCCGACGATATCCTGCAGCTTGTCAAAAAGAGGAACTCCCTTGTCATGGTCAACTTCGCCCCGGACTTTGTGAGCTGTAAAGCCAACGATTCTCCGCTGGGAATTCCGACCTTCGTGGAAGAGACAAACACTCTCGACCACGTTGTCAAGCACATTATGCACATTGGCGAGCTCATCGGATACGATCACGTCGGCATAGGGAGCGATTTCGACGGCATCCCCAACACGCCTAGAGGACTGGAAGACGTCTCCAAGTTCCCTGATCTCTTCGACGCACTGCTGGCCAAGGGCGTCAGTGAGAAGGACGCAGGCAAAGTTGCTGGCAGAAACCTTTTGCGGGTCTGGCATGAGGTGGATAAAGTGGCGGCACGACTACAGAAAGAGATGGATCCCGTGGAGGATGATCTGTCTCGCTTGGCTGCCCTGGACGAGATTGAACTGGAGGATGCCTCCGTCACGGGTACCACTTAGCCAGTTGCATTCATCCATGCTGATCTGTATAGACGCAGGTGAACTAAGTCCCAGAGTCCCTCCCAATCATCTTTCCTGACCACGTCATCTCGATCCCTCAGTCTCCTTGTCGAAGGCCGCAGCCTGCGCCTTTGCCACCTGCAACTCTGCCTCCAACTTGGCAATCTCAAACGCCGCATCCTCTTTTACGGCGCTCAGTTCTGCTTCCAGCTTCTCAACCACCTCCGCCCCCTCCTCCTTCGCCGTACCCAACTCCGCCTTCAACTTCCCAATTTCCGCCGCCCCTCGATCCAGCCCATGCCTCATCGCAAATATCGCGCGTTTCATCCCCGCCACATCGCGCGCAAGGCCCTCTGCCTCATCAGACTTCAGCTTCCACCGCTTCCCCTGCTCCGCCATCTCGTGCGCGTGCAGCCTCTCCGCACCCATCTGCTCGCGCTGCAGCGTTTTGTTGTCCTCTTCGCGGGAGTACAGTTGGACCTTCGAGCCGTGATGTTCGCGGTCTTTCTCCGCCAGAGCCTTCTCCAACGCCGCCTTCTCCAACCGCATACTACCCAGTACTGCTCCCGCCTGCTCATTGCTCGCTTTCAACTTCTTCTGCGCTAGCATCAAGGCGTCGATTGCCTTCTGCTTCTCCTTCACCTCTGCTTCTTTCTCTTTGACGGCTTTGGAATGCTCGGGTTTCCAGTTCTTGATCTCCTCTTCTTTTTCAGTCTTCAGCTGTTTCTGAAACTCCCGCTGCTCCGCTTTCATGGATTTGATCTCCTCGTTATACTTTGTCTTTGCCACCCTCCACTCATCTTCCTTCGCATCGGCCTTGTCGCGGATCTCTTCGATTTCCCTCTTGTGCTTCGCATCTCTGGCTTGAAGCGCTTCCTGCTGTTTCTGCTTGAGGTCTGCAATCTTCTCGGCCTGCTCGCCCTTCAAATCCTTGACCTTCGCCTCACACACCGCCTTGAGCTTATCCAGCTTTGCGGCATACAAGACTTTAGCCTCAGCTTTGCCTTCGGCTTTGGCCTGAGCCACAGCAGCGGCCATCGCGGCGGAAACACGTCCTGAGCCGTTTTTCCCCTTCGCCGTGGCGCTTGCTTCTTTCTTCCGTTGCTCGTCTCGATCCTCTCGATGCACCTTTTCGACTTCCTTCAGATAGCCGAATTTCTTTTCGAGTGTTGCGATGTATGCATCCTTCTTGGACGAGGCTTCCTGCCTTGTATCGCGACCGTGCACAACACGGTGCTCTACCTCCTCCACTTCCACCGATCTCGACGAAGTCGCGTCGTCGCCTTTGAACAGCTTTGCCGTTTTCTTCGGTGCATCCTCTGCGACTTCCTCTGCCTGGCGCTTCTTCGACTTCGTCACAGTAAAGGGAGGTGAATCAGCTGGATTGGAGTCGGCTTCCTGGGAGTCCGCAATGACGACCACGTCCTCAGAGTCGGTCTTGTTCTCTGCGTGGGACATGATGCCCGAAGTCTTGGGTTGATGTTGAGGAGTGGTTGAGTGTGTTTTGGTTGAGGTCGACTGGCAGGTGAGTGATGAGGGTGTGTCGATCGTGATGTGAGATGGATTGAGTAGTTGGACAGATAGAGGGTTTAGTTTGCCGTTGTGAAGTAGGGCGTTTGTGAGTTCTTATTCGTTATAGAAGCCAAAGTGGGATATGAGCGAGCGTGAGGTGCGATCAGAAGTTATACGTGGTCAGGGAGGCCATCTGGTGATCTCACGGGTAGAACGACGTGGAGTGCTCACTGCAGAGCGGTCGTAACATCACTTCACTTGGACGAGACACGTGACAGAGAGAAAAGTCGCACAAGCAGGACTAGTTCTATCCAACAAATACAAAGACTCCCACCCCTCTGAACCAGGACACCGCCGATGACCAATCCGTAACACTTTCCAGTCCACAGTGAAAAAAAAGAAACCTCCTCAGAGCTATCGAGCAGCACATCGAGACATTGTAAGCTTCTTCCTGCTCGTCATCAGTCTCACACATGAGCCACTCACCTGTGCTCCAGAATCACGCCTCACAGCGGCACCGACCGCCAGCCCTGAAGTCCTCGCCCCAGACTTCAAACGCTCAATCTCCACCTTGTAAGACTGGTTCGCTGCGAAAAGCCGATTCTTCTCCATCTCCGCGGCCTTGAGCGCAGTATCGCGTATGGCGATCTCTTCTTTCAATCCCTCAACCAGAGGCAGGGTGCGCTGAGCTTGTGCTTCCATTGCGATCGCCACCTGCTCCTCAGTCGAGGCCATAGAGAATCTAACGAGCTTGTCGTTGAGATCCGTGACGCTGCTGTGCTTCTCATCCAGCGTAGCCGCAAGCGCTTCATTCTGCTCGGTGAGCGCCTCGATCTCCTCTCGCTGTTCTTGCATCCTCTTCGTGCCGCACTGCATCAGCCCGCGCATGACGAGACTCTCTTCCTCAGCCGCAGACTTGAACTCGCGAAGCTGCCGTTCAATGCCCAGAAAGCCCTTTTTCGCCGTCTCAAGTTTGGCAGGAAGATCAGCCATCTCGTCAATCTTGGCCTTGAGAGCATCCCGCTCTCCCTCAACAGTAACAAGGTCCGCCGCCTTCCTCTCAATCCTAACTTGCAAACCCGCAACCGCATCATCCTTGGCCCTAAGGCGATCGCGACCCCGCGAGACGATGGCGTCAGCCTCCTCAAGCCGCTGCGCCGAAGCGCGAAGCTGAATCTCCAGGCCCTCAGAAGTGTGCGCCGTGTCCTCCAGTCGCCGCAGGTATTCGGTGATGTACCCGCGGTGTTCGCCGGAGAGGTTGCTGGTTTCCAGCGTGTCGGTGATCCAGGCTAGGCGGTCGCGGGCGACGGGTTGGCGGGGCGGCATCGGTGGGGGGCTGGGTCGGAGGGGGCGTAAGGAGCTTGGCCGGCGATGGTTGTCGCGGCGGTTCTCGAGCCATCTGAGGTTGGCGGGGCTCCGGTATTGGCCTGGCATGGTGTCTGAGATGAACGAGAGGTGCGAGGTTTCCCAGTGAGAGAGAGCGGGCGGGGGGAATGTCTTTTATGACATGAGACAAACAGGGAAGCAGAGAAGTGACACGTTCGAAATGCAGGTATCCGACGCTACGGCCATCTGCACCTTCCCTAGGTATGTAAGGGTGAAGATCAAACGGGAGTGAAAGAGCACGTGAAGTCGTCGTTTGGCACACGCCATCCCCCTCGTGATGCCGTCTCATGGGATCGGCTCAAGTGAATGGATTGGTCTATACATCTATCAGCGCTTTCGACTTCGTAAGTCCGTCAAACCCACCCAACTGCACAATATATCCCCGCAGTCACTTTGTACAACCAAGTCTTCCTCCCAATATCAATCAAGGCACCTTCTCCGCCTCCTCCAGCAACTCCTCCACCTTGAAAGTCTCATCTCCGCCGCTAAACTGCTCCATCAACCGCTTCCGCTTACCCGCGTTTTCCCGCGCCGTCGCCGAGTGCGGTTCGAAACCATAGAACTTTTGCAAACACATCAACAGCCACTTGCCCTCCTCGACGCTCACGCCGCGATTCTCCATCACACGGCCCTCCATCAGGACCACACCATTGCGCTCCGCCAGGTCCAAGTGGTGTGTGACGGTTGTATGCGGTTGCGCGAACTCGCCGCGTAGTTTGAATTCCGCGAGATGCGTGAAGAGGACGGTGGCGGTGGTGGGGCTGGGGAAGGTCCATTGGAGGAAGTGGATTTCCGCCCCCTGGCCTTCGCGCGGGATGGGGAGGATGAACTGCGGGTGTTTGCGTGCGCTGTCCGCTATGCGTTGGTAGGTGTCGGTGTTCATGACTGCGCAGAGGCTGTGGGGATCGCTGATGTGGCGAAGGCGCCAGATCGACTCCACTTCTTTCTTGGGCAGCTCGGCCGTCTTTTCTACATCGATGAAGCTTGCAAGCGTCTTGATGCCATCCTTGTTCTTCGGTGTCTTTGGAGGTGATGCGGCGACCTGTGGTTCGGGGGTGGGCGGAGGCTGAAAAGGGATGCTGCTATCCACATTCGGAGGGGTAGGAGGTTGCTGTGCGCTCAGAGGTGCATTGACGCCCGGCACCATCGCCTTCTTCCTCAACTGTTGAATCTTGTCCGAATACGCCTCTCTCAATTCCTCCACATTCTTCAAACCCTCTTCCCGCGCTTTCTGATTCAGCTTCTCCCGGTACTTCTCCTGCACCTTGCTTGCTTTTTGATGCTGTGAGAGGAAGCGGATGTCGTGTACTTGGGCCCATCGCCGCTGATAGCATCGGTAGGGAGCCGGGCCCGTGCGAGCGACAGAGCGCAGGACGGGCACGACGGCTGTGTTCATGTTGGTGATGGGAAGTACTCGACTTGGATTGACCAGACGAAGCCGATTGATGAAGACGACGTCGGGCGACCAGCCCGAAGCGGGCCAAGCCGAGGTCCGCCACGCCTTCCCTTTCCAGCAGGAGAGCGCGTGGCAGGGCGAAGTCTATTCCGCGCACGGCTAGCCGCGGCCAAAGAGTCTAGACTGCATCGCACTTCGACAATGCGTCGCCTGACATCGCTCCCTCCGTCCTCGACAAGACAAGAAACGCGCAGTGTCCAGCAGAAGCGACTGACCATCCAAGATGCCGGCCGAGTCGATCTACCCGCCCGTGGAAATTCCGAACGTCGGTATCTTCGAGTTCTTGTTCAACAGACCTCAAGCAAGCGTGCAGCCAGATCAGGGTGAGTGGAAAGATCCTGACTGCATGGCCATACTAAAACCACCAAACAGAAATCTTCGTCGACGCTCAGACTGGCAGGAGCTACACGTACTCCCAACTCAAGCAGACCGCCATCGAGTTTGGCCAAGGACTGAAGGGCCTGTGGGACTGGCAGAAGGGTGATGTACTTGGGCTGTTCACCCCGAACTCCATCGACTATCCCCCCATCGTCTGGGGCACCCACTTCGCCGGCGGCATTGTATCGCCCGCTAATCCCGCGTACACTGTCGATGAACTCGTGCACCAACTCAAGGACAGCGGAGCCAAAGCTCTACTGACCCAGCTCGCGGTGCTTGATGTAGCAAAGCAAGCCGCCAAGAAGGCTGGCATCCCAGAAGACCGTATCGCCCTTCTGGGAGACGACCGCGACCCGGAGCACCGCTTCAAACACTTCACCTCCATCAAGGACAATAATCTGGAAGCCGCGCGATCACCCCGACCCGTCAAAATCAATGGCGACAAAGATCTGGCCTTCCTCGTCTACAGTAGTGGCACCACCGGCCTGCCCAAAGGCGTCATGCTCTCCCACAAGAACATCGTTGCCAACGTCCTTCAAATCACCGCCGGCGAGCCGGAACTGGAAAGCAGCGACACCATCCTGTCCTTCCTTCCATTCTTCCACATCTACGGCCTGACGTGCATCCTGCATCAAGCCGTCTGGCGCGGGTTCAAGTGCGTGGTTATGTCGAAGTTTACAATCGAGGATTGGTGCAGACACGTCCAGGAGCACCGCATCACCTTCTCTTACGTTGTACCGCCCGTGGTGTTGCTTCTCTCCAAACACCCCTGTGTATCCGATTTCGACCTCAGCAGTTTGCGAATGATGAACTCCGGCGCCGCACCACTGACTCAAGAAATCGTCCACGCGCTGCATGAACGGACTGGTCTCAAAGTCAAGCAAGGCTACGGCCTTTCCGAGACGTCCCCGACAACACACATGCAGCGATGGAAAGACTGGAAGACGCACATCGGCTCCGTGGGAGCCATGATGCCCAACATGACGGCGAAATTCATGAGCGAAGAGGAGAAAGAGCTGCCCGTAGGCCAAACGGGCGAGCTGTGGATCAAGGGACCCAACATCTTCCAAGGCTACCTCAACAACCCCGAAGGCACGAAGAATGCTTTGACGAGCGATGGCTTCTTCAAAACCGGCGATGTGGGCTACTTGGACAAACACGGCAACTTCTTCATCACCGATCGCGTCAAGGAGTTGATCAAATACAAGGGCTTCCAAGTGCCTCCCGCACAACTTGAGGGCCTTCTAGCCTCGCACGAAAAGATCGACGATGTCGCCGTCCTCGGTGTGTACAGGGATGACCTGGCGTCCGAAGTCCCGCTCGCCTACGTCGTGCCGACCAAAGGCGCCACCCCCGGTCCGCAGTTGGAGAAGGAGATAGTCGACTGGCTTGCGTCGAAAGTGGCCAACTACAAGCGCTTGCGGGGCGGGGTGAAGTTTACGAACGAGATTCCCAAGAGCGCATCGGGCAAGATTTTGCGGCGGTTGTTGAAGGCCAAGTACCAAGAAGAGGCGAAGAAGGGGCCGAAAGCGAAGTTGTGAGGGAAGCACTTGTGCAATTATTTTTTTCTGGCGCTTGCAGTTAGGAAAGCAATGCAGCTTGCATATAGGCGTCAATGGGCAAATCATGTTCTTCAGCCATTTTCCCGTACCCAAACTCACTTCCCATCATATCACGTCAGTATACCCTCCATCTCTCCCTCGCTACGTCTCCGCCGCAACAACAGGCTTCACATCACCCGATACCCGACCCGGCTGCGGCAGCGCACCAGCCACGCCATCGGAAAAGCTGGCCCCCCTCTCTTTCGCAGTGCCCAACACCTCGACCTGCTCGTACCCAGTGCTATCGGCATCGGCAGCTACCGCCTCGTTTCGGCGGCGGGTGATGATCTCGTCGATTTTGCGGATGGCGGCGAGAGTCACGCCGAGACTTAGGACGGCGATGCAGATTGTGAAGGCGCGGCGGTAGCGGGGTTCGTCGTCTTCGCCTGTAGTTATCGCAAGTCAGCTGGTGTCGCACGGCGAGCTGGCATTGTCGGGTGTGTGCTTTCTGACTTACGGTAGAGTTGCGCGCCGTAGATACCGGCGGAGTTGGCGCCCATGATGACCCTGTAGGGAAACATCACGGTCAGTGCTGAAGGCTGCAAGAAGTAGGGAGACATTTACATTGCCATGGCAAGCGCCCGCTCCTCCGAGTCGGTACAAGTGAGCGACATCCAAGTAATGTTCAGCGGATGCGAGAACGTGCCGAACGTCTGCGTCCAAATGACGCCGAAGTATCGAAGGCCTCGATTGGGGATCTCGGTGAAGATGCGGTTGAGCACGTAGGCGAGCGTCGCCATGCTCAAGCCGGCGATGACCGTCTCGCCGCGCTTGTTGAAGTGGTCGGAGATGTAGCTGAAGGCGAAGGAGACGGGGATCTTTGCGGGGGTTGTTAGCTTTGTGTTTGCTTGAGGTGGCGGGTAGTTAGGTACGTACTTGGATGAAGAGACCGACGGACGCCAGGGCGTTGGAGGTGAGGGAGCCGAAGCCGAATTCTTTGACGAGAGAGGGGGCGTAGGTGTCGAAGCCTCTTTGGGGGCTGCGTAATGTGTTAGCGCTGGTATGGAGGCCATGCTGTCCATGAAGACGTACCCGTTGTTGCACATGGTGATGAGAAGATGTACCCACATTCTCCAGTTGCTGAACTACATCAAGGTCAGTCTTTGGCACACGTGGACATTACACTGAGGAGACATACCGCTTTCTTAAACGCAGGCAATCCAATTCTCTTCTTCTTCTGTCCTTTAGCCGGATCGTCGAGCAGAATGCGTCGGTTCAAGATGTAGAGCTCTCGCTCAGTAAAGAGGTCCCACTTAGGTGCAAAAGTGGGATGCGGGTTCTTGAACGAGTCAGGGAGAAAAAAGCCGAGCACGACGCCACACAGAATGGTGAAGACACCCATCAAGACGAACAGCCAGAACCAGCCAGGCTTGCCGCCTGCGCCATCCATGTGCAGAATACCGTACGCCAGAAGCTTAGCAGAAGCCTGGCCGAACTGGTTGCCGAAGTAGAAGATCATCACGCGTTTGGCGGTCTCGCGGCGGGTGTACCAGGTGGAAAGCGTCCACAATCCGCCGGGGATGAAGCCGCTTTCGGTGATACCGAGCAGGAATCTCGTGGCGATGAAGGAGCCGTAGCTGTTCTGGAAGGCTTGGAAAGTGCTGACGGTGCCGAAGAGGAAGAGTTGCAATGTCAGCCACTTGCCGGGGCTGGGTTCGAAGGCACCATGTTAGCATGTATTCCTCGTGGCCCAACACCTTCGGTTCACGTACCCAACGCGGTAGAGGACCATGTTGGACGGAATCTCGAAAAGGACAATGCCCAAGGAAAGCATTTGCTGGCCGACGTTGAACTGATTCTGAGTGACGCCGATGTCTTCCATGAAGTCGTTTGTGATTGCGTTGGCAATGTTGCCGCGGTCAAGCTCTGCGACAGACGGCGTTAGTGGTGCAACTCATATCGCTGCTCGGTGGCCAGCCATTGTGCAGTTGGACGTACGCAGGCAAAAGAATCCGAGCGTCAACAAGGGCATGATGAGCAAGTCGAGCCTGGACACGTATGTCAGTATGGATTGGGATCGGGATCAGGCGATACTAAGCACTCACTTTCTCTTCGCTTTGGCTTCCTCCTCAGGCTGCCAGTCACGCTCTGCATTGAAACCAATTTCGCTGGCGGCACCGCTGCCGCTGCCGCTGCTGTATGGAACGTCATACTTTCCCTCGAACTGTGCCATGACGGGCGGATTGAGAGATGAGGAGCAAAGAAGATGAGCACGCAACAACCTACCTACCGATTGCGCTCTCTTATATCAACTCAGCACTGCGCACGCGATCGAGTCTGCCAATCTACCGCCAATGCATGAGGCTTGACCAGCGAGACGAGGCGTTGAGAAGAGTCGGTCTGCTCGAGCACGATAGCCGGTATGGCTACAAGAGTCTCGAAACGTGCACGCGGTAACATGTCGCGGAGATCCACTATGCCAATGGGCCCTGCCGACTCGCAAGTCTTGTGCAGCCGTCGAGACTGCTCGTCGAGAAACGCCACTCCACCGGTAAAGGCCGCGGTAGTTCTCTGAACACTGGCCAGAACGATTGCAGAGCATGTACATGCGGGATACAGTGACGTTTGCGCTGTGGCAATGCTGAGCGCGGCATACTTGGAGGGCGGAGCTGTTCAACTTGGCTGCTCGGCACGCACAGCGCAAACGGGCGGCCTTCAAGACAGGGCAGGCGACTTGGTAGGATGGCGAGCTTGTTAAGCTCGAGCACGCAATCGCTTGTTGTGAGGTTGAAGGTGCAATGTTTGCAAAGTCATGGTCATGGCAAGAAGGATCTTTCTTTCGCTGTGGTTGCGGCGTGATGTCGTTCAATGCACAGCTCTTGGCCTGCGCTTGCTGACTCAGGGTCAGGAGTTGAGAGCAACACGAATCGGCCATGGTCTTTCAGCCTGCCTCATTCTTCAATACGCCGAACTGATCAGGAGTGCTTCTCGCCGCTGCTACCATGTCCCTCCGTGTTGAATAAGTATGGTAGTAGAGGGGAGCGAAGAAGCGTCCGCAGGGCAAGTTGTGAACGAAAAGTGTTGCATCTCTTCGCTGACGTTGCAAAATGTGAGTCCATGCACTTTGCATATGGAAGACAACGGGATTTTCAAGCTTCTCTGTGCGCTGAACAAAGCCATTCATCGTGGTACAAGGACAAAGAAAGAACTGACAGTGTCAAGAAGTAAATGAATGTCACGTGATTTATCCACGTGTTCCAAGGGCATGTGGGGCGGCAGGGACGAATGGGGTTTGGCGGCATGGGGGCGTGCGTGCATTTTGCATTCCCGACGTGCAGCTGCATGTCACCTTTCAACACTTTTGCCGCCTGCTGCATGTCTGACGTAGGCGACTCGATTTCATTCCATTGCACGTCCGAACATCCTTAACTAAGCACTCCATACTCTTAATCCTCGCCTCCATCCATCTGTCTGTCCTTGTCGCCACCCTCAGTCCTTACCCCGGAATCTCACCGGCGTCAGATGAACAGCAATTTCCCGCCGAGCTAATCTCGATCCACCGCTGTGACGACGTGCCAATTTCACTGACGACGACAACCCTTCGACAGCTACTTGCGCGCCACGGGATGTCCCCCGACTTTCCTACATCTTTCCACGTCGACTTCCCGTAATTCACCAACCATGGGCTACACCTCCTGCATCTCCGTCGTCTCCGAATCCTACGAGGAGCCCACCCGCGGCGCATCCTCCGGTTCCCACTTCGACATCGATAGAGACCGCGCGGTCAAGAGAAGAAGACATTCAACATACCAGCCGTGGACATGGAGCGCCGAGCGCGAGAACGGCCAGCTACTTCTCGATCGCTTCCTTGCCGATCTCGGCCGCCGCTTGGAGATGATGGAGACGTGCGGCCATTTGAAGATTGACGAGCGCGTCCGCGCGGCCCAGGCTAGCCTACATGCTGTCCACGACCGCTGTGTCCACGTTTCGGATGATTTGATGGATGCTGGTCGGAGGAGGGCAAAGGTCATGGTGGAAACACTGGAATCGCATTATCAGGGAGCTATTGCCACCAAGGATACCCTCGAGCAGAAGGTGCAGGCGGGTGTGGGGCTCATGGAAGCCGTGTGCTCAGATCTGGAGAGGAGGGCGTATGATTTCCGGCAAGCTGGTATCTCGGCTACAGCGAACGACATGCTTGACTCCGGGAAAGCGTACATGGATGACGCAGCCACCAAGGCCGCGGAGATGATGTCCGAGGGGGCGGCTGCGGCACGACAAGCAAAGGAGAAGCTGCGAGTGCGGGTGGAGAGAGCGCTCTCACAGGCCAAGAAGACGGGCCTCATCACTTACGACACGCTCCCCGAACCCTGGCGCGTCAACCCCCACATTCTCTCCGGTTACCGCTTCTCCGAAACCAAGATCGAATGCCTGCGATCCGGCTTCACCACCCTCAACAACGAGACGGTCAATATCTGGAGCCACGCCATTGGCCTCATCATCGTCCTCGCCATCGCCCTCTACGTCTACCCCTCCACCCCAGCCTTCAGCCAAGCCACGAAACTCGACATCTTCTTCGCCGGCTGCTTCTTCTTCGCCGCCTGCAAGTGCCTCGTCTGCAGCACCATCTGGCACGCCATGAACTCCATCTCCAACCAAACGCTCATGGAGCGCTTCGCCTGCGTCGACTACACCGGCATCTCCCTCCTCGTCGCCGCCTCCATCATGACCACCGAGTACACCGCCTTCTACTGCGAGCCCCGGAGCCGCTGGATCTACATCTCCGCCACCATGGCCCTCGGCACAGCCGGCACCATCCTCCCCTGGCACCCCACCTTCAACCGCGCCGACATGAACTGGGCCCGCGTCGGCTTCTACTGCACCCTCGCCGCCACAGGCTTCGTGCCCGTGCTGCAACTCACCTATCAGCGCGGCTGGGCCGCCACCGCCTTCTTCTACGCCCCCATTTCGCGCTCCATCCTCGTCTACCTCGGGGGAGCGCTGCTGTACGCCGCGAAACTGCCCGAGCGCTGCAAGCCGGGCTTCTTCGATTACATCGGCGGCAGCCATAATATTTGGCATTTGGCGGTGCTGGGCGGCATCTTCTATCATTACGTCGCCATGCAGAGTTTCTTCTCCGAGGCCTTTCGCCGCGCCGAGACGTCGTGTTCGCGGTATTGATTGGATGATTGGTGGGGGATTTGTATATATGATTGGGAAGAGCGTTTCAGCGTTTTGGAATTTATTTTTGACCTGCTCGTTGGTATTCTTGTGCATAGCTCGCTTCAACACTTAGGCGACTGGATTGTGATTCTCGCCGCAAGATCTCGTGAGAATTAAAAATATTTCTAGGTGCTTTGCATCAGCTACGCATCAAGCACACCCTCCTTGTCTGCCCATTCCATTCTGCGGGCGATTGTTCCCTTTCGAAAGTGATGGCAAACACCTCACCCGCCTCTCCCCAAACCGATCAACCACCCACACCACCCCTCCATTAGCCACACTTCCTCTGACCACCAGCGCAGCACAACCGCGTACCATCCCGATACGCCTCCCCATAATCCTCACAGGCCAAACATCCCCCAACGACGTGCGCTCGCGCTCCCTGGCCCCGGGAGAAGGGAGGTGATGCACCCACAGCATATTCAGCCGCTCAAACTTCTCGTTCTCGGATTGATTCGGGAGTTCGTCGCTTTGCTGTAGTGCTGCGGCGTTGCTCGCTGGATGCGATAACAGGCATAGCTCCTTTAGTTCATGGAATGGGACGGTGGAGTCGACGATTGTGCCCTCTTGCTCGGCAGTCGAGTATCGTAGGATGTCGATGGGGACGGAGTACATGATCAGATCTTCGCCGTAGATGGCGGCGATGAGGACGCCGTGGGTAAGATCGTGGGAAGCGGCGTACAGAGTTGGAATACGATGAGTTTCGACTCCAGTTCCTCCTGCGAAAGGGGGAGGCGGGTCGAAGAAGATCTTCCGCGCCAGTCGTTGTACGTTTCCCGCTAGTGTATCGCTTCCTAAGCAAAGCGTGCCAGTCGCGTTATCGGTGAAAAGGATGTGGTGGCCGTCGCTCAGGGGGATGGCGTTGCTATGGTCTGCGGCGCCCCATTCGGTTGACCTTGAGCGCTGTCGGTTTCCCGCGTGTAGTAAGGGGAGATGCCACGAGGCGCGGAGGGTGAACCAGCTATCGTGGGGCGTGCTTAGGGAGGTGCAGGCTGTGCTTTCGTTGTTGATCGAAGGGGCGTATCTGGTGCTGCTTATGAGGCGTAGTCGAAGCGGAGTGTCTTTGCTTCGCCGCGCCGGGAGGAAGTAGATGCTGTCGGCGGATTTGTTGAGGCGGAACCACCGGTTGAGGTTTTGAGCGGTTGTTGGGTCGACCTGTTTAATTAAAAAGCGTCAACGGTATGAGTTCGCACGATATGAGTTCGTGGAAGTGTGGAAGGGAAGGAATCAAGCATACCCAATAGAGCTCTACACCGGACTTGCAACCAAACGCGACACATTGCCTCGTTGGGCTGATGGCGACGGAGTGTGGTTGGTCTTCGGCAGTGCAAATGTCTCTGTAGAGCATTTGAGGCAGGATCCTGGTCGTCGCATCGCCGTCGGGGCTGTACGAGCATTGTGACCAGGTGCCCTCTTGCTTACTCCCAAGCCCATCGTCCGCCGCCTTCCCTGTACCTCTGCTCAATGCAATCGACCCACAAATGCGGTTTCCAACGTGCGCATACCTCGGACCATCCATCGCTCCATCACTCGTCTCAAACTCAACGATCGGCGCCCTCCCAGGCGCCACACTGGTGATCGAGCCGGAGCATTCCTATGGCGAGCCCGCAGCGCTTGGAGCGGTAGTTGTACTCAACAAGTTGAAGTAAAAGCCAAGTCTTCCCTCCAGTAAGACGACTAGGACGAGGCGCTCGGGGCCAGCGTCGATGGCTAGGGCAACGACGTTGCTTTCGCAGAAAGTTTCATATAACAATGTGGCTCTCTTTTCGTTGAGTTTGTAGGTGTGCACGACTTGGCCGGCGGCTGATGCGTAGTAGTTCCCGCATGGGCTGACGGCACAGGCTATCAACATGGGCTTCGATGGTTCGTGATCTTCGTCCGCATCAGTGTTGAGTGTTGAAGCCGATCGGCAGCCAACATGTTCGCATTCCCGAGCCAAGTAGCAGCTCAACCACCACGTACGAACGGGCGGAGGTAAGGGCGAAGCATGTCGAACAGCATTGGTCCACCAGCCTCCTCGTTTCAACTGCGCGGACAGGAGTTGCAGGCACAAGCTTGCGCCCAACCAATTGTGGCATGCATGCCGTGCCGAATCGAAGTCAAAGGGCCCGAGATGTCGATATATGGTTTGAATCAGCTCTGTGGGTAGTGTGGTTGCGATTGACCTGCAGGAGCCGTGATCGTGTCGCGGTGCAGTCTCGGGTGCTGTGGTCGCATTTGTCCGGTCGCAATCGATTTCTCGTCTTGAGTTGTCCTCTGCAAGCTCATTGGCGGCTGTCATGGAGAGATACCGTCGTAGGGCTGTCGCAGGTCGATCGAGTATGGATTTCTAGGAATCGTATCACAGTGAGAGTATTGGTGAGCCGTGGACTTGTAGGAAACGGTGCTCCGCAAGACGAACGCCTAGGTTGCAGGGCCCCAAGTTCATTGTACGGGGGATAATGGCGAAACTGTTTGAAACTTGTTGACAAGAGCAACTGCAAGGAGGAACAACGTGAGTCGTAAGGAAGGCACAATGGGCCTCGACGAACCATAAGAGGTCTTCTAAAACTTCTGTCAGCGCTTCAGCGAAGAGAAGAACGAAGGACCTAGACCTAGAGATAAAGAAATTCCACAGTACAGGAGTCAATTGTATTACTGATTACTGGTTTTGGTAAGCACAGGGGTATCTCGCTCTCGCTCGCTGTATCATCAAACAGAATCCTCGCCCTCAGGGACCGTGGCCTCGGGCAGCTCCCTCCGGAAATTCTTATCCGCAATCCAAAGGCCGTCAAGGGGCGCAACCAAAGAAGGATTGAAAAACCGCACAGCCTTCTCCCGTGGCGGCTTCATCGTCAGACCAGAGTCAAGAGCCGCGTCTTGCTCGTCGCGCGGCTGCGGAGTCTCCACATCGGCCCAGACGTTTCGCTCGGGAGCGAGATCCGTGCTCGACCTGCTGCTCGCCACCTCCGGAGGAGGGGATGGCGAATCGGCAGTGTCGGTGTACGATTCGCCTCGCTTCACGCTTCGGAGAGCAATGAACTTCATTAGCGGTCTGTAGGTTCTGCCGAAGATGATCCAGATCCACACAGTGGCAATGACGAGCGGTAGCATGAGTATCATCCTCGTCACCGCTTTTTGGAGAATCAGCTGACCCATTGTGGCGACTTGGAAGAAGATGAGGCCGACGAAAATGCGATCGCAGATCATGACCCATGCTCGGCCGGTGGCTTGCTGCTGGTTGTCCATTGCGTACAGCAGCTGATACTTATAGACAAAGTGCCCGAATGCGAAGTAGATCAGGCCGGCGAGGATGACTTGCCAGGAGTCGCGAAGCACACTGTACACCATGCAGATGATGAAAATGAGCAGCGCATTCGGTAGGTAGAAGCCGTAGCTGAAGGTCGGAGGCTGCACGAGCTCAGCATAGTCTCGTGGAGTCTTCGCGCCGATGCGGTAGACCGGGTACAGTGAAACGCTCCCCATTTCCAGCAGGCGGAAAGGAAACAAGCCCAGTCCTTGCAGGACGATTAGATTGACGTAGAAACTGAGCAGTCTTTGCAGCGACTTGGCGAGAGAATACGCAAGTTTCCAGACATCCTTTTGCAGTGCATCTCCGACCTGCTTAAAGATTTCGTAGAATTTGATGCCTGCGCCGGAAATGGTGAAGACGACGAAGAAGTTGAAAAAGGTGAAGAAGAAATTCTTCGAGATCGCCGAAAGCTCAATGTCGCCTTGGGACATGAAGCCCTGGTACCAGGATAGCCAGTAGTAGAGGTATGGGACCAGAACGATCATTAGAGATGTGAGGAGGGGTGGCAGCTGTGCGGTGACTAGAGATCGTACGTTCTCGTGTTTATTGAGCAGGTCCTTCAACTGGGGAAAAACCTTGGTGATGGAGTCAACGGTCAACAGACCAGCGACTCCCACAAAGATCGAGGACCAGAGGAGGGTGAGAAGGACGATGAGAGAGGTGATGCACCACGCACGTATGATGCGATTCCGTCGTGATAGGTAGGTGTTTGGCCAGATCACATCTTCAGGAGCAGGACTCTGGCTTGCGATGAGTTGAAGTGGCGATGGGTCGAGGACGGCCTGGATGGCCATCTGACAGGCTGCAACCGAGTCCATGGTGACGAAGGCCAGGGAGACCGGAGAAAAAGTCTTCAGTCGCAGCTCCTTTACTTTCTCGTCTGCCTCTCGCATTTTCTCCTCGTAGTAGTCGATGGCGTCCACCTGACGAGTGTGCCATTTCATGAATCCGTATCGTACCCTGGTCTTCGGTCGGGTCCTCTCGGGGACTAAAGGATGGATGCCATTGGCACCAATGAGAGCCGAGTTCTCATCGTCTTCGCGATCCTCAGCCCCTTGACTGCTTGCGCTTTCGTCTGGAGGCGTCGGCTGAGCGATGGGCAATGACTCGAGATTGCGTCCTATTCGTTTTCGTCCCAGAAAGATGGTATACGCCTCTTCGAGCTTTCTCAGCACCTCCGTCCGCTTCACCACTGCTTCATCCAGCTCTTTCCAGTTTCGACAGAGTGTCACCCGCTCGACCTTTCCAATGTCCAGGCTCTCGATGAACTCTTTGATCCGCTCTTCATCTCTCAGATCCATCGGTATGCCCGACAACCGCATGGTCCGATCGGTGATTGTCGTCTGCGTCCCCAGGTACTCTTGCCGCACTTCGATGATCCGTCTCGTCCCAGAGATCATGAGATAGATGGCAAGTGTGGAAAAGAGGTAAGTCAAGACCACATACATCCAAAGGTAGTCTGTCTCAAAGTCGCTGTCAAACCACCCGTCTGACAAGTTGTAGGGAAGCTGCGCCGACTGTTGGGAATACAGATGAAAGGTGTTGTGATGCGAGCCGTTGTGGTGGTGCGTCTTGTTGTCAGGAATTTCTTCCTGCGGCGGATGCGCATCGTGTACGGGTTTGATGACAACGAGGGAGAAGAACAAGGCAACGGCCAAGAACTTCATGGCCATCTTGAAGAAGGCGAGGAAGGCGTAGGCATCCAGGCCGGCGCAAGCCAAGACCTGTTGATCCGTGATTGTCCATAGCGGCACTATCCACCCGAAGAGCGAGGTAGGCAGCTCAGGCACTGCCGTCGCACTGTCTTTGTGCTTCTTGCGAGCCGCGTAGATACCAGTCCAGCGCGGTCTTAAGACGCAGAAGGTGAGGAAGGCGGATACACCGATGATCAAGGACAGGATGACTTGAATGGTCTTTTCGCGGGGGCTGTCGACACCCACGAGCCTGCCATAGTCGTCGCCATCGTCGTCGCTGGCGAAGGCGAGTAGACCATCCATGGGAGGACGTCGGAGAGCGCGATGCAGATGCTTGGATGGTAAAGATGAAGAATAATAAAAGGCGGGAAGTTGGAAACGAGAGGCAATACAGTTTACCAGATCGGGATGACGTCTCTCTCGTACGGCCGGCGAAAAGACGAAATCAGCTGCAACCTCAGGCAGCACGGAATCTCATCTCATTTAAACGCCGCAACCCACGATGCTTGCACGCTTCAGGTAAGGTTCGCATCCAGGCCTCGCTTAATTAAAGCTCTGAAGGATCCAGACACGGGTCCCGTATTCCGAAGAGTGGTGCGTCTCACGCGTAGGGAGTTGTTAGTTGCCTGGACATATTCGGCTTCACCGTCCTCTTCCTTCTTGTCCATATTGATTTAGCACTGGATCTCTCAGAAAGATGCTCATACGATGACCAATCATGCTGCAATCCTACGGAGGGCCGCAATTCCGCCTTGTGCTCGCGATCTTGGTGTTGATCTGCAGCGCCGCCAGTCTGCTGTATTTGGCACGAGAGCCAACGTTCGCCACGGAGCTGCCAGGGCAATATGACCTCCGGGAAGTGGAAGAGTATCTGGAGGCAGCACTGGAAATCGACCCACCGCCGGACGCGCCCCCCTACGGGGCGGTGGTGATAGCCGCGCAATCCACCACCGATCTGCACTGGACCATGTTCACGAAAGTCACGTAAGTGGCCCCTTTCCGACCGCGTCCGAGAGTCAGGTGCTGATATGTATGGCAGATGGCAAGTGTATGCATACGACGTCGACCAGCCGAGCAATCCGGACATTCGCTTGCAGTTTCCGAAGAGCAAAGGCCACGAAGCAATGATCTACCTTTCATTTATTATCGACCATTACGATGATCTTCCATGGTGTACGGTCTTCATCCACGGCAACGAGAGCGAACCGTGGCATCAGGGTGTCAACATGGTCGAAGCCATCAGCGGACTCCAGCGAGTCCCTCTCGCACGCCAAGGATATGTGTCTCTTCGGTGCGAATGGTATACTTCCTGCCCGACCGAAGACCAACCCCCGAAATCTCTCGAAGCCCTAGTCTCGGATTTGGAGGCTGTCACCAAGGGCACCCAGGCGACCATCAATGGCAACTGGCATCAGCTCTTCCCACACGAGCCCCTGCCTCCAACTTTCGTGGCTCCAATTGGCGCCCAATTCGCAGTCACTCGCCAGGCCATACTCCGCCGACCCAAGTCAGATTACGAGAGACTCCGATCCTGGCTCTTAACCACCTTGCTGGAGGACGATTTGAGCGGCCGGGTGTTTGAACAGCTCTGGGCGTACATCTTCCTGCAGGAACCGGTTCATTGCCCATCGGTCGACAAATGCACTTGTGAATGGTTCGGCCGCTGCGATACAAATGCGCTGGATAGACATTTGGGAATCGACTCTTCGAATTGACATCTTTATGCCGGGAAGTCACTTCACCTTCGCGGCAGGTCTTCACATGATTTCAGGCCGGGCAAAACGATTCGGAGGATCTATGCTCATCGTGGTGAACCGGCTGGCTCGCGTTCGGAGTGAGGTGCTGCCAAGCTTTCAGGCACCTTCCGTCTCTCGAGCGCTCCTTCCTCATGACAGCACTTCTCTTCGACACACCTCCTGTCCTTTTCCTCTCCTGCATCATCTCGTTCATTCTGCGGTGCCGGCGATCCGAGGGTACAATGACGACCGAAGATCTTCTGCAGCCGACGCTGCACGTGGAGGTGCTGGTGACAGGCCGCGAGCATCCGCCGCATGTTCTCAGTGAGGTGGGCTCAAGCAATTGCTCTGCTTACCCGGCATCTGAGCGCTGACGAGACCGTCAGATCCGAAGCAGTGTCGCAGACAGACTCAAAGAAGAGCTGGTGTCGGTCAAAATCGGCGAAGAGATAAAGCTCTTTGGTATGTCGCCACCAACTGTCTCACCTGAGAGAGTACTTGTTGATGTCAACCAGATGAGATCGCCCAGGGCCAGCACATCGAAAGCATTCAAGTCGTCGACTACACAGGCCGCGAAAACTCGGCTCACATCTACAATCTGAATGACGTCCAGCTGGACATCCAGCCCTACACCTTGCACAATGAGACTGGAAATCGTCGAGCCATTCAGCAGCAGGATGAAAGCGACACGGGCCAGACCCGAGTCCTCGCCCTTCCAAATGCCATTCTGCACGCTGCATGGAACTCTCTCGTCTTCGAAGACGCCTTGCCAGCCCGGCTCCTCCGCTACTTAGTTCGCATGGTCGGCATGATGAGCCAGCCCGGTCTGAACCTCAGCACCTTCAACTGGATCCGCGTCTGTCTCCTGCATGGCCCAGCCGGCAGTGGGAAGAGCACACTCTGTCGAGCCCTGGCGCAGAAGCTGAGCATCCGCCTTGGCCATCTCTACGAAACGTCGACTCTAATGGAGATCAATGCGAATGCCATGCTGAGCAAGTATTTCGGGGAAAGCGGCAAAATCATCAGTGCGACGTTTGATGGTGTTGTTGGCATGGCGCAGGATCGTGGCCGCTTTGTGTGCGTAGTCATGGATGAGGTGGAAACGATTGCTGGCTGTCGTGACAAGTCGGCGAGTGGCAGCGAGTGTCGAGATGGGCTGAGGGTATGGAGTGCGCTCGACATGCAGATGACAGGGCGTCTATTGACTGACATTCTCAGGCCACAAATCAACTGCTGACGGCGCTGGATCGGCTGCGTGACCTTCCGAACGTGCTCGTGCTCTGCACCAGCAATCTGATGGAAGCAATTGTACGTCATCCCTACAACAACATCCTCAAAACAACTGCTAACAAAGACACCAGGACCCCGCCTTCCTCGACCGGGTGGACATCAAACAACTAGTCCCCAGCCCCTCGACCGCAGCAATCTACAACATCTTCCGCTCCTGCATCAACGAACTGATCAAAAGCAGCCTCATAGACGCCACAACGAGCACCAGCAGCCCAACCGCAACCTCGCACGAAGTAAGTTCCCAACCCTCATCTCCATTCAACTGGGATCAATGGATCCCCGTCTCGACAGCGATGATCCCCACCTTTGCAGAGATGCAGGTGCGTCGCCTCGACCAGCTGGATCCTGCTTCGTTATCCTCGCCTGGCAGTCGACTGTGGGAGATTGCGCAGAAGTGCGAGGGCTTTAGTGGGCGGACGCTGCGGAGATTGCCGTTGCAGGGGCTGGCGATGTTTACTTATGGGAGGGTGTGCTCGGTGGATGATGCGGTTTCTGCGCTTGAGGCGGCTGTTGCGCAGGAGTTGGCTGGGGCTCAATGCGGGAGGGGATGATGGAAGAAGGAAGGTGTTGTTGCGCATGGGGGTTGCTGGTGAGAAGGGAGAATGCGCCTATGACGTGAATTACTCTCCGGAGGGACGTCCACGCGCGGACAAAGGTGTGGATTGAGAATATGTGAAGTACGTGCAATGCATCGCACTTATTTGCCCTCTTCACTATCGCTGTCACCTTCTACTGCATCCGCGTCAACTTCTGCCTGTGCCGTTCCATCCATGACGAAGGCGCCAAGACAAGTAATGCGGTTGCCCGTCTCCAGCGTGCCCACCAGCTTTCCCAGCTGTTTCGAAGCGTTGGTCTTCTCAGCAGCGGTGTCGTTCGCGGACTGGTTACTACTACTTCCAGCGAGGTCAGAGGGAGGCACGGTCCATAATCGGATAGCGCCGTCGCTGCTCCCTGTGATTATTGCGAGGGGCGATTCTTGCCCAGAGCCAGCAAGCGGTAGAGTGAGGACCTCGAAATCCTTGATACGACCGCTGAAGCCCGCGGCTGAGCCGCCGAGTTGAGCATTGCAGGGCAACAGGGGCAGCTTTGATGCATCCGGTGTGCTTTCTGCAATGCTGGTGTCGAAGAAGAGGATCCTGCCGTCCTCAGTGGAGACTGCAAGCGTGGACGGTGCCTGTGATTCGGCAGTGGGCGGGAGAAAGTGCAAGGCGTGTAGCTTCGTAGGCGGCGATGGTTTGATGATGGCTTTCGGCCTCGAGTCGATCCCAAACACCACCGCGCCCCTCTCAAACGCAATCACGTAATTTTCCCCGTGCTCATCCCACAACACCTTTCTACCTTCGCCACTACCGTGCTTTCCTTCGCCGACCTGTGCCAGTAGATCCCTCTCAAAACTCAACACCCCGGCCTTCTTGCCCGTCATCAAGTTCCACAAGCGCATACACTTCTCCCCTCGCCCGACACTCAGCATCAGCTTCTGCGAGGGGTGGATGGCGAAGTCGTTAATGCCGGCGGGGAATTCACCGGGGCCTGCGGTGTCTCCTGACGGGCGGCCTTGGGGTTTTGGGATAGGAGCTTTGATTGAGGAGAGGACGGTCCAGTCGCGGGCGCGGGAGATGGCGATGGTGTTGTCTTCGGCGGCGCTGAAAAGTTTGGACTTGATGGGAAAGTGGAGAGCGGTGATTGCGCGGTCGTGATTCACCAGATTTCCCAGAGAGCGATTGAGCGGGTTGTGGATCGGGAGCGGTTCGACTAAGGATGAATTGCTAATTTTTGAGGCCTTGATGGTAGATGAGGGTGGTGGTGCGGTGGAGAGGCTGTAGAGATTGATCCGTTCATCGCTTCCTCCTGTGGCGAGGAAGCGTTTGCCCGAGTGCGAGGAGGGGGAGAGTGCCAGACAGCGGATAGAGGAGTTATGAGCAGCAAAGAGGAAGTTGTCTGCGAAGGTGACGTTTTCCTGGTCGGGAGCCTGGATCGTGGCGCAGGTGCCGTGTAGAGCGCGTTCGTAAGATCCGGTGACGATTTGAATGGTGACATCTTTGCGGCCGGTGTTGGTGGGAGACGATGTCTCGATGTGAGGTTTAGCTGCAACACCAGGCTTCGACTTGGCCGGGTTGCCATTCACGTGCGGAGTGCTTGCGGTCTTTTTGGTTTGCACATGATTGCTTGGATGCGCATCTTGGCGCTTTCTCTTCCCGGTCACGTTGGCCATTGCAAGTGAATTAATATCACCTTGACTCCTCGTTATTATATGGAAGTGAATCCGACTGCAGCAGAGAACGCGAACCAAAATTTCACATTTGCAGGGAAAGTCAAAGCTGCCCCGCAAGAATCCTAAGCCAATTTGGGAAGAAGGCGCGACACAGGGCAGGGAGAGGGTGAGGGAGGGAGAGCGGGAAGGGGCGAGGGAGCGACGCGGGCTTTCTCGGACTCTCCGCCGTGCCACCCACCACCTCTCTCGTCGCAAACCCGCTGCAAACGTGGTGCAGACGAGCAACACGGCGTCCACCATTTCAGCACCCCACCCACCTCTTCTGCTCCTCCCCGCTGCATCTGTCGTTCTTGGAGGAATGACGGATGCTCTCCTTTTTCCCCGATAATTTTTAATGTCGCTGGAGGCGCGACGACGCGAGACTGTGGGCAAGCGGAATGCCTTGACGTGAGTCTTCCCATCACCCTTCCATCACAATATCCATCAAACCGCATGGATTCACTCCTTACACGCCCCATCCATCTATCTTTGCATGTGATTTGATGGAAAATATGCGCGGTCGTGATGAATGCTGATGTTTTCATGCGCAGCGAGCGTCGTCGGTCGCTTCGTTCCACCAAGCGCACCCTTCGCAATGTCACCCACCTAATCGCGAAGAATGGCCCGCTCTCCAACCTCATCAACTGCCATTACACCGCCGAACACTCTCCGCCGCCTGATGCAGACGAATCCACCTGGCTGGAAAAAAGTGACATCTCCAAGTAAGTACCGTCGCCGTCGCGAAACCAAAGCTGTGCTCACGCGCGTCGCTAGTGGTCTGCATTTCGATGACACCTCGCTGCCCTACCCACCCACACCAGTCGATGATGATGCGACACACACATCAAAACCTCTAAACCCCTCCCTGAAGTCTGTCAAACAAGTCCAGGAGACCATTGAGCCCACCGTCGCCGCCCTGGAAGATGACATCGCCGCGACCCCAGACCCAACTTCATCTTCCGCGCCCGCAACGAGATCCCGCGCATCAAGGACTACCCCAGCAGTGCCAGACAGCGAGGAAGATGAAGCGCAACCCGTGACTTATGCGCAGAAGGCCCGGGATGAGTCTGACGGCCCTGCGGCCACACCGGCCGTGCTGGCCCCACCTCAACCCGAGGAGGAGGCCGAGTTTTCGGCCGACACTCAACGACTGTTAGACACACAGAGTCCTCAAAGACCTGCCAAGGTCGTTCACTTGCCCCCGGAGGATGTGCAGCGCGAGCGGTCACGGGAATTGGAGGAGCATCGGAGGAGACGGTCCGAGGAAGACACGCAGACCAAGCACACGCGAAGCCATGTTCACGCGCAAACCGAACTCGCATCCTCACCTTCCTCGACTGTTGGCCCGTATTCCGCTGCTACACCCATGCCGCCGCAAGACTCACCTGATACTTCACCCGATTCCGAGACCGGCGACAACCTGGAGGTACTACCCCCGCCCGAACTGCGACCATCGCCAGACGAGCAACGAGAAAAGGAAGAGCATGATCGACTTCTCGCTGCGCAGAAGGCTATCGCACATCGAGCAGCGCTGGGTGATCTATCCACCCCCGACGATCAGCTCAGGTTTGAAGAACGTCAAGCTTCGGCACGTGAGGCGGAGGAAAGGGCGGCACGAGAGGATCGCAACGGTCCAGAACCCGATGGCATCAACGGGGAGGATGAGACGCAGGCAGAGAGCGTGATGGAGGGCGTTGAACGCGATCGCAACGAGGCGCAACCTGATTCCGACGACACGAACAATGAACAACAGCGAGAGTCGGGGACTGGCGCAAAGGAAGGAACGAAAGGAGTGAGAGACGACGGCGATAACATTACCGTCACACCTCGTATGAAATCGGCCCTTCACGCCGACCCGACGCAACAGAATGCCACCGATGCATCTCGCCAAGACAACCAAGCCGAGCAAGCACGGATGAGAACAAGGACGTCTTCTGGCGTACTTCAGAAGCGCAGCGTGTCGGAAATTCTGGGACAAACGCCTTCTCGTCGAGACCTTCTGTCATCCGCCACAGCTACGCCCATGAACTCTCGCCTTCCCCAGGGGAGTCCTACTGCCACTCCGTCTCATCTGTCGATGTCAATTCCGGAGCGACCAGCGAGACATACCGAGCAAGCACGTACCCTGCTCGATGAGCTGAATGCTCTCAAAGGGGCATCGGAAGACCCCGACCGAGACTATCTCGAACCTCTGTTTCGCATTCAGGCCCATGATTCACCCAACAACCGTACGACATCCCTCGCAGATCTTACCCGTGCCTCGACCAAGACGCTGTCCACCGAGGATCACTTTGCGCATTTGCAGGAGCGTGTAGATTACCGCATTCTGCGACGTATCTACCAGCTTCAGAATGCCAACAAGTGGTCTTTACGGCAGATGCAGCGATGCAAAGAGCCTGACCAGCCCGTGACGCACCACGACCACATGATGGTCGAGATGCAGTGGATGCGAAAAGACTTTCGAGCTGAGAGGAAGATGAAGAAGAGCATCTGTGCGTGGCTTGCACAGCGGTGTGCTGATTGGGTGGCAGCTTCTTCCGAAGAGAGGATGCTGCTGCAAGTGAAAGTCAAGCCAGCACGAACGGTGACCGATGACCGTGATGATGTGCCGGCGCCAGAGCTCGAGCAGGCCGATGACTCCGCTGCGGACGATGCTGGACCACCCACGCCGCCAAATGAACTCAGTCTTCCAGCGAACCTCGTCGTGGCGCCGGAGCTGACTGATGCTGTGTCCGCCCTGCAGCAAGATGGCAAACTGGGCCAAGCACTGCGGAATGTACCTGTCGCAGACCTGTCCTCCCTTGCGCCTCCTGCATGGCCGAGGATGTCGGTGACATTGGCCTCCAAATATATCGACGCAAAGGTGCTGCCGGACACGCACGGTTGTAACCGAAAACGTAGCCGGTTTGAGTACGACGATGATGCCGAGATGCTGGAGTTCGGAGTCGTGGCCAAACGTGCTCGTGAAGAGCGGAGCCAACGACCAGAGGACGAGGAGAGCGCGCTCTTCCATCCGGACAACAAACCGATCCGTGATCGACTGCACGCGAACAATGCGTTCCGGCCGCCTTCGGAGTTCGTCATGCCGTCCACTCAATTCTACGAGTTCCGTAACGGATCTCAGTGGTTGAAGGAAGACGACGACAAGTTGAAGAGATTGGCGAAGGATTATGCGTTCAACTGGTCCTTGATCGCCGATGAGCTGCAACTTTACGGAGTGTTCAAGAGCTCGTCAGAGCGGCGGACGCCGTGGGAGTGCTTCGAGCGCTGGGTCGAGCTGGAACAGCTGCCGGCGGAGATGAAGAAGACTATCTACTTCAAGACCTGGTACCAGAGACTGGAGCAAAGCCAGCAGGCCGCTGAGCGACGATACCAGGCCCAAGTAGCAGCTTTGCAGGCTGCGTCGAATGGCCAAGCCAGTCACATACCTATGCGTCGACGAACGGTTCCCTCGCGGGTTGAGAAACGGAAGAACACCCGCTACATATGGATGACGGATGCGATGCGCAAGCTCGCTCGGAAGAAGGAACAGCAGGCATTCAAGCAAGCGGAAGGTGAGTTTTTGATCGCGGATGAAGAAGAGGGTGATACTAACGATCATGTTCCAGCCCACCGAGCAGCTGCACAACGCAAAGCGCAAGCCGAGAACAATCAACCTCGTTCAAAGATTCCGTCGCCGCGAGAGTTCAGCGACAAGCGATATGAAAAGGACGTGCAGGATGCGGAGAAGATGCGCAAGCAGAGACAGCAGATGTTGGAGAACCAGCAACGTCAACTCTTGGCAGCACGACAAGCTGCGATGCAGCAACAGGGTTTGTTGCAGGGTCAGTCAAACCAGCCGCGCCCTGGCAGCTCGGCCAATATGCCCGCCGCCCAGCAGGCGCAGATGCAAGCGAACGGGCAACAGCAAGCACAGATGAACGGGCAAATCTCGCAACAGGCAAGACAGCAAGCCCTGCAGATGGCGGCTCGCAATGCTCATCTCGCGGCACCACAAATGAATGCCCAGGGCGTTCAACAAGCACAGATGCGAGGCAACGGTCAAATGCCCAATGCTCAAGACATGCAACGAATCGCCCAAGCGAATGCGCAGGCTCGGAACGCACAATACGGCGGGGGCCAACAGCAATATCAAATGCCCAGTGCCAACATGATGAGCCCTGGCGGAGGAGGGATGGCCGCTCAGCAGATGAATCCCAACAACCAAGCGATGCTGGCGAACATGCAGCAGCAGATGCACAACGCTGGGCAGCAGGGCGGCAACCAACAGATGTCGGGGTCGCCGATCATGCCTCCGCCCCCCACGCGTCACAGCAACAGCGGCAGCAATCCCCCACAATCTCTCTCCTCGGGACACGTGCCGAATATCATCAGCATCCGGGCTCATCTGCGGAGCATGTACCCACATTACACCGACGAGCAGATCGATGCCAAAGCGACCGATGCGCTCAAACTCCACTCGCAATCGTCGAGTCAAGCGCGTCAAACAGCCATGAACGCCGCGGCGGGCATCAGCCCTAGTATGGGAGCGCACTCGAACATGCAAGCCTACGGCCACATCCAGGCAGCATATCAGAACAACCAGATAGCGAACGGAGGAGCCAACTTCATGGGCGCCGGCGGTGGAGATCCCACGGGCCAACAAGCACAGCCAAACGGCATGCCTCCCGCCGCCAGCCCCAGCCCGCAGCAATACGCCGCCCTGATGCGACAACGCCAAATGGCGCAGATGCGCATGCAGCAGTCGCCCAACGGCTCCCACGCCAGTCTCAACGGCAGTCCGAACATCGCCGTTGCCAGCCCTAACATGGCGCCCGTCAGTCCCAACATGCAATTCTCGAACATGAATCAGATGCCGTCGATGAACAACATGGGCGGCGCTGCTGGTGCAATGACGCCGCAGCAGCGCCCTCCGAGCCGCAGCAACACGCCGCAGATTCAGCGCGTGGGCTCGTCGGGGAACATGTCTACTGGGGGGATGGCGAGTCCACAGGCTGCCAACGCGGGGTTGCAGGGGAGTCCGAGGAATATGCAGGCTAGTGTGGCGCGGTAGGATTGAGCTGCGCGAGAGTTGAGAGCTACTTGGGTGCGTAGGGGTATGTACACCAGAGAGAAGAAAGGAATTCTTGCATCAGCTTGGTGCGTTTCCAGGCAGGGAGCAGTACACGCTTAGCTCGAGCAAGGCGAAAGAGCAAAGGGATTGATCATCTTCATTGGAGCCGTCGACATCAAGTTAGCTGTACCAACAACAACACCCTTGGCAACAAGCAATCCATCCTCTACTCAACAAAAACCCCCTCCCCCCACCCCTTCCTCTTCACCCCCAACTCCACCGCCGCCGCCCCCCAGTCCTCCCCATGATTATGCATCTTCTTCCCCTCGTCCAGCCCCGCGCGTTCCAGCCCCTGCTCCTCGGTCAACAGCGTCAGAAGGCCGAAAATCACCGGCACCCCCGTTTCCAATTGCACCTTCATCAACCCATGACTGACGGCGTCGGAAATGTACTCAAAGTGCATTGTGCTGCCCTTGATCAGCGCGCCTATCGCTACAATGGCGTCGAAGGGTTGTTGTAGCCCTTTGGTGGTGCTCTTCTGTGTCTCCCCGCTACTACTACCCTGATCGGAGGATGTCTTAGGCAAAGACGTAAGATCCGTCGTACTCCCGCCCAACAAATCCTGCGCGGCAGAAACCAAGCCTCCCGCTGCTCCGCCCCCCAAAATCGAAGATTGCGACTGCTGCTGCGACGCCGTGTACATTTTTTGCGCCGCGAGGGGGAGCTCGTACGACCCCGGGACGGATTGGATGGTGATGTTTTCGTCGCGCACGCCGTGCGCTTTTAGCGTTTTGAGGGTCCCGTCCAGGAGGGCGGAGATGAGTTTTGTGTTCCAGCGGGCGTGGATGATGCCGATTCGGAGGGCGGAGCCTGTGGGTTTTTGCAGGGGTGGGTTAGTTGGGAGATTTTGCCAATGGATTGGATGGGGAGGGGGACGGGAGGCATTACCATCGTATTTCTTCGCTTCGCCTGGGCCTTTGAGGGTGGATGTCATGGTGGGTGGATTGAGTTGGATGTATGCGTGGTTGCGTGGGAGGTATTGTGGTGTGAGGTGGAGGAAGAGGTTGGCAATTGGCGTTTGGCGTTGCGTACGAGGTGATCGACAGCTGAGCGAGAGGTGGAGTGGAGTTGCCCGTCATGCGGCTTAAAACGGTACCTTGCAGCTTCACTTCACCCACCCACACCCACACAGTCCAGACTATGGTGGCACATTCGATGAGCTGCAGATGGGAAGATCGCAATGCGATCGGTAGTTCGCAGACTGTCTAGTGGAAACATCCACCACTCGTCTTCGCACTTCCTCTCCCTCTCTCCTTGCCCTCAAAGGCCAATCTCATACTCAAGACACATCCCCCAGAAGCATCGCCGAGATGCCTCCCATCCCTCAAGAAAACGCCACAATGCAATGCCAAAAAGCAACCCCCCTTCGCTCGTGAATAGGCTAAGCATCACGCAAGAGACGCCCCACCCTTTCCCTTTTCTTCCATCTGTCCCCCCAACCCCTTTCGCGCCGCATGCCGTGAGAAGGAGAAAAAGTCTAGTTCAAGAAACCCTTGCAGTTCGCCGAGCCGCAGAGACAAGGGATGCGATCGGTCGAGTTGATTTCCCGCTCAAACTTGTAGTCGTACGTGAGTTCTTCGTCTGTAGCAGCAACAGGTCAGTCAAATTGTTCATCCAACCATCGAAAGGGAAGGGCAACTCACTCTTCCAGATATCCTTCAGCGCATAAATGACAATGCGCGGCGTGCCCTCGACCTTGATAATCTTGGCCGTGCAATTGGGCGAGCACGAGTGGTTGATGAAGCGCGCGATGCCGCCCTTCTTCGTCGCGTCCACAATCTCGTCGTCCATCATGCGGAAGAGATAGCTCGACCCGACGCCTTGGCGATCGTACTTGAGCTCGCGCAGATCCGCCACCTTCTGCCGCACCTTCTCGCCCACGTACTCGATGATGAGGTCGTTGACGGCAATGTTCTCCTGCGCGTACAGGCCCCAGCCGTGGATGGCGGAGCGGTCGAATTTGACGAGCTTCTTGCGCTTCTTGAGCATGTTGAAGCGCAGGGCGACGTCGGCGTCGCTGTTGCCTGCGTTTGCGTGGCTGAGCGCTTGCTTTTGGAAATTGATGTCGTTGACCAGGCGGCGCGTGTTGACGCGGTTTGTGCGCGAGGTGGCTTTCATGGCGGAGCTTTCGGCCGCTGCGATGCGCGCTGCTTCGGCGGCGGCGTTGGGATCGGCTTTCGCTTGCGCTTGTCGCTCTTCGCGCGCTTTTTGCACTTTGATGCGATGTGGAAGGTACTTGCTCTTCTCTTCGTTGAGGATCTTCTTGATGCCTTCGGTGCGTGCGCTGCCGGTGGCATTGGGGACGTAGTAGCCGTCAATGCCAGTCTCGCCTTGCACGGGGCCGGTACTGCCAGAGTTGAGCGTCTTGATCTCCTTCTGCCTCCAGGCCCACAGTTTGGCGTCGCCAATGTCGTAGGAAATTTCTTCAACCAGCGCTTTGCGGAGGAAGGCCAGATCTTCATCGTCCTTGATGGTCTCCTGCCACCCGTCGATATCCAGAACAAGCCCTTCATCATCCTCCACCGTTCGCCGGGGCTTGTCGTGCGTGAAGCGCAGGTGCACATTCGTCGGCTCAAACTCCACATAGTCCACCAGTTCGCGCGCTTTCTGCTCGAGCTTCCGGGCGGTAAGCAGCGCCTCTTGTTTCCCAGCAGCCTTGGCCGCCTTCGCCTCACTCTTGAGCGCCTCCTGCTCTTCCAGGAGCTGTTTCTTCGTCTTGCGCTTCTTCTTGACACTCTTCTCCTTGACGGCTTCGGCCGCAGGCGTGCTTTCTAGCTCGGCATCCGGCATTTCAGTATCGTCGATGAAGGCCTCATCTGGCAGGCCAACCTGGAAGAGATCATCGTCCCTCTTATTGCGCTGCCGAATGAACAGCTCCGTGCGTGCCCGCGATCCATACTTGGAGGTTCGCGGCAGCGTGTTGACAACTAGCTCAAGCTCGCGCAAAGCAAGGTCCTCCGGCTCCTTATGCAGCAAATGACCAAGCGTGCTCTTCTGAAACGCATCGAACGTCTCCTTCTCCTCCGCCTCGTCCCAATCCGCGGCCACCTTTCTGCGCTTCGATTTGGGCGTGTCGGCCATGGACTCCGTGTCGAAGGGGGTGGATGTACGACTTGTGCGGCTCATCGGCCGACTTTCCTGGTCTTCGGTATCGCGCGTGAGAGAGGTCTGTCGTTCGTCGTCCGAATCCTCGTCGTCCGCAAACATCTGCTGCAATCGGTAGTGCAAGCCTCGTGCGTGCGAAGCCTTGGGCGCCGGCCGTCTCCGCCTCTCGTCCACGAAAGCATTCGCAGGGCCTCGGCTGTCCCTTTCGCCCTTTCTGCCACGCTGCGCGTTTGGATCGTGCGGTCGCAAAGGTTTGGAGTGTGCGTTGAAGCGCGATTTGAGTGAAGCGTCGCCGCGGTCTTTGTTGGAGAAGAGGAGCCCAGGCGCTTTGTTCTCATTGTCAGACGGATCGGACAAGCCATGCTTTCTTCGTTTCGCGCTGTGTTTGGAGGGTTCCAGACATTCGTGGAAGATGGGAATCGCGATGCGTGTCTTGATGTCGCCCATGATCCTGTCTCGGAGCTCCGCACGCAGCTGTTCCAAAGCCCCGTGCACTGGATCCAGATTCTCCGCTCGGTTCCTCTTCTCAATCTCCATATCTTCCGCCTCCTCTTTCTGCAATCGCTCAAAGTGTTCCCGCTTCTTCTTGTCCACTAGGACGCGCTCCGGACTGGGGCTGCGCTCATAGTTCGGATTGCCATACTTCTGGCACTCCATCTCCATGTTGTACGTGAACAAAGCGGCCTTGTTACACTCGGCGAAACATCGCTCGGTCTCATCCTCGCCGCGCTTAGAGTCTTCGAAGACGACATAATAGCCTGTGCGGTCCAGTCGAACCTCGCGCCAGTCGTACGCCTTTAAGCGCTTCTTCAAATGCGGGATCGTTGTACCAAGCACGGGCACAGAGCTGTGTGGGACGTGGATGTACGGCTTCCGCTTGATCTTGCTCAAGATGGGCTCATCTTCAATCAGTGCTGCAGCAGCAGACTTCGGATTCGCGGGCGGTGCTACCGCCTTTGGCCCCTCAGGCGCCTTGGCGGCATTCTTCGCGGATGGGCCTTTCGGCGCATTGATAGGTGGTGCGGGGGAGTCGGTCGGAGGTGGCGCCGAGTCTGCCGGCGGAGGTGGAGGAGGAGCATCATACGCGCTTCGCTCCTTCGCCCTGTCCCCTCTGATGCGCTTCAGCATTTGCTCGACCAGTCGCTTGCACTTCCGGCCTTCGCGATCGAGCTCCACCTTGAGCGTATGCAAGCCAATTCTTCCGCCATTGAACTCAGCCTCTGCTCGCTTTGCTGCCGCCACGGCCGGCATCTCTGGTACATCCCGGTATTTGATCAGCGCAATACCAAGAAAGCTACCCGTCTCGGGGTCGGTCTTGTTTTGCACACTCGCAATGCTGCCAAATGTTCCGAAGTTGAGTCTGAGAGTAGACTCGGGAAGGAATGGGTCGAATCCAATGGCTACGACCTGCTGCGGTTCACCAGGGCCAATATGATGTCGGTCGTCGCGCTTGTATGGCGCCACGTTGTACGGCGCAAGGCGCAGAATGGCTTTGCTCGCGTGTGTCTTGGGCCGGCAATTCCCTGACATGTAGCCTGGAATGGCTAGTCGAGGATCCGGAGGAGGATCGGGCTGGTATGTCTGCCATTATACCGTCGTCAGCGAAAGGGTACAGAGCGATTTGAGCAATCTCTTCCATGTCACTCGAATATTATTGTGCAAGCTCAGCAGATGATGAAATGTGATGTAGCGTACCTCTGTGCCGAATTCCTTCTTCCGCGGTGTTGCCCGCTTCCGCTCTTCCTTGCTGAGCTTGCCGTCGAGTTCGGGATCCCAAACCACTCTGTACCCTTTCGCTTTGCCGGGAGGAGGGAGCATGGCGCGGCGCTCTAGGAGCGGGGGTGCGCTGAGGTCAGGAGTGTGGGCTGAGGCAAGTGGCCCGTGTGAGGAGGGAATGGAAAAGGCGCCATTGCGGGCAGCCATGTCTGCGGAGACGTGAGGACTGTTGCCTTTGGCCGGCGACGAGTCGGTGTGGCTGGTGAGCGGAGTCAATCCGTTGGTGGTCGACACGTGCCGAGTGTGCGCGGAGGCGTTGTTATTGTTGCTGAAGACGGAGGAGGCGGTGCTGGTCAAGGAGCTCGCCGAGCCAAGACCGCGCAGCAAGTCACCCGACTCTGAAGGCTGTGTCTCATCAGAGTCTGGTGAGTGGTATTGCTTTGTGCCTTGCAGGTCCGAGGAAGGTGGGTGAAGAGGGCGAGAAGCGGGCGGCGGCGGCGGCGGTGCGCCATTTGTGAGCTTGGCACCATTCAAAACTCCACCGGGTGAGGAGGTGGAGGTGGAGGAGGCATGGGCGGCAGCATCGCGCTTGCGCTTCAGCGAGCCGGGCGATGGAATGCGTGGTATGGCCTCCTCCCCTCCGACAGGTTGCGACATAGTGTCGCCTTCACCTCACCTTCGCCAGCAATCCCACATGGCTTGATGCAAGCAGGGGTGTGGGTGATGAAGAAATGAGCGAGGCGAAGGGCGTGGGCACGGGTCGCTGGCGGATGCAGGGACGGGCGATGGCGGGCGAAGGTGCACGTGGAGCTCACGCGCGTGTCGAGGAGGGCAGGGCACAGGTGTGGGCGGGGTAAGAAGGATATGAGATTAAAGCGACGAGGTTCATTCAGTGTCCTCGCGATGGCTTGACAGCGATGCCGAAGGAGAGACGCGCGGGGCAGAATGGGGAGAGGTGAAGTTGTTGCGGCGCAGAAAGAGGAGGACGAGCAAGGGCTGCTGCTGGGCGCGCGAAGCGGAAGTCTTGGCACGAGCATTCCTCGGGACCCCCTGACAGCAAGACGCCAACTCTTCCTCGCTTCCCATCCAGCCACCACCACCTTCCAATAATGGCGAAACATGGACCTCGCTGTTAGAATGTGCTCTACCGACGACCACACAGTGTCGCGAATACTTCGCCCGAAGACTGCAATCTCTATGGGCGCCTCCCCGAGTCCTCCGAATGCTACACCGCGGCCAAGAAGAAGAGCTGTTCAACGCATACCTATACAGCACACGTAAAGCTGAGGAGAGCAAGGCTCTGGCGATGGGTTGATTAGTTGTGATGGCGAACAACAATAATGGATCGAAAGAGAACACATCACGTGATGAATCAGTAATGGCCTCGGTCAGATCAAAGCCTCGATCTGCAGAGAAGAGTTGGCCCTGGCATACTCATGTATCCACAGGTAAGGAAGATGGAGTCCTATCTCACTTCTTGAGCGCATACGCATCTCCGATTCCTCGCTGCACGGCCGGGCGCTCGGCAATGCGATCCACCCACTTGAGCACGTGGGGGAACTGCATCTCCTCCTCGCTGAAGCGGTTCTTCCATCCCTTCACCCACGCCCACGTCTTGATGTCGGCCACGCTGTACTTGCCACGCCCATTGCCCGCGAGGTAGTCCTTCTCCTGCCCCGTGTGCTTGCCGGAGAGCTGCAGCTCCAGCACGCCGAAGACGCGCAGCGTCTCCTTCTTGAAGCGGTTGATGGCGAAGGGGACCTGCTCTTCGGCGCGCGAGAAGAAGTTGACGTTTCCTTGGTAGCTGTGAAAGGTCAGCACTGTGGATTTGAGCCTTGTGGGATATGGATGGGGCCCGGCTTACGGTGCACCGCTGCCGTGCCAGAAGAAGACCCATTGCAGACATTCGCTCCGCTCACGGTCGTCCTGGAAGCCAAAGGCGTCCTTCTTGTCGACGGCCTTGAGGAGGTAGAGCAGCTCGGCCGATGTCTCCATGACGGCGAACGGCGGGCTGATAGTGTTGTCGATGAGGGTTGGGATGCGGCCTGCGCGGATGCGTATTAGTCAACAGTTTACGCCTGTACAAGACTTGGGCAGTACGAGCCATTGGGATTCAGCCTGAGGAACCAGTCCTTCTTCTGGTCGTTGGTGGAGATGTCGACCAACGACGTCGTCCACTCCAGGCCATAGAGGTCCTTCAGTTCTTCGAGGTAGATCTGGACAGCCTGGCCATTGGGCGTGTTCATGGTGAGGAGGTGGAAGCCTTTGGCATTCTTGACCTCGTTGGGCGTCTCGTCACTGTAGAAGGGGGCCATGATGATGGGCGTGTATTGTGCAGTCTTGGTTGATGGAGGGCGATAGGTTCGAAGGGAGAAGTCAAGAGAGACGGGCAAGGGAATGGAGATTAAGAAGAAAGGCCGATAGGAAATGCATTTGCAAGCGTCGTGCCTGCTGCAGTAGGTATTGTGTGATTGCCCCTCATCGTCACCTCGCCCCACCTCGTGATTTCTAAGCGGCCGTCAGCGATTCATGGCCGATTGATTTGCGATGATTATGCAACCTGGTGTTGCCGTTGTGTCTTCGGGTCCGTTTCCTAACGATATTCGTAAGGCATACCCTCCAGGTAGATACCTAGTTTTGGCGGGTGGATGGCAGAATTGGCTGACGTCCAACATCTCATACTGGAGCCGGTCCCATATTTGTGCCTGAGGCATTCAATATGAGCCCGGACCACATTCCACTCCCATGCTTTCTCCGTCGTCCAACACCGTAATGTAACCAGCCATATCTTGCCACGAGGAGCTACGCATACCCCCAAACATCAGCATCCACCCCCACACGATGACAGCAGAAGACTCCATCACCGACCCCCTCCTCCTCTCCGTCCTCCAAGCCGCAGCCGAAGCCCGAAACCAAAGCCTCGCCATCCTCGCCCTCATCAACGACCACCACGCCTCCCCCTCCCCCGAACCCCCCACCGACAACACTCTCCAGCACATCTCCAAACAGCAAAAACTCCTCCACACCCACCTCGTGCGCCTGCGCGGCCTCAACCGCCAAGCCACCCTCGCCGTCCGCACCACCAAACAAGCCACCGCCGAAGCGCGCCACGAAATCGACACCCTGCACCTCGAGCTGCAAAACCTGTACTACGAGCAGCGGCACCTGCGCGGCGAGATCGCAGCATGTGAATCCTACTCGCACCCGCACGAGCAGATTTCGCTCATTGACGTGGAGGATTTCCTGACGCTACATCCGGAGTTTCGGAGTGCGAGCGAGCACGATGTTACTGTGGCGCGGATTCGGGATGAGCATGCGCAGCGGGTGGCGTTGGAGGAGCAGAGGCTCGCGCTGGTGAGGAGGAAGGAGGCGTTGGTTAAGGAGACGGCGGGGAAGAAGGAGGAGTTGGCGCGCTTGGATGGGGAGATGGAGAAGTGGGTGCATGGGCAGGAGGCGGTGAGGAAGCTGTTGGAGGCGGGCGAGAAGAAGTCGAGGGAGGCGACGGCGTCGACAGAGTGAGAGAGTGTGTGTGACAACTCTCCCTGGGTTGATCAGTAAAGGAACCTAGCGCATGCCAGACGGCACTCCCACCAGCACCAAGCGCCCGCCGGCGAAATATCTGCCCCTAGGTGTATGAGTAAGGTAGAGAGAAAGGATGCTCGAGACTGATTCTCGTCCAACATGACGTTCGATTCAACAGAGTAGTAGTAGTAGTAGTAGATTACCCCCATCTCTTATAAAGATGACCAGTCTTTTCTATCCATTCTATTCCCTTCCATTCCTCCCAGCACCAAAACCTCATACGAAAAAGAAGGCCGTGACAGAAGAACAACAGTAATAGGTATCCGCGCAAGCCACCGACACTCCTCGCACATCAAGGCCCCTCCCTCTGCGCGCAGTACTCCGTAATCAAGCGCTGCAAATCATTAATCTTGTACGGCTTGGTCATGAAGCCCTTCATGCCGACGCGCGCCGCCCGCTCCTGCGCCCCGTCCGTCACATCCGCCGTGACGGCTAGAACAGTAGGTCTCTTCCGGCGAAAGCCATTCCCATTCGCGCCAGCACCCTTCCCCGCGCCAAGCTCGCCCTCGACTTCGCTGAGAATGCGCTGCGTAGCTTCATACCCGTCCATAAGCGGCATCCACAAATCCATGAGCACGACATCAATCCCGACGCCGAGGTCGCGGTGCGTCTTCATCTGGCGCACCGCCTCGGCGCCGTCGTGCGCCTCGTACACACCGTCGTACCCGAACTTGCGCAGCATGGAGACGAGGAGTTTGCGGTTGATCTTGTTGTCTTCGGCCACGAGGAAGGTGAGGGGGTATTTGTTGGCGAGGTCGCGGTCGATTTCGGGGTTCGAGACGCTTTTACGGAAGCGAGGGCGTTGGGGCTCGAGATGGGTGGTGCTGGGCTGGTCGTGGGGGGGAGAGGGTGGGGAGGACGTCATGCCGTGTAGGAGGGAGGTGACTGTCGGGGGATGGAGGCTTTTGGGAGGGGTGGAGTGAGAATCGGATTTCGGAGGGGCCGGATGGGAGTCCACGGCGTCTTGGAGGGCTCGCGAGAGCTTGTTGGGGCTCTTTGGGCTCTCCGGGCTAGGTTGAAACGTGGTTTTAGGGGTGGCGATGATGGGCGCGAGGGATGGACGACGGGGTAAGGGGGAGCCGAAGGGGGACGTAGGGCGACTGAGCGTCTCGCCGGCAATCGTGGGGATTCGAATTTCGAATTCGCTGCCGCGGTGCTCGCCTTCAGTCTCCGCGCGCGTGCACATGAGGTCGCCACCGAGTTTCCGGGCAATGCCCTTTGCCACCATCAAGCCTAGCCCCAAGCCTTCACTGGACCGCGTTGTAGATTCGTTCTCCCTCGAAAACGGCATGAACAATCTCGGCAAGAAGGCGGCAGGGATACCAGGTCCATTGTCGGCGACTTTGATGGACACGTACTTTCCCCTCGAACTCAGCCGTGCGTGTATCTCGACTCGACCTCCGTGTTGGTCGGTGAACTTGATGGCGTTCAGGATGACGCAGGAAACGAGCTTGCTGAGATCCTTCTCCTCCATGAAGATAGTCATGGGCAAACTCGGATCCACGCTCCACTCGATGTATTTCGTCTTTGCCGTTCCATCAGATCCCCTACTCCGTACTTCCACAATCTCGCCGTACGTGGTTTCCTGTGCCAATGCCGAGTCCGGTCTCCCGCCCATCTTCAACCCCTCGTTGATCACATACCGAAACACCTCTCTGATGTTGGTATGTCTTAGACCAGGAGCAACGTGTCGATAAATTGGGGTAAGGGAGTGGGCTGCCAACTCCGCGTCTTCGTTGGTAGGCGTAGCGCCGGGTTGCGCATAAGAATGCACATCACCGGCTTCTTGCAAGCCATCCTTGATCTCCTGGCTTGGCTCGCGAGGGTTCGACGACCAAGCCGCAGCAGCCGCCTCGAGTTTCTGAACCTTGCTGCTCGCATTGCTGTTGTGTCTCGAAGATGCCTCGTCTCTCCTGCGCTTGCGAGAGAGGGGAAGATTGCTACCAGAAACAAAGATTTCCGGTCGTCGATCGGCCGAAATCTGCGTGGAAAATGGTGACGCAGAATCAAGATCGTCTAAAAAGGGGAGCCCGGACGATTCGGGCACACTCATATCCATGTCATACGCATGGACGACATTATCGGCAGCCTCGACCGCCCTTCTTGAGCTGTCTTGCACCACCTGAATATTCTCTTTCAACTCCTCAAAGACCCTGCGGAGGCGGGGGTCAATGTGACCGCTCACCGCCTCCTCGACCGTGGCGTACATGACGTCAAGCATGCCGACAATACCTTGCATCGGTGTCCTCAGCTCATGTGACAGACTACCGGCATATGGACGGAGGGACTGGGCGAGAGTAACGGCGGCGTGTGGGATAACCTGGCTCGTCTCAGGTAGCGGCGTGGGCTTGAGGAAGTTGGCACCTTGCACGAGCCTTTGCTGCATAAGGTCCTCCAGGGAGTGCAGTAGCATTTCGATGAAGCCCCAGGACAAGACTCGTTTCGCCGCGCCCTCCTCGGACCACATGACTCCGAAGTGGGCAAAGCACTTGCCCTCGGCGAAAAGAGGGACGGCAATGTAGGCGGCGGCGGGAAAGGGGAGTTTGTTGGGGTTGTTGGTGAAGAAGTCGCCGAGCTTCTCGGGCACAACAAAGACCTTGTCGTGGCGCATGTAGGCGCAAGGGCAGCCATGGCCAGCATAGCGGAAGTCGCGGAGGGTGGTCTTGGAGCCGTCTTCGGAGCAGAAGTGGAGGGCGGAGGCCATCAAGCAGGCACCAGGCTCGCCGATGGGAGGCATCTCGACGGCGGCCTCGTGTTCGTCGACGAGGACACGCTTGGCAACAAAAGCCATTTCGGCGCGGAGAATACGGGAGAGGTCTTCGGTGACGGTGGGGAAGAAGTCGTCGGCGGAGAGGGAGGGGAGTTTGGCCTTGAGGCGCACAACGGCCTCGAGTGCCTCGCTCTCGGCGACGGGATAGTAGCGATTGAGCACATCGGCGAAGCGCGGGTCTCCATGCTGCAGTACGTCCTGGGTGCCATAATGCGGCAGGCAGACGCTTTGGCGGTCCACCATGACCGCGGTCGCTTCGGCGGACATGTGTTGGGGGATTTCAAAGCTCGTATTAACACCCCGCAGCAGTCCACCTCCACGCCAGCATCATGTCAAGTAGCTGTGTGTGAGAAGTGGGCATGGAGCGGGACGGCGTAGTGCTCCGGGCGGTTTTGGTGGAGCGGAATTCAGGCGGTGTCGGAGGCAGCGGTAAATGAGAAGCAGCAGGTCTCGCAGGTCTCGCAGGTCTCGCAGCTCTCACTGCGCGTGTCTGTGTTGCTTCAATTCCAGCCAGCAAAGAGGGAAAGTCGTCCAGTCCAAGATGATGTGCAGGATAGCAGCAGGAGAGTAGGCAGCGGGTCCGCAGCACCAAGGTGCCAACAAGCCGGGTACACGGTAAATTCCAGGGCCTCGCCAGACTCACCCCGCCATGGATGAGGAGGAGCAGACAAGAGAAGCGTGGTGGCGGTGGAGGGGACAGTACAGCAGCAAGCAAGCAAGAGGGCGCGAAGAGGGAAGCAAATTACCGGGCTCCGTCAGCGTCACCGGCGTCCGCCCGGTGGAGCCTGGGTTGTGCAACGCTTGCCTTCTCGCTCAGGTCGGTGGCGGTCTAGATTGCCTTGTCGAGCGGCTAGTGCAGAGCTTAAAACAGAACGCGATGGCGTGCACGAACAAACAGGCAGCCGCTGTCGGTGTTGGGCTCCGGGACCGGGGCAGTCGCTGCTCGACCCTGCTTACATTAGCCCCCTTCGGTCACGCCTCCGTGTGCAGTCAATCACAAAAGGTGTCTCGTCGATCCCCGCCGTTTTGCGCAAAGGGCGTGTGATCACAGATGTGCTCGCCGAACTGTTGCATCGAAGGCAGCCTCGACTGCGAAAAAACGGGCGGACGGCTCCACTTTCGCAGGTCGGGTGTGGCGCAACCCAAATGTTCCAGAGCGTTTGCCCGGCGCGCACAACGCACGCTGGTGGCGGCAGTCGATGGTATGTGAAGGCATAGATGCCGACTACCCGGTAGGTTTCCCTCTCACACAGCACCCCGTCCGCCGGCGTCGGTAAGAGATGTCCTGGATGGTGCTGATGATCCAGACCACTGCACGTGTGGACGATCCGGGATCGGCATCACGTGTGGGAGGAGGAAGCGATCAGCATGCCTAGCCGGGTCTCTGATCCGATGATCACGGTAACATCAATGAAGATGAAACTCCCAGCCGTCTTCATCCTTCAACGCCCATCTCCCATACACCGTATGTCTACCGTGCAGCATACATTCAGACTGCCAACGGACTGCACCGGCAACGGAGAACTCCTCCCCCCGGCGACCACCGGAACCCTCACCATCCATCACCAAGGCACTCATCACCTACATGACCCTTCGCTTCCCTACTTTTATCCTCTACTCCACCGGTACCCGGAATACCCTCCGAGGCAATCTACAGTGATTTGATATACGAGCGAAGGAATGTGGCACCCCCGGATCGCTCGACTGCCGGAGCCCGCCACCAAACCTTGTTGTAGCCTAACCGCAGCTGGTGAATGCTACCTCGAAGTAGGGGTCTGCGTGGTAGGTAGAAGATACTGTCATGTATATGGCATACGTGCTACAAGCAGCCCCCGGAGCTGGTTCCAGCTCGACAGATCAAAGGTGAGGTCAGAGCTCGGCGATGATCATTCAGACACGTGCCTACGTAGATAGCTTTTCGCCAATACTTCACAAACGAGCCATCCTCAACCCGCGGGTATCTCCTCCACTGCTCCCAGTGTCAACTCCCAAACCCCTCCCGTCCAGTACCCAGATTCATCATCTTCCCGTCACTAGGGTCACAGTTAACAAAGGTAAAATCCTCAAAATATCAACAGCAGGTCTCTCTGTCCTAGCAATCTCAAAAAACTCCCCAAACGCCCTCGCTAGTATTATCGTTCATATCGCGGCAGCTCCGACGACGCAGCCGCATCGGCATGACTATCGTGATAGCTGCTCGATGAGCCGGCCCTTGCTCCGACATCCACTTCGTCCAAGGTGGGCGCGCTGGGCTCGAGAGCCGTGGCGGCCTCTTCTTGCCCTGCCGCCGGGATATCATGCGGAGGAGCGGTGGCGATGGAGGGCCCTGCTGTCGAAGGGCCTGCGGTAGTCGTGTACTCCGGTGCTGCTGCTTCTGTTGCTGCCGGTCGCACGTCAGGCTGAGATGCATAAGCAGGCGCGGAATGTGCTGGCGCCGAAGCAGAGCTGAACGCTTCGCCCGCCGGCCCTGCTGCCGATGAAGAAGGTCCCAAAGGAGGGGCAGACGGCATATAGGGTGCGCTTCGCGGAGGAGCGCCTCCGACAGCAACAGCGTCCTCGAGCGGCGCCGCGTCAAGCCCAGGTGGCTGGCTGGGAAGAAGACGCAACTCGGCTTGCTGGATGCGCTGCTTCTCCGACATTTCCGATTCGTTTTGCAACTGCGGGAGTGGGAGGGCTGGGGGCGGAGGCGGAGGCGGCGGCGGCGGATGGTAGTAGTCGCCTCCCTCCGAGTACATTTGATGCGAGTAGTACCCATCCCACTGCCCGTTATATCCATACGATCCATCATACTCACGATAATCGTAGTCCTGATGGTGGCCGTTGGCCGGATACCAGCCGTAATCTGACTCTTCCGTGTGTGCTTGCGGATATGGTGCAGGCGATTCGGTCTGCGGCGGTGCTGCTTGTGGCGTCTCCACTACGGCGTCGACCATCCGGCGCTTGCCTTTGCGCCGCTCGCTGTCTTTGGTGCCGATGACGACTTCAAACGTAGCGGACACCACGCCTTTGTCGCGCCGTACCGGGGCGGTGTCGATGATTGAGGTGGCGGCAACGCGTTCTGCAGTCATATCGTCCCCTGGTGAGGGATTCACCGGCGCGCCGGGTGCGGTGAAACTGGGAATGCCCTTGTCAAGGCTTTGCAGCTTGCCCTGAATGTCCACGACAACCTCGACGTAATATTTGAAGCTGATGATCGACCCCGGAACCGAGGAAATGGTGGGAAACGCTTCGTCCGGCACGCGAACTCTCGCTTTGATCTCGGTGGTGAGGGCTTGCGGGTCAATGTACAGCGGACGAACCACCTGGCACAGGTCTTTCCGGAACATGTGGCTGGATGCTGTGCCGGATAGCGACAGGCCACTGAGCCCCGTGAGCGACTTCGTATAGTACTCGTCCGCCTTGGATGCCTTGCCCTTCTCCGTGGGACCCACGGGGGCCAGGGGGCGTGATTCCACTCGCGCTTGGCGGAAAAGCGTTACAATCACACCGTAGAGACTTCGTACGTGTTTAGTATGCGATATGTCGACTCGAATGGGGATGTAATCGCCCTGCAAACACCCTCCAGCCTGACTCTCGATGGTGACGGAGATGACCTTGTGCGACAGCGATGTCTTGCTGCTGTATGCCTTGCCCGAATCGCTAGGAGTGGACGATCTGCGCGACATGGCATCGGTTTGCACCATTCGCGTCGAAGTGCTAAGGCGGCTGTCAAGGCTGATTTCGCTCAGCACGGGGCTGTTTGAGCCCCCACGGTCCGCCAGAGCACTTGCTGCGTCGGATATGTCGGCAGTACGGAGGACGCTGCTCCTTGAAGGGCTTCCAGCGGAATGCGATCCCTTTTCAGATAGGTCGGGTGATCTACGCGGGAGGTTTCTCCCTCGCGCGCGCTTGGAGAGCGGCTCTAATGTGATCGTTCTTGCTCTCGGAGGGTCAAGAGTGGAGATGTCTATGGTCTCCACAAAGGAGATCTTGCGGTCGGTGGTGACGACGGGAGCCATGGTGTTCGGGCGGGTCACCGTGGCGGTAATCATGTATGAGATGGCGCCTCGTTCGAACTGTACTCAAGGTTAATATCATCTAGCTTTCGGCCCCTGGATGTTGGATTGCTCACATCAATGCTGGAGGGTAGGCTGCGGTCGGGAAAGACCAGCTCGAACTCGAACTGGTAAATTCCCTCATCCAGTCGGCCGTCTCCACAAAGCACGCTCTCATCCTCGAAGAGCGATGCGAAGCCATCGCCCAACTTCTTCCGGCCGGCAGCGGCACCGACGGGGGACTTGGGGGCTTCGACGGGGGTGCCCGCAGCCTTGTAGACCTGGGCGAAGCCGTGCAGACACACGACAATGTGGGTGACGCGAATGGGTTTGGTGAGCCGCAACCGGATATGTCCCTTCACGGTATCACCCGGCGCATACAGCTTGTGTTCATCATCGGGTTTGACGGAGAACTCGGCGATATGGCGGGACTTGGTGGCGGCGAAGGGTGATGTTATGCGGGACCATGTGCGCCGTCCCGTAGCGGGCGGCCTTTCAGACATGCCTTGCCCTCAGTCTCTTAGCAGCAATTCGCATTCTCTCTGGGCGCGTCGACGGTCAAAGTCGGCCAAGGCGCTGGGCAGTCCCCAGGCGGCTGGCGTGGGCAGATGAGGGAGGAGGGGGCGCTGGCCGTCACTGTGCCACTCCATCGTTAGCCATGCATATCTTGGATCCACACTGCAATGGCTCGGGATTGATCGCGGGCGGCAGGGTTCGTGGGGGCGAGGGGAGGGGGTGACGAGGCAATGGTCGAGGGGATGTGGTAGGGGAGGACGCGTGGAAGGGGGTGCGCGCGCGATGCTGGCAGCGTGACACGGTGATGCAGTAGCGGGGAGGTGCGGGCGAGGTGCGGGTGAGGTGCAGCGAGTGACGACGACAACGCGCAATGCCACTCCCGCGGAGAAAAGAGGTTGGATGCTGCACAGGCACAAGCCTTGCGTCCACTCACCTGACGGGCCGGCCTGGATGCTTCGTAATCGCCAAGATCGTCGCCAAGCATGCTTGACCTGTCGATCTGGTGGAGTGGATGGATTGCGTGAATCGCGCTCGCTGGTGAGAGGTGGCCCAAGCTGGACGGATGGAGCGGGAAGAATTCTCTTGGGCTCCCCCCACCTCACGTGACCGTGATATGGCGTGGACCAGGGGAGCACGTGACATTAACACAGCAGATACCATTATCTGGCGGAAACTAACGGCAACCTCGTTTGAACGCAGCCTATGGCAACATAACAATATGATAACTCCATACACCACGCTAATTCACCCAAAACCCGTGCACACACCCCGCATCAGAAGCGTTCCTTCATCCTCGCCCCAACCGTGCGCAAATTTCCATACACCTTGCCAGGCGGGCTACCCAGGATCAAGCTCACCACCGCCTCCCTTGCGACATGAATGTTCTTGAAGCCTCCCAGAATATGCACTTTTTGGTCGGCCAACACAATCCGCGTGCGGCTTGCGTTCTCGATGGCAAACTTGGTCTTCCCATCCTTTCCAGCTATCCGTCCCACTGCTCGACTGAGATGCTCTCCCGACAGAGTCTTCACGTCTTTGATCTCGAAGCTCTGAATGTACAAGTCATCCAGCCGGAGCAGAGCAATCGCATCGTCCAAGTCAAAGCCCAAGGTGAAGGCGGTGATGAAGTCTGCACCCTTTTGGATGGCGTCGGTGGAAGTGGTGTATTTGCTCGTTCGTATTTCCACCGCTTTCTTGGCCAGATTCATGCGCACTTGCAGCTTCAGATGTTCCACTAACGGCGGGTAGATCTTGGGCCAGCTGTTCTTGAGGGGCGTCATGCGATGTGGTGGAATTCGAATTTTGCGCTCCTCCGTTCGATGGGCTGCTTGTGAGGCTTTTTCGGGCGCGAAGAGTGGGTTTCCTGAAGTGCCTTCGGCGTCGCCATCGACATCCATCGATTCTGCGCCCGTGCCAGGTGCGAGTTGGTGTTGGATGTCGGATGATGGCTCTTGGATGGCTGTGAGAATATCCACTGCATCCTCCGCATCGACCTGTGGCTGTTCATGTGTCGCCTCTTCTATCGCAAGAGCATCAGGTGCCCTTTGCAGAGCTGTCGGAGCGGGCATGGTGTCTGCTGTTCGCCTCCTCGCGGGTTGGTGAAGTTGAGGGATCGTTTTTCACATGCAAGTGTAAAATTCCCCCAAAAAAGTGTAAGAGCGAATGCGGACAAGCGTCATCGGAAGCGGGAAAGCTCCAACTTTGCTTCTGCGTCTCCAACCTCTCGCCTTTTGTCCCGTCATCTCCCCTTCCATTTCTCCTTCATCCCCCTGTTTTCTGAGAGGACATGATGCGGTAATATGCATTGGCATGTCACGCAAGTAGGCCGTCGACTCGCATTCCAATCTCCACTCTCCGCCTCCTTCTCTTCCTGCGCCGCACGATCGGCTTCGCTCACACAGTCTGCGCGGCTGTTACGGCTTCACGACCATACCCTCAGCCCCTTCTCATCGAGAGCGGCTGGCACATATCGAAATGTTGAAGCCCAGGATATAACCGCACTGCATGTGCGTCGCACGGCTCCAACGGTCACCCAAGTCGGCCTGTGGAGCGGATTACGATCAACGAGCGCTACACCTCGCATTTCGCAGAGCGTCTACCGACTACAGCGCTCACACGGGAGCTTTCAGAAGAGGTGGTTCAGCGATACAGAGGTGTGGAGGACTCAAAAGGCCGCCGAGACGGCTGCCAGGTCAAAGGATCAGGGCATCGCTTCTTCACAAGCGGCCAAAGTTGCTCAAGAACCCGCCTCCAGCGCACACGCCGGTAGCAAGGGTCTTCTTGACCGCCTACCGCACTTGCACCGACCGACAAAGTACGAGCTCCTAGCAACGGCCGAGACGTTCTGGCAAAGGGTCAGAGTGCACTTCAAGTGGTTCTCCATCCGCAGCTTACGCCCCTTCACCGTGGATGAAATCGGCGCCTTCATATCCTGGGTATTCCTGGGACACCTCGTGTGGATTGTCATTGGAACGACAACCTTTGTGTCCCTCGGAATCTGGGCTCTCAACACGGTCTTTGCTCAAGAAACACTGGCGGGATGGGTCGGCAACTACCTTACCAAGTCTTATGGTTTGAAAGTTGTCTTCGAAAGCGCCATCGTGCCCACGTGGCGAAGCGGTGTCATCACGTTCAACCACGTCTTTGTGTCGCGCCGACCGGGTCAGCAATCGAAGAAAGAACGTGCAGTGAGCAAAGGTTCTCCTACCACCGCTGCTGCTGCTGCCGAAGCCGCCATGGCTGGACGTGGAGCACACGAAAGCAGTGATGCTACAGATGACGGCAATTACACGCAATTCGACGTGACTATGGAGACGGTCAACGTCACTCTGTCCTTTGGCAAATGGTTCAACGGCAAGGGTCTCCTCCGAGATGTAGAAATCGTGGGCGTGCGCGGCGTTCTCGATCGCACCTCGGTACAGCCAAGAGACTACTCTATTGATCCCAAGTCCTATCGACACGAGCACGCTACCGGAGATTTTGAGATTGAGAACTTTCGCATGGCTGATGTGCTCCTGACCGTGCATCAACCCGACAACTTTCGTCCCTTCACCGTGAGCGTGTTCAACTGCGACCTGCCACGGCTGAGAAAGCAGTGGCTCTTTTACGATCTAATGAATGCAAACAACATGAGCGGAAGTTTTGACGACTCGCTTTTCACGGTACATCCCCGACAGCTGCACGGCACAACCGGCGCGCCGCTCGTCAACGGGGTCGAGGAAGGAGGAGAGCAGCAATGGAAGAAGCATAGTCGGCTCAGAATCGACGGGTTGAACATCGACCACCTCAACCGCGGAGTGGAGGGCACATTCTCCTGGATTAGAGAAGGCAACGTGGACATCGTGGCGGACGTCATGATTCCCAACGACGACGATAACATCTGGGCTCAATCCTGGCGCAAGTCCACAGAGGCCATGTCCGACCTCTACGACCGCGTGGAAGCCAGCGTATCCTCCGTCCAGCAGCCCAAAACGCACCCATCAGAGGCGCAGAGCACGGCGCAGACACCCGCCGAACAGAGCGAAGCCCACCGACGCCTCGTCATCTTCGACATCAAAGTCCACCTCAACGACGTGCGCGCCTCGGTGCCCCTCTTCACAAAAGACCTGAGCTACGTGAACAACGCGCTCGTCCGGCCCATCGTGGCCTACATCAACAGCCGGCCGCACGCCTTCATCCCCGTCAACTGCCGCGTGGTGAAGCGGCAGAGCGAGTTCGACGGCAGCTGGACGATTTTCGACTCTGGGCTGCTGGATGATCTCAGCAAGGAGACGTACGAGGCTTTCGCCAGGGATATTGAGGATGTGGGTGCGAGGAAGAGGAGGATGCGCAAGGTCGGCTTGTGGAGTCTGCAGCTGGCTGCGCAGGCGTTATTTATTGGGCTCGCTGGGCAATTGGCGTAAGGACTGATGGTCGCAGGCAGCACATGTGGTTCATGACTGTATTAGGGTAGCGCGGCGTTATCGTTTCATGGCGCATTGGGGCTTATTGAAAGTGGAAGAAGATGGTCGGTAGACATTATCTGCCACGCTATGCTCTAGGATCATCTCGCATTGCTACACGCAAGGCAGATGTCAATTCACCGCTTCCCTCCTACCATGACCTTCTCCCCATCTAGTCCTTCTTCAACGGGCTGTAGGTCTCCTGAATGCCATCCTTGGTGATGATCATCGTCTGCAGTCCATCGCCCACCTCAATATGCCTCTCCACCGCACTCGTAAACGCATCCTTGACCAACTGCTCCACCGTCTCGCGCGGCAACGGCTGTGCCTCCCTCGGCTTCTTCTCCAGCCCAGGCCCACTGTTCGGATCATACTGGTTCTTCAAATTCACCTGATTGTCGAGGAACGGCATGATCAAGCTCGCTGCCGCACCCGCCGCGCGGCACTGCTCGCGCTCATAGCTCCCCACGGGATCGTAGGAGTACAGCGCGCCCTTTCCCTCGTCATCCACTCCGCCGAGAATCGCAGTGACGTAGAACGGGAAGAAGCGCTTATTGTACAGCAAGTGACTCAAACGCTGCGCACACGCATGCACCGAAATGTCCTTGCCGTGCTGGTACTTGTACATCTTGACGACGGTGTCGAGGCGCTCTTTGAGGGCGCGGCCGTCGGCGGCGAAGCCCACGACGGACAGCACGATGCGCGCATTCTCGTTGTTCGGCCCGTCGCCGCCGATTTTGAAGAGCTTGGGCGCGTAGCGGGTGTTGATGTTGTAGCCGCTAGTGCTGCGCGTGTCGCCGGCGATGATGGTGAAGTCGGCGCCGCTAATGCCTAGTGTGCTGCCGCCGTTGTCGGTGTAGGGGTAGAAGGCGTGTTGGCGGGGTTCGGAGGCGGTTGTCGGCGCTTGATTGAAGGAGTAGGATGGGTCGCTGGATGGGAGGGAGGCGGAGAAGAGGGAGGCCATGATGGCCGAGGTGGGACGAGGTGGAGATGATTCAGTGGGTGTATGTGGTGAGTTTGATGAGGATGTGTTGATTCGATGATCACGGGTGCGGGTTCGTGGTGAATGGCAAGGAGTGTTCAGAGATGGATGATGCCAACGACCTCACGTTTCGCCAGGCCGCCGAAGCTGATGTGGAAGGAGCTCGGGCCCGACAGTGGCTGACTAACCCAGCCGCGAGAGCCTTGGCGCTAAAAGTACTCTTGCCTCGACTTCATCTGCCTAGATTGGTACACCTCGTCGCTCCTCGCTCTGTGAATAGTGGATGCGCTCGCTACTTTTATGCTAGCTTGCTGGGCATACTATACTCCTGTTGTCGTTCTGCTGCCGACGTGCTCGCGTTTCTGAATGCTTGTCGGATCTGCAGGTCGATAGCGAAGGCTTGCGGACGTACGAAGGCGTCCGGCAAGCGGTAGACCTTTCGGGCAGTATTACGGACAGCATTCATGGTGCTACAATCGACGCCCTGTTGTAGGTCAATATTAGGCACGAGTGGTGTTGCGCTCACTAGCTCGAAGCGAACATGATCAACCGACATCATCTCTGCATCCGGCCGCCGCGCGGTGAGCGACGGAGACCGTGTAGGCAGCAACTGCCAAGGAGACGAGCCTTGTAGCTAGTCTCTTCCGTCGACAGGCAAGTTGCAATTTTTCTTCCTCGTCCTGGGCGTGCTTGTCGGGGTTGCAAGTTGGTAGCGAAGGCTAAAAGGCATAGGATGACGTCTTAGAAGCAAAGGCGGACAGAAGTTAAATGTGCATTTAACGCCATGTTGCAGGTCATTGGCGACGGTTGGTGTTGTGCTCACTAGCTCGAATCAAACAGGACCAACCGACATGGTCTCTGCATTCAGCCGCCGCGCGATGAGCGACGGAGACCGTGTAGGCAGCAACAGCCAAGGAAACGAGCCTCATCGGTTGCCTCTTCCATCGACAGTCGACAGGCGTGTTGCAGCCTTTCCTCCTCGTCCTGAATACAGTTCTTTGTTCACATCAAGAACGTTTAGATACGCCATCTTCTTCCTAACGATGCGACCTTCGTTGTGGCGCCTTGCACGAATTGTTCTACTTCTCATTCTAGTCTATTGCATCTTTAGCGCGGCCACGTTCACCCGAAACCAAGCACGCTTCCAAAGATTTCTCGCTTCACAGTACATCACTTGGGACGACTTCTCTCCTGAATACGCAATTGCTCTGCACGCCAAAGACGAGAAAATGTTGCAACGCGACACGTTCAACTACACTCTCCCCTTTCCGCAATCCGATGGCATCTTCGCTGCGAACGACAGCATCCCACGAATGATCCATTTCATCTGGTTCAAAGACCTCTACAAATCCCGCCCTGGAGTCACAGAGATCCCTTCCGTCGGCTCGAACGCGCCAGCCCTCTGCGAGTCCTTCAACCCGGGGTACACAGTCAAAATCTGGGACGCGACTGCAGCACGAGAACTGCTTGAAGAACATTACGCGTGGTTCTTGCCGACCTACGACGGCTACAAGTACCCCATTCAGCGGATCGACGCGCTGAAGTGCTTTGTGCTCTGGCATTATGGAGGAGTCTACATGGATATGGACATTGCGTGTCGTCGACCGCTGGATCCGCTGCTGCCATTCCCTGCTTGGTTCCCCGAAGCATCGCCTTTTGGCGTCAACAACGATTTGATGGCGGCTAGGGCGAAACACCCGCTCGTCTTGTCGATGCTAGAAAGTCTGGCGCGTCGCGACAAGAATCTACTCTTCCCCTATTTGACGATCTTCTGGAGCACGGGTCCCCAGTTCGCGAGCGATCTGGTGAAAGAATGGTATTTAGAACATGACACAGTTCCCACTACCAATCACTCGAGTAAGGGGGAAGCAGGTACGATAGTCAAGAACTGCATAACAATCCCGCGCTAACTGCCCCTCACAGGCCCCGATGAATGGTTCGTGTTGCCGCAGGAGTTCTACTCGGAGGAATTCACCTTTTTCGCACATTCCCCCGGCGGTACCTGGCACGGGGATGATGTGGCTGTCGTCTTGTGGTTTGTCGCGCATCCACTGGTGTTCTGGAGTATCGTCGGATTGGTGTTCGGAGTGCCTCTAGGTCTTGTACTACGTTGGAAGTTGAATAGTAGGGCCCAGGTGCGACCGAGATGGGCGACGGACGTGTAGTAATGACGATGAGGACGTGAATGAGTTTCCTCGCCGGAGCGTTCGTCGTTATGTCTCTGTCTGCAGCTGACGTTGGAAGCAAGATCGGCATGAATGAGTAGATCAGCAATCTCATCACCAGGGGCACAACTGCTGGGGTTGACCGCTGCTACTAGTGAACCTCTCTGATAGCTGGGTCATCAACTTCCAAGTCCACGGAATTGAGTCAAAAGAGTGAAGCGTCATATAACGGATTGGCTCCTTTCACCAGTCTTGTCACCTGCAATTATTTCTTGACGCAAGATCAATATCTTTAGATGACAGAGGGTGCCGATAAAAAAGGTCGAGGGGATTGGTATGATTGAAACCATCATCCCTCGCTTTCGTGATATGGATCATAAGAGAGGTGATCACATCGATACATCATCAGGACGATGCATCCTGAGAGGGACGCCTAGAGGAATTGGTCTCGAGATCTTCATCAAGTGCACATAGCATGAACGACAGACGCTTGTACGTTTTGCGGCGACATAGCAGGAGGTTGACTCCCTCATGAGATCAAGGAAGCAATGTCACTGGGATCATTCATAAGGTACACTTGTCATAGCGTCGACAGAACGACGGGCGTGAGTCTAGGAAGAAGTATCAATTCGCCTCTCAATTCACAATGCGGACATCTTGCGGATGGCACAGGTTCGAAGCTTATGGACATGACAGCAATGACCCATTTGAATCACACGAAGAGGCTTGCTACTGGAAGAGTATGACATGTGTATGTCTCGAGAGCTCTACAGGCTAACCATGATCAGAAACGACAGTTTGTTCTATCGGATGAGACCGACAAAGCCTCGGAGGTTGAATTGATACGAAGGTCCGGTACAACACCATCGAGCCCAACACGGTCAGACCGGAACCTCATATCTGGTACGATTGCTGGGGCCCGCAGGTCTCGAGCTGTCTGGCTTGGTTGACAGAAGCTCGGTCTGGCCAGCAAAGGCCGGTCGGGTGGAAGCACAGCATTCACAAATCGACCAGCATCCGAGTGGAAGTGTGATCCGACGCGTGATCTTGGCATGCATGCAGCAAGCCCATGGATCTTCTTGCATGACGTATCCTACCAACGAAACACAAGTCCCGCTCCTCCACACAGCAGGCCAGAACGTTTTGCCGTCCCAGGCCAGCTTGATCCTCATGACGCTGATGACTGTGCCGTGAGCCGGTGGTGAAGGCAAGCGAGCCGGTTGCGCAGCTCGCCAGGATTGATGATGGATGTGCACAACAAGACACGCTGACGCCCCACAGGAACAGGCGTAGCAGCAGGATCGCATCCTGTCACAACATTTTGGAATACTGACGCCTCACGTCACGCGATGGGAGGCGGTGGAGTCTGGGCGCTGTGCCTCGGACTTTTCCCTCAAGTAGTGGTGATGACAATTCTGCCATACATTTTCACTCGGCTATCACAGCCAGAAGAGCAACATCACAAGCAAAACGCGAGTCGCGACGTTGCCCAAAATGTCTCAGACCCTCCACAAACAAGACTTTCCGCAAGCTGGATCGGGCTGGCGGTACGTACCGGCCGCGAACCAACCGGAAGGCCGGCAACGGGATCAAGGGCCCAAAGTAGGCAGTGCACGCAGATCGCACTCTGATGATCGTATCGGGAAGTGCCCTGAAGAGCATCACGGCGTGTGCTAATTTCCCGTGCGAAGGCCTGCGCATGACGTGCCAAAGAATTGTCATCATTACCCGCTGCCCGTGGCTGGCCGTCGAGACCCGCTCCTGGTGGCCTCGTTGGGATCCCAATTCCGGGGAGCTCAGGCGGCCCATGTCCACGTTGGCGGTGGCACTGGGCCGGTCGCCCGTAGCGCTCGTAGCGCGGCTGTCAAGCGCAGAGGCCGGGGCCCTCTGATCACACGTTGAGAGGACGGAACGTTGCTTCCGCCCTTCCTGCTTTACGGATCCTACGGGAACTCTAGGCAACGTCCAGAACGTCGACGAGGGTGGCAAGTGGGTGGGTATGCCGAGCGGGCGACGGGACGGGCATGATAGGCGTGGTGGTCAGGATGTAGGGTCGAGGGTCTAGCCATTGGGGCGATCAAGAAGCCTGCTACCAAGTCTTGTCCCGGCAAGAAGCAACCACCTGGCATCCATCGGGACACAGGTACGGCGAGGCGAATTTATTTCTTGCATGTGCAGCAGACAGACGCGACAGAGAGCAGAGCAGAGTGCGTGCATGCATAATCGAGATTGGGACACATGCAGGCCTCTTGTTCCTGCAGTAGGGTCGTCGCTACACTCGCCCCAATGCGGGAAGGACGACCGGGGGCATTAGCCTGGACGTTACCCGTTCTGACCAACCCACGCTCCACATTCGGCCCAATTGCTCAGGACGGCATGGCATGGGCCGCTGGGCGCGGGACTCGCGCCGCACTGCGAAAAATAGAGCATCTGCAAGAAGTACGAGACGGCGATGACCGCGATTTCTGACCTGGAGGCAATGGGTGGGCCACGGTAAATTGCATTGACGTCGACTTGCGTCCGCGGGGAGATTCCTCAAGGTTTACTGATCGCAGTCTGGATGCTACGAAAAGGAAGCCACGTCCTCGGCCCCTCCTTCTTGCGTGAGGTTGGCGGGCGAAGGTGTGAGAGCGGGTGCTCCGCTCTCGCGTCGATGGTGTTGTTCATCATCACGTCCGGCTTGGCGGCGAGGGTGGTGAGACAGGGCATGGTGAAATCCACCCAATTGGCGGCCGTTGATGACACGGCATCTGCCTTGAGAACCCGGGGGTGGAGGGACGGGATGGGTACCTGCAGTAGCCGTTTCCCGTGTGTTTCACTCACCGGAATCCCACCACCTCGACGCTCCGTCAATTTTGGGGCCTGGTGGGCTCCACTTGGGCGTGTAACCCAAACGACTCTCTCGGTGCGCCCCTCGGGCCGTCTGCTCGGCCTGGCTGCTTCGCCTGACTCGGGCGGCGTCACGGTGTCATGAGAGAGTATTGTCATCATCCCGCTCGGCGATCGGCGTTACACGATCGGCGGGCATTTTGCGCTCAGCGTTTGCCACCGTGTGTCATTGGGAGCTGGCCCAGACATGCAAGTGGGGTGTGGCCGACTTAATGCAAACGAATTGTAATTGGAATACGACGAGCAAACGAGCACACTCTCGCCCACACTCGCGGCGCTGAAGGGTGTGGTGATGAGAACAGGGAGGCATTTGTGCAGCAGCGAATTGAGAGGCCGGATGGGGATGGCAGGCGGCGGCGGGTCACATCGAGATCCCGCATTCACTATCGATTGGGCGCCCGATAGGCTGGCGTGGCGTGCGGGATGAACCAACGAATGCCCTCGCTCGACTCCACTCGCCCTCCCAGCCAGCCCCAGCACTCTTTATGCTTCCCGAACACGAGGCCGGGAGTGGAGAGACAGAGGCCACACGGCACGCTCAGATCGCTGCCTCCCCAGCGTGATGCTCGCCAACCAGCATCCAGGCCGTGGGTGGCCGTCGCCACAAGCACACCGGGGTGCTGTTTCCATGAGACACGCTCGACAAATGGGGCTGCTGCACGGCAGTTTTGGCTGCTCGCTCTACAGTGCTCCACCGCGCTGACCTGGTTCTCAGCCAGTACACGTGTCTACCTCGAAAACCTGGGAAGCATGTGAAGAGGGAAAAAATCAACAGGCTCGCTTTCCTTCTCGCCAGCGTCGCTTCAAAGCGCGCGCCTAGCCAGCTGCATATGCCGTATCCAACGCGCTTTGTACACGAGTTATGCTACGTGTGTACGCGCTGCGAGTGCCGGTACCAGCGATTTCTGCATGCCCAGCTGCATCATCGTCGCGTGGGGAAGAGGCAGTGCATGCGTACTGTACACAGGTACCTGCACATAAGCGACGACTTCTGTCCGACGCGTCGTATGGAGACACGGCGAGCTGACCCTCCCCATCCCCTCCGCCTATCACCGGGCGAGGAGGTGCAGTAGCGCGGTGCTGGGGCGGGCGTACCTGCAGCACCTGCGCGGCCGCGGAGTGGTGGTGTGTGAGGCGGGCGGGCTTTTGGCTTCAGCGCCAGTGCCTCTCATGGCATTCGTCCCGAATGCGCCGATGCAATCGCTTCTGCACTACTTCCCACGCTAGGCACCTGTGCCTGGTCCTTTCCCCATCCGGCCTCGTCGATTTCGCCGCTCGGTCACTCTGCTGATCCATCCCTTATCCACCCTCCCGTCCCCAGGCCCGCTCGTTTGCTTCTATCACAATCGACGCTTCTTTTTCTTATCCGACCTACTTCCTTCCCTTGTGCGCTCTTCCATCGTCATCTCTTCGTTTGTTTCTCATTTTCCCCGGGCCCTTGTTTCGATCCTGCCTCGAGCAACTTCGAACAACCCCACTGACATTCCTTTGGAACCCTTTGCTGAACAAATATTCCCACGCCAACTTCTTGTGCAACCCGTCATCACTCGACCCTCGACGACGTCAACCAGACACTTATTTCCTTACACAACCACACACACACGAACCCAACGCAAAATCACCCACTGTCGACCGTGTCTCAGTCCTTCCCTCGACACTACCGACTACCTGTCATCTAGCATAAACATATTGTACATTGTGTACCATCACCACACCCGACCGATCTAATCTAAACTTGATCTGAACCATATCGTTGAATGTCACGATTGGCATAACACGGCAGAAGAAGAAAGAGCAATACCGGTGTCAGGTAAGCACAATGGAGGGTCGATGGATCGTCAGACACTGAACTGCTCCTCAGCCAAAAAAAAACCCCCAACGTTCAAATGGACTACACTGCACAAGCGACCCCTCCAATGGGTCAATCCCCATTCTTCTACTACAACCCGGAACCGAGTCCCGAGAGCAGACAGCAGGGCCACTTCACCCAGCAACCTCATGGTCTCCCCATGGCCGTCATCCCCTCGAGTCCCGACCACATGATGCACTACCCGCAACACATGTACCAACGACCACACTCGACCGCCGGCACTCCGATGTACCACCCGCACGCGCCCGCCTACATCTCCCAGGCCATGCTCACACCGGTGGCATCGCCCCGTGCACAACAACCGATGCACGGCCAACGCCAGCTCGTCTCGTTGAAGACCCAGACCGACTCGTACTTCCCCACAACCCCTGCTCTGTCGGCGTCGAGCTCCTTCAGCTCGGCAGATAGCCCGCCCAGCTCTTCCGTGTACCTGCCAACCCCGGTCAATGGTGTCTTCTTCCCGAAGCCCATCCACATGACTGGTTTCCAAGCTGTCAAGGCTGGCTGCGAAGACGAGGTCTTCACTGAGGTCTTGGCCGCCGGTGACTGGACTCGACCTGGCTCTCCCCCAATGACCCCGGTCTTCATCCAGTCCAGCGCTGCTGCATCTGACGACGGCTCTTACGAACTTGCAACTGGATCCTGCCCATCGCTGTCTCCTTCCCCCTCTCCCGTGCCTCGATCTGTGGCTTCGGAGCAGGACGTCTGCGATCCCAGGAACCTCGTGGTCGGTGCCATCACCGTCAACCCTGCAACCCTCCTTGCCAACGACAACGCCACCAAGGGCCACAGCCACCACGACAGCGTGCACATTGCCACTCCGGATGAGCTGCACTTTGGCGGCTTCCCCACTTTCGAGCCCTTCTTTGAGCTGGACGAGGAAGACGACTTCGGCGGGCTGGTTGCCCTCAGCGGCGGCGACAACGTGCACTTCAACAGCAGCAAGCGCCAGAAGCTCGGCGAACTCGAGCCCACCGGCTTGATCGAAGACGATGGCTTCTTCAGCGAGGAGAGCTTCAGCGACGAGGACGACATGGCCATCCACGGCTTCTCCTCCCCGTCTTGCTCCGAGTTCTCCGGCGTGGAGTACTTCGTAGAGGAGCCCAAGAACAAGCGCAAGGCCGGCAAGAAGGCGTCCGAGAGCTCCAGCAGCACGTCGAACCAGACCGCTGGCGAGCAGCCGTCGACGAACACCATCTCCACGGCGCCCAGCACCTCCTCTTCCGACGGCACCGAGACCAAGCCCAGCACTCCCGCCGCCCAATCCGGCAACAGCTCTCGCCGCGGCCGCAAGCAATCCCTCACTGAAGATCCATCCAAGACGTTCGTCTGCACGCTCTGCAGCCGCCGCTTCCGCCGCCAGGAGCACCTCAAGCGCCACTACCGCTCGCTGCACACGCACGACAAGCCCTTTGAGTGCACCGACTGCGGCAAGCGGTTCTCCCGCTCCGACAATCTCAGCCAGCACCAGCGCACCCACGGCACCGGCACCATGATCATGGGCGTGTTGGGCTCGCCTACCGACGGCGGCGCCCCGCTCATGCACCCCGGTGGTCCTATGGATGCCGTCAACGGCGGTGACGCCGGCAGCTTGATCCGCCCTAAGAGCCAGCACCCCTACTCCTCGCCGCCGCTTCAGCAGTCCCCACCGCACCACTACCATCAACAGCAACAGCGTGTCAGCCCCGACGCGGGCGAGCTCGGCGCGATGCTGTTCGATGTTACTGCCCAGGTGTCCGGATCGTCGACGAGCGCGTCTAGCAGCGCCTCCTTCTCCGACGACTCTGCGGATCGCAAGCCATCGGCGAAGAAGCGGAAGAGGGAGGAGTAAGGGCTGCCGCCCCGAAGTTTGAGTTTCTGTTTGCGCCCACGAACCGTCATGCCGTCATGTGTTGAGGAGAAGAAGAAGAAGGAAGGGGGATTATGCCCCAAAAAATTGCCCGTCATTTTAGAGAGATCACTTCACCGGGACCGGACACGAATACCTGGTACCCATTCGACTCTTGCTATCACTCGACTTCCGACAACCAACATCCAATCTCTGGAGACGAAAGTCGGATGGTCAGCAAGATCTTACACCACCACCACCACCCTTTCCTTACACTGTGTACCAATATTGCGACAGAAGCAGGACAGAAGGAAGTTGGAAGGTATTTTGAGGAGGAAGAACACCCAATCTACTTGGACCGAAACATCTCTTTCCTTGGATCGAACTGTGATGTAAAATTACCATTCTGGGGGGGATGATTGCTGGCTTGATTGTACTACTATCTTGTTTCCTTCCTCGTGTAAAATCACATTCTTTTGATCACATGTTGTTTGATACTTCACACGGGCTCAAGGCAGGCAGAGGCGGAAGAGTTTGATGAAGAAGCGCTGGTCGTTTTGAAAAGCTAGAACCTACTGTAGCCGTCGTTCGTTCCCGGCAAGAATCAATCGTGTGTGTCAAAAGAGGACCCAGAATCTGCATCTCACATGCGAACCCGTCGATTGCAGTAGTTCAAACACCTACCGAACACCAGGGTTCATTCTCGTCTCTTACCCTGACCCTGCTTGCCCCGTTTCAAAACCCACATCCCATTTTTCAAGCCCTGCGTGTCAGCGCGGAGTGGGTATGCACGGAACACAGAACTCCATTGTGAGCACTACTGCAGGTCCCCTCGATGCTTGAACCTGGGCAGTATGTAAGTAAGACAGCAGTGAACGGACGCGGGTCGAGGAACGAAACCCTGCCCTCGTTCACGTGCTCTGGTCCCACTCTCGGCCGTAAGATATTGTGCCCACTCCTCGAAGATGGGTATAGAAAGCGATGAGAGGCTAAAGTCCAGGCCTTTGCGGAAACGAATGTGGCGATGAAGGTGGCGTGCGGCGCGGCCGGCGTGCATGCGTGCGTGCGTGCGTGCGTGCGTGCGTGCAATGGACTCGGCCACGCAAGCCAGCCAGCCAGGTCCCGTATATTCGATAGAGAGACAGACCAGAGTGCCCGTAAGCAATAATCACACTCATTGCACAATCCCATTCAATGGAGAACTCCGCCAGGTGGAACCGTTTGCACCCACGCACCCATGCACGAGGGCTATTTTGGGCCCCGCACGAGCGCGGGTATCGATTCCTACCTACCGTTTCGTCCAAGTGGGCTGGACGTGGTCTCGTGTGTCTTGAGAAGCGAGAGGGCGCAGGCCTAGTACTGCAGGCAGGGTTTGAGGTGGGAAATTGTAGGTGGCTTGCGTGGGCTGCTGCTTTTTCTTCGCCTTCTTCTCGTGTTGTGTCTCTCATGCGTTGTTCAGGAGAGAGTTTCGGTGATGTTCACCTCTGCTAGACGGGAGGCGCCGCGGATTGATCACGTGATTTAGATTGTGGTTGGTGGGGACATCTGGACAAGGAGGTGAGAAGGATGCTCGTGCTAATGCTATTTTTGGGAAGATGCAATGCTATCTATGCTGAACCGACTCTACGAATCATCCCCGCCGACCTTTTCTAGTTTGCCCATTGCCCTCTTCTCTCCCGTCTCTCCAAAGAAGCGCAGACGGTCTATCCGCGTCTTTTCGCCGTCTCCGTCACCATCAACCACGAAGATGACGAGCGAGGTGATGTTCTGGAACTTCACAAAGCGCAGGTCCAACCTCGCCGTGCTCGTCTTGGCATCCCAGTCCTTCTCCGTCAGCTCAAAGGATTGCGTCTTTGGGGCGTCTTCTCCCTCGTCGAAGCCCAAGACGGTGCTGCGGTTGGTGTAGAGATGAATGGTCTTGGGTCGGATGATGTCCGAGTCGGAGGAAGTGACGGAGGTGAGTTGGATGCTGTGGAGTTTGACGGTGCTTTGGAAGGGGATGAAGAGCATGAGTTGCTCGTCGGTATCGCTTTCGATCCACTCTTTCTTCGCCGTGCTGCTGGCCGCCGCGGGTTTGCTCGACTCGAAGATCTTGCGTTTGTCCCCTGCGTCGCTGTCGAGATTGAGAAAGTCGAGCCCCAGCGTGTCTACTTGGTCCGTGATGTCTGTGTATCCTCGTGGCGCCGCAAATGCTGTCCAGCCCGCTCCTCCGCTCCCACTTGCACTCGCGCCTTCATCCACGCCGCCAGAGCCTGCGTTCGCCGCCTCCTGTGCCAGCTGCTTGATCGCGGCGTCGAGCGCTTTCGCATCCGCACCTCGTATCCGCTTCGTCTCCCGGCCTTGCTTGAAGATCATGAAAGTGGGCATGGCGGTGATGCCGTACGTCTGCGTAATGTCTTTCTGTCGATCCGTGTCGACTTTGGTGAAGGTGATGACATTGGGGCGCGAGAGCTGGGAGGAGAGCTGTTCGTAGACGGGCGCGATGGCTTTGCATGGCCCGCACCAGTCGGCCCAGAAGTCGGTGACGACGATGCGCGAGGATTGCAGGACTTGGGAGAAGTGTTGCGGACTGGTGATGTTGACGATTTTGGACATGGTGGCGTGTGGCGTGGCGGAGGCGATGTGAGGTGTAGGTTGTGGGCGAGGTGTGGTGTGACCTCGAGTGGTCGCCGACCGGGGCGAGCAGGGATGTATGGAGGCGGTGAGTGATGTCGTGTTTGTATGGGAGATGTTTATGGCGGGGTGTGGTTTGGAACGGGACTTTTGGCACGCGGGGCGTTATTGCCTGAGGCAGCTTCGACCTTCGTCATCCGTGCATGGGAAAGACAACGAAGGCCATCGAAACAACATCTCCAATACATCCCTCTCCTCAGTGAACGACAGGACACCTGGACAATCACGCTTACCTCATCCCTTCACCATGTCCACCTAACCGACATGTCCACCGCGCACCTGCACGGCCTCGTCCTCACCAAAAGCGAGCGCATCCTAGTCATCGCCTTCAGCTATTTCTTCTGCGCCCCGATCATCTACAAAGGCGGCAGACGCCTCCTCGCGTACCTTCTCGCCACCTCCGCCGAAGCACGCAGACAAGTGAGGGAGGAACAGCAGCAGCGACAGGCCCGAGGCCGGACAGGCACGCAAGAAGAGCAGCGATAGACACGAGTCAGCCATCATGGCGACGTCAGTCTACGTCGTGGACTCCTCCTTCAAGAGAACGCAGATCAAAGTAACCCCGGGCAAATACCTGCGAGAAGTGCTGGAGGAAGCATGCAAGACGCGCAAACTCAGCCCGGAGGAGTACGCGCTCAGATCCCAGAGCAACAAGACTATCGACCTCTCTCAGCCCTTTAGATTATCTGGCCTGTCTGCGGGAGCCAAGCTGCAGCTGGTACAAGCTAGCAAATCGCCAGGCGTGGTCTCTATTGCTCTCCAACTACCAGAGAGCGAAGGAGGAACACGATTGAACGACAAGTTTCCCAGCAACACCAGTCTATGGCTTGTCCTGCGCAAGTACGAAGACGCTGTTGCCGGCTCGCCTTCCCAGAAGCTGAACTTGACGCAACGAGGCGTACCTTCCAGCGACAGCGGTGCAGGAAGACTGATGTATGAGCAACCATGTCTCAATCTCATGGGACGAAGTCTCGAAACCTTCTCCGACCTTCAAAAGACCCTCGCACAACTGGGATTGAATGGCGGGACCGTGCTGATCAGATTGGCATTCACTCCGACCCAGACGCCGCTCGAAGAGGCCATGAAGGAAATCAGCAATTACTTCACCTCCATCGATTCCGTTCCGGCTGGACTAGGGAGCAGTGCCATGCAAGGGCCGAGTGAAGCACTATCCTCTGCTGCCAACACCGACGTGGCACCGGATACTCCTATGCAGGATCTAGCAACTTCAAAAGCTCAAGAAAATACTGCCGAAGAAATTCCCATCACAGACGCCGCATCTACCACCGCCCCTGAAGAACAGGACCCAACCTCCCAATCATCCCCTCCCGAAGACCCATCCACCACCACCAACTCCATCAACGGCATATCCGTCTACCTCCCCCCAACATCCAACACCCCCGCCGCAGCCCTCCAAAGCGACGACCCCTCCGTCTTCGAACCCACAATCGACCACGCCAAATCCCACCAAGCCGCCCTCCAACAAGCAGGCCGCAACAAACGCCTCCTCTCCGACAAGGAACTCGCTGACGCCGCGGCAGCACAACAAGCCCAGCTCGCCACAATCCACTCCGTCGTCGTGCGCGTGCGCTACCCCGACCAGTCACAGATTGAGACGACCGTTTACGCTTCGGAGACAGCTGCGGAGCTCTACGCGCGCGTCAAAGAGACGCTCGCGCACGCCGATCAGCCGTTTGAGTTGCGATACACCGGCACGAAAACGCATGAAGTCCTCCCTGATAGCTCGACGAAGCGCCTCGTGCGAGACTTCGGGTTCCGAGGCAAGGTCCTCGTCACGCTCTTATGGGGCGCCGAAGCTTCGGTCGAGGCGAGATTAGGCGCGAGCTTGAAAGACGAATATAGACGGCAGGCGAAGGATTTGAAGGTCGAGTTGCAGACGCAGCAGGCTGTGGGGGAGGAGGCGCATCGCAGTGCGATGGGCAAGGGGGCGGCGGCGGGGAGTGGGAGTGGGAGTGGTGGGGGAGGGGAGGACAAGAAGGTGGATTTGGAGAGTAAGATGAAGAAATTTTTGGGGTTCAATAAGAAGAAGTGAGGCGGTGATGATGAGAGTACCATGATGATGTTCATGGGCGGTTTGGCGCCCTGATGATGTCAATACCTCTTGTAACGTCTCTTCATACTACGACTTGCGAGATCATATCATTCGTATCCCATCGCTCGCCTACGCTAAGATGCATTCATTTTAATTCCGCCACGCTCCCTCGCCTTCCTTCTTTATAAGAAACCCTCAATACCTCGACCGTCTCGCCCCATACTCATACCGATGCCCATACCGCACCTGCTCCTCAAACAAACTCCCCTCATCGCCCCCACCGCCACCACCACCAAACCCCTCCTCAGCAACAGCTGCAGTCTGCTGCGGCCCAGGCGTCCACCGCCTCCGATGCCGCCCCACCCTCCTCGGACCAACACTAATCTGACTCGCACTATCATCCGGCGCAAGCGAAGCCAAATCCTCCAACCCATCATCCACCCCCTCCCCAAACGCAGCCTCGTTCTCGATATCCGTGTTCGCGGCTGAAGCAGGCGTGTCAAGCCTTATGGCAGCTACACTATCCGCCGCGCCGGCGCCGCGCCGGACGGAAGCTTGCATGGCGAGGGCGGCGGAGCGTTGGCGCAGAAGCTGGCGCACGAGCTCGGCGCGCGAGTGCAGAATTTCAAAGGCGTCCTCGAAGCGCTCCATGTCGTTGAAGAGGTTGCGTTCGACTTCGGCGAGGACGGCGAGTTCCGTGTCTTCGTCTAGTTGGACTGGGGGCGGGGGCGTGGCGGTTGTGGTGGAGGTGCCGGAAGCGGAGCGGGAGGGGTTGATCGTGTTGTTGCCGTTTTGAGGTGCTGGGGTTTGGATCGGGGCGGGCGGGGTTTGATCTGGGGATGTGATGTTGCGAAGGGGGCTGTATGGTGTTTGGGTGCGGGAGAGGGGTACGCCACTCAGTCCGCTGAACGGGGTGGGATTTCGTGAGAGGCCGGCGGGTGCGCTTGGGCCGCGAGATGGACCACGTGAGATTGGGGAGTTATAGCCCGAGACCGAAGGCGGGAAGGGCGCCTCTGCTCCTGACCACAGGAAGCCATCAAAGCGGCCGGACACGAGAATTTCCCATTCCTGCTCATTGACTTCTGCCAGCGTGGCCAGCATGCCGTGTAAGTGCGGGTTGTTGAGAAGATACATGGCACTCTCGCAGTCGCGCGGGCTCCGCATGAGCCGGTACAATCGCTGCAGTGCATTGCTTGCCCGTCTCAACGCCTCGGAGGGAGCTGATGGCCGTTCAGCTGGAGTCGGAGCGCGACTTCGACTAATGCTGCTCTGGCCATGCATGAGCGCGATGAAGTAGTTTCGCTGCTGTGCATCTAGTTTGGTCATCATGGCGAACATCAGAGTATCCTCATCGGCTTCCTCGGGCGGACTGGATGGGAACTCGGGTTGCAGTGCGAGCCAATTCTGCACGGCCTTCTTGGTCTTTTGATTCTGTCGGATGTAGTGCTCTTTGTACTCTTCGGGCACATCAATGTCGAGCTTCTGCATTGGCGCTTGGGCAGAGCCAGAAATGCCCAGCCCACCGTCATCTGCTTGAATGGTAAAAGGCGGCCACTGCGGAAGCTCGCGCCTTCCAGACACGAATTCCAAGATCTCGCCCCAGCTGATGCCCGTGTCTTCTTCATCGGACAGATGTGGTTGCGGGATCGTCTTACACATCACGCAGTCACACCGCTGAGACGAGATGTCGCGAGCAAAAACCTGCGAGAGTTTATCCAGCAGTCTTCGCGCAACAGACTTGTAGCCTGTAGCCACGGCCAATGACCCATTGTTGCGCAGCACATGTAAGTAGTCGTCCAGCCGCTTGTGCAGAGGCGTGAAAATCTTGGCGTAGTCCTCGATGGGAGCCAGCTGTCCGATGGAAGGAGATTGGTAGGTGGAGTACGGAGTGACAGAGTTGTGGGTGGTGACGAGTCGTCGTGGGATGAAGTTGGACAGGCCGCCATTCTTTAGAAGATAGTCCACTCTTGGCGCACCCTGGGCTCCAGTGACTAAAGGCGGAGGGGGCGGAGGAGGTGGCGGAGGCGGCAGCGCCGTGAGAGGAGTTTTGGGGTCGAGACTGCTTGTAGTCGAGTGGTGAGGAACGTAAGCATTCGCTCGTGCCACTTCAATAATAGGCGTCTTTGTGCGTTTGGGGAAGTCATGGGGAAACATGGGTTCGGCGGGGGTAGGAGTTCTCGGTTCGGAGTCTGTTGCAGAGATAGCAAGGTCATCGCGTGCGGTTGAGATTTCCGGTGGTCTCTTAGACTTGCGATCTTCTGGGATGGACGTTGCGTCAGAGTCGGGGTTGGAGTCGTCTGTAACACTCGAGGTGGGCTGTGAGCCGTTCGACTCCGTCCTCTCCAATCCGCTGTTGGGCGTAGACCGCCGCTCGTCCTCCGGAAATGTGCCAGGCATGCTTGACACCTCGGATTCTGCAAAGCGGGCCTCTTTGCGAAGCCCCGTGGTCAACGGCGTGCTCTTGCTCGAGAGACCATGTGCAGTGGCTCCAGTGCTCTTCCGTCCTCCGTCCACTTCCGCTTTGTCTGCGGCAGCATCTTTCAGACTGCCTCCACTATGTGGCCTCTTCGTCTCCTGGACATCAGCCGTGAGAGGAGGACTGGGCGGACCCCGGCCAGACCTGCTCGAGATGCCGTTGGCGGGCGTCGAGTTCCGCCGTCTCTCCTTCTCCTGTCCCCCCACCTCCGTAGCTTCCGGAGTGAGTGGCTTGTGTGAGATGTCTTCTCTACTCCCCAACACCTCTCGACTATGAGCCTTGCTGAAGTTGGGATACGAAGTCTTAGGCCGTCCATCGTGACTCCGCGGCCGCGCCTCCATCTCTGGAACAGCGAAAGCGCTACTCTTCCTAGACGAAGCCAGCGGCCGCTCAAACGTAGCCGAACGAGGCGAGTCCCTACTGTCCCGCTCTTCTTCACCCTCTTTACTTCTCTCGCGGCGTTTGGAGGGCTTCGGCGCGGCATTCAAGCTGGTGGTGGAGGAGCGGTGCTTCTCGCGGGCGGCGGGTGAGGGGCGCTCGCGATCGGGGTCCCGGCGACGACGGCGGGGAGGGGCGTCATCGCGGGGCGAGGAGGGCATGTCGCGGGTCGGAGGGCATTGGGGGTGGCTGCTATTGTCCAGCATGCCCATGCCCGCTGCTTTGTCTTGCAAGGATGCAGCTTGGCGGCTCGTGACGTTGTGTGATTCGCTCTACCGCCCGCCCTCGCTCCACTCCTACATCTCTTGCTTTGCCCGTTCTCGAGCTTCGGGAGATTGAGTTTGATCGTGGAGAATGAGGAGTATGTACCAGACAGAGCACACGTGCAGGCATCAGGTACATGGAGGTCAAGTATCGGACTGTTTACATCACCGCCGAAATATGGCGGGTCGGCTGGTAAAGCCGCTCCGCCCGTACCAAAGATGGCGCAAAGCCTAAGGCAACAACCACGTGCTGGTATCAAAGAGTGTGACAATGAGAGCAAGGCCTGTGGAGGAGTTCTAGAGCGTATGTAGCATTCAGACATGACTCTATCTCATCGTCGACGATCGCGATGTCGCTCAGAATGTCTGTCCCGATCGCTGTCATGCCGTCTTGATCGTTCTCGGTCATAATCACTGCCTCCACGCTCTCGCTCTCGTTCCCTCCTTCGCTTCTCCTTCTCTTTGCGTCGATAGTACTCTTCATCACTATCATACTTCCTCCGATCCCGCTCACTCGATCTCTCTCGCTTGCCATCTTTCCGCTCAGACTTTCGCTCTCTTGAATCATCCCTATCTCTTTCCCGCCGCTCCTTATGCTTGTGTCTCTCCGATCGCTCAAACTCCCTCTCATACTCCTCTTTCTCCTCCCGCTGCTTCTTCTTCTCTAACTCCTCCTCGGTAAATAATTCGCCAGTCTTCTTGTCCCGCAGCAAAACCGGATTGTACACCGTTTGTGGTCCCTTTCGGTCCTTGGCCGCCTTCCCCCAAGTGCCCAATTCCTGTGCGACTGCCGCTTCCTCCTTCGCCCCGATGCCCAGTAACGCGGGCCGTCGTTCAGGGACTTTCGTTTGCACCACTTTCTTGCCTCGTTGGCTTCCGATCCCCTCGCCGTCTTTCCAGCCCATGCCTCGGAGTAGCGCTGCGCCGAATTGTTCGACGGGCACGCGCTCGTAGTCTTCCAGCGTCGCCATCGCAGGCGCGTCTCGAAAGTCTCGGGCAAACGCCTCCTCTTCCGTGAGAGCCGGTAGGACCAGCTCCGTCTTTTCCTCTTTGCCCAGTAAAGCGTCAATAGCCCGCTCATCCTCGGTCTTCTCTTTCACGGGCGCATCGCCATCCTCATCCACCGGCGCCTGTTGCCCGTCTTCCACAGCAGCAGTCTCCACTACCGGCGCATCCCCCTCCACCCGTTTAAAAACATTCAACCCAAAACTCGGCTTCTCCTCCTCCTGCACACTAGGAACACCATCTCCATTCCTCCCCTCTTCACGCCCCACCTTCAACGCCCTCTGCCGCTTATTCCGCTGACTCGCCTCCCTCCAATCCCGATTCGCCCGCGGCGCAATAACAAGCATTTTCTCCTCCCTCACCGGCTTGGAAACATCAATCGCCCCTCCAGCCGCGCGGTCAAAATGCGACACGACTTCCGCGCGCCCTCCGTGCCCGTGCGCGTCATCTTCGTCGTCGTGGTCGTGGAGCGCGGCGTGCGGGCGTTTGATGCCGTTGCTTGGGTTGGCTTTTGGTGGGAGGTGGGGTTTTTTGGCGCCGGTTAGGGCGAGGGAGATTTTGCCTGTGGGGGAGGCGGTCATGGTTTGGAGAGGGAGAAATTTGTTGGTTGTGGTGGGAGGGAGGGTGCATGCTCGGCTGCTTTTCAAAGAAAATGTTGCCGCGAGTCATGTTGGCTATTTAGGGCTTAGGTTGCCCGTTGAACTTAATATTTATCTGATTGCGCTTAGCCGCATGGGGCTGACATCGGTCAACCTCAGCCTTGCATTCATGCTTTGCAGCTCAAAGCCCAAATGACAGAGGATGCGAATGCGAGTCGCATGATTGAGCATTTCCCAAACATCAAACCAGACTCGCAACCTTGCCCTCCTCAGCCGCAACCAGCCTCAGCACAACCGCATACTTCCGCGCCAAAGGCCACACCACATTCCCCGTCTCCAGCAACGCCGCAGCCTCGAGCAAGATCGCCCGGGCCCCGCCCGCAGAGCACAAATCGTCGATCCCCTCGGCGCACAGCTTGGTGCTCGCCTCGCCGTACCGCACAAAGTGCTGCACCAGCTCGTCGTCGACGGGCCGGTCGATGTGGTAGTTCGCTGGCATGCGAGGCTGTTTTTGGGGCTGGGGGCGCGTCGTTTCGCTGGGGGAGTGGATGGCGACGTCTTCTGGGCTGTGAGAGTAGTTTGAGGCGGGGTTGGAGGCTGAGGAATTCTCGAGTTGCGGGGGGTTTTGTTCTTCGGTTGTTGTTGCTGACGCTGGTGGCATGTTTGACGGGATTTGCCGCTCTTTCTCCGCGGCCATGCTTAGTCGGGCGAAGTAGAAGAGGGCAATGGCGGCGAGGTAGAGGGTGAATGGCTGGACGAAGGAGTCGGAGGCGTAGCGCCGTATGTGCCAGAATGCCGCGCCGGCGTGCACCACGACCAGCCGCGCTTTGTACCGGTCTGCTCGTGCCCAGGTGGAGACGACTTGCCGGCATCGGGTCAGGTCTTTTCTCTGCCAGGCTACGTTGTGCGGGAGTTGGACGAAGCGTCCGTCGGGGATGAGTTCCTCGGCGAGCGTTAGGAGCTCTTTGACCGGCGCGAGCAGAACCAGTCGTGCGAGGTGGAGTTTCAGGAAGATCGGCCCCTCCCACCCGCCTGCTTTGGCGGACTCGCCGAGAGCTTCCCAGTGCAGGACGTCCATGTAATCGCAAGCCTTGTTGCGCCACCTCGTGAAGTCGGCGATGGCTGGGGGATACGCGGTCGCCGCGAGTCCGTGAGAGGTACGGTGTGCGTCATCATCGCGAGAGATGGATAGAGGAGCCTGGAAATGCCGGACTAAGTCCCAGTGCCGGTGGAGTAGAGCGTAGATGCAGCCGAGGCTTGCGAATTGCGACATACTCTCGACGAGCTCCAGTCTCTCAAAGAGCTCGACGAAGATGGTCCGGAAGAGAATCCGGCCCTCTTCTTCTGCGGCGAAGGTCGTCGAGTCCAGCGGCTTCCGGGCACGAGGGCTGTAGGCTCTGTACCATGCTTGCGCCGAGTCCGCCTCCCACAATTTCTCTTTGCAGGGAAGCATCAAATTGAGGGATTGGAGGCTGAGGACAGGAGGAGCGGTGTGTATGAACGCCAGAGAACAGTCAAGGCTCTGGGAGGCGATCGTTAGCATCTTCGCCATCACAGCATATCGTTTGAAGACAACATACCCAAGCGAACAGACCGGTCCGTCTGCGCATCTCCCGACAGCGCCACGCCGTCCACATCTGATTTACATCGCCTTCAATTTGTACGCTTCGTTCAATGCCCCAGTCCGGCTCGTCGAGCAGGCAAAAGCGTTTGCACGAGTTCATCACGGAGCTGATGGCTTCTTCGCCAAGCGCCACGACGTTTGCGTTTTCACTCTGGCAGAGCGCGAGCGTGTTGAGGAGCGAGGCTTGCAGGTATGACAGAGTGCACTCGACTCGGCAAATTTGGAGCTATACGATTGTCTCAACGGTATATTTGGGGGTAGAAGATGCGGATAGGCTTACCTCGTGGACCAAGAGTTCCCTCAAGATGACGCTGAGTGCATCGCCACATATGTCCTTTGCGGGGTGGTCGGAGTAGTGGCATCCAATAGCCGCAGTGGCCAGGCACAACGACCAGCCCCAGATAGGCATGTTGAGTAGAGGAAGGTCTAGGAAGGGATATATGGGCTGAAAGTGCTCGAAATACAGTCTGACAAAGCGGTCCAGCGTATCTTTGGCCAGAAAGTTGTGACTGCTAAGACCGAAGGTCGGACTTGATGACGGCCACGGTACACGGGACTCCAGCTTGGCTATAATGTCGCCATATATGTTTGCGGGGATGTGATAGAGTCGGGCGTCGTCGGGCTCTGATACGTCACGGAGACTTGTTTCCAGACTATGCAGCCACGCACCTTCTGAATCCAGCGTGACCGGTTTGTCGCTGAAACTAGACCTCTCCCGCTGAGCGTGCTGCTTGTGTATAGCTCGTTCCGCTTGACTACTTCGGCCGCCCGCACCGTCAGAATAGAGTGAGCCGGCAGGGTAGACGACGGCATCGCCCGTGGCCATCAACCCCGGGGAATGATGATGACCAAAGGCTCGTGATGCTCGGCCCATCGATGCAATGAGGGAATTGAGAGAGTCGGATTGCGGAGTCCGGGTCTGCCAGTCCTGTTGAGACATAGTCCCTCCAGCGGGAAAGCCATTGGAAGTGCTGCTGGGCTGCCCCGGTGCGGCGTGATATGACTGTGAGGTTTCATTGGAGAGGTGCATCTCTGCTTGGTCGGGTGGCGTGAACGCATCGAACGGCAGCCAGTTCACCGGCGTCCGAGGGGCGCCTCCATTCTGCGGCTGTGCAGGAAAGGGCATACCGCCTCTGGGCGCGTGGCCGAGCCTTGCATTCTGAGGCCGCGTCGCGTGGAAGCCGTTCGAAAATTCCTGCGATCCTCCAGCATTGGACAGAACATTTTGAGCAAGCACACCGTCCAGAGCAGGCCGTCCATCGTCAGTCGTCGACGAAAGGAGCCTACGATCGCGAGCATAGACGCATTCGCGAGCTTTCGCCTGGCAATTGGCGCATGGAATTCCCCCCGAACACCAAACACGAGCATCACTGCAAGCTAGACATGCCCGTCGCAACGGCGAAACCGCCTCGACCCGATTCCCGGGCTCGTGCCGAATCTGCTCATGGCGATGCGCGGCGTCCTTACGGGAGAAGGCTTTGGTGCAGTAGCGGCAGCGAAACGGCTTGGAGCCGCTGTGGGTTTGGCGATGGCGTTGCAGATGCTCCAGCCGGGAAAAGTCCTTCTGGCAGGTGGTGCAACGGTGCTGGGGCGCCGGCGACGGCGACATGGCGCGTGGGTTGGGAAGCAAGTGTGCGCAGAATCTGCCCGTCGTGCCGATATGGTGGGGGAGGTGTGTGGGGGAGAGGGGGATCTGCAAGCGCCTCCTGCTCGCGTGGGTCGCTGGCGCACGGGCGGTTCCGAGTTCCTCGACATGAATCGTAGCAACGAGGGGGTGGAGATGTCGAGTGGCGATGATGCGGGCTTCTGTGAACCCTCGAGGGTTGTCGCCGCGGCCGGCCGTGCCGGTATCCTCCAGGTTGACCCACGAAGTATATGATTGCAAGATGCGCTTCATTCCAAGTCAACTCGCGACCTTCACCTCGCCTTCATTGCCATACCCTATCCAATGGCAATCCGGAAACTCCCCGAGGCTGTAAATGGCCACTCCGACGACGTTATCTGGAATACCGATGCTTTGAGACTCTCCATCAAAATCGATGAAAACGGCACGGCATGTCTGAATTACATTGTGCCTCGCGGCAAGGAAGCGCCAGCGCCAGCCTCGCCCTTCTTCCAGTCTGCCGCAATTCCCTTGGATGGCGTCCGGTCGGTGGGAGATGGCCATACCGGCATCAAGACCTCCAAGGCGCTGCTTGGAAGCATGATGTCCGCCCGCATACGATATGTGAGCCATCATCAAGGCCGGACGAAAGGGCTCCAGACCTTGGACGTCATCTCCCGCGAGGACAGCACGGGAATCGAAATTACCCACCATTTCGCAGTGTACGATGATGTGCCGGTTTTGAGGAGCTGGGCTACTGTTCGCAACACTGGAAAGGCCGCTGTTCCCATCACCCAATTGTCTTCTATCAGTATTGGCGGCTTGACTACGGGTACGAAGTCCTGGTGGAACGAGTACTCCCTCCTGACCGGCGGGAATGCCTGGTTCCGCGAAGCGCAATGGCATGAACGGAGCCTGCCTGACCTCGGAATCGACACACACGGCCTTTTCGAGCTCAACGAAGGCCATCGAGCTTCGCAAGCACGCTTCACCCTTTCCAACCACAGCTCCTTCTCCACCGGCACGCACTTGCCCATGGGTCTCCTGAAGCGCAAGGACGACAATGACACCTGGCTATGGCAAATCGAGCACAACGGCTCGTGGAGATGGGAAATCGGAGACTTCCAAGACGGCGTTTATTTGGTGGCGGGAGGTCCAACGCGAATGGATCATGACTGGAGTGCCCCTCTTGCGCCGGGAGACAGCTTCACCACTGTTACGGCTGCTTTGTGCCATGTCAACAATTCGCCCGATGCTGCTTTTGCTGCTCTGACCGAATACCGTCGGAGGATTCGCAGACAGCACCAAGATCACAAGGACATGCCCATCATTTTCAACGACTATATGAACTGCCTCATGGGCGATCCAACGGAGGATAAGATCAAAGCACTAATCGACCCCGTCTGCAAAGCTGGTGCGGAGTACTTCGTCATTGACGCGGGCTGGTATGCAGACGACAGCAACTGGTGGGACGATGTTGGGCTGTGGGAACCTTCGCCAAAACGATTCCCTTCAGGCTTCAAGAATCTCCTGGACCATATCCGGGCCAATGGCTTGATACCTGGTGTCTGGGTGGAGCCTGAAGTCGTGGGAGTCCGCAGCAAAGTCGGCGAGCAGTTACCGGAAGAGGCTTTCTTCCAGGACCACGGCCATCGAGTCATCGAGCGCGGCCGCTTCCAACTTGATTTTCGACGCAGTGTTGTGCGCACGCACATGACCAAAATCATTGCCAAGCTGGTCGAAGAGTATGGTGTGGGCTACTTCAAGTTTGACTACAACATCGAAGTCATCACCGGCAGTGACGCGGACGGTCTCGCGTGCGGAGCGACTCATTTGGACCATCAACGCGCATATCTGGCGTGGATTAACGAACTCCTGGACAAATACCCCGACCTCGTCATCGAGAATTGCTCCAGCGGCGCTCAGCGAATGGACTATGCAATGCTGGCGACTCATACCTTGCAATCGACGAGTGACCAGCAAGACCCCGTGCTCTACGCCGCCATTGCCGCCGCTGTCCCGACAGCGGTCGTCCCGGAACAGAGCGCAACATGGGCATACCCACAGCGTGCATGGAGCGATGAGGTCAACGCACTGACCGTTGTCAATTCAATGCTGGGCCGCGTCCACCTGAGTGGAGAACTCGACCGGCTGGAACCGCATCAACTCGCACTGGTACACGACGGAATGAACGTCTACAAAAGCATCCGGCACGAACTCAATACCGCCGTGCCGTTCTGGCCGCTCGGCCTGCCGAAGTGGCACGACGATTGGGTTGTACTGGGCCTCGTTGTGAAGAGTGGGGATATCTTGCTTTCGATTTGGCGACGAGGCGGGCCGACGACTCGCAGTATTACGCTACCCATCCAGCATACGGCTGGGGAGCATGCTGCCCGCCTCCTTTACCCGTCGAAATTCGAGTGCCATACACAGCTTGTGGGGGACAAGTTGGAAATCCGTTTACCGGCGGACGTCTGTGCTCGAGTGCTGCGAATTAGCCGTGCCGGGTGTTGAATGAGTCGGCAGATGCACTATTTACAATCTAGAAAATAAGAGTGGTTTTGCAAGGCTTGCTCCGTGTCGCGTGCTTTTGGTCATCACATCCGATAGCCGACGAGGCCACCAGGCAATGCATTTAGGCAAGTTAAGGCTGAGCCGCGCGCAGCATGTCTCCGTCCGAGCCGGACCCGCCCCCACCGCCCCCACCTCCACAGACGTCTCACAGCCTTCTCCGGGGTTACCAAGTACTACCCCACGGTATCGAACTCTCTCCGCAATAGACGGCGTGCTTCCCCTAGGAATGGGCCTGTCCGCTCACAGGGGCCGTGTGTCTGGCCTTCCATGATTTCCTCGTGGCAGTGGGTCGTTGCGCGTTCCGTACACTCCATGCCCGTACTCGCTGCTTGGGCGTTGACCGCGGAGTGGAGATAAATACATCGAGGTCACCCGCCTAAGAAACACACCTCCCCCGGCTCTCACCAAGTCTCTCTGCAATCGTTCAAGTCCAATCGTGCTCCTACTCGCTGCTGCACAGCCATCATCATGGAGAAATCCGACCTGCAGCACATCGAGTCCGCCAACGACAGCCTTGCCCAGCATGGCTACGACAAAGACCTCCAGGCCGACGGGCGCGCGGCCAATGCCCACGAGCACGAAATGACCGTCCGACAAACCCTGCGCGCCTACCCCTGGGCCGTCTTCTGGTCGCTCGTGGTGTCCATGTCCGTCATCATGGAAGGCTACGACACGATCCTCATCGGCTCCCTCTACGGCTATCCGGCGTTTGCGCGCTCCTTTGGGCATTACGACGCCTCGACCAAGAGCTATCAGATTGAGGGCAAGTGGCAGGCTGCCATGGGCTCCGGCCCGCAGGCCGGTGCGATCGTAGGCGCTCTGTTGAATGGCTATCTCACCCCCAAGTTCGGCTTCCGACCCATGTTCTTTGTCGGGTTGATTCTCATGATCTCCTTTGTCTTCGTCTCCTTTTTTGGCTTTTCGGTGGAGTTGCAGGCGGTCGGGCAGATTTTGTGCGGGTTCGTCACGCGTTCCTTTCCCTACCACACGATATACAGAGTTGGCTAACACGTCTCAGTATCCCATGGGGCATCTTCGCTACCATCGGACCGGCATATGCATCCGAGCTCTGTCCGCTAGCCATTCGCCCCTATCTCACGGCATACACCAACATGTGCTTCGCCATTGGGCAACTGGTCGGCGCGGGCGTGCTTAAAAGCCTCATCGCCCGCACGGACGACTGGTCGTGGCGCATTCCGTTTGCCATCCAGTGGCTTTGGCCGCCGTTCCTGCTCTTCGCCGCGGTCTTCATGCCGGAATCACCGTGGTGGCTTGTGCGGAAAGGACGATACCAAGATGCCGAGCGCATGGTGAAGCGCCTGATGGCCCCGCATGAGAAAGAGAATGCGAAAGGCGTGGTGGCGATGATGACGCACACAAACGCAATCGAAATGTCCTTGGAGACTGGCACATCCTATCTGGACTGTTTCCGCGGCATCGACCTGCGCCGCACTGAGATTGCGTGTGTCGCTTTCTTGGGCCAGATTACGTGCGGCGCGCAATTCGCATACTCCGCGACCTACTTCTTCGAGCAGGCTGGACTGGACCCTAGCGACGCGTACGCCGTCAACCTCGGCGACACCGCTCTCGCCTTCTGCGGCACGATTGGCGCGTGGTTCCTCATGCGGTACGCTGGGCGTCGCCAGCTCTACATCTCCGGCATGGGCGCCATGTGCGTGTGTCTGTTCATCATCGGCTTCTTGACGTATGTGCCACACAACGGGGGCGCGTGGGGCCAGGCGGCCATGTGCTTCTTATGGCTGCTGTCGTTCTCTCTGACCATTGGACCCGTCGGCTGGGCCATTCCGCCCGAAGTATCGTCAACGCGCCTCCGATCGAAGACCGTCGTGCTCGCGCGCAACAGCTACTACGTCGCGCAGATCATCGCCAACGTCCTCGAGCCGTACTTCATCAACCCGACCGAATGGGATTTGAAGGGATTCACGGGCTTCGTGTGGTTCGGCACGGCCTTTTGCAGTCTGGTGTGGGCTTTCTTCCGGCTGCCGGAGACGAAGAATCGCACGTATGAGGAGTTGGATGTCATGTTTGCTGGCAAGCTGCCGACGAGGAAGTTCAAGAAGTACACGGTCGACGCGTATGATGAGAGGCACACGCTGGAGGAGCGTGCGCGCGAGACGTAGGGGGGCGACGACTGTTTTGGGTATGCACATTGAAGCATTATTACGATAGCTCGACGAATCTAGCAAGTCTTGGGCATCACATATCTTCCCACTCCGGCACTCGTATGAGTAGGCCAGGTAAGGGGCTCCTGTTCAGGAGCGGCGGTGATGTTAACTGCACGCAAAGAGACAGAGCCATGACAGCCGCAAGGCAACTTCCGTCTCGTTACGCCAACAGAGCATCCAGCTTCGTCAAGTCATTCCACATTTCTACACGCGACCGCATCTAGTCCAACACATGTGGAGACTGTACACGTGGACCGGTCGATCAGACTGCAAATCCATAATAGTGCCTAACAGTAATACTACGTTTGCCCATCCCGTCCTGCCGGTGTCGTGTCCACGTCCCATGACCATGTCTCCGGCAGGCTGTCCCCCGCGTATTGATACGCCCAATACCTTAGTTTTAGTTCGGGAAAATGTGGGGGTGGGGAAGGCGCCATCTATGTATACCGTACCTGAACCTCACATCTGCTCGAGGCAGTCCCCCCACAAAGCTTGTATACAGGAAACTGCCGGCATTATTGCTCAAGGCGGAGAGCAACGGCACTTTGACCGCACCACTGTGAAAAGGAGGACCTGCCGCTTACGGCATCGCGTCATCGGCCCAGTCGTCGCGTAGCGGACAGCCTTGTAAATCTCTTCTCCACAACGAGAGTCTCTCGGTATGATGCACGAGAAGTATAAAGACTCACATTGAGTCCGCTCCTTTCCCTTGGTCTGACTCCCTTTCCATCCATTCACAGTCTTTCATTCGTCTCTCCTTCCCTTCATCCACTATCAACATGACTCCTTGGCTCCAGGCCGCCGGGTGGTCTGCGGCGCTGCTTCCCCTCAGCTATGCCGCTGCCAACCCTCTTGCCCGTCGGCAGACATCCTCGACCACCGCCACGGTGAACCTGGCCGACCAGATTGGCACGCCGGAGCATCTCGCCGCCGGTTTCTTGTACGGTATCCCGGACACGGCCAACCAGGTGCCGTCCTACTTCTACACCCAAATGGGCTTCCAGGGCACCCGCGCCGGTGGTAGTCAACTCCCCGCCCCGGCCAGAGGTTGGGTGTACGGCGAGAACGAGTTCCAGAACCGTTTCGACTCCGCTCTGTCCAACTACAAGACCGCCCGGCAATACGACGGAACGTTCCAGATCCTCGTCGCCGATCTCTGGGGCGCCGACGGCACGAACCACAGCATCCCGATGCCGGGTGACAATGGAGACTTTTCCTCCTACGATGCCTTCCTCACCGCGCTGATCGACAACATCAACTCCAACGACATGCTGCCCGGCCTCATCTACGACCTGTGGAACGAGCCGGACGGCGGCAACTTCTGGACCGCGTCTGAAGACCAGTTCTTGCAAACGTGGGGCCGCACGCACGCCCGCATCAAAGGCGCCTTCCCGGACCTTGACATCATCGGCCCGTCGTCCGCGAGCCAGCCTTCGTCTTCCAACACCTGGCTCACCAACTTCTACAACTTCGTCAAGCCGAACGGCAGCATCCCGGACATCTACAGCTGGCACGAGGAGACGAACGGCGACCAAGTCGACCGCGACGTCGCCGCGCAGCACGCGCTCGAATCCTCCATGGGCCTGCCCAACAACCCCATCAACATCAACGAGTACGGCACTTTGCAAGAGCAGCAGCCCGCCGCCACCGCATGGTACATTTCGCAACTCGAGCGCGTGGGCGTGCGCGGGCTCCGCGGCAACTGGGCTTCCAGCTACTCCCTGCACGACTACTTCGCCGGCCTGCTCGGCAAGCCGGGCGCCAACACCGACGAGGACCTCCAGGAGGGCGAAGCGACGGGCTACTGGCCCAACTCGGAGTGGCTGGTGTACCAGTACTACAACCTCAACATGACCGGCGAGCGCCTGTCGACCACCGCCTCGGGCGACGGCTCGTGGGACGTGTACGCCACGTACGACAAGTCCAGCGGGCGGGTGAAGATGCTTTGCGGCGCGCGCCTGACGTCGGGCACTTTCTACATCACCGTGGAGAACTTGAGCTCGCTTGGCCTCCCGACGTCCGGCACGATCGATATCCTCACGTACCACTTTGACTGGAGCAACAACCAGTTCGAGGATAACCCGAGCCCGGACAACCAGGGCTACTATGGCCATAGCTACTCGGGCAACTCGCTTACTTTCTACATTGGCGCCACCGAGACGCTGGCGTATGCTTTTGAGTTTTCGGTGTAGAATCGAGCGAGTGGAGGGTGTTGGAAATATTATCCATTGAAGTAAAAGGACAATGCATGCAATTTCACATCGAGAATCACCTCGCAGGCATCTGTTTCCAACGTGGCATCAGCTTGATAATGTAGCCTCCAGAAGCCTGACAGGATAGCATGCTGGGCCAATGGAGAGAAGGAAACAACGAACACTGGTAAGAAACGTCTCTCATTCTTCTCTGCTCAGAGGATGGTGATAGCACATCCACCCCATCACAGAGAAGCAGTAGCGTCTAATAGTACAAATGCATCCCCGAACGGGGGGCAAAAAGAGGACAAACAAAAAGTCATTCCCGTTCCCTCAATGCTCTCATATCGTTTCAATCGCTTGCATGCCACATGCGCCAGCCCCTGAACTCAAACATCGACAGGAGGAAGCGAGGATTTTCGCTTCTTCCGCTGAGCGGACAGTGTCATCACAACTTCGTGTTCTGCCCATGGCAGTATCAATCATTGTCTCTCCCAAACGCATCCCTGCACGTCATCCCATCCATCGCTGTTGCAAACCTGCCTCAGCTCACCCATTGCGCACCTTGAACGGGAAGCTCAGCGACGACGGCTGAGTAGGCGACATGGGAACATCGCTATGACTACGACTGTGCGACTTAGGTCTCTGCGGCACGGCAGCAGGGGAAGTCTCCGGTGTCGCCTCCCCCTGAGCGGTAGCAGGACGCTGCACAATCTCCGGGACGACGATGTTCTTGCTGAACCCGGGATTGGGCAGGCTGCCGCTGACGTAGTGCGTGTAGTCCGGAAGGGCGGAGAGGGACTGCTCGGGGTGGACGTTCTCTTGGTGGCGACGGAGGGCGTTTTCGGGGATGGAGAGCGAGCGCGTGGCGCCTGCTAGCTCGGTGTCGGAGTCTAGGTCGCGCCCTTCTTCCCATGCCTTCTCCACTGCGAGGAAGTGTTTCTCTGTAAAGCAGCCCTGCCAGCAGTTGCGCCAGTCGCCTACGAGGTAGTTGAATAGCCAGCGCTCCATGCGTAGACACGGGCCGATGCAGACGGCGAGGTTGTGGAGGTCCATTTTGTTCTTGTCCGTGTGTCCGAGGAGGAGGCTGAGGTGGCAGGTGATGGCGAAGAGGAGGTAGTAGTTGTGCGGGGGCAGTTCGGACAGGGCGTCGCGGAGCAGCTGGGGCGCAGGCTGGCCGACTTTGTTATAGTCCGGATTTGCTTTGGCCAGCTCCACGCCGAGGGAGACTTGCGTGTGGGAGGGGAAAAGCTCGGTGGGTTGTTCGCGAAGCCAGGATTTGAGCAGGCTGCTGATGGTGTTGGGGTCGTAGAGCTCCTTTTCATCGAGGAGGTCCACGTCGAGCTCGGTGTCGAAGCGACGTTGCCAGCGCTTGACTTGTGGTCCACTGCCGGGGACGCGATACAGCCCCTCGGACTCGCTGTTCAGGTTGAGGTAGTCGATGCATCTCCACGGCAAGCTGGGCATCCAGTACTCGGTCTTATCCCGACAGCTCTCGAGATCCTTGCTAATCCGTGTGACGCGCGTCTGCTCAACCAGCGGCAGGGTGATGATGCTCGGTTTCCATTCGCTGTCCGGAACCTGGTGATTCGCTGTTCTGCCAATCTTGCCGAGCTTGTTCAGCAGCTGTCCACCGCCCGTTTTCGCCTTGTGCATGACATTCTTGCTTCCTGACATGAACTTGTCCCTTGTCGCCATCCTGTCGACTGGCGTTCCGTCCTCGCTCTCACTTGCGATCGCGCGTTCCGCCGACTTGCCACGCTTCTCTCTGTGCTTCGCGGTCAGCAAATCCGACGAGCTCTGCCAGTCGGACTGTAGCGGTGCGGTTTTCGGAGGACGGTCGAACAGATCTTTGGTGTTTGGCTTGGTTTTGCTGGAGCTCGAGTCTCTTCGTATTGACTTTGTGCGTGATAGCGGGTTGCGAAATGTCCTCTCTCGCCGTCTGGTGCTGCTGGCGTCCTCTTGCCGGTTCGGTGACGGTTGCGGCAAGACTTCGCTTGCCTGAGTCGTGTTTGCTAGAGGAGAAGATGTCAGCTTTCCTGACTGTGTTGATTCAACACAAGCAGGGTGGTGATGGTTGTGGTGGTGAGTGGGAGAGAGAGGTTCTGGAAGGAGGTCCAAGTAAAGCCCTCCAAGTGAAGTTGTGCAATGATTAGGCCCCAGTGATCACACGCCGACGTCACGGCTCTCAAACTTCACATCACTTCCACCGACCGCATATGCAGGGGACCGATATAGTCATAGGGAATGAATCGCAAACCACTTACTATCGTCCGACTTCTTCCTGACACTCTCTGCGCTGCCGACAAGACTCAACTCCGGCGTACTGCCCGGGTTCTTCCTCAGGTGATATATCTTCGACATGCTGCTGCTATTCGGCCTGAACTCGTCATCGTCTTTCGCCAGCTTTCTTGGCGGAGGCAGCTCGGCCCTTTGTTCCAGCTCGGAAGTTGTGCGATTGTTCAATGCCGGCTTGAATGACTTTGAAGATGCATCCTGGGCGATTGTGGGGGAGGTGGGGATGGATTGTTGTAATGCCGGTAGGCTGATGAGGTTCGCGCTGAAGTCACCGCCAAAGGAAGACAGGTCGATGCCTTGTAGGTCCATCAACGGGCTCGCTTGTGGCGCAGGCACATCTTCCTTGCTCTTCGTCGCATCAATGGTGAGATTGGCTGGCTTTGTCTTTGTGAAGCGGGACATGCTGCTGGCGGCCGTCGGAGCGGGAGGCTGCGAGGCTATTGGCGCGAGAAGCCGCCCTCAGTGGGAGTTACAGTCGGCAGCGGCGCGGCCAGACCGGGGGCTGGAGGACGAGGTGTCGGTCACGAGCGCATGCGGAGCGAGGAGGGTTGTATCTGTCTAAAGACCGGATGCGAATCAGCGAGAGTCCTGCAAGACCTGACGATGCCCAATTTCCACAAGAGATTGCGCGCCGGCCGCAACACAAGGCAGAGAACAAAGAAGGTGTACCTGGCAATCTCTCTGGCCGCTGCTCGGCGGCTGCGCTGCACCTCGTGCGCTCCTATCGAGGTAGGCAGCGAGGGCGGGGGTCGGTGTGGAGTGGGGATCGTCTCGCCCCCTTGGAGCAGGGCGTGGTGTGGGTGGATGGTAGGCGGGCGCTACAAAAGACGCCTGGCGGTCCGCGATTCCCCGTCGTCTGCTGTATACCGACGCTCTTCTGCAGGTCACGCCCGTCTTCAATGAGGAGGGCCAACGAACGAGGGGTGGTGTGCAGGGGGCTGCAAGTCGGTGGAGAAGTACCTGACCCAAAGTACCTCATCATCAGATCAGGCAATCGCAGCGTCCCTCGCCAAACTTTAATCGAAGCACAGGCTCCCGCTTTTGCCCGCCGGGTGTGCCTGAATCGCAAATGCATGCAGCCTTTCCCCGACCTCACCTCGTCTTTCGTGCAGACTAGGCAAATATCTGGTTACTACTCTCCCGCGCTCCTCTTCCTCCGATCCTCCCGAACACCTGTCTTTCGCCTTCGCTACGGCATGTCGCTAGTTGCAGGCCCGGGCAGAGGCGGTGCGCTCGACGGACAGCTCCCCGATGAGCTGCAACTCGTCGCCGAAAAGCACGTGGCCTATATCCAAAAGCTAGACACTGTATGTGCGCCCTCATCCGACACGTATTCCCAACGCGACTCCCCGCGCTGACGCTGACACGCACAGTAGCGCAGAGATGAACTCGAATACCACCTCACCGAACACCTTCGCCTCAGCGGCATCTACTGGGGCCTCACAGCCCTTCACCTCCTCCACCGTGCCGATGCCCTCCCTCGCGATGGTGTGCTAGACTTTGTGCTCAGCTGCCTGCATGAGAATGGTGGCTTTGGTGCGGCGCCAGGGCACGACCCGCACATGCTGTACACTATCTCCGGAGTCCAAATCCTCGCAATGGTGGACGGATTTGACGAACTAGAGAAGAGGGTGACAGACGGCAAGAGGAAGATAGCAGATTTCGTCGCCAGCCTGCAACAAGTGAACGGGACCTTTGCCGGAGACGAATGGGGCGAGACGGACACGCGCTTCCTTTATGGCGCTTTGAACGTGCTATCCTTGCTCGGCTACCTACCGCATCAACGTCCGAACGAAGAGCCCGCACTTATCGACGTCAAAGCCGCCATTGCACACATTAAAGCCTGTCAGAACTTCGACGGAGGCTTTGGAGTGGCCCCCGGCGCGGAATCACACTCTGGACAGATCTTTACATGCCTGGCCGCCTTGAGCATCGCGGGAGAACTCGACTCATATCTCGGAGAGGAAGGAAAGGATCGACTCGGAGCATGGCTGAGCGAACGACAGTTAGATGACAGTGGAGGTCTCAACGGACGACCGATGAAACTGGTGGACGTTTGCTACAGTTGGTGGGTGGGCAGCAGTCTGGCCATGATCGAGCGCCTGCACTGGATTGATAAGAAGAAGTTGGCGACGTTCATCCTGCAGTGTCAAGATCCGGTTGAAGGGGGAGTTGCTGACCGACCTGGCGACATGGTGGATGTATTCCATACCCATTTTGCGATTGCTGGGTTGAGTTTGCTGGGCTACCCCGGGGTTGGCGAGGTGGATGCCACTTAGTGAGTTTGCCACTCTCTCCACTGGTGTTATGGATGCTGATGCACCACAGCTGTATGCCTAAGCATATCGTCGACAAGATCTTGAAGCGGTGAAAGTCCGTCACTCAGCTGTCGTCGGATGTCAACCAAGCCGATGTGCATGTTGACGCTTATTGAGTCCGGTACAATAGGAAGGATGATTGCGCGTAAGTCAATGACCAAGTGTCACTCGTGGTGATGTAACTCCCCGCCATTGATTGTCTCTTGCAATCTAATAACCCATGTTGAGCATCATCAATGAGACTGGGCTACAATGCAAGAGAAGAGCAAGCATTCGCGAGCCCACTCTGATCAACGTCTCTCGCGTGTCTTCCAAGGCAGAGCTGCGCTGCGGAGATAGGGGGGCTGGCGACACTCATCCATGCGTCTCCCATTTGAACAATTCGGTATTGTCATCCTCTATTGCAAGAATGACACCATTGTAGTAGGTATCAAACTCCACTTCGTTTGCGAAACTCTCAATTGTCTTTCCAACCAATGTCATTGTGGCGTGCATGTGACTTCGTGTCACGTTGGCGTCGTGTCTCTCCCTAGCGCGCCTTCCTCACCCTCAGGCAGACGCACGCTCTTTCCGACGTCAGTTCAAAGTGCAAACGACACACCGCGCCTGCTTGCACGCACACACACAACACCTACAAACAACCCACCGTCCCTTCCTCCGCTCCCGTCGACCAACAGACTCGACGGGAGCACACGGGGCAATCACCAACCACCCAGCAGAACTCACCTGCCTCTCAACCGGGCATGTGATGCAGTGAGCAAGAGGGTAAGCGGATCCCCATCCTCGATCTCACCTTGCCTCCCATTGTCGTCCTGTCCATCGCCATCTTCCTCCTCCTCTTCCCTCCTCCCCTCTTCCATCCCTCCTTCAATCTCCTCCCCTCTTGGCTGCCCCCCTCATTGTGCACTCACTCGTCGCTCCTTTTGGATTGTACATACTGACCAACTTGCTTGCTTCTTGAAGCTTACCGCCCTCCGCTGGACCAGCTCGTCTGCTGCTGCTGCCAATAATCCTAACACCCACCACCTCGAAAGTCCGCCTCTCACCATCGTCACTCCTTGAAGAAGAGCCGCCCGGAACAACCTGACGCCGGCAAGCATCAGCAAGCAACAAGCAGCAAGCAGCAAGCAAGCTCCATTGCCAGTGACACCCACAAATTGCCCAATTTCCTCCCCATTCCACCATGAGCCGACAGAACTTGCTTCCAGCAGCGGCTGGAATGCCATTGACCTGCACCATTTGCCCCAAAAAGCCCAACTTCTCCGATGTCAGCCACCTCCTCACCCACATCGGCAGCAAGGGCCATCTCGTGCAGTATTACAAGATTGAGGTCAAAGCCAACACCGACGCTATGAGCCGCAGAAGTCTCGCGGAGTATCGGGAATGGTATGACGAGTGGAACCTGCAGGACATGATGAGCGAGCGTCTGGACCAGAAGGAGAGGAAGAAGGCTGGGTCTGCCAATGGCAACTCGCGTCGCACGTCTGTCGGTGAGTTGGTGACGTCCCAAATACCTTGGACGCTGAGCATGCGCTGACTTTGCTACTCTTCTCAGCCAACTCCAATGCTTCCAACAGATCGACTCCGCTGATGAGCGCTTTGCCCGGGCGGCGAACACAGGCTCTCCGTGAGAACACTCTCGATCCACAGCTCGGCCCAAGGATCAAGATCGAGCCCAGATCGAGGTCAAACACCCCTGGCTTTTACGATGCAGCTTCCATGCATCGCTCGTATGCACCGCCGATGCAAGGCTGGCCAACCACACCATATGCAACAGGCTCGCTGTACCCGGATGGATCAGCGCACGACAGCATCTACGATACATCCTCTGGCGAATCGGACGACGAGGACTACGAAGTCCCCGCTCGATCCACCACGCGTCCCAAGCGGCGGAGCACGAACAAGTCCATCGCCTCCTCCGCCGTGGATGACGAGGGCGATGATGAACCAAACGACAGCACCAAGCTGAAAGGTATCATCTGGCCCGGAATGGATCTCTTCGATTCCGCCACGTATAAGATGCGTCGCAAGCGTAACCAGAAGAAGGCAACATCGGTTGTCGAGCAGCTGCAGGCCACCAGCGAGATTATCGAGGCGACCGAGTTGGTGTTTGATAGTGAAGGTGTCCTCAAGCGGGAGCGTCCCATCACTGGTGAGCCGGAAGAGCACGACGGCCACAGCCCGCTGCCGGGAGAGCGCACACCGGAGCCAGAACCGGCGGCTGGCGAGAAGAAGGCTGGCCGTCGGCCGCGTCCAGCTTTGACGGAGAAGCATGTCAACAGCGGGCGGGAGTTGCGCAACAAACACAACACACGCTCGAAGAAGCCCAGTCGTGTGTCCAAACGGCCAGCGTACTTTGACGATGCCGAAGATGATGACGATCTCACCTATGGCCGACAGCCCGCCCGCAAGAAAAGGAGCGGCCTGAGCATCCATCGTGACAACACCGGTCCAGATATCTCCTTCGATCGTCCGGCGTCGATGAACACACTCAACTCCGGCTTCCGCAATCCGTTCCGGAATGGTTCGAGCCAGCTTTACACCAATGCCTCGTTCCCACAAGGTGGGAATCATCGGAGCCATCGACATCAACTCTCCTTCTCTTACCCCCACGGCTTTCGCGGGATACACAACCCTCTCAGCATGCCCCCGCCGCCCAACTTTGGCAGTTTCGGACAGCTGAGCGGACATTCCATGTTCCCAACCTTCCACAATCCTCATTCCTTCCCGTTTGCCAACGGTCAACAGCCGCTTGCAGCCTTCCCACCGCAGTTCACCGTCCCCTCGCAGCCTTTTGTCTCCGTTAATGACGGCACTGCTTTCGCTGCTGCAAGTGCGGGCGGCCCTGGTCAACAGACCCACCATCAGTCGTGGGACAACATGTTTGCCAACCTCGGGCAGACGACCGACAACCTCGACGTGCAGCAAACCGGGCACGAAGTCAACTTCCACATGAATGGCGATTTTGGGCAAGTGAATCCGCTTTTCATGAGCAGTGCGCATCCCGTGCCGGAAGACGACGAGGCTACCGTGTCGCCGCCGAGCGAGCACTGAAGCCTTCAATCATCCATCTGTCCCTGGCTCCGGCCGAAATGCGAATGATGTATACAATACGGGCTCGGCGGGTATGACGTGGCACAGTCATGGTTTGCCGCGACGCGCGCCACTAGACGCCCATCCATCCACGAGTTGATATTGCAGGCGATATACTTGGCTTGGTAGGGGTCATCTGCGAGCAGGCATCTGGTGCTGGTAGGCGGGTTAGAGGAATGGTAATGTGTTTGCTTCGAGTGTGTCGCGAGGGATGAGAGGTTGGCTGGTTGGTCGGTCGGTGTGTTGAGGACAGGGGTAGATGAGGAGAGGACTTTCGCTTATTGAATGCTGTTCGTTTCGCTGTGTGGTGGTGTGAGAGGAGAGCAGTCAGGTATTGAAGTGGAAATAGAGAGTGTTTTCAATCTTGTTTGCGATGAGGAAGGCGCGGAACGTGGTGTTTGTCCCTTGCGTCGCTCCTGCCTAGTGGGGTCCACCTCGCGGTACGATGAGTCTGACCGAATCGGGAAGGAGCAAGGCAGGCAAGTCAGCTTTCCTTTATATTCAGCAGCCAAAGAGAGAATCGGACACAGATTGCAACGGAATATTGATTTTGGCTAGAAGGTGTTGCCTAATGTGACAAGTCCAAACTTGCGCACTCGAGGCCTGACAACAGTGGAGCCTCGCGCCGAGCTCAAGCCCTGTAGAAGCCGTACGACGCCAGCACACCATCGTCGAGCACGTTGTAATACGTCACGTTCGACTGATCGCCTCCGTACAACTCGCACGTCCACGAGCCGCCGTTGCGGAGCTGGTAGATGTTGAAGGCGTTGGCAGATCTGCGCACCATCACTCGTTAGTCAAGAGCACGAACGGTGCTGTGGCGTGCGCGGGGCATCGATCACTTACGAAGGCAATTTGTTCACGCATTGGTGCGCCGCTTGGCAGGCCGTGTAATCGGAGCTAATCGTCTGGCTGCCGACAACGTTGTTCCCCGGCGCATTAGGATTATCCGTCACGCCGCATCCAGCGAAGAAGGCGGAGAAGGTGGCGCTGGGGGCTGCGTTCGCCGACGCGACGCCCGGCCCGGCGGACACGATGGCCGTGCAGGCGGGCAGCGGGATGGAGGTGATGATTTCCGTTGAGCTGGGCACGGTGCGCGTTATGGTGCCCTTTGCCGCTCGCTTGGTGACGGTTTTCGTCGACGCGGTCAGGCTGAAGCAGCTGCAGGCTGAGGAGAGTGGTTTGCCGCGCGGGTACGAGGTTAGGCAGGCGGGTTCTTGGAGCTGGCGTTTGGCTTTTCGCAGCGGCTGGTCGTCGAGCTCGCGCTTTTCGGGGGCGTTGGTTGGGTGGCCGCGGCAGGAGGATTCCATTCGGAAGCTCTGGGTTGTGCCGGAGGTGGCGGTCACGTAGGTGCTGTAGAGCGTTTGAATTAGTTTGATGCAAAAGGAAGGCGGGGTCGAAGCAGGCGTACTTGACGCTGTTGGGAAGAGTCGTGGTGACTGTCTTGACGCTCAGGTGCAAGTAGCTCGAGCAATACTGCCTCGCGGGGCCATTGCAGCCCGGGGTCACGGCGCTACAGACCACGGGTTGAGTGGTAGTCGGCGAGGTGGTTGTGACAGCAGCCTGGGCCAGGCCGGACAGCAAGACGGTTGCCCAGGCCAAGAGAGACAAGTGGCTGGTGGGAGACATGTTGCAGACGTGCAGCGAGGGGAGCAAAGAGACCGTTGCAGGCCAATGGGCGCAGCGACTCCGCCCGTGTATTTGTAGCCCATGGGTTCCAGCGCCGGAGACTGGAACGTGGCCAGCAATCAGCTACGTAGGAGAACCTTTCATTCGCAGGCCGCAGGCTCGCCCGGCCTCGAGACGAGCTTGACGTAAATTTTCTAAGCGAGCGGTCTCGGTGTTCGTTTAATTGTGTGGTTGGCACCAGGCTACCAGGCTGCCGACCCTGCGGGTGGCGCACCCGCCCGTTTGCAGCCTGCCAACGTTGGCTGTCAACCAAACCTCGCCCAGCTGGCTGTCTTTTCCCCGCACGTGCGCGGCGCCCTTAGCGCGGGAAATAAACGGTCGAGGCTTCGCTTGGAAAAAGCGGTGCCGGATTGGGCCGCATACTGCCGCAAGCGAAGCAGCCATTCAAGCGTGGATAAGCTAATGCTTATAGTGGCGAGGCAGGGCGGATGAACACAGTATAACCTTTGCGCAGATTCCAATGCCTTTTTGCTAGGCTGGGAGCAGTAGGCGACTTGGCGCATCCTCGGGTTTCACCTCACACCAAGTGGAATGCTCGAAGCCGGTTCCCATGGTCCTTGCGATGCTTGAAGCCTTCGCCGTACATCATGCCGTGCACGTAGCATTCGCCGATGAACGTGTACTGCTCTTCGCTCTCCCACGGCACGGGCAAGGCATTCTCGAAGTCGTCGGGATTGTGCTGCTCACGATCTTCAGGTATGTCCACATCCGACTGATGGGAAGTAGACGATGCGCGTGAAAAAGACACGCGGGAATTGGTAAGGTGTCGAAGAAGGTCAGCATGGCTCGAAGACGCTCGACTATTCGTAGTCCTGGTGCTGTTGCGCGCAGAAGAGTCCTCACGGCGCGTAGCCCTTCGCTTCTTCGACCGCCGGAGAACTACAGGCACACTACAGCCGTACAGGATGCAGATGAGGTCGCCTTGTTCTGCCTCCTTCGGCACAAGGGCAAGCAATTGCTTCGACCCCTTACGACCCTCGGTAAGGACAAGCATGCGATTCCAGACAACCGACTGGACTCGATGTAGGAATTCCGTTGCGATGGAAGGACACTGGCCAAACATGAGAATCTCGTTGGTGTTGATGTTCCCTCTCCGCGGTCGTCGTTCCAATACCCATTTGCAAGCTAGAGCAAAGTACGCCGGTGGATACTTTTGACCGCCAGGTCCGCGATCGCCAACCAGAGTCCTCCAGAATCGATCAGGAACTGGATCTGGAGCGCCTGACCAACCCGCAAGATCAATCCACCCAGAGGGAATAATGCCTTCCACCGCAGCAGACTTCCGGACTTTGATGGCATCCAAGACGAAGCCTGTGGCGATGAGCGAGCGGCCACGGATGAAGCCTTTGGACGGGTATATCTTGGTTTTGCCGCTCGCATTGTAATTTCGCTGGATCCCCGGGAGGCCAACAAGACTATCAGCTCGCACTCGACTGTATGCGCTCGATCCGGGCTTCTTATCGAAAGGCGCGCTCGACAGCAGCGGTATCCAACTCGGCAGCTCCGGCTCGTTTGGTAATGGCTCTGGGGCCCACGGGTGGCATATAATGTCCAGCGATCGGGATCTGGACATTGCAAAGTCGAGGAACTGCCGGAATACAATGTAGATGTCGGTGTCGTAGTCGACCATGATCGAGTACGGCTTGGCTTCGAATTGAGATTCTGCGCTCTTGAGGGTATGGTCCGTGGCTGAGCGGGTGCTGGATCGCTTGAGCCGGATGGGCGGTTTCAGGAAGGTGTCGCGCTGAGTCTCAAGAACTTGCGACTGCGGCACCTGCGATGCGGGTACCGCGGTTGTGCCTCCTGCTGTCGAAAAATATCCCGATTCTCGCAGGGAACTCAAGACTCGAGATGATTCGGGAGAGCTAGCGAAATGCTGCTGCGAGCCGTCGAATGCGACCGGAGAAGGCGCATGATCGAGTTCCGGGCTACCAATGGGCGTACGGACGAGCTGAGGCTGAGCCATCGCATACCGCTCCTTGGAGTCCGGCTCGGCGTCGTGAGCCAGCCAGAGGATTGAGTAGATGGTGTCGTGAGGGTTGCTCGCTTCGAAAAGCGTGAGGGTCGAGATGACGGCTTCGAGCGACAGCACGCGCTCCAGAACAACGCCCTCATCGCTCTTGCGAAAGAGGTTTGCGGTGATGTCCACCAGCGAGCGGGCGCCGAGCGCTTCCACTTCTCCGAGATAGTTTGGATGGTTATGGAATTCGACGGAACGCTGAAACAAAGGACGTAGATCACGATATCGAGCGACAAAGAGCGCCACGGCGGCAGAAAAGTCCAGCCAGGACACCGAGTGGCCGCCGCAGAACAGAGTCGCAGTGCGAGCGAGTGAAATCTCCTGCACAATCCAGCGCCGATTGAACCACGGCCTCTGCATGAGATTGTGCAGCGCGGCCCATTCAATGGTCGAGCCGGACTCGTTAGACACGAGGTCAAAGTCTTCGAGTCTGAGCAGGCGGTCGATGAACTCGATTGCTCGTCGGCTGTCTTTGTCTTCGTTGCCGAGCCAGACTGCCACCCTTTCCGCTCGATTGTAGATCATGGCCATTTTCTGGATTTGCTGGTTCTTCTCTGGGATATCGTTCTGATGCAGGTCAGCAAGAGAGGCAAACGGGGAAGAGGAAAGGGAAAGACCCTACCTGATTGATGCAGACAGAGTCGACCCAGATCATCTTCGTCCCATCGGGCTCAATATCCCTTCGAAGCCTCATCAAGGCATCGTGCAGATTTGGCTTGATGGGGACATGACGAAGCTTGCCGTCCTGCAAAATCTTAATCTGATGCCAGAGCCGGACGACATCGCCCCAAACATACGACAGCGCATCGTAAGACGGAGCATTGGGCACGGGGACGCCGGTTGCGCGGGTGAGGAAGAGTTCGAGCTCATCTGCTGGCTCGTCTTCTACCGGCAATCGGAAGACGTGGAGATTGCCCTGCAAGTCTGCATCTTCTTCGCCGGCGTGGAGTTCTAGCAGGCGGATCTCGTCGCTTTCGAGGGAAGTGTAGGCGTATTCTTTCGACATAGACGAAGAGGAGTAGGGAGTGGGAGAGGGGGAGGGGAATAGCAGCGAGTGAGGCAATTTTCAGACCTACATCCAATTACGCCGCATTACACATCTTGAACGGTGAACAAATGCGAGCACGCATTGATGCACAGGTTGCATGCTGCTCAGGACGTGCACGAACGCCCGTGCAATCCCTTGAGCTGGCCAGTGCTGGGGCATGTCGCTGTGACGTCACTTGCTGTCGCGCGTACCTTAGGCTCCAGCTCGAGCTCGATCTTGGATACATCTTTGGACATCACTTGATGAAGCAACGATTTGTACCATTCGTCCATTGAACCATCAAGGCGCCTCACTGCCTTTCCAGCATGACTGGGAGACGGAGAACAGCATCAACTTCACAATGACCACGATCACCGCAGGACCGGGCAGCAACCGCGGTTCAGGCTCGACATCCGGCGCCGCCATCCTCGCTGCCTTCATCCCGGCGCTTATCATCGCCGTTGTATACCTCGCCGTGTTCATCGTCATCCGCAATGCCAACCGCAAGTTCTACGCCCCCCGCACGTACCTGGGGACAGTCCCGGAGAAGGATCGAACTCCGCAAAGCAACACCGAGGGCGCCTCCTGGTTATGGGACTACTGGTCCTTATCCGACATCTTTGTTCTTCAGCATAACTCCTTGGACGCCTACCTGTTCCTGCGCTTCCTCAAGTTTGTCATCGGTATTTGCTTTGTGGGATGTTGTATGATCTGGCCCGTCTTGCTTCCCATCAACTATACGGGCGGTGGAACGGCAAGACAACTGGATCGCCTCACCTTCAGCAACATCGACAAAAATGACCGCATCTGGGCGCATCTCGTCGTGTCAATGGGCTTCTTTCTGGTCATCATCGGCGCAATTGCGTGGGAGAGACTTCGACTCATTGGCATCCGGCAGGCGTACCTGCTCGATGAATACCGTGCTGCACGCCTGTCTTCGAGGACTGTACTCTTTCTGAACGCTCCGTCCCGAGCATGCCAATCGGAGAATCTGGAGGAGTATTTCGGCTCGGAGGCAGAGCGATCTTGGCCTGTGATGGATGTTGGAGACCTCGACGACTTGGTCGGAAAGCGCAATGGTGCTGCATACACGCTCGAAAAGGCACAGATGGATCTTATCATTGCCGGGGCGAAGCATCAACAGCGTCAGGGAGGGTCGACGAGGAATGGAAATGCGACGAATCTCGAAGCCGGACAAGCCTTGGTTCCCAACCACCGACGTCCCTCCAAGAGAAACCCGCCTCTCGTCGGCTCCAAGTTTGATCCTGTCGAAAAGTCTCGAAAGAAGGTTGGAGAGCTGGCGGAAAGAATTGAAGTCATCCGCTCAGCACCCGGGCGGAACATTCCCGAGAATTCGGCCGTCTTCGTCAGCTTCTCTTCTCAAGCCGCTGCGCATCGTGCCTTTCAGCAGATCAGCTTCCTCCCCACTTTGCCGGTGCAGGATCGATTCTTGGCAGTGCAGCCCAAGGAAGTCTTGTGGAAGAACGTGGCGCTGCCCGTGCCAGTCCGGCTGTCCAAAGCTTCTCTGGCGCTCGTCTTCGTCGTTGCCTTTACCATTCTCTTCTCCATCCCCATCGGCCTGATCGGAACCTTCAGTAACGTCAAGGAACTCGCAAACCGCTACGAATGGCTGTCCTGGGTGAATAATCTCCCGTCCTGGGTTCTCGGCCTACTCGTCGGCTTCGTGCCCCCATATCTTGTCAGTTGGTTTACCAGCTACGTCCCGAAACTCTTCCGACACATTGCCAAGCTATCCGGCGAGCCGACAATCCCACAAGCAGAGCTGAAGACTCAGGCATGGAACTTCACCTTCCAAGTCTTCCAGATCTTCCTTGTCACCACTTTCGCATCAGGCGCTGCAGCGGTGGTAGCCAAGATTGCCCAAGACCCCCGGTCAGCACCAGATCTGTTTGCCAGCAGCGTGCCAAAAGCCTCCAACTTCTACCTGACCTACTTCATCCTGCAAGGCCTCGGAAGTGCCGCGCAGACCATTGTGCGGTATTCAGACCTTTTCGAATACTACTTTTACGAATTCTTCTGGGACAAGAGCCCGCGTGAGAAATTCACGACGTACGCGCAGATGAAAGGCACCCCATGGGCGAGCTGGTACCCCAAATTCACCAACTTCCTCGTCATCGCCATCGCGTACTCTTGCATCGCGCCGCTGGTCCTCGGCTTCGCTACCGCGGGCATCTTCCTCTTCTACCTCAGCTACCGCCACCAGCTCCTGTACGTCGTCCAAACGAAGATTGACACGAAAGGAGAGGCCTACAAGCGCGCACTGCAACAAATGCCCACAGGCCTGTACCTGGCTCAACTGAGTCTGATCGGGCTCTTCGGCGCCAGGAAAGCCGCCGCACAAACAACACTCATGGTCCTCTTCCTCATCTTCACAGCAGGCGTGAACTTTGTTCTAGATCGCATGTTGCGACCCCTCGAGCTCTACCTCGGCGTAGACGTCTGGCAACAGCAGGAGCCGCTGCTAGCGGAAATAGACGGCGTGTCGCAAGACGACGAAGCCGCTCTACACGCCGCTTCGCACGCGCGCCGTCTCGGCCTCAAACGCCTGCCAAGTCCTCTGCCACGCCTCCTATCCGACTTCTTCGACTCCATCATCTCGTCCGCCCGCTCGCCCGCGGAGGCATGGCTCGCCGCCTCATCATCAGCGCACGACGACGCAGAGATCCAAGAAGACGATCTAAAGAAAGCATACCTGCAGCCAACGCTGACGTCCAAGACGCCCAAGCTGTGGATTCCGCGCGACAGACACGGCATCTCGCAGCAGGAGATTGAACTTAATGAGGCGGCGGGCATCAAGACTACGGATGACGGGGCGGAGATTGATGAGCACGGCGGCATGCATTGGGATCATCGGTTTGAGAATGTGCCGATTTGGAGTCCGCCGAAGGTGGTTTGAGGGTGGTGGGTATACGCTGTTCTGTTATGGGGGCTCCTAATTTATGTCAAAAGCAAAATCGCAGAATGAAATGCAGCGAAATGTACAAAAGCTGATGATCACTGCCGTCACAGGCCGCAAGGCCTCCGCTCATCCATATCCAAGCATTTCTCGTGGGTTAATGCCGCTCAGTAATTGTAGTTCTCCGACTGCGCCGCAAGTCCATATCCATCTTCTCGCGGCGGCGCAATTCCATATCCACCTTCCCGTGGTGGCGCGTTGGTATAACCACTTTCCTGCGGCGGCGGCGCAGACCCATATCCCTTTTCCAGCGGCGGCGCAAATGAATTCCCTCCCTTCACCTGCGACCCCCACGCGGCCGTCGCCCAAAGCGAGCTTGTATCAACCGCATTCGGGTCAATAGGCGGCAGCACGACGACAGGGAACCGCTCGGTAAACTCCTCCTTCTTGCCCGCGACCGTGAAGCCGAGCTTCACTTTAGCGATATACGTGCGGACGATATTCAGCGTGCGGAAAGAACTCGGCACGCGCTCTAGGTGAGCCACGTCTACGGTTTGAGTCCAGTTTTCCGCTTCGGAGAAGGGCATTGCTGTTTGCAGTTGCGCTTGCAGTGTAGCTGCCGTTGTTTCCGAGCCGCGCTCTTCCGCAAAGAAGAGGCCTCGAGCCGCGCGAACGAGCGTTTCCGCTTCGAGCTTGAGTTCGAAGTGCGTGAGCAGGACGTACGGCTTCTCCACTGCTGTGCTCTCTTCCTCGCGCGGCTGGATGGACACTTGGAAGGTCAGAGGTTGGTCGAGGTGGAGGGCTTGCGGGCCGTGGCATTGCCAGTCGAAGACGTATTTGGGGTAGTAGTCGTGGTGGGTGTGGGATTTGGTGAAGGCTTTGAATTTCGCTTTGAGGCCGTGCGCGTGCTCGGATTCGGGGAGGAGGTTTTCGTTTGAGACGGACATTTGGCCTGTTCTGAGAAGTGTTGTGGTGTCCTGGGCTTGTGAAGGGGGAATGGCGGGTCGCTCGTAGCGGACCTCGGGTTCTTCGCGTCTATGTGGCACTTTGATGTTGATGTTGATACCGGGCATGCTGGCTTCGACTCCGATGCGGTAGTGGATGAATGCTTCGTAGCGATCGAAGGACCACCCCGAAAAAGTGGGTGGGAGGGCGGCGTCCGGAACGAAAGCTCCAGTTGGCTCCAGCCTGTCGATGAGCACTTCATTGACGAAGTCGGGAAAGGAGATTCGGAAAGGAAACTCTTGCGTCTCTTGAGGTTGGGATCGGAATTGGCCGTCGTAGGCGAGCTCTGTCGTGGAGAACAGCGGGACTCGACACCGCCTCTCTTCGAGGAACGCCTCGTCGAGTCCTACTCGTTCTTCCTCGTAGATTCCGGAGGTGGCACAGCCATGGAGGCAAACGACAAGGCGCAATGGCCCGAAAAGCTCCGGGGGTGGTTCATGGCGGTGGATTAGTGATTTGTGGGGGCGGTAAAAGAGTTGCACTCTGCCGGTGACTGGCTGCTGGCTGCCAAAGTGGTACTGTGCTGGATTGTCCAGGAGGATTTTGGCCTCAAGCTCCCCGATAGTCATTTTGAAAGAAGATTGGCAGAGGAGAATCGATGTTGATGTTCAGGCCAGTAGACGCTCTGTGCATGTATTGTGCGCCGGCGAAAATCGCGAATGCTGCGGCCTAAGGAGCTGAGGTTGCAAGTGGCTTTCCGGCGAACCTTTTATATTGGCGCGATGCAAGGCTGAGTCGAAAAGCTTAACATTCAGCCGCCCTGGCTTGGCGGCTGTGCAGGTTGTATTTGTCTCATGCACTTTCGATAGGCTGTCGATGCAGTAAATCGTCGGCACAATGATCCGTGGTAGGGTCCAATTTGGGACACATTCGAAACGGTATTCGATCCACGCTGTTTAGACACCAGGTGAGCATGCATATCGGTCAGCGCTTGGGGAGTACAAGCATCGCACAAGCGATTTGGTGCAAACACATCCTCGGTGGAACGCAGACTGATTCAATACTCGACGGTGGCACGCGAACGCAGTAGATAAGTCCGTCTGGCATTAACACGAGCCTTCATTGTATAGTCAACCAGGATCTTGTATATAGACATGCCGTTCATGGCAGAATTGGAGTTTCTGTTGTTGATGAGTTCTAGTCGGCGACCCAAGAACAACAGCAGCTGGAGCGTTTCCCTGACTTCTCAGCCATGGATCGTGCGGCGGACGAAGACGACATTTGCGCGGCGTGCGAAGAGCTCATTGCGGGAGATGCAGTCCAGGCTCCCTGCAACCACATCTATTGCATTCCTTGCATCGTGGGGTTGTTCAAAGCAGCCGTGGACCACGAGTCAGGATATCCTCCGAGTTGCTGCGGCAGGAACGGCGTGCCCTTGGATCTCGTCCGCACCTATCTCTCCAACGAGCTCATCGAGAAGCTAGAGGACCGCGCCGTGGAGCCTGCAACGGAAGATCGAACCTACTGCTCCGCATGCTCGGCCTTTGTGCGACCCAGCGACATCACGAACGGCCAAGCCATCTGTCGGAAATGCGCGACCAGAACCTGCAGCAAATGCAAGACGCGGGTCCACAATGGTGCTTGCAAGGAGGAAAATGAGGGACTTTTACTGACACTCGCAGATCAGAAGGGATGGAAGCGATGCCCGCGGTGCAGGAGGATGGTTGAGAAGGGTCCTGGTTGCAACATGATAGAGTCGGTGCGCCTAGGCTTTGGCTGAGAGATTGATTGACTTTGCTGACAATCTTTAGCTGCTACTGCGGCGCGGAGTTCTGCTACTCTTGTGGCGAAGACATGGGCAAGTGTACATGCACAGATGTTTTCGTGCCGAGGGAGGTCAGTTTTATAGAAGACGAGTGGCCGTAGTCAGGCGGGAAAGGAGGAAGATGTCATGGCGGAAGCTCGAGCGCAAGTCTTAGAAATTATACCACGACTTATGTCCGCCACATACAATTTCTGGCGCGACGTCTTTCTTCAACTTCAGTACATCACTTGATACTCTTCCATTGAACGCCACGGCGCGCAATGCTCCTCGCCCAAGCCATCACCCAAATGGCTCCGCCACAATGTCTGCGCTGTCTGAGAAACTCTCTCCAACTCGTTGAACATCGCAGTCTCATCCAACCCCCCACACGAGCCGCCTTTTCCACCACTTCCCTCCTTTCCGCCAAAGCTGCCCAGCCCAGGAAAACCGCCGGCACTTCCAACAAGTCCAAGACGTTGCGTCTCTCCAAGAACATCCGTCAAACGGCCGGCAAACCCCCTGCCCGAGGCGAACGAAAAGCAGTGCGCAAGCGGATCGTGCTCAGCAACACCAATGCGCTCGAGGTCGATGGCTTGCAGGATTTGACCGCCGATAAACTGGCGAGACACTCTGAGGGGACGGTCGCGCTGCAGACTTTCACGGGCCAAGTGCTTGGCTTTAGTGACGAGACTGTAGACGCGCTACGGGCTCTGGAGTCGTTCAAGCCCACGCAAGCATGGAGTTTGTTCAGACGGCCGGCGAGTTTGGTGCGAAAGGAGACGGCGGCGCTGGCGAATGATATGGCGGATACGGAAACGGATACATCAAAAGTGGCGAGAAAGATGGTGTTTGGCGAAAAGGGAAGTGGCAAGAGCGTCTTGTTACTGCAGGCACATGCTATGGCATTCGTGAAGGATTGGATCGTGGTGCATTTCCCCGAGGGACAAGATCTGACGATTGCACACTCGGCTTATGAGCCTCTGCGAACACCGAATGGGAGGATCTATGTCCAACCGCAGTACACCGCCAAGCTATTGCTCAGCATCGCCAACGCTAACCAAGCTCTGCTCTCGTCGCTGCAACTGAGCAGAGACCACCAATTGCCCTTCTCCGTGCAATCCAACATGTCGCTTTTCCGCTTTGCCGAGCTCGGAGGTCGCGACCCCACTATCGCATGGCCAATCTGGCAAGCCCTGTGGGCGGAGCTCCTCACTCCAGCAACCAAAGCTGTACAACGACCACCCGTGCTCGTCACAATGGATGGTGCAGACCAGGTGATGCGAGTCTCCGCCTACCTCGATCCAGAAGCCAAGCCCGTCCACGCACATGATCTCGCTCTGGTGCGAGACTTTGCCAATCTGCTCTCCGGCCGGACCCAGCTGCCAAACGGCGGCATGGTCCTCGCAGCAACGTGTGCATCGAACCGCGCCGCATCCCCAACGCTGGACTATTGCCTCTCCAGGACGTACATCAAACAGGAGAAGGCATCGAATGCTTGGCATCTCCTGCCTCTGCGGGGACCGAGCTGGGATCCTTACCAGCTCAAAGACGCTCGCGTGGAATCTGCGGTGATGAATGTGAGCGCGCTGAAGTTGCAGGGCTTGAGCAAGGACGAGGCGAGGGGCGTATTGGAGTACTATGCCAAGAGCGGCGTGTTGATGAATGCGGTGACGGATGGGTTTGTGAGCGAGAAGTGGTCGTTGGCTGGTCACGGGGTGATTGGAGAGTTGGAGAAGGGGACTGTGAGGATGCGATTCTAGCCTGTATAAAATGTCTAAAGCAATACACTATCGTCCGTCGGTCGTGAATTCATGGAAGCGGACGCTTCTCGCTCGCCTTGGTCCCCGGCGGCCAGCAGATCATGACCGGACAGGGTATGCGTTCCCCCTCCCACACGGCATACGACTGATCCACCACCTCGAACCCCAGCTTCTCATACACCAAAACCCCTTCCGGACTGGCTTCCAAATACGCCGGAATGCCTGCAACCAGTCAGCACAAGTGGTCCTCACGATCAGTCAAACGAAGCCGTAATTACCGGCTTTGACACACTCCTCCAATCCCCACCGCACCACCATCGTCGCCGCCCCACGCCTCCTAAACGCTTCAGCCGTCGCCATGAACTGCAGAATCGCAATCCCGCGCCCGCGCGACCACTTGGCCCGATCGGCCACCATCTTGCGGAAAATGGCCTCCGCTTTCGCCGGCCCACCCTGTTCCTGCGAAAGCCATTCGCCCGTTTGGTGATAGTTCGGCTTCTCCACCATCTCCGGCGACCGCGGTTTGTCGAAGATGAACCATTGCGCGCACGCGGCGAGAGACTCTGTCCCTGTTGCGGGATCGGTGTGGATGCATTGCACTACAGACGGCCGGCCTGTTTCGTCCATATGCTCGTGCCAGGACCGCAGGTGGCGGACTTTGGTCGCTTCTAGTGCTGCGGGTGTGTCGATGTTGCCCAGGAAGGTTTCTACGTCCGGGCCGGCGAAGGTGCGTGCTATTAGGACTGCTGTTGCGGGGATTTCGTGCTCTTTTGCGACTTCTATGCGCAAGTTGGAAGACATTTTGGGCGGTGGGTTGGGTTTTGATGTTGAGGGAGAGGAGTGAGAGGGGCAGAGTAAGCTGAACGTGAGCGACTTTGTTATACGACAGGGCTGAAGTTACGTAAGGTTAAGGTTGTCGGTGTCGGGGAGTAGTATCGTCGCGAATCACCGAAGAGATATACTACCATCAACAGGGTATGGAGTGCTTGTTGGAGTGTGCGGCCGGATGGAGTCAAGCATATCGGCCACGGGACAAGCAGTTAACATGGGGTGCATCCACATTGTATTGGAGAAACCGTAGAGACATTGCCGTGTATGGTCAGTCTCAGCTGCGTGGTGCATCTCGCTGGTGTAATTCTCATAACTTTGATCTACGACTTGTCAAATTCCGAGAATTACGCTTCCGAGATGCGCCAGTTGGGCAGGCACGCAGAGTTCCCGATCGAAGTTGGGCAACTTTGAAGAATTGACGGTCGAGAGAAGCGCCAGATGAGCGCCGGCGGGCCTTCTGCAGACACCCGCTAGCGCCCGTCAATTCTGACCAATCAGAAATTGAATGAATCGCTCCCTCCATGTCGCCATCCAGAAGCTCACTTACGACGATGCTCTGCCTCCTCCACAACAAAATGGAATCTGGGTGAAGGCGGGATCGAGACCGTACCATCTCTTATGTCTAATGTACCATGGGGGAGAACAAACTACGCATTACCATCATCGGCTCGGGCATAGCTGGACTATGCTCCGCCATTGCTCTGCAGAAGCAGCCGAACGTCGATGTCCAGCTATTCGAGCGTGCACCAAAACTCCAAGAAGTCGGCGCGAGTATCGCTCTTGGCCCTAATGGCATGCGTACATTGGAGAGATTGGGCGTTGTTGAGGCATTGGACGACAGCCTTGCTTTCCGCAATAAATCGGGGTATCCAATGATATATCGGTAGGACACCCACGATATCTCCATAAGCAAATGAACGAAGTACTGAGCAGCAATGCACAAGCCACTGGAAAACAAACGAAGTCATCTCCGTCGACGAACACCACTCCGCCGTCGAAACCCGTTACCAAACCGCCCGCTTCTACCGCGTGCACCTCCAGCAAGCCCTCGCATCCCACATCGACCCAGCGCGCCTCCACTTCAACAAGACCTTTGCATCCGTCGACTCCGTCCCGGAAACCGACAGTCTCCTCGTAGCCTACACCGACGGCACGAAAGTCGAGACTGACATCCTGCTCGGCGCAGACGGCATCCGCTCCGCCGTGCGTCAACATTTCGTCCCAACTTCTGCGCCCAAATGGACGGGCTGGGTAGCGTTCCGCACCGTCTTTGATGCTTCGCGCGTAGCGCACATCCCCGGCGCCCTCGACGAAGCATATCACTGGTGGGGTCCGGACCGCACTTTCTTCTCTTCCAGACTCGGCGCCGACCTGTTCACCATTGTCGGAGGCTACCACGGCGATCCGCACGCCGAGGACGCGGCGTATAGGCACGCAACGTGGAATTCGCCTGGCGACGTCGAAGTGCTCAAAGGCTTCTATCGAGACTGGAATTCCGTCGTGAAGGCTATGATTGATGCGGCGCCGGATGTGCGACAGTACCCCAATACTTTCGCCGCAGGGCTGGCGTCGTGGGTCCTTGGAGACGGGCGCGTGACTCTTGCCGGGGACTCCGCCCATGCGCACGGCGGTGCTTTCGCAGCAGGTGGTTCGTTGGCGGCCGATGATGCGTATGCTTTCGCGCGAGCTGTAGCGCACGTCATGCCGCCTGAAGTCTCGCCTTCAGGCGCGAGGATTGAAGAAGCGCTGAAGTTGTACGAGGCGACGAGGAAGGCGCATACGGATCGCGTGTTGGCTATTGTGCACCAGGGAAACAAGAAGATGGTTGAGCGGGTGGGGAAGACGGAGACGGATGAGGAGCTGCGGGCGCGGATGATGGGGCGGTCGGATCCGTTTTGGATTCATGAGCATGATGTTGATGCTGCGTTTGCGCAGGCTGTTGCGCAGATTTACGATGGCGATGATGATAGAGCTAGATTATGATGAGCGGCGTATTGATCGATCTCTAGACCTCATCATCCAAGTCGCCGTCTTCCAGGTCCTCGTCATCATCCAACCCCATATCTCCCGTATCGAAGCCCATGAACTTCTCCCCCTTCGCCTCGGTACCAGCTTCGACGACAAAATTCGGCGCAACCTCACAATCCGTCAACCTCGTCTTGTCATCGTCGTCCCCATCCCCAGCCGCACCCTTCCCTTTCTTCCTCGACTTCGTCGCACTCTCGCCCTGCGTACTTCCCTCTCCCACAGCAACACTCCCCTCGCCAGCCAGCGCCTTCTGTCCAACCACCACCGCCCGTCTTCCCAACACACACCCAACCAACTGCACGCCATCACCAACCACACACCCTTCCATCAACAAGCACCGCGTAAGACGCACATTCTTGCCAACATTGCAATTCGCGCCGATGACGCTCTCCTTGATGTTGCTCCGGAAGCCGATGCGCACGTTCTCGCCTACCAGGCTGTCTTCGGCGGAGACGCGGCTTTGCTGTTCGAGCGTGGCGGTCGGGTGGATTTTGTGTTCGTGCGAGAGGGCGGAGGCGGGGGTGATGGGTTGTTTGGCTAGGTGGAGGGAGACGTTGAGGAGTTGGTGGGTGGTGTCTACGCGGCGGATTAGGGGGGTGGAGGGTGCGGGTTGGACGTAGGCGAGGAGGGGTGGGATCACGACGGGCTTTTTGGTGGATAGAGTAGTCGATGTGCCCACTCGGCTGGCGAAGGCGGTCTCCGAGCCCAGGTGCTGGACTGGTGAGCGAGCGGCCTTTGTGCTCGACATGGCTGCCACGTCCACTTGGTCATCCTCTTCGTCGTCGTTTGGCACTTCGGTGGTCCCGCGGAGGATGTCAGTCAGCTGCAGCTTCTCCGCCAAGCCTTCCTGCCAATCCGCTTTGGCCCACCAGCCCAGAACGTCTTCGGAGATGCTGTCGAACCTGTCGTTCCGCGCGGCAAACTCCTTCACCCACCTAGGCAGCACGTAAACGTGGGCATCGCGAAGCTTCATCCGCATCTTCACCCGCCCGTGCTTGGCGAGCATTGATTGTCGTAGGCGGAGGTAGCCTGGCTCCGGCTTTTCCGAGATCAAGTCGTGCAGCGTGTCCGTCGGCATGACCTGAACCACCCGCTCGATATTCGGGCGTAAAGAGGTCGATGGTGAAGGGACGTGTGAAGTGGGGAGAGGGACGGTGGCAAGGAAGTCGGTTTCGTCCTTTTTGTGGCTGATATTTTCGAGGCCGTGCGTAGGGTAGAAAAGGGTAAGACCACCCTTGAATTGATTTTGTGCGGCGGACGAGGCCCACAGCGGGTTCAGCGTCATCCATTGCTGCAGTAAGTGCGTTCCGTCCAATTCGGAGATCAGGTCGCAGGGAAGAACGACAAAGTCCGAGGTGATGATCTTTTGCACCTCTGGTAGGCGCAGGAGTTGGGCAGTGCCGGTTGTCTGGGTCAGTTCCGCGGGTGCGAGAACTAGAGGCTTTGGAGATGGTAGGCTTGTTAGGGCGGGATTGGTTGCGAGCGCGGATTCCAAAGCGGATAGAGATTCCGGCGGGGTGACGAGTGTGATATCTATCATATACTGTCAGAGAGAGGCATATGAGTGGAGGTGGATGGGACGCCAGGATTACCAGAAACTCCCATGCGATAACACCAATCCAAGGGATACCAGACCATGGGCCGGTTCGCAATTGGAACGATAGCCTTGGGAAAGTCGGCGGGATTGGAGGTGAAGGTGCTGAGTGAAGAACCGGGGCCACAGAGGATGAGTGCCTGTAAGCCTGGCGAAGGCAGTGTTGCGTGTGGCATTTTTCGTGTGCGTCGTTAATGAGATTTCGAAGTGCCGAGATCGACTATGATGGCCGTGTAGCGCATCGATCAGTGCGCGTTAGGGTGGATCTGTACGAAAAGAAAAACAGCTTTCCACGACCAGACTCTTCTCCGAGTTGTTCTCACAGAGCGCAAGTCAGACATGCAACTTCTCATATGTGGTGACTGTCGCGGGATTCTTCGCTGAAGTCCAAGCCAGCCAATCGCGAGTCTGTGTCGACACGGCAGCCGGGCCGAAGCGAAAGCTAGTTTCCCCAGCTTTCAGCCACTTTCCCAGCCTCCCGCATAGCAACGCCGGTCAAAACAAGCCGCGGCCGCCGTCCCGACTCCATCCCACTCCTTCCACGATCCCAAATTCGCCGAAGCACCAATGTAGCCATGGCGTACGACTCCCGCTACAACACACAACGGTCGTCGGCGCAGGGAAGACCTGGTGCACGCCGCTACATCTTCCCTCCAACCCCGCCATCCCGCTCTTCCAACTCCCACGGCTTCTTCACTTACTGGCTTCCCATCCTCGTCACCGGCACCATCGCCGTAGGCGGCTTGGCGGCATGGATCTGGAGCGAGAGACAGGAGCACGACGACGATGACGGCTATCCACACGATAAACCTCCGCGACCCCGGCCGGGTTATGGCCAGGAATATACCACGCAAGGTAGTCAGCCTTATCCTGGACCGCCGCGACCGCCTGGTTCTCAACCATACGGACAAGGTCCTCCTCCACCGTCACAAGGTGGCCCACCTCGGCCGCCGCCACAAGGTCCTACATCTGGTGGAGAGGCGGCTAGTTATTACGATCAGTACCGCCATACCAGCACTGAAAGCCGCGATGTGACACAGCAAGGCGGAGAGGACGGCACATGGTATGGTAGTGTGAGAGGAATGATGAAGCGTGCTCCATCGCCGGGAGAGTTCTACAACAGCGCCAGCAAGCAGATGTCCGCCGGTGTGGCCGCGATGGGGGGAGCGTTGGGTTCGATCATGGAGGGCGGCGAAGGCGCCGATGGATCTCGTCCTGGTGATGCAGGTCGTCAGAAGCAGCAGCGGAATCGTGATCGAACCACGCGAGTGCGGACGGAGGAGAAGGAGGGGTTCAGCGATCATGAACGCTGGAGCGAAGAAGCGGATGAAAAGCAGCGGACTAGCGTTGTGGAGCAGGAAAGCGAGAAGCGCGCAATGGATGCGCGCGACAAGGGGAAGGGCCGAGCGAAGAAGGCGGTCGCCGTGGTCGTCAGCGCAGACACTGCGGCCGAGCACGACACCGAAGCCATCGGCTTTCGAGTGAGTTCCACCCTTCTGTCACTTCTAAACACCACGCTGACCGTCTCCCACCACAGTCCATCCTCTCCCACCTTCCCTCCCAACGCACCTCCACAACAACAGACCTCTTCGTCCTAATCTACGCCCCAGGCCTCAAATCCCTGCCTCCCCTATCCTACCAACCAACAACAGCCCAACCGCAATCCACCACCGCAACAACAACACCAGCCACAACCCCCGGCTCCGAACTGCAAACCATCTCCCCCCGCCCCACACCCGCCGACTCCCCCTCCCCACAATTCGACGCAGTCTACGCCCAAGCCCTCACCCTCGTCTCCTCCCCAACCCAAATCCTCCCCTTCACCACCAAAGACGGCTACGTGCATATTCTGCGCCACTTGGCGCCTGGGCTCGTGTACGTCAGCGACACGCTAGCGGGCGACGAGGGCGAGGATGTAGCGCAGCTCAAGGGGTGGGTCGGGCACACGGTTCTTGTGGCGGGCGATGAGGGATTTGGGGGCCTGGCGGATACGGAGACCGAGACGGAGACGGAGGCGGAGGAGGAGAGTAAGGGCGGTAATAATGTGAGGAAGAAGGAAAGGAAGCCAAGGTGGTATGAGAGTAGTAGTTTTGTCGGGCTGGGAAAGGATGTGGAGGTTGTGGATGCCATGCGCGTTGCGCAGGATTGGGAGAAGAGGGTGGGTGGGCGGGAGTAGGATATGGATATAGTATGTAGATGTGTGCGATGTAGTATTGTGTAGGAAGTTGCAATCACTGCTAATGGAATCTATCTCACACAATCCGCGCTTTATCTCCTCAAGTGACGTCTAAGAGGGAAGTCCAGAGCCAAATAAGTGCGCCGCACCAGGCCGCGTATTGACAGAGACATTCGATCCAGGCGCCGTGCACCACCGTCCATCAGCTGTACACTGTAAGTCCCCAAACTGGCCCTCATCGGGAACGAGATCAGCGGCTATGGGAACACGCAAGGCGATTTAGCACAGCACTCAAGGGGGAAAGGGAGGATAGACTTACTAGCCTGGAAAAGCCAACATCCATCCGCGCTCACTACCCGCGCTCCAGCATACGGCGGGCCGCCACACGTATTCGGCGGATCGAGGATGAAGTCGAAGTAGCCCTTTCGCCCCCAAAGCATGTAGCGTGAGAACAAAGAACCGAACTCCACAGACGATGTGATGATAATCACATACCATACACCCGTCGTACGTCACCTCTCCGCTCTCACCCGGACACAGCGTCTGAACCTCTAGATGGATGCAGACCGACTCGTCGAGGAAGGAGGGACAGTAGTAATCGCCGGTGTAGTACGTGTTGCTCGTCCACTGCCAGAGTTTCATGTCTTGCGCTGCCTAGGTGCAGAAGTTGGTGAAGGCTGTTGTCGGCGACTTTTGTCAATTCTTGAATCTAGATGGTGGACGAAAGAGCTCACTATCTGAGAAGATGGATGCGCTGTATCGCGCCTGGCAATTTTCGCAGCAGGAGATTGTGGGGTTTGCTTGCAGGATTTGCCGGCGGTGATGGTTCGCGTTGGAGGATGGGGCTGCGGTGGTGAAGTGGGTGGTGAGTATTGCTAGAGCGGTGGCGATGGAGGAGAGCATGTTGGTGTAAGTTGTGGGAGTAGACTTTGCCGCGGGGAGAGGATTGTAGGAATTAAAAGCTTTTTCGGATGGAATGGTAGATGCTAGTCTCATGAGTGGGTATCTTGCTTGTCAGGAAAGGTATGGAGGTGAGGTTTTTGGTGAAGAGTAGGGTCCAAGACGCGGTCGATCGAAGGAGAGACCATTGAGGTTCGGTGCTTGGGAAGTCACGCCTCAAGCAGAAAGCTCATCGTTGCTCTTGCCACTTCTTGCTGAGCAAAGAAAGACAAATCATTCACAAGTCCGGATCGAAATGCCATCGAAACTTCTTGTTGGCTCGGTCCGGTGCTCTCGTCTCAAACTGATTCCCATGAATCTCAAACACCATCGGTCGCCGGCTCTCACTCTCCTGCGTCTCCTCCAGCAGCACCTCAAACCGAAAGACCGTATACTCCTTCGGCACAGTCTTCAACGCATCCCCCTTGGTGATAAGCTCAAACGTAAACTTCGTATCCTTGACCACAATCCCTTTCAAACCCACCCGACTCGGACATCGACTGCGTACAATTTCCAGTAACGCACCATGATAATCAGCAGACACCAGCACCGGCCCTGCACTCTGCGCATCGACATGGGACTTCTTCCCTTCACTCAGACCGAGAATTTCGCGCATGTAAGCGCACCACATGGCGTGCACGGGCTCATAGATGCTGTACTTGCGCTGCTGCGGTGGGATGTCGTAGAGGCTTAGTTTGCGCTTTTGCGCGGCGGACAGGGGCCGCGGTTTGTTGGTTTTGCGCTGCGCTTTTGCTTTCTGGTGGCGTTCGTATTGGCGTTTCGCGCGGGCGTTGAGAGTTGGATCGGGTGAGGTGGGACGTAGAAGGAGGGGGCGCTGCTTGACTTTTTCTCGTAGGAGGGTTTCTGCTGTGTCGGGAGAGTGGGCGCGAGCGAGCAGGGAGGCGGCGATGTGTGAGGCGGATTTTGGCTGAGTAGCCATGTTCGTGCGATGCGTCACATTGTGTTGTGCAGGATGTCAGAAGGAAGAGATGATGTGGGTTGGCGGGAGATATATGCAAAAGCTACCTGAGGCAGCAATCCATCTTTTCCCGTTTGGGTCGAGTCGCGTTGACGTCGCGTCACCTCGCGGCAACTTCATGCAAGCTCTTAGCCACCTCCACCGCAACATCACTCCGCCATCCCCAGGTGATGGAAACCGCCCAGCATGGTCTCCCAGCCAGCTTCGCAGAAGAAGCAACAATCCATCTCCTCCTTCTTCTCTGCCAAACCATCTCCAACACCAAAGGCAGTCGCTCATCCAACTCTTCATGAACGCAATGCCTCGCTCGGAGATGGAGACCTCTTCCTCAGCGAACATGGCAGTCCAGACGGAGATCGGGTAGCTTCTACCACTCCGAAGCGAGCATTAGACGACGTAGACGACGTGCAAGCTCCCGAAGCAAAGCGAGTGAAAGCTTCCAAGCCATCCGATGATCCCGATGCATCCCTAATTACAAATGGAGAGGCGAGTGCCGGAGTGGTGGGCAACAGACCTTCACTAGCTCAGGTCTCGGCAAATAATGCAGGCGGCGGCAAGAAGGCAAAAATCACGGATAGAACTTCGCGATACCTGTTCTCCAGCTCACCCCTTCGAACTCCGCACGACGAGAACGAGAATGTCGACGATGATGCGGCTTCTCTCAAAGCTAAGGCTCGACTGCATGAGAAGTTTGTCAAAAAACTGGGAGCGGCAGATAGTCTCGCAAGTATCCGACGGCGTAGTCATGGCATTACGGAAGAGGGGCAAGAGGAGGACGGAGATGTGGCGGACGAGGATGAAGATCAAGAAGCAGAGCCAGCTCCTGCAGCTACAAAAGGCAAGAAAGGCGCGGCGAAGAGGGCCAAAGGAAAGCTCACGCCGTTGGAGGAACAAGTGATTGCAATCAAGAAAAAGCATCCAGACACTTTGCTGGTGGTGGAGGTCGGGTACAAGTTCCGCTTTTTCGGCGAGGATGCAAGGCACGCGGCGCGCGAACTGAACATTGTCTGTATCTCGGGCAAGTTTAGGTTCGACGAGCACCCGTCGGAAGCTCATCTCGACCGCTTCGCTTCCGCCAGCATCCCGACTCATCGCCTGCACGTACATGTCAAGCGACTCGTTTCGGCCGGTCACAAAGTGGGAGTCGTCAGACAGCTCGAGACGGCAGCCTTGAAGGCTGCGGGTGACAACCGAAACAAAACCTTCGAGCGTGGCCTCACCAACCTCTACACCAAAGGCACCTATATCGACGACCAGGAGGGGCTTGATGGACCGGTGCTTTCTCCCGACGGAGGCGCTCCCGCGACCGGACACTTGCTGTGCATTACCGAAACTCCCCCGCGTGGTTGGGGCTCGGATGAAAATGTGCAGATTGGCTTCGTCGCTGTGCAGCCCGCTACCGGCGATATCATCTACGACGACTTCGAAGACGGCTGGATGCGAAGTGAGCTTGAAACCCGTCTGCTGCACATTGCGCCCTGCGAATTCCTCATCGTGGGAGACGTTTCAAAGGCGACGGAGAAGCTCATCCGTCATCTTTCGTCGAGCAAGACGAACGTGTTTGGAGACAAAGCCCGGGTGGAGCGCGTAGACAAGCCGAAGACGATGGCTGCACAAGCCTACACCCACATCACCAGCTTCTACGCAGACAAGATGCGGCCTGACGAACCTCAGTCCTCACAGGTTGAGTCTTCCCAGGAGACGGGCACACTGCTTGACAAAGTCCACAAGCTCTCGGAGAACGCCACCATCTGTCTTTCCGCAATGATTACCCATTTGACCGACTACGGCCTGCAGCACGTGTTTGACCTGACGAAGTACTTCCAGTCGTTCAGTGCACGATCACACATGCTGCTGAATGGCAATACTCTCACCAGTCTGGAGATCTATCGCAACCAAACCGACTACACGGAACGCGGCAGTCTCTTCTGGACTCTCGACCGAACACAGACACGGTTCGGGCAGAGGCTGCTTCGCAAATGGGTTGGCCGGCCGCTCCTCGATCGAGAGCGGCTGGACGAACGCATATCGGCGGTCGAGGAGTTGAAGGAGAAATTACAAAGCATGGGCGTCGATCGGATCAAGCACCTGCTACGCAAGACCAAAGCCGATCTGGAAAAGTCTCTCATCCGTATCTACTACCGTCGGTGCACGCGCCCGGAGCTGCTGGGCGTGTTGCAGACGTTGCAGATGATTGCCCAGGAGTTTGCGCACGTTGAGAGCCTTGCGGATGCCGGGTTCACCTCTGAGATGATAAGCAGTGCCATTCTGTCATTGCCCAAAATCTCAGATGAAGTGGTGCAGCTTCTGGACCGGATCAATGCACAAGCAGCCAAGACGGATGACAAGTATAGCTTTTTCCGCGACGAGCACGAGACGGACGACATTACGAATCATAAAGTCGGCATCGCTGCTGTGGAGCATGACTTGAACGAGTACAAGAAAGAAGCGGCGGAGAAGCTGAAGAGGAAGACAGTGGAGTATGTCACTGTAGCCGGGATTGAGTACCTCATCGAGCTGGACAACACGCAACTTAAGAATGTCCCGGCGTCGTGGGTGAAGATATCCGGCACGAAGAAGGTGTCGCGCTACCACACGCCCGAAGTGGTGAAGTTGATTCGCGAGCGCGACCAGCACAAAGAAGCCCTGGCGAACGCCTGCGATGTCGCCTTCATGAGCTTGCTGACGGAGATTGGCTCGAAATACCAAGCTTTTCGCGACTGTGTGCAGTCCCTGGCCCTTCTCGACTGTCTGCTGTCCCTCGCCGAGGTGGCGTCGCAGCCTGGGTATTGCAAGCCCGAGCTGAGCGACGAGATTGGCATCAGCATCAAAGGCGGTCGCCATCCCATGGTCGAACAACTCCTGCTGGACGCTTTCGTGCCGAACGACGTCGAGCTTTCCGGGAGCGGTGTTCGTGCTCTGCTCTGCACCGGGCCGAACATGAATGGCAAGTCGACGTACGTGCGGTCGGTGGCCTTGATAACAATCATGGCGCAAATTGGATCGTACGTGCCGGCCGATTCTGCTCGTTTGGGGTTGCTTGATGCTGTGTTCACGCGCATGGGCGCATTTGACAACATGATGAAGGGGGAGAGCACGTTCATGGTGGAATTGTCGGAGACGAGCGATATCATCAAGCAAGCGTCGCCGCGCAGTCTGATTCTGTTAGACGAGTTGGGGCGAGGCACGAGCACGGTTAGTACATGCTGTCGTTAGGAGACAAGGGAACATGCTAATAGTGTGTCTTTCTAGCACGATGGTGTCGCCATCGCAGAAGCGGTGCTGGACCACATCATCACCAATCTCCACAGCCAAACCATGTTCATCACGCACTACCAAAGCCTGGCTCGCATGGCCGACCGATTCCCCAACGTGCTCAAGAACGTGCACATGCGCTTTTCGGAGCAAGACGACGCCGAAAGAGGGGAGCAGAACATCACCTTCCTGTACGAAGTGGGCGAGGGCGTGGCGCATCGCAGTTACGGGTTGAATGTGGCGAGGCTGGCGGGCTTGCCGAAGACGTTGCTGGAGGAGGCGCGGCGCCGCAGCAAAGGGATGGAGGAGGAGGAAGGGCGGAAGCGTCTGACGTACCTGGCCGGCGTGGCCGAGACGCTGATGCAGGATGGTGAGGCGGAGTGTCTGCAGCACTTTGTCGCCGGTCTAGAACAGATGTGAGGCTTGGCGCTGGCCTTGGTCGTGGTTTGCAGTGGAGCACTTCAGGTGATCGAGTACGAGGAGAGCGCTTGGCATTGCCTTCGTATCGGTCTCCTCCCGCATGTGGCATGCTTGATGCATAATGAGAGAAAGGAAATGCGGTGCCCGGGAGGTGCAATACGAAGGCTATCATTTGGAACGGAAGTTGCTTGCCGCAACTGAGTTAGTGTGGCCGCTAACCTCGTCGGCCCTCACGCACTGTTCCGCCTCCGAACACGCTCATCCGCCAACCGCGTGGCGCCGGTCGAGCAATGTCCTACATATCGAGATGAAGCAGTAAAGAAATTCTTCCCTCGCCCTGCTCCAAACCACACCGCAAAGGCAGGCAAAATGGCAGAGGCCGCCGCCGCCGCCTCTCCCCGCCCGACCTTCAATCCCGTCGAAACAACCTTCAATCCCCACGACATCACCACTCCCCCCGACAAAGACGACGTGCAGTCCCCCTCGCTCTCCAGCAGCAATGCCCTGGCGCGCTTCGAATTCGAACCCGGCAAGAGCCGCGACGGCACCAAAGTGCTCATGGTAGAATGGGAAGACGACGAGCACACCCGCGCCATCCGCGGGGACTGGGAGGTGCGATGGGAGGGCAAGAAAGCAGTGTTACCCGCGCGAGAAGAGAGGCCGGAAGGCAGTCAACAAGACGACCACACTGGCCCCGTCAACAGACTCTACTTCCTCCTTGGCCCGGGCGTGAATATCCCTACTACCGTGCGGCTGCGCAAGGGCTCCGTGGCGTGGAAGACGAACCCTTTGCCCGCCATTTTCAACCCTGAGCTAGGCGCCACGGCTCGCCAGGCGGGGCGCAAGGGCGTGCTGCATACGATTTGGGCGAAGAAGAGACTCCAAGGGCTGCAGGGGGAGATTGAGAGGGAAGCTGCGGAAAACCCGGAGGGCATTGGGTTGGAGATGGCGCGGGCGGAGAAGGAGTGGATTGAGGGGAATTTTGGCGTGGTGATGAAATCCGCGACCGCGGCCTCGCCTGCCTCGCCTGCTTCTTCGTCTTCGCACAACGCCGGTGTTTCGGCTGGGGGATCGGCGAATGGAAGCCCGGTCAGTCCTGGGGGACGCTTGACGGACAAGCTGCGAGGACTCAGATTGCAGACGAGTGCGAACGGAGCAGGCGGCAGCGGTCACAATCCCTTGAGTCCGGAGACGGGCGATGTGGCTGTGGGGTCGTTTGGAAGCTTCGCGGCGCTGAAGGGGATGCCTCCTGCTGCGTCTTCACTGGCCGCGAAACCCGCTCAGCCTCCGGGGCAGCAACAGCAGAGCCAACGACACGGCGGCGGTCCGCAGTCTCTAGACGCTGTGGCGAATGGTTCGACGGCGGCGCCCACTCCTCCTCCTTCCGCTGTTGACGCGAAACACGACGATTTGTTCGCGTTGCCTATGAGTCCCAAAGGCGCCGGCACCACCGCTGGAGCCAGCCCTTTTTCCTTCCACGCCCAGGACACACGGCGATACGTGCAGAGCTAGGCTGTGGAGCGCGCATAGGTACGAAGCGTTGCACCCGGGCATTTTCGCTGGCCTCTGGGGACACATTGAAGCAACACACATGGAGACGACCTCATGATATACGCCATCTAATGGGTGCGAAAGAAGACATAGCTAGTCTGCAGCGGTATTCTCATCGAACACTACTTGTCGTTTCTTCTTCCGCTTTCCTTTGGCGACGAGTGCATCCTCTTCCGGCTGCTGCTCCTGCCCATCATCTTCGACGGCCATCTTCTTTTTCTTTTTCTTCTTTTTCACCACGCCCACTTCCTCCCCTCCGTCGCCTCCATTCGCAGCCTCTTCCGCATCGCCCTCCACCCGTGCCTTCTTCTTCTTCTTTTTCCGCACCACCATCGTCCCTCCCTCCGGCGCCTCCCCGAACTGAATCCCCTCCTGCGCCCGCTGCATCTCCAACCGCAACCTCTCCACCTCCTTCATCGCCTTCGCCATCTCCTCTTCTTCTAATCTCCGTCGCTCAAACTCCAGGGCACTAGATCTCGTCGCCGCTGCCGCGTCGTCTAAAGACAAGCTCGCCAGGCCGCTGCTGTCGACTTCGAGGAGTGAGCGTTTGCCTCGTGCTGCGCTCGCCGCGCTCGTCAACTGAAAAGCGGAGGGAGCGTCGTTGTCCCCGCCGAGCGTCTCGTCCGCGGCAACTTCGAAGCGCCGTTGAGCCTTGCGGACCGGTTTCCGATCACTGGTCGGAGGAGCGGGGACGTTGTGTCCATTGCTAGCATCCATGTTGAGCTCCATGACGGGGATGGAATCCACGTCCAGCGCGTCCCCGTTATTTGAACGGAGGATGTTGTGCAGCGGAGTACTGCTGTTCGATGCGCGGTCGGGATCGATGTAGTACGGGTCGTCCTTGTTGCGCTCTCGCCTCATCAGCTTCTTTCGTTCGAGACTCTCCGGGTTCGAGTCTGCTTCTGCGTCTTGATAGGAGGATGAGCGACTGCTCCCGGTGCCTGCTGGATCCAACAGCTCGGCAGCTGGTCGGTGAGGATCGAATGCCACGGCGCTTGGCTTTTCATGGTAGAATTTGTAGACTTCGTTGTCCGTCTCCACATACTCCGAGTCCAAGTCGGCTTGTTGGAGGATCATATTGAGGTTCGCGTTGATCGGCGCGTCGAGATCCAGGCCTTCGGGCGGCTGCACTTTGAGTAAGGCCGAGGGAGCAACGGGGTTCAGCTCCACGCCGGAAAAGAGCGACGGGATAGCTTGGGAGAGCAAGCGTGGTGTCGCGTTGTCCTCATCATCAAGCGGCTGACTTGACACGGCCTCGGAGGTCAGGCGCATCAAGTCGAGGAACTCCACCGCTCTTTCTTGGACCTCCAGATTAGGGTGAATAGCCAGGGGTTCGAGAAAATGGACAATGCGCGCAATCACTAGTGTACAATGTGACGCGTGCGACTGGTTCCACAGACCTTGTTGATTGCCAGTAAGTTGGGAAAAGAGTTTCGGAATGGCCTGGAGGTAGCTCAGGAGCACCGCAGCGGGCAGTTGAGCGTTCGAAGGGTGAATGAGGGATGTGAGCACCGCTTCCGGACTCGGCAGCAGGCCTGCAAATTCACCAGCGACGAAGGCAGACGATCCCAAGACCCCATGCCCTCCACCAGCAGAAGCGGGGAAAAGATGCTCGCGGCTCTCGAGGACGAGCAACGACTGCGCTGCCGACGCTGCTTCGGGTCGCACTGCCTTGACACGAACAGCTACGTTGACAAGTTCGTCGCCGATGGCGTCTGCCGCGCTCGGGCGGCTTTTTGCTGCGCCGCCAGAGACATCGGCAGCGCTCACAGCGGGACATTGCTTAACGAGCTCCACCAGCACCGTGACATACCATTCGAAATCGGTCATGTTCGCATAAGTGTCTTTTGAACACATGCTCAGGATGCGCTCGATGACGCCCGTGCGGTAATCATCGGGCAAGGGAGGCGGTTGGGTAGACTTTGCTTCTCGTGGGTGAATGGTGGTCAGGGCCTCGTCATCGTCGTCGGCGCGAGGGACGATGCCGTCGTGCGTGCCGCGATCATTGCTGGGTTCGTCAGCTGCAGTCGCGCGTCCGGAGGTCCGCAGCTGTCTGAGTAATCGTTCAACTACCGTCTGCAGGGAGTTGGCGTCGACCATTCCCACCACCAAATCCAGAGCTCGGATTCGGATGGAGATGTCAGGATCATCAATGCACTCCAAGATGACATCCCGATGCTCCGAAACGAGATCAGCGTGGGAGGTTGTGATTCGAGCAAAGGCCAGTAGAGCCACATATCGCAAGTTGGGATCGCCTTCAACTACAAGCATAGCACGGAGTTTGCTGACACAGAGTCTCGCAATCTCGTCGCCTTCGGTGGTGCCCTCGACGGCGTCCAGCATGCCTCCTTGAATCATGCCATTAACACATTCGTAGAGCAGACTCATCGCCGGGGTGGTCTTGATGATGTTTGTGAGAGGAGGGAGCAGCTTCTTGGCCAAGCGTGGTTCGAGAGGCAGCAGGGTGGAGAAGAGTTTGATAATTTTGATCGCCATCCAGTTGTTGGTGTTTGATGTGAGCAGCTCAAATAGTCGGGGTGCTAGCGGAAGGAAGTCTTGTGGCCTTCTCCAGCCTAGCTCGCAGATAACATTGACAATAGCTGCCGTCACGCTTGGATCTTCGTTTTCGTCCTGGAGTCGTTCTTTGATCTTAGGCCACGCAGGCCGAAGGGTCTCGGGGTATACTAGAGCCAGGCGATAGAGCGTGACAATGGTCTTCTTGCGGATGGCGGGGTTGGAGTGAGACAAGCGGATGACGAGGTCCCCGAGCAGCGAGTTAGCCATGGAGGCATTGATGACATGCGGGATGGTTATGAGTGGAAGAGCCATGATGATCTTGTCGGGCGAGTTGAGATCCTTCTTCAACAGATTCCCCGCCAGCATCAAGACCTCGGTATCGGAGCGGAAACTCTGCACCGCCGCCAGATATCCCACGCGCTTTTGCAGGTACTTGGGAGAGGACATGACCTCGAGCACGTTGAACGATGCCCAGGACATGTCGTGCCCAAACATCTCGAGGTAGACCAGCTTCAGCAAGGCCGTGGCCTTCTGATCCATGTCGGCCCCGCGGATCTCTTTCCGGCATTCTTTCAGACTGTCCTGGATGTACTCGCGCTCGTTGCCTTTGTGCGCGCGCAGCCCGCGAATGAGCTGGTATATGTCTTTTTCGAACATCGTGCTGGAGGGATGTTCCCGCTATTCAATAACTGAGGGAAAGGGAAGTCGAGGCGACTCTTCCGCCAATGACACTCTTGAGACGTGACAAGGGTTCGCATCGTAGGACACGGCGATGTTCAGCTGCAAAGATCCATCGTATTGGACTCGTGTGCTCTCGGTCGATGTCGGTCTGTGTGTATGGAGGTGATGATAAGAGGCGGATCCACGGGCCAGCAGCCTTTAGTACCGCAGCAGAGCCAAGATGTCGACGAACTTGCAAGAAGTAGAAGAAGGAGCCGAGTGATGTCGTGAACGATGTCGCTGTGCAAGCCGAAGACGGGAATCGCGTGGTGGGGTACATTTTGATACAACGACTTTTGGCCATCGCTCGGTGCAGCCAAATATTTCCACAATCAACGACGAAGATCTGCAAAAACATGCAGAGCAACACAGACGACAGACCGTCAAGATGAAACTCCTCACCCTCAACTTCCTGACATGCGCGCGCAAGACGTGCAAAGCGACTGCCGCATCCTTCCCGCTACACTGCCGTGAAGTCGAGCTGGAGCAGGTGGAAATGGACCCGAATCCGCTATTCATCAAGAATATGTTGCCGCGATTGGACTGGAAGGCGATGAAAGGGTTGACACAGGAGGTACGAGAGCCGCTCGCATCCTTTCCGCTTGGAATAGTCACTAATTGCTCCATCGCTCAGCTGGGCCTACCGCAATTACCAAACGAAGCGCCATCCGAAGAAGAATTGCAAGGCGCAGACGGCGAGCCTACGCAGGTGCTGAACGACCTGCACACGCTGCTCATGGAGACTAGCGTCGTGAGTGGGAAATTGGTCTGCGGGAATTGCGAATACGAGTACCCTGTCAAAGACGGGATTGCCTCTTTTCTCTTGCCCAGTGAGTCCTCCGTCTGACCTACTTCACATGTCCCAGTCGTTGACGGGCGGAATAGGCCACATGGTATGATGTCTCAGCATGAAAGAAGCTGGACAATCTGGAGGATGATGTGCACGTGCAATAATCGTCCTGTTGCTCAAGGTATCACGTTGGCAAAGGGACTGGAGGCCGAGCGTATGCCAGCCTCGTCCCCACAGTGAGCTCTCGCCCACCAACCCTGCGCAGCGAGGTACCAAAGGGCGGCCTTAATCACAGAAACGACTTCCGAGTGTAAGCCAGCATGGCCATTCAGGAGAGAAGCAGTGCAACGGAAGAAGACAGCAAGCATGACGGGTCGTGTAGCAAGCAAGCGTACATCACGCCGCCACTTGCACAACAATCACTATATTCCATCTAGACCACTTATCTACTCAGGAATGTACAATCACCCCCACTTGAAAACCACATTCTTCCCCTTCCTCCCCTTCCCCTTGCCCACATCCGCATCCCCCGCCGCAGCAGGCACCGAACTCGCACCACCATTAGCGCCGCCGCCACCCCCAGCACTCCCAGCCCAAGCATTCACCCCACTCCCAACACTCTGCCTAATCACGCCAGCCCCCGTATATCCAGGGGTAAACACCGTGCTCGTAGGTTTCGCCGCAGCAGGTAGGGCAGGGAAGGCGTCAGTGCGGCCCAAATTGGCAGAAGACTGCGATCTGCTCGGGGCGGGAGAGACTTTTGCCGAAATGGGGCGGGACGAGGATGCGGGGCGGAGGGCGAGCCAGGAGGGTGTAGGAGCTGGCGTCGCGGTGCCTTTGTTGTTGGAGGCTGGCAGGACGGGAAAGGGGTTGTTTGCCGAGGCCGCTGTTGCGCCCCACGATCGCTGCTGGCCCATGGTCGATCTTGCGCTCGGTGCAGTGGCGCTTTTTAGCCGGAGGACTCTCGAGCCTGACATGCCTGAGCCCAGGGCACCGGCAGCGGATGTGGGGCCTGATGGGCCGGGGAGGGAAGGGTAGTCTTCGTTGATGGCTTTCCAATCGTTCCACGCTTTGAGGAGCGCGTCGCGTTTGGTGGTGATTTCGAAGATGTCGGCTAGTTCTTTGATGAGCTTGCCGAGTTCGGCGGAGGAGGTGTCGAAGAGGGAGAAGAAGGCGTCGATGAGATCTGAGGCGCTGATGGTGCCGTTGCGGTAGGAGGAGATGCGGCTGCGGAACTCGGCTAGCCTGGCTTCGTCATTGCTGAGCAGATGTGCTGCCCGCTCAGTCACGGCATTATGTCGCAGTTGGCGAGCCTGCTCGGCTGGAGTCAGCGCTGGGGCAGGTCGGGGGGTTGAGGATCCGTTGGTATTGGGTTGCTCGTTCAGAGCTGGGAAGGCTGGCTGCGCATTGCGGATCTGTGGGCTCTGCGCGGCATTCGCCGGTCGCTGCGCACTCTGCACATGTGGTTCGGAAGCTGTAAGCTGGCCGCCGAAGGTTCGAGGCGTGGTGGACTGAGCACTCTGGATTTCTCGTTGGCGCTGGTGGACAAGCTCCGCTCGACTCATGTGCGCGCCTGAAGTGGCCGGGATGGCATCAGAGTTGGGGTCCCGACCTCGACCACCCCGCCTGCCACCTCTCCTGATTTCTTGATACTGTGGACGGTAATCAAAGCTCGACAGATCGACTCTTCGCGCATCTCGTCTGGCGTCCTTCGAAAGTCCGTTCGGATGGTTTTCCAGCTGATGCGCCTTCAGATCCATCTCCGAGTCAAAGACGACAAACTTCTTCTCCAAACACTCATTGTCGAGGCATGGAAAGTGGTCCTTCCCGAAATGTTGCTCGAGCGCATTGTAGTCGAGATAGTACTGGGGATTCCGCCCGCCAGTCCGGCGATCGCACAAGTGGCAGCGTTCGTGACTATCCCGACAATGGACGTACAGCTCGTCTTCGCCGTAGAAGCGCTTCCGGCAGAATCCACACTCCGGGTGGCCCTGGAAGCCACTCTGGTCTACTGCACCCGGGTTGTCGTCGCCATACTTCTCATGCTTGCGAAGCTCCTGCTGCGTGAACAGCTCATGCTCATGTGTAAAGACCTTTTTGTTCCGCGCGCACAGATCGCACATCTGCTTCTGGTGCGCACTTCGCACATGTCGATGCAAATCCGGCCACCCCAAACACGCGACATCACAACTCGGATCGGGACAGTTGTAGCGTAGCAGCACCACCGTGTCTTCGAAAATGGCCTGCTGTTCGTACGCAATCCCCATATTCTCATCGGTGCGGTAGAACTCGCCCACATTGAATTCGACAAACTTCCTCTCCTTCTCGTCGGTGAAGATGACCAGGGGGGCTTCGGTACGGCAGATGGCACAAGCCTTGGTTTTGTAGAGGGCGCGCATGCGCAGCGAGCAGATCGTGCAGTAGCGGTGATTACACGGCGTCAGACTGGCATGGTCGATGGGATTGCTGCACACGATGCAGCCGTCGTCGACGTTGCTCTCCACGCGCGTCATCGTCTCGCCCTCGGCGGTCGAGTTGGCGGCGTCTTCGATCGGGCTGCTTAAAGACACCGCGCCGCCGGGTTGCGGCCGTGATCCTAGCGGGATATGATTCGGATTGAGAACACGATGTGATTCACCGTCTCTTCCTCGTCCCGCATCGCGTCCACCGCTTCCTCGTGCGCCTCTACCTCCTCGACCTCGACCACGGCCCCGCCCTCGTTCATTCGACACGTTCGCTCCATCCTCCCCTCTTTGTCCTGGAGGCCCAGTACTCGCATGTTGTGAATGTACCCCTCCTCTGCTGCCCCTACCTCTACCTCGCTCCGGCGCTCTTGGGGCAGTCTCCACGTTCGTCGCCGCATGAGATGCGGTGGGGTTGTCCGCGGCGGCCATACTGCAGCGAGTGAATCTTCACGCCTTTCCTTGATTTGCCAATCTCTTATGCCGGCGATGATCTCACAACACGATCAGGTTCGCTTCCAGTCCAACAGAGAATGCGAGTGTAGTGGGGGTGACTGTCGCGCCAAAAGCGCGAAATTTGGTGTGGTTGAAGGGTTCGAGTTGCTTCAAACACGACTTGGACGTCACCGCACGTGGGGATTCAGTTCAGGATGACTAATTTGGAGGCTCCAGACTCATGTCCAGTCGCACCAGACATTCAACGTGATCTTCGAGTCGTTTCCATCCCTTGAAATCATGATGCATACCGTACTTCTTCTAGCTAGACAAACGAAACGTGCATCCCCATTACTCACCCATCGAATCTCAAAATCAACAGCAAAACTTTCGGGATCTCCTTCGAGACCAAGCACACCTCATGCAACACCCATCTCCACTCTATGCTTCCCCTTCTGCACTCCCTCGTCCACCCAACAACTCACATCCCCACCACTTCCATCGTGCCAGGCTCGCTGCTGACATAAATCGTATCATGCTGATCCGTAAACCCATTGAACCGCGTAGCCGAGCACTTGGTGTACGCGCCCATGTCCTCAAAGTACAGCCAATCACCGATGTCAAGCGTCTCAGCAGACGTCCACTTGGGCGCAATGCAGTCGATTCCATCGCACGTCGGGCCCCAAATCGAGTACTCGATTGCCTTGCCGTGCGCGTTGTTGTCCGGGCCTTCTTCCGCGGAAGAGTAGCCCGAGTCGGAGACCAGATCGGTGCAGTACTTGTAGCCGTCGGGCTTGCGTTTGGTGGACAACACTTGTGGCACGGGGTGCTGGTGGTCGAACATGATACTCGAGAAGTTGCCGTACACGCCGTCGTTGAGGTAGAGCATGTAGCTTTTGCTGCCCGCTTCGGGATCCTCTACGGTGCGTCGAGCAATAACGTTGCAGGCAATGGTGAAGGCAGAGCTTGTGTAGTAGCGTCCGGGTTCGGCGATGATGCGGATGTGAGGGGGAAAGTAATCGTCCAGCGCCCTTCCAAGCACCGCCGCCATGTCCTCGAAAGTCTCGGAGCAGAAGCCGCCGCCGACATCGAGTGTATGCAGGTTGAAGCCAAGCTCGGCCGCTTGGTCAAAGACGGCTCGTGCATCGCGCACAGCTCTCAAGAATGCCTCCGGATCGGACGCGCCAGAGCCAACGTGAAATGCAACACCAGCAACGTTCAGACCCAGCGTCTTCGCCAGCGTAAGGAGCTGCTTAGTGTTTTCCATACGCGCGCCAAACTTTTGACTCAGTCGGCACATGCTCGCCGAATCGTCTGTGAAGATTCGGAGGTACAATTCGGCGTGTGGGAAGATCTGCTTGATCTTGTACAGCTCGTCGCTGTTGTCGAACGTCATCTGAGTGACATTCTGCTTCGCAGTGTAGCGCAAGTAGCTCGTCGTCTTGCAAGGCTGGGCGTAGATGATGCGGCTGGGGTGGACACCCAAGCTGAGCACCTGCTCGATCTCGGCCTTGCTGGCGCAGTCGAAGCCAGTTCCCAAGGCAGCCAGAAGGCGAATCACCATAGGGTCCGGGTTGCACTTGACAGCGAAGTGCGGAGTGACACGCTTGAGGTGCTTCGTCCATCGCACGTGCTGACGGTACACCTCCCCAAGGTCGGCCACAAAGAATGCATCCTCTGCTCCAGCCTCGCAATCATGAGGATCAACACCCTGAACGCGCTTGTTCAACGCAGCCCCAATCAGCTCTCTCGCCGGGGCAGACCCGACTTTGGCAAGACTCTCCCCATCGCCATGGGTATCAAGAGCCTCGGATAAAGGATGATTCGTCTTCAAAGACAAATAATCAAACTCTTCATTATAATCATGTCCAACGCTCTTTGCCATACCCCAAACAAGAGGGTATCTAAATGATAATCTTCTGGAAACGGCACAAGCCGATGTTAAGGAGGCTTGAAAGGGTGGAACACCAAGCCCACGAGACCTTGGTGGCGAGACGGCGCAGAGTCTTCCCCTGGGAAGGGAAGAACCCCCAATTGGCCCTTATGCGGCAGCTGGAGCGGTGGCGAGGCGGGGGGTGTTGATTGATGCAACTCAAACAACACGCGCTCGAGGTCGGAGGTGGCGGTCAGGCGGGTGGGGTGGCGGTGGGTTGCGGGGGAGGGTGTCGCGATCGGCGGGAGTGAGAATGTGGTTGGTGTGCGTGCGGGGATTTTGGAGAAGATGCCTCTGGATCACGACCCAAAGGCTGGTCTTCGAGTGAAGGGTTTGTAGGTTGGAGGATGGAGGGCTGTAAGAGCGGTCAGAAAAAGTTCGAGGGAGTTGTGCTCAACGGCGGCGAATGGTTGGGACCGTCCAAAAGACACGGAATTGACTGACCGCAACGAGAGATGGCCCAGAGGTGGCGAAGAAGGTGTTCAAAGTCGTAGGTTCCGTATGGAATGAAGAAAGAGAAAAGAAACGGGGATGAGAGATTTTTGTGTCAACTTCTCGACGTCCAAACCTTGTGCTGGTGGATCGGAAGATTGGCCTGGCTTGGCGCGTTGCGGCATTTGCCTATTCGACGTCACATCACTCCAAGCAGTTATCCTTTCAACATCATTGTGCGCCGAGGTGCAGATACGTGCAGTGAAGAGCGTCAGACATCTTTCAATCAAAGTCGTTAGACAGTCGTTTCAAGCTACGGCCCTTCTTCACTACTCATTCGGCGATGCGTCCCCCTTCCATCCCGCCCAGTCCTTCCTTCAATAGTGTACGGGCCCACGCGCGTTGGACGACTCATACGACTCGCACGACTCGTCAGAAGAGATGCTGAGCGCCCTTTTACGGCGAGAATCAACCTCCGCACGCACCGTCGCGCTGCTCCCACTTGAGCCAGACGAGTTCCCTCCCACGCCATTTCCGTACGTCCCAGCGTGGCGTTGCGCAAAGTTATTCGTCCTCGCTTGCTGATTCCGCTGATTATAATTGACGCTCGCCAAAGTGTTGTCAAGATTGAATGGGTGCGCTGGAGCTGCGGCGCGTACAGCAATTGGTGGGGCTTCATCCGCTGTATCTATAAGGAACGTCAGCGATCTTGTTCAATATTCCGAGACAGGAAGTAGCGAACCCCACCCGTCATCCTCAGAATCCGACGGCTCGCTGCCATCGTCTTCCGAATCCGGCCATCCATTGTGCAATGCGACAGACTGCTCGGAGTCGTAGCTGCTTTGCACACTGTCCAAATCTCCAGCCCCGCCGGTCAAGGGCGAGAAGCCGCCGCCATTCTCAAGATCGTGATTGTAGCCGCCTTCACCGCCGGAGGAGGACTCTGATTCTGACTCTTCGTCGCTATAGATCGTGCGAGCAGGTGCAGAGCGAGCTGTTGTATCACGCTTTCGACGTTGGCGTCCGCTCGATACTGGTGCTTCGTCCTCGGAGTCGTCTTCCTCCTCATCATCAGAGATCACCACAGGCGCCGCCTGGCGTCGGACGAGTCGGCGAGCACTGACGACCTGCGGTACTGGGGTTTCGTCGTTGTCCTCAGCGTCGTCATCATCACTTCCATCGGCATCGACATCGTCGTCATCGTTCACAACAAAGCCATCCATGTCGTCCTCTTCCTCATCCTCCTCCTCCGAATCGTCCGATATCCCGGAACTCAGCGATGCCATTATGCGCACCGGCTGCTCATGGGGCCGGGGCCTCCGCACCACAACCTCATGGATGACATCAGAGTCTGACGAATGCTGCCCTTCGAAATCATCCTGCCCAAAGTAGTCATCCTGTCCATCCGGCCCAAACGCCGAATGCTCCAGATCATCCATGTTACGATAGTAAGCATCCACCTCTTCGTCGTAGTCGTCCTCGGAGAAGTCAGAGGGATCCACACCATCCATGTAGTGCCCGCACTGGTCGCAGAAGCCATCCTCCAACTCCCAATGACACTCCGGACATCTCTCCACGCCATCGCCGGGATCGTAGATGGGCGTGAGCCGTGCTCCCCGTCCGGTGAAACATCCCTTGAACAAGCCACCCAGCACAGGGTCAGTGTTTGCCCGGTCATCCGCCACAATCTTCGCCTCCTCCCTCGCCAGCGTGTGGTGTTCCTCCGACGTCTCGCCGTCCGGCAGCAGCTCGTTGCGACTAAGGAAGATGAGCACGAGCTCGCGCACAATGTACGATGGTGTGGGCTGTTGCGTGATGTTTGCGCGGCAGTCTGGACACGTCTTCTTCTTGTTGCTCACGAGCCACGTGCTCAGGCAGGAGTAGCAGTAGGTGTGTCCGCATGACAGGGCGAAAGGCTCGTAGAGCATTCGCGCGCAGATTTTGCAGGTGACGAGTGAGCGCATGGCGTCGATGTCGGAGTGGAGGGTTTGCAGAGCGAGTTCGTGTGGAGCGAGGGCAGCGCCGCCCTGGTTGGAAGGCATGATGGTGGTCGCTGTGGAGGTGGAGGGCTTGGGGGTGGTGGAGAGTAGTACAGGCACGCTCTCGGTGCGCGAGATCTTGACTCTCTTGCGCGAACCCTGCTGGCTCGCCATCGCCCGCTTCCCTTCACCAGATACCAGACAGTGTGGTGAAGGTGCAGGTGAATTCGGACAATCGATGTACCTTACTTGGCCCGATTTAGCGCGGGGCTGTCGGTCGTGTGCGCGGAGAAGACAGGGAGGAATGTGGATAGTGTGCCGCCGATGATGTACGGATGGAGGGTCGTAAAGAAGGAAGGCAGAAGATCCGGTTCGCGCTCCACCACGACAGCACTGCAAGGCGAAGGACGAGGTTGTGCTGTTCGCTCGTGGCGGTTATGAAATCAATTTCCCCGGGCACGCGTGACAACCTGGACGTGCAGAAGCTTAAGTAAAGTGTTTTGTGCCAGAAGTAATGGTATCAAGTGGCCACGACTTCTGTCAATTTGCTCGTCGACGACATGCTGTGCTGTGTTTGCCCACACACTCGTTAACCCGCATCAGCCTCATTGCAAGATCAACTAATTGCCAAAGCCGCTCATGTCGACCCCGGCCGGGGAAGAAGACAAAGCCGAGAAAGCAACCGCATGGCAACAAGGCGCAGCTCGATTCACAAGGTACACCACTCTCTATCAACATCTCATCCGTATATCCTTTCGTGCAAGCAAGCGCTAACATCACCCCAGCAAGCGCAATAGCGAATACTTTGATCCCTGTCAAGAAGCAGCCGACCGCAGTCTGAAATGCCTACGGCGCAACGGTGGCGATCGGGCCATGTGTCAGGATTACTTTGAGTGCGTTCTTGCTACAACCTGCTCCTACTCTTCCCAAACTAACAGTCGTTCCAGTGCGTACAAAGAGTGCAAAGAGTCATGGGTGAGTGGAGGAGCTCTCGTCCTTACGCGAGACGAGACGCTTTGCGCAATGATTGCTCATGCTAACACCCCACTCCCAGATGAAGGAGAGGCAGGAATGGAAACGAGAGCAGAAGCGCAAGAACGGGACCTGGTTTTGACAATTTTCCATTCTTCATCCAGTCTGAGCACGCCGTAAGAAGGCCGCTCACTGAAATCTACACTGCTTCCCAGGCCCCATTTTCCGATTCCACAATTCCCATCGAGCCATGCGCCTCCCTCGCTATACTATACACCAGCGCTGTGCCTGGCCCCGTCGTAAGTTTCACGCACAGCAGCTTTCGCTACGGGTGACCGCCGTTCACAGCTTGCGGAGCCTGCTGAGCGTAGGCATTGTCCACTGCATGCCCGTTCTCGACAGTCCCCGACATGGTCACATCCACTCCCGCATTGCCTTTGAGAGTGGCTGCCACGCTCGTAGGACCGTTGATCTCACGATCAAGCTGCACCAACTCCTTCATGACCCCCTTGCCTCCGCGCTCCTTCAGGAACTTGAAGTACACAGCCGACAAATCTCTAACCAACGGCGGCGGCAGATGCGATTTGTGGCGCAGATCATCGTACACCGACTTGACACGCTTGTGGTGGACCGAGCCATCCTCTCCGTGTGCTGGCTGCTGAATCTCGAAATCGAGCCACTCCGTCCAGAAGACAGTAGAGTCGAGGTACTGTGGTTGGTTGTTCACGTAGATCTGGCGTGCCTCTTCCGCGTCCCCCCTTCCCTTCCACACCAGCTGAGCCCATGCGCTGACCAAAGCACCACGAGTGTAGACGCTGCTGTTCTCGTCCTGGATGTACGTCTTCAGCACTTCAGTCGCGGCTTCCAGCCCGTGTTGCCTCCTGTGCACGTTGGCCAGTGAAACGATCGTCTCCACGTGATTCGGCAGGTTCATGAGTATCGCTTCATGGATTGCTACGGCAATGTCGGGTCGGTCTTCGGATTCCTCAAACTGGGCGTAGGCGAGGCGGATGGTGGGTTGCGATATTGGGACGTAGAGGAAGCTCGGGCGTTGGTAGATGTTACGCACCTCCTCCTGCTTCGGACCCTGCGCCAACATCCATCGCGCATAGCGAAGCCAAAATTCCTCGTAGTTCGCGGCAGTCACCAAGCAGCGCTCGTAGAGAAATTTGGTGCGAATGTAGTCGCCCTCGGCCTCTTCAAAGTCCAGGTATCTCCTCCAGTTGGCCAGCTGTGGCTCATCGAGTTCGGTGACGTGGAAGTAGGGTCGCTTGATCTCCTGCTCGTATGTCCAGCGCTGGGTGGTCTGCTCTTGCGTGCGATGGAAGACTTCAGCATGGTAGCTATTGATGCGAGCTCGCAGTTCAGCCTCCAATTCATTGGGCTGCTTAGGAGCTCCGTCTGCACCAATTTCGTGCTGGTACTGAGCGATGAGCTCGGGGGGCGCAAGCTCTTCGATGGGGCGCTTGGCGGCCATTGTTCGGTATCGCTCACCGTAGCGGGCATATTGGTGCATGGGGATGTTGATGATGCGGCCGAGGATGGCAAAGATGCGCGCCTCGGTGTCATGCGTAGCCAAGCGTTCCTCGAATTCTAGATACTTGTCCCAGAAAGGATGGGCGTGAAAGTCCAACCCGACGCTCTCAGCACCGCGCTCAAACAGTCTGGCCGACAGGTTAGCATAGCTGTTGCGAGGGATAAGTGGGGTGGGATGGGGTGGGGGTGGAAGAAAGAAACTTGGGAAAGGAGGGGCGAACATTGTATGGCTGTAGGCCGCAAAGGCAAGGAAGAAAAGAAAACCAGGCTCGGAAACAGCGGGTGCATGGTAGGGACTCGAAGGAACGAGGCCGCCGATGAAAGGGGCAGCTCTGGTAGGTAGAAGTGAGACACGCGCAGTGAGCGTCCATTGGGTGGAGGACCTCACCAAGGATACCGCCGCAGGACCATTTCAGCGCACAATCGAGTGCCGACCATCCATGCCGCTACCACCCGCTACCACCAGTTAAGGGCAGGGAATGGGGAAGGGGAGGGAGGGGCATGCTCGCAAACTTACTCTCGGATGACATCGTAATCATGGCTGGTCTCGACCTTGAAGCCGCAGTAGTTGGTCCAGAGGTCGACGGAACTGGCGATGCTGGCGACTCCGCGTTCGTAGACCTGCACGTGCATGTTCAGCGGGAGGTGTCTTTCATGCGCACGCCGGGTATCTCACCATCTCTGCCGATTCAGTGCCTGCAATGGCAAATTCCATGTCTGCATATTTCTTCCAGTACCCGAAAAAGAGGGGAAAGTGAGCGAGGAAGCGGTCGTAGACATCGCGGGTGGAGGCGATGGCGCCGGGGCTGGAGTTTCGGTGCAGCCCTCCTTCTTGTGCTTCGGCGGCGGCGATGAGCTTCTCCCAGTGTTCGTACGATTCGGGTTCTTCGAGCTGGAAGGCGGACTGCGTTAGCCGGGGTCATGTGTGCTGAGATGCGCAAGGTGAGCTTCGTACCACCTGCGCGTTCAACTTGAGCAATTCAGCGTCTTCGCTGAAGCTGAAGTCGGCCATTGCGGCCAGCGGTTTGCGATGTTGGCGCCAGAGGCAAAAGTCGATTGGATGAACGCGTTAGACCGTCAGGAGCTTCAATCGCATGCTCGCGATCTGTCGCTTGCGTGAATGGAGTCAAGGATGTTGTTGGTGATGTTGCAAAGGTGAGCTTGAGTGAGTGCTTGGCGAGAAAGTTGAAGCGTTCGGCGATCGGCGGAAGTGTTAGTCAGCATTCGAGACGCTCGGGCCTGCAAATCGAGGAACGTCGGTGATGGGCATGGAAATGCCTACATATCGAGAGCATAAGCCAGGGTACGGGAGCAATGATTCGAGGCGGTATGTCAAGTACATGATACGAATGGGAACAGCCCCTTTGCTATGGGACTGTCTTCTGCCCAGAGTCGATTCGTGCTCTCATTCCACAAGCACCATCTTACTCATGATCCATTACAGAAGCTCCATGGTAGCAGGAAAGTCTTCGGTAGTCGTTGACGAGTCACCATCGGTAGTGGAGATGTCTCAAAAAAAGGTATGTGCGCCACAGCCCTGATCAGCAGTCGAGGGTGACATCTCCGTCCAAGGCCATGTTTGGCAGAGTGCAAGCGAGAGAAATCCCGTTTGAATTTGCAGTCTCCAGGTCCAACCTCAGGGTGGCTTCTGTGCAGCAGCCTGGCCTGCGTCGCTCGGCTCAAGAAAGGCGAGGAACCCACTTTCCCCCACCGCCTCCTTCGCAGCCTCCTCCAGCAAGATGCCCATCGCGATCAACGCAGTCTCGTCCAGACTCCTGAACTCCTCCCCGTCTTCGTCGGCAGTCGTAGCAGCGTAAAAGTCGGATGCATAGGTGTGGATCGTCTTGAGCAAATCGGAGTCGGGGAGTCTTTGATCTGGTGTCAAATGTCGATTCGCGAAGTAGATGTCGTCTTCTTCGTATCTGACGGGTGCGCCTTTCCGTCGAAATAGAACTTCCTCTGGAGGCACTGATGTAGTGCTGTGACTGGCCGTGTCCCGGTACTTCGACGGTTGTGGTGCCGTCAGAAAGCCTTCGTAGCCTGCGCGGCCGGCGACTGCATCGTATACAGTAACAGGCCTTCTTCTTTTCCGCTCTGGCACGGATGTGCGTTGCGATGATGTCATGTCTGCAGGTTCATGTTCGTTCCTGGTGGCTCGTATCGTCTCAAGAGATAATACCAAGCGGAGTTCAGAGGAGAACTTGATGCCTGAGGTCCTCGGAGACGATGACTTTTGGCAATCCCGAGCGAGCGCCACCTTCACTTCACCTTTGCCTCACACCTTACACCTTCATCCTCGTTGTCTGCTTGCAAGCATTCCTCGCCTTATTCGTGCGCAAGAGCTCACTGTATGTGTGAACAAACATGAAGTGGACTCATGAACGCCTACCTCCTTAACCGCCAACTGGGTTCCATCAGTCCTCAAAGCCTTGCCGATGCGCAGAACAATCGCCTGTTGCGCGCGTTGCAGCTCGCGCCAGGCGTCAAATTCGCCTTGTCGGGTGGAAGTCGCGTGAATAATAACGCGCAAGACGTCTCCTCCAACGATGTGGAGAATGACGCGCATTCTGCCGGTGTGAGCAGTCTCGTTGTCGACCCTTTCGAGGGACGATAGTAGGTTGCCTTGTAACCTTAACATGTGTTGGCCGAACATTGATTAACGAGCTGGCTCACAGTCTTCTTTCTGCAGGAGCCGACTCGTCTGTTGCGATATGGGACCTGGAAAGCAATGACTTCGAATCAACGCCTTCGACTCTCAATACACCCACTGGCTACGCTGTAAGGTGTGACAATGCCCTTCCGCCGCTAAGTCGCCACTGACTAACGACTTCCAGAACATCGACAAAAGCAGCACTCGGAATCACCCACATCGGCTTCTACCCCTTCGACTCCCTGGCCTTCCTGACAAGCGGCTACGATCATACGCTCAAACTCTTCTCCTCCGAAACCCTCCAGGCCTCCGCATCTTTCGACCTCGACTCGATCGTCTACTCACATTCCGTCTCCTCCATCGCCTCGCACCTTCTCGTGGCCTGCGCCTCCCAACACCCCGCCGTGCGACTCGTGGACCTCCGGTCAGGAGCAAGCACGCATTCCCTCGCTGGCCATTCTGGCTCCGTCCTCGCCGTGGTTTGGCATCCCAAGGATGAAAATATTCTTGCCAGTGGCGCTACGGACGGCTGTCTTCGCCTCTGGGATGTCCGTCGTAGTGCCAGTAGCCTTGGAGTTCTGGACATGGAGGATAGCATTGGGATTACTGGGTATGATGGGCGCGGCACGGGCGCGAGGCGGAGAGAGCGGGGCAGAGCGCATAATGGCGCGGTCAACGGAATCGCATGGACGGACAATGGGCAGTATCTCGTGTCTGTGGGCCATGACGAAAGGATGCGGGTGTGGGATATGATGACTGGCGCCAATACCCTCGCGAATTTCGGGCCGGGCTTGAAGAATGCGCATACGACTGCTCTGTTTCCGCTCTTGGCGCCGAGTCATCTCTCCCCCGCTGGGCAGGAGGTGGTGTATTACCCCAATCCGCGGGAGGTTCTAAGCTTTGATCTGCATTCCGGAACGTCACTGGGTCGTCTACGCACACCTGGACCGCAAAGCACAGCCATGTCGGGTTTTGGAGCTCGGAATGTAAAGGCGCGCACCACTTCGCTGGCTTGGCGGGCCCATGACATTGAAATGTATTCCGGGCATGGAGACGGAAGCATTAGATGTTGGAAGCCACGGACGTGGGAAGACGCGGAGGTGGAGAAGGAGGAGAAGGAAGAGGATGGTAGCGCGGACAAGGAAGAGGAGAGGAAACGGAAGAGAGAGGAGTTGGACGAGATTGTGCGAGATTTGACCAAGAAGAAGACCACGTTTACGTAGGTAATACTAGTCGGGGTCACTTCCCAGGGGTGAATGTACATCTAGATGTACAATTTACGACTCCGCGCTAAGAACGTTCAAAAAGGCCTCCACAACGATGCAGACCCTATCTCGGCCACTTCTTCCATCCCCGTCCATGCCCTCTCTCCTTCCACAACCGAATCATCTCCGGCATACCCTCCATCGCCTTCCGTCGATCCTCCATCCGCGTCCTCAAACTCCTCTCCCACGTCTTTCCCTTCGCCTTCTTCCCGCTAATGGGCAAAAGCCCGGTGCGCGCCGCGCGCAAAGCCCGCTCCATCCGCTTCTGCTCCCGCACATCGGGGTGTTTGGGCGAAAGCGGCATCAGCGGCAGGACATGATGGGTTTGGGCGAGTTTGAAGAGGTCTGCTTGTCGGCGAAGGGAGTAGTGGGGGGAGTGCCAGTTGCCTGTTCGCGGGTTCTTGAAGGGTAGGAAGGGATTGCGTTTGATTGGGCCGTCGTTTGTAGGCCAGGTGGTTTGTGGGTCGGATGTAGGGACTTCGGTGGAGATGGAGGCGTTGGGGTCGGATGGTGATGTGGTGGATGCCGTTTCGATCGATAAGGATTGTGCGGTGGACGAGGATATTGATGGGATGGCACTTGTTGCTGCGACCACTTGAGGCGGTGGAAAGCGTTTGAAGAAGTTGAGGAGGCGAGGGTGTAGGGATTGCGCCAGGCGGACGTGGGACTCTATTGCAGCCGCCATCTTGAGAGGGAGTCGAGGGGTGATTCGGACAAAGATCACGAGAAAGAGAGAGCGAGCTTTGCAATGCGGTGGATGATCGTGGATGAGGACAAAAGTCGTGGCCAGCTTTGCGGCGAAGGTTCGGGGATGGCGGCTTGGCGGAACGACAGCTTGAGCTGCGCGTCAAGTCGTGCCTGATGAGCACGTCTTCGACCACTCACTCCATCTCTGCCCTCCTCGCTCTCTTCTCCACAATAACACCGTTTCTTGCCCACAACACCTCGACCACGACAACATCTCCGACCATCACGCACCCTCTGCTGTCCTCACACTAGGAAAAAGAGAGGCGCGAAGAGGAAACAAGAACAAACACCCGCAGCCATGTCTTCGCCATTTGCCATCAGTACGTTCACCCCCACGCCAGCAACAGCCATCCCAATACTGACAACATCTCCCAACAGACGGCGGAGCATGCGTAGCAATGGTAGGCAAAGACTGCGTCGCCATCGCCTGTGACCTACGCCTCGGCCTGCAAGCCCTGACCGTCAGCAACGACTTCCCCAAAATCTTCCCCTACGCCCCGCAATGCTATCTCGGCCTGACCGGCCTGGCCACCGACGTCAGCACCGTCTCCGAGCTGCTGCGCTACAAAGTCAACATGTACCGCCTGCGCGAGGAGCGCGACATCAGCCCGCAGACGTTTGCGAATCTCGTCAGCAGTAGTCTGTACGAGCGGCGCTTTGGGCCGTGGTTTGTCAGTCCCGTTGTTGCGGGCATCAATCAGACCACTGGTGTGCCTTTCATCTGCGGGTACGTCAGCACATTAGCTCCTCCTCCCATCCCCTTCTAACCAACGGACGCAAACAGCTTCGACAGCATCGGCTGCATCGACTTCGCCAAAGACTTCATCGTCTCCGGCACCGCCTCGGACCAACTCTTCGGTACCTGCGAAGGCCTGTGGGAGCCCAACCTCGCGCCCGACGAGCTCTTCGAAACCATCTCGCAAGCCCTCCTCAACGCCGTCGATCGAGACGCCCTCTCCGGCTGGGGTGCACACGTCTACATCATCGAGAAGGACAAGGTGACGAAGCGGTTATTGAAGGGCAGGCAAGACTGAGCGCTTGGGGAGCTTGGGGAAGAATTACAACTTTTACAGCGTGCATTCGGTAGCATGGCGTGGTGTTTGAGGCGGCCACATGTATGGACAATTGTATCGAGTGAAACAACTCGCTCCGATTGCCAAATCTGGCCACACACCCTCAGAACGACAGTGATGGCTTTCAGTAGTGAGGAGAAGAGCCGAAATGCCTCATTATAGGTATGTTGACAACCGAAAAGATGCCGATGGCAAACTCCATCGAGCTCTAGAACAAAACTCAAATGCAATCCCAAAACACCGCCGCCATGCTTCATGTTCGTTTCGCGTTCCCTGGAATCCACATCCTGAGATAGACCACGAGCTCACCCCCGAGCTTCCATCCGATCCCAAACCTTCTGATACCTCCATCTCACACTCTTTGGCAGAATCTCCACCACCTCCTGCACCCTCGCGGCGTCAAAAGGGAGATCCTCTAGCTTCAAGGCCTCCAGAACGTAACTGGCGACCGTCTGCGGCATCAGGGGTGGCTCGCGCAATAGATTGGCCACTTGTGCGCAGTTGAGGCTCTGGTGGTGCCACAGGTGCCAGGCGCGGAGACTCGCCGGGTTTGCTTTGAGATGATACTCAACGGGCAAGTCCTGGCGGAAGTTGCTCACCCATGCATCGGCTAGCGCGACTTCTGCGGAAGCTGGTGGGTGGCCCTTCGTGTCTGCTCGAGGCTTTTTGACATCGACTTGGAACTCGGCGTCTCTGCTGAAATGGCCAGGTGCATCCTGAGACGATTGCGGCATGGAGCGCTCGGACCCACTCGAGAGAGCAGAGCTTTGAGACGAATCGAGGTCGAGGGCTTCCTCCAGCTCCTCAAAAGACTCCTCATGCTCCTCCTCATCAATGTCTTCTTCAACCTTCTCGACCTCGTCGCGCACCTCGATTTTTCTCTTAGAAGGCTGAGGGCGAGGAACAGCGACCGTTCCGTCTCCCAGCATAATAGGCTTCTGGTCTTCGTAGAACGCCGGCCTTGTAGGCATGGGCTGCATCTTCTTCCGCTTCGCCTCTAGCGCATGATAAAGACGAAAGCCAGCGTACGCATCGGAAGCAGCATACTCCGTCTGCTCAAGCTGCAACCTCCGAGACCACGCACTGGTCCTGACATCGTCCTTTTTGAGCGGCAAGCCGAGGGTCTTGTGCACTTGATCCGCCAGCTTCCATAGTTTCCGGTTCACCAATTCCGGACTTGTTTCGCTGAATGTCACGAGGCGGTAGAGATGGCTGAGCTCGAACAGGCCTTGCATCTCAACGTCCAGACACTCGCGAAGCCGTTTGGCATCGCCTGCGATGTTGACGCCCGCTTTGACCACCGCACGAGACTCGAGGATCTGGCGAAGGGAGGGTGGCATCAGCTTATCCACAGTGTCGCCTTGAAAGACGGCGACGTGGAAAAGGCAGATTTTGTGCTCTGCCGCAATCTGAATGAGTGAGACATTCTGCTTGATGCCGGCTTTCGTCACGCTCGCCCAAGACTCCCATTCGATGTCGAAGCCGACGACAGGCTCGTCGAGGAACATGCGAGCTCGGCTTTCCGCTTGCTCGTAGTTGATGCAGTAAAAGACCGTCGGCGGTTTACCCTCGGCATTCCTGTAGAGCTTGTAGCTCCAGTAAGCGCCCATCGTGGTAGGTGAAGCTATGATGGCATTTCGGTAGACGTGGATTGGAATCTGATAGGTGAGCGGAGTGAATCGTTCTACATCTTGCGCATGCTTCTCGAAGGGTTCAGTTTCTTCAGCCCCGAGCGACTCCATGCTGGCGGACGGTGAGGACGAATCTCCTTCACTGCCTTGGTCGACAGCTGATGCTCGCTCCGAACTAGAGGCAAGATCAATGCTGTCGGCCCATTCGGACATCTCAGAGTCGTTATTGCTCTCGGGAGGATGTGAGTCGAAAGCTTCCAGCGAACCACTGGCATCACTTGCTCGATCTACATCTGAACTCACAATATGTGAATCAGGATCAGCACGTGTCGCTGGTCCAATTGAAAGTTTGCGCAATGCATCTCTAAGGCCAACAGGCCGAAATGCCAAAGATGAATCAACGGGAGATGTTTCGAGTGGCTCACTGGACTGGCGAGGCTTGGTGATTTCCGGAACGGCGTCATCAGGATCGGCATGCCAGAGCCATCGTGGTGCTTGGGAAGGAACGGAAGGTGTGAACTTCATCGTCTGTCCTGCGGTTGGCGGTGGTACTTGCAGTTCACCTTCGCCGACTTTGTTTGACGCTGGTGACGTTACGCCTTCGTTTTCGCTGACTCTGGTGCTCGCCGCGGATGAATCAGAGCTAGGTGGGTGGATACTGACCGCTGCCGTGCGTGCTCGCCTTCGCCGCGATTTTCGCACTTGATGAGGCGACAAGTCAGGCCCAGTCGCAAGACGCTCAGATTTCGCCTTCATGCTCGCTTTCAGTTTCAGAATCAGCGCATGGTACCTTGCGGCTTGGGTAACGTTGCCTTTGCGCTTGGAAATGATCCACTTTTCCGTGAATTTCGCAAGAAGAAGCTCCTGCACTTCCCTCGTGGCCAGCGCGATTTGTGACCGGATAGATTTCGCCAATTCGACATCCCCCGACGCCTCGGCTTGTATGGCTTCACTCTTGAGCTCCCTGAGCTCGATCTCCTTGGCTTCTTGACTCTCCGGGGAGGATCGCGATAGTCGAGCAGCCTTCAAAGGCCTTGGCCCGATCGACGAAGACTTTGAGAACGCCGGACGCGCCAGTAGTGGTTGTTGAGCGGACGACGGAGGCAATGCCGAAGCTTGTGACTCGTATCGTTGGATGCGTGGCGCTCTCTCGAACGCCGTACCCTGCTGAAACAGCGGTCGTTGCACATCTAGCTGCCTCTGCACATTCCCCGCACGCGCAAGACGACGACCACGCGGTCCTTCGGACGTTCCAATGAGGCCATCCTGACGGTCTTGAATGATCTTCCTGATCTCCTCGTCCCGCGCGGCCCTTGTGCCGGCATCTTCTCGCCCAAGGAGTGTCTCTAGATAAAATCGCTGCTGAACGGTCGATTGAGATTCGCGCAACCCTTTGACGACCTCGGTGACTCGATCCCGAAATTGGTCTCGTTGAGCACGTTCCGCTTCACTGGCCAGTCTTGCACGACCCTGGTCACTATATGCAAGCATGCTGAATGCGTGCGTCGCTCGCTCCACCAAAACCTGCATATTCTCAGACTGCACGAGCACCTCTTTGTCCATATCAGGTGCATGCACCATGTCCTGAGCTGCCGCCAGCCTGGCGTGAGTCGTGGCGAACGGTCGCATCTGTTGGAGCCCTTCTCGTAATCGTTTTAAACGTTGCGCTCCTGATGGTGGGAGATCCCGTGACCCTAATTGCTCATCGATCGCCTTTATTTGGTATGCCAACCATTCAGGCCACAGGCCTCGATAGAGAAGCCTTTGCTGATCATGCCGCGTTGCACCTCCGTCGAACTTGTGAAAGAGTGTCAAACGGCGAGAAGCATGCCCCATGTTTTCCGCGAGAGCACGCTGTCGATGGAGGGCAGCTTGCACCTCTGAAAGCTTGTTGATTTGCTCGAAGAGCGACTCAGAGCGGGCCGAAAGGAGTCGCGCATAGGCCGAATCCAATCCTTCATACTTGACATGAAACCATGAGTGGATGTCTGTACCCTTGTATGAGGCTGCGCGCTTCTTCCACTCTATCGCAGATGCTTCGAGATCCTTCTTCACCTTGATAGCATTCCGATTGGAGTCATTGGTCTCGGTGCTCAGGGGTTCCCAAAGTTTCCTATAGGTTCCGTAGTCTGCACGTTCCCCGGTGGCCCGTCGATGAGCGGCGGAGCCGGGGAGCCCTCCTTTCTGTGCGTCGTCGAATAATGCTTGATATTGAGCGGCGGAAGTATCCCTAGCTTCTCGGCGAGCTTCGGTAATGGTGTCGGAGAGCTTCATCTCCTGTGCCATCAGGCTGTACTCCAGTGCGGCTGCAGCCGCCTCACGTTTCCGAATGCTTTCTCGCTCTTGCTCCATTACCTCTTCGTTGGTACGCCGCTCCCGCTCCAGATGTTGCTCATTCTGGAGCCGCTCCTTCTTCACCGCTTTCTCGTTCTCACGGTGCTCCTCCTTGATCAGGAGTCGCTCTTTTTCCACCTCTTCATCGTCCTTGCGACGTCTACTTTGGAGCATCGCTTCGTTCTCTTGAACGCATTGCTCCCACTTTTCAATCACCGGCCGGATCTCCACTTCACGTCGCGTCCACTCGCTTGTCCTCTGAGCCAGATCGTTTTCTTCGAGCGCCAGCTTAGTTTCCCGCTCTGCCAAGTCGCTACGTCCTGCTGCCAGCTCTCGTTCCCGCTGAGCCAGGGCAGCTCGCTCATCTGCAAAAGCATCTGCGAGAACATCGTTATTTTGCGCGCGTAGCTTTTCCTTCTCCCGAGTGACTTCGCCTCGCGTCTCATCCAGTTCCTCTTGATGTTTCTCCAGCAGCTCCACAACTTCCTCTCCATGCTTCTTCTCAATACTTTCCAAACTCAGTCCATATTCTTGCTGTACAGCTTCGATGGCTGCATTGTGCCCCCGTTCCATTTCACGAACGCTCGCATTGTACTGCTCTTGCTGATATTTCAGAGCCCTGGCGTGGCCGGTTCTCAACGCCTCAAGTTCATCTTCGTGTTGACGGCGCAAGGCTGCCTCGTTGGACTTCGCCTTCTCTTTAGTCTTGTCGTGCTCTTGCCTTTCCTGCTGATACTTTTGCAACAAACTGCCACCTCCACCTTCAACCCCGGGGAATTGGAAAGTATTCAGCGCACCGGTTGATCGCGGTTCTCGTGAGGTGGATGCAGCTGGTTGTTGTGCGGCAGGCGCAGCGGAGGGCTTGGTAGGCGAAGGCTGGGGTGCCGTTTTGTTGCCAAAGGGGGAACGCGTGGCGTAGCCTCTACGGCTATCCACGCCGCCTGCAAACACAATGCCATTGCTGGACTGCCAGGTGTGGTCTTGGAGGGAGCTTCGGGTGGCGTTCTGAAAGATGATGCCTCGAGATTGATCCCATCTTCTATCGATCGGTCGCGTGGATGGGAGACGCAGGGCCGGGTTGAGAGGAGCGGCCTCCATAGTCGATAGAATGCTTGGTGGTGTTCTTCGCCCGCCGGTGCTGCTGCTGCTCTCTGAATGTCGAGGTCGCCTTCGAAGGAGTCTCTGGACGAAAGAGGCGTCCTGAAGACAAGGACGCGGCGCAGACATGCCAGTCCATGTCTCTCCCACAATCCACGGCCTCCTCTAGTGTCGAACAAGCTGGCAACCACCGGCAGTCTGCATCCAAGATGGCGGCGTGTCGTCCAATGGAAATGTCGAAGAGGGTTCAAGCTCCAGGCGGCAAGGCGCCTGCGCCACCCGAACAGCCGCCGTGTGGCTAGTGACCGCAGTGTGGCTGACTGTCCGAATATCAGGAAGAAATCCAGACGGCCACCTCCAACAAACCTCTAGCACACATCCTCCAACCCCTCAACAATGGCGTCGCAGCTTCTTCCCCTCGAGCTGATCGACCGGTGTGTCGGATCTTCCATCTGGGTCATCATGAAAGGCGACAAAGGTCCTCCTCATCCCGGCAGACTCCTCCGCTTCTTCTTCACCTACTGACATCTGCGCAGAGTTCAGCGGCACTCTACTTGGATTCGACGACTTCGTGAGTACGTAAACATCCTCCATGTCCATACCTCTGGACGAGCGCTAACAATGGTGTGTCTAGACATGGTGCTCGAAGACGTGACGGAGTAGTATGTCCCCGCAGACACGGACCGGTTCACTCGCGTACAGCTAATCCAAGATATTAGCGACTATTCGGGCGCGCAAACGAAACTGCCCAAGATCTTACTCAACGGCAACAACATCTGCATGGTCAGTGGCGTTCATTGCGTTCTGTAGAACCGCACTGACTCCATTCTAGCTCATCCCCGGAGGCATGCCAGACGCTGAAGAATGAGCTCATTACAGAGTAGCATGAGCCGTCGCACGTGGACGCAGACTCTAGAAGGCATGGCGACGGGAGCTGCATTCAAATTCTGCGCATCTGCGGAGGGAGGCGCAAGGGCAGCGCTTACTTTGCTGTAACGCCGCGGCACCGCAACGCAGGACGAGAGATGAGGCATGTGCAGTCTCGTCAAACGAGCTTGTGCGGTATCCATAGCCTAGATGCCACGCCTGGTCAAAGAAGCGACACAAACCACCTGCACCGTTCCTCTGATTACATGGCCTCCACTGCGATGATTATAGTTTCAACGTGCTTAGATTTCAGATCGTACAAGCAAAAGGGTATATAACGTCTCACCTCCCCAGACTCCTCTCAGTAGACGGCGTCCCATCCACATCCTCATCGCTGTCATCGTCATGCAATTCAAAAGGCTCCCCGTCGAAATCCAAGGAAGGCCGCAGCCTCCTCTTAGCCTCGACAGCATCCAAAGCCGCCTCGTCAAACTCCGCGACATCATGCAACGCAATCGCGCGATATGCCGGCCCGCCTCGACCCCGCAACCTCGCGGCCCACTGACTCCCCAGGACGCCGCGGCGCATGGCCCACGCGACCGCAAGACAGAACACGCACCCCACCGCCGCGCCGCCGGCGAAAATCGCAAACCAGCTGTGCCCCAGCCAGCCTGCACCCTTGGCCACGGGATTGAGAAGCCACGCATGCTCCGCCGCAACAGCCGCTGCGTCCAGCTCGCTGACATTCACGGTATCGAAAATCTTCGACCGCCCGAACGCCAGCTGCTTCCCGTTGCGGTCTAAAGCCTGCACATGTACGTACTTTGCGTACCCGGTGTACGACAGGGCGGTCTCAAAGCCTGAGCGGGGCTCGTCGGCCAACTCGACGAAGATCGCGCCGGCGACGTCGCTTTTGTAGAGTTTCCATCGTGCTACTTCCGTCGCGCCGTTCCAGCTGACGTGCACGGTAGTGACACATGTGCCGTCGGCGGCGGTCGAGGCGGCGGAGTAGATGTCTGGGGGATAGTCTGGGGCGGCGACGAAAGCGAACTTGAATGCACGATACGAGCCCATGTTGGGCATTTTGGTTTCCAAAGCGGCCTGCATGAGCAATGTGCCGTCCTCGGCGTGCTCAGACTGCAGCGCACGCTCGGACCAGCCGACGAAGGCGTTGCCGTTGGGCAGGGTCTGGTAGTTCCCACGGCGGAAGGCATGGTGGTGGGAGGGATGGTCGTAGCTGGCGATGAGTTCGGCCGTCATGGGCTGCGTGTCTTCGCGGAGGGCGATTTTCAGCGCGCGGCTCCACTTGCTCGTCGCCGGTTGCGGGTCGGCGCCCATGGCGTTGTCCAAGAGGCTGATGATGGTGTGGGTGGCGTTTTGTTCGTGGAAGCGCGCGTGATGCTGGCGGGAGAAGTTGAGGTTGCGCGCCATTTCGAAGTCGCCTCGTGGGCCGCCCAAGCCGTGGAGACGCCAGATGATGGAGCCGTCGTCTTTGGAGATTTTGTAGAGGGTGTCGGAATGGCGGGTGGAGAGGAGATAATTGCCATCGGGGAATTTGTCAATGGCGTTGGAGTGACTGTATGCAGTGTTAGAAGTGGGGCAAGAAGATGTGAGGGGGAGTGGCGCTTACAGGAAGTCCCAGTGCTCCCGACATCTTCGCTCCACCGGGGAGTAGTCCATAGTACTATCCGACAAGGGAATTTTGCCGGTAGCGTCCCATTTGAACAGTACGTCCTGCGTAACGGCATCCCGCTCCTCAAAGCCGGGGAAGACGAGAAAGCACTCGCCATCGTAGCCCAGCTGCTCGAGGGCCATCTCCCTCGACGCGTACGTGATGTTGCGCTGGAGATAGAGGTATTTCCCGCCGTCCTCGACGGTATGAAAGTCATGCATATTGAACACCGAGCCCGAGTCGCCGGTGAAGACGGTCTCGCGCACGCGATAGTGCTTGTCGAGGAGGTATGCTCTGCCTTCCTTGGCGTAAAGCATGGACAACAACTCCTCGCCTTTGACTGGCAAGATCTTGAAATCCATCACGTTGATGTTGTTGAACATGTGCGACCCGCTCCACACCAGCTCGCCGTCTCCATCGTAGATATGGGGGCCGATCCAGGACGCCTCGGGCTGTGTGTTGCCATTTATATCGTACGGCGACACGAACCAGTACCCCGGCGCCAATCTGTCCTTATCGAAGACCTGGACCAGCCATCGCAGAGGCTGGATGTCCGGGCGGGAGAGGTATGTTTGGACGCCAAGGGGCACAGGGGTAGTCGGGGAGGCATGTTGCGCGAAGCAATAGGAGAGGGATGCGAGGGTAACGGAGAAGAGAGGGAGGAGGGGGCGCATGGTCGCGCGCACGCTCTCTGGGAATAAGCAGTGCGCGCAACGCAAATGAAGAGATGCAAGACGTGATCGCCTACCGTGGATTGCGTGGGCAGACAGATACACAGCGCGGGAGCGAAGGGCGGCGTGTCGCCATCTCGACCTCCGTACTTGGCGGAGGAGCTAGGACGGAAAGGGCACAAGCGAGGGCGAGCTGGAGCCTGAGGTTCCATCGATGCCGAGCACCACACAGAACCGATGCACTCTCATCTTCGCCGTCGATTTCGTGCAGAGTCGAGTTGAATGAGATGCGAGGAGACAGACAAAAGTTGGGGGCGGACCTTTCTTTTCTATAAGGAGGCGTTGAGCACCCACTCTGTCATCATTCCTGCCGCTGCCGTTTCAGCGTGGAATGGTGCAGGGACCATCGGTTTGCTGATGTCAGTCTTTGCTGCTCTCTCAATGGCCTTCTCGTACCTCGCATATCCACCTCGCATACACTCCTGCCGCGCGTCGGGCTCTCCATCGTCAACACGTCTCGTAGTGTAAGGCGTCTTTTGTGCCGCATTTACACATGAGCATGTACCAAGGCCACAGGACTCGCGGCCTTGTGTGATGGTGGACTCGGTGCGAGCTCCGTAACAAACAAAACATTCCCCATGAATGTAGAAAAGGAAAAATACCTTACCTTCCGCTCGCACGTTCCGAGGCTAGATATGATCGCTTCGATGCAGATACGTACGAATCATCCGGACGGAAATGAAGGGCACAGGCGCAGCCTATGCATCCTGATCTGCCGTGATCACGTGGCCTGCCTCTATCCTTCAACTACATCTCGAGACACGTACTGCTCCCAATACTGCTCTGACAGAAAACATTGAACCAAGCAATCTGCTCGTAAAGTCATTCGACGCATCCAAGATGCACGTGGGTGGTCTAGATGGCTAGCAATCCACGAGAAATGCCCCTGGCATACATAGCAACCACGCTCCAACGCAGCCGTCTGCGTGATGGGAATTCGCGAGAAAAGGAAACCCGCCTTGAGCACGTTGCCAGTGTGCGTTCATCATCGTCATCACCATCATGCGTACACGACGATGACCCTCCCATGCCTCTCCTTGCCAGGCTATTCGTCCTGCGCGTAGAGGTGTTGCGCGAGTAGCTTGTTCATCGTGAACATGTGCACGCGATCCTGCTTGAAGACGGCCCTCATGGCGTCGTCGCATCGGATCTGTCGCTTGTCGCTGGGGTCTTGTAGGTCGCGCTCCTTGACGTATTCCCAGATCTTCTTCACCGTCTGCGGGCGTGACAGCTGCGCGGCGCCCACGAGTTCGGAGAGGGGTGTGGATAGTGTCATTGGTTTCTGGTGTCACGTGCGTTAGTGTCGAGTGCAGAGACAGTTGAGATGCGTGTCTTACGTGGAATCCTCCCTTTCGCTCCTTCTCCGGCTTGTCCGAGTCGACGTCGCTATCCTCGTCACTACCCACTTTCGCCTTGCTCTTTTTCTTCTTCGGCGTCGCGCCCTTCTTCGCCACGGCCTTTTTCCGGGTTGTACCACCACCGCGCGTGGAACGGGCAGCCTGTGCGTTGAGCTCGGCCTGCATGCGCTTGGCCAACTGCTCGTCGGTCTCGACAGAGTCATGTGCGGTCTTCACCTTCTTCGCCGGCTTCCGTGGCGGTGAATCGGCGACATCGCTCATGTCTTCGCTGTCGGACGCTTTCCGTTTGGGAGGCGAGGCAGAGGGAGAGTCATTGTCCGCGTGGCCGGCGTGGCCATTCGCAGTGGGTGCAGGCTCGGGAACAGCTGCGCTGCTCACGTCTTGCCCGCGCTGGGCAAACTGATCGAAGCGGGCATGGATGAGGTTGTTGATTGCGTCCTGTTGTCCTCCGTCAGCCATGTTGCGGGGGCGGCGGGGTGGTGAGCAATCCTACCTTTTGATGAGAGATGTCATAGTCCACGCGCTCCTGCAGACCCTTGCGTATGCGCTTGGCAGAGACGGTTTCAAGGTCGGAGGATTGGAGGATCGAGTCGATGATGGCGCTGTACGCCGCCTCTTGCTCGGGCGGCACTGCCGAAGGGGGGATGATGTTAGCGCCGCTGCGCCGTGCAGCTGACCGCAGAGGATCACTCACATGTTGCCTCCATGCTGGTTTGGCCTTGTCAGAGTGACTGGGAAGTAAGTGAAGCAGCGGATGTCGGTGCGAAAGGTGTTGCAGAAGCGAGGCCAATGGGCCTGGGGAAGAGGCGGTTTGCGCTACCGGCGGGCTTGCGAGGTCCAGCCACGTCGGCGGTGGGTCAAACGATGCAACGAGGACAGAGATGACTGCTGGCACTCGCTGGCACTTGGATGATGACTCGGATGCCGGGGCAGTGGAAGGGTGACTTGTGAAGGCCTCACTAACCACCCGATCGATCGGCGCGTGACAGTGTGGGTTGCGATCTGCGCCTTCCGTCAATTCTCTCTTTCAGCCCATCAACCCCGTCAGGCTTTCGGCCCATCCCGGGGCGGAAGGTGCAACGGGCTTCCGAAGAAATCTTGGCACCAAATTCGAAGAAATCCACTCTCACCCAACCCGCACCACCACATATCGATCGCGCAGTCATCGCGTCCTGGGGCCACACATCCACTCACTAGGCACCCGCATCGCATCTACTAATCCCAGTCCCCCCTGGGAAGACTGTACACGCCAATATGGCGCCCTCATTTGAACAACTCGATCCGGAGGACGACTACGATGGCGAAGAAGAAATCGACTTTTCAGGTATGCTCATGTTGCCTCACGCGCCGCGCCCATCATCCCCATCTAACCTCACTCTTCAGACCTCCGCGAGCAATATGAAGTACGAATGGAAGAAGGCCTCGACACCTTCATCGTCATCGATGGCCTGCCCAAAGTCACCCCCTCGCAAAAGGACAAGCTCGTCAAGTTCTTGCTGCGCAAACTCACCTCCGTCGGCCGCACCAAAGAGGAGAATGTTTTCATGCCCATGAACGAAGCTGGTGAGGAGAGCGAAGGCTTTGCATTCGTCGAGTACGAAAGCCCTGCCCAAGCAGCTGCCGCCGTCAAAGCGCTCCACGGCACCGCACTCGACAAGCGCCACACCATCGCCGTCAACAAACTCACCGATATCGAACGGTATGGTCGGGAGGGCCGCATAGAAGAGACATACAATCCCCCACAAATTGCCGCCTTTGAGGAGAAGGAGCATTTGCGCTGGTGGCTGGGCGACGCTGAGGGTCGAGATCAATTTGTCATGTACCGTGGCGATAACGTCGGTGTCTTCTGGAACGAGAGTGCTGGCGCCCCCGAGCAGGTGGTGGATCGAATGCACTGGACGGAATCGTTCGTCCAGTGGAGTCCCAAGGGAACATACCTCACCTCCATGCACACCCAGGGTGTGCAACTATGGGGTGGCCCGAATTGGAGCCGACACAAACGATTCATGCACCCCGGCGTCAATCTTGTCGACTTCTCTCCTGATGAGCGCTTCATCACTACGTGGAGCCACCGACCGATGGAAGTCGAGGAGGGCAACCCCGTGCTCAGCCTGGAAGAAGATGGAAAGAACTACATTATCTGGGATGTCGCCACCGCCAAACCTATCCGCTCCTTCGTCACACTCGATCTGCCCGGCCCCACACAGGATGAAGAGGGTAACCCAATCAAGAAGAAGATCCAATGGCCCGCATTCAAATGGTCTTCCGACGCAAAGTACGTGGCACGCATGACTCAAGGCCAGGGCATCAGCGTGTACGAGCTACCCCGCATGAACTTGATGGACAAGCAGAGCATCAAGATCGAGGGGGTCATGGACTTTGAGTGGTGTCCTGCCCCGCCCCAGCGAGACAACATCCGGGAGTACGAGCAGCTCTTGTGCTACTGGACGCCGGAGATGGGCTCCAACCCTGCAAAGGTCGGCCTGATGTCCATCCCAACTAAGAACATTGTTCGCACGCGGAACCTCTTCAACGTCTCCGACGCCAAACTCCATTGGCAGTCCGAGTCGGCGTTTGTTTGCGTCAAGGTCGATCGGCACAGCAAGAGCAAGAAGACCACCGGGACGAATCTCGAAATCTTCCGGGTACGAGAGAAGGGTGTGCCGGTGGAGGTGGTGGACAACATCCCCAACACCGTCATCAACTTTGCTTGGGAACCCAAAGGCGATCGATTCATCCTCATCACCGCCGGCGAAGTCACGCAAGGCGTTGCCGTGCCGCCCAAGACTTCCGTCTCCTTCTACTGTCCCGAGAAGGTCAAGGGCAATGCCGTGGGCAACTTCAAGCTCATCCGAACGGTCGACAAGAAAAATAACAACGCCATCCACTGGTCTCCGGCCGGGCGATTCGTCGTCGTGGCCACCGTGCTCAACCAGCAAAGCTTCGACCTCGACTTCTGGGACTTTGACTTTGAGGGCGAGAGGGATGAGAAGGACAAGGACTTGACTGCCAACCTGCAGTTGATGGGCACGGCAGACCACTACGGTGTCACGGACATTGACTGGGACCCCAGCGGCAGATTCGTCGCGACGAGCGCGAGTGTGTGGAAGCACCGAGTAAGTCGTTGCTACTTTCATCCCTGTCGGACCATACTAACGCGCATTCGCAGATGGAAAACGGATACCACCTGTACAACTTCTCCGGCACACTGCTTCGCGAGGAGCCCATCGAGGCCTTTAAGCAATGGTCATGGCGCCCACGCCCGGAGCGCTTGCTTTCCAAGGAGGAGATGAAGAATGTGCGCAAGAACCTGCGCGAGTACAGCCGGCAGTTTGAGGAGATTGATCAGGCGAAGAAGTCGTCGGCCAACAAGGCTGTTGTGGAAGAGCGGCGGAGGCAGTTGGAGGAGTGGCTGGCGTGGCGCGAGAGGACGCAAGCCGATTTGCTTGAGGAGAGGAGGGAGCTGGGGCTGCCGGACTTGAGCGAGGAGCGGGAGGCGCTGGTTGTGGATGAGGCGGAAGGAGAGAAGGTAGTGGAAGAGATGTTCGAGGAGATTTTGGAGGAGCATGAAGAGGTGGTGGAGTGAGGAGAAGTGTGGTCATAAAGTGTTGAAGCCATGCATAAGGTACGCAGCTTTTTGCGATCGTCCATCTTTCATCCTGCCACCGCTCAGATCTTGACTCCGTCCACGAGGATCTCCACGCCTTCTTTGTTGTAGAAACTGACCAACCCTTCCACCCCGGAGCTTTCTAGGGGGCGCATTAGTCCAAGACTCGAGTAGAATGAGGAAGAGAGCGACTCACCATGTGTCGGGAAGGGGTAATACCACACGACATTCTCCTGCCGTTTCCCATTGACGTTCAAATGGAAGTACCTGCTCAGCACATCAGCCACCAACCCTGTCAACGAATCCAGGATACGAAAGCACATACGCAGCCTCGCCCTTATAAGGACACTCCGTGCGCCGCTCACTCTTCTCCACCATGCCCCAGTCGAGAATACTCGTGGCCGGCAGGTAGTAGGCGGGGTTGAGGTACGTCTCGCTCAGCAGCACGGCGACCTGCGACTCGGCGACTTTGGTGCCGGCGATGGTGACGACGACGTGCGCCGCGATGGGCGTCGTGTCGATGCGTTTGTACACGTTTTTGAGGCCGCGGAAGATGGCGCCGTTTTCGAACCAGGCGTCTGCACATTGCGGTCAGTTGGAGGGATACTTTCAACATATGAAGTTAGGAGGAGCATTGTCGTACCCATTTCCTTTGGCTCAAAGCGAATAAAGTCCTTGAAGGGGCCTTGCGTAAAGCGAGCCCAGGTCGTGCTGCGATCGCCAATGCTCAACTTCTCCACCGCCGCGGCCCAGGCGTCCGCGCCTTTGCCTTGCAACGTCTCGATCGTCTCGAGGCGAACGGCATCTTTGCTGGCGCCGTTCGATCCGTTCTTCGCCGCGCCGTCGTTACCTTGACCTTTAATGCTCGGGTGCAGCGATTCCACGGGCACGTAGTACCGGCCGTAGCTGCTGGCTGGATCCTCCCAGACCAAGACGGGTTTGGCGGCTAGGGTTGTTGCGACGATGTATGTTCCGGCGAAGGCGAGGGTGAGGTGTTTGGTGGCGACCATTTGGCGTTGGTGGCCTTTGGTGAGGAGCTCGGCGAGCGCGGCCTTGTCGAAGGTGGACATTTTGCTGTGTTTGACGGGATGGAGAAGCGGGGTGAGTTGTTGAAGACGCAATGTTGCTTTTGCCGTTGCGAGCATTCGAGTTAGATACTCGAAACCTCGTGGGGCATGCTGACAGACGTGTTGTATTTAAGCTCCAAATCAATGGCATGAGCTCGGAAAGATGATTACCAATGCGATCGTCAGCTTCCCCGTGGACGGCGAGATCAGGAAAGGACTTGCTTCCGAATGCAGACATCCTTCAGCGAGACGGTCGGCTGAAGTACAGGTACAATTACGGACTGTTCAGCTGCTCGGAGAACTGCTCTTTACAACTCGTCAAGCACGCCGTCCATGACGGAGTAGTCGCCTTCAAACCACACCGTACGTATCGTCCACGTCTGGAACTTCCACAGCCCGTCTTCCGCACCCTTCACCATCTCAACCTTATGTCTGGAACCTCCCACGAGTCTCCTGTTGCTTTGCGACCTGCCAGTCCCCGACGGATAGTGCAACGCCAGCGTATTCCCCGTCAAAGTCGCAGTATTAGCCGCATCGTCCTCGACATCAATGCGGATGTTCGTGACGAAGTGAGTGGAATCCAACGGTCCGACAACGCCGAGAGCGTGGGCTCGCACGGCTTCGATGCCCTGCCGTGTCTGCCCGTTGAAGTCCTGTGTCACGTCGGACATCATGGCTGAGTTGAAGAGGGCGCTGTCGTTCTCGTCCAGGGCGGACATGAGGCGGTAGAAGGCGTCGGCGATGGCTTCTCGCGGTGTCAGGCCGCGGAGTTGGATGGCGAGAGACAGGGTGGGGGACGTTTGGTAGGTAACAAGGGGTTTAAGGTGTCTATACACTCTAACTGTGAACAAATTGACGCCTCGATTTTATATTCCAATCACATTCGAAGCTGTAAGTGTTGGTGTGCTCGAGGAAATGGAGCGAGACGGACTCGCCCTCACTCAGCCTTACTCATCACACCATCCAAAGCATCGCGCAACCCAGACACCAACTTATCCAGTCCAGCAAACCCATCTTGCAAGATCTTGCGTCCTGCGAGACCATTTGCAAAGTCCAGCGTGTCTTTCAATGACCATTTGCCGTTTCTCCTTTCTTGTCGTCCATCCCTACATAATATCCCAAACAGCACGCCGGCGATGAAGGTATCGCCGGCACCTGTCGAGTCAACAATCGCGCGGTCGTCAACAATATACGCCGGACTGCAGACCAGTTTCTCATCGGGTGGTTGAGACGCGTTGGCGTTGTTCGAAGGCGGATTCGTATACTTCCAACTCCGTGCTGTTGCGCCGTGCTCACCCCAAGGACAAATCAGCGTCTTTTGCGGTGCGGGTTCGCATTCCTTCATATGTGAAAGATGGCGAGACTGCTGTTTCAGACAGTCCTCGGCGCTTGTATATCCTTGTCCACGAGCCCAGGCTTTGGAGTAGAAGACGACGTCGGCTTCATACGCAAGCTCCTGGAGTCCTTCTCTGCCGGGTTTCTCGAGCTCCACGGAGACGACGAGCTCGTGTGGAGGCACGGTCATGTCGGAAGGAGCATTGAAGAAGCCGTGAGAGCGTAAGTAGCGGATGCATTGGAGAGTAGTCTGAGGAATGCGGCCCTCGAAGTGAAACCACACTGTCTGTCGTTGTTTTGCTGCTGGTCCAGTTGCTTCTGCCGTTCGTAGAATCCCATCGACTGCCGACACGAATTCATCGAATGTCATCTCTTCCAGTGCATTGTGGTTGAGGATCGTGCGGGAAGATGTCGCCTGGCTGGCGATGATGTACGATGAAACCGCCTCTGAAGACTCCTCGCGGTATATGCAGTGTGAAAGGTCGACACGGCTACGTTGTTGCAGTTGATCAGACGCATTGCTACGCTTAGTTGTATCATTCTGCTTCGAAATGTTGGGCAAGTCGAAGGACGAGATCATCAACGAAGTGTCGGCAGATGCTTTGGCAGGAAGAGTCGCGATCAAGTAGAGTGGGGCATCAGACTCGCTATTCGATTTGTCCTGACCGTCGTTCTTTCCATGGTCGCTCTCGATGAGCTGCTGCAACACTTCCAGTGTATTGGGTGTGTTGCCGCCCCTGCGTCTCCGGAAGGACAGTGCCCTCAGCTTCGAGTCCTCTTCCGGGTAGTGAGGCATCGTCAATATCGTGTCGATGGCACAGGCGCCGACGCAGACCAGCATTGTGCCGGCCATCGTGGTTGAGCTGCGACTGGCGCGTGGACATGATGGTGTTGGGTTTTTACAAAGTGATGTGCCGATGAAGATGGACATAGGGTGGCCAGATGTGGCTCAGCACTCTGCCCCGCCGGCTCCGAATCCCAAGACGAGCCATGGGTATATGTGATGGGTATAGAATGTAGCCTTGCAATGGGGAGTGTTGGACATGCTGCGTCCATCTCTGCAGTCGTAGGCCTTAGGTTGCATCATAACGCACCACTGCGCTTCCTCCTCATCCGAAAGGCCTCCAAAATGAGAGCAACGACCGTGTCCTTGGTGATAGTCAATCCTCTCTCCCCACTCCTCTGCCCTCGAATCTCCTCCTCTGTCGCCCAAAAGTAATCCTGATGCTCATTCGGATCAAGCACAACCCTCTCCGCCCCTTGCACCTCCACCAAAAACGTAAAGCGACACCACGTCTTCGTCCGGTCCCGACTGCGGTACAAATCGCCCACATTGCGATCCGGCCCCGTGCACACGACATCGACGAAGCGCCGCGCAACCATCCCCGCCTCCTCCCAGAGTTCCCTCGCGGCGGCGTGGAGGATGGTGGTGTCGTCGGAGTCGACTGCGCCCCCGGGCATTTCCCACTTGTGCGGCAGCGAGTCGTGCGCCGCGCGTTGGATTATGAGCACTTTGCCCTCGCGGTTGAAGACGGCGCACGCTGTTGCTATCCCGTCCCATTGCTGGCCTTGGTTGCGGTGCGTGGCGTGCCAGTCTTTGAGGGGGCGATGCCATTCTCGTACGGCTTCGTCGATGGTGAAGGAGCCCAGGTCGGGGCGGGCTGATGAGTCCCCGTGAGATGCCATTCTTGGCTGTTGGGACTTGGGTCTTTGAGCCCAGTTTAGTGTTGCATTGTTTGGAGAGTAGCCATGTCTGCAAGTGGAGTGGGTGATTGTCTGCAATGTTGAGGTGATGGAGATCGGAGTCAGACAAGTGTGGCGCAGTGAGGATTCACATGCGCTATTTCAAACTTCTTGTGATTCAGAATATTACACGTCAGACAAGCAAGAGTCTCGAAGATAAAATCGATACCAGGCCCGTTATCAAGGCCATAGTGGAACGACTATCTACAAATCTTTCGCCAAACGCGCCACAGGCGGCACGTAACTGTTCCGCGCATACGCAACATAGTAAACGCCCGCAATGGACGCAACCCCAACATACACCGCCACCGCCCAGTTCATATTCGTCGTCGTCACAGGGATGAAAATGGGGAAAAAGGCAAAGACGGAAGCGACAATCAAGTACGCCAGGCCGACGACATTGCACAAAAAGCCGAACTTCCTGCCCGCGCTCCAGCGGCGGTAGATGAAGGGCTCGCCTCGCACGCGCTTGAGCAGGAGACATCCCAGGGATACCAGGTAGGAGGTGAGCAAAGCTACGATGCCGATGGACAAGATGGCGTTGAAAGCCGTGTCGCTGCCGAGGTTGATCAGGACCAGTAGAGAGGTGAAGATGCACGAGAAAGCGATGGCGTTGAGCGGCAGGTCCCAGCCTGGTTTCACATATCGCCAGACGCCGGAAAAGGGAAGGCCGCCGTCCCGCGCAAAGGCAAACATTTGCCGAGAGGCGGTGGCGACGTTGCTGATGGCGCTGCAGAATGTGAGGATGAGGATGATGCATGTCATGACGGAAGTGCCGGCATGGGATTGCGTGGCGTTGTAGAAGGTGCCGATGAAGGCGAAGTTGTACTTTGGGGCTGCGGCGGCTTCGATGGAGCCTAGTGTGTAGGCAAAGGTCACGATCATGATAAAGCCTGTGATGCCGTTGAGAAGGAGTGTCGAGATCATGGCCCATGGGAGGACCCGGGATGCGTCTCGAACTTCCTCGGCTGGGGAGTTTATCAGTACAAGCATGAAAGAAAAGATGAAAGGAGGACTGCTGTACCCATGTGAACTGCCGAGTCTGGACCAAGGAGAGCATAAAGCGGGCCTACAACCAGCGCAGTCAGAGCGTGCATCATCAACCGACGATCTTGTTCATCCATCAACATACCCAGCTGCCCAATCAAGGCGGCAGCACCGACTGACTGCCACCCGGAAATGACTTTGAAATCCAGCCACACCTCAGCACTGGTATGCCGAGGCGCAAAGACCCATAAGGGCACGAGAATGGCGAAGAAACCACAGATGTGGAGGACCAGCAGCACCACCTCGATCTTGGGAAGCTGCCGGGCGAACAAGGTGTTGAAAACGGCGCAAAGTAGGACCACTGCGAAGGTAATGAGGACAGAGTGCCACGGTTTCGGGACGTATGTTGCGTTGTTCAGAATGGCCAGGCCTTGGATTTCCAGGGCCACGGTGAAGCACTGTCCTGCAATGCCGGCCTGCCATCCCAGTACACAGAACCATCCTATACAGGCCGAGTGTCAAAGTCTGATCTTGATGTTATGATCGCAGCCGAGTCGCACTTACCGACTAAGTAGCTGAGTAACTTCTGCGATGACCTGGGCGCAAATTCCGACACCTAAGTCGACATCAGCATGATTTGACGGTCTACTCTCGTCGTTGCGAATTCCTACCCAGTGGTATTGACCTCCGCTCGTCGGCGCCATGGAGGCCACTGGTTCCCATTAGCATCATCATTGTCTTCGAAATCTATCCAAGGGCGCCGCGTAACCTACTCTCGGCCATGGTAACAATGGCGGCTCCAAGACCAATGAAAGTAACCAGGTACATCCTTTTGGTTTCGTCAGCGAGACATCAGCGATAGAAACATGGCCGCCACATACCACACCATCGTCGGAAGCCCTCCATTAGGGACGGCATAGCTGATAGCCCTGGGAGGAATTTCTCTCAGCAACGCGTTGAACGACATTCATTGGGTCGACAACTCAACTCACGAAAACACTCCCTCCCAGGTGATCATGAGCACAGCAGCAAATCCAAAAATCGGCACGAAGCTAAAATTGCGTCGCAGCTCTTGCATCTTCCCCATGCGATACATGTCTCGTCGGTCACCGGCCGTGCCCGCTTTCTCGGGCGGCAGACTCGTTTCCTCGAAGGTCTCAACGGCGAGAACCGTTTTCTTGTCTTCGCCATTTTCGTTGCCCATGGTGGCGGATGTTTCGAGCGGGGTTGAGGCTTCGAGGGATGTGTGTGGGTAAGTACTGTGCTGGGGTTCGAGATGCCGCCGAGCTCAGGAATATGTACAATGGTGACAAAGGGTTGAGATAGGGCGGATGTCACCTAACTTATACGCAGTTTCGCCGACGTTGCATTGCGGCGGCATCCTGGTTTGCGCAACGTGCAAAGGTTGTATTATTTCCGAGAGATGATCGTCGCACCGTGAGCTGCAACGAAAGATAGGGCTGAGGGGGGCTGGCGGGTCGCCGGCCTATGAGCTTCGCCGGGTCCGGCACTCTCCATGCCGCCCGCTTCTGCACCTTCTAGCGGGCATGTATAGCCTGTTCTGCAAGGGCGTGAACCCTCATTATCAAGCCGATATCTGTCGATCAACGACACCGCTTTCCAACACCGGATTGCGAAATTCCTAATGGGATGCCAGCTTCCGGGAATAATACCTGTATGTCGTGAGCTCCAATGCCGAGTCATTAATTCACGAATATCAAACGGCTCCGCCCGACATTAGCATGTCAAGGACCGCAACCATGACAGTGCAACACGGGAACTGCATCACCTCCAGTTCCGTTTTGAACCAGCTCAAAGCGTGCATGTTTTCACCGCCGCGCGCACTGGGCGCACTGTGCCGGCCCTGGCTGATGCGCGCCCACACCACCAAAGCGGCGTGGAAGGTCACAATTGGGAACCAAGTAGGACAGGCTGTGGCGGGGTCTGATCCCCGCTTCGCCACGAAATGAAGCACACTCCAGGCATGGTCGACCGATTCCTGACGCATGACATTCTGCCTGCCCCAGGCGTATAGGCTGGCGAGCCCGGGGGCACCGAGGGTAGCGTCGTGCGCCACGCGGCAAAGACTCGTCACACCCTTGCAGGAGATGTACAACCGAGTGTATTGGTACAGAGCTTGCAGGTCGCTGGTCAATGAGTCCCCATATACTGCATCGTACCGGTCCAGTGCTCTCCACAGTTGCTCCTCCATGCGATCGAGCTCTTCGCGCGCAGACAGAGGGGTGAAGGGGTTGTGTTGATACACTTCCGCCGCGGTTGCGTCCATGAAGTCACGATCTGTCCCGAGAGATCTGCGCATAGTGATGGCGTCGGACAGAATGGCCATGATCAAGAGGAAGCCTTGATCTCGAAGTACTCTGTCCTCGGGACGGGGGTCGGGAGGCGTGGGCTTCCAGGTTTCATTGCATAACTCGCGATACATTTTTTGAAATGGAACGGAAGAGAACGGACCGGTCGAGGAGATTTCGGAGGCCGAGAATGTGGTAGGATGATCGGTGTGGAGGGCCAAGAGAATGTCCCACAACCACAAAGACCACAGCATCGAACTACCTTACGGTCAGCACAATCCAAGTAAGGAGGTTTGCATGTTCCAAACCGACCTATAATGTGACACTTGCTGCGACCGTGGGCCGTCCAGATCCTCGGCATCCAGTAGTCTCATACGGCGGCTCATCTGTTGCGACTACGCATTAGTCAGGGTCGACCAAGTGCCACGACGAGAAAGTAGCGTACAGTGAGAGAGGAGGACAAGAGATATAGCGCTCTTGTCTGAAATGAGGGGTTGTTCGAGAGGATACCATAGGGAATGAGGAGGACGACCTCACGCGTGTTAGTGTGTTGCAGCGTATGGGTGCAGGGATGTGTCATACCGCCATCACCAGCTCCACTGAACGAGCGAAAGGGTTATAGACCTCTAGCATGACGATCCACAAGCTGGTGCCGGCGGCGAATAGATTGTCGGCTTCAGACGTGTCCGGCCCGCGTCGAGTGGCCGCCAGACACGCCGCGCCGTAACGGAGAGGAGCGCAAGCCTCCGCGGAGCTGGCATCGAGCGGGAAGTGGTAAGAGAGAGCGTAATGGAGACATCCTGCGTTGATGTCTCGCCATAGTCGATCCAGTGCATCGGGTTGCTGCAGCAATGGGAAGTGCTGGAGGGTAGCGAGAGGGAATGTGTAGTTGTGGTGAGAATGCCATTGCTGCCATTGTCAGATGCGAGGTTTCTGGGAGAAGAAAGGGGGTGTGGACTGCACCAGATCCCTCAGACTCGCGCGGAGAGGCCACTCTGGGTTGGCATTCACATCCTCACTCTCGAGCAGGGCGTCCTTGAAGTTCGACAGCATCTTCGCGTCGGGACGTTCGTTTGCCAACGCCACGTCGCTCTGCCCCGGAACGTGCTCACCCGGCCATTTCTGGGCACGGATGTTGGATGGATCCGCCATCACAGATCCTCCATTCTCGGCCATGTGGCCGTTCATCCTTGTCAGACCGTGTGCCTTAGCCGCACATGCCATCATCAAGCCAGCGACGGGCGTGGAAGAAATAGCCGGTGTGGGGCGGAAGGTGGAAGTGGGGCGGGGGCGGGGTGGGGGTGGAGGGCCAGGCTTCACTGCACCACTCCGCACTCCACTTCTTCCATCACCACACGATCCGGGGGTGTCTCGACACCCACGCCCTTATATGCCCGCCCAATGCCCTCAGTGCGGGCGTTCGTTCGCTCGCACAGAGCACCTAATCCGACATCAACGCATTCGTGAGTATAGTCACGCGCAGTGCTCTTTCTCGTCGTGTACTTCAGGCTGAACGCAAACCCCACCAGATTCCGGCGAACGCCCGTTCCCGTGTCCACAATGTCAGGCAGCATTCCAGAGGCCCGACGTGCTGGCTCGGCATATCGACAGGGTCCATGCGCCAGCGTCTGCCGGGCCGCCCAGGGACGGCGAGCGAGAACGCTCCCGGCTGGCATGCGACCAATGCCGCAAGCGCAAGCTCAGATGCAACGATGAGAGGCCGTGTGAGCCTTGTCTCCTGAAGGGTTTCACCTGCTCTATGTCTAGTACCAGCCGTCCCACGGGCAGACCTAGGAACTCTGCTTCAACCCCTCACCCCCGCACGACTCTGATGGATCCGACCACCACTGTCGCGAAGCCAAGCCCAGACCCGAGGTCTCACTCCACGCCGATGCAGCCAACTCCCCCGTCAGGGCCCCGTGAGACTCCAGTATCCCTCAGCGTTGCAGGATCTGCCGGATTCGGTGCGCAAAATGAATCGGCACCTCCGAGAGAAAGCGTGGCCTGGCCGAATCCCGTTCATCTCCTTATCCCAAGTGCGGCTGGCTCAACGATTCTTCCACCCACACCTTTTGGAACGGACGCCAGCACCGACGGCATGCAGTATGAAACTCCCGCTCCCAAGGACTTCCTCGATGATTTCGTATCTCTCACGGTAAGCTTACTATCGCCATGGGCAGCCCACGAATTCATAGCTAAACGCCATCTCTCAGGACTTTTTCACATTTTTCGACGACCCAGTAGATCTCTACGACGTAGGTTCATTCGCATTTCAGCAGCCTCACTCGATGAACATCGACTTCGATCCCGCCATGCTCAATGGCATCGAACTTCTGAAAAAGGAGGTGCCTTGGCGTCCACGAGCATCCCTTGATGCTCCAGATTGGTCATGGCACTCGGCACGACCACAACTCCACATGTATGATGACGAGATGATCAACGCCTTGCTCAAAGTCGCCAAGACCCACCTATCATCCACCTTTGCCCTTTTCGCGGACTTTCAGGCAACACATGTCACTCGGGTTGAGCTGTGCTTGGCTATGGCCGCTGTGGGCGCTCTCTATTGCACTATCCCCGACAGCAATAGAGTTGCAAAAATGTTATACAACGACGCTAGACGCATCCTCTTGGAACAGTACATCCAGCACACTGATACCTCCTTTGAACAGTCTTTGAGCTTCGCGCAGACGTTTGTCTTGCTAGAGCTCTGGGGCTTTTGCAGTGGGGACAAAAGGGCGTTTGAGTTTATCGAAGTCTTTCATGGCAGCAAGCTCCACACAATCACATGCTGTATGGATACACTGCCACGCGTCGAAAGCCAGCTTCGCGAGCATGGTAGGCTTCGACTACTCATGGAGGCCGCCAACATCCTCGATAGCTATCGAGTGCTTTTGCTGCAATTGCCTCCGTCCTTCTTGATGGAGATTATCAGCCGTCGGCGGCCCAATCGAGGCCAGCACACACTGTCCGCCGATGGCATCCTCCCGCCAAGCTCAGGCGGGCTTACCGATCGACCGCCAACAGGAGGGATACACCAGCTTACCGAAACGATTCGCTTCACATGGATGGTACGGTCATGGGATGCCGACGGCGCATCAAAGCCGCTGCTCTGGAAGAAGGAGTTTGTGGAGCTCGAACTACACCGATGGCTTCGAGCCAACACCGCCCATCCCGACCCTGCCTGCAAAAATGCGCCTACCCAGATGCTGCTATTCCACCTTGCGCAAATCATCCTACACGCCGACGTGCACACTCTCCACCGTCAGGCCTTGACAGCAGCGCAGCACGCGAGCGGATCGAAGCAAGGCATTGCCCACGGCGCAAAGGCACGAAAGATTATCGAGAATCGCCTCTTCACCGTGGCCCTCTGGCATGCACGAGCCATTCTTCACCTTGCGCAAACCATCATGAGCGCAGCACAGGACCATCCAAAGCGCTTCGTAGACGTCCACGCGGTGCCCACGCAGCCTCCGCATCTGCCTTTCTGCATCTACTTCGCCACGTTGATCGTGTGGTTCCACGATATACGCCATGCTCGGGATGAACAACGGACTGCGGACGATACCATTCGCTCTAGTTCGAAACTGCTGCTAACACTGAAAGCCTCCGTTTCGGAGGCTTTGAATTCCATCCTAACTGAGCTTTTGTGGACGTATTCTGCGTAGGGAGAAGACATGGTGATGCAGGAACCTGCTTCATCGTTGTATACTCTGGTGGAGAGTGACAAGCCGAGGATGCAGCATCGACACTGACTCGATTTTGATACCCAAGTAGCGTTTGTTTCTTGCACTGACATGCAAGAATACATTGACAGTCTCTCCAACTGTTCATTAGATACATCGCATATCGTCTATAACACCCGAGCACGAGGTAGCAGTTTGATGCGGCTCGGCAGTTGCCGGACGTAGTTTCCCAGATCGGACGTCCAGCACGCCCACCTCACCCCGTCCACATCGATACTCTTTAGAGATCCGCCTCATCCTGCATGACTGCCCTCGAGACCATGTACGGTGCATGATGCCGTAGATCATGTCGTCGTCCCGAGTGGGCATCAAACCCCGATCGGGGTGTCAGAACTGTCGTGCGCGGCATCTGAAATGTATGCCTCTACCTCACCCGTCCATTCCCGCATCGCTATCTCTGGGTCGCTAACTCCACTCCGTCCAGGCGACGATCTACAGCCATCTTGCGCTCGATGTGAAAAGAGTGGCCTGTACTGTGATCGAGAGTACAAGATCAGATTCCGGCACGAGGCCAACCCCAGGTACGCCACGACCCCGCCTTTCACCCACACAATGCGCTCATGATGATAGTATCAATGCTGGTGGGTCAGGAAAGCGTGGGCTGGACTTTGGCAAGTCGCAGCCGTGGGTGAAGACGTCCTCGAGTCTGACCTTTCTTGATGGAACCCGACATCTGAAACCCTCGGCCGAGTCTGGTAGCAAGCGACAAAGAGCACTCTCAGCCAGCCCGCCGACTTCTCAACCCGCGCTCCTCCATTCCACTTCCAGTCTTACTGTCGACAGTGCTTCACAGGCCGACGAAAGCTCTTCAAGAGCCCGACCTCATGTTGAACGCGCAACCCACTCACCTCATGCCTCCGTGGCCTCCACCTCTTTGCACGACTCTTTCGGGTCTCCACTGAATCACTGGTCGTACTCACACCACCCCGATCTAATATCATCTCCAACTACCCACATCAACACTCATTCGCCCGATCAGTCCTCGGTCACAGGGATGCAACACAACTACCTCGCCTTCAGTCCATCAAGGGATGGACTCGCAGGTAACATGTCTCGCGACAGCTACGCAATCGCCGCTGGTCCTACCACCGCCTCCACTTCGGCATCTGGAATCTATCTTGAAAGATCTGTCTGGCCACTTGAAAGCAGGCAAGAAGCGGCACTGCTGCGGCACTATGTGCAGCGCCTGGCTCGCAACTTTGACCTGTCAGATCCTCTCCGTCATTTCAGAACGGTCGTGCCGCAAAGGGCAGCAACATGCCCTCTGTTATTGAACGCCATATACGCTCTTTCAGCGCGTCATCTGAGTCGAGTCGGGGACTACGATCCTCTGGTGTCAGATCGATATCATCAAGAATGTCTCAAGCATGTCATTCCCATACTCGACGATCCCGAAGCCATTCTTGACGAAAACCTACTTGCATCGGCTGTCATCTTGAGACACCTCGAAGAATTCGAAGAACCGCTTTCCGGATGCTCTCCGGCAGATCGTCAGAGCCATCTCATTGGATCACACGCTCTAATCAAAGCCCAAGGACCGGCTGCAATGTCGGAAGGGCTTAGACAAGCAGCGTTCTGGGTGTGCCTGAGACAAGAAATCTACGTCGCATTCATCAATCAGCGCTCCGTCGCTATCGCGCATGACGATTTAAACCTCGATCGATCTTTGGACACCACTACGGATCATGTCTGGAGCTGTAGAATGGTCGCTCTCTGCGCCGATACCGTTCGCTTCTGTTTTGGAGAGGACGACAAACCGACGAGCGGGTATGACAGACTAGCACTTGCAGTGCAACGGTGGCACAGCTCTAAATCGGAGTCTTTCACGCCGATTTACTGCAAAGAAGCGGATGAAGATAATCTCTTTCCGGACATCTGGTTTCTGAGTGACGAGGTCACGATCGGATTGCAGCACTACTACATTGCGAAACTGCTACTGTGCGCACACAATCCGAGAATGCCCCGCCTGGGCCCCGGCCGAGCGAGCGCTCTTCGAGCAATGGATGACGAAATCAAAGACTACGTCCGTGTGCTCTGCGGCATCGCAATGAGCAATCCGGACACGGCGCCGAATTTTACGTACGTTCGCCGCCATCCGTCGTCATGTACTATCCAGCTAATTCGTATGGCTAGTTATGCGTTCATGTCGGTGGTTGCAGCAGGAGACAAATTCACGCTAAGATCTGAACAAGAGGCTTTGCTGAATGTCCTGAACATCTGCGATTCACAGTATGCTTTCCCGACGAGCCATGCTCGTGAGAACCTGAAGGCCGCGTGGGGCTGGACTCAAGAAATTGAGTAGTCGCGGGCGGCTGTTACGACACGTAACACAGCTAAGGAGACCGTGAATCTGCCATGAATGGAATCTATATGCATACGGCTGGCCCTGCAACGCGGTCCTGAAGAGAAACCATCATACCTTATACGATCGTGCCGGGATGGTCGACCTTGTTCCCGAGCTCATCGAAGTACAGCTTCCGTCCAGTTCGCACACTTTCCTGAAGCGCAGCGCCAACGACCAGAGCCTGTACAGCCTCATCAATGGTATACGGAAGTTCCCGATCGTCCAAGCAGCACTGCGTAAACTCGTTGGCCTCCGTGATGAACGCCTCCCGGAAGCGACCATAGTAGCTGTCCGGGATGGTTCTTCGAATGCCCGTCGCCTCGTGCACCTCCAGGAAATTCATCTGCGGTGCTCCACCGACGACAAGCTTTCCTTTTGTGCCGATGATTTCCGTCATGTCGTGCTGGCCGGCAGCCATCATTCGGGATCCATAGACATATGCGATTTTGCCTCCCCAGAACTCGATGATCCCCACGCCGTTGTCGACATCGTGCCACTGCGCCAATCCCGGTGCAACAGCAGTGATGCCCGCGGCGGAAATGCTCTTCACCCTGCTGCCAGCACCGAGGAACCAGTGGATGAGGTCGATATCGTGGATGTTGCAGTCGACAAATAGTCCGCCAGAGTGCTGGGCGTAGTTGACGAAAACGCCAGACGGATCGTGCTTATCACACGTTTGCGACCGAATCACGCTGGCCTGACCGATGTTCTCCAATTGCGAAAAGGCATCGCGGTACGAGGCATCAAAGCGCCGCGAGAAGCCACACATGACTTTCAAATGCGGTCTCTTCTTCGCGGCGTCAACGACCGTCTGGCTGACCTCGACGCTGATGCTAAGCGGCTTCTCGCACAGGACGTGCTTGTCGGCGTTGATGGCTTTGATCGATTGCTCCGCATGGAACGTGGTGGGCGTAGCGACGATGACGGCTTCCAGTCCTTCGTGTTGCAGCATCTCGTCGAAGTCGGCGTAGATCTTGACGCCGTAGGGTGCGAGATGTTGCTCTGCCCATTCGCGTGAGGCGGGGAAGGGATCGCAGGCTGCGACGAGCGAGGCGCGGGGCGTGTGTTCGAGGAAGTGCAGGGCGTGGCGTTGGCCCATGCGGCCGAGTCCAGAGACGGCGACCTGGAGTTTGTGCGCGAGGACCATTGTTGCGGATGTGTTGGAGAGGATTGATGGTTGGTGGTTGTCAATGAAAGACAAGGAGGCGCAATGGATCCGGCAGAATCACACTAAAGAGGGATGAAAAGTGTGCACGATCGACATGTACGCTCCGTCCAGTCTTTATTACCACTACGGCTTGTACACTTTCAAATCCTTTTGGAAGCGACAGGACTTGATTGATCGGGGCGACTGTCTGCGTGAAAGCCTTGCGCTCGGGTCACGGAGCTTCCAGATGCGGACACCCCGCCTTCCAGATTGGCAGGACACTCCGAGCCCGACTTTCCTCTTGAGGAAGGAGCTCGCCGTCCGTCATTTGCCGGCAGGCGTTGATGCACGTAACCCGGCCCCGACGGGTCTGCAAAGCGTTCTCCCTTCCATTCATGAGACTTCGCGCGAAGAAGATTACCTAGTTGGGATGGAGGACGGTATACGTCGGCCACATGCCGTCTGCCGACCATTTGTCGATCCACCTGCTTCGACGAACAACGCCGCTGCTCGATCTGGCAATGCCGACCTCACAGCTCCACACGGCGCAGCGTGGAGATATGAAGACCGGGCTCGCTGCTCATGGGAACCAGACCAGCGCAGGAACTTTGACACATTCTCCCCTTCACATCTACAAACATGGCACCAATCGCGATCCACGAAATTGAGCAGAACATCAACAACGTGGCTGATCTCAAAGCCAAGGCGCAGGCCAAGGTCATTGAGTTGCAAGCTCCTTCTCATAAGCCAGCCGTTGCGGATGATTTTATGTACGATTTCAAGTACAACCATGCGCTTCCCACCACCGACGTTCTCGGAATCGACATTCCCGAGGACTGCGATGCGCAGAAAGAAGCTGGTTTGATCGTCGATCGCCTCTCGCAGGCCATGAGCAGTGGCGATGCCAATGCGTTCACTGATCTCTTCCTCGACTACGGTGAGTTGGCAATGCAACCTGCCAGCTGGTACGGTACTGACGAGTCCAGGTGTATGGCGCGACAAGCTGGCGTATACATGGGACTACCGGACCTTCAACTTCACATCCGCCATTGGCAAGGCTGCTACAGACCTTTTCCCACAGACCAAGGCCTCCAACTTCCAGTTTCTGGCTCCAGCTCCTAAGGCCTCCCGACCGTATCCCGACTTTGCCCAATTGCAATTCGTGGTCTCGTTTGAAACGGAACTGGTCCACGCTTCCGCTGTGATCAATGCGGTGCTCACGAAGCAAGGATGGAAAATTTACACTCTGTACACCGTGGCCGAGCAACTGAAAGGCTTCCCCGAGCGCCAACCTGCAGATGGCCATATGAACGAATCCACCAGTTGGGAGAAGCAGCGCGCCGCAAAAGTGGATGCTGCTGATCCCGAGGTCCTGGTCATCGGTGGTGGTCAGAAGTAAGTCAATCAGCTGAACTCCGGCGAGTACATGTGCTGACAGTCATAGCGGTCTTGCTATCGCTGCACGATGTAATGCACTCGACATGGACGCCCTGATCATCGAACGCAGCGCTGGGATTGGTGACATCTGGAAGAAGCGCTACGAATATCTTTCCCTCCACTTCCCTCACTGGCCCGACGACTTGCCATACTTCTCTTACCCCAAGCATTGGCCTACGTACACCCCGGCCCAGAAACAAGGCCTTTACATGGAATGGTACGCCTCGGCTCTCGAACTCAACGTCTGGTGCAGTTCTACCATCGTCAAAGCCGATCAAGATGATGCGGGCAACTGGACGGTAGTCGTCAACAAAGAGGGTCAAGAAACCCGAACCCTACACCCCAAACAAGTCATCATGGCGACATCCCTCTGCGGCGTTCCGTCGATGCCCGCCATCCCCGGCATGTCTGATTACAAGGCCGGAATCATCCGCCACTCCTCCGCCCACGATAGCTCGAAGAACTTCGTCGGCAAGAAAGTCTGCGTAGTCGGCACCTCGTCCTCAGGCTTTGACACCGCTTTCGACTGCTCCCGCCGCGGCATCGACGTCACTCTCCTCCAGCGCTCTCCTACATACATCATGTCGCTCACAAACGCCGTGCCTCGTGCTATTGGCAACTACGCACCCGACGCAGATGGCAATCGACCCAACCTTGAAGAGCAAGATCGCGTCTCGTTCGGGACACCCACCGGACCAGGCGAGGAACTCGGTCGACGGAACGCCAAAGTGTTGTCCGAGCTTGACCAAACCCTACTCGAAGGCCTCAATGCCCGCGGCCTGCGCACGTGGCTCGGCCAACGCGGCACTGGCGTTGTCACTCTGGGCCAGACTCGCAACGGGGGCTTTTACTTCGACGCCGGTGCTTGCGAACACGTCATCGACGGCAGGATCAAAGTAGAATCAGGCTACATCGAGCGCTTCACGGCGGACAAAGCCATTCTCAACGACGGCCGAGAGCGACAATTCGACCTGATCGTCTTCGCCACGGGCTACTCCAACACCATCGACTCCGTGCGAGCCACTCTCGGCGACAGCGTTGCGGATCGATGTGGGCCTATCTGGGGCATTGACGAGGAAGGCGAGATCAAGACGGTGTACCGAGAGACGGACGTGCCGAACTTTTGGCTGATGGCTGGTTTCCTGCCGATGACGCGGTATCATTCGAAGTTGCTGGCCTTGAGGCTGAAGGCGCTGAAGGAGGGTGTGTCGCTTGCTCCGTATAAAGCGTAGAGGCTTAAAGTGTGATATTCCATAGATGGCGTATGTTGAGATCTTCTCCTGGATCCTTGTACGAGCGGAACCAAGCTCTCAACTCACCGCGATTTTCTCAATGCAGACACTAGAGGCATGGCAGGTTTTGACCCATCTATAGCTCTTCTATCATCTATGTCCATTGACTTGTCCAGTCTCAAGTACAGGCAACCCCTCATCATCAAAGTAAACAGGCAGCCCAACACGAACAGAGTGCTGCAACGCACATGCAATCTTACCCGCCTCATATGCATCCTGAGGCAAGCAACTCAACGGCATCCCATCAAGCACCGCAGCCGCAAACTCCGCAATATCGCTCACAAACGTGCGATCATACAGCGTAAACGCATCGGGCGTCGTGGCCGTGCGCACGCCCCAAGCATCTCGCACCTCCACCCGATTCGCCGCCGAGTTCCCGTTGACGATCGAATGCCCTTTGGTGCCGAAGAGGCGTGTCGTGCTCTCGAAGCCGTTGGTGAGGGTGCGGGCTACGTGGACGTTGAGGATCTTGCCGTTACTGAATTCCACGAGGCCCCAGGCGGCGTCGCAGTCGCCGTGTTTGGCGAGGTCGGGGTAGACGGCTTGCTGGCCCATGGCTACTACTCTGTTGACCTGCTTCCTCGGGCTGGGGAGGTTGGATGCGACGTCTAGAAAGTAGCGGCCAATGTCGATCTGGGAGGAAGTGGCGGTGAGAAACTGGTAAGATCTGAGGAAGCAAAGGAGCCTTACGATATGGATACCGGCATCGACGAAGATGCCGCCGGACTGAGGGGAGAATGTGACCCAGAAGCCTGTTCGTATCCAACCGTGAGAATTGTCTCTACTGTTGAAAGGCAGACTAGTACGGACCTGAATCGTCTTGCTTATCGTAGCAAGTTGTTTCGACAGCGTGGATTTGACCCAACGACCCATTGTCGACCAGAAGCTTGGCCTCGCGATGGGACTCGTCGTCTACCACGAATTAGCCAAGTCTGTGTCATTTGTTAAATGGTGTTACGTACACCTTCGAGAGAACGGCAGCAGAAACTTGAGATGGGGCTTGGATGCAGCCTTGTTCACTACTTCGGCAGTGGTGACGATGTCGATCGAGATGGGCTTTTCGCACATGACATGCTGCGAATTGTCAGTTCATGATTGTAGGCACCAATCCATCGAAGATCACTGACCAGATCCAAGTCGAGGGCCATGCAGATGAGCGCAGCATGCGTAGCAGTCGCGGTCGAGATGAGGACGGCCTCAGCGCCGCTGTTCCGCATGCAATCCTCTGGATCCGCAAAGAACCTGACGTTGGATGGAAGATTGGTCGCAGCCCATTTTTTCGCCCCCGGTTTGGTATCGCAGACGGCGACAAGCTCGATTCGAGGCTGCTGGAAAGCGAGAATTCGCGCACGAAGCGTTCCTAGCCGCCCCAGTCCGATGAGAGCGAGCTTAAGACGAGGAGACGTCACCATGGTCATTGTTGAGAAGGATTGATGGATTGGAATATTGTATTGAGCATGGACATTGATATAGACTTCGCATGTCGAGTCCGTGAAGAGGGCTTGCAAGCCGTGATCGGATGGCCGTAAGAGGAAGGCGCGTTGTCGGCAGTCCCCGACCAGGTCTGTCCGACGCTACATCGAACTCGACGAACACAAGTTCCCTCTTTGACTGTGGAGGCCTCTAGAGCAAGAGTACCACCCCACTAGAACAGTAGGTGCGTTGCAAACTCCTATCAACTCTTTTGACGAGAACACTTTGGTGGCTAATTCGTCCCATTCGTAAGGTAGCCATCGTTCTGTAATGTATACTCATACACTCATTACGTTCGTCCAATCGTCGTCAAAGCCTGAGAAGCGCATGCCGCCCGTCTTTGCATCTTTTCTGCCCTCATACACGCAAATCCTAACCACAAGCACAACATCAGACCTTTTCCAGGTGGACGATATCGTCGCAATCTTTCTGGGCACTGTCTTTTCGCGACAATGATCCCCAGACCTTTTTCGGACTAGACATAACACTATCGGTCCTCTCCATCGTCGCTTCAGAAATGGTTGCAAACGTACTCTGCGACGCCCGCGATCGCTGTCCCGAGATATCGACTAGTTTGCGCAGTACGGCAAACTCCAGCTTCAGCTTGAAACTGTACACGAAGCCCTTGAGCGACTGCTCAATCACATGCCGATTCTGGTACTCCACTACCAACAGCGCGATGTCGAGGATAATGATGACAGCGTTGATGCTGAACAGCTCCATCATGGTGCGTCTGCGTCGTCGGCTTCGTCCGCTCGCATCATCCACAGTCTTGAGGATGTCCAGCGTGCGCCAGACGTAGAGGCCGGAGATGATGAGTTCCTGCACCGTGAAGCCCGTCATCTGGATCTTCTCGATGTACTTGTATGCCAGGGCCCATTCGCGAGCCGGGTGTGCGTTGTAGGCTCCGAACATGACGACTTGGGTTGAGATGTGGAAGACGATGCCGTCGATGATGATCATCCACTTCACCGGCCGCAAGATTCGGTGGTGTTCTGGTCCAAGAACGACTCCAAGGCGAGAGTACAGCACCAAACTCTGTCCCGTCACCATCATCGGCCATCCAAACGTCGAAAGCACCTCGCCAGCCAATTGGTTCGTCAATGTGAAGTACTCGCACAGAATGCTAATCACATAAGGCAGGATGCCCGCGCTAGCAACGACGAGAGACCAGAAGTACAGGCCAGAATAGCGCTTGAAGGTGGTGAAGATCAAGAACAGCAGCTCGATGGCGTTGAACAGCGCCAGAGCGCAACAAATCGTCAGCGTCACCGACACGGCGCCGTACTGGCCGTCGAAGAAGGTCGTCGTGCCATGGAGTTGTGCGGGCGGGCCGTCGACACTCATGTTGATGTGGTCATCTTTGGCCTTCGTTGGTGAGCTGGGTGTGCGTTTGGACAACGCTGCTTCGCGGTAGAGGAGTGGCTCGCCGGCTGCTCTAATTCCCCAGGTTTCCCCCGCCCTTCACCCGCAGCTGGAAGCGGGATGTGCTCCCGCGTCCACACGTCATGTCTACTGCAAGGTGTGGAGATGGCCGGATGCAGGTTGGCCAGATCCTGAATGCAGGCCGAGCCGATGAGTCTGGATGGGAAGCCGCCGTTGCTGGCGGCAGTTAAAGCAGCCATGCGGGCGCGTCGTTTCGGACTCCCGGTCTCGGCTGCCGATCCCTCAGCCTTGTACCTCTACTTTCCCAATTGGGCAGCTTTCTCCGATTCACAACTTTCCTAATTGGGATGGCTACGAAGTCGAGATCGGGGCGCGGGTTCAAGCATTGCGGCGACTCCATGTGATGATCTGAGAACACGGCAACTTCGCATAGCTGCTGGTTGCTCGGGCTGATCGTCACACATATATCACCGGCCGGTGCCTACACATGCTTCTGCTTCTGAAATCGATCCGTAGTTCATCTCCACAACTGCAACGGGACCATGGCGACCACAACACTCGCGCGCTGGCTCGATGCCAGTCAAATCAACTCGCATGCCATCAGCACACCGTACGCGAAGCTCGATGATATCGTCACTCTCCTGGCAGTCCTGCTCTGTGGCTTCGCCTACGCCGCGCAAGGCACCCTCTGGAACCGCGCAGACCTGTACCGGCACAAACTGTTCGAAAAGCCCCAGCAACGAGCAATCTCCTCGCAAGCAGCACAGAAAAGTGCCAACCTGGCGGAGCGACTGGACTTCGAAGACTGCGACATCGCCATCCTCTGGGCCTCCCAATCCGGCACCGCAGAGCGCTTTGCAGGCCGTCTTGCAAAGGAACTTCGCGCGAATTTCAGTGCCAAAGTCTTGTCTCTAGACATCTCAGACATCACACCGGCCTCCCTCGCAGACGTCCCAAACAGCAAGGTAGTCATCATTCTGGCTTCGACTTTCGGCGAAGGCGACCCCAGCGACAACATGCATCAGACGTGGAACTGGCTTTGCGAGAAGCAGAAAGGTATGCTGTCGAACCTTCGATTCGTCGCCTTTGGATTGGGGAACTCGAATTACAAGTACTACAACCACGTCGTTGATGTTCTCGCCGAGCAGCTCCTCGCTCGTGGTGCCAATATGTTGATGAGCACCGGGAAAGCAGACGATGCTGCTGGAGAGACGGAAGAGCACTTCCTGGAATGGAAACAAACGGTCTTCCAACTCTTTCGCACTACTCTCAACTACCAGCAGCAACAAGTCCGCTACGAGCCGGCATTGGAGGTCCGAGAAGACGAATTGATTCCAGCAGGCGAACTGTGGTCTGGGATCCCCTACGTCCCCAAGGCATTCTCGACGCAATCGAAAGTCGCTCCCCTTCCAATTGTAAGTTGCCACGACCTACTACAAGGCTCACCCGATCGCATGTGCCTTCACATCGAGCTGGACACGACGCAACATCCGAACCTGAAGTACAAGACGGGAGATCATCTAGTTGTCTGGCCGATCAATCCAACTCAAGAGATACAGCTCTTGCTAAGCGCTCTTGGCTTGGAGAGAAGACGAATGACTCCAATCCGCATCAAAGCCTTGGGCTCATTCAGCCGCCCTATCCCCAGCCCGACGACACTCGAGGCAGTTTTCCAGGAATATCTCGAGATCTGCGCGCCGGTCCCGCGAGAGAGCATCGAAGCACTCATCGCGTACGCTCCAACAGCCGCGGCACGCACATTCCTTGAATCGGTCAGCTGCGACAAAACCTCGTACGCCGCGTACATGAGATCACAATACCTCAACTTGGGCCGTTTGTTCGAAGCAGCATGTCCAGCCCCAGGAGCTTGGACATCTGTGCCTCTTTCGCTGGTCATCGAAATGCTACCCGCAATGCGACCGCGCTCCTACTCCATCTCATCGTCATCCGTCGTGAGCCCACGGAAAATCTCCATCACCGTCGCCGTATCCGATACGACCAGTGTCGACTCGCCGGATCGTGTCATCGGCCTTGCTACGAATTACCTCCTGAACGCCAACGGCGGCTCGCACCCGAAGGCGTTGACCTACTCCAAACTGTTGGAGAATGGCCAAGTCTACGCAGCAGTCCGCAAGTCGACGTTCAAATTGCCGCTATCTTCCTCCGCACCAGTCGTCATGGTCGGCGCCGGTACAGGCGTAGCACCCTTCCGCGCATTCGTGCAAGAGCGAGCTCGGTTAAAGTCCGTGAGAAGGGAAGTCGGGCCAACAAGACTCTTCTTCGGGTGCAGAGATCGCTCGCAGGATTTAATCTACGACGAAGACTTTTCCCGTTGGAAGGGAGATATGGGTGACTGCTTTTCGATGACGACTGCTTTCTCGCGACCCAAGGATGGCGGTGAGAAGCAGTACGTCCAGGATGCCATTTTGACTGACGCGGAGGCTGTCTGTAAGCTGCTGGTGGAGGAGAATGCGTACTTCTATATCTGTGGCTCAGCGGCGATGGCGAGGGATGTTTCTGCGGCGGCGACGGCTATTATCATGAAGGCGCAGGGTTGGGATGAGACGAAGATGAAGGAGTTTGCGGATCGACAGAAGAGGCAGAAGAGGTGGTTGCAGGATGTTTGGGGTTAAAATAGTTATGGATAGATGGCCCATGTCCTTCCACACTCATCGTCAATCTTCTTCGTCGGTCGAACTGACCACCGTGCGACCAGTTGCACAAACACGTTCATCAAACTGACGTGGAGGGCAAAAGTTTCGTGTCTTTAGAAATGAACACCTACCTTTTGGTCTTTAGATGTACTGTTCAATTTGGCTTCATTCGACAAGGCTAAGGATTGAACGTAGGGGCGCTCGACTGACGATGGGACTCTTTGCATATCGACATCCTCTACACCTCTACCTCTAACTTAAATCAACTCATCAACACGCTGCCGTAACTTCAAGACAATCGGCAATTCGTTAGGATGCAAATTGAACGTCTCCCTCCTATCCGGCACGAAATCAGGTCTCGCCAAAGTAATATCATACCGATGCACCATAGTCGCCAGCGCGACAGTCTGTTCCAGATAGGAAATGTTCCGTCCAATGCAGCCTCGCGCACCCGCAGAGAAGCTGACAAAATACGGTCCCAGTTCCTTGCCCGCTTCGCCGAGCCACCGATCGGGATTGTACTTCTCGGGCTCGGGGAAGATGGTCGGATCTCGGTGGACGACGTACGAGGACATGGAGACTGTGACACCGCCGGGAATATATTCTCCGAGGATGGATGTGCCTTCTGGGGGAGTGACGCGAGGCAAGCCGTGGGAAGTGGGAGGGAAGAGACGCAGACTCTCGTCCAGGCAAGCGCGGAGGTACGGAAGGTATTTGACTTTCTCGTAGGGCGCGACGATGTCTTCGTCGTCCAGCACGGAGTCGAGTTCTTCTTGTAATCGGCGCATGAACTCTGAGTTGATGAGGAGCTGATACATCACGTTCGCCATCGCGATGGCCGTCGTCGTGCTGCCGGCGTTCATCATGATTGAAATCTCGGCGAGAATCTCTCCGAAATCCAAGTTGTGAGAAGCACCATTCTTGTCGTGCATCAATGCTTGGAAAAAGTCGTCTAGCTCTTCGCCTTTGACATAGCGAGCGAGGCGTTGGTTGGTCTGGTGAAGGTAGATGCCATCCCAGTCCTTGTTCAAGTTCCAGTAATTGCGGAAGCGTGGAGATACGAGCTTTGAAAGGGAGACAATATGCTTGTACCAGGGATATGACCAGGCAAGGATGGATTGTGCGGTCGATGTGCCATACAGACATTCCCGGAAGTTCACCTCTTTCGTAGAGCCGTCGAAACCAGCAGAGATGCATCGATCGTTGCCGGCATCGAGGAAGCCCATCGGTTGACTAAGGCCGATGTAGGCAATGGCATCGAGGGCGAAGAAGTTTGTCCAGGATCGGTAGTCGATGATCTCCCCGCCGCATCGTTTGTCGAATTGGTTGATCATACGGCCAGTCGTGTATGCGACCTTGAACTCCCACTCCTCGAGATTCTTGAGCGCATACGCCGAGGAAAGCACTTTGCGCTTGCGTGCATGCTCTCCGGAATCTGTGACATCCGCGAGATGTGTGTGGCTGCCAGAAAGAATGTCGTATTGCCCATCTTTCCGGCATTTCGTACTGTGACCGTAGATGTCGCGGATGGCCTTGGGGTCCGAGTAGGATAGCGAGTTTGGGCCGGTGCGGATGACTGGCATGCCTTTGGCATGAAGTTCTTGCAGTCGTTTGGATCGAAAGCCTTTGTTGGATTCGAGCATGAAGGCTACGTTTGTGAATGGCGCGAGCCAGTCCATGCCCGGATACCGTCTGAGGCCTTTCTCGTCTCTGAAATAACGATACACATGGCTGCCGATGATCCAGCCGAGCGTGGAGGTCAGGAGCACCGCACCGAAGATGATTCCGTACATGGTGAGGCAGTGAAGAGAGGTCGGCAGGTAGTGAGAAGGGATTGTGGGAGGACGCAAGATTAGTCTACATAGAGATGTTATAACATGGCATACCTCCGGAAGTCGGGAAAATAAATGAGCTCAGAAGTTGAGATGCAACGCGAGCTGGAGTTTCTGCTCCATCTTGCGCGCTTGCCATATGCAGCAGATGATGGTGGTGCGGCGGCGCAACTTACGCAAGAGAGAACGGCGAGAGATGCGTTGCAGTCGATATGCCAAATGCGGCAGGCTGCTCCGGAGGCCTTTTCACTTCATGGAGTAGAGATCATGGCTGGACTATCAGCGTAGCCCGGATGAGACTTCAAGCGCTCAGACGTGCGGGAACATGCAGCTGACAACATCTCGGCGAAGACCGCCCTCAGGCAAAAGCTTCAATCAGGCAGGAAGTTCCGGTGATTCCGCACGTTTCCACGTCCGAAAGGCAGGAGCGGGGTCCCCCGGAAATTACCGCATTGGGCAGGACCATGTGCCGAGACCCCAGACCCCAGACGGAGCCATTGCCACCCACGCCATCTGGGGAAGGCAGTCTGTCACGCGAACACGAACATATAAGAATGTCCTGCTCCTCCTCAATGGTGTCGATCCAGATCAGCAGCCTCACATCTTCTCCTTCTTTGTCCATCCATACATCATTGAGTGAAGCACTCAATCAACCATGCCTCCACGGGACAACTCTCAACAGGTGATCGAGGACAAACTCGTCCACCAAGCCGAACACAATGAGAACGTGGCATACGACGGATGGCAAGTGCCAGGCGGCCGCCGAGGCTCCATCCAGGAACAGGCTTTCGACCGACGACACTCCAACTCCGAGTCACCCTCGGAAGGCCGACGCGGCTCAGTGCAATCGATGAAGAAGAGCTTCGAAGCCTCCAACTACCAGATGGTGCAGCCCATCGTGGGACATCTGGAGGTGACGGACGACTACAACCCCGAGAACTCCATCGACGACATTGCCGTCTCGTGGTACGTCTGGCTCGTCGCGGCCACTGCGTCCATCGCCGGCTCGCTCTTCGGCTACGACACGGGTATCATCTCTGCCGTGTTGGTGTATCTCGGCAACTCACTCGGCGGCCACCCGGTCAGCGCCTCTGACAAGGAAGCCATCACATCTCTCTGCTCGGGAGGCGCCTTCATCGGTGCCATCATCGCCGGTCTGACAGCCGACAAGTACGGGCGCAAAGCCGCCATCTACGCCGGCTGCGTCCTGTTTGTCGTCGGCGCGATCCTGCAAGCTACTGCCTTCAGCATCGCACAGATGGTCATTGGCCGTCTGGTGGTCGGCTTCGGTGTCGGTTCCGCCGCTATGGTTGTCCCTCTTTACATCGCCGAGATTGCGCCTACCAAAGTCCGTGGACGCTTGATCGGACTGAACAACATGTCGATCACCGGTGGCCAAGTCGTCTCTTACGGCATTGGTGCCGCCTTTGCGCATACCGACAACGGCTGGAGGTGGATGGTTGGTCTTGGTGCTGTGCCGGCCATCATTCTCGCATGCTTGCTGCCCTTCTGCCCCGAATCTCCCCGTCAACTCATCTACCGCGGCCAGCTCGACAAGGCGGAGATTGTCCTCCTCAAGATCTACAAGGGAGCCTCGCTCGAGCAGGTGCGCGCAAAGGTCGCTCTCATCTCCGCAGCTTGTGAGGAGGCCAAGGAACTCAACGGGAACGAGTCTCGATGGTCGAAGATCAAGCGCCTTCACACCGATCCCGCCAACTTCCGCGCGCTTGTCGTCGCTTGCGGTCTCATGGTCATCTCGCAGCTTTCCGGCTTCAACACTCTCATGTACTACTCCTCCACCCTGTTTGCTCTGGTCGGGTTTTCCAACCCCGTCGCTGTCGGATTGGTTGTGGCCGGAACCAACTTTGTCATGGTAAGACAACTCGACCCGCCCAAAGTGCGCACAATCGCTAACATCTGCCGTCAGACTTGGGTGAACATGCTCTGCGTTGATCCAATTGGTCGCCGAAGAGTCCTCGTCGCCACCACTTGGGGCATGGCCGCCGGCCTTCTCGCCGTAGCGATCGCGTTCAGCTACATTCCCATCGACACCAAGACTCTCGCCATCACAAGCAACGTCGTCACCACTCCCGCAATCATCGTCTTGATCTTCATTGTCTGGTTCGTCTTCTTCTACGGAGTGTCGGTGGGCAACACGGCGTGGATGAGCACCGACTTCTTCCCCATGGAGGTGCGAGCGATGGGTACGATGTGGCTTACTTGCTGCTGCTGGGGCTCCAACATCATCGTCTCCTCCACCTTCCTCAGCATGATGAAGACCCTAACGCCCAGCGGGGCTTTTGGCTTCTACTGCGCAATCTGCTTCTTCGGTTGGGTCCTGATCATCCTGTTCTACCCCGAGGTGTCTGGTCTCAATCTCGAGGAGATCCGAATGGTGTTTGAGAGCAGAAATCCAGTCTCGTTCGCGAGGAAGCTGAGGAGGGAGAGGAAGGATGTGATCAAGGAGAGGCTGGCGAATATGGAGAAGCCGATTCCCCGCTGGACATTGAGTGGGTAGGAGACGAGCGACGATTCTTTTGTATATACTGAACTTGATGAGATTATGAGCAAACCAGGCGAGGCCCTGATGAGATGTCTGAATGACAAATGAAATTCCACGTTACCTGCCGCAGTGCACGTGAATGCAGTGGAAGATGTTGAAGGAAGGTGCGACTCCACGTCGTCTTTCCCTGCACTCCTCCTGCTCTCGCACTTTTCCTCTTCGCTTCATGAAAAGAATGTCAGAAACAATCATCAATCGTCCCTCACGGCTACGCTTTCCCCTTCACAAGGTTTCTCCAAAGCTCTGCAGATCGTGGCTCGATTCCGCTTCTCTCCGCACAGATCGTCTCTGCAAGATGCCGGCCCCATATTCCCGCCCAGCGGTGCTGCGATATCTTCCTTTTTCTCCGAATCCTGGCAGTTGCACCGCAAGATGAAAAATTGACCGCCCATCATGAGAGAAAAACTGTCCGGAGAAGAAAACGACCACTCCAACCCCATCCCTGCCCTACTGCATGCAGCCCGTGCCGCTTATCGAACAGGTCGCGTCGCCGATCCCTCCCTCCCGAGGTCCCTCTGCATCCCACGCTAGAAGGGGGTCTTGACGACATTATTGCCTTTTGCAACTACTGCAGACCTTGCTTTCTGCGCATGCTGCCCCCAACGGGCCGGCAAGACCCCGCCATGAGGCGCCCGTCCAGCATGCTATGCTGCAGATCTACTACGGCATGGAGGTGTGCGTATGCAGGTGCTAGAGGTGTAGGTTGCGTGCACCGAGTTTTTATCTCCTTGGTCCGGTTCTTCGAGTATCTGCCATGCCATTACACTATCGTTGCATTTCTTTGGGTGCATCTTCGCCCGCGTGTTAGGGTGTTTATTGGCGTGGCCGTATCGGCCTCCATCTGGAGTGATGGGTTGGCAGCTCCGACTTCACCTGCTCGTCATCGCCGCCACCTCGGCCATTGGCGTTCTTGGCCAGCTTCCCACGATAGTTGGATGCTTCTCTTCCGCGGTGCCACTGGTCTCTCAGGGCACGTACAAATATCAGAGCTCCGGGTATTGCAATGTATTGTGCCAGAAGAAGAACGAAACCGTCCTCGGTGGGTTCACTCTCGCTGCTGGACAATGCCCACTACTCTGCTAATCACCGGTCCTCTTATCAGGTCTGTCTGCAGGCACTACATGCTGGTGCGGTGATGAGTTGCCATCAGGAAGCAGTAGAGTGGCAGATTCGTTTTGCAATACAGTTTGTCAAGGTAGCTATGCGCCGACCAAGTAGATCCAACCAACGCTAAAACTCCGCCAACAGGTTACGGCCTCGAAGACTGCGGTGGCTCGAGTAACGGGGTGACTTACTTCACCGTCTGGCTGACCGGACTGAGCGCCAATGTGCCCAGCTACTCTGGCTCATCCACATCATCATCATCATCATCCTCGACCTCATCCAGTTCGAGGACAAGTACAGCGAGCTCAGCAAGTTCCACTTCCTCCACGACATCAACATCAACAACCAGCTCCAGCTCGAGTACTTCTCCCTCCGCAATAGCCGGATCTCAATCAGGCACTCGGCAGTCCAACCACCAGCGCGGTGACCAAATTCTCGCAATCGTCCTCGGAGTAGTGATCGGATTCATCGCCGTGGCCCTTGCGGCAGCTCTCTTCTTCTGGGTCCATCGGCGGAACAAGAAAAATCAGCGGCCATCGTCCCACAAGACTCCTCTCATCACCCCCAATAGGAACTCATTTCAAGGCGACGAAGACCATGCGGGAGGAGCGGGCGAGAAGGAAATCAGTCCTATTGCTGGGGCAGGAACCGCCGCGGCTGGGACTGCCGCTGCTGGGACTGCCGCTGCTGGGACTGCCGCTGCTGGGACTGCCGCTGCTGGGACTGCCGCTGCTGGG